TCAACTCAACTCAACTCAACTCAACTCAACTCAACTCAACTCAACTCAACTCAACTCAACTCAACTCAACTCAACTCAACTCAACTCAACTCAACACAACACAACACAACACAGCCCTACCCTAATCTTCCTTCCTATACCGACCATTCTCCCCTACAAACGCCGATGCCGGGAACCGAAACTGGCTGTGAAGTGACGGGAAGAGATCCCGCTTGAAAAATTCGTGAATGGAATCAGATTTATAAGCGAGCTACAGAGATCTTCACCCCACACCACCGTCCCATGAATCTCCTGTTTCCACGGCTTTTGCACGGTGCAACTCAATGATTCCCACAATACGATCAGATCAATCCAACATCGCTGACAAATTCCAATCTTCTATCTTCTCGCTGTGTATTCATTCATTCATTCATTCTCTCATTCACAGCCTCAACTATTATTACACCACCAACCATTCCTTGCGTATGACCCAAACCCAACATATCATTAACATTTGCCCGACCGAACCAACATAAATATATTGCCGACCGGAGCAGAAGCGGCAACCTTCTCACCCACACACCCATGAACTGCGTCATCCCACGATTGGCGAAGCGAAGTGCTGTGCTGACTGATTCCAACGCAACTCCAACATCTGCTGCGTCGTTCCCCGTACACCGGAAAAGTGCCTGTGTTTCGTCAGCCACGCACCCGCGCCGCCCAACGCGCGGCGATATCTCGCCGTCCCATTTCTCACTTCCATGCGCATACAAATATATCCTCTCCATCCCCTTCACTTTTTGATCCAATATTCGCAAATCCACACACATACACCATACACCATACCACACCAAAAAAACAAAAAACGGAAAGGAAAAGAAAACACAAAAACCAAAATGTCATCAACAACCCTCCCCTACTACCTCGCCTACTGCCCCTTAGTCATGGTAGCGAGCATGTACAAGAAACTCCACCGCACGCTCTCGCATTCATCGTCGAGTTCTTCGGACGGCCAGCAGCAGCCGTTAAGGAAGCAGAAGTTGATTGCTGTGGTGAATTATGAGGAATAGGTGTATCTCTACCTGTTCCTCTGTCTCTAGGAAAGAGGGAGGAGGACAAAGAATATGGTCACGTGCCGAAGAGAGGATGGTAGGATTGGTGGAGTGTGGCGGAGGGATGAGGGCGAGATGGCGCGGACGTACGAAGCACGAGGCCATACTTCTATCAGGGAATTAACTCGCCACAACCGAATCCAGCATACATCACCCTGCCACGTCCGTCCCACGAGCTGGTATCGTGAGGACTAATAGCTTACTGTATAACACCACCAGCTACTGTACAACCAACAACCTTAATCACAATAACAATAGCACAATGACGAACGAACGAACAAACGACTTACGATAAGCAGGATAGCTAGGCAATCCGGAAAATTGGGAAGGAAAATGATTGGGCGTTTTTAGCAGCGAAGCACGGGAACTTCGGATGAAAGAGATGGAGTTTTGTTTATTGGTTGCATGGAGAGCATTGCTAGCGAGGCGTTTAAGAGATCTGTGTATGACTTGTATTACTGTATGTCAAGCTGTAATCGAGATGTACCAAGATTTACATATTTTCCATCAAGACTACATACACCTGCTTTGAAGCCGTTGATTCTGGAACGCAAAAAAAGAGCATTGACTGTTTTCGTAATACAGGGTTCCCAGGATGCTATAATCAAGCCTTCATCAATCACCGCTCAAAAGCTCCATTCCATCCACCTTAGCCATATGTAATCATCTTCCCCTTCCCCTCCACCTCCTAATTCCCTTCCTCCAAAGTCTCACAATCAGAATCACAATCACCATGAAACCACATCAAACCAATCTGCCGAACAAGAGCAATAAAATTACGTATTCAATTATTATATCCTCATCATCATACAATTTTCCATTCCCTCCTCCCCTTCCTCCCCTTCCCCCCCTCCCTTCCCTCTTCATACTTAACCCTCACTCCCCCCTAAACTTTATACAAAGAATGGTATCTTTTCTATCTCTCTTGCTTTCATCTGACATGCATACATTCCACTTCAAAAAAATGAAAAATCGGAAAATCGCCGTATGTGTATGTACTTCCTGCCTTATTTTAACCCAATCCTCCCCAAACCTCCACCCACAGAAGAAAAACCCTCGATTAGATAGACCGCCCCCATCCCCTCAATCATCAAGCCTAAACATCCTCCTCAACTTCCCAAACTTCTTCTTCTTCCTCCCTGGGATATCCGTCACGCCGGCAATATCCACATCCGCCAGCCCCGTCGCCGTGAACCTCCTCGTCCCCAGATCCGGCCTCTCTCCATTCCCGTTGCTAAGGACATCTTTCTCCCCCGCACCACCTGTAACACCCATCCCATTATCCGCCGAGAACGGCCTCCCGTCTTCACCGCCTAAGATGCGAGGAGGGGCAGGAGCAGCCAAGGGCCACGAACTGCTATTCTCTCTACTGATCGTGCGGCGCTTTTGCAGTTTCGGCGATGAAGGTCGTTCGGCGCGGAGTTGTTGGAGGTCGGATTTACTCCTTTCGAGAGGTGTGTCTCTCCGTGCTGGGGATTCGGCGTCGGATTTGCGGACCTTGGATGCTGGGTCTGGTTTCTTTCTGCGGAGGATGGACATGAAACTTCCACGACGAGAGTGGTTCGGCCGTGATGGTGTAACAGTGGTGATGGGAGAGCTAATAGTCTCGCGTCCCGAGCCAGATCGTCGTAGGGAGCCTGAAGCAAGTGTTGCGCCTTGGTTGGAGACTGGTGCTGTTGTACCGTTTGTACCACGCTTCTTTGCAAGTCTGAGGGAAGACAAGCCTGACTTCTCTTCATCGCTGTCTGGTAAGTCGCTGGAGTCACCATCTTGTGTTCGCTTAGCAACCGGAGGAGCTATTGATCGCATTGTGCGTGGCAAGGGCATTGGCCCAGGTTCATCTTCGTCGCTGGAATCATTGAATCGACTTCGGAAAGTAGGTCTATCTTCATCTTCATCACTGGAATCCGCGAAGCGGCTCTTGCTTGGGCGAGACTTTTGCTTTGAAGGTTTGGCTGAGCTTCCACGTCCAAAGCCCTTTGATGGATTTCTTAATGTTGGTGCATCCCGAGTACTGTTTCGCAATGAGTTTCGCATATGAGTAGGCGTTGAATTGGCTGCAGGAGCACCACTATTGAAAGGACGACGGAAAGCAGACCCCGTAGGTGACAATGATCTGAGACTGAATCGACTTGATCGGTTTGGTGAAGATTGTCGACCTTGATCCTGATCCATAGAACCTCGCATAGACCGTCTGAAACTCGGAATCTCATTGTTGTTGCTAGGCTTAGCTCGTTTGAAACTACTGTCACTATCACCAGATCCTTTCCGGCGAAGAGTTGGCTTAGCAGGAGTCAAATCCCGCTGTGCTGCCGCTGGTGCGGCTGCGGCGCTCGCTGCTGACAAAGCTCTGACATGCCTATTCACAGCAACGGGATCTGGCTTGGTCTCAGGAGGAGGATATGACATGGGTCGATACTTCTTCTGTAGTGAACCCTTTGGCTCAGCACTTTCAGAAGATCCCCGCAATGAACCACGCATTGCTTCGGAACCTCTCATCGACTTTCGAATATGAGGTTCTTTTGTGGTACTTGCAGGCTCAGCTCGCATTGATGACCGCATGGCAACAAATCCATTTGGTCCAGCTTTCGCCCCTGGCTGGATCATGTAATTCCTCTCCTGAGCCACCGCAGGTTCGCGTTGAGATGCAACTATGGCTGGTTCAGGCTGGACTGCGACCTTCTTTTTCTTCTTTGGCTTTGGAGCAGGCTTGGCCTCAATTGTCGATTCCGAATCTTCAGCTTCTTCCCGAGCTTCCAACTCAAGCTGTTTCTTCTTTTCAGCTGAAAGTGTACTCCAATATGCTTGGACCTGGTCCCACCCAGCATCGATCTCGGGTCCACTATCTTGTTTCGGCAACTGACTTTTCTTGAAAGCCTTCTCCTTGGTGAGTTTTGTGATTGGGCTATCAGGAGGTGTGGAGATGGCGAGACCTGGGAGATTGGTGTTGACGACAGGGCTTTCTACAACAGCATTCAAAGACAAGTATCCATCGCCCTCAGTGTCCGTTAATTCTTCCGCTGCATCACTGTAAACACTAGCATCAGATTCCTCAGGCTCTTCTAATATAGCAGGGGCGACATGAGTAGATGCTGAAACAATTTCCGGATCTTGCGGTGGGATAGGTGCGTGAGTGACAGGGCTTGGCTCAGCTACTCCAACATCTGCAGGAGTTGGTTGAATGGCAGGAGTTGGCTGAACGACCGCAGGCTCAACGACTTCCGAATCTTCTTGTGTAGCGCTACCAGAATCTGAGGTTGAGCTTCCCCAGGATCCAGGCATGTCAGGCCACTCGTTCTTCGAGATAGATTCATCGATCGTAGGAGTGGCTTGAAGGATTGCAATTTCTGGCACAATGTCAATGGCCTTGGGTGTTGGCGCTTCCTCCTCTTCTGGCTCTTCGGTAACAGTCTTGCCATTAGCATGCTCATCAATATGACTATCTTCATGGTTCGTCAACGCTCTGTAGGTGTCGACGTGACCATCTTCAGGGCCACGTTTAACGCTATCAGCTCGTCCCATTCCAACGTCTGATTTGTGATTCTCCATACTATACACACTACTGTCGGTGTCGGAGTGATACCCGCTACCCTCGACGGAAGTGACTTCAGGTGGTAATGGCTCGCGAGATTTCGAGATATTCGCCTCGTTCCTCGACGTGGCATCTTGTGCCAAGATAGCACCGACGACGTGATCGTTTGATTGTCCTAAAGGATTTTCAATGATCTCACCAGTGGGCGAAGTAAATAGCGGGGGAGATGCTGGTGGAAGCTTTTCAATGGGCTCCGCAGGCTTGACCAGTTGCCGTTCCTCAACCTCTTTGGATGGCTTCCTTTCACGTACACTTCCGAATGATGGTAGAGCAGGTCTTGGTTTCATAACCTCATCATCCTCATCTGTCATCACAGGTTCCTTCTTCTTGCCCCTACCCATGCTGAACCACGATCGTTTCGTTTGTGGACTCAAAACGACAGGGGAATCAGTAGTTACTGGCGCTGCGGCTTGACCGACCACAACGTTCGTTTCATCAAAACTGACTCTGTTTGCTTTCTTTTTCGGCACAGTAAGCTCCTCCGAGCCGACCACCGAGCTTGAAGCTTCACTGCCATTAACTTCGCTCGATTGGCCTTCAACGGGCGATGGTCCACGTGGAGAGTTTGAGTGTTTGAGAGCAGATTTTCGAGGTGAGATAGAACGAGCTGGTGGCTGATGTTTGACCACCAGACTTTCTGGGGTCACTGCAAAATGTGCAGTTCGAGCAGGGCTGACAGAATGCACACGTCCTCCACGAACACTGTCCTTTGAGACCAAGCCAACTCCCTCTACTGGAGGCTCCGTAGGGCTTAACGGAGGCTGACTGACTGATCTGCCCTGTTGTCGTTCTTGAGCAAATGCTGCAGAAGCCCGAGCTTGGCCTCTACCATGACCTCTTCCAGCAACAGATCGAGGCAACGGTGATGGCGAAATCTGCCTTGCGGCAGCAGGACTAGTATCCAGCTTCGTCAGGCCCCCACTGGCCTTTGTTCTCCCTGGAGTATCATCTTCTTCCTCTTCTCGCTCGCGATCTTCTCGGACAATCGAGGGTTTCTTCGCCAATAGGGTTCCGGCCCGAGTATTGAAAGTCTGCGGGACATCACTATCGGTATCTGATGACCCTGGGTTATAGGACCCTTGATCATCCTCAGAGTCACTAAGGACAACCTTCTTCTTTCTCCTCCTTGGTGGCGCTGATTTTGGTGATTCGGAAGCAGGAGCTGGTATATACTGGGTCGGAGGAGGGGGAGGTGCTGTTTCAATAACTGGAGCTGGTGCAGATACTGGTGCTGGTGTTGGTACGGGTTGTTGTACTGGTTGACGGGCCGAACTTGACTCTGCTGCTTCCAATGCATCGATTGCGGTTCCCCTCGGTTTGGCACCCATTCCTCCACTCGATAGATGTGACCCAGCCGCTGATACGGGCTTCTTCTTTTTCTTGACGGGCCTAGTCGCGGCATTGTTTAACCTTTGCTCGATAGCTAGAATCTCTACTTCGGGAAGAAAGCTTCGAGTATTAGGGTCGTAGATCAGATTCTGGTTAGTAGGAGAAACAATCTTTGGTAAATTTTGCCTTTGAGGAGCAGGAGATGTTAGCCTTCTCTGTCCCATAGGTGAGGTCGGCCTTGAACTTGTAGGCATGGAAAAATTGATGGAATGAACGGACCCTCTACTTGCTGGTCGATCTACCCGTGTTAGCTCTTGCACACTGGACAAGCCCGAAGCCCTGGGACCGGATCTCCTGGGAGGTTGTGTTGATCCTGTTGGTCCTAAGCTGGATCCTCGTCCACTGGCTTTGTTGGGAGGGGGAGATGCCACGCGCATGGGCGGTGCCTCCAGACTAGCAGCCCTTCGGTGGGACTTGGCCGGTATCGTGGGAGGCTGTGGTTGCTGCATATTCTTGGGAATCGCAGGAACTGGTGGCGCATCCGGAGCACTGGGGACGGGTTGTGATCGCGCAGGTGAAGGTTCGCGGAATGTACGCTCTGTCATCGATCCCACACTTCCTCTGCGTTCCAGTTGCGATCCCGGTGGTCCTTTTATCGACCCGGACACAGAGCTTCCCACCGACGAAGTCGATCCAGCTCTCCGAAGTGTTCGCTTGGTCTGGACATCTGCAACGGACGTGGGAGTCGTTGGTCGTGATCGTAATGCTGCCGCCGCGGCCGCGGATGACAAGGACGCATTCGAGGATCGATTCTTCAGAAAAGCCTGCGCTGCTGCAGTCGTCGCCGAGGCGCTGGCATTGGTTCCATTCAGAGGCTGTTGAAAAGAGGTGTCAGTGATGGCTTCATTGGCAGTGTTTGGAGTCTCTGTTTGCACCAAGACCTCTTCCCAGGCTGTAGCCAATGCGACACCCAGTTGCGCGACATCGAAACGACGGTTGATAATAAGATCAGCACACTTTGGAGAGCATAACGTACCGGATTCGACGCGGCCCTTCTCCTCTTGCTTCCAAACATGTCGAGACTTCGGCGCACAGCCGTACTACCTCTGCCAACCAAGGGCGAATGAGGACTCTATCGCATCTGCAACAGACGAAAAAAAAAGATGTTGAAGGAACTGAGAGCTGAGTCTTTCAGAGCTTTCGTTGATATGACGATGGGCGCAGCTTCGATTCAGGACGTAACTGGCGTGGTAGGCGAGGCTTGCGTGCTGGGGTTTGACTGGTTGGATGGGGATGGAAGAGGACGACGGTCTGAGTGGGTGCCCGTAGTCTTAGATGCAGCACCGGATCGTCGGCGAGGATCAGAGGGACGAGGGACGAGGATGCTGCTGGTGGATGGAGAACAGCAATCGCATGGGCGGGAAGGAGAAAGCGATGGGAATTGCAATGGAGGTGAAGCTATTGATGATTCACGGTGAGGGACGTCGTCGAATCTACTACTCGGCTTTGGACAGACTTTAATAAATTGAATCATCATGGCACATGGCGGAAAGTCAGTCGATGGTGGTTTTTCTGGTTCACTAGTGAAGTTTGGCAGACGATTCTTGTTTGAAGTTCAACCCATCGGCCACACATCGTCGACTGTTCTGCACTGTTTTGGGGGTCCATCAACAACCAACGCAAAAGGTCGAGGCCCAGCAGAGCTTAGTGAAGTGCCCGTCAGCCAGACAGGGGCGCAGAATGTTGATTAGTGGGCATAGCAAATGGGTAGTGAAGGGAAGTCCCTGGAGGCCGGATGCGCTGTTTGCGTGCTTCTGCACTTCTTCCTGGTCGAAGCCTGTTTTGCCCAGCACATCCTGTCTGCTTCCATCTGCAGCGCAATCTCGCATACGAGAGGCGGTGCTGTTTGCATGTGGGGAGACTTTTCAGGGTCAAGCCACCAAACATTCGACAACCGACCATGACGTAGACATTTTCAGAAGAGAAACATGAAGAGCTGAAATGCGGATACATACTTGACCTATTCGATTATATTTCAACTATAGGTTTCGTATCTATGCTATGTGTGCTCAATGTGAGCAATTGTACCTCCATCGATCAATTCGGGAGACAATTCTCCTAAAGAAAATATTTTCTCTTCAATTCCGAGTATCTCACGTGCCAACTCCACTTGCGCTAGAAGATCGCTAGTGCAATTGCCGGCTTCACTGAACTCTGCCGAACAAGACAAACTCAAACATCAACTCAAGCTTCCGAGGTCTCACCCCAATTACATAACAGCTTTACCTTGAAGTCAAATGATTGCTTTGGACAATTGATATACCATTGCCCGCTAAGCCAAGAACCGACAATACAGAGCAATATCATTGTGCCTTTCGTTTGTCATTTGCAGTGCGAGATGAGCGTCAAACTACTTGATGAATAAGTGATTATCAATTAAAGGAGACATGCGATTGGGAATATAATCCTTACAAGCCCCTATCAATTGGAGTAAGCTTAAACGAAGTGTCTGTACGAAATTTATGTCAATGTTGAAGCAAAACTGGGCGACTCGTAAGGTGGCTTGAAAATGACGGTTCTCCGTCGGGGTAAGAAGGAGCACTTTTTACTCCGACGGAGAGGACGGGTTCGTCACTTGCTCATTCTATAAACATATAAATCAACACTGAACGTCCCCACAAAAACCAGTTATTAACACACCTTTCTCAATCAAATAATAAACCTCGTTCACAAATCAAAACAAATAATAATATAATTATAGTCCTCAGTACGCATCAAATGGCAGAATCATATCCAGCTCTCCCTCTCCCCTCAGAAATCACCGAATCCTACCTCCCAACCCACGACTTAACCTACCACGTCCTAACAGCAGGCCAACGCAATAAACCCCTCGTCCTCTGCCTCCATGGCTTCCCGGAGCTGGCCTACTCATGGCGCAAGGTGATGCCAGCCATTGCAGCTGAAGGCTACTACGTCGTAGCATATGATCAACGAGGCTACGGACGAACAACGGGATGGGATACTCGCGACTTCTCTTCTGTGGACCTGAACACTTTCACGTTTACTCGGCTGGTCACAGATGCTGTGATATTGATTAATGCGCTGGGCTATAAGGAAGTCGCATGTGTTCTTGGTCATGATTTTGGAGCGGTGCCAGCTGCAATAGGTGCTATCACGAGACCAGATATTTTCAAATCGTGCGCTTTGCCCTGCAACTTAATTGTATTCTGCTGACATGACGCAGCGTGGTATTATTGACGCATCCTTTCAGTGGCATTCCGTCTTTGCCTTTCGATACGGTGGGAAAACCAACACCTGAGCCCAAGAAGGGCAATTTCCACCAAGCTTTGGCCGAGCTACCGGAACCTCGAAAGGCCTATAAAATTTACTACTCGACGGCCCCTGCTGCTGCTGATATGGACAACCCCAAAGAAGATCTTCACGACTTTCTTCGAGGGTATTTTCATCTGAAGAGTGCAGACTGGAAAGGCAACGACCCAAAGCCACTGAAGGCGTGGGAAGCAACTGAGCTTGCAAAGCTACCATACTATTATGTTATGCCTCTCAAAGCAGGCATGCGCGAGTCTGTCAAGATCTCCATGGCAGACGAAGATCCAGCATCAGTCTCGAAGTTAAGTGCAAGATGGCTGGATGATGACGATCTTGCTGTCTATGTTCAAGAACATGGCAGGACTGGGTTCCAAGGTAGTCTGAATTGGTATAGGGTATCGACCAACCCAGCGATTATGAAAGAACTGGAATTATACGCGGGGAGAACGATCGCAGTCCCTTTGCTTTTCATTTCTGGCAAGAAAGATTGGGGTACATATCAAGAACCAGGTGCCGTCGAGAAGATGAGTGAAGTCTGCCCTCAATTCAAAGGCGTAGAGTTGATCGATGGTGCGGGCCACTGGGTGCAACAAGAACAGCCAGAGAAGGTCGTCGAACTTGTATCAAAATTCCTCAAGACCGTCAAAGTCGACTCAATCTCACATTGAGCCGTACCAGCTACCTTCCAGAATCCCACCCAACCAGCTTAGATCTACGTCACTCGGACTTTGGGGAATTCAATGGCTTATGAACAGAGACGTCCGTGAATCAAGCATTTCGGTGTATCAAACTCGTCTAACAAATTCTTCGAGGGCGTTCGTGTCACATCGCATTAAGGTTATTTGCATCAGAGTTGGCGATCCTCGCGCAGGAGTCTGTGCATGACACTCCGGCAAAATCCCACTCCCAACCAATCACCCGCCCTGCACCCCCAGCAACCTCAGCAAATGCTCCGAGCTGTCAGATTTTCTCCCCCAGCGCCTTGTCGGCAGCCTCCCGTCCCGCCCATCTGAAGTATCAGATGGCATTTCTGCTGCATCAGATTAGATGCCAGACCAGTGACCGGCGGTCGTTCGGTTGTTACAAACGTTCTTCCGTGGTGCGCCAGCAAGTTAAGCATCGTGGCACGGCTTCATGCGGTGTCTATATCGCAGCTATAGTACCATAGTATCAGATCATCACGTGGTATATTAGGTCTGGGGTACATCTCCTGCCGTCTCCCTCCCTTCTCCCTCCCTTCTCCCTTCCTTTCTTCTCCTCAACTCATTCTTGAATCGCCAAGCCTGCCCTTCACTCCCTCTAATTTATTTTAATTTACACTTCTGCTTCTGGAAAGTAGATTCCATTCTTTACATACTATTACCACTTACTACCTTCACTTAATCAAACTCAACCAATACACTCTCTCTTCAACCACCACCATGTCATCCAACCAACTCCTCATCGAGCTCCTCGAGCTCTCCTCCGGCATCAACTCCTTCAACTCCCTCCAACTCCTCAACATCCAACAAGAAAACTCCCTCTTCGCATTCGCCCCCCAACTCCTCTCCTTCACCCAATCCTGCGGCAACTCCCTCAACGAGCTCGAGCAGCTCGTCTCCTCCCCGGTGAACTCCCTGCTCCTCAACCTTGGCAACTCCGGCTCCAACGCTTGTCTCGAGGAGCTTTTGCAACTCGAGCAACTCTTCCTGTCCGGGAATTCGAACATCGACGGAGAGGATCTCAACAATGGAGAAGACCTGAATAACGGCCAGGATCTGAGCAACAGCACCGATATCAGTAACAGCACTTCGAGCGCGTCGTCTTCCAGCGCGGATCTAAGCAACTCCACCGCCTCTGCATCAAACGCCTCCGCGAACGCGGCGCCCGTCGCTGTCGCGCAGCAGGGAGCAAACGCTAAGGATGGGCAGGATGCCAAGGGTAAGAAGGACGGCAAGCGCTCTGAGATCGTGCAGCGATCGGGGGCTAGTAAGAGGCAGGTGCTTGGTGGGTTTGGGTTCGCTGCTTTGTTGATGGCGGGCGCTTTTGCTTTGTAGGGTAGAGAGGCGAGGAGGTATTCAGCTGTGCTGGGTTGTGAGGGGGAAGGGGGACGGGGAGAGGAGTTTATGGTGGTAAAATTGGCTTTTTGAGTGGAGGGTAAACTAGCTTGTGCTTTGATTTGTGTTTGGATTTTTTCCTAGGTCGTCGTCGCTATTATACACAGGAATAAATTTTAAATTTTAAGCTGCACTATGTGAACGTGTCACGCTATCTGTTCCAATTTTTTACTGCACATTACTGCTTCTTATGGACTTGAGTTCAGCTCATAGCTTGATTTATCTCTATGGAAATGTGTTTGTTGTATGGCATAGAGCAAAAGTCGTCATGTGTCCTCAAGGGCAAGGAAAGGGGCTCGCTCAGGTAGCCGCTCTCCCGGGTGATGCCTGATTATTTGACTTTCAACTTGAAGATCACTTGAATCTAAGGTAGTGTATCTTGATGATCAAACGGATCGTTGGATTTTCTTCTAAGTCGCAAGTCAAGGCGCAAACGGCACAACGAGGCAAGGTTGAGTTTTTGCAAATTGTCAAGCTTTCGTCATGGTTCTGGCTCTGTATGTACTGTTCTTTAATTTTCTCCCTTGCTTCTTGTCAGACGACTGAGTAGCACAGGAGGAGAAATTCAATTTCGTATCCTGAAGTGACCGCTTTCTTCGCGATCGCCCCCCTTTTTGCTGCTCTCGCTTGAAAAGGAGACGAAGCGAGAACGCGTGTAGCCGGCGATTCGAGCCTCCGATAAACTCGGACATAAGCACAACACAGCAACCTAAAGTCCAGATCCGAAACAAATACTCTACATGATAGACATATATATTGATATGATAATCTCCGCCGAGCAGCATCGATAGTCCAGATCACTAATACAACAAGTCCTCATCAGCCAAAAATGACCCCACTCCCAGAAACCCACCGTGCCCTAGTCCTCACCTCAACAAGCCAACCTCCAGAGGTAAAGATAATACCCACACCGCAACCCACACCCGGAAGCGCCGTAGTCCGCATCGAAGCAGCAAACATAATCTCCTATTCAAAACACATCTACAACGGCACGCGACCGTACCCATTTTCGCTCCCGCTCGTCATCGGGACCTCAGCAATCGGCCGAATTGCAGCTCTTGGCCCCGACTCTGTCTCGCTCAAAGAAGGACAGTTGGTATTCATAGATTCATTCGTGCGAGCAAGAGATGATGAGGATGCGGCGTTCTTGTTTGGTGTACATGAGGGCCACACGGAAGCGGCGCGGAGGTTGATGAGGGGTGAGTGGAGGGATTGTACGTATGCGGAATACGCGAAGGTGCCGCTGGAGAATTGCTATGTGCTTGATGTGGAGAAGTTGGGGGTTGGTGTTGAGGAGTTGCAGGATATTTCTAGGCGAGTGTGTCCGAATTTGAATGTTGGATCAGAGATTAACTTCTCCCAGGCTTCTCGTCCCATACGGAGGACTTCGAGATATCGATCTCAAAACCGGAGAGAGCATAATTATCGCTCCTGCAACGGGTACATTCGGCTCCGCAGCAACCAAACTTGCGCTTGCAATGGGAGCTCGAGTCATAGGCGTAGGTCGAAACCTTGAAGCGCTGAAAGAGCTCCAAACAAGCTACGCCAACGATCGGTTCGAGATCGCTCAAATTACAGGTGACGTACCAACTGATCTCAAAACTCTGCAAACGTTCGGAACAATCGATGCGTATCTCGACATTTCCCCACCTGAAGCGGCGAACTCTACTCATTTCAAGACATGCATGCTTGCTCTCAGAAAGGGCGGGAGAGTGAGTCTGATGGGTGGGTTAAAGGGGGAGTTGACAATTCCTGTGAAGGTGGTCGTTAGTAAGGATTTGAGGATTAGAGGGAAGTGGATGTATGAGAGGCAGGATGTTAGGGATTTGATTAAGATGATTGAGGTTGGAGTTTTGAAGTTGGGTGGGCAAACTGTTGAGAAGTTTGGGTTGGATGAGTGGGAGGCGGGGTTTGATAAGGCGGTTGAGTTTGGGGGGAGTGGAGGGAAGGGATCTGCGATCATTGTGCCTTGATGGAGTGAAAGACGTTTCAATCTCGTTTGACTTAAAGCCAAAGATTATGTACAAGAATTGCGGTCTCGTCACTTGCCTAGTAATTCGTCGTTACTGGGTCAGATATAAGCCAATCTAATCATAGACAGATAATTCTGTAGACTATATTCGCTCGACATCTCTATCTCCGTCTTGTAATTCAAGCCGCCCTTGTGAGATGCATTCTTCTTCGGCTTCCGCTGGGAAGTCTGACAGGCTGCTCGGCTCGCCTGGCTTAGCTTCTCCTTGGCTCCAAGTTCTGATTCTGGGAACCGGCTCTTCAAAATGGACATTCCGTAACAAAGTCATTTAAATCATACTGGAAAGCCATTCGATGTCATTACACCAGTTCCTCTCCTAAACCTCTGTCTCTACCACAATCACTATTCGCCACAGCTTTCTCTTTCTTTTTCCTTTCTCCGCCATCAATCCCATTTCTTCTATCTTCATCATCCTCCGGTGTCCCATCCTTGCAAGCCCAAGAGTCGACGAACCTCAATGTCTCCCTTCCCCAAAACCTATTCATGAGCAGCAACCTAACTGGAACCATTGCTATAATGATGATCGGAAACGCTGGGGCTGCCACTGTCAGCGTGACGTAGAAAATGATTCCAGTCATCACGATCTGCACAATTGTATACGCATGTATACCCCGATAATTCTTGACCCCTTTCGGAAGAGGAGGAAGCTCGGACGCAGGAGTGAGCATGTAGAAGAAGCGGTACAGAATCGGGTTGACGGCTAGTGATTGCTCGCCCATGAAGAGAAAGAGGCCGGCAAGTACAGAGGTCGGTGTCAATCCAAGAACATGTTGGAACGGTGGAGAGATGAAAATCAATATTCCTGCTGCTTGAAGGAAAGGTGACCATCGTTGTTCGTAGACTTGTTGCTTTTCTCTGATCACAATTCTTCTGCTCTCTGTCTTTTCATCTATTTCAATCGATTCGGTTTTGACTGTATGCATCAGGGACTCGGAGTGCAATGGTGCTTGAGGCAAAAGCCCATTTGCCGGCGGGATACCAAGGATGCCACAAATCGCCGTTGTAGTTCCAAGCAAGAAGATATCCCAGGCAAAGCCTCCAGGCTTCTTAGTTCCGTAGCGCTCAAGCGTACAGATGATGCTACTGATCTCATGATCGAAATAGAATAGGATGGTAATGATGGCTCCTGGAATAATGGAGATGAAGATCCACTCGATGGGCAACTTCCAGAACTGCACGAAGAAAACTGTTCTGCTTGGGTCGGACGGACGAAATGAAGTCTGAACCACCAGTGTCTGCTTGTCTAACGTGGCAAGCTCTCCAATGTTCGGCATTCCAATCCAAAGAATGATGGAGATCGCTGCGGCATACTCTGAGAGACCCATGCGTACATACCGATGAAAGAGTGGTTGCCAGGAGTTCGCAGTCGATAGAACGACTGCAACGAGAAAGGTTCCTACTGCTCCAATGACGGAATATAGAAATGAGGCAAATGATACAGCCTCATGATTTCTTTGCAACTCCTGGACAGCTTTGTGAAAATAGATGACACTGTTCAAAAGCGAGAAAATATCTGCGCTGAATGTAGTGACATACTGCATGGTCCAGTCATGAGCATTGAATATAGCGAGAAGATAATGCATCCAGGCAGAATGGATGAGAGACCATGCCATAAAATGAAGGAAATCTACCTGTTCATTTGTGAGCTGTCTTGTTCTGGAAGAAGTTCAATGTACTTACATGGAAAGAATTTATACATAACGAATAGATGTTCTCGGCTAGTACAGAGAAAGGTCCAGTAACACCAAGAATGGTCAGAGGTTGAATAGAGAATCTGACTTGACTTAGATGAGACCTTTGGATACAAGTAAGAAACTCACAATGAAAAGATAATACCGCATAAACCAGTACTGAAAACAACCTCGATCGTTCCCCAAGTCATGCCAGTCAAGACATAGAGATCACTAGCAAAAGTGATTCCAGGTAAGATATTGGTAAAGAAGACATAGACCGCGCTTGCGAATATCAACTGATTGAATAATGTCCAGTCAGATATATATCTCTTTCTGACATTCCCAATGTCTTGGCGGAGAAGTCTGAAAGGTCGTAATTTGCCGTCCGGGCCAAAGTAGCTCTTCCATCTTTTTCGTTTTGATCCTTTGGTGCGAGGTTGCATTGACGAGTACGTTGCATCTGTTTGCTCCCGGATTTCTTTCTCAATTGAGGTATCATTTTGCTGGTGGTTCTCGATATCGGTACCCGATTCGGTGATGTCTTTTTCTGAGGGAAGTGCTTTCTCAGGTAGCCTAGACCTGGACGAACTCTCTGAGTGTTGTACTGCAGTTGAGGCAGAGCTGAGATCCGGTGAGAAATTTCTCAACGGAAGAGAGAGCCGGTCCTTTGCCATATTGGAACTGGTTGTTGGTCTTCCACCTCAATCAAGCTTCACTATAGCAGCAGCATTATATAACCTCGTTTAGTTGTGGCCAATACTGCTAAAGGCAGAGAATTCTTGCAAGAAGCCTCGATGACGAGTCACTCTCGGCGCCACGCTATGGGGGGAAGGCATCAATTCTGCCAATTCCTTAGTCAAAATCCGAGGGAAGTGGAATACGGTTCGAGTGGCGACGACGGACACCAACAAGTTCGGATGACTGATGAGATTGACAGATGAGATTGACAGATGAGAGTGACAGGTGAAAAAGACGGTATGATACAAATAGAAATATATACACTACGAAACAGATACATTACACATTAAGCCTTCGAACTTGGTGATCAAAATACCAAAAAATTCTCTTCACGACAAGGGTGGCGGCAGGCTGCGTCATGGCTCGAAATCCGCGAGCTGATTGGACACCGACATTGACATCAGCAAACCTTAAAAATTTATATCTTCAGCCTCGCCATTCGACAAACGTACCACGACACGTCCTCAATTAATCTACAAACCATACAATGGACCCTCGGTAGTACCACCCTCCAGCCACAAAGATGGCACAATTCATCCCGCGAGCAGCATTTCCTGCCCAGCTCTCGCTGCCGCGCTCCTATTTCCTCGGCCACCATGCCTCGGGCCTCTCGAAAATGAAGACCATGCTCTCATCAATCGACCTCATCATCGAATGTCGAGACTACAGAGTCCCGCTCACATCTCGGAATCCGCTCTTCGAAGAGTCGCTGGCTGGTCGAGAGCGCGTCGTCGTGTATACGAAGAGAGATTTGGGTAGTAAGGACCAGCCAGCGGATAAACAGGTTCGTGCTACTCTGCAACATAGCGAGAATTGCTTTCTAACCGGCTGCTGCTTTGTAGAGAGAAGACATGATCAAACAATGGCATGCACCATCCACGACCCTTTTCACGAACCATAAATCGAAACGCGACGTGAGAACCGTCCTCGATCTCTGCAAGCAGCACAACGAAGCACGACAATCCTTACTCGGCTCGCGAATTCTCGTCGTTGGTATGCCGAACGTGGGTAAATCGTCCCTCTTGAACGCGCTGCGGATGGTAGGTGTACATAAAGCCAAGGCGGCGTTCACAGGTGCCCAGCCAGGGGTGACGAGAAAGATTGCCAGCGGAGTCAAGATTGTAGAGAGGGACGAAGCAAAGGGACTAGAAGGCGTATACTTGGTTGATACGCCTGGTGTATTTGTGCCATTTGTGCCGGATGCAGAGGCGATGATGAAACTGGCTCTAGTGGGGAGTGTGAAGGATACGATTATTGCCCCGGTCACGCTTTGTGATTATCTATTGTATCACATCAATAAACAGCTAGGTGGGGAGGTGTGGTATAAGGAGTACTGCCGCCCTACGAATGATGTCGTGGAGTTGTTGGAGGGGGTATGTAGGAAGACAGGACGATTAGGAAAAGGCGGCGTTCCGGACACGGATGCTGCTGCGCTCTGGATCATACAGAGATGGAGGCAGGGAAATCTAGGTCATTTCATCTTGGATGAGGTTTCACAAGATGCTTTGGAGATGAAGATGAGAGAGGAAATTGGATTAAGTCTCAGCCAGGCAAGGAAACAAGCCAAGGACGTGCAGAGAGCGAGGACGAAGGCTAGACTGTCTGACGCTGCCCGCTGAGCTTCCAAGCCTAGCGGAACACTCTATTTGCGCCTGTTATCATAGGAGGAGATTTAAGCCGCGTACGTATCGGTAGCGCCACGCAAAGTTTGGAAAGAGAGGTCCTTGTCGAAGACAAGGGAACGACTAGCCTCTGTTCAAGAGAGACCACCCCTATATCCCGGGCCTTGGTTCAGTTGTCTTCTGAACTACAGGAAAACACCACTCAATACCGGCACAACATGAGCGCTTCTCCGTCCTTAGTAGATCAACACGACGAATCAGGAGACGGGGTGCCCACGTTCATGCTGAGATATGAATGCATTGTCGTATAGCACTAACCGCAACGACTCCTGCAACGACTCATACTTATCTAGACACTTGGGCACGTGTTGTGTTGGCTACTTGTCTTTTATATCTGGTCTGATGGGAAGAGAAGGAGAAGCTACTTTGGAAAAAGTTGTAACATTGTATTTTGCTTTTATATACCCAAAGCTCACATGCTTCGTCTGATATTTTGGATTCCTCCGTCTCCCACCTAGTATACGAAGGAGAATATGTAAGGTCCTGTTGTCCCGCTATGCAATTTTCCGCTTCTCAAATCTAAAATCCTGCTTTTATTTTTGTGTCATTTGCGTCGTGTTATCATTTACTTCGTAGTCTTCGTGTCTCAGCGCCCCAACCGCTGGTAGTCTTTCGTCCTCTTTCGTCCTCTTATAATCCTCGTATCGGGCCTCAGATGATCGAGGTTCTTGAGGATCGTAATATCTTGCTCCGTGGGCATGGACTTTGTTTTTGCCACTTTTGCTTGTGGTTGTTGTCATGTAGTGACTCGCTGGAATTTACGTTAGACATCTACGCGCATGTTTCAATGGGAGCAACTCTTTTGAGATTCTTACCATTGTCTGGCACTCGACGTTTTTCTACTCTTTCTTCCCTGTATGCCCCGTTTGCCGTGCTGCTGCGAGACGTGGTCTTGTATACATCTGTGTCTCGTGCAGTGGCTCGTGAACTTGCTGTAGAGTAAGAGTCTCCACTTGATTTGGAGTATATAGATGCGATTGAGGAACCACGAGAGTGGATGATTGGCTTCAGGGGTCGATAGCTTCTATCAATGGGTCGTTTTCCTTTTGCGGGTAAACCTGTCTGCAAAGTTTTCGAAGACTCAGATGAACTGATGCTTGTTAAGTCACTGAACCTCGAGGGAGATCTCGCGTGCCTGTTGCTGGAAGTTGTGCTCAGACTGCTACTGCTCCCAGAGGAGAGATCTGATCTTGGAAGTAATGATTCAATAGACGTTGACCCAGTTGTCCGCTCAGCCTTCAGCAGAGTTTTCGCGCTCCAGGGTTCGGTTTTGTTACCAAGGTGCTGCTGTGTATGAGACTTCAATGGACTATCCGTCAACACATCATCTTGATCTTCCTCTTCGTCTTTCCCAAGGGAGGTGAGCAACATTTTGTTCTTGGTTCCTGATTTACTTCCCTCTCCCAGCATTCCTGGATCGCTAGGCAATTCAGTTACCCTGCCCTGGTCATCGAGTCCATCTGGACCAGTATCCTGCGAGCTTGCGGACGATTGATTCTTTGCTCGTTGTTGGCCCTTTCGTTGTCTGCTCTCCTTTGCCAAATCGTAAAGCTGTTGCAAACTCCTCTCCCGTTTGTAAGACATTGTCTTCGTTTCGTATCCGAGAGGAACTAGCTCAGTACATGGCGGGCGTTCGTTATACTTAATTGCGTGTTGATAAACTTCGATACTGAGTAGACCATTTGTCCACAAATGGTCTATGAGCCAGTAGTCTGGTCGCATGTATTCGATTGAAAGTCCTCTCTCCAGATGAGTTGAGATGTGGTGCATTCTGTTTGCCCAACTAGAGAGGAGATCACCATGCGCGTCGAAGATGCCCTCTTGCTCGTCACAAAACCAGCAAACAGCTTTGCTTGGAAGTTTACCCAAGAAATGCGATAGACTGTGAGCAAACCAATTTGCATACCTACTTGGCGGGAATCGAACATCACAACCATCGAACGCAAATTCGCATGGTAAACTCCACAATTTATCGTCTAGGCCCTCAGCCAAGATCCCTACAGCATCACTGTCGACTGCTATCTGAATATGCCAGGGCACAACAGTGTGAGAATCGACCGTGGATGCAAGGCTACTGCGTCGACTAATAGCGGATCGAGTATACGACGACAGGGTGCTCTTGGAGGAGCCACTGCTGACAGTCCAGGCTCTATAAGGGACAATCCGGTTTTCGTTCCTTAAGATTAGAGCAGACGAGTTGTCGGATATGGCGAGACTACCCGAAAGTGAAGAATAACCTAAGGTATCTGGCTGTTCCCGGTTCAGAACAAAGTCAATGACCTGCTCAGTCAAGGCGTCATGAGTGGCTGCAGGACAGGTAGCTTTGGATAGTGGCAGATGTGCCAAGCAAATCTGGGCCTTATTTTCGATTGAATCTGGGAGACTCTCATCCTCACTGACCGACTTGGAACGCACGGGTTGCTGAATTGTGCCCGGTATGCTGATTTTGTTGTTTGCCAAGGAAGTACGGGGTGGTGCTGGGTTCTTCGGTCCCCCAATGATAACATGCATTGGTCGTCGTCCGATACCCAGCATCAATCGTTCGTGTTGTTCGTCATTTTCAAGATATCGATTGATGTTATAGGCGTTATTGCTGAATGTTGCAGCCGCGTTTCGATATCTGGACTGAGCAGGATAAAGGCTCGCGCCACCATGGCCGGTATTATTGGCGATGTGCGAATTGGCATTGTAAAATCCTACAGGAGGCTGACTGCGTCCGCTCATGCTTGGACAGTTAAGAAGTTGATCGTCTCCGTCAGAGTCACTCTCGTCGTCGTCGTCATCGTCATCATCTTCCTCATCGTTACTATCCTCTCCACTTGGATCATTATCATCGTCAGTACCATCGCTACCATCAATCGAGGATTCACTGGCTTCCTGTTCTGCTGGCTTTCGAAATGGCACCCTCCAGTTTTTTATGTCAGCTCCGTTCTTGTAATGCTCGGTGCTAATATGGGTTGCCCTGAATTCCCAATCATCAAATTCGATCCCACAGAAGCCACATTCTCGCAACCAGTCGTTATCGAATCCAGTATCATAAACCCAATCGAATGAATCTTCTTCTGCATCCATCTCATGCTGCTTTCGCAGGTGCTCGCGTAGGTGGTCTATTCTACAATAAGAAATCGTTTGCTCTCTGGCATCACTGCATCGGAGAGTGTGTTCTTTGACGGCCTCGAGACTTGGGATAGATGCCAGACAAAAGCCGCAAGCATAACCCCCTAAGGGGTGATTGTGTCCAGCACTACACGTTTTGCACATGTAGCGCTGTTTGTGTTTGGACTCCTCATGCCTCTTCCAGTCATACTTAGAATTGAATGACCCTAGACATAATTCGAAAGTACAATGATGACTGATGTACCTCCTCTTCTTTCTGGACGGTCGTCTTGTCGAGGCCTCGGCCTTGTCATGCCTATCCTCAGGCACATGAGACAATAGCATAGTATGGCGTTCGATCAGAGGTTCAGCTGTTGGCAGCAAGAGTGGCTCGTCCAATTCCATGTTACTTTCTGGCTCCTGGTAGCTGAACACGTGATTTGGTGGTGCCGGGAGAATGAACCCAAGATTGCCTGTATCCCTTTCAAAAGCTATGGTCGTGCATATGCCACAGTCGCACTTCAAGCCAAGCGACTCCCAAGCATCGCGTTGGCACTTCTCGCCTGGATCGATAAGATCTTCTGAAAGATGAGCTTTGATCACGTGAATTAACCCATTCTCGAGTCACGTACCGATATCGTGCAACATCTGGTTCTCAAGGACAACATTGCGCTCAAGCTCGGGAGCCTCCTGATGGTCACTCATCTGGGTATGCTCCTGAAAAGTCCACATCCCGTCCTCGTGCACTGCCGGTAGGTGAAGATCAATAATATCGACATTTTGGTCATATTCAGGTGCTTCCTGGTACTCGCGGTTCTCGACTTGTTCTCGGAACGTCCACCCATCATTCGAAAAGAGCCCTTTTGCACCGACGTCGACATTCCGCCCAGACCCGGGGCCTTGATCCGCTCCATCGTATGCTATATCCCCGATTGAAATGTTGTTCGGAAACGTTGAATTAAGATTATGTCCAGGGCTCAACACCAGATTATCGAGGTCGTTAAGGTCGTACTCGGGCACAGGTGCGGGTGCAGGGTCAGCCGAGGCCTCGCTGACCATGCCCATAGCGCTGGGATAAACCATCGAGGCACGACGTCAATTGCGCCCCAAGGCCAGAGAAAGAAGCTTTCGGACGAGGTGGAGAAGCACAAACGGAAACAAAAAGGAGTAGGCATTTTGAAGATTTGCGGCTCGCAATTTCGCCGCATCGTGAAGAGGGCGGACGTCTCTGCCCTGAGAAGAGATTCGGGGCATTGAAGATATTCTGCTCGAGAAACGAGGGCGGCCAATCAACCCCTTCCCTTCTTGTCACTCAGTACTTACCACGTGACGGAGCTCTTCTACAATGCTCCTTATGGTTGTCTGGGTAGACAAAAGGGCTTCTGCGACCTTACACGTCATCACATGTGTGGTGTTTCGTTAGGTGTTGCAATATATGCTCTAAATTTGTTGGGAATTGTACAGTTGCGCTTCAGGTTCCTAAACTCCATATAAAAGACTACCTTGGTATCATTGACTCTCAAGCTCAGCTACTGCCCTCTCTTCTCATCCTCATCGAACCAGCTCCACACCGGGTCATTCGCTGGAGTCCAGTCTGGCCCCTTTCCATAGTATGCCCTGACCGTGTCGAGGTCTGGACTTCCTTCTGGACAATATCGCTTCCTTGGAAGCTGACTATCCTGCGCGTCCTCGAACGTGGGATTCCCATATCGGTAGCAACCTGAATGATCAACTGTCCATGCTCTCAATTGATCAAAGCTTCGGCACTGTCGAACTTGCCCCACCGCTGTACTCTTCTCTCTGCTGGGCGTGGTTACTCGGAGTGTGTCATCCGCAGCGCATTCAGTGTCTGCGCGAAGTTGGTCTAAACAGTGGACGAGGTGATGCTGGTCGAATGTTTGGGGTAGTCCCTCTCGGTACTCCATCATTGAGCGGTAGATGTTTTTCTGTGCAGTCTGTTAGGCAAGAACATTTCAAGCGTGCTGGCACTGGTTGACTTACAATGCAATGCAAACTGTGGAAAGCGTTGACGAAGTAAATCGTCTTGCTCTTGTCCCATGGGAAGTCGGCGCCCATATCTAAACCTTTCTGCGCAGCCCATTCTTTTGGTACTGCGACGATGCCACTGTCATGATTTATAGCATCCCACATGTGATCTCTCTCGGAAATGTTTAAGCTTGTGTATGCACTGCTTTGCAGCCATTTCACACTTATTTCGTTGTCCTTGAGGTTGGCTAATTCATATCGGTGAGCTGCAGTTCGTATCTTGAACATAAATATTGCTTACCATACTCAGAGCGACACTCAGTAGGCTTGCTCTCATGCTCTAGTGGGGCAGGGACATTGGCGATTGCTTGGAAAAGATTGAGACTTGTAGAAATGATGAGACATATGCTCAGCAAGATGCTGAGTGACCATCTTCGAGGAGCTTTTGGCTGTCGAGTGAAACTATAATTACTTTCCTCTTCCTCAGTGAGGAGAGGCTCGAATTGGTACTCCTTTGACATTTTGAAGGTACAGTATGTTTGGGAGATGCGAGATGGTGAGAAGCAGAATTATTGGGAATGGGATTTTCTTGAGAAAAGAAGACAAACCAGCAAGGGACCTGGAGAGTGGATCACATAGCCGCCAAATATTTACGGTAATAATCCCAATCCCACCCTGATGGCAAAATAAGATCAGAATCCGCGAGGCATTTTTGATAACCAAAACTACCGGTCGACTAATGCAGGCTACTGCGACGGCGATGATTATTTCTCCCCAAGCCTCACTCAGCTGGGCCGGCGCTAGACCCGAAACCGAGGTTCCCGACGGGGGTTGCAGATCCATCTGATCTGCATCCTTCAAAAACCCATGGTATCTATCCACCTTCCCCATCCAAAAACAGTCTCCGCCAGCTTTTAACAGGGAATAAGGACTCCATGTCAAGTATTGTCGCCAATTATAGACGAATCTTGGCATCAAACGTGGACCAGCTGAAGGTCAGTGGGGGATCAAGTGGACTCGCTCGGTCAAGACATCTCTTGGACAGCCATCGTCGTATCGGGACGATATGCCGCCTATAGATGCCGTTGTATCGTTCCTGAACTAACATCTGAACGCGAATGATAGATTATAAAGCAGCAGCACGCTTTTTTCTTACATCTTGACAAACGACCATCTCCTAAGTGCCCGCTTGACAACCGCTCATCAATTCACACACCATTCACTACCTTCCATTTCAAACCTTCCACACAAACAATCCAAACTCAATATCATTCTCAAGATGTTCTTCTCCAAGTCTATCGTCGTCGTTCTTGCGTCGCTATTTGCTGTCAGCACAGCAGTTCCTTTGACAAGTACTTCCCCTCCTACGAAGTATCAATCTACTTTACGTTTACTAACTCATATCAGTTCGAGCTGAAGCCGAAACATCTGCAGACCTCCAAACCACCGACACAGCATCGACAGAAACACTAGAAGATGTGGCATTCTTCGCGTAAGGCAAGGTATGTTGAATCGCACATAGTTTACTTGGACTATACACTAACTCTAATAACAGGATATTTTAGTTGGAGCTGCGAAGGGGCATTCTTTTCATCGTCTGGAGGACTTTTGAGATATCACATTATGGGATCTGATTTTCATTGAAGCGAATACACACATTGTAGAACTATCTCACAGAAGAGAAGTTCATAGTATTATTTCCATTGCTCCGTTCACGAACGGGAGGCAAATTTCTCGGCGATTAAAATATGAAGCGTAGACATATGCATGGCATCACATCGTCTCCTGTGTATCTCATACTGAACAATTAAGTGACTATTGGTCACTACTTCGAATCTGCAATGTCCTAGTTTGAAACCCGGTTCGGGTATCCTTTCCAATATCTTAATAATTATGATAAATGGAAAGGCAGTCTTACGATAGCTAGGTACCAGATGACGTGAGGTTAGTGCACTTAGGGTTTCCAGGGCCCCCATCGGGAGGCGCTTATGGGCTTTGAAGCATGGTTCAGATTGGCTCCTTTTTACGACTAGAACGATCACCATGCATTGTGGCTTGCGGCAGGTCCCCACCTTGGGGGCGGGGGACCATCCCAGAGGGGTTCATAAAGTTCGGCGAGTTTCAGACCAATGAGAGACTGCCATGCAAGACTTTGAAGCCTGCTCACAAAAGGTGCTCTTACCCGACCAATATACGATATCCGGAGCATACGTCCCGTCTTGCGTCGCAGCGAGTGCACATCGCGCTAAGATCTCACTTAGGAAGTTGCGAAGACCGCAGGTGGTCAATCTTTTCGAATGCGGTTTTGACGGCATGTTTTTAGTACGTCCCAGATTTGATGGTAGTGCTTATCAACTGACTCGAGTGCCGGGGTTGAAATCATCAACTCGAGTCTTGAATTACGCGGCAAAACAGTTTTACAGAATACGGTGACGGGAATTAAGTTGCCCTTGCAGCATTTACAGGCATCGATAGGGCGCAAGTGCTTCTGGATTGAATCTCGCAAACTTTTTTTTCTGCATCTGAAGAGCATGACAATGTCGCCGTCGAAGTACAAAGATTATCAAATACTGGAGGAAGAGGGAAAGGAGGATACAATTCGTCGAACAATCTCTCCGAGATCGCGGCATGCCTTCCTGCTAGCGTTCGCATTCTCTGTTCTCTTGAATGTGATTTGCTTGAGCTATATCGCACTTCACTGGCACGGTGAAACCACAAATTCTCTGTCGAGATTTGGTACACTGATTCCCATCCCATCATCTCAGCACCATAACTGACGGAATTTCAATAGCTCAACTTCCAAAACAAGATGGAATCCATCTCACCAAAACTCCATTCTCCAGCGCGAATGATACAGTTGCAGACGCCGAATGGGAAGCGTTAGACACCACTCCAGGAACGATCACTCTGCCAGATGAATTTGCGCAAAACCATGGAATTCGGACTGGAATGAGGTTCCCTTGGGATGAGAGTCAAGGACTATATGTGATCAAAGGCTTTCATAATCTTCACTGCCTCGTAAGTTTTCGTTCTCCCAATAAATAAAAGCCAGAATTAACAATCTCTCAGAAAGCAATCCGGAGGTCATTCCGAGAGTACCAACAAGACATCCCACAAAGTCAAAACGCAGGACACATACTCCACTGTCTCGACAATCTGAGGCAGAGCACAATGTGCACTGCATCCGATGACCTAATCCCAGTAGTGAGCAATGAGGTCGAAGCTGGGTTGAAGATGCAATGCCGCAGCTGGGAGAAGTTAACAACTTGGGCATTAGATCCGGAGAGACATGCTTGCTACGACTACATCGACGAGTATAGACACGCAAAGCATGAGATCGAGCGATTTGGTTTCTGTCCTGAGAGCTCGAGGTACTACCCAAACATGAAGGAGTACTTTGATAGAGAGGGACATCAAGATCCGTGGACTTGAATGTATTTATATCATGTATTAGCTTATTGATTTTTCTCGTTCTCATACTATATCCAGAATTTGCACCACGACGACCAAAAAACAAATTTGTTCATTGCCTGAAGTCTTGGTCGTCAACAAAGCCGTGCCACCACTCCGCCATTTGTGCAACCGTAACCTTACCCCGCGATTATTGTTAAGCGAGCATCACATAGGAGCCAAAAACAAACTCAAAATAAATTAACACCACGAGGAATATATTAAGGGGTTTAGTTAAGGTTTACGCTGTATCACGAGTATGCGCCTCCATATTCTGGAAGACTCAATACCGTGGTAACAACCCATGACGTGCCAAGCCCAAGTTTGCACCGTTGTCAAACACCCATCGCAGAGTTACACTGCATGCATGTTACCATATCTTTTGATATCAGTTCCTGTCCCCTACAAATCCACTTTGATAAGTACGAAGTAGGTATTTGCGCAGCTCCTCGGACGTACCATACCATACAGTGACGATCTGTCAGAAGCACGGTACGCTATTCCCAGCAATCATGTCCACCGGTTAAAACACCGACCTGACCTCGTGCTAAGAACTTGCTGCTCAGCTTACGCAAGACTACCGTACTTACCATTCAACGCAAATCACCACGTAGGTGGTGAACGAGTTCGCGCCACCATTGGCCCTCGCCGCAGCGCTGCATCCCATCCACCGGTCACCGAAACGAACGAAACGATAAGGAAATATATGCCGAGATAGCCCCCAAAAAAGCGCCGATGCGACTCTGTCTCGAGTCTGTCTGCCAGCTGTGCCGCAATTCCTAAACCATCATGCAGGGTCTCCTAATTAGGAAGACAGAAGAGAAGGGGGGTGGCTGATCAGAATGTGGGGGAGGAGGGCCCGGACGGGAATCCTTCTTCATGGGGCTTTTTCAGGGGTCGATCGGTACTGAAGTGCTGAAGGCGCCAAGATTGACAGCGGTAGTGTGGATACCGTACCGCCACCGCACCGCTCAGGTGCCGGGTTATAGTGCTGACGGGCCAATGAAGGCTGATGGGCGGTGCATGTGGACTTACTTGTTCACGGATGGAGATCCTGCTAAGAATAATTCTGTTCCAATGTTACCTCGCGAGCGAGCTGAGTAGCCTTGTAGGTTGCGTTGAACGAGGCTGGCTTGCAAACTTGTGTGTCTTGCTGTCGAAATACTTCCGCCTCTGAATCTGGTACCTCTAAGTCAGAAGTATACACAATGTTAGGATCAAAACAGCAAGAATACCAGATAGTGGCCGAGAAAGACTCGGACCATGAAAGTATCGCTACAGACGAGATCTCTAATCCTCCTCCTCGAAAGAGTTCTTCGAGTCGAGTGCTGGCCGGTCTGTTAGCACTCTCACTATCGATTCACGTTCTGGCTTTCCTGTCATATTGTTGGTATTGGCCAGCTGCAAGAAGGGACGCTCAACTTTCTACGTATAGTACGAAACCCCAATTTCCTGTTTCGATATTTCGTTTACTTACAATGTCTTGCAGGTAAATTACCCACGACATATGTCACGCTACCAAGAAACTCGGAATTTACAGACGACAATGAGACCGTGGCGGATATGGCATGGGATTCGCTAAATATGGACGCAGCGGCCGTTGCGTTGACAGATGAGTTCGTGCTGAAGCATAATCTACCGCCCGCGGCTCGATTTCCGTGGGATGAGAGTAAGGGATTGTATTATCTCGAGGGGTTTCACAACTTACATTGTCTGGTGAGTTTCCTTTCCTCACCTCCGAAAAATGAGAGAAAAATAGCTAACAGCAAAACAACAGAAACTCATCCGTAGAAGTCTAAGCGATTACCGACAAGACAAGCCTCAAAGCCTTCCAAAGCATCACATTAACCACTGCCTCGAGTCCATGAGACAGTACGTGATGTGCAAAGCGTCGGATCTACCGATAGCAGCGATAGAGGGCAAGACGGATGCGTCGAGAGACGAGCAGCAGCGGCAGTGTCGGAGTTGGGATGCGCTGGTGGAGTGGTCGACGGATCCGGAGCGGGAGGCGTGTTGGGCGATGGTGGATGAGTATAAGACGACGATTCATAATGTGGAGAAGTTTGCGTATTGTAAGGAGGAGTCGAGGTATTATCCGAAGATGAAGGAGTATTTTGAGGAGCATGGGCATAGGGATCCCTTTAGCTAGTTTCTCGACTGAGGAGTACTTGTAAGAATTGATTTTTGTACAGAAGCTGATCAGTACATCAGTGCAATTTGGCTGTGAGACTGTGAGATCTAGATTGAGCCTTCAAAGTCTACAACTGTGCCACTGTTCTAGGCGTCCATCAATGGCTTCAACTTAGACACTTTACGGCACGGGCCGCGAATGTTGTACAGCATAGAGTCTTCAAAGTCCTTCGATGAAATTCTCCTTGACCCGCGTGTCACTTGAACTTTAATTCTGGCTAGAACGTTGGGGCTGCAATCGCTGGAATCAAGAGTACAATTACATCACATGCACTCTTTTCCTTCATAAGTACATATGGTGAGTCAAATAATGAATTCTAGAGCAAATTGGTATTTATGATGTTCAGGTAGCCTATATACGATGCCTTCAAGACGCCCAACTCCGCAGCTGATTTTCACTTCGTAGTATCCTCTACACTCACATCTCTCTGCACCGTGATCGAATTCTGCTGATGCTCTGTCTCTAGGCCTTTGACGTAGACAATATGACTCTCTGTCTCCGAAACATCGCCTCTGAAAGGGGTGACGCTCAATCTACCCTCTTCAGCCTTATGGAACGGGTTCTGCAGACCACCAGACGATTCCGAGGTCTGGGAGCTCTTGGAGCTCTTGGGTGCGTTGCTGCTGTTTGAGGAGTGGAAGGAGACTCTGCTGCGGACGCTGTTGAGGACGCTTTGGATGCCGTCGGCGGTGAATAGGGGCTTGAGGGAGGGGAGATTGCAGGCGATGAGAGCGAGACCTGCTTCGATCATTCCCCAGTAGTAGATTGTTGCGATGGTTTCTACGGATGAGTTAGAGGGTGGTTGAAAGGAGTCGGAATAGAATTTTGCTCACCATCTTCATCCCAGACAGCACTGTAATTGGAGTTGACCACCTCGAGAACAATAACGAGGCGGAAAACGGAGGCAATGACAGCCCTGAATATTATTAGTAGAGGTCTATGAACGCGTGGCACGCAAGAGAACATACATGAAAGCCATTAGGAGGACCCCAGTGATGGCAAGCTTGCGAGTCCATGGCATATGAAGCCTCCAAATGGTAGGCAAAGGCATGACCAACAGGATAATGTTGAGGATGAACTGTAGACTTCGTTAGCACAAGATTTCTCACAACCAATTCTAAGAACAAGACTTACCTCAGAAGTGAACATAGCTTCATCGTACGTGAGACCCTTGGCGCAATAGGTAGCCAAGTCCAAACGAGAACCCCAGAAAGCGCTGATGTGTTTTCCACAGCCAAAAATGAACATAAACTCAAAGCAGACTGTCCAAGCCATGACGACGGCAATCATAGTCCAAGTGAGGACATAGAATAGGTAGAAGAGACGCTTCTCTACAGCAAAGATCTTCTTGTAGAAGAAAATGATGCTGAGCTTGATGAACCCATAAGCAGGAATCATCAACAGATTCAAAGCGAATTGAATCTATTGTCAAATAATCAGTGATTGTACATACAACGAGTAGTTGATTGCATACCTGATTAGCAGTCACAATCTCAGGGTTCGTCTCGGTCAGGTACTCTTCCTCCGTCGTTCCTGTTGGAGGTGGAGTTGGGTAGCCGAAACCATGGTCGTGAACACCGGCGATTAAGCAGGCTCCCATTCCAATAACAAAGAACTATATCAACAACATCAGCGGCAAGATTTGTATAAATTGACGCAATGAACCTACCAAAGGTGGAATAACAAGCCAGTCATCAACACCTATGGCCGTTTTTCTCGAGCTGCGCACATAGAAACGCAATACCACCGCAATGATACTCAAAACCGGTAAGACGACCCCAGCCGCGATAATAGCACTCGGCGACGCATAAGGAACGAAGATGATGGAGTCGGCATACATTTTGTTTGGCGAGGAGGAAAAACTCAGAGGTATCGAAGCGAGAAACACAAGATAAGAAGACGACGTTGATTTCCAGAACAACAAAAGAAGCTTCTGCTGATACTCATAACATGACCTACGATCCGAGAAAATGGGATTCCATTTTCTCTGGCGGATATTATTATTGTGCTTCGGAAGGATCAACGTCCCCCTCCTCTCCTCGGAGAGCACTAACGCCGCTGACTTACCTACTCGTTAGCACAGTTTCCGTGCCGCATGCGGGCTTCTGGGGGCTCCGCTCGACTGCCGCTCACCTGCAGCCACAGCCTGACATGCATAAGCAACGCTCGCAACGATAAGCTTCGAGCGAGGAAAGCGACCCTGAAGCCTGACTGACCCCGCTTCGGTGAGTTGGTGGATCAGCGTTCTAAACATGGTTTCTGGGCTGGTTTAACCGCGCCCCTAAATGTAACCATACCATGATATTCCCGCGTATTTCCTCCATTGGTGCTTGGTGCAAGCGCTTTCGAAACCAGCCTGAGAATACGGTAATTAATAATTAGTTATCTTAGCATCATGCGAATTTCAGGCACAGGCGTTGTTAGGCATCCACTACCGGCATACTATCTCGAAGGGTCCTCGATTTCTTCTTGGACTTCTGACATTGGCTGGGAACTTTTTTTGTGTCGTGATCCTTCGTTCTTACTGAAAGGCACAATCAAGCCACCAGATTTCGCGACTACACAGATTCATTCTCCAGCCACGCATCATGTTTGAGGCTCTACTTTCGTGGTCTGGCTTGGCCTCAACATTCGCACTCGTCCCGTTGTTTTATGTTGCGTCATGGGGGGTGAAAGAGCTCCGGTATCGAGTCGCAGCTGGCAAAGCTGGCTGCGCAACGCCAGCGAAGTACTGGCATAAAGATCCGTTTCTGGGACTTGATCTATTCATCAAGAGAATCACGGATATGCAAGCTGGCGACTCTCTTGCTACCGACAGGATTCTCTTAGATACCTATGGCAAGACAGTCCTCACGAACAACTGGGGAGTCAAGCAATATGTCACGATGGATTCTGCCAACATGCAAACCATCCTCGCCACACAAGTCGACAAATTTGGGAACGCTCCGCTAAATCATAAAATGTGTGAAGCGTTCTTAGGTGACGGTATCATCACGATGGACGGACATGCTTGGAAGAGATCTCGCCAGCTGCTCAACCCCGTATTCACCAGGGCACAGGTCTCCGAATTATCCAGCTTTGAAGTCCACGTTGGCAAGATGATGAGCAAAATTCCTCGAGACGGGTCTATGGTCGACATGCAGCCACTATGCAAAATGTTATTCCTCGACAGCTCCACCGAATTTATATTCGGCAAGTCTGCAAATACGCTCTCGTCTGAAGCAGACAACTCCGTGGCTCGACGTCTCTCGACGCTTTTTGACGAATCTCTGCAAACCATGTTCAAGCGGTTTATGCTTGGCCGCTTCAGATTTCTTCTCGGAGAGAAACAGTGGCTGCAGACTTGCGCGGAAGTCCATAGCATCATTGATGGTTTCATCGACGAGGAGGTCCAAGCTCAGAAGTCTGCAAAGAGTACATCGACCGACTCGGATATTCCGTACAACTACGTCCTTTTGAAAGAGTTGGTCAAAGAGACCGATGATAAGAGATTCATCAGGAATGAGCTGATGAACGTATATTTCCCTGCCCGTGACACGGCTGGGATCTTGACGAGCAATATCATCTTCATGCTTGCGCGCCATCCCGATGTCTGGAACAAGCTCCGAGAAGAAGTTCTCAGTATCGGGGACCAGAAACTTACATTTGAGCTTCTGAAGTCACTGAAATATGTCCACGCTGTAATCAGCGAAAGTAAGTCTTTCCCAACGCCGAAAACTCTGCAAGTTCATCACTAACTTTCCACCCCAGCCCTCCGCCTCCAATCCCCCATCGGCGGGAGCTGGAAGACCTGCCTCTCGCCCTGCATCCTCCCCCACGGCGGCGGCGCCTCAGGCCAAGACCCTATCCTGCTCGAACCCGGCGACGAAGTTCGCATGTCCTTCACGCCCATGCACACGGACCCGGAGATCTGGGGCAACGACTCGGAGGAATTCCACCCGGAGCGATTTCTGGGCATGAAGCAGAGCTGGAACTTCATCCCGTTTATGGGCGGGCGGCGGATCTGCCCGGCGCAGCAGAATGTGCTGACGGATGTGTGTTATGTGTTGGTGCGGCTGGCGAGGGAGTTTAAGGCCGTGGAGAGGAGGGACGAGACGCTGGCGTATGTGGATGCGATTGTGTTTACGAGGGAGAGTAAGAATGGGGCAAAGGTTGCTTTTGTGCCTGCCAAGTAGAGGGTGGGGTTGTAGAAGAGGATCAGGATGAATAAAGACCTGGCGTCGAAGAGTTGTGGTTGAGGTGGAGGGGCTCACGTGGATAGTCATGATATCATTCTTGGTGTTTGAAATCGAATGTGCCACTCCCGTGATGAGGGAATGAAATATATAACAGCTATAGATTCGAATATTGGAAATATATGATTCAAGAACGAGAGAGCTGTCAAGCACTCTTCAAGAACTTGACCACGTGACCTTGTTTTGGAGCGGCGGCGAACAATCCGTCCCAATGGCAGGATATGGCTGAGTATTATTATTCTACAACTTACTTGATACAAGTTTTAAAAGGATAAATCCAATCTGCCGGAATATTTAGTTTCGTTTGCTGTCATCTTGGTTAGGCTTGCTCCGTAGATAGGGGAAAGAACTAATAAGCGAGCAATCTACTTCTTGAGTCAGTATTAGCGACTCTCTTATTCTCTAGCTGGAAGAAACCAATTCTCTTCGATCATTGTTCTGTCTCGGAGTCTCAAAGCAGCTGGCATGGTGAGCGTTGCTACACAGACCTCGCTTCTTTCTCTACACCTTCTAACTGCAGTCCGTGTGGAGCAAGAACCGCATTGGAAATTTCGATGTCGACTACACACAAAACTGCTGCGAAGCCGACAGTCGACTGTCCAAATGCCAAAGGTCCTCGGTCGAACGCTCGCTGTCATGCTTCACTTGGAGCCAAGCTCTTATGTTGCTGTCAAACGCTCTTCGCGCTAAGCACTCTCGCAAAGACTCTAGGAACAGGAACCACTTTTCAATAGTCCCTTACATCAATCGCGACATCGAATTAATTGTGGAGGAGATCCTCCGTCAACTGGCCCGGAAACAACAACCATTCGACATTTGCATCCGCGAACCATTTCGCACTTTCTAGAAGAAAATTCCTAGTGTTAGATTGAGCCTCAAGTCTCAAAGGTCGATGCACCTGCGCCAGGAAATTCGTCAACGTCTCCCAACGGATTGGTCGCTGCAGAAAAGTCTCAATTGGCAAGGCCATATGCCCTTCAGAGCTTCCATTGTGATTGGAAATGGGCACTTGACAGATGAGGAAGCAGAAGCGCTCGTTGATTTTCTGGAAGTCGACTGCAAAGATGGGATACAGAAAATGAGAGCCGATGGCTTCATCCTAGGCAAGCTCTGTGATTATAAAACAACCCCGGCCTCGAAACCTCTTTCACGGTGGAAACACTTTCCTTTCCCAAGGCAAGATGGAGTCGAATAGAAAGCAGATATTCGCCAAGGGACCGGTGCAAGAAGGAAGGGAAGGAGAACCTAGGAAGAGGCACAATTTTCTGTCACAGCAGGCAACCCCCTTTCATCCTCATCCAACATCATCTTTATTGCCTAGAGCCAATATCGATATCATCAGCGGACAGCATTCTTAGGATTTTAGTATGCAATACTCACCACTCGAGAGAGATGGCTGCTCTGGATCTGAGCTAAGCATAAAGTACGAACCTTGGCTCAACGACTATAAATAAATGACAACTTCTAGGTTGTTTTTGAGTGTTTGTCGGGCAAGATGGACTGTGAGACGGACTCGATCAAGTGGGGAGGAAAACTTATTGGTAACTCATGTGCGCGTGGAGTCTTTAAGACGAGAGTATTGAGGCAGATAGTTATTCGTATTGAGAGTTGTATGAACAATCAACCCAGCTTATCAAGCAACCTTCCTCGTCTCCTCTCAACGAGTTCCTCTTGTACCTCCTCACTTGTGGGCAATCTCCATTCTTCTCCGTCACCCGAATCGCCAGGTAATGGTTCCCATCCCTTTGGCGCCTTTCCATCCTTACTTGCGAGCAAATTGTCAAACGCTTCTTTCTCCTTCTGCATTTCGTATGCCAACAATGTGCCGTCTTCTTCGTCCAGATTGTATCCATAGTACGAAGCATCGACTTGTTTGCGTAGGTCTGCTCTCGAATCTAGGGGTTTGTCCTCTCGTGGTTTTTGTGTAGCTGCCTCGAACATCTCTTTGACACCTGGCAGTTCTCTCGCTCGCCCAAAGTACCTAGATATCCGTTAAGTTTTGCTCAAACCACCGCAATCTAGAAGCACTTACCTATAACCCTTCCCACTCCCCGGAATCTCTCGACCTTCCTCATCATACACCTTCCCACCACCCCGCATATAATTCGGACCACCTAGATTCCTAATTTGAATCTCCCACATGTGTTTCTCCCTCATCAACTTGTTGATCTCATCGTTCAGATCCCTGATCATGAAATCACTTAAGCTAGGATCTTGAATCTTGGACACCTTTCTCGAGATCTCCTTCAGGACCTGGCCTCGCCATTTTTCGCATGCTGGAATCGCATTGACTTCGGTGATCATCTTCGGGCGGCGGGTACGGCCTGCATCGATTATGCCTAGGTCTGCTGCTTGAGCTTCGCGGAAGCGGAAGAGCATGGACTGGGCTTTTTCTGAATTGCGCGCCTGGTAGAGAGGGTCAGTTTAATGGCTAGTAGATGGCACAATTAGGGCTTACCATCTTTGCAACTGTATCTTTAGAGACTCTGGAGAAGGGTGAGACTCAAAAAGTCAGGTCGTTGACGGCTAAATGTTGTTGATCCAAAAACCATTAAGAAGTTGAAGCCTTGCAGATACTAACTAGCGGCCGCTAGCGTATGTAGTCGCGTTTACCTCAACCTCGTCGCGTTTCCCTTCTTTCACCTCCAACAAACACAACCATAACCTACAGTGAAGAAAACCCTTCATCGAGCTTTCACGAGTCAACAACTGTGCTTGCACAGAGTGTTGACCATGTGTGCGATTGAACAGAGATCTGAGTAGGATTCCTTCTATACTTCTTCATGCTCGTGGTTTCGTGCTGGTGAGGTCGGGTCGAGTCGAGCCGCCACAATGACGATAATCAGCTCAACTCGAGGTTTCGGCTGGCATTGCGAATCCTGTAGCTTGCGGAGGCAGTCTCTAATGGGGGTTGGGGATCAGAGTCGTGAGCGGTGGGGGAGGTAATGGCTGGCACAACGACATCGGTGACGGATGGGAATATAGTTTTCAATCGGAGCAGCGTGGTATGTCCCTTCCCTCTTCTTTGCTCTACGGTCTTGCTAATGGAATAATAGATCCTCAGCTCCAGTCTCAGCCAGTACAGAAATCCTTGCAGAAGATGTTGTGGAGGATGCCGTGCCCGGTGATGATAACAAGTCCAAATAAGCCAAATTTGCAGGCCAACCTACTCTGAGTCAATACCTTGGTAACGACGAGGAGGCAAGTGTTCGCTATGAGAACTTAAGAGAGCTAATCTGAGGGCACATCATACCTTTCATTTCGTCCAGCACGTTTCCATTCTGTCTTTGATACCTGTAGCTTGCTTGTGCAACTTTAGTTGGTGCAACTGAAGTCGAATACAGACATAGAATTGTGCAATGTACCTACAAGTAGTAGCCTGTTCTACATATTTGTTCGCTGTGATAGATGCTGCCTCCATGCTGAATCGTAATCTAGAGTTTGTTCATTACTTCAAAGCATCACGCGTTTAGATTCTACTTGAATCGAGCAAGTCCCGTCAAAGAATCATTGATTATCTAGTGACCTAGGTCAAGGGAGTGCTTCTCGACCAGTAGAGTTGGTCCACTATCTAATACATGATCGTAGGCTCTTTGCTGGTTCAAGATTGCCCAGACATACATCAGGAACAGGAAAGAAGAGATCTTCCTTCTATCATTCCTTTTGAAGCGTGTCTATTGGTACAGAGCTGATTGACAATCCTCCTACCATCATCGACAGATTGGAGAACAAACATTCAGTAAAAGCGAATGTAGTTTCACTACCTACAGTAGAACTTGCCCGGCAGACAACAGACATCCTTGAAAATTCGCAGTAACAATACAATATTCATTACGGCTCCAAGACACATATTAAGCCTTTTCCAAGCCACAGTCTTGATAGTGAACAGGGACAATACCTGCTGAAGCATTAAGCCTTTTGGAACATTGTCAACGTCATCCTTTACCTTACTTCATTGTCTCTCGATTTACCACGAACTCAGCCTCGCGAAGGACAATATCAGATTGGTCTAGGACAGAGCCAAATTTGGAAGTCATGAGTGGACGCTTAAAGTCTGTTAATCTACCGCGACCTAGGTACGCGTCATTGTCTCTCGGTTCACCACAAACTCAGCCTTGCGAAGGGGAGATCAGATCGGTCTAGGACAAATCCGGATCTGGAAGTCACGAAAGGACGATAGACATTCGAAAATGACGCTAGTCGTTCGAAACTCTACCGATACCGCTAAATCCGGAAGGAGCAGACAAGGCTCGAACCCCGCCTTGTCTATATAGCGCGGACTTTTTCCTTCAACGTCAACAACCAACTTTCCACAATCAACAATACAACTCCACAACTCCGCGCAGCTTGCAGATCGCTTTGATACCTCAAACATTGTAAGTTATTCAATCCTGTTCAACTATACCGTCACTCCCCGTTTCAGCCGTTGTTTATTCCCCCAAGACTTTGCGCCTCGATTTCACCCTTTCACAATTATACCATCACACTCCGTTTCAGCCGTTGTTGATTCCCCCAAGACTCTGCGCCTTGATTTCACCCTTTCACAAGTATACCATCACTGCCCGTTTCAGCCGGTGTTTATTTCCCCAAGACTTTGCGCCTCGAGATCACCCTGCCACACTTCCACTTCTGTACCATTCACAGTCATCAACACCTTCTCCCGATCTTACATCGATCTATTGCTAATCATGTTACGGGTCATTTAAAGGCTGCTATCCACTGTGATCACTCTACACAATGGATTCACCAGTTTTCGGACGCCCATTCACCTCCTCCTCTCGCAACTCCACCTCGGGCCAAGACTATAATGAGTCAGGCTCCCTCGCACCTCCGGTCATTGCACCATACACCGCTCCGGCCAAGCACAGTGCCTTTCCTATGTTCCATGATGGGGACGTATTGATTGTCTCTCCAACCGGCAAGCAATGGAAGCTTCATAGCTTGATCCTTGCTCAATCTTCTCCCATCCTCAACAAGATTCTCGCTGCAGCCGAACCTGCCCACTTGACCAAGAAGGATCGTGATGCCGGAAAGACCGTCTTCTTCAAGCTTGAGATGGTTGATGACTCCAAGTACAGAAGTGTTGATCCCGAGGGCTTGAGATATAAGGCATTCAAATCTGTGGTACGTTCGACCTTCATTGAAAGTATTATCTGCGCTATGTATATTCCCAATATCTGTCTGCGATTCACTTGTCTTCTGATTGTACTGCGACTTCACCATGACCAACTTACGCAAATGTGCGCGGGTGTCTGCGGCAACGTTTCTTCGAGCCACAGCTAATAATAATTATAGGGTGTCAATTCTCGTGCTCTCACCATGCCCCCCAACATCAACGGTCTCGGTGAAAAGGCTACCTACAACGAAATATATGACAACTTCTTCCGTTGTATGTACAACCTATCGCCAGAATTCCGACAGGATGATGATCCCATTGCTCGTGACTACATCATCGACTGCACTGCTCTTCTTCAGGCTGCCGATTTCCTCGATGCTATCCCTGTCATCCGAGTCGTCGTCGAGGCCCACCTTCTCCGTCTCAATCAAATCCTCTGGCACCATATCTCTGAGAAGGCTGAGAATTGGATTCACATTGCTGCCAAGCTACACTCGCCCCTCATGTTCCGTGAGTGCATGATCCACCTTGTTGGCAAGTATCATCTCGAGAATGGTATCAACCAAGATATGCTGCGTCACTCTCAACATGGTGAACTTGGCGCGAAGATTTGGCAGCTCATCGAATTCAAGGCCAAGGAGTTGAAGGACAAGAAGCTCAAGACTGAGCGCCATCTGATGGAGTTCTTTCCCGCGCGTCTGGCTCACAAGGACGATGCCACAAGTGTCCCGGGTCGAGCCATCTACGCCAACGACATCTACTTCTGGCAAGCCTTAGCTCTCTGCCGTCAATACTTCGCCTCCGCATTCATGAACGGCTGCAATTATCGCGGTGCCGATGGCGGACTGGCATTCTACCGCACTGTTGCCGAGGGTGCCTACCTTCGTGTCGATACCCTTGATCGCTTCCATGCCACCTTTGAGATGAGCTCTAAGGGCAAAGTCTGCTTGAATGGCTCTATCGACCTCATTAAGAACGATTTCAAGCCCGTCGTCAAGGATCTGTTGATTGACCGATCTCAAGCCACACGTGGTCCGGACACCCCACCATTCGCTCATTTCACCTGCACCGAGATCCTCGACGAAGAATTTCCTTGGTATGAGCCTCCTGCTCCTACTGCAGAGTACAAGGACGATGATTTGGACATGATGGGAGATGACGGCGACGCCTAAATTGGTCTCATTGAGCTCTGTGGATATTCGTCTTTCCTTTAGCTGCTAAGGGTTTTCGACGGGCGAGATACAGAGTAAAATGGCCTAGATTTTCCTGATTTTCTTCTTTGTTACGTAGTTGACTGATTCCTACTGACGGAAGACATTGCGTTGATTTTGCGGAGGAAGTGGGACTACCAAAGTGCGAGCAGCTTTTCTTCAGATAGAGTAATACACGTTGATCTTGCAATCAAATCCTTGCGGCCGAGACATGTGATGCTTTTTTTAATACTCTAGCCTTTGTCTATGCGATGAAGACACTTCTTGTGAGAGATATTTCACAAGGTCATGTTGTACTCTTTTTCTCAGTCATTATCCGGACTTGGCAAGGGCATTCAGCTACGAGATGAGATGCCACCACTGCAGTCTTCACGGCCATGGGGTACTGTGGTTACATCTAATCTATTAAAGTGATACAGTCTATCGAAATGAAAGTCGAGTGCGCCATAAAGTACCACCACCAGTGCTCCAATCCTTCTCTTCTGAGACAGCCAAATGCTCGACAAGGTGTCACTGACTTCAGCCACGTACCACCATCATCTCAAATACATACTCATCAGCTTGCTCCATCACAACCTCACGGCACCACACTCCCAACCACAGTTCCCTGTCCCGGCATCCTACATTCCCAGCTATCGGCATCATTCCCGTCCAATCCATTTCCCAAATATGTATTCCGGTACGGATACCTACAATGTCTCCTCGTCCTCTCGATTCCTTGATTCGGATCATCATTCACAAACTTCGTCCCCGTAATAGTCTCAGGTGGCACCCCCTCCTCAACCCAATCCACCAACGCCTTCAACACACTATTCTTCCTGTCATAAATAGGCTCTCCTTCCGTCTCCTGTCCAATCATCCAAGCTCCCGCTCCGCCCCTACAGTGCCACACTCCGCTGATGCGGAAGAAGCGGATGAAGGAATCCATGGAGGAGGATGTGAGGTTCATGCCGCGCGATAGTTTGTTGTACCAGCGCTCTGATTCGAAGGAGGTTATTTCTTGGTCTGCTTGGCCGTGCCAGAGGATCATTTTGCCGTTGTGAGGAGAGGAGACGAATGGTGAGAGGGTGTCGGGTGAGGAGGAAATGTTGAAGGGGTCGAGTGAGGCTGCTTTAGCCATGGAGGATACGCCAAATTCGGATGTTGTGTAGTTGGGGTCTGCGTAGACTACGTATCTGAACCAATCCTGAATATAGTGTCAATAGCTTAGGTAGCCAGTGGGGTTGGAAGGACGTACGAATGCATAATCGTAGGGAACTCCGGTGTATAGTTTGCTTACTGCCATTTCTTCGCTGCCTGGTTGCATGGCGGGGAAGACAAGTTTGCCATCGTAGCCGTAGAGGGGACTGAAGACGTTGCGGACGATCTCAACTTGTGCGCTTGTCAAGCAGGATTCAATCTTGCCGCCTTCGCAGATCAGGGCTTCGGGTCTGAAGTTGCAGAGTGTCGGATCTTCAATAATGCCATCTGCAACACCGTCCATAAGGTCGCATTGATTAAGGATCTCGGTATGGATGAGTCCTGTCCATGTTCCTGCGTCTATGAAGTCTGGTGAACTTTTGTCTCCAGTTTTTCCATAGAATGAGAGGACCCAGGATTGCATGTTGTTGTAGTTTTCTGCTGGAGCACCGACAATGATTCCATCGTAATCTTCCGGCCACATTTCTGCTGCTTTGATGCCTTGACGACCAGCTCCTGAACAGCCACTGAAGTAGGACTTGTTAATCGTATTTGAGTAGAACTCTGGTACGAGCCTTTTCCCAGCTTGTGTGGTTGTATGTAGTCTGCAAAAGTAAGCATCGATTTTCCAGGTATAGACGAAAGAGCATACGCGCGCCACGAGAAGTCCTCTAAGACTTCAGAATGGTTGTAAAATACTTCTGCCCGGTTGCCCTCGTGTCCATTATTAGATGCCACGGTTGCAAAACTGTGCCCGACGCCGAAATCGAGATCGATGTATCGGATGCAACCTCCCATGCCAGATGTGCCGACTGTGAATAGTCTATCATTGTAAGCATCTGGAAACCAAGCTTCGAAGACTATGAAAGAGCTCGGGGATGTGGTGATATTCATCGCGATTCGGCACATGTTGACGGAGACTGTTTGCGATGCCTCGGTCAGGCAATCTGGTTCATGGTGGGCTTCTGTGATGACGGTTCCAGCAGGTACATATTCTTGTACCCGTATGCTTGCATTTGAGATGAAGTTGAGAGGCTGAAAGGATAAGCATCTGCTCTGGAAGTCTGTCGTTGAGTTCTCGAGAGTGGTAGCTGTGAAGGCATATGCCAAGATGAGTTCTTTGATCGACGGGAGAAACTGCATGCGGCACATCGCAGCCTGGTAGGCAATGATGAGCTGCGTACGAGCTCCATGGTAAGTAGATTGGGCAAAGGTCAGAATATACATGATGATGAAATTGTTGACAATATATCTTCAGTAGCTGTTCCCAGGATCGATCACCTACGAGATGAATGAAGATGGAGTCCTCATAAAAGAGTCTCCGGAGAGAACCTGGCCTCGGCACACTGGTGTATACAGTGTTGTGCCTCATCAAGGCGTGCTGAGAAATAAATTCGTACGAGTATCAAATGAAATTGATTTGCGAGACTAGGGAACACAACGAGATCTTGGGAAATAGCGTGAATACCCAGAGACGAACTGAAAGCTCCCTTGTGATACACTTATATCTCCAAATCGACGAACAGCAAAGTTCTGATAAGATTGCGTTTGGTTTCAGCAAAATAAAACTTGATTTCAGGGGGTGGTGGACATGCTAATGTGTCTGAAGGCAGCGTCTACTCCCCCGAGATTTCGTTCGACTGCGCAGGTACCCGTCCTGACTCTTTCTCGAGTTTGGGACCTAGGATTTTTAGTAGGCGTTGCACTATATTTCACGGTGCAACCGACGGGACGGATCGCGGCAGTTCGAGGAAAGGTGCTCCTCCAGATTCCCAACAACACCAGGTGAGCTCCAATGGTAATGAGGTCTTGCAAAAGTTTGAAGTTATTCTCGGTGGATTTGACGCTTGCTAAATATGAAATAAGGGTGCCCCTAAAAGGTATGTCTTCGTTTGCTGAGGGATGAAATATCGAGAAGAAGAGAAGCTGGGAATGGGAAGGTGCATTGAAGCTTAGTCATCGCCCACCAGAAACTAAATCCGAGAGACCAACGTACATTCTCCCATTCTGAACTCCCTGCTTTTGTCATTCAATTTGTTCGGACATCTCTATTTGAGATATCTTTGCTCTCCACAGTTAAGCTGGTCAGACGAAATCCATTTTAGCCAAGAATGACCACTAAAACGAAGCCTCCTAACTTTCAACCAAAAGGTTCCCATGCATATCAAGTCGAGGTATTCGACCAAATTCAAGATTGTCTTTCTAGCAGTCAGGAATCAACATTGATATCTTGTGAAGATGTCAGCTCATGTGAGAGTGGGCCGCGTTTTTTGCGACGTGCAATGAAATGCTCAAAATGGTCTTGAAGTGTTGCAAAAGTGTTTCTCCGATGCAGTGCTACCAACACTCTCTTCTTCGCTATAGGTTCTAGATACTAAATACGGAACCTGTACCACGTTGCGGCTGCAAAGATGATGTAAGACTTCGTTGCATGCTGTTGTGTTACCTGGGTGTATTGTTTCCACTTTTCTTCACATTTTCTGATTTGAATGTGGAATGCCGACCTAGGACTTTGAAAAGGGAAGCATGTGGGGTATCTTTAGTGATAGTGGGATGCGGCTTCTTGCTTCCACTTGGATCATTCGAACACTCGTGCGAAAATAAAACTTCCAATCACACTAGATCATAGAAATGCGAGATCAAATTTGAAATTGATGATTGGCTTATCAAAATTCGATATAGTCTTACAAATTCTCTAAAGCTTCAAAAGCTTCCAGTCCTTTTCTTCCTCTCAACTGCCCGCTTCACTGGCAAGCTCGCTTTCATCACATTTAATTCCATCTTCAACTCCTTCAAGACTTCGATCCTCGTCTCCAGATCCTGTTCGATATCACCCACATTCTCTACCTTACCACTCAACCAACTCTCCACTCTTTCTCTTTCCTCACTAGGCATCAAGCCCAATTTATCGCCTTCAGCTCGAATAGCGAGTATCTTTTTCAATGTCTTTCTGGCAGACTTGAGCTGTGGTAACAGGTTGAAGATGGTGAGCTCGAGGTTTGGTTGATTGAAATCTTTCATGATTTCTTCGAAAGCTAGGATCTCGATGGCGGGCGCACCAGTGACCCGTTCAAAGTAGCGACTTCTCTGATCACTAGGCATCTGACCGCCCAGCTTGAGATACCGGAGGAACACGATATAGCCACCAATTGTTTCAACTTTCTCTTTGGTAGTATGGACGAGCTCCAGGAGCTCCGAAGCGTCTTTGAAAAGCGAATTGAGAAGCCCTCGGAATTGAGATGTAGTTTTGAGTTGGTAGGATAAGTCTTTCGACCACGGTTTTGGCAGGAGACTTCTGGTTGAAATCGTTCGTGATATTGAGATGGAGGTGTCGTCTGCGTCGCGGCGATATTTGATTTCTCGCTTGAAGTCCTGAAGGCTGCTGTCGAGTTCCGTCAAGCTTCGAACGCGCGAGTGTAGAAACGTGGACTTGAAGTCACTAACGGACATCAATGTGTCTTGTAGCATTGCAACACTTGGTGGTAGAGTGCTGATCTGTCGCGTCTCGGCCGCGATCCACTCCGAAGCAGATTTGGTTTCCGAGTAAGCTGTTTCCAGCTCTGTGGTCTCGACGAGAGGGGATGATAACTCCAAGGAGACATTGGCTAGTTTGTTGAATGTGACGATGTTGAGAATAGCAGTATCACGGGCAAGGCCAGAGCGACAACAGCTGTAGATGGCGACGTCCGAGATGAATCGCGAGTAAGGCAATGTCGTAACAAATTGGTTGTTGTTGTTTCGCCATGGGTCGCAGAATGGGATAACCCTATCTCGGAAGAAATATATGGTGGGTCCAGCAAAGAAGGAAACTACGCCAAGTACGACCCATTTGTGTCTCCATAGAAACTTTATGAGAGTACGTACGGCAGCAAAAAGTTGGGAGAATCCATGCCATAATTGCGGAACTGCAGGATAGGAGTCAGATCATCGATCGACTCTTAGGCCACTGCAGAAAAGACTTACCAATGTTGGCTGTAAGTTTAGTTGTGGTCGAAAAAATAATACCCAAAATTGTAGCTGTTCAAGAAAATGAGATTAGCTGTGTAAAACAATCCATGAAAGTGCAAGACTTACTGTCGTCTGCACATTTTTGGTAAAGCCATGTAGCGAAAGCACCCATCGAGAGAAAAGCTATCAGCGAAGCTAGCACTGTTCCCCAGAGCTTGAACGACATCTCAGCCGACCACTCCGTCGGCCAATCAATTGGATAAAAATCCATGACAAGTTTTCTGATCAATACCAACGTGATTGACAGAGAAAGAGAGTATAGGAAAACAGCCTCTCATTCAATTAACTTCCAACTTTTTGTGGAACGTCCCAGACTTTTTATCTTTCCACGATAGAGCAAGCATAGACTTGCAAAGGCATCAAGTACGACTGTTTTCATGACTGCAATGCAGGCGCATGCAGTATCAGAACTATGGCCTTAACCGCTCTCAGTGCATAGACGAGGTATGCTGAAAACGGAAAAGGGGTAGCGAGAATCTTTTTTGGAATGCTCGACGCCAAACATTTAATGCTCTTGATGCATTGAGAAATTGCAGGGAACGTGATAATATCGCAAGAGCCATTTATTTATTCATTGTGTGAACTTTGACTACAAATATTCTCTCTTCAATTTGGCCTTCAATTGGTCTTTCACAGATACATAGGTCACCAAGCAAGCAGCAAGCAGGAAATCATCTTGGATGTGTGGGATTTGCAGATACCTCAACATTGAAGGATTGGACGCATTTTGTAAATGCATTGTACTGCAATACTTGGGCTAATTGAGAGTTATATCGTCAGAAGGAATCGGTATCGCACAAAGCAAAGATGCGCTTGCATCTTTTCTCTTGAGTTTGCGCATTCCAGGGTGAGACAAACTCAGCGCCATTCCTGAACCGGGAAGGGGCTGAATTTAAGAGCATCACAGAAGCAAACAACGAGATTTAGCAGCACGACAAGTTGCGCTTACCTTTCCAAATTTGCGATTTGAACTTGATGATTCAAAGAAATCGAGGAGTTCGGGGGAGAAATGGACCCAGAGAAAATTAGAGTCTGCATGCCAAGCCACTTGCGTCATAGCGCAGGCCTAATATTGACGGCGAGGTTGAAGACCGTAACGGCGGGATATCTTCGAAAACGAGACGAGTTTATGGCAGGCCTCGAAGGAAAGACCTGCATATCTGGATTCTCGAATTTTCATCTGTAGGGTCGGAGCATAACGCTCGTACCAACCTGACGGCGTTGCGCGTTGCGGGAGTTGGAAGTTCTTGCAAAATCTGCAAACGATCGAATGCCGACACTCCCTCAATACCAGAAGGCGCGGGCGGGGGACACAGCGAAGATACGGTCGAGGTGGAGACTCTTCGCATGCCTAGCAATATTTTTGGCCCTCTCATGGGCAGGATTCTTTCTTCTGGAACCAAGTTCGGGGGCCAAGATGGCAGAGGGGCGAACTGAAGGTCAAGATGAATTTGGATCGAATGCTCGACCTGCCTTCTCTGATATGATCCAGTTGATGGATCTGCCAGCCAATCTGCTCCCAGAGACCGGCAAACATCGACATTCGGGCAGGCTGATAGTTGTGGGCGATGTGCATGGGATGAAGGACGACTTGATTCATCTGTTAGACAAAGTTGATTTCAACAAGAAGCACGACCACTTGATTCTAGCCGGAGATATGATATCAAAAGGTCCAGATTCTCCAGGAGTTGTAGACTTGGCGATGAGACTCGGTGCGACTGGAGTGCGGGGAAACCACGAAGATAGAATACTTCTTGCACACAAGGATATGGTGGCGCAGCATATTTCAATGGACAGCCCGGATCCGAACGAGGAGACAGACAAGAAACAAGATGCCCTTGAGGAAGAGAGTTTCAGTCATGGAGACTATAAAGATAGAGCACTTGTGAGAGCTCTGGGAGAGAAGAGGATAAAATGGCTGAAGGATTGCCCGGTGATTCTGAGGGTTGGGGAGCTTGGTTCCATGGGCCAGGTCATCGTCGTACATGCTGGTTTAGCACCGGGTGTAGAGTTGGAGAAGCAAGATCCGGTCATGGTGATGAATATGAGGACGATATCCGATGAAGGAGTGCCAAGCGATGAGCGAGATGGGACTGGTTGGATGAAAGTCTGGAACAAATACCAGAAAGGTCTCCCGAAACACGAGCATACGACTGTTATTTACGGACATGATTCGAAGCGAGGACTTCAGATTGGAAAATATAGTATGGGGATTGATACTGGATGCTTGAAGGGAGGCCAATTGACTGCTGTGGTCATCGAGGGTGGTCATAGCGACCACAAGCACAAGATTGTTCATGTCAACTGCAAAGACGGCCGTAATAGATGAGAGAGCTCGACAAAACAACAGGAGGCGCACTTTGATGACTATACTACACACAGGGTTGCATATCGGCTGGCGTTTGAATTGGCATTATTTTGGATACTCGGTCAGCACTCTTCAGCATCGACCTCAGGCACATAGATACCCCTCTTCGACCTCTGGTTGCTCATATTTGTGATCGCTGTTGCAAATTTTTACCCTGTTGAAACTTGTCCGGTTCCTACTCGACGGGATCATTAGACTTTCGACTGTGTCATAATGAAACGGCTTAGTACGGCAGGAGGGCAGGTCCACGACGAGCGATTTGTCCCAGCGATTTGTCCCAGCGAGCTGGCACGCGGAGCCGCTCGTCGGAGCTTCGCCCAATCCCAACATTGCAATCATATCGACTTCCGCCACATGAAACTATATTTAGATCATCATAAATTGAGTTGTGATTCGCTGAAGCTTCTTTTAGACTGGAAATTTTCCGGATTCTACCTAGAGATCATCGATGCAGCAGGCTGTCGAGCTGATATTCGAAACCCCAAACTTCAGCATTCTGCTCAAATTTCTAGCTTGGACACTCTAAATGAACACGAGAACATGACGTCGCCCAAGAACGAAATGTCCACCTTGATGTGTGCCTCTGAAGTCTGATTCTGGCGCTTTGAACACTGAGTGTTGCTAAATTCCACATCCGAACTCTAGCAGCGGACCGGTTCACGTCAATCTTGACACTAACAGTATAGCGGCTCCCGGAATGCCAAAACCGGCTGAGCGAACGTACTAAAGGTGGATGGGGGAATATTGATTCCCTGGAAAGTTATGGCTCATCCCGCGTTTACTAACTGAATCAGTGGAATATCTGCGAGATTATTATTTTTTTCCTAGTCACATGAATTCCTCGAGGATACACCACCATACTACATCTTTCTCACGGGGATTACCATTTCAGTTCATTCTTCATTTCCAGAAGCCTAGTGAGAAGTTGTGCGTACTTTTGCCGATGTTTTGTTCCCTCCGAGATTCAGCCATGTTTGACAGGTTCGCCACTAGTAGACCTTGAAAACGCGATGCAGCCGTCGATATCTGACTATTTCATGCTTATGACTTGGTTAGCTTTAGATCGAGTTCGATCCAGTCATTGTCATAAGCTTAGCGTGAATTGCGACGTTGGGTTCGCCACCGAGCATGATTTTCATAGATGTTTGATGTTAAAGATCTCGCGGAATAGTCTTCTGCCAAAGACTGGAGATTCTTTGACCTCCTAACAACCTATAATCTCCTTCATTTGGCTTTTGGAAGCAATACAGTTGTCACAAGACTGAAAACACTTTGTGGTAAGGGAAGCTGTGGTTCTTAATCTTGGAACACAGCGAGATCGGAAAGTTCCTTGCTTGCGCCTGCTCTGACTTTAGTACAGGCGTGCCTACAAACCTTTCGCGGATTGGGATTAGTTCCTTGGCATGACAGAATTGGCTTTGCGGAGAACATGCCCAGTATTTCATTGGACATTTGGTTTACGTCAACTTAGTGGCTGCTGACCATACTAAAACCCTTTCCGCAAAATACTGCGATCCTACTTCAGCCGCAGCATTTTCCAACCACCAGTTCTACTCAGAAAGGCAACAGGAAACAGGGTTGCAGCCGTGATCTCAGACGCAGACTAGAGGAAATAGAGCTCTGGGGAATATTCTGATCTTCGCGATGCGCTTCGAATGGAAGTTGGACCTTGCATTAGCATGCGTCTGGCAAACCTAAATCCTCCGTCTAAGCCTTAGATCGACAAAGAGTAACGTAAAGATGTTGATCTGTTATGTGAGGCTCCCGAAGCTATGCACAATATATAGCAGAGCTCCACGACAAGACGGTATTTTCTTCGGTCGAGGTCCTTCTTCCTAAGGTCAAAATGCGATTTCAATCACTTCCTCTCGCCGCTCTGATAGGCGCTGCTACTGCAGCTGTCTCTGTCTCAAACAACACCACCAATGGCACCACGGCCATCGAACCTTGTGGAATGATATCCACTCTGGTCCAAGAGTTTTATAGCAACGACAGTAGTATGTCCGCCAGCAGATGTTTTTCATCCACTTATGGTTATTGACATCGCGACAGATGCTGATTCCAACTTTTATTTCCCCCCTTCGCTTGCAAATGACTGTCTTTTATCCTCGGGTATCAACGTCGATCTGGCTGTCGATTTTATTGTCGAATATAAGAAGTATATCTTGTTTTTAACGACGCTGGCATATCTGAAGGATCCTCCTTCGGACTACGCTTACCCCTCGACTGATATCCTTGGCGAACTTGACAGTTTGGCAAGCAAGATTGCTGCAGGTCGCATCAAGAGTCAATATCTTGTTGACCAGGCTCTCAACCAAATTGTTGCGTCAGCGCACGAAGGTCATTTATACGCCTCTTTCTGTTCATTGCAAGCTATTTCGTACCTCAGACCCTTCCAGCTGGTGTCGGTGTCTCAGGATGGCATCCAACTTCCTGAGCTATATGTTCTTAGTAAGTCAAAAAAGAATGTTAACGAATCATGGTTTCTGATTCCTTCGATAGGTGACTTTTTCAGCTCAAATACCACGGCAATCAGTAGTGTCGTAGCAATAAATGGTCAGAACGCGACAGAAGTCGTCGAGGAAGAGGCTCTGTTTCAAGCAATGGACCCTGACGCGGCCTATAATTTCATGATGGCGAGTGTGGGTCGTGTTCCCAATGCTGGGTAAGCTAAGATTTGATGTCTTGAGAGCGATCAGAAGGCTAATTTGAACCCAGCAACGACATTGGCGGTTTCCAAGGCATACAATATAACTTCTATCCTGACGACTATACCAATGTCACTTTCAGCAATGGTACTATGGTTCCATTCGAGAACATCGCAAGCATTGCACCTGGAAATTGGAACACCGAGATTTCGGACGGAGATCAATTTACAGCCGCTTTCTGTGTCATTCCTGCCCTGCCTCCTTCCACCACCACAACTCCGTCATCCAATGCAACGGCTACGTCAAGCGCTTCGTCTTCAGCAACAGCTACAGCAACTCCGACTACGTTCCCAGACTTATTCCCCTACACCCCAGTCGTTCGTGATCCCAACAATCAAGTTGCTGGCTACTTCATGAATGGAAGCGACTATGCCGATACCGCCGTTCTTTGGATCGCGACTTTTGAACAACAGAGTGCAGAGTACGCAGATCCTGACACAATTGCGACCTCATTCCAGAACACGACTCGCGATTTCTTCGCAGCCCTCAGAGCTTCTCCTAATCGAACCAAATTGATTATTGATCTTAGTGGGAATCCCGGAGGCAATACACTTCTTCCCGATGATACTGTAAGGCTGGAAGGTCGTATGCTTGGTATTAGTTGCTAAAATTAATAGTTCCGACGCCTCTTCCCTTCCATCGAGCCTTACGGTGTGTCACGTTTTCGCGTTCCTGTCGCTGGTGATATCTGGGGTCAGACGCTTGAAGCTCTTCCAGAAGATATTGTCAACATCACTCCTGAGGAAGTCGCAGACGGAAACTATACTGAGGCACAAGTGGTTTACTTCACCTCCAGCTGGAACTACAGGCAAGCTCTGACGACAGACTTGAACAACTTCACTGGCTGGAGCGGTGCTTCAGGTCTTTTCCCACCCAACGTCGAGAAAGGAGACAACTTCACAGCTAATCATCGCTTGCCGCTTAACGAGACTTTGTACGATTTTGCTATCGACATGATCAACGTCTATGGCTACCCTGGCCAATACTCTCAAGAGTTTCCTCAACCATTCCCTGCCGAGAACATTGTCATTCTGACTGATGGCTATTGCGCATCTGCCTGTTCAATTTTCACGGAATTCATGACCCGCCAAGCAGGTGTCAAGACTATTGCAGTTGGTGGCCGCCCTCAGAACGCACCAAGTAAGTTTTTTTGATCTCTACTCAGTCTCGCCTATACTGACTCAAAGACAGTGCAAGCTATTGGCGGTACCAAAGGCGCCCTCGCTCAACCTTTCGCTTCAATTCAACAGATGTCCCAAGCCTTTTGGAACGCATCAGATTATATTCCTACTGACCTTCTCGAGACTGCCAACGAGACTTTCCCTGGTCTCAACCCACTCCCACTGGGAGCCAATGACGCCACTGCCCTCAAGGGTTACAGCATCAACGCTGCGGACAACATCCCTGTTGGGGATGACCTTCAGATCCCACTGCAGTTTGTGTTTGAGCCTGCAAATTGCAGAATATTCTACACTCCAGAGACGGTTCTGAGCGAGAGCGCTTTGTGGGAGATGGCGGCCGATATTGCCTGGAAGGGCGGCAAGTGTGCTTGGGGTGGAATGAATACAGATGTTAGTAATAACGGTACCGGTGTGGGCAATTCCACGAGCCCTGGCGAGGTTTCGAACGGTGCTGGGGCGAAGTCGGTGATGGGATCTGCTGCTGTCGTTGGCTTGGCTGGTGCTGTGGCAATGATGCTGCTGTAATGTTACGTTATCAGACAAGAGTTGAGATGTATTATACTGTATTCATGGATACCAAGAACGATGAAAGAATAATGTAGTACTCCTTTAGATGCCTTCTTGATTTCGGGTAACGGGCATTAAGTGTTTGCTTTGAGCGTAGACTCGCACAAGCGCGAGGAAGGTCAATAGCGAGTGTCATACAATGTGTTGTTTTCTTTCTTGGTGTCACTTGTCGCTCATTCAAGGAAGGTCTTAGTGTTTATGTACCTACCTAGAAAAGAGCTGAGTACAGTGCCCGCCACATTCTGCAACTGCACACTCAGCGCAATTCGCGCATTTTGCGCATTTACTCCATATACATAAACAATTTCTTCTAGCAATGTACTAGCACTGTATAAAACAACCAAAGAATATTGCAGTGCCTAGTCACGGACCATGATAAGTACGATTTCAAATAGTGCTATTCCAATACTCCTCTGCATGCCCGTCCTCCTAACCTATTGACGACGAAATGTGATGAGTGTGGAGCCCCAGTGGAAACATCTGCAAATAGCTGACTTTTTGTGCATTGGTACTTACTCAATCGTTCAGGGGTAAATTCCAAAGGTCTCGATCTTTATGATGCCCAGAAATTGATCCTAACTCATTTTCATAGTGGCCACGTGACCATGTACAACTTGACCCCTTCCTTCCTCTTTCCTTTTGTGCTGGGACAACTTGTCCTGTCCTTCCCTCGAGAGTCCGCTTCACTCTATAGTCGACATCCGCCGCAATGAAGTTTCACACATCACACCTAACAATACAACATTCTACTGAAGAAGCACTCCTCCATCATCTTGATCGTCACTATCAGAATCATTCTCGTCAGAATTTCCGCCTTCTTCCGACTCATCATCGTCTCCTGTCTCAGATCCCCCATCGCCAACATCACTTCGCTCTGATCCAAGGTCATCAGTCTCGTCGCTGGACGATGCCTCCTGATCCTCTCCAAAGTCATGCGCCAAATGAGGCTTTGCGGTGTAGACAGAGGATATTTCTGTCAGTGAGTCTGGTCGGTTGGCTCTTGGCCCTCGCCGCTCACGGATCTGTTCCAGAACTTCTATGCGTATCTTCTTAGCCATCGCATTCAAGATGTCTTCACGCGTTTTCAGGAGGTCCTGTCTGGTGCTGTCGAATATGTCTGGCGCCCTCCACCGTATCCAACAATTGTTGTGACTTGGGGGAACCTCAAACCGCCCAGGATGAGCTGCGATGTAATGATAGCAGCAATAACATGCCGGCTTGCTGCATGCTATGAACCGGTCTCCATCTAAAAACTCAAGACTTTGTGTCCAGAAATGATCCAAGACCAGAAGCTCAGCGTGGACTTTCGGTCTCCACTCTGTTGAAGTGCAACGATGTTGTAAAGCTTTCGACAAGCCTGCTATCGCGTCTAAATCTTCCAGAGCTTCTCTGTAGTGAGCAATCTCATCTGGGTTGGTCATCATCCGACCCACTATCTCACTCAATGTCGGGTTCCTTTGTTTCTTGACCGGAATCTCGACACCTCCCAACCCTCTGGGCCACGTGACCCCGCGCCGCCTTTGCTCAGGCGGCTCAGGCCTGGCTCAACTTCGGCTCAAGTCTGCTCAGGTCTGCTCACCCATCTCACCAGAAATCGTCAACTTTTAACGAGGAGCTCGAAAAGGCCCCCTTTCCCAGCCAGGGGTCCCAAATCTGTTCCCACTGTACGCTCATTCCCAGACAGTTATCCTGGTCTGCCTGTCTTCATGCGTGGGACCTTTTCTGCCTTCAGGTTGTTTTACGCCGTCCTCTGCGTTTTGCCTAGGGTTATATATTCTATAAATGACCAGTTCCCTCTTGTCTTCACCTCTCTTCTCACCCATCTTCTCACCCATCTTCTCACCCATCTTCTTACCTATCTTCTTACGGTCTTACCTATCTTCTTACATATCTTTTCACCCATCTTCTCACCTTCTCACACATCTCCTCACACATCTCCTCACACATCTCCTTACATATCTCCTCACTTATATTCCCTCCCCCTTCTCTCCTCTCTCCAATCCCTCTCCCATTTCTCTAGGAAGACCTTCTTTTCTCGTCTCCACTCCAGATATCCACATCCGCACATGCACAGTTCTACAAGCCATAAGCACTAAACAGGCAAAAGGATGTTAGAGAGGACTAAATCTAGACGAGCAAATAGAGGTAGCCTTGAGGGATAGGCTCTCCGAGGACAGGTCTGGGATCGATAGCAATCCCGTTCACAGAAAACTAAATGAAAAGACTAGCCAACTACGGTACGACGCGATGTGGGATTTTTGGGAAGCGTACGTTGCTAACATCATAAAGTTAAGTCTAGAATAGTAAGCACTAACACATCTTAGGTATAAAAGGATATATTTAAGATCGGACTTACGCAATATGAAAGACATGAAGCATATTACTAAAGCTATCGGACGCTCAACCCCAGGCAGACTAGATAAAAAAACGGGAAGAGCAACCGTCAAAATGGTACGGAACAAGATGCAAAAACTTATGTTGATATAGTAGTAGAAGACTAACCTTACTATTCCTCCAGAAGTCTATGACTTAGTGGCTCCTATAAGTGCGCCTACGGGCAAGCCTACTCCAAAGTATTAACATATAATGCATTTACTAACAAGAGAGAAAGTATATTAAAGATGTGCTAAGATACAAGATTCCTTTGTTGATAGAGGAGAAGGCGCCTACGTTCCTAACAATAGAGAATTACATCGATATAGAGGAGCGCTTGTGGCAGTATGACTACTATAACTACGTTTACGAAGGGTGCTGTGTAGATTTAAGTGCCCTATTAAAGATGTATTGCTATACTTTTGTAAGGTTATAGGAAATATGCAAGGCGACGTTTAAGGTGAGATACTAAGTCTAAGGTGGAAATGAGACCCCGATTTTCGTACTAATTAACACCAATAGGACCTCGTTTGTATGGTTATATAGAAAGATAGAGAGCTAGAGATTAAGATAAGTTTCAAAAGAGAATTTACTAAAGGAATGTAAGATACCCCGAAAAAGTAAGTCTAAAGTGGTTTATTCTAAGGCTCGGGTGGGTTGCTAATAGCTTATCCACAGACCAAAACATCTATTGTATGAGAGGTTGAAGCCCGCGCCTCCTCTTTCTGCCAACGGCCTCTTGTTTCTACTCGCTATCATTATCTTAGCCGGCGCGTTTAGGGACTATAGCACTATTGAGGATGTCCTCGCTACTAGACTGCCGCTGGGCAGAAAGTACCGGATCATGGATTGGGCGGACGGGATGTTGGACGATCCGGTCTTTCTAGAGATGTCTGCAGATAGACCGACCGAGAAGACCAAAAACGAGACCGCGTGGGGCCACTAGTGTTTAGACTAGGCAAAAAGGGCCGGTTTTACAGGAGGAATGGGGCTCTATACCACCTGTCGCGAAGCGCCTATTAAGGTAGACGGTAAGGCGTACTCACTTCGAACAAGTTTATGGTATAGCAGGCTAATTGGTAACAGACGGCGGCTATTCACTAGGGCAGGTCATGAAGTTCGCCGCGCATAAGAACTCAAAGACTCTTGTCGGCCACTACTTGGATAATATGAGTAATGTGGACGGTGCAGCAGTCTTCCTCGGCCTAGAGCCGCGGCGGGATCTCACAGAAGACTTCCGCTCTACATCCATAAAGAGAAACCCGGATCTCTAGCACTCGCTTCCAAGAAAGTGCCTAGATGAGCTAAAGCAGCGCCGGGACTTTACCGATCTTAGCGAGCAAATTAACAACCTCTCCGCTTAGATCACAGCCGCTATCACGGAAAAGGGGCGCCAAGAGCTTAAAGCTTAACGGCGCTATGTCTATGATTAGCGTCAAAAGCTTATTAACGAAGAGTTGGCGAACTACCGCAAGACGCAACGGCGAGTACACACCACCTAATGTGAGGTGGACGACCAGGGCGAGTGGCACCGCAGTTACTTTGACCGTGTTGTCCGCCGCATGGTCCCTGAGCGTGATCGCCTCGCTCGTACTTTACCGATCGCCGCCCCGCTGCGGAGTCCAGAAGGTATCTCCGCTCTCTAAGACCTTATTGCGCTCCGCACAAACGATTCCCGTGTTGCGTACTAGGAAGCGTTACGGCCTATAGGAGGTTGCTATCCAGTACCGACCTGCGGCTAGGAGATTAAAGAGTAAGGATAGTCCCCCCTCATTAGTGCCACTTCCGCTAATAGAACGCGTTAGTATCGTTGTGAAAGAGAGGTGGAAGCATGTGTACCGGTGCTCCAAAGACTACCATAAGAAGCAATCTAGCTTCGCCGAATTTTGCTTCCGATGTAGCAAGTGGATAACCAGCGAGACAGATTGGGAAGCCTACTACTAAGATCATATCGATAGTCTCAATATGCCTTTCCGGTGCGAACTAGTCACTTTCCGCCACGCTATTGCCTGCGCCGGATATTACAGCGGATGTCTGAGAAAAAAATGGCTACTAGCAGCCGTACGGATGAGACAGTTCCACGATCGAACAAGCTAGCAAAGACATATCTCTAACTGCATTCTAGAGTATGTCGAGAGTCTAGATAGTAAGGACTCTATTCTATGCCCGCATTTGCTATGCACTATAGTGCTTTATTCGGAATTAGACTTATGGAACCACCTCGGAGACATACACAGCACTCACAAGCTAGATACACGGAAGAAGCGCCAACGTTAGCAAGAAGAGGGCGACGATAAACGAGCCGAAACGTCGGGTGCCGCTGGAACGAAACGGCGTCGACTCCCAGGAAAGCTGGAAGACGAGGACTGTAAAGTACCGGGTAGTCAAAAATCTGTCCTCAAAGGTCGCTCTAAAGATCCTCTTAGCCACACGTTTGTGAATATCTCGGCAATGGATTTTGATCGATGCTTAGCGGATGATGTCGAGATGGCTGTAGTGTCTAGCGGTTCCCCATCACGTCGCAGCACCCCCAGTTGGCAGCGTTTGGGACAATCACGATGACTGTTATAGTACGGATACTTCGCTCTCGTCTCTGTCAGACAACATTCTCGAAGCAGTTCCTCAGGCTAGAGAGGATTGCCGTTCTCCCTAGACAACTCCATTAGAAGCTGCCACCGTCGACCTCCTTGGTGATTCTAAACCTTAGAACTTTAACGCGATCGCAGACGCTATCTCTTCTCCTATTAAGTCTTAAGAGGACTGGATTCTATCAAGCCCCAACACTCCTCCATCATATCTGTCTAGTATTCCGATAGAGTTGATTGATCCGGAGCTTCGAGATGCTCTTCCTTCTTCCACATCAAGTCTACTAGCAACCGCCGACTCGGTCGAGGATGCTCACAGAAGCATACCGACAACTACACCAGGGCACATAGAATGCTCGGTGATATAGCCGCTTTGCGACAGCCAGCCAGTTGCAATTGATGCCAAGAGAGGGATATGGGAGGCTAAAGCGCTGCTTGCAAAGTGGAAACGAGGCAAAACGACTTAGAACCTTGTGAAGTGGAGAGGATTTCCGCACGAGGGCAATACGTAGGAGAAATGGAAGGACATAAGCCCGGAGCTCGTCAAAGAGTTTGAGGCGACCTATCAAGGGAACCATTCGGGCGTGCGACTGCTCAAGAAGCGAGTGCTGCGCAGAAGGGTTGAATACCTTGTTGAGTGAAAGGGTCGTCCGGAGAGCGAGAATTCTTGGGAGAAAGAAGCTACCGTAAGCCGTGAACGAATTATGGAGTTTGAGGCGAGCTGAAGGAGATGTATTATGTCAGCAAGTAGATGTGTTCTAGGATATTGAGTTCTTTTCACGATAGGTCTCCCACATTTTCGGTTTAATACGACTAGAAACGCTTCTCAGGAGCGAACAAAATATGCAAGCTTGGAACTCTTTCATGTTTGTGAATTGATTGCATAGATTGCCTAGTGCTCTAGAATGTTCGAGGCTAAGATGTTGTGATGTACAGTATGATGTCATTGGAGTTCGCTAGTCCCGCCTGTGGGAACCCGAGTACCTTCCGTATCATTTGAATTCTCTTAGTATTGTATTGTAGAGTGAACCAATACCATACAATTTCTTGACTCCCGCTGTTACTCCTTCCTCCAGAACCCCACCTTCCATTTAGAGATCAATCGATCACATAATCTATCCCTCGAACTGCGAGACGCACACCACGTCTCCCTCGCTGTGACAGCACTGTGACGATGGTGTGAGGTGGCGACGCAACGTCGGGCTATTCATTTAGAATCTAAAGCTAAGGAGAGAAGAAAGGAGAGGAGGAGAGATCTATATACATATATATGTTAGAAGTAAGGGGATGTCATGTGAGGAGCTAAGCCCTAGTAGGCTTAAAGCTCGGGAACGCCACCATTCCCGGCCTGGCCTCTGTCGCAGGCGATTGGCTCAGGCGATTGGTAACAGCTGGCGCTGTGACACTCGCTTAGCAATATCTCAATGGGTTACGCTCTTTGTGAAGGGAAAACTTTTTAACGATTGCTTTAAATTTCAGTCTAAAAAGATGAATCTTCCTAAAAGTAGCCACTGCAACACTAAGTAAAGAGAATCAATTTTAAGAATTTTCTAGTGAAAGATATATTCACTTGAAGAAAGGGGCGATATCTACTAGCGGCCGCTAGCGTAGTATGCGCGGCGTCGTGTTCAAAGCCGCAGCTCCGCAACCACGCTGGAGAACCTCAATCTCACAATCACAGTCCGCAACCACACTCCCACCCTGAGTCTTGCGAGCCACATACCTTGCACAGCCACCAAATTCCCGCGACTCACTATACACTCGTTCTTTTCGCTATAGCACGGTGTACCTCGGCCGCCTGATTTATCCTCCGGAGCCTCTCTGCACGATGCCACCGCTTTGCAACAAGTGCCAGTCAATCTTTGATCATTGGAATGGCCGTAATCACTGGAAGGAACGAAGACCAGATCATTTGCATCACACCGTCCCAGGGCTCCAGGACTCGGCTCGTGGCGGTTGTCACGTTTGTATTCTGCTGCTCGGGGGAATTGAGGAACACACGCTTCGTGAGATTTGGTCGAAATGGCCAGATGAAGAGGCTGTTGTTGAAGTACGGGAATGGATTGGCGAAGAAGGACATTTTGCCGTTGACCTAATTTGGAGATCTTCACCAGGTCATAGAGCAGCAGGAAATGTTGCGCTTGTCAGAGCTCACGGTATGTAACTTTAGCAGCTTTGATAGAGAACAATCCTAAGTTTGTATTAGAGATGGACGTAAGTGATAATGTCGGAAATATTGCCAGAAGTACCGACAGCGAGGAAAGTTGGACTCTGGTAAACAATTGGCTTCATGGATGCCTGTCAAACCATGCGAGCTGCTCTATTCATTACCTGGAGCAGAAACTGCCCACTCGTCTCGTAGCGGTAGGTTCCACAGACGTTGATCTACGCCTCACTTTAACAGCCAATCTGCCAGGTGATACACCGTACTTGACTCTCAGTCATTGCTGGGGTGGACTAGAGTTCAAGATGCTTCTATCGGACAATCTACGATCCCTACTCCAGCATATTCCAGCAAATGAGTTCCTTACCAAAACCTTCCACGATGCCATAACAATTACTCGGCGGCTAGGATTCAAATACATTTGGATTGACTCACTGTGTATCATCCAAAATGACAACAACGATTGGGAGAGAGAGGCCGCTCTTATGGGGAATGTTTACGGAGGTTCGTCACTGAATCTTGCAGCGGTAGATGCTCCAAATGGGGATGTAGGGTGCTTTTTTCATCGCTACTCTACCAACGTGGAAGCGTGTAAAATCCAGATCTCAAATTTTGAGAGCAGATCCGCAAGAGAGACGTGGAATTGTGTCCCGAAACGTTTTTGGCCCAATTTGACGTTAGACACGGTGCTCGGATGTCGTGGATGGGTGTTCCAGGAGACCGTCCTTGCTCCCCGTACACTATACTTGGGTTCGCGCCAACTAGCCTGGGGGTGCCGCAAGACAGAAGCTTGTGAAACATTCCCTGTGCAGATTAACACAGGGCATATTTCCCCAGCGGCAACTATTGAAGCCTGGTCGCGGACAAATCTACTCGACGCCTGGGATACGATCATTAGTGATTATCCCAGACGCGCTTTGTCATTCCCCAAGGACAAATTCATTGCTCTCTCGGGTGTTTCGAGACTCTTCGCGACCAAGTTTGACGCCTCCTTTGTGGCAGGACTCTGGAGGAAGGACGACGGTGACCTCGAGCGTCAGTTGGTATGGCTCGCCGAAAGCCAAGTTCAGGACCGCCCAAAACATTATCAAGCGCCTTCATGGTCGTGGGCATCAGTTGAAGCGGAAGTCGCATTACCTCCAGGTTTAGCAGACACACAAACGGGATTCGTCGTGCTTGTGGCTGTCAAGGACGTTTCGGTGACGCTGTGTACACACGACCCGTTTGGACAAATCAGCGACGGCTTCCTCATCATTCAATGCAGAGCTCCGGTGCGCGTTTCTGCGCAACAACACCTAGACACAAGATGGTGGTTAGTCGCAATGGGAGATGCAAAATTTTACGCTCGGGTGTACCCAGACAGTCGACCTCACAAACTTGACGGTGAACTGCTCTTTTTACCAATTCTTAGTTCCAATCTCGAAAACGCACCTCAAAGTAAATTTGCCGTTCACGGAATTATCCTTAAGCCTCATTCGTGGGATAGGTTCTCGCGCGTAGGGTATTTTGGTGTGGAGAAGGATGACCTCGAGACATTTGACCATAACTGGCAGGTTAATGACCAATCCTATCACCTCGAGCGGTCCGATAACCGAATTGATTTTGGGCCTTCTGTTGCGAGCGATAATCATGGTAATCTGCTGTATGAAATAACTATCATTTGAAGTGTACGCAGGAGAAACGGTGCGGTTTTGCGGCCATAGGTATTGGTTAGGCTGAAAGATGGCTCTATTGAATTTATTTTGCTGAGTTACTGGTTCATTATGTTAAAGTCCATGCTGTATACACAGAAGAATACTAGATCTTTCCCTGAGGCACCTCTATCATTCTACGGACCCCTGATACCAGAAGAGAACGAAGATTTCAACCCCTCTAATATAAGCATCACTTCGGTCACAATCTCCCTGGGCTCCATGGCCTCCTTTTTGTACCTCTCCGCCAAGCCAAGACGTATCTCGATCGTCAAGTCTGAACCCCCCTCAGACCTTGCGCCTTTGCTCTTCTAAATTTGTGCATTGACACTCGCTATACAGAGGGAGCTAGAAAGGGACCACCATAAAATAGATATCCTTAAACGGTTCTAGGGTCCATAAATGGCCCCGTAGAGCGATGCTTCATCAATCTAAGCTATATAACCATTAAAGTCAGTTCAATTATGAATATACCTAAATGTATCATAACATGGCTTTGCCTCGACCAAGCAACCAAGATCGCGCCAGATGGAGGACGAAATGCCGCGAAAAGCTTTCAAAGCATATTAGTAAGATCTCCACCTTTAAATATTATATAATTTGCCTAATACTAATAAGATACAACAGAGAGCAAGCTAGGAATATCAATCGACCCATCAGAAGTTCGTCTTATTACACGCGTAGAGGATCCCTATTCTTGGCAATCTCTACCAGTAAGAACACATCTCTTCAAAAAGAACCTAAGCAAGCATTCAATTGGAGCTTATATGGAATTATGTCGAGAAGTTGGTATTTCGTTTAAAGCTGTGGTAAAAGAAGTACGTAAGCTTATTGTCACCCGAAGTATGAAGCTAATGCTAGTGCTAGAATATTCTTTTCACTAGACCAGCAGCAAACTTTACTAACAGAATTGCGGAATTAGAAGCAGAAAATTCAAGGTTAATAGGTGAGGTCAACAAGTTGAAGGATACTGCTGCAGCAGAGTCAACATTTAAGCGAGATGCTGAAGAGGCCGCGAACCAGCTCACAGTAGTGCTGCATACAGCAGAATTGGAAAACCAGCACCTAAAGAGGGATATTCAAAAATGGGCTACTATAGCAGAAGATTTTAGAGTGAGCACTGCAGATTCCCACCAGATTGTGAATGAGGCGTCTTTGGTATTAGAAAAGTTAAAATCTTTATTGCCTTCTATTTGTATGTAACTTAATTCTTTAAGATTAAGAAACCTGGCAACTTCACTACGCTGCTAGTTCGCTTAAATTACCACTCATATCTACGGAAGTAAAGTGACTGTCTATTAGACATAAGCATATCTCATTGGTTACACACACGATCTCACCTAAGAACGGGGTGCAAAGACAGGGGGCAGAAAATGGTGCGGAAAGTTAATGTCCAATAGTCCTTGGTCTGAACCCAGGTACCCCGTCCAGCTCCCTTGCCTAATTCTAATTATATCCGGGATCGACGAGGAGCCGCATCTTAGGGCAATACCGCAGCCGGTTTGATCTTCTTCTTGCTCTGAGGGGATGGAGGCGCGGATCGTGACGCATTACTCGCTCTCTTGCTCGCAGGAGACTTTCCAGTCGAATCCCTTTTTGGAGTTGCTGTATCTTGCTCCTTGTTTGTGCCCTTCTTTGCTGCATTTTTTGCCATTTTGCGTGTTGCTCTGAGCCTCGAGCTTCTCAAGGACGAAGGTTAAAGGATCACGAGCGAGTAGTTGCCGAAGTGATATTATCCTTTTGTGATATTTTTGCGAGTGAGGAGCGATATGTTCTCCATCAATTTACTGCCACCGTTGGCGGTTCGACCATATTCTATGCATACGGAAGGCTGCATGGAGCTGAATATGACTCAAGTGTTGGGTCCAATCGAGCCTTGCTCGCTTCATGCACGAGATCCAATTTGGGGTCATACCCAACGAGGCTGAGACTGCTCGCATCTCGAAAGTTATGCCCATCAAATATTAGTTTTGTTTGAATTGAAGCTCTGGAGCTTGTTCAAGTAATGTAGCTTCAACTGGGATCGAGGCCTTCGTTTTCGGAGCAAGTCCTGTCTCGGGATTGTCGTTTATTGCCTTATCGTACGGAGCCTTTTGTTGTATTTTTGGTGATTGGAATACTGACAATTAAAGGCATAGAATTAACAGAACCTGCTTTTAATATCGAGATTTGACTCAAAGATTTCGGACTAGAGTTTTGCGGGGACCGTTGATTGATTTGCTACTGAAGTAGTCTACGAATTCCCAACCCTTCATATCTCCTTCACAGCTCCTCCTTTATGTCCTGCTCCCCAACTTCAAATCCAATCGCTGCGACAAACAAAGCTCATCTGAGATGAACTACTATACTTGGGACTTGGTAGCGTTACTGCTGTGGAGCAGTGGGAGGGATGTAGTTCGTTGAATATCTGCAGTCTGTCCTGCTACAAACCACCACTCTGAATCTGTATGTAGACCTATCGTTGCGGATGCCCGTACTCCAGTGACAGGCATTCGTCAATTCCGCTATTTCGACTTGAGCCATTCTAATAGAACGTTAACTGGTCCCGGTAGAATAGAGGATAGAAATGTATCTTACTTTGCAAGAGATTTCTGTTATGGTGTTTTGAGGTAGTGAGTCGGTTGAGATTGCGACGATTTCTTGTAGTAAGTTGCTTTGAGAACAGGAGATTGAAGATACATTCAGATGTAGTGCAGTGGCTCTTATATACCTGCTGTAAGCTTGTGTAAAAGATTGAAACAATGAGCTTGGGTTAGAGAAATGATGGATGGCCTGTATGTCCTGGTGGTCCTCGCTCAAAGAATGATCAGTAACTCCGAGAAGATCGTTGAGTACCTGGTGGTACCTCGTTTCCCAATTGGTCTGGATATTGGCCTTCACCAGTGCATGGTATAGATTTCTTTCGTCCCTTGACCATTGTAGTTGCGAGTCTCGTTCAGCGATTCTTTGTTCATTCCCGCACGGCCACATACCGTCGCGCTGAGACTTTCAGAATCGAGGACACAACCAAACAGAAATAGATGAACGGTTTCGAAACCATGGTGCAAAGACATTCTGATTGAATTGGAAACCTTAAAATTATTTTGGTGTGTGTCTAGTATGTCAGCTCGAGGGTGATTGAGACGGCAATGACAATTTCAGGATGTAGTCACGCAACACTTGGCGAGGTGAGTCCATAGCGAAGTACAGTGGGATCCTCTTAGCTTTCAGGCTGCAAGCTGCTGTCTTCTAGGGCCTTTGCTATCAGCTAGAGCGAGACTCGCTTAAATTTCAGGGAGTCAATCACCCCCTAAATATTTCTCAGTCCGAATTAGCGGCGATTGAACGTGCATTGCTGCTACATTTTCCAGCGAGAGAACGACGATCATTGACCTCAAAGTATATTACGCCGCTCATATATATGTGTCTTCTTTTATGGCTTTGGAAATCATGAGATGGAGTGTGCCGGCAGCCAGCGTCACTTTTGGAGTGATAATACTGATATTAATGGTAAGAGAACTTGTATGGAAAGTAGATTGATTCATATTTATATTGATATACTACGAAGATTTAAGATTTCTCTTCGGTCCTCTAAGTCTGTACCCGTCGCTGACTCATTGCTCTCATTTTTCAATATCCAACTCCCAGGCTCTGCATCAAAAATCAATGGAGCCATGAAGAGAATGTCGAAAAGTATCGGAGAGTCCTACTCTGAATTAGTTCGTTGTAAAGGCCTCATCCGCCGGTTTGCCAGCTGGTCAAGCACCTCCTTTTGCATCATCTTGGTAGTGTCAGTCAAGAATTCATTCTGATATTCGACAACTTCGGGAGTCGATGTATCGGAGATGTCTAGCATCTTCCAGCAAACATAAGCATTGTTGTGACAAGCTGGCACTTCGAACTTTCCGGAGACATGATTGGGATGACCTTTCATATAGTAGTGGCAACAATAACATGCTGCTTTGCTGCATGCGATGTAAGCATCGTCAGCAAAGAATTTGAGTTTGTTAGTGTAGAAAAAGTCGAGAATTAGAAGTTCGGCATGGACTTTTGGATGACAGCCTTTCTTTACGAGAAAAAGGGCGTTTTCTTTCACCTCAGCAATGCCTGCTTCGTACTTACCGATCTCAGTGGGGTCGTCCAGCATCCAAATAACCATGTCGTGTATTCCTGTTTCTTTCGCTACTGTCAGCGGTATAAGAGAAATGTTTGATACAATCCTGGCTATGTTATAAGACTTTAAAAGTCCCGAGGAATGTGAGCTTGCATGAACAAGAACTTTCACGCATTCGATGGTGTGGCTAAGCTGCTTGACGACATGTCGAATAGTGTCGAGCCGTTTGATGTTTTGAGCATCGCTGGCTGCGGGAGAAAGGTCCATAGATGGAAACGGTGTACTGCAATATTGATGACTGAGATCACAAAGACTTCTCGGTCTGTGGATTTCTCTTCCGAGAGCCTCTAGTACTCCGAGAAGGTGTCGATCTGCAATTTTTAGTTCTAGTCACCAATAGCTGAAGTTCGGATAAGGTCGTACCTTGGGCTGCAGCTATCGCTGTCAAGTGTTTGATTAGAGCATTGATGCTCTCCTCAAGCCTTGAAGCGTACCGTTCGATTCTGGGAGAGTTCTGCTTGAACACTATGGTAAGTAATTCTTCCAAGAGGCGATCATATCTCAACCTGGTGGCATTCTTCAACTTGCGAAGAATAGTTGTGAGAAACTCTTCCGTCTTCATCGAACATTCATTGTTATTAGGAGCGAAGCGATAGAGAAGCCCGCCATTCGTCTGTTCTAATGCAACTGCTGTAACGCTCTTGCCATGTTGTTCATAGTCACAGAGGTACGCCAAGCTGTCGAGGAAGACACGCTTATCAGAATCAGGAAGAGGGATGCTAGTCAAACTTGGGCCAGAAGATGGGCCTTTCTTTTCAAGACGATCTCCTCTCGTGTGACCAAGAGCGACAGATACGATGAGAGCCTCGGTAAACAGTTGGTTGAGTTGTGCATTTGTCAGAACCGGCTGCTCGGCGTGGTTGCTTCCTTGGTGAATTTTGATAGAGGTTGAAGACATGATATTATATTTAGCGCAGAGAATATTGATAGCTGATCGTATGGAATTAACAGAACCTGATGCCAATTTAGGGATTTTGATCAAATGGATTGGAGTAAGAATGGGTTGGATCGTTGGTTGAGTTGCAGATTGAAGTGGTTTCGTGATATCGCCTGCGATACTTGTCAAAGGGTTTGTTGGTAAAGTGAAGTGAAGAAGCTGCCGAAAGGATGGTTTAATTACGTCCCAGCACATGAATCTGGCTCTCATATAGGCATTCTGGTCAAAAGAACTCCGTTGACCTCAAAGTTGGTTTCGACAGGCATAACTGGGACCTCCAACTCGACCTTGGCTACGGCCATTTTCTTGACTTTGTTTGTGACGAGTCCATTGTTGTTTTTGAAAGGCACAGCAAACTGAGAAAACATTGTTCGTTTGAGGATACAATGAACTATGTCTGAGCTTGGGATCAAGTATGCTCGAAGTCCTGTCTTGAGACATTCGGAATCGGACGAACAACGCCAAAGCCGAAGTGCGGTCAAAACACCACCACCAAGACATCTGAGCTGTATGACAAGGAAAATAATGCTAGGCAAGCAACGTCCTACGTACTTGGATTCCCTTGAAGAGGCTTTGAGTCGCGGACACAAGGAACATATGACCGCTGCACCGAGGGCCTTAATGTTGTTTGAACCAGTCTTGATGGTCTGATCCCAAGTTCCTCAAACAAGCTGAACTAGCTCTTGACCGCACAATTGCATCAGAAGCTGTAGGTACAACGGATGGTGTAGACTGGGGAGGCATCAAGCGCTTCTCCGAAGTTATTCCGGTAGACGACCAAAAAGGAGGCGGCGTGAGGCAGCATTTCAGAAATCAATGAGTTGTAGCATAAATAACAAGGGGAAGGAAGGATGGTTTGCTCTTAGTTAGACAACTCGCGACAGGAGAGGCTCATTCCATCAGTTATCATCTTAATTTTCAAAATCTGGCTTGCTCAAGACTTGTTCTGTTCCAAATTTACGTTGCATCGCAATTGAGAAAGAAAAAAGTGTAGCGTAACCTCGTGAAAGAGGACTTTGTACTGATAGACATGACCATCAAGCAAGATCTCGTTATGTCTGATTAAACTTCTCCGGATATTGTGTACTGTTGAACGCCAACGGTGACATCTGAAGTCTACAAAAGTCGCACTTACGGCTGACCATTGGGATGAGTCCATGAATGTCCCTTCACAGTGAAGTTCTCAAACAATGAAATTAAAAATCAAAGACATTTTCAAATACAACATGTGAACCCCTAGACCCCAAACACGACATTTGAGGTCTAAACGCCCTGAACAAAAGTCGTACAATAAGCAATATTCAGAGACAGCAAGAAGTCTCGGACCACATCGATAACATCTTGGTCTAACGCCTCCGCGTCCTGGCCCCAGGTAATGAACAAGTGGTTCTCCCAATCTCCTAAGACGGATGCACCTGCCGTGCGAGCTTGCTCCGTGCAACGTTGGGCTACGATGGCTTTCGCGGCTCTAGCGACATCCTCTGGCTTGGTCTTGTCAGTGGGGTTGAGGAGTAGTCCTGAGAGAATTTCCAGAGATTTGGCCATCCCGTTGGCTAAAAGGGATAAGCCGCGGGAAGCTCGATGAAGCGCAATGCATAACAAAGAGCTTCTTCTGAACAGCCCCTTCTTTGAGTAGCTTTTGCAGAAGCCAAAAGCCAATCATAGCATCAGAGCTCCAAAGTACCTAGCGTGGGATAGGACATTGAACACAACCACAGATCAAAATTAAGACGAAGATGAAGGTGAATTCTATAGGAGATTCTGGAACAAAGCCTGTGAAATACCAAGCTCTGTGTATGACACTAAAGGTCCAAAAGATAGCAACCGACGACGGACAAGCAACAAATTAACGAATCTCTGCCAAGCCATAGAATCTTAGGAAAGAGAACGAGAAGTTCTGTGCCATCATTTTCGCAGCTTTGGACATACATTTTGTAGACAACGTAGTCCTTGATTAATCGGCGATAAGATAAGTATCTGAAAGAGCTGGGGAGCATGAACAACAACAGAAGTATGTGAAAGTCTAGGTACTCTTGAAGAACGAAAACAAAGAAAGTTGGAGAGAAACGGGAGGCAGTCGAATGTACTCATCCACAACAAAGAATCCAACAAAATATCATAAGCGACTCAAAAGGGGGCGTTAGCGTCGTTTCCTTCCATATCCTTCCGGAACACCTGTTGTCCCCGCTTTCACATCCCCGAGGGTCCTCAGAACCTTCCGCGCTATTCCGCCATAGTCCGCCAGGAAAAACGAGCCCACTTCCGCGCTAGCCCCGCTGCACATATAAAAAACTCCCAACTCTTCCGTTCTTTCTCCGAAAATAAACAACAACGCCGCAAAGATGTCGGACGTCGTTGTCGTAACCAATCCCAAGCCCAACTCTTACAATCCTCCTACCTTCGCCGGTCTTCCGTGGGAGCTCCGCGAGAAGATTTTCAAGATGAGCCTCCCAGCGGGGCGGATCGTTTACCTGGAGTGGAAGTCCGTCGTCCCAGAGGATGGCTGGCACTTTTCCTTCCGTGTTGTAAGTACGTCCCTTGCTTCGTGCTCAGCGGAAACTAAAATACGGTGCAGTGGTCCGATATTGATGTTAACGACGATGTCGGTGAAGTCCAATTTCTCAACCGCGAACCACTCCCTCGCTATGTCTACAACCCGCCTCGGCCTCCCTTTGGGCTCAGATCCCCTTCGACCATCAACTTGATGTCTCTCAATCATCAAGCGAGGGAAGTGGCCATGAAGCACTATCAGAAGGCTTTTGGTACACAGCACATGCCGCCAGCTACTTGGTTCGATTTCGAGGTTGATACGTTGTATCTTGACTGGGGCTTCGCGTATAAGACTAAGAGCAGGTGCGATCATTATGCCTTCGGCCCGGGACATATCGGGGATTGTGCTGAGAAGGTCAAGAAGCTTGCGTTGTGGGACAACTACATTATCAACTACACCATCGAGGACGATGGTAGCCCTTTCGAGGAATGGCTTCGAGGAGTTCTTGTTGAGTTCAAGCATTTGGACGAGCTTGTGCTTGTTGATCGGTACCACTTGAACACCGAGGTTCAACGCAAGGACTTGGTAATGCTGGACGAGGTTATTGCGATCAAGGACGCCATGGAGATCTTCAAGGAGGAGAAGGGCAAGCCATACAGCGAGGAGAAGACGGCATTGGTACAGAAGGAGCATCAATTCTGGCGTGAACGTTCCAAGAGAATGACACCCGCTGAGAAGAAAGACTTGGAGGCACGACGACGATCTGATGACGACTGGGATGTTCCTAAAGTGGTTTCATGGAAAACTATAACCACAAATGGCAGGTTGGAGAAGTACAAGAAGGCAGTGGAGGCTTATGAGATGAAGAAGTTTGCAGATGCTAGCACCATCGAAGCAGAGGTGGAGGAAGAGTCCGAGAGCGAGGAGGAACCAGAGACTGAGTCGGAGCCTGATGAGTTTGATGATACTTACGATTCTGACGATTCTGATGAGCCTATGACTAACGAGGACTGAAACTTTTCATTGTACACAAGCTGGCAGTACAACGAGACAATAATAGACTGATTGCATACATCGAGAAATTCTAATCACCCGCGGAAAATGTCGTGATAACTTCATCAACGGTGCTCCACTAAGCCTTAGCAAATGAAAAATGTATCCGTGGAACGTGATCTTCATTGCAGAAGTCCGCTCCATCCGCGGAAGGGAGACATCGCATTTCGCTCTCCAAGCAGTGTAACATGTAAAGGCAGGATCTCGATTCACGATAACTTTCCGCAATAGCCATTAAACTCCAGACCAATGCTGAATAAGACGCATCCATCAAAGTTACTGCTGACATTTTGGCCGCAGATCTAGATCAATACTCACTCGGAAGACTGCCGACCGAAACGAGTGAAAGGAAAGGGAAGGGTTGAATTTATCCGGCCGGAGAAGGAAGAAGGCTGGGATAAAAGAAAAGGGAGACCGATATCTGCCAGAGACGCAATAAGTGGGATGTCTCACAGAGGAGTTTCGACAACGGACCAGGGCATTCAACAAAATAGCTCAGGACACGCTCATGAGACATGGCACCTCGAACAGTTCCCTCGGAGGCTGCTCGGAGAAATATCTTCACCCAACATCAAGAAAATTGAAGATCAAATCCAGGAAAACAGTCACTCTTTGGCTGCGGGTGGAATGATCGGAAGGGACGGCGGGTGATTTGCTGTGGTTTGGTCGTCTATGCCACGATGCTGAATAACCCACCGCCTCGCCTTCCCCCACTACGCCCAGATATGATGTAGCTCAGGTGCGACAGAGGGGTCTGTCTGTTGTGTCTGATCTGAACCTCAGTCTCCGATTTTAATCCTCGCCCATCAAACAAAACTCGCTCCCCTCCCGCCACAACCACCAAAACATCTTCTGCTTCCACAAACAATTACCCTGAGATACCCAAACCAACAATTGCAATCATGTCTACTTCATTGGATCAACTCAAGGCTGCTGGCACCGTAAGTGCGACCCCTCCATCGTGGCGGCGAAGTCGGAAATCTCTCACCGGTTGAGCTGCGATTTCTGGCTTGCCACCAGCTGTGATACCAAGATGGAATCTATTGCTGATGCTTTACCATGATATAGACCGTCGTCAGTGATTCTGGTAAGCTTCTTTCCATCCGCCAAGTGATGCAAACAAAGCTAACAATTTCTTCCAGGTGATTTCGCATGTAAGAACCCCACCGCCTCCCAACAACCCCGAAACCTCTCTCCGAACCTCAATTCTTGTTATACTCCTTCGTACGACCATGAGACTGATCCTCCGCAGCAATCGGCAAATACAAGCCCCAAGATGCCACCACCAACCCATCTTTGATCCTCGCCGCCTCCAAGAAGCCCGAATATGCCAAGCTCATGGACGTCGCTGTCGAGTACGGCAAGAAGCACGGTGGCAGTGATATCGATGACCAGGTTGACGCTACTCTCGATCGTCTCTTGGTCGAGTTCGGAAAGGAGATTTTGAACATTGTCCCAGGAAAAGTCTCAACTGAGGTTGATGCCCGATTCTCGTTCACTACTCAAGGTTCCGTTGAGAAGGCTCTGCACATCATTGATGTAAGTCCCGACTTCTCCAACATGATGAGGAATAAGTAATGATTGGAAAAGCTCTACAAATCCATCGGCATCGACAAGTCCCGCGTCCTGATCAAGATTGCCTCTACCTGGGAAGGTATCCAAGCTGCCCGCATCCTACAAAAGGAGCACGGCATCAACTGCAACCTGACCCTCCTCTTCTCCAAGGTGCAAGCCATCGCCGCCGCCGAGGCTGGCGCATTCCTGATCTCCCCCTTCGTCGGCCGTATCCTTGATTGGTACAAGGCCAAGACCGGAAAGGCTTATACCAAGGAGGAAGACCCAGGAGTGGCCTCTGTCAAGAGCATCTTTGATTACTACAAGAAGTTTGGATACAAGACTATTGTCATGGGTGCTTCGTTCAGAAGTGTTGGTGAGATTACCGAGTTGGCTGGTTGTGATTATTTGACTATCTCTGTAAGCCTCTCTCTTCCTCTTCATTGAGATACTTGCTAATAAGTTTCCCAAGCCCAACCTCCTTGAAGACTTGATGGCCTCCACAGAAGCCGTCCCCAAGAAGCTCGACGCTGCGGGCGCCAAGTCCCTCGACATCGAAAAGAAGACATACATTGACAACGAGTCCGATTTCCGCTTCGACTTCAACGAAGATCAAATGTCAGTTGAGAAGTTGAGAGAGGGTATCAGCAAATTTGCCGCCGATGCCGTTACGCTTAAGGATATCCTTAAGAAGAAGATTGAGGCATAAATTTGCTTGCTGGCTTGGGGAGGTGGAAAGGACAAAAACTAGAATGGGAATATTGACGATGATGAGATGATCAAGATTGCACAGGCATGAGTGTAGGTAGGAAGGTGATGGGTGCGTATGCAAGCATATATCTCCAAACAAACGAGCATTGAACTTTGAATCTTTGTTGTGCATTTATCAGTGTCATATCTCATCATCCATATCTTCCCTCCTCTACCTCATAACTCCCTTTCCCTTCTCTCTTCCCCTCCCCTCCATCTCCCCTTATCTCACAACCTCCTCCCATAATCAGCTCCCGGCACCACCCCCTCCCTATTCTTCGTCTCCCCAGTAAACTGCCCCGTAGCAATCTCGCCCTCCCCCGCATCCGCCACAGCTCTATTCTTCGCCACCCCACCCGGTTCATGGAAACCTTCGTCTACCGCACTATTAAACTCGCCTCTGATTTTCTCGCCTGCGCCGTGGATGCCGGCTAGGACGCCTTTGAGTTTGCTGCCTGTTGATTCTGTTCCTGTTCCTGTGCTGCTGGTGGTTGTGGAGGTGGTGGAGGTGGTAGGTTGAGAAGGGTTGTCTGGAATATTGTTAGGTGGAGAGCTGGGAGAGGAGAGGAGAGGAGAGGGAAGAGGTACTGTATGTTGAGCCGGTGGTTAAAGGTTCGTTTGTGCCGCCTGTGGAGGAGAGGGATGAGGATTGATTTATTGGGTTGGGTTGTGCCATTTTAAGATATTTCTGTGGTGAGAGAAGATGATTTTGTGGAAATGAATGAAGGAAGAGAGGGGATTTTAATAGAGAAAGGAAGGAAAGAAAAGAGATGAGGAAGTCAACTTATATTGTACATGTGGAAATCCGGGGAAGCTGGAACGAGTATCATGACCGTGACGTCACTTCCTACCTGCCCTTGCCCGAAGGAAGTTCCGGCACTTACTTTAGATACCTTAGGTATATCAGAATTTTAATATCAAGATAGAGATCACTGTAAGAAAAGATAGTTTTTCATTCCTAATAAGTCGTACAATAATCCAATCAACCACGCGTCAAAAAGCACAAAAAAAAAACACCCCAACTCCCGACGCCCTGCCCCTTCGATTTGGCCATTCATTAATATTCCATATGCCTGCCCGCTCCCTCACTCGCTCGCTCGTTCGTTCGCTCGTTCGTATAGACAGTGCTGCGAAATTTGTGTATACGCTTCCTTTTCTTCGTGACGCGAGGACTTCTTCATCCTCCTTTTCCTTAGCGTCGTCCTCTTAATTGTGGTGGTTTGATCTCATCAAGCTGATCGATGACCTCTCATTCAGAATGCCCCTCATTAAGCACCATCTCCAACACGATCTGACTGCCCACAATCTCCGGATGAGACATGGCCAATTTCAACGTTCTCCTCTCCGCGCCGCCTGGGAAACCTCCTGGCGTCATCTGAGAAGTCATGCCTCCTGCACCAAGAGGATTGATGCCGTAATCCAAACACCTCACGTCTCTACCCGCGATGACTTGTCTTAATCTTCCGTTCTCTGCGTTTCGGACTTCGACAAAATCCGAGTCGAAGAGGACGAGGTAGGCGCCGTACATGGCGGCTGTCTTGGCTTTACCCACGAACTCCATGATGACGGAGCGGGAGACTTCGCCGTGCTTGTCGACGTAGACACCGCATTCTTCGTAGCAGAGGAGAAACTCGGCGTCCGAGAGACGGAACATGCCAAGGGGTTTTTGCCCTTGGAGTCTGGCGGCGATGTTGCCTATTTGGGGGTTCTTGGTATCGGGTATACTCATCGGGACTTTTTTATCAAGGGTCATGAGCTCGAAACCTTTGAGGGTTGAGATGGCGATGTAGGTGTGGAAGAGGTTGATGGTGAAGCATTCGGTGGGAATGTAGAACTCGTCAAATTCCCGGAAGAATTCAGTGGTGCCACCAAACTTCTTGCCAAAGAGGCGGGATTTCTTCTCTGTCGACTTTTGGAAGACAGGCTCGAGGACTTTGAAAGTCGAGTGTAGACCTTCGCGCTTCTTGTAGAAGACCAATGTCCGATCCTTCATACGGGCGGTAGCAAAGAAAGAGACATCTCGAGTGCCTGATAACTTCTGAGGCGCACGCCGAGCTGTGTCATGATGCGGAGCAGGGAAATTCGAGATGGGCACCACAACATCCAGATGGTATGCAATCAGAGCTTTGTCGGCAATGATCAGACATAGCGAGAACTCTTCGAGGACAGCTATCTGTGTTACTCGGTTCATTTGTATCGACTGCAAATTGTTAGTCGGGTTTCTATTATTTGTGAAACTTGAACTTACTCTTGTCCAACCTCTGGGATTTGATGCTTCCGATGTGAAAACACCATAATCAGTACCAATAGCTACCATACTCTTGCCATAGCAATTGAACGCTGTAGCACAATTGACTTGAGCTCTGCAGACAGCTCCCGGCCGCGGAACACCACCAATCGATTTCTCCATCTCTCTAATTGCACGGTCCAGAGGTGTACCTTGCACTGATACAACAGCTCTCTGTGACGAGGCAGTTGCAACATCATATGCAAACGCACTGTCCGCCATGACACGTAACCGGAATGGCTCGGCATTTTGCTCGAACAATGAGGCAGCATGACGAGTCTTGGCCTCGAGAATCTTCTCACACCAATCTTGTCTGTTCTGAGCGCTGGGGGCGTATAGAGTATACACTTCTGTCTTGCCAAGATGCTTGACCCTGAATGGATACATTGACTTAGCATCTCCATCATTTGTAGAACTCTGCGCGAGTCTCGTGACCGAGTTGACGGATGGTATCGACTGATTAGACTGGGTGTGTTCCAAGGTGTTCTGTCGTTCTGGACCATTAGTGTTCATACGAGCTAGTCTGGAATCTGAAGCTGATGCAGTCTTCGTAACAGTGGTCACTGCGCCTAGACCTTTGACAGATGATTTCACAACTGGATCATCGTTCGTGCTTTCAAGAACCAGGAGTTGCATTGGAATAGGCTATTATATGTTAGCACACCTCAATAACAAGGCTAAAGTGGACTTACTAGCTTTGAAACATCGTAGACTTCCTTTTTCCTACCGGCAGCGGTATCTGCCTTTGCAACTGTCTTAGCGAGCACAAGGTAGTGGTCGAATAAGATTGCATGCGTCTCCAACCATGTGAAACGATTTGCTCCAGCACGTTGAAGGTCGCCCTTGAAAATCAACTCGCGTCCAAGATGGTCGAGGTTAAGCTCAACACGCTCCATACCAGGACGAAGATAAAGTTTCGACTGCAATTCGATCAACTCTACCTTCTTGGACTGCTCGTCAACTTTGGCGTCACATTCCAATGTCACAGCCTTGATTTCTTCGATTGCTGTGGCAAGAATAACCTTCTCTTCGGTGTCCTGTGTCATGTTCTTTAGAACAGTGCCAAGCAAAAGGGTGTATCTTTGCAATCGAGTAATTGGTGCCTTGAGGTATGTGTTCCAATCCAAACGACCAGACAACTTATTATCTCGGGCTTGATCAAGGAATTGTCGGAAGAGCAGATTTCGGTCAGCTTCCTTACGGACAAGGTGCACGGCGTATGGGAAGCCTGCAGCATATTCGACGTATGCAGATCTAGCCTTTCTGATCCATTCTCTGAAGATATCACTGAATCCAATGATCCATGGTCCTTGCTCCTTTTGTCTGTACTTCAATTGAGCTAAGAGGTAGTTCTCGTTGACTTCCTTGATAGCCTCAATCTTGCCGAAAACGGATGAAATGAACTTCGTGATCTTGTTCTTTGCAATGATAGGCGGTTGCCATGATGCAAGATCGTCGCGGTAAAGCACTCGTAAGACATTAATTTGGTCCATGTATGTATCCTCAGACATGACAATTTCGTGCAAATTGTTTTGTCGTTCGATCTCTTTCTTAGTCGTCCCCTCGAGACTTTCTTTCGTGAGCTTGAAGAAAGTCACCCAGTCTTCTGACTTCCTCGATGGCTCAAGAACGTGCGTCTGCAGATTGATCTTCTTCAAAGTACGAGTGCAGTGGTGTGAATAACACCGTCCATGGATTTCTTGCTCATGAACCTTCGGAGCATAGCACCCAGAGCCAGTAAGCTGCCACAAGACTCCGGAAATTTCACCTCCGCCAAATTTGACCCATTCTTCTTCTGGGAGGAGAATATCGGCATCAAACATGGACTTGACCACTCTCTGACTCAAAGTCTCGGCATCTGCAGTGTTCATGGTAGGGACTTTGTGTGTGAACAGAGCCACGAGGCCGTCCTCGATTGTCTTCTGTCGTAAATCGGATTCTCCTTCACCAGTTTCACCGCCAGCCATTTCACGAATCCAAGCAGCGATACCGCTCAAAGCCCAAGGTTCTCGGCACTTGGCGTAGTCCGTTGTCGACAACCGTGTTGGCGAGAACTTCTTTCGCCTACCTGCTGGCAACGCAGGAAGATCAAGGGTCATTGAAGACTGAGGAGTGGTACCCATGTCGTATCCATCAAGTCCACTCAATGGTCGACCAGCCAAGCGAGCCGCTTTCTGCCTCGCTTGCCTCTCTTCAGCGTCAGTCTTAGATCTGACCGGGGGTACGGTTTGAGGTGTGCTGCTGTGGCTAGACAACGAAGAAGATCTTGGAACATATTGACCACCGGGAGTGAGCATACTCTGCGAAGGATATGCATCAGGCCCACTTGGGGGGTAGTAAGGACGACCTTCAGTGCTTGAAGAGTATGAGTGAGTATATTGGTGGCCAGCTCTGTATGACCCAGCAGGCAAGAGCTGCGGTGTCCTGTTCTCAGATAACGGGGGGACAGCTGGGAGTGGTCGATTGTAAGGCGAACTTCCCATACCAGGATGATAGAACAACTCGGGCATATCATCACGAGACGGGCTATCGCTTCCAGATCTCCCACTTTGTCGAGAGTCGGAGAGACGGTGGTGAAGCAAAACTTGCTCGTCTCCTTCGTCAAAGCTAAGTCTGTGTGATTGAGAAGTTGGTCTCTGTAATCCGCCAGTGCCAAAAGTATCAACTCTGGCAGCTTCGAAAGCGGGGAAAGGATGGATATCTCCAACTCCAGGGATAGAATAGTCAGTCATTCCTCCCAGTCCAGCGGCTGTTGTGTTTCGACTGTAGCTGTCAGAGCGTCCTAGTTCTTGTGGTGTTGGTAGAGGTCGACTCTGATCGTCCATCTCACTACTGTGGCCAGTATGCACTCCACTTAAATCGTCTCCATAAGACATGTGTGCATCATATCCTCCCCCAACAAGACCCAAATCCATATGCTTATAGTCACTGTCGCTGCTTTCTTCTTGGGATAGAGACGGTACAGCCTGAGGCTCATAAGTTCCAAAGCTCAAAGCACCTCCCATCTGATCCTGTTCTTCAGCGATGCGCATAGCTTCAAGTCCAGCTGCGGCTTCCAGGTCGCTCTCTTCATCGTCGGCATAGCGGTTGTAAGTCGGTTCACGATTGTGCAAAGTCGAAGCATTAGAGGCATATCGATCCACACTCGCCGCACCAATTGTAGTTGCCCTCGAATCATACCTATGTAGATCTTGAAGTTCGCTATCCAAAAGGTCGCCGTTACGTTGATCGATTCCTTGTGGTCTGCCCCGCCTCGAAGCCGAACTCCCAAGCGCATCCCCGATATCCGCAAATAGCTGTTCTTGAGAGGGACCCTCGTTCTCGTGTAAACCCCAATCGTCATCATCGCCAGTGTCGCTATCTACGGGAGCGCTCGGTAATGGTCTCAACGTCGGATGTCTCTGGAGGCCGGAACCGCTAGGTGAGCCTTGCTGAGACAGTGGTGGGAGGGATGATCCAGCGTTGGAGTGACTCGACGATGGTTTCGTTCTGTTGCCGAATGAGTTCATATCTTCACTATATGCTGGCTGTGATTGGGACACAGGCGGTTGTGAGTAGCTTCCGTAGTCGGGGTAAGTGTCTTGGCTTGTGGCGATAGGCCTATACGCACCCTGGCCGTAGTTATCACCATTTGTGGGATATGGGACGGTGGACGTTGGGGGAGGATTGTATAATGGTTGCCGAGAAGGAAGAGGAGCCGAACTCGAAGGGTTATAAGTCGGGCTAGCCAATGGTTGTTCATATGGTCGAGAAGGCACCGGCGGGGGATACTGTTGCATATTCGACTGGTTCGGCCAGTAGGAAGGAGAAGCTGGGACTTGCTGCAATGCCGGCGAGTTATATGAAGTCTGATACGTATTGTAACCAGAGACCGTTCCATGCCGAGCTGGTTGCGAGCCCGGTTGAGGGGCTTGATACAATGCCGGATTGTACGGTTGGTGTGATGCAGTAGTTGGACTTGCAAGATTGTATGCTGGTTGTGGTCGGTACGGGTTTGCTTGCGATTGAGATTGTGTCCGAGCAAAGTTCTGAGGATTGTATGGCACCTGCGACAGACCTGGGGATTGTGGAGCACCAGGAAAAGGCTGGTATTGATGCTGGTATCCAGACATTGCAGAGCTTCCAAATGTACTTTGACCTGGTGAGCGAGGACTTTGAGAGACTGGACTCGTCAAGAACATCTCCTCTTGTGGCATATTTGCTGTCCGTCCTGGCACTGAGGAAGCCACAGCACTGCTCTGATATCTGTTGCCATTCGAATCGAAGCCTGCCCCATCATCTCCATTGTCGAAACTCGACTGCCTATGTAAGCCCGGGTTGTAGTTCGAGTCCTGTGTGCCTGGTGGTCCATATTGCTGTGGCGGCACAGAGCCGTATCTGCGAGAACCGTTGGCTCTGAATGACATATTTGCGGCGGCACAAATTGGCGCGCAGTCGAGTCAGTACGCCCTATTGCAGAGGAGGAGAGGAAATCGACAGAGATCGATGGTCTAACGATGCGACCTGCGATCTTGGGCTCGTGGCCACTTGCAAAGATTCGAGGTGAAGTCTCGCATTTGATAGCGTCGTGCGCGGGCAGGAAGATTCTGACCTGAAAGTGAGGACCAAGGACTATGACCCCATCCGCTCACTGTTCCATATGCTCTCGAGGAGCGTATCCGCTTGGCAAGGTGAACTCGTCGTGATGAGCGATTCACGAGGCTCTGGTCGTTCGTTCGGGGCTTCAAAGTCCTTTGCTTGCGACAGCACACACCGGCATTCGTAGGCTCCAGCCGCGATCCCAGGGCTCATTCAAGTTGCACTCTCTCAACGCCCGCGGGAGAGTCTCGATAGTAAGGCGATCTGTAGGGCTCTTGACCTCGCAGCCACTTTTGTCCAAGGTGGGATGCTTTTTACAGAAGATTACGGGCACAGTAATGTTCGAGAGCTGAGCATATCGAAAGTGTCGCAAGCTTTTCGGTTGTGATTGGCCATCACTTTACATAAGCTGGGATGCTCGAAGACAGCTTATTGCCAGTACTAAGGTGCATACGAGTAAACCTATGATAAATACATATAATTGAAGTTATCTTTGCACTCATATTCTACATGTTTACGGTTTCCTTCACACCTCAACGGGCGTTCTAGATTCCTGGATGATCAGAGTCCATCAGGAGTTTGACAGCCGCGAAGGAGTTGGAGCTGCGCCACACAGCCCTATGAGAATATGTGGCTAGTGAAAGCAGGACAACAATGGTATTGAAACAATCGATTCGAGTTCCACGTCTGTGCTGTGTCAGAGCATTAGATTCCTTTTGTTGCTTATCTTGCCTGCTTCCCAGGTCTCGATTTAAAGTTATAGAGACACATTTCAGAAGTGATAAGGCTGATGAGTTGGTTGACCACGCAGGCGGTTAAAGAAAGTTAAAGGTAGCGGCATGCTTTTTTGACCTGTTGGACATCAGAATGGCGTCGGCTGCGGTCGATCTCGCCCCCAAGATATTTATACTTCTTTGATTCTTCAGCATCTGCAGTGCTTGGGCACGATGACGAATTCTCTCAAAGTGTATTGGTCAAATGAGTCCGATAGTATCTCTCATCAGCATCGGCTGAAGGCGGCAAGTCTCTAATGGGGGGTTTCCAGCTGTTTAATTCTTTGACCTAGGATAGACGAACGATTGAGATGATAGGACGCCTGGTCATGGTTTTCTTCTTGGAAACGGCACTATCATGAGAACATGTGAAGAGAAAAATAGATCTATATCTACAAGATAGAAGCAACAATAGAAACCCGCAGTAGAAGGATTGGGACGACCCTTATCTGCCTTGTATCCTTGATTTCTCGATTCCGAAGAACTGGAAGTGAACCATGGGTCCTGCGCCGTACGGCAGTTAGAGGTTAAAGTGTGCCGTACATATGTAGTACGAGAAAAACAGTTGATGTTTCATGTTGGTGCAAAATCCAGAATCAAATGTTTGATTCTTGTCCCAAGTTCAGCCACGACAAGACAGTTGCAATTCTTGATGTACTCAATCAGGTTCCCATGCTTCCACGGCGTCGGCGAGGTCTTGAGAAGCTGCAGCTTATGGGCGATGTAGAGCGGAAGCTGCGGAATACCTATCCCTGTTTGGCTATTCGCTTCAAACTTGATGCCGTGATGTTGGAAGTTGCTCTCGGACTTCTAGTATCCGAATTAGAAGAATGTTTCGTTTCATAGCTGTCAGACTGCTGAGAATTCCTTTTGACAGTCCATAGCAAGGAGAGAACGACCAGGAGATCGAAAGAACTATCGTAGAATACATAGATGCCTCCCACGTGATAGCTTGTGCTGCCCCTCCGTCGGCAGCACCAGGCCGTTTGAGTTTGTAAGCTCAAGCTCTTCCGACGCGATTCGAACATCCCCGCTTCGGACTTTCGTCATTTGTTCCCTCTCAAACTCCATCCTTCGTTTCCCACTTTCCACAACACTTCAATTCAGAAATCAATCATCAAACAAACAACCAAAATCAATCAAAATGGTCAAAGCAGGTGCGTGTGCATGTTTCTTTATTGCGGCCCGTTCCTGGCTTCGTACCACTCGGGATTCAAGCTGGATGGCGGGGTCGCTAGAGACAATATGAGCATGATTCGACCTCATGGGGCGAATTGCAACCCGGATGGTTACCATCTAACCTCATTTTATCTGGTATTCTATCCAACTACAGCCTGTTATTCTACTGTCCTCTGCTGCATGATGCACTCTCCAGATCCTTGCTGACCTTGTCGCTCTTCTATTGCAGTTGCTACCGTCCGAGGAGACTCGAAGATCTCTGGAACCGTTACCTTCGAGCAGGAGTCTGAGAGCTCCCCCACCACCATCACTTGGGATATCAAGGGCAACGACCCAAGTGCTAAGCGTGGCATGCACGTCCACCAATTTGGTGACAACACCAACGGCTGCACATCCGCTGGCCCCCACTGTCAGTTCTCAAATATCATACATCATATCGGGATAGGACTGAACGTTTCTAGTCAACCCACACGGCAAGACTCACGGTGCTCCCACGGATGAGACCCGTCACGTTGGTGATTTGGGCAATTTCGAGACCGATGCTCAAGGCAATGGCAAGGGTTCCACTACAGACAAGCTCATCAAGTTGATTGGCCCTGAGAGCGTCATTGGCGTACGTTCTTCATCTGATATTGAGTGACTACGGCTAATGAGATCTAGCGCACCGTTGTTGTTCACTCCGGAACTGATGATCTCGGCCAAGGTGGCAATGAGGAGTCCAAGAAGACTGGCAATGCCGGTACTCGACCTGCTTGTGGTAAGTAGCTCTTTAGCCTTGCTTACTTTTGAGCTCTTGCTAACTTCAACCTTCAGGTGTTATTGGCATCGCAGCTTAAGTTCCTAACACAGAAAATATGTGGAAGGGTATGAAAAGTAAGCCGGCTTAGCTCTCTAGTCAGAATCAAAACTATGCACACGAACTCTATTCCTAGGAAGCCATGAATTGATACCTTCTTTGTGATCCTTAACCTCGGTGCAAAGCAACTTTTAAGTCACAAATTGCTACTTGAATTTTGACTTCTATCAGTTCAAAGGAAAAGGTCGATTCCGTAGTCAACTTGTTCAACACCCATTTTCAGAGACCAAAGAATTTCTGGAACTCAACAAAACTTGAACTAACTCTTGTATTGTAAAGGTTCCTTGCATAACAATGTCCAACACATCCCCACATGAAATAAGGCAGGGTTTGTCCCCATATCAGATAATACACATGTATCTAGAACGGACACAAGTATATCCTCAACTTGCTAAAATCACGCTATTTCACAAATTCAAAGGTCGGCATTTCTCAAGACAGCCAAAAACAGCCAGAAGTGTCAAGCTGAGCGCCGTGTCTAACACGATCATCTACGGTGGATGGAATTCAAGCAATATAATCAAAGAGACGCTATTGTCCTCTACTCAAGGCCGGCCTCTGGCCTTTGTTCCAACTCCATGGATGTGATCTCAAGATAGCAAGATAATAATAGCTCTTCGACCCCTCCATTACTATCAGCACGTGGTCGGCAAAATTTCCTAAAACAGCTACGCCATGACACACCGCCATGGATCTATGGGAGGGGTCGAGTTGTGCACACGAGCTCTTAATTTTGAAGTGTTGATCTGTCTTCAACGTTGACAATTTGTTGCCCCATACCCACCGCGATCATTGAAGACTGCAATCTTGACTTGGAAGAGAATTTGACCACTTGGACCTGTCCATTGAGAAAATACCAATTCAAAAAGTGAGTAAACAATCTCATTGCTGTCCAGAAAAGTCCCCTCCCGCAGACGAAAGGCCGCATGCCGTTACCCTACTAAAGAATACCTGTGGCCAAGAATGGAAACGAAAGAAGACCGCGCAGAATACTTTAGGACTACAAAAGAGGCTATTGGAGTTAAGCTTGTCGTTTCAATTCTGCTTTTGCTCGTAGCAATTGCTGCAAATTGTACCTGCCTTGTCTACTCGCCCCGGTCCACTAGCCAATACCAAAACCTACGTCTACAGCAATTCATCTGGACCTTTGAAAGCTGCATATATGGTTTAGGCTTCCGACAGCGTCCGCCACATTCTTTGCAGAAGCTTTCCTGCCGGCCAATCGTACTTCAAAACTGCTACGCTAAAGCTCCGGAAGCACACTCGCAACCGCAACATTGCAAGGAAATTTTACAAAACCAAGACTACGCTCATGACACTTGGTTACCAACCAAACTCAACATGCCTGTCTACACCCACAAGATCGGTTATGCGACCAAGCAAAGCAGTCCTAGCCGCAAGTCCTCTACGGAGTCGTCGAAGACTTCACAGAGTAGCAATAGTAGAAGTATCTCTGCTAACATGATTGCCCCATTTCCAGCCCCGAAGCCTACGATCGAGCCATTTCCTGCGCCAAAGCCGTTTATTGAGCCTTTTCCAGCTCCAAAGCCAGAGCTCGAACCGTTTCTTGCGCCAACGTCCAAGCCAGCTAGAAAGCCATCTCCTCTATCTGAGTCGTCTCCTTCAGGAAAGAAGTTCGCCCCAAACGTCCCAGCCGCCGACTACAGAAACATGGTTCTTCAAGCAGCTAGAGTCAAGTCGGTCCTGAGTGGCGACAGTCTTATTCTGTGCTCGCAGACAAATCCGGACGCTGAGAAAACCCTCTCTCTGGCATATTGTACATCTCCGCATCTGAAGAAGGAGGGCGACGAACAATGGGCTTTCGAATGTCGCGACGCATTGCGCAAGTTGGTCGTAGGAGTGAACGTTCAATTCAGCGTCCTCTATGCTATACCCAATACCAAGCGAGAATATGGTCTAGTCTATCTTAATGATGGACGACGTCTACCTGAGGAAATGGTCAAGCAAGGATGGTTGAAGCTCAGAGAAGATGCTGGTAGAAAGGAAGACTCCGAGGAAGCCTTGCAACATCTTGATCAATTGCGCCTCCTCGAAGCAAAGGCTCGTGCAGATGATCTTGGCATGTGGCAGACCAGCGGAGGCCGTATTGAGGTTAAGCATGACATGGGTGATTCTAAGGCCTTCTTGGACGAATGGAAAGGCAAGGAGGTTCGTGGGATAGTCGAGCGTGTCTTAAGTGGCGACCGTATGCTTGTTCGCTTGTTGGTGTCACCTACCAAGCATTATCAAGGTAGATAATCTCTTTCGTGGAGAGAGTTTCAGTAGCTAACATATTTCAGTCATGACTTTGGTTGCCGGTATCCGCGCTCCCACCACCGAACGAGTTAACCCCTCCAATGGACAAGTACAACCAGCAGAAGAATTTGGTAACGATGCTAGGAAATTCGTCGAAGCCAGATTGTTACAGCGAGAAGTAAACTTGGAGATCCTCGGTCTGAGTCCACAAGGTCAACTTATTGCCTCCGTAAAGCATCCTAGACATGGCACCATCGCGAAGCATATCCTGGAAGCTGGTCTGGCAAGATGCAGCGATTTCCATTCAACCATGCTAGGAAGTGGGATGGCCGCACTCAGGGAAGCCGAGAAGGTAGCTCAGGAAGGCAAGAAGGGTGTCCACAAGGATCACGTTGCAAAGGCAACATCTGGAGGCAGCAATTTAGAAGCCCAAGTCACCAAAGTCTTCAGTGCAGATGTCATCTTTGTCCAAAATCGAGCCGGAGTCGAGAAGCGCATCAATCTTAGCAGTATCCGTGGTCCTCGACAAAACGAAGCTGCTGAAGCACCCTTCAGAGATGATGCAAAGGAATTCTTGCGCAAGAAGGTCATTGGAAAGAAAGTACGATTAAGCATTGATGGTACTCGTCCGGCAAATGGCCAGTATGATGCCAAGGAAGTTGCAACAATCACTCTGAATGACAAGAATGTCAACCTCCTACTGGTTCAAGAGGGCTGGTGCTCTGTTGTTCGACACAAGCGAGATGATTCCGACCGCGCCCCAAATTACGATGAATTGTTAGCCGCAGAAGAAGTCGCAAAGAAGGAAGGCAAGGGAATGTGGTCCGGAAAGCCAGCAAAGGCCAAGCAATACAACGATGCATCGGAATCAGTCCAAAAGGCAAAATTGCAAGTAGGCAGTCTTCAACGTCAAAAGAAGATCCCAGCAATTGTCGATTTTGTCAAGGGCGGATCTAGATTTGTTGTTTTGGTTCCTCGCGAGAGCATCAAGATTACCTTGGTCCTCAGTGGTATTCGAGCACCAAAGTCGGCTAGAAACCCCACCGACAAGAGCGAACCTGGTGGACAAGAAGCTCATGATCTTGCTACTAAGAGACTGACCCAGCGCGATGTTGAGATTGATATTCACAATATCGATAAAGTTGGTGGCTTCATTGGAGATCTCTACATCAACAAGGAGTCTTTTGCCAAGATTCTGGTAGAGGAAGGCCTTGCAACTGTCTGGCAAAGCCAAGCTGAGCAGTCTGGTACTGGGAGCGAGTTGTTTGCAGCCGAGCAACGAGCCAAGGCCAGCCGAAAGGGCATGTGGACAGCTTGGGATCCATCTCACGACGGAAATCCCGAGACTGAGAAGCCTACTAATGGTACAAATGGAGATGCTGCTGTCCCACGTGCAAAGGATTACCGACAAGTTGTTGTTACACACATGGATGAGTCCGGAAAGCTAAAGATTCAACAAGTCGGCACTGGTACCTCTGCTCTTGAGACCATGATGGCAAAGTTCAGGTCTTTCCACTTGAACCCAGCCAACAACAAAGGCTTCGAGGGTCCTCCCAAGACAGGCGAGTACGTTGCTGCTAAGTTCAGCGAGGATGGAGAATGGTACCGTGCTCGAATCCGTGCCAACGACCGCACTGCCAAGGAAGCCGAAATCGTTTACATCGACTTCGGTAACAGTGAGAAGATCGCATGGTCTCGCCTCCGTCCTCTTACTCAACCCGAATTCGCCCACACCAGCCTTCGTCCCCAAGCCGTCGATGCAGCTCTGTCCCTCATTCAATTCCCAACCAACAAGGACTATCTGGATGATGCAATCAACTTCGTCCAAGAGATTACTGCTGGCAAGGAACTGGTTGCAAACGTCGACTACACTGGATCAGACGGAACCCTGTTCATCACCTTGGGCGAGGCAAGCGCAGCCGAGACCATCAACGCAGAGATCATTGCTGGAGGCCATGCTATGGTTCCTCGCAAGCTGCAGAAGTGGGAGCTGGGCATGTCTGATATTCTGAAGGGTCTGAACGAGAAGCAAGAAGAAGCCATTCAAGGTCGACGCGGTCTCTGGGAGTATGGTGATTTGAGAGAAGATTAGAGGATTGTGCATACACTGCGTTGATTTTCTGCTCTCTCTTTCGCGATTGATTGTTTGCATTCATTGCGTGGTTGGGAAAAGAATTCTTCTTCTTCTTCTTGAAAAAATGCATTGCATGGATGGATGGACAAATGATTGCATAGCCAGACAATACTGGGTTGCAGGTAGATTACTGCGAACCTAAACGAATAAATGAATAAATGACAACGATTGTTTCCGTTCTCGTCCAGTGAAATGTGAAATTCCTGCCGTTGTCATATGTAGAGTCCTTTCCCGTCTCATCATGTTATTTGGGAACAATTTCGTACTTTTACAAATTTAAATGCGTGAATATTGCTCCAGTTCTTGGTGAGAGACGAAAAGGATTAGAAGGGAACGAAGAACACCGGAGTAAACACACGACATGATATGACATGGCAGAAGCGAAGGTCCCGACAGAAGAGACCCTCTGGCTTGAAGATGTACAAGAAAACCCACTCTCTTTCTATACATACACAAACAAGTACCCCATTCTTAGAAATCTCATGCAAGCCGACATACTTATCAGGCTCCACTAATGCCCTCTCTATTTCCCCCCTCTAACACTCCCTTCAATTATCGGCTGTTAAAACAATTATACCCACGAAGACGTACTCTCCAATTAGACGATATTACTCTCTCGTCCGGACGGGTAGGAAGGAAATACTAACTCGTCCGGTAAAAGAACCTCCCGTCTTCTGGCAAGCACACCATGGAGTTCCACCGTACGTCTCGCCAGACACAATCGTCTTTCTCAACACCCCATTTCTACAGATTTTCTTGTCAAATTAATGGGTTTTTTTTTAAATTTTTTAATTTTCGTCCAATCGTGGACACAGGATATGAGTTGGTCTGTGCGAGTCATCAATGTTGGGTGTGAACAACTTGCCAGATCTGCATTACGAATGTCCTTTATCCGCCGGTCTTCAGTGGTAGTTATCCTTATCTTACTCAATTTGAAAGAGGAGCCTTGTTCACTCTAAGGGGACTGTCAAAAAATTAACTGGATGGATGGACCGGGCTTCCACTCGTACCTAGGTACTGGACGTCCTCACTAGCAACATCTGCCGGCTACATATTAAAACGTGATAAAAAGGAACGGTCTTTGTTTATTTAGGGTAGGATAAGAAACGTTGTGGACTGTTCGGTAGTATCCACACATCAAAATCAGCGCATCAAAGGAACCTTCCCTCCATAAGGTCAAATGCGTGAATCCTACCACCACTTCCCACAATGTCAGAACCGGTAAATCGTGCCCGCCCAACGAGAAGGTATAAAAAGAACACCTCCTCCTCTACCAAACAACAATAAACTCCCCTTATTTGAGATGAGATGTTATGCTCGCCGGGTGCGTCCCGTCGATCCCCTCTACTTGTTTGTCTGTGGCATCCTCTTCCCTGGTGTTTGCTTCCGTTGACGGTCATGTCCATCGAGGCTTGGACACGGAGGTATAGTACAGACGAATGGTTCTGAACATTGCGTTGTTAAGCTTATTAAGGTTTGGCTGTATATAACTGGACGATGGGTGAGAAAAAAGGCATAGGTACTGAAAGATTAACGTCTAATATCCTTTATAAATGCGTTGTTAAGAGAATTGCATTCATTTGGTAAGACATACCTGTAACCGGACGACCAGGAAATTCTTACTTGCAACAAACGAAATTATTCTTTGCATTCAACCATGAGAGAGTATTGTTATGATACAAATAGTACCAGACAGACAAGTAGCAAATGCATGTTCCAAGGATTGAGGAAAGTAAGTAACTTCACAGCGAAGAAATGAACGAGTCACTAGGGAAAGAGAATATAAAGGTCAAAGCAAGTTGTATTGGCACAAGTTACATCTGGTGTACATGCCTCCCAAGTCAGTCCGTCGCTAAGGTTCAGCGTCCATGAGGACGACCATCAAACGCCGGGCGCCAATCCCCAAGAGACTTTTTGCTCCGTCCAGAGCCCGCCATCGGACCCCTTCTGCCATGCTTAACATAGGAAACCTCTCGCTCTCGTCGTTTAATTGTACTAGGTCTGAAAGCAAACTCCGCCTCCTGTTCCTCATCTATAGCTACGTCCAGCTTAGGAAGAGTATTTTCTCGTTCCTTCTCGATAACATGTATCGCCCAAAGAAGTGTCATGAGAGCTTCCACACTCGGTGAACTGCCCAACTCATGACGACTAGGACCCACAGAGGAGAAACAGTTGGAGAGCTGCTGTTCAGACGCTAGCCGCATTGCCACCATCGTCGCATCCTTAAGAGGACGCGCCAAGTTGGGGCTGCAGGCTAGCAGTCGTCTCAGCAAGCAGATCCGAAGACTGAGTCTCGGGCGCGGGCTGGTCGTCGTTGTTGATGTATTCATCGAAGGTGAAGTTGTCAAAGACGCCTTCGTTGTAGTGAGCCATATTATCAAATTCAGAATTGAATTGGTTGGCGATAGCGGGGAGTTCGTTTTCAAGGAATTGACGATCTGCGTCAGGGGTATGGCTACGGTCGAAATAACCTCCGAGCTCAAAGTTAGCAAGAGCGTTGTGATCAAGACTCTGAAACCCATAACCGCTGAGACTGAATCCATCCAGGGCCTGGGCTCCTCCGACTGACACTGCAGGTCGCACAACATCGCGGCAGGATGTTGTGTCAGGTCGGAGGAATTGGCGTTGGAGGACTCAGCAACAGGGCGGATCTCAGGAGATAGTGAGGCTGGGTTGACAGTCTTGACTGGTTGAGGTAACGCTTGTGTGCTGATTGGTCGGCTTTCAATTTCTTGTTGGCCGAATATGGTGGTTGTGAAGGTTACTGGACTCGATTGTCGGAGCTCAGCAATAGGCGATGATGCGGCTGGTGAAGAGGCGAAGACGCTCATGTTGCCACCCTTCATTTGTTCCAGTTGGCGTTGAAGGTGTGCGTTCTTTGCTTCCATATCTGCCAGGCGAAGTTCGAGGTCCTTGGCTTTCCGCTCGACGGCCATCTTCTCAGCCTCGAGCTTCTCGACCTCTTGTCGCTTTCGTTCCCTTGATGATTGAGCTGCGCGACGGTTTCGGAGAACTCGCTCTACTCGTCGTTGCTCTTTCTCATCTTCAGTCTTTGCTCGTTTTCTGGAAAGCGGATTAGCTGATTGGTCAACGATAGTAAATTGTTTATCCAGTATGTACCTCGGTGGCAGATTAGTCTTGGGTTCTGGTAATTGTTGCCCCCACGATTTCCTCTTCTTGACTGGCTTCTTCTCGGGCGCAGGGGTGCCAGCGACACTGGGATCCATCGAGCCTCTGAAGTTGTCGTCGTCGTATGATTGAGGAGTCATGGCATCGAGAGGCTCCATGTCATCGTCGAAGAGAGGTGGGTATGCGGTACCTGGCGTCGAGACAAAGCTGTCGGCCAGGCTATCCGCAGGGGAGTTCTCGAACTTGATGTGAGTAGTGGACTCCATTGTGAGTGAATGTACAATTTTGTGCCGGTGATAATGGTGGTGGTTGTTGTTGTTGTTGGTAGCTTGCTTGAGTGTATCTGGATAGCTTGTGCCTGTGTCCAAGTCCCTCCCGTCGCTCAGTAGTTGTAAGCTGCAGGTTAGGCCATGACGAAGGGGACACAGTGGCCTTGGTACGCTGGATGACTCAGTGATCCGGGCAGGCAGCAGTAGTATGCTGTCGACCCAATCAACGAGCGGCGTGTGGGTTGTCGGTGCTTTCTTTCTGTGATGGAGGCTATCAATGCTATGGAGTCGAGAAGGAGCAGGATGGTGGGAGGGAAGATGTGTTCTTATGTTCAGGACACAGTGGTCTCAATTTAGGCGAGAGCTGACCACCCTGCACTGCGCCTTTCCGGAATGGGGATGGGGGCCATGGCTTTTATTAGCCCCCCCTCGCCTCCTTCCCCTTCCTTCCTCCCTTCCTCCCTTCGATGAACCTCGTAATACCCGTGTAATTTCGAAGTAAGTCTCTCACTCCCTGGCTGGGTCGGGTCTGGTCTCTGGTTACGCTTGGCTTGACGACTTGGACTTAGTCCCTTTCCTTCCGCAGCGCTCCATGCATTCATCCGCCCCACACGGAGAGCGACGACAATAGAGTCAAGACTCCAACAGTTCACCAAAAAAGGCATGGTTGATAGCCCGGTCCCAAGGAATCCCCATAACTCGTGGAACAACAGAATCTGATCGAACTCCAGCCTGTTTCACAACGGAGTCGTGCACCGTGGCGCGGTACTTGATTTGTTACACACTTACGAACGACCAGACCACAATTGTGAGGAATAGGGGTCCCGGCTGTCGTCGATCAGCCAGCCAGACCCATCCTTGGTACCCGAGAGAGAGAGCTGCTGGTCCGGACGGAAGATGGAGCATTCTTCCCACGGAACCCCGCGTATCACTGAGATTCGATATGAACGAAGCCTGGATTCAGAACACTGTACGACCTCATCAATTTGATAAAATGAAGTTCTCTATCCTCTGTATCTTCTGACCAAGATCGTCTTGATCGCCATTCCAGGCAAAAAGAATACACACCACGAGATGGATCTCGCCCTCCTGAGTCAGCCATGGCAGTCAAGAAAGCAGCGATTACCCCTTTATGTCTCCAAAAACAAAAATATCACATAGTTTGCGTGCCCCTTGCAGCCCACACATTCTTCACGCCTCACCTCAGATCTGCGCACGGAAACATATCAACAACGAGACGGCCGCACAAGCAAATCAGAGCATTGTTTCGCCCACGGCATCACATCACATTAGTCGCGGCCTCCGTCCGTCCCAAGAAAGTCAACTCCTCGTGTAACACTCAAAACGAAGCCTGTACGAGGATCGCCTCAACCATCAGTCCATGCGTGCACGAAATTGAGTAACAATACTCTGCCTCGCATAAATCTCTGTATTATCAACTGATTCAGTTCAAACTCATCCCATCTCATCGAGACAAAAAGAAATTTACCTTTCGATATTGGCAGTGTTCCGAAGAACCCTAATCTGGACCCCTTTCCCTTTAAGCCGGAATCAGAAAAGAAAATCAATTTAATTAGATTGACGGCGGCCCGTCTCGCCCTCACGCCCTCCCTCGTGTACCAGTGCCACATGCAATGCATCGGTATCTTTGGGCCCGTCGCCGCAATAATTGATACGAAAAGAGAAAGTGCTGCTGCAGAAGCGCTGAAGAAATGTGCATCGTGGTGAAGGCTGAGCAAGCTTCGCCGTCCTTCCCTATTGGATATTCTGTCTAGACCAATGCAATTGTGATGACTGCAGAGCATATCAGCTTTGCCTCGTTTCTTTTCATTCGCATTCTGTTTCAAATCATCATTCTTTGTTCGCTCGGCGGCCGTCTCTCGTCAGATAGGTATGGCACAGTAAGCATGTTCTTTTTCCTCTTTCCATCATTTTCAAACCGATCATCAAGTTCGGATCATCTCCATCCCTTACCCTAATCCTCCTCCTTACTCGAGCCTAGCGTATTGCGCACTTGACTCCGTACCACACAGACTCTGCAGGGGCACCTCTCTGTTTCTTCCCCCTGACACACGGAAGTTTCAAAGCTTCGATTCTGGAAACGAGAAAGGGCTCTGTGCGGGTTGCCGAGAGATGGTGGCGCACATGAATTTGTATTTTTCCATATTGTGGGAGAGATCATGAGGGAAGGAGAATTTTTATATTGATGCATGGGAGGAAGGGAAGGGAAGGAGGAGATGGAGACATTAATTCATTGATTAGGAGTGCGGGGTGCATGATGGAAGGGCAGGAGAAGGGAGGTTGTGCATGGGGAAATTAGCAGGTGGGTGAGAGAATATATGTGTCACGTGGGTGTCTGGGGGAAAGAGGGCAGGAGGAGAAGCTGGTAATGGCTTCATGTATCTTTTCGTAAAGTGAGTATAGAATATAAGAAGTACTCTTGTGAATTCAGTACTCCCTAGGTATCTCAGGATAGGTACACTTACTTAGACTTAACGATTGAGTCACAAAATATATCACGTGTATAGACCTCTCAACCTTGGAATAGGTATCCCAAGGTCTGCATTTTCCTTCCCAATCCGAACCAGAGAGAATCACAAGAACCTCTCTAAGCTTCCCAACTTCTTAAAACTTCCCAAACCTCTCAAAATCCTCTCTAACATCCTATCATGCAACACTAACACCAAACTCACTCTCCAACAACACCCAAACTTCCATCTCTCTCTAACTCTCCCATCAAGCGACCAAAAATGCCCCAACCAACCCCCCTATCCCCCTCGCTTCCCACGCACCCTCCAATCGCAATCTCCCTCCCCGCCCACGCAAGAGCCATGTCCCCATCCGAAATCTCCACCCACACGACCTTCATGCGCGAAGCTCTCTCCATGGTACTTTCTCCTCCTTCCTTCCCTCTCTTCTTTCCACCAATCCCCAACCCCTCCTCCTCTCTCTCCAACTCACAAAAAACAGGCCACCCACGCCCTCCACACCTCCGAGACCCCCGTAGGCTGCATCTTCGTGCACATCCCTACCTCTACTATCATCGCCCGCGGCTGGAACCAGACGAACGCCTCGTTTAACGGGACGAGGCATGCGGAGTTTGTTGCTTTGAATGAAATCCTCGGCACCCCAGTGAATGGGGAGGATGGGAGGGATGGGGAGAATGGGGGGAATGGGGAAAAGGGGGAGAAGGGAGGGAGATGTGGGATAGAGGTGTTGAAAGAGTGTGAGCTTTATGTCACGGTTGAGCCGTGTATTATGTGTGCGAGTTTGCTGAGGCAGGTTGGGGTGCGGAGGGTGTGGTTTGGGGCTGGGAATGAGGTTGGTTTTTTTTTTTTTTGGTTCTTGGGAGGAGGCGATTCTCGAGAGCTGGGAGTTTTCTAGTTGTCTTTCTCTGTCACTTTTCACAGTGCTAATTATTCCCTGGTAGAAATTCGGGGGCACAGGCGGAGTGCTCAACATCCAGAGCGGGAACGGGAGGTGGGATTATGAGGATGATGATGAGGGGGATGGGGAGAGGGCAAAGGAAGAAGGTGATTTTGAGGTGTCGGGCGGGTGGGGGAGGGAGGAGGCTATTGTGCTGTTGAGGCGGTTTTATGTTCAGGAGAATGGGAGGGCGCCGGAGGAGAAGAGGGGGAAGGAGGGGAGGGTTTTGAGGTTGGATGTTGAGCCTTTGGGTGATGGGAAACGGGAGGAGAAGGAGGGTGGTTGAGTGAGTGAGGTGTAGGTGGAGTTGGGGTATTAGAAGTAGCTCTTGGTTCTTGAATGGGTTGGAGCTTAGAAGAGGAGTTCAGGGAAGAAGTCCAAGAAGACGAATAAGCAGCGCGAGCTGACATAGGGAGCTTTATAGAAGGTTGCATTGCTGCAATAGCGATAGAGGATATGATACCCAAATCAAACCACCGAAAAGAAGTATGCTTAATCGACAAATTTAATTCCCAATATGTACAAAGCACTCTTTACCTCTATCCCATATCTCACCTCTTCTCAGCCTCCAACTCCCTCTCAGCTTGCTGATAATACTTCGCCGTATCTACCCCATGCTGATTATGATTCACAAAGTTGAACCACGGCATAACATGCAACCACAACCCCGAATACCTCGAGTTTCGACTCGCCACTCCCTGGATATACGGCGTCGTGCTGCTCACGCCATACAACGGCTCCCCCTTCTTGACCTTGGCTACCATTTCCTTCATATCCTTTTCTACCTCGCGGGAATTCTCTGTGAAGCCGTAGAATCGCACTGTCCACGGCCAATCAGTATATAGTGATCGAAGGAGGGGCTGGAGACGAACGTATTGAGCGTTGATAAGTCATCAGAAATCCAGCTGTCAAGCCGATGGCTCCGGTTAGGCGCATGATGGGTGCGAAACCTCCTTTTCCGACAAGTGAGGGCGAGATTCTCTCCATCAAGAGGAGGATTCCTGGGCCTGCGGTTGCGGTTGCTGCTCCGGCAGCGTAGTCTGAAGTTCGGGCATAGCCAATGACTCGCTTGAAATGTCTATCTTCTCATCAGTCCCGTATCCCTCTCTAGCCGTCTTCTGACATCTCTCTTTTGTCTGGGGGAGCTTACGGATCACTATCAATGAGCTGGATGAGGGCAGGTAATTAGCTTCATTCTCTTGCAGATCGAGAGATAACTTACCGGAAAGTCAGTATTGATCTTCTTCGCTGGCACGTATGGCCGCTGTTCGACGTTCGACATCTTGACTGGGAGATTGATGGCCCAATTGCTGGTCAAGTCCGCATGAGGTCAATCTTCTGATGTTGTTGGAGAGCTTGAGCCGAATGGCGCTAGTGTTTCGATACGGCGACCCAATTCTGCCAAGGGTGACATCGCGCATCGCGTCTCGCTCGATATCTGGGAACGCGGTTCTCGTGTAAAGTGACAGAAGAACTTGGACAACGACGAATTTGCGACTATTGAACTTCTTACAAGAAATATCACTGGGACTTGATTGATTGGGGTTTCACGACTACAAAATTCACGATTTTCAGCATGGCGGATTACGAAAGTAGACCATTGCCAACTGGGGGACCGACTGCTGGAGGGGACGAGTTCGACGATGATCTCTTCAATTATGACGCCGACGAAAATGATCCATTCTCTGAAAATTATGTTACGGATGTTGCGAAAGAGAGAGCAAGGGCGGAAAAGGAGAAAGCTTCGAAGGCAGCTCTAGATGAGGAAGTCAAGATTACCAGGAAACCACAAGCACCACGAGTAAAGTTGGATGAGGATAGGTAGCTAGAATCTCCTAGAGTTATGGATATTCTTGCTGATTGTTCATAGATTACTGTCAGCAGCTGGCATACCCAAGCTACGGAATAAGGCCAAACATCACCTTAAATTCAAGGGCAAAGGACATGAGGTATGTACCATATCCACTTCTGCCAAGTACTTCTTACTTACACAATTAGTATTCTGACACAGCAAGACTGCTTTCCTTCTATCAATTATGGCTCGACGACCTCTTCCCCAAAGCCAGATTCCTCGACGCATTAGCAATGGTAGAGAAAATGGGCCACAAGAAACGAATGCAGATGATGCGAATGGAATGGATCAATGAAGGAAAGCCCAGACCAGACAACGACGACTTATTCGATGAACCCACCTTACCACCAAGAGAAAATGAAGGACGAGAGAAGACTGTACCTCTGGCTCCCATATTCGAGAAGAGAGCAAGTGAGAGACCGAGAACACCACAACCTGATGCAGATGTCGATGCGGAGATGGATGATCTTTATGATGCTACGCCGAAAGCTGCTAGAACACAAACACAACCTGGTTCTCTGTTTGGTGGGGCTGGGACAAGTATATTTGGTAATGCTAAAACTGTGACTGAGGATGAGCCTCTGGAGGATGATCTAGATACGTTGTTGGCTGAGGAAGAGATGCTACAAGCTACGTCGGGGAATGCACAACCTGCTCTAGCTGCTAGTAAGGTAGCAGAAGTTGAGACTGCTATTGATGACGATGAAGAGGCGGCTATGGCTGAAATGGATATGTGGTGATGGGGAGGCCTACAGGGAATCTGGTGTTTGGTGTCTTTTTTGCTTGGAACATGCATCAAATGGCGTAATTGGATGCTGAAGCCTTACGTGGGCTATGTTGAGTAGTCAAATGAACATATGATGACTTGAATCTTTTCGGACAATGTGAATCTTGTTGATGGCGGGGTAGTTGAGCTTTTCAGCCTCGCAAGAGCCTCGCGTATTTCCATGACGCTCTACAAAATAATTAGTTTACTTCGTGTCAATAACCACGAATCTGCCTCCTCTGGCGCACCACAAATTCCGATGGCAGACTCTCTAGTTGATGCTCTAGAGAGAGTACATATCTCTGCCAGTAATAGTGACTCCTTACCAGACGACTGGATTGACTCCATTCTCGACTCGACCCGTCCTCGGAAACGAATAAAGCAATCCCCAGACGCCCTCAAAGCCTCTCTCGAGCAGAAATACCTCACGCCCTCAACCTCCTTCTCTACAGAATGGCTCAACAAACTTCAGCAGTACGTACCTCTCCTCTTCGCATCCTGTAGCAAGACTAACAGAATGCGCTACTCAGACGCTGGGATACTCCCACAGACTATTCCTCCCTCTACAAAATCGCTCCCACACAAACAAGAACCATAACCCGCTTCACGCGCGAAGGACTCTCTGGCCGTGTAACGGGGTATAAGGAAGTCACTGTACCCGCCAACAGCGCAACAGCCAAGAACAGCACGTCGTTCCTCCGCAAGCCTGCCAATAGAGCCGATCTCGTGCGAGGAGCCGCGGGGTTCTTCCCCTTTGCGCCGGGTGGATTAGAGGGCGTGGAAGCGGCTGCTGCGTTAGAAGATCAGATTGTGAGGAACGAGAGTGCTATTCAAGCTGAGGGCAGCAAGAGTAAACTTGAGAGGGTGATCAATTTTAGTGGTGAGGGCGGGTTGTTGGAGATTCCGCCTGGGTTTGAGAGGGGTGGGGAGTTTAAGAAGATTAAGAGGGATGAGGTTGAGGTGAAGGAGGCAGAGGAAGTGGAGAATGTACTGGAAGAAGAGCCGGTGCAGGAATTGGATGATGAAGGAGCGAAAGAGGGTCTTAATGGCACGGCAGATTCTGGTGATGCTTCGGAAGAAGACGGAGAGGATGATATCGATTCTTTGTTACCGGTCGAGTTCCCTGCTCTCGAACCACATGGTGTGCTGGCTGCTTCGAGCGCGAAGAGAGGTGGTCGAGAATGGGCACATATGGTGGACGTCAAGAGAGAGATTACGAATTTCAGAGAGTTGGTCCCGGATATGGCGAGAGAGTGGCCTTTTGAGTTGGATACGTTTCAAAAAGAAGCCGTGTACCATCTCGAGAATGGTGACTCTGTGTTTGTAGCGGCTCACACCTCTGCTGGAAAGACAGTCGTTGCAGAATATGCTATTGCTCTTGCTGCGAAGCATATGACAAAAGCCATCTACACATCACCTATAAAGGCGTTGAGCAATCAGAAGTTCAGAGATTTCAGACAGATCTTTGACGAGGTTGGCATTCTTACTGGAGATGTTCAGATTGCTCCTGAAGCTAGCTGTCTTATCATGACAACTGAGATCTTACGGAGTATGTTGTACAGAGGAGCAGATCTGATCCGAGATGTGGAATTTGTCATTTTCGATGAAGTTCACTATGTCAATGATCTAGAACGAGGTGTTGTTTGGGAAGAAGTTATTATCATGTTACCTGAGCATGTTACACTTATTCTCCTATCAGCTACTGTTCCTAACACTTACGAATTTGCTTCTTGGGTAGGACGAACGAAGCGGAAGGATATCTATGTCATCTCAACTCCAAAGCGACCAGTTCCATTGGAACATTACCTTTGGGCTGATAAGAGTATCCATAAGATCGTGGATGCAGACAAGAAGTTCCTGGAGAAGGGCTACAAGGAGGCAAGTGACATTTTGTCCGGTAGGAACAAGACCAAGGCTTTGCCACCTGCAGAGACCAACAGTCGTGGCGGAGGCAATACTCGAGGAGGCAGAGGCGGGAACCAGAGAGGTGGGAATCAGCGAGGTGGAGGCCAGCAGCGTGGAGGTGCTCAACAACGTGGTCGCGGTGGTCCTCCCAGAGCCAGCCATACTCCTGGTCATATGGGCCGAGGAGGCAGATCTGGTGGCCGGACAACTGCTGCTCAGGATAAGACCCTTTGGGTACATTTGGTGCAATTCCTTAAAAGAGAGACTCTACTGCCTGCGTGTATCTTCGTCTTCTCCAAGAAGCGATGCGAAGAGAACGCAGATGCTCTCAGTAACCAGGATTTCTGCACTGCAACCGAGAAGAGCGCCATTCACATGATCATCGAGAAGTCAATTGCTAGACTTAAGCCCGAAGATCGACTACTACCTCAGATTGTCCGTCTGCGAGATATGCTTGGTCGAGGCATTGCGGTTCATCATGGTGGCTTGCTTCCTATCGTCAAAGAAGTTGTTGAGATCCTCTTCGCACAAACACTGGTCAAGATCTTGTTCGCTACGGAAACCTTTGCAATGGGCTTAAATTTGCCTACTCGTACAGTGGTTTTTTCTGGATACAGAAAGCACGATGGTCACTCCTTCCGAGATCTACACCCAGGAGAGTATACACAAATGGCTGGCAGAGCAGGTCGACGTGGTTTGGATACTGTTGGATCTGTCATCATTGTCACTCCTGGTGGAGTTGGTGAAGCACCTCCTGTTGCAGAATTGAAAGAGATGCTTCTCGGAAATCCTTCGAAACTACAGTCACAGTTCAGATTGACATACAATATGATCTTGAACCTGCTTCGGGTAGAGGCTTTGAAGATCGAAGAAATGATCAAGCGGAGTTTCAGTGAGCATGCCACTCAGCAATTGTTGCCTGAGCACGAAAAGTCTATCAAGGTCTCAGAAGCAGATTTAGCAAAGATCAAGCGTGAGCCTTGTGGTATTTGCGATACAGATCTGGATGCCTGTCATCAGGCTGCTGAAAATTATAGGCAGCTCACTTTGGATTTGCATCTTGGATTGCTCGCCACGCCTGTTGGAAGAAGAATGTTTTCTCCCAAGAGACTCATTATCTACAACAAGGATGGCGTTCGTACACCGGGAATTCTACTTAAGGAAGGCGCTACTACTGGATCAGCTCCAACTGTACATGTTCTCGAAATCAGGACTCGGAGAGATGCAAGAGACACCACTGATCTGCTTCCATTTCTACCGAAGTACCGAAAGTTGTTCACCAAGATGCCGTCAACCAAGAAGGCGATCGCATGGAAGAATCTCTTTATCCCTGTCGCTGATATAGAGTGTGTCACGCAAAGTATCCTCAAGGGTGTTATCCCAGAAGTCTTCGGCAGAGAAGGAGGCTCGGAAGGCCAACAAGGGGCAAGAGACCAACTCTGGCGACTGTGCCAGTCGTGGGAATTGGATGAGTGGAACGAAATGGACTTGACAAGAATCAAAGACTTGGCACTGCGTGAGCTCATTGCTAAACGTAACGAGCAAGCTACAAATGCTCAAAAAGCAGCCAGTCTGTCATGTCCACAATTCGTCAAGCATGTAAGTACTCCTCTTTCTCGTCAAGCATCCTAGTGTTAACAGCGTACAGTTCGCCATGTGCCACGATCAATGGCTCATCCAAGAGAACATTTCCCAGCTTCGCCAACTGATGTCCGACCAAAATCTTCAACTTCTCCCTGACTACGAGCAGCGAATCCAAGTCCTCAAAGACCTCTCCTTCATCGACGACAACTCCCGCGTTCAACTCAAAGGCAAAGTAGCCTGCGAGATCCATTCAGCAGACGAACTCGTCCTCACAGAACTCATCCTCGACAACGTCCTCGCTGCCTACGAACCCGCCGAAATTGTAGCTCTCCTCTCCGCCTTCGTCTTCCAAGAAAAAACCGACATGGTCCCCAACCTGACCGGCAACCTCGAGCGTGGAATGAAAACCATCATCGAGATCTCGGAGAAGGTCAACGAGCGCCAGACGTATCATCAAGTCATCCTCTCCTCGGACGACAGCAACGATTTCGTTTCTCGTCCGAGATTCGGACTCATGGAGGTCGTGTATGAGTGGGCCCGAGGCATGAGTTTCAAGAATATTACAAACTTGACGGATGTCCTGGAGGGCACGATTGTGAGGGTTATTACGAGGTTGGATGAGACGTGTAGAGAGGTTAAGAATGCGGCGAGGATTATTGGAGATCCGGAGTTGTTTACCAAGATGCAGACTTGTCAGGAGATGATCAAGAGGGATATTACAGCGGTGGCTAGCTTGTATATGTGATATTAGATGTGGATTTGAAGGAATGGAAACGAATCTTTGATGAGCTACAAACCTTTGTGATACCGGCTCTTTGTGATGTTAAGTGTCTCTAAATACGTAGCCGTGCTCTGATATTTGTTTCCTGAGACTGGCTTTGCACGTAGAAAGCACGCTGAAAGTTTGCCAGACATTCGAACGTACGGTAGCACTAGTAGCATACAGTGTCACGACAACTAACATCCATGTGGAACTTTGAGGTGTGAGATCAACGATGTATTGGTAATGAAGCTCGACGCCGCGAAAAATGCTCTGCTAAAATACAACGTGATAGAATGTCCGAGCAAGCTCAAAGCTCTATGCTGGAAATGATCCGAAACTCCATGCTAAATCATGCCATCCACCGTCCTGCAAATGCTATGTTCTAAATCCATGCCGATCCGTTTGGAGATCGAGAAAACCCACCGAAAGAATACGCAATAAGGTCATGAGCCATATGGTAAAAGAAAGAAAGAAATAAGAGGAGCCTTGCTTCAGACCTGACGACGGCCCAGAATGTCTTTGACAGCGTTGTCGATTTTTTCTGCTTCGTCGGTAGTGATTTGTCCTCGACGAGCCATGAAAACAGCCATGTTTCCAAATGGCTCAGCGTTGTCCTCTGGGCGATGAAGAAGTTGAGCATGGACGTCACCGTCGTAATTGTATTGCTCATGGCCTGCAGGGAGAATGCCACCGATGCGTGCAAACTCTGCATCAGCCTCAGTGGGCATGAGCTCTGGAATGACGAATCGGCTGGTCAATGCAAAGCGCAACTTGCCTGCTGGCTTCACGGAATGCTGCCAGTTATGTTAGCATGTTTCTAAGTTAATCTGTGACTGCTGCGACACAGTACTCACCTCGTAGTCCTTATGGATGCCGTTGCCATGCATAATCAGAAGATCACCATGCTTGAGAACGATTTTCAAGTAGTCGGCCTTATTGCCTTTGGCTCCCTTGCTCACACCAATTGTGCTCTTCTTCTTAGGGCGGAATTTCATCATTGCATCAGCACCCAACGAAAGAGTTGCGACGGTCGGGCCAAGTGTCTTCTCGCCATCGTCGTGGTACTGTGCACGTTAGCAAGGGTAAATGAAATCTTAGGAGTTGACGTACATCAATTTGACCATCTTCGTAGTATCCCAGAAGAAGGAGCTCATTGAATTCCCGAAACTCTTGCATCTCCTCTCCCAAAGCATGCTCTCCGGCCCAAGTTAGTCGCTTAAGTGCCTTCAAGATGACTGGAGCTGCCTCGCTAAAACCAGTTGTAGTTGGCGTGACACCATATTTGTAGATAGCACCCTGTAATGCGTTAGCGTCCGTATGTTTTGAACTGCATGGGAGGAACTTACCCAATTCGATGCGAAGTGTGAAGTCAAGATTTCGCTGGGTGCTATGAACAATTAGCGACGAGGACGTCAGCTTAATTCAGGAGCACTTACCTCCCGGGCAACGAACAGCATTTCTCTTCAATTTGAAAGATCCATCTTGCAACTGCTTGAACAGATCATCCGGGCCATCTTGTTGCTCGTTGATTACATTGCAGGTCTTGAATAGACGAATCCAACCTGCAACCGTGTTGTTCGATCCAGGAAGAACATACTCGTGAACGTCGTAACGACCGGCAGGAAAGGCTCTGTTAGGGATGTCGTCGTGACAATATTCCCTGAGCTCTTGAGGTTTAGCCATGGCAAGTGCTTCCTCCACTCTAATGACTCTTGGCTTCAGATGATGAACAAAACTGCATGCATCATTCTCGCACTCCCATTGGTGCCATTGGACTCGACGGCTGCAGCAGCCACATTCTGGGCAAATAATGCCAGCTCTGAAGATTTTTTCGTATGGAGTATTGCCAGAGCCATCAAGGTCTGCCTGTGTTGGAAGTGGAGGACTCAGAGGGCCAGGATCCGGTCCGGTGAACTTTGTGCGCTCTCTGAGGAATGCGTCGCTGTATTGAAGGCTTGACGTCTCGACGGTGGCATCCGAGAACTTAAAGAATTGCTGACAATGCGACTGCAAGCAAACCCATCCTTGCTCGTAGAGCTGCTTGCTGGAGTAATGGCAAGCTCCACAGACTTGAATCGTGGCTTTTGGTGACTCGTAGTCAACCGCCAAGGGATCTGTTCCAGCAGGGTAGGTACCGTATGCAGCCCACCAAGATCTCTCTGTCAAGTCGATCTTCTCAAGTCGTATCTTCCATATCTTCTTGTCGGTCTCTCGCCAGACGTCAGTCACCTTGAACCATCCCAGAACGTTGTAGTAGTGAGGTAACTTCGAGGGGCTCAGACGGTTTCCCTGACCTACAGACACGTCAGATTCTGTGGTGAATCGAAGGAACATAGGAGTGGAAACTTACCTGCGATAACCAGAACTGCGCCGCCGTCTCTCATAGTTCTCTCGGCTGCAAGGGCAGATGCCTTGTTGTCCTTGGAAACATTCTGAACTGTGTTGCCAGAATCATCCTTGCTCCTATCGCCGCCGCTGTTCTTGTAAGCTGATCTGTTTGTAGAATGAGAGGGGTAGATCTTACATTGTAGTGATGATGATTTGGTCATCAAACTTGTCGAGTGTCCCGACCTCTGCGTCAACGAGGAAGCCATAGAGTATACCTTCGCTCGTATAAGCTCCAGACTGGTATGCTCTGTAGGCTGGAAGTGTCTCGCAAAGCTGCTGGCGCTTATTGGCCCACACTTGAGGCATGTCGTGAGGATCTGGCTTACTCTCGGTGGAGTTGTTGTAGTAAGCAGCCTTCCGGACTTTCACTGCCTTTTTTCGAGACTTCTTTGGGCTGGTGAATTTTTCAGGCTCAATGTCCATACTTTCAGCTGGCTCGAAGTCATCGTCATTGTCTGTCTCCAGCTTGGCCTTTTTGACTGGGCCAATGCTCGAGACAGGCGCAGGTCTCTTGCGGAGGCTGCGATGTCCTGCGGTGACGGGGTACTTTGACAAGAGCATTTCGAGGCTCTTCTTGTCTGGCTTGAGTTTGACAATCAAGCTGGGTAGAGAAACTGTCGTAGAGACAGACATCTTGGCTGTGGCCATGTTGGTCCAGCTGCGGAAGAGAGTGACGGAGTCAAAGTCGTGAAAAGGTTTTAGTACTTTTGCTCCTCGAAAGTACTCAGAAATATGTCGGGGAAATGATACTAGAATGTTGTGGAATAAGAAAAGTCTGGGTGATGATGTCTCTGTGTGGAGTGTTGTGTTTTTGAGAGGAAGGAAAGTCAACAAATGCGTTTATTTGTAGACTTCCACTAGCGCCTTTTCCCCCCTCGGTCGCGAGCCTCATCAGTGAAGTAAACGTCCACCCGAAATCGGAACGTTAGAAATGGCGTCATATATATAATTCACTTTTCAGAATGGAAGGAGCGACGGGTCTTGTAAGTCACAGCATAGCTCGCACGACTTTTCGGTGTTCGAATGTGGCACATGACTCCAGCGCTTCGAGCCTTCCATTTTGGGTTCACAGAGAACACTTGATGTATCAACAGCATTACATCGTCCGAAAACAAAACAGAGAACCATAGTAGAATGATGGTTTGTATCCATTTCAGACGTTCTCCCCTGTATTCCCCTGTCCAAAACCAAAATAGAGAACCACAGTAGAATGGTAGTATGTATCCATTTCAGCCGCTCTCCCCCGCATTCCCTGCGCGCCACTGTCCAGACTCCTTGTTCGAGCTGCAGCTGGAAGCACGAAATGCCAATGTATGATCTGCTCTCACTCCGAAGCTAGTTTGACAATGGCTACGTACAGTACGCGACATATGGACAGGTGAGTGCATGAGAAGCTAATCTCCTGTTGTATTATTTCAGATGTCCTTCCACGTGAAAGTGCCTTTTAGTTAATAAACGCGTCAACTGAAATCGGAGCTTTTCCTTGAGTCAGCTCCTTTCACGCCAGATCCAGCATAACAATGCAAAATAAATAAATACAGCACACGACATATAAATAAGTGAATGCTTGAATTCTTGAGCATTTTGCTGCATGATTTCAGATGTCCTTCCACGTGAAAATGCCTTCCAGCTGGTGAACGCTTTCAATGAAATCAGGACTTTTTCTTGAAGCAGCTGCTCTCATTCCGGATCCAGCTTAGCAATGCAAAGTAAATAAGTACAGCACAGGACTTATGAATAACCGAATGTCTGAAGCCTTGAGCAGTATGTCCAGCATTTGAGAGTCTTTTTCACTAGAATCTGTGTTCGGCTTGTTAACCCTTTCGATAAGATCAGGACGTTTCCTTAATTGAAGTTTTCGACACTGAAAACAATTTAATAATACATAGTAAACAAATATAGTACACGACACATGCACAAGTGAGTGTCTGAAGACTCGAGCATCTTGTTGCAGCATTTGAGAGGCTTTTCCGCTGGACTCTGCGTTCTGCTTGTTGACGCTTTAGATAAACTTAGGACATTTCCTTGATTCAAGTGTTTTGACTCCGAAGAGAGTTTGACAATACATGATGACCAAGTATAGCACGCGACATACAAATAAACGAGTGTCTAAGATAATGAACCTTTCGTTGCAGCATTTCAAAGTCTTTGCTACTTGAATCTGTGTTGAGCTTCCTGGCGCCTCAGATGAAATCAGGACATTTCACTAGTTCAAGTACTCTGACTCTGAAACTATTTTGACAATATATGATGACCAAAATACAGCACGCCACAAGAGAAGGCGTCGGTGTCTGAATTCTTGAATCTTGTAATGCAATATTTTAAAGTCGTTTCCACTTGAATATAGGCGCCCAGCTCGTTGATGCTCCAAACGAAATCAGGACTTTTCCCTAGGAAAACTCCTTTGAATTGAAGTCAGACCAGTGAAAAAACTAGAAAAGCTATACCTGAACATCCATCAACACTCACAACCGTCGACATCTACAATTGTCGACATCTACAATTGTCGACATCTACAATTGTCGACATCTACCATCGTCGACATCCTCAGCCGTCGACATCCTCAACAGCTGACGATCATAGGCTTCGACAACCACAGTCATCGACATCCACAGCCGTCTACATTGAATGAATGACTATTCAGATGTTTTCAAGGAACATCTCCAGTGATAGTGGACACATGCTGTTCAAGTTGCAAATCACTACATACTGGAGACAGCAGCAAGAAACATCACGAACACCATGTCGTCCGCTCCAGACTAAATTGGACATAGCAAGAGATGCAATATCAACCTTCTGGATGGCACGAGTGGTCTCATCATCCTATTACCCTTGACTGAAGGATAAGATATGTAGCTGTGGGACATGTCTCTACAACCTTTCGTCGCATATTTGACCCAGTGACAACGGCAAGGATAATGGCAACGGCACAATACAACAGACATGCGTGAATAATATTATGCTCATCAACAGTAAAAGTCAATCTTGCTCTCGCTTGATCATGAACATGACTTTTAGCTGATCGTGGAATAAGCATCTAAGAGCTTCCCATACATTTCATAGCCAATCTAATCGAAACCACATGGTGGACAAAAGCAAGCGGTATCATGCTTGCCCGTAGCACAAACAGAGCTTGCTCGTATTTGAGCTGTGCGGACGACTGGCAGCTGCTTGCAGAGGAGGTCCCTAGCAACACCTGTTCCACTCCACAACGAGAAGATGGTAGTAGCATGAGCCATGGAAACTAGTGTAGCTACGATGTAATGTGATGATTCGAAATATTTTAAGTACACTTGATGGCATTTCAGCAAGCACATTTGTGCTTCAAGCACATACATGCCTCTCATATGAACATACGAGCAAGATGTGATTGATATCAGTCAGCATTGCACTCCCCATCTATGAACAATGCAACAAAGGTACGATTCTGCAGAACAGAAACACAGAGCATTGAAAATCTCCGGGTCCAATCATGCTCTAATGCCAACAAAGATCTTTCAGCTAGATGAAGCTCTGAAGGCAAACTAATGCAGATGGTTCATACTCGACTCAGCACTGTCTGCTGAATATTTGCAGCACTCTACTGAGGACCAAACCTCATGACTCTATCTAGGTACAGAGCATCTAACATTATCAACATCTAGATCAGAACAAGACAGGCGGAGCTACTGGGATTATGCTCGCACTGAACTTCTCTACTTGAGAAGAGCAGAACCAGACATAACCTAGAAAGTAGAATTTTGAACACCAAACGAATATGCACTGGGCAGTTGTAGAAATCACAACTGCTGTTAAACACAAAACGGTTGCGGGAACACAAAACTGCTCAGAACCACCATTCCCCAATCCGAAAATTCCAAAACAGGCATAAGCAGAAACTGGGCAGACACAACAATGAAAATAACAATAAATGAACATCAAGCAGAGTGAGCAACCAACAAAGAGAGGGCACTCTCAATGTAAATGATATCGTGTCCGCGATTGAGGCTTTAGAGTCGGCTGCAGCGCAACCTGATATAGGATGCAAGACATCAACGAACCACAAAGGATATAAAGATTCTCTACAATCAGCAAGTCGAGTCCGAAGTTGAATCAAAGGGGGAACCCTTCACCTGTAGGAAATATGTTCGTGTCTGGGCGCTGGTATTGCTTTGCGTGCTATTGCGATGAAGTGTTTGCGCAATGTGCAGGGGGGGGGGGCGCAACCGAATATCGACTCCTCATGGAAGGTCAACACAGCTTCTCTGTGTGAAATTCGAAGATGAGTATACGTGTTTTGTACGTGTTTGTTCGATGAATGATGCTGATGGAGATATTCTGAGCCGTCCTCTAAGGAGCGCTAAGGAGCGCGGTGTAGATCTTCCTCATGTGCTGTTGTTCGTTTAGTGAAATCGAGGGATATTGCGTACTTGTCACCGCCTTGTTGTAACAGTGTTCTCCGAGAGTCGAAGACGAACGAGAGTGACATGTATGTATTGGCTTGGATTTGTGAACTGTGCTGTTTGTGATCGTTGTGATGATAAAGGTGGAGTTGTTGTTATGAGCTTCCTGAACTTCTGGTTAGATCTTAACTTTGCGGACCAGCAGCGGACATGCGGTATCGCACGTCGAAGATGAGGAGTGTGATACGTACGTACTTGTGCGAGTAATTGGCGCTCGATAGCTCCAATCAAGGTGAAAAGGGGGTGTTGTTGTGGTGTTTGAGATTGCGCCTGGAACTGCGCTTGTTATGCGCGATACAGTTGATGATTTGACAACCTGTCAGCCAACACGAACGATTGCGTAAGTCGAAGACGACAAGATGAGATTTACTGGTTTGTGTTCGAGTTCCCAGTGTTTGACTGAGGTGACAAAAGTGGTGGTGTTGGGGTTGAGGGAAGTGACTTGCCTTGGATGTTTATTAGCTCAAGCTGAGATTCTGAGGTCTTGCTTTTCGGTCGCGAGACCTTGCGAAGATCAGAGAGAGTAAGATATACACTTTAGTTTGAGTTATTGTTTTCTGGAAGTAGCAGTCAGTGCCAGAGGGTTAGTGTTGCTGGCCATAAGGCTGATCCCTTAGATTCTCGGCTAATGCAGGCCTTGATATGAGGAATCTGCGGGCGTACCACTAGAATACCCATATGTGCGTGTCGAAAGTGAAGAGCCTTGCCTTGATATAGGTTGTACACGTCCATTGGGCGCGGTATGGGGTGTCTTGTTGACATTCTGCGGATAACTGTGGGATTTCTCGGTTAGGTCATTCTTGGTGGTGATAGACTGCAGCCCTCATGGACAAATAGACTGATTGTGCGAGTCAAAAGCGAGGAGACCTACCATCTACGTTCCATTCAGAGTTCCGGGTTGCGATGGTATCAGAAGATGAGAGGAAGTGCGTGTTGTTGTTCTTCTTGAATCTGGCCCTGCTTCTCGGCTCCCTTACTTGCTGAGCTGTCATGACGTGCGAAGGCATTTGGGTTGAAGGTCAGGGACTTTGTGTGAACAGGTGAAAGAGGGGTCAGAAAGGTGTATTTGAAGTTATTTCTACTGCAAATGGCTCCCATTGGAAGTTGCAGGTTGTCTCCTAAATTTGAGAATGTCAGCCTGTTTTAAAGCAACATGAAGTTCGCTAACGAAAGGCAAGCGAGGGGCCGAAGTTGGTCTTGATCAAGGAAGACTGGATTCCATCTTTAACAGGAAGGTGGGAGTTGTCACGGAAGCCCATTCACCAAATCTGCGTGGAATAACGGCCTGTTTTCGAGACGCTATTATGATAGCCTTGTAAACAAACGGCCTGATATTCAAGTAACCTGATACAACATTGGAATTATGTGGACGGCCTCTGCACAATGAACTTACTTCACAAGTGTGAACAGCTGAAATACAACAGTTCCAGAGGCAAAGGAATCTGCTGTTTCTGGGAACTCTAGAGAGCGCAAACACGCAAATAGTCTTGACTTCCATATTTGTTTGACAGACACAATTCTGAATTGTCCACTGCAAGCAAAAAAGCCACACCACATGTTAGACCAAAACACTGGCACCATTCCATACGCCGACTCGGTAGTATGATTCTACGAGCGTTCATGATTTGTGAGCTCTGGTTCGAAGGAACTTACTGGCACATTTTGGCTTTGAGATGAATTGTGCGCGGGCTGTGAGTCCATGGTCGATGACTACAAACAAAGAAGAGAATCATTCCATTATGGAAAAACAATGTACTAACACAATTGTACAGAACTGAAAATGTCGGGAAAATAGGATCGCTTCCATCGACGGTCAATATATCTGCTTTTCTGGGGAAGGCATCTTTCGCCCCTAGCTTCAAAGGGTTTCAAGTGATGCTGTCATTTAAGTTCGTGACTAGCAAAGGTTGATTCTGTGCACTGCTTTGAGTTATTTCGAATTATGGCGTTCATTCGTTTGCTGCTCGTTGTGGAGTTGGAGGTTTCTGGATTGTGAACGTGTGCTCCTATTGTTGGTGAAGAGAGTTGGAAGGGCTCGTCCTAAAACAGAGCTGAGGATACTTCCGTATGGTACTTCCATGTGATACTAAGCGTTAGAGATTATTTGCTGCATGATGCTCCAAGTTGCGATACCAGCGTTTGGGGAGCTTCGATTCGAGAAGAGCAAAGTCGCTGTGAAATTTCGAATTCAGAAATTTGTTCCCGCGGAATGAATGCCGCTGCCGGCTAGACCCTTGCCTGAAACACATTAAGCTTTAAAGCAAGAAGGGTCCAGACAGAAATCTAACGTCAAGTTTAAGTTTAATAGTTCACTCTGACATCATATGTGGAAACTAAGTAGATATCATCACTCTGTGTCTCCACATTGCTTGAAGTTGCGGGGTTTCTTAGCTTAGGAATGTTAAACATCTTCCAAGTGCTCCTCTGCTCCGAAGCAAAGAATGTAACAAACTGCCTACAGAAAGACTAGTAACATACATATATTGTTGGAGGATGAGCAATATTTTTGACAAAATGTCAATGAGATATTATCTTCATGAGAGTAATGGTTTTCTCATGAAACCTCTGCCAACAAGACTCGTGAACAAATTCTCACAGGGAGCCAAGACCAACATCTTGGCTTCATTCCGAGATTCTGGGTCTTGTTAACTTCACTACCATACCTAGCTCTATCATCTGTCAGCCCGTACGAGTCATGCTCTTGCATGAAGTCCCTCCAGAAAGTATCTTCTGATCACGTGTGCTGCCCCTTATTTCCGCTATTCTTTCGGACATGGCCCAAGAAGGCTAGACTCCATGAAGCTTCAACCTCGGTGGCTCGGGCGGGAAGTCAATTGTGACGAAGACAGAAGGTAGAGCAAACCCCGCATGCGGGCATTGGTCTGCCGCCAAATATGGGGTAAGCTATGGTTGGCTCGATGGTCGAGTGTCCTCTGGATTCTGGAGTCTCGAGGCTTTTCTTTTTCGAATCGTTCTTATCTGTTCTTCTGTCTCACATTTCCGCTGATCCTCGATCTCCTTTCTCTTTTTTCTCCTGTTTCGAAATAACAAGTCGTACAGTTGTTAACCCAATAGCGAGAACAGAAGACAAGATTGAGTTTGCGTATCAGTCGGTAGTATCCCGGGCGGCAGCTGTGCACAGGCGTACAGTTGATTAATCACTGTTACACACACACGATGGTTTTCACTCCTCCATCATGGGTACCTGCACTTCCATTCGGTGAGTGAACTCTGATCATCCTAACGAAAGTCAATCAACACGTGTCTTCGTGGCAGGTTAGTGATGGAGCTATGGTTAACAATGCTTAATCTCAGATCCTCCCGATTCGATTCCTATCAGTCAATTCATGCTCGATGACACTTACGGAAGATGTCCTCTGAAAGATTCGCGGAATCCCTTCACATGCGGGCTGTCTGGGAAGACATATACTGCGCTGGAAATGGTTGACCGAGTCGATTACTTGGCACGATCATTGGCAAAGGAATTTGGATGGCATCCGAATAAGGGAACAGAATGGGATAAAGTCATTGGAATATTTGCGCTGAATACAGTATGTGAGGATTATTGCCTGTATGCATTTGTCTAACAATCTGCAGGTCGACTCCATGACATTAGCATATGCCGTCCACCGTTTGTCTGGGATCGCGACTCCAGCCAATGCTGCATATTCTGATTCCGAGTTGGAATTTCAATTGAAATCCTCAGGAGCCAAAGCTCTTTTCACTGTAAGCCAAACCAAACACCAGACAATTTCAGCTAAGTAACGGTTTTCAAACAGTGCATGCCTCTCCTCGAAACAGCTTTAAAAGCCGCGAAAGGCGCCGGAATTCCCAACAATCGGGTATATATTTTGGAGATGCCCAAGGAGTTTTCTGGCACTCAATCTGTACTCTTCCAAACTGTTGGAAAATTGATAGATGCTGGCAAAACCTTGCCTAAGCTTGAGGCATTGAAATGGGAGAAGGGCCAAGGAGCCAAACAAACAGCATATCTTTGCTATTCCAGTGGTACTTCAGGACTACCAGTAAGTCTTCCAAAGATCTGGGATCGCAGTTTTTCTGATCTACCAAACGAACTGCATAAGAAATAAGAGCTGAGATCAATATAGAAAGGGGTCATGATCAGTCATCAAAATGTGATTGCAAATGTCATGCAAATTGCGGCATTCGAGAAGCCAATTAGGGAAAAGCGTCCAGGCACTGGTAGTGAAGTGGTTCTCGGTCTCTTACCATTGAGCCACATTTATGGCCTGGTTGTTATTGCTCAAGCCAGTACATGGCGAGGTGATGGTTGCATCATCATGCCCAAGTTCGAGCTGCAGTCGTTCCTTAAAGCTATTCAGGACCACAAGATTGTTACCTTGTATCTGGTTCCCCCGATCATTATCCAAATAGCGAAGAACCAGTCAGTAGTCTCGAAGTATGATCTTAGTAGCGTCAACGTAATCTTCACAGGCGCAGCACCACTGGGCGCCGAAACTGCGGAAGAGCTGCAAGGATTCTACCCATCCTGGAAGATCCGCCAAGGTTACGGCCTCACCGAGACCAGCACCGTCGTTTGCTCAAGTCCCGAGACTGACATCTGGTTTGGTTCGTCTGGCTCTCTCCTACCTGCAACCACTGTCAAAATCGTGTCCATGGAAGGGGTCGAAATCACTGGATACGACCAACCCGGCGAACTCGTCGTTCAATCACCTTCCGTTGTTCTCGGCTACCTCAACAACGACAAGGCCAATAAGGAAACGTTCATCGAAGACACAGACGGAAAAGGAAGATGGATGCGTACTGGTGACGAAGCAGTGATCCGCAAAGCTCCATCTGGTTATGAACACGTCTTCATTGTCGACCGAATCAAGGAGCTGATCAAGGTCAAGGGTCTCCAAGTTCCACCCGCAGAACTGGAAGCTCATCTCCTTACTCACCCCGCAGTTGCAGACTGCGCGGTCATCCCTGTGCCCGATGATGCAGCAGGTGAAGTTCCCAAAGCTTTCGTTGTCAAGTCCAGCTCTGTTGGACTCGAGGAGAATGATCGTATGGTAGCGAGAGATATTTGCAAGCATGTTGAAACTCATAAAGCAAGACATAAGTGGTTGAAGGGAGGCGTAGAATTCTTGGATGTCATTCCAAAGAGCCCTAGTGGAAAGATTTTGAGAAGGTTGCTTAGAGATAAGGAGAAGGAGGCTAGACGACAGAAGGGAGCGAAGCTGTGATATTGTGTTGCATTGCGTCTGGTTACTTTTTTGCATCATGGTTTATCGTCCTTGACAATTAGATGGGTACCTTGTAGATGATAATTATAAATCTGAACACTTTGTCAACATTGTCCTGGACTCCTTCAATCAGCGAGCCAATCCTTCTATGCAATCCTCTAAACCGTAATCCCAGCAGCTTGTGAAGAAGGACGAAACTGTAAATAAACTCTAGAAGGAGAGTCTACCAAAACCAACGAGTCTTCTCTGATGACATCAACAAATCTTTGCTTTCCAGACTTATTGGTGAATGTCAGGGATTTGCTTTGCAATACTGCTTTCTCATAAAAGAATTTACTTTAAGATTTCGAGAATAACATTGTAAGATTCACCTTATACTGAAGCATTGCTGGTGATCGCAGCCACGGCGGGGCAAGGCTGATATTTCGCCTCGCTTGGCGCGTGCAGGGCAAAAAAGTTCGCTCAATTTCCAATCTGCACCAGTCTGGATTATCAAGCAAGATTTGAAGCTTCGAAGCCAGGAACATAAAGTGCGCCGAACCACCGAGTTCACACTCTCTTCTTCCCTACCTAAATTATTCCTCATCTCCCTTTCCTTCTCTCCTTCTATCTCTCCATCCCTCACAATTTCATTGTCTTCCATAATGTCCGCCCCTCAAGAACTCCACGACCCGCACAGCGGCGATGAAGAGGAAGCCACCATGCTAGACGCAGACGAAGCCGCAGAAGAAATTCTCGACGATGACGACGCAGCCATGGACTCCGGCGATGACGAAGAAGCTGACCCAAACGACGACCAGATCATGCAAGAAATCGAGATCCAAAACGATTCCGCAGCACACTTCGACTCTTTCAAAGACAGCATATTCTGTATAGCTCAGCACCCTCTCCTGCCGAATATAATAGCTACTGGAGGCAGTGAAGGAGAGGACGCTGGCGGGGTGGGGTATATCTTCGATTCTACACCGAAAGAGGCAGATACACCTGTTCTGCCGCCTAGCTACCAGAGTGCGCCGAGTGAGAGGACGGAGAGGAAGAGTCTTGAGTCGTTGTTTAAGTTGGAGGGACATACGGATTCGATTAACGCCTTGACGTTTACGTTACCCAGGGGAGAAGTGCTGTTGTCTGGTGGTCTGGACGGAAAGCTGCGAGCATATTCGCAAAAGGATAAGAGTGGACAGAAATGGGCATATCTTGCAGAAGCTCAGGAAGTGGAGGAGATCAATTGGTTGATTCCATGTCCGAATCCGGCATACGAGAATACGGTTGCACTTGGGGCACTCGATGGGAGCGTATGGGTCTACACTGTTGACACCTCGAGTAAGGATGCACCGTTGCAGATTGTACAGTCATACTTTCTACACACTGTGAGCTGTACAGCTGGAGCTTGGTCGAGCGATGGGAAATTGTTGGCTACTGTTAGTGAAGATGGTAGTTTATACGTCTGGGATGTATTTGGAGAAGGTGCAGCGGCAGGATTGACACAAGGAGAAGGCGGCGCATATGTCGTGGGACTCACTTCCCTCGATCAGAGATTTGCGGTCGAAGGAGGACTGTACAGTGTGGCGATTGCGCCAACGGGCGCTTTCGTGGTTGTTGGCGGCGCAGGAGGGGCCATAAAAGTCGTTGGCTTACCAAGATTAGGAGGTGATGCTTCTGGAGCTGCGCCTGCGGGGAGGAGTGGTGCCGGTGCGGCGTCGAAGTCGAAAGGTGGGAAACAAGTTGGTGGCAAGGCGTCTGGCAGTGCTGCATCGGCTGGTCAGGCAGGTCAAATATTGGCCGATCTTCAAGCACAAGGAGATGGTATTGAAACATTGGCTTTCGCTCCTCCTCCATTGACGCTCTTGGCTGCAGGTAGTGTGGATGGCAGCATCGCTCTCTTTGATTCAGCACACAGATTTGCAGTACGGCGGCATATCAAAGAAGCTCATGAGGAATTCTCAATTGTCAAAGTAGAATTTGTCAAGAATTCGAGGACGGGAGGATGGCTATTGACAAGCTGCGGGATGGACGGAGTGGTGAGAAGATGGGATACCAGAGGTGGTACTGGAATGGCAAACTCTGGGTTCGTGAAAGAGTGGAAGGGGCACAGAGGAGATGGTGAAGGAGGCGGTGTCCTTGGTTTCGTGCAAGGCGATGGTACCCGAATAGTTACGGCTGGTGATGATGGGATCTCGTTGATCTTTGAGGCGCCAATTGCTTGATCATTTGAATTACATAGACCTGCATAGTTGGCGTTTGGGCAATTATCAGAAAAGGATGGATAAATGCAATACCCTCACCGACTATCCCTTGGGGAACCATAAAATGCATGCACTTTTGTGTTATGACGAACCAGGAGCCCAGCTCCTTTTTGAAGAAAGTGAGGGACTTTTTGCACTGATTTCCTGAGAAGTATGTGCTTCGTGAAGCCCTTGGAAGCAGCTGCGGTTATCTTGATCAATGGATAGTTTATCCGTGCCGCAATGACGTTCAGCAGCTTCCGAGGCATATGTATTTATTCGACCCTAGTCCAACCAGAAAAGAGCATGTTTCAGTAGTCCTTCAACTTCATGCCTATGTTTGCAGGTTAGAAAGAGAAGAGGCTTGTTTAGCGCCCCATCATATGGATCCATTCGCGTGTTCCATCAGCAAGGAATATCCGGTGCAATACCTCTCTGCTGCAATGTCTCAAGTCTCATTTCAGCTGAACTAGTCATTCTGCCACCCATTGTTGAAAGTTTTCGTCTATACATGCTCCTCACTTTCTCCTTCGCAAGCGGCCCTTCGACAAAAAATCTTGAATACGCTATCTTAGTTCCTCCTAGCATTACACATAGATCTTCTGCTGAAAGATCAAGTATCTTCGAGAGAAAAAAAGATCCATCCATCAATCTGAATCGATAGTCGCGCGAAATGCGACCTAGGTGAAGGACAAGTATCTAAAAAAAATATGACTTGTGGAACAATATATTTGTCGAACGCCTCCTTATTGCACAATGCTGCTATTCTTTCGGAATGAAAACTTCTCTTCATGGTGTTGCAATTAAATTCTCCTTCCTCCACTATGTCTTGACAAGTGCCAACGACTTGGACTGATAGATGTCTCTTTGTTTGTGCCAGCTTCGCCTCTGACATGGCAGACTCTATCGATTTATTACCGATTAAGGCTTCAAAAACAGTCTGCGAGGCCACAATGGTGGAACTCGTCAGAATACCAAAGATCTTAATCTTCCTCGTGGCACGGATTCGACTCGAGGTAGTGAAGAGCTGCATCCAGACAGTTATCGAGACTATCCAAAAGTTGGCTTGAGCTTGAGCCAGTCCGATCTTTTCCATGCTTCGAGAGTCCTAGCAAATCTTATTGTCTGGACCAAAGCGATTGGCATGGAGAGAAACTCCATTGTAGTGGAGAAAGCCAAGAAATAACTCTCTGAGTGTCTGTCTGGCCTGCCTTTTTGACTTCAGAAATGAATATAGCTTTTATTGGTTTGAGGAAGTTTCATGCTACCAGAACTTAATTGGAGAAAGATATTGACTCCCGGTACAGTTCAGCAAGAGGTCACATTTGTGAAGCGAAGTTGGTGGCGTCTGCATGTCATACAAATTCTCACTTCTCGACTTGGTGAACAATTTCGCCAATTCCTCCATATTCATGGCCAGCACATGAGACTCTCTGCAATAGTCAAGAAACCTCCCAAATCGCGGCTTAGACGCTATCTCATCCGATTTGCTTCGCCATTCCTCATTTATCATTACGGCTCGGTCTTTGGTCACGCTCAACTCCAGAATGCCCCAAAGAGTGGCAGGCTTGGAGGAGATGTAGCATTTAGAAAAATGCAGAAGGAGCGAGGAGCTATCATTAGTCTGATCGCTACGATATCTTTCCAACGAACTTCTAAACCATGTACCGAATCGAGCAACACGTACTCCCTGAGATAGCAGATCCACTTGCATTCAAGGCATCATTTCTATCAGACTTCTCCATGCTCTCCGTAACGGCAGCAATCCTTGCTCAAGTAGCAATTACCGCATTGTCATTGCAAAATCTAGACCAGGTGCACCGAACAGCAAATGCAGGATTCATCGTCAGCCTTGTCAAAGCTTGTCTGTCTGTGTGGACATCGACGTCAGCTTCACAAATGCTCACGGGTTTGGACACTACAGACGCCCTGCGCGACTGGTTAAGCAATCCAGCACCAAAGGTCACAAGAGTTACCTTGGAATAGTCTTTGCGATCCAAGTTACACGATATCAACGGTGTCACGAGAGATCAATGGTTAGCAGCTAGGCAATAGATCTGGAGGTTCATACAGAAAAACAAGTAGAAGCGAGCCAGTTTCTACTCCAGCTTCATTCTTACTATCTCCTCCGTGTTGCTCAACTACTCTCTGGTAGCCTTCTTCGTTAGCACGGCTATATATCCTGGTTCAGTTTGGAAAAACGATCTCAATCCACTAGCAGGAAGTGCAGCTTCTCGAGCGGTGTTCATTTGTTTTATAATATCCGTCTCGCTTGGAATGGGACTTTTCTTCCAGGCCAATGGCATGAAGGATACTGAGACTGAGTCCTTAGAGACTGGCTGAATGCTGTAGACAGTAAGATTACAGGTCTAGGTAATGTCGCTGCAGAAGGTGGCGCAGAGAGGCCCTAGTTGCTGCAGACGTGGAAGAAGCAGAAAATCTCGAGACATGTGTGTGATTGAAGATTCGCAATGGATACAACATGCGATTTGAACAGTGGTTGTCCAACAGCTAAGGAAGTGAGAGGCGATGTGCTAGGGGTTGAATCAGAGCATCTGACCTCTTCTTAAAGTCAGAGCTTCAAGCTCATACTCGAAATATAAAAAAGTGATTTTCTGATCTGCAGATCTATCTTTCCTCAAAATTTCAAGTTTTAATTTTGACTTCATCATGGCCTGAGAAAATGGCTCATGCCCAATGTGACAATGTCTAGTATTTTTTTGAAGTGAAGTTTACCGAGCTGTTGACTATGTGTTCATGACATTCGACAGAACTTTGAATGAGATTGTCACATAAGCCAGACTCTAACTACAGTCTACTGTAGTCAACTTGAGAGAGCGCTGCATACTGGGCTGTCATTGGGATCCTATCCATGTGGTACTGGCTCAGCCATGCAACTTGCTTCAATTGAGATGAGCAAAGGTCCGCTTAACATGATAGCTGTTCTTTCTTCAAAATCAAACTCGACTCATACCGATCACTTATGGCTGCAAATATATACGGTTCTCACCTTACAGAAATCTATAAAATTGGCCAACAAATCCTTAAGTACGCTCCCTGATATCAGAACCGATTACCCATCGGCTCCAGCAAGAGCTAACAATATCCCATCATTCTTTCATGTAGCACGCCAGATCTCTGAAAACCGTTCTTTCATCTGCCGCGATCATCATCTTCTCCAATGACTCTCATTCGTTGATACACTTAGACACCTAGCGAGTCTGTGGAGATACAGTAACAAGATCAGAAGCTCGTCATACATGTGTTCTAAAAGGATTCAACAGGATGTGAGAAGGGAAGTGTGCAGTTTTCTTCTCCTTAGCCTCACATATTTCACAATTGTACTCTGGCCTCGCGTTGGAGGGTGCTCTGAAATGGGAAGAACTTGAGCAGTCTCGGCTCTCTATTTGGTGTTCCCGACTCGATATTTGCACAGTGTTGCTTGTAAGCTTGTACGGCATCTTGCTGGAACCTCCATATTTCTGCAAAGCCGCATTAACATCCAATCATGAAATAATAAAACTTGACTTAAAAATTCCGATAACAGACATGTCTGGTGGCTAAGCTTGAGCTGTGGCGTTCTGTAGAATCGTGCAAAGAACGTAATGAGTGGTGCATGCTCTCAGGAACGAGCTGACCATTCATGACTCGTAAATCATGAGAAGCTTTACTTCATGCTCAAGAAACTGATGACTTTCTCAAAGGAGTTTAATTTTTGGCTTGCGCAAGTGAGACATCTGTTCCCGAAGCAGCATGAGAGATTCTCCCGCAGCTCCTTCCATTTCCGCCTCACAACAACCCCTGTTTCCATCGTCAGTTTCCAGACGGCTCAAGATTTGAACTTTAATCCCACTTTCTCACCGTTGAGCCATATTATGAGACAACAAGGCAAACACTTGTACGTGCACTCGGTCAGCAATGAATTGCAAGCCACGAATCCTCCTCCTTCCCGAAGGAATTGTGCACCGAACTGGCCTATCACCGGCGATTTTTCCATTCGCCCGAGCGAGTCCGAAAGAGTACATGAAAGAAAGTCTCTTACGCATATTGTCGGATCAATTCGGTCTATTGATCTGGAAATAGCCTATCTCCGTACACGAGAGATGTTCATTGTGTTGAACGCGGCTCGGATGACGCCGATACCTCAGCCTTGTGCTGGCGGTACGGGTCGGGACGGTTTGAGGATGAAATTTTTTTTTCATGTGTATAATGATATGGTATGATGACAAGATTCTGAAGGGCGTGGGATGGATCGCACTCTGGAGAGTGATCTTGGTCATAGAAATCAACAACCACGAGTCCCACCAACCTTGATGGTGACAAAACGTATGCAGATGTGAAAACTTTTCTCAGCACTTGATGTGCTCAACGCAATATTCCCTCAATGATTATGAGGTCTTTCTGCGTAGACTCATGCCGCCTGGTGTCTGAAAAACAGTGTTCCATGAGCCCAATTTATTGACCAAAAAAGGAAACCATGTCGTCCTGAAGCTAGGATGGTGCAAGAGAACTTTCTCTGTCTCCCACGCTCGCACCAAATATGCTCTATCGTCTCCAAGACGTAATTAATTCGATAGTGTCCAGTGTCCAGTTTCTTCGAACCGTTTCGCATAGGCTAGAGACGAGTGCTTGCAAGACAAAAACAGAAGCGGCAGAGAGATAAATCGAGAGCTAATTCTGCACCATGTTTGGATTAGCAATTCATTCTCTACATAGTTTAGAAAACTCATCAAATAACTCGCTCTCTTGGAAAGCATCTGTCATTGAGCATGACATGGTAAATAACGCCTCCAATCCGAGACACAATACTCTGCGCAGTCTTCAATGGACATCTTGGCAAGAAGAATAGAGACCAAGAGTCTGCTTGAAGCTTTAATGAGATTTGACTTATACGAGCAACGCAGAAGAGAACTTGAACTGAAGTTCATTTCTGATTTTCCAAAGATCTGGGGGAGTCCAGAGAGCTCGTATTCCCAGCCTCGATTTCCAATCTCATCGGACTTCCGTAAGAACGAGTAATCGGAGATTGAATCTCAAAACGCCCTTGTCAGCCCGGTGAAGATAATGATTCCATTCAACACTCTAATCTCACCACTGCGTCATCCTCACGCCCGGTCTCGCAGTGAGGATGAAGACAAGAGATTCTGCTTCCACAAGCGCTTATTTTGGGGGTCACAAAAGCGGACCCGAAGCCGAAAGGCAACGAGGCAAATTTTTGCCTCGAATTCAAATTGTGAAGATAATTTTCTCATCATGCAACAGAAATGGAGCTTTGCTGCACGCACGCGATTCAGCCTCTTTTCACGACCTCGTGCCACGTTTCACAACCCCACCTCCTTTTTTCCCTCGCTCGCTAGAACATTCTGCACAAAAACTTCGAAAAAAGCACCTACCTTCTAGAAGAAAAAAATTCCCACTTGAAACTCGATCCAGAGTTCTGGACATCTGAGCCACGAGGGACACACGCGGTGATTGTCTGATGATGAAACGTGTCTGCCTCGCTGCAAAAGCATTGTAAACCCATCGTGACAAAGAGAAAGGGGGATCGAGATCCAATAGGAAAAAGAATCCCGACACCCTCCACTTTCAGGCATTTCCGAAGAGGGTCAGCTGCATAAATTCTGTGATCCGCCCGCGAACACAATCGAATCTGCAAGCCCATAGCCTTGTCGGCTCAGACTTCCTCGCTGGCAGCCTGAATAAGCTTGCACGAAGCCTCGCACTCTCGCACTTTCATAGTAAGGTGGGGTGGGATTACAGTACCCGCAAAAGTGACTTTCCGTGCGAATGTCGGTGCTGACAGCGCACTCGTCTTCACGATCAATAACTGCACTTTTGACAGCGGAGCAAGGCTGTACTTTATACCTTACGGGCCAGTGGCGACCTGCAGAACGCGAATACCGCTGTGCAGCGAAAGATAAGGATTCTGTTGGCGGGGGTCAGGTTTCCTTTTGCCGCGGGGTAACTTGCAGATAGCTTTGAAGATGCCAGAGAATGCAGAAGGATACACTCTTGGAAAGCAGGGCGAGCGACTTGCACTAGCTTGGTTGCCTTACTCGCCTTGCTCTCTAACTCGATATTCCTCCTTTAAAGCAGCTCTGAGGCTACCTCTTGACATCAGCGAGGCCTTGTTGGGCGTTCTTCAAACAGTCAGCTTTGGCACTATGTCATTCGTAGATCTGCAGGTTTGCGGGTGCGGATGTGCTCTTCATTGGGTGATTCCGGGAAACAACAGGGTTTGGTTCCTACTAAAAGCTAATTGTATAGAAAATCAAAATCATGGTGGGGTAAGGCTGTAAAAGCGTATTGAATTTTCAGGGATTGCATCATTGAGGTTTTTATTGTTGGCTGGACTTCGTCCTCCGCTCATACTTGGAGCGGGCACAGTTGGATGTTGCCAATGCATCAGGCTCGAAGATCTCTATTCGGGAGCTTCCCCCCCCCCAAAATTATACTTCTCTTGATCAATGCTTTAAGTGAGGCAATGGCTTATCCGTGAGCCTTATCGGGTGATTCGCAACTCAGCCTTAGGGCTTCTCGCCGGGCTGGTCTTCCCGTTGGATCGAGACGAGCTCGAGTTTCAGATCCTTTCATGCGGTAGCAAATTCCAGCAACTTGAGGGTCAGTGCATTGCCAATTTCCCTTTCACATTATATCACATCTATATACAGTTCTGGTTGCCTCGTTTCAGATGAAGGCCCGGGAAAAGGTCGGAATTGTGCCTGTCTGAGAGTCGCTGTTTGCGGGGCGCGCACAGATCCAATAGCAGTCCCCTGGAACCGAAAGTTTGGTTCTCGAAGTGCCATGATGTTTAGCCCAGGGGCATGCCTGGAATAGCATCGGTGAGCGTTTTTGTAAATTATCCGTGCTCAGATCCCATTTCGCTTGTGCTCTCGGGTATCTAGGGGATGAAACATGGCGGAAAAAGTTTAATACAACCCAATTCCGTCAATCACTCACTGACCGACTGCTCACATAACACTATGATTGTTTTACTGACTGGGAATATGTGAAGTTACAGAACATTGAACAGTTCAAAGAAAAGCAGTTCAATAGTAGCGGTGAACCTGAAACTCAACGGCGGTGAAGATGAAATCGTCGCATGTGACACCTTTAAAACGAGGCAAATCAAGCAAGAGTGGGCTCATCTTGAGCTCTCGATCTCTTCAGTCCATGAGGCTGCTGAGATGTCTTCAAGGGTCATCGCGGGAGAGCGCATATTTTCTGCATGTGTGTTGGCAACAACTGTCTAGTCAGTTGAAAACATTCCATTTCCCAAAAGCAGCATAATTATACAATATCCCCTAACTGGGTATTAGGCACAAAATAAGGCTGGATCTTTGTCCGGACCTTGGTCCTTTGTTCATATGCATAAGCAAAACTAATGAGTGTCTCTTCAGACCACTTGGCTCCCATGAATGAAAGCCCAAATCTGAGCAACGTTAGCATCACAGGCATGATTATGCAGCAGATCATTAAGTGAAATCATCCAACGGGCCCGAATATACAATGCAAGCGTTGGTCTTCCACTTAAAACAGAAAGACGATGGTGAGCAAATGTTTCGAGGAAAAGACACGTACGGGATATTTGGGCCAACTTCAACAAGACCCCAAGTCTGTGACTTGATAACAGTGCTATTACTGGGATAATATCCCATTGGAACTGTTACCACTGGAAGACCAGCAGCAGCAGGGAGTCCAGGTGAATAGTCTGTAGGGAGAATAAGAGCATCCAGATTATATGTCTTCAGTGCTCCTAACACTCCTCCTTCACCACCGAAGAAGGATGTATATTGGTATGCCTGCCAGAAACGGTAGTCTGAGTTGTTGTATCCCAGTGACAGTGACTGGTCCCAGACTGCTGTATCTCGTTGTGGGTAGTCCTCGAGGGCAAACGTATGGGTAAAATTAGACTCGTCTGCAAGGCTCTTGATATCATTCGGATTGGAAGTGAGTTTGGAAAGGTAGTTTGCAAGATCAGAAACGAAATCGGCGTCAAGTACAATAGTTGAATTTCCCACCGGAGCATTAGCATCAGCTACGTACTGATCCCATGCCGAAAAGTTAGCATTATCCACAATTATGGCTCCGGCATTTTTCAGCACTTGGATCGAAGCTTCGAAGGCATCCAAGATAGGCTGGCTGGTGTTGTCAGGGGTGAGGCCATTTCTCGGAATTCCAATCCTAGCTCCCCTGAGACTGGAGAAATTAAGCGACTGGGTGTAATCCGGAGGTGTGTCGAAAGGTTGTGCCAACGTGTAGTTATCGTTTATATCCTTTCCAGCTATAATTGAAAGTATGTAAGCGGCGTCAGAAACTGAGCGTGCCATAGGTCCTGAGATATAAAATCAACTTCCCATCCTCGTTGAAGCCTTTGTGAAGTACCCACCGACAGTGTCTTGGTGCTCAGAAATTGGGATCACTAAAGATCTCGAGGTGAGTCCGACTGACGGTTTGATCCCCACCAAGTTGTTTACACTGGACGGACTCAAGATACTGCCATCAGTCTCTGTGCCCAGAGCGGCAAAAGCTAGGCCAATAGAACTTCCTACTCCGCTTCCAGACGAGCTTCCACTTGGGTCCATATTCGGATAATAAGCTCCAGTTACTTGGCCTCCATAAGCTGACCATCCGTCTGTCTCATGAATTAGCATCGCAAAAGCTGATAGCAAATAAGCAGTTTCGAGAGTTAAGGACCGTCCCAAGCGCTTCAACCAATTTCCCCCTCTGTTCCAGCTCTCGAGTCTTCACAAAACAGGACAGAAACTCCAGAAGGAAATAAGCTTACTAGAGCTGTTCGACGACCTAAAGTTTGCCCACTGCGATAAATTCGACTTCCCAAGCAAAACGACTCCAGCAGCTCGAAGTTTTCCGGCAACGGTGGAGTCACGTGGTACTGTTGCCCCAATCAAGGAGTATGAGCCAGCAGTATTGTTCATCTGATCCATGGTAGCAATGTTGTTTTTAATGAGCATGGGAATGCCATGCAGAGCACTGCGAATAGTGCCATTGGCCCTTTCGGCATCGAGAGTTGCTGCGATCAAGAGTGCATCTGGGTTGATTTCAGTGACCGCGTGCAGGACCGGGTTTGCTTCTTCGATTCTTGCAATGTAAGCCTACGATTGTTAGTAATATCTTGAACTAGAAGGGAAAGCTCTACCTTTGTCAGATCTACGCTGGTCCATGCTCCACTTTCGAGTCCAGCAACGAGTTCCTCTGCTCCCACTTCAAGCAGATCCGGATAGTAGGTTGCACCAGCTGCGTCCCCGTCAGCTACTTGCACATATTTAAAGAGATTGGCTGACATACCAGGAAAGGTTTTTGACCAGACAAGCTTACTCAAGCTCAACAGCAAGAGTAAACTCACGACCTTGAATAGCATGGTGATCTTGCTAGGAGTCGCGCTCGGTTTGACGAGAAGTTTCGAGGACTTTTCGATATGATCCCGTTTCTCGGAGCTTCGAGCAGATGGTGAGCTCTTTATGTTCTGTTTCCTGCCAAGTTAAAGCAGCTGCCTCAAAGAGTTTGGCTCATTCTCACAGATCATCACAGCTAAAGCTACGATAAGGACAATGCAGCAAAGTGCTTCTGTGCTCACCAATTTCTCCCATACTGGCGGCAGCAATGGTGACGACATGGATACAATGAATCTGGTTCCCAATTGACCAATCTAAAGGAGCTCAATTCATACTGCTGTCGCGCGCTGATAAGAGATCGTAATTTCGACACAAATATTTCTGCAAGGTACGAGGAATTCAGCCTTTGAGACGGCGCGGCTTACTGAGGGGTAAGAATGCGATGTATGGATTGTGGAATATGGACAAGGAAAAAGATAGGCAAAGAAAGTCGGGGAGGAACCAGTCGCGCCGACAACGTCAACGTCGCATTAGACCTAGAATAGCAGGTCGCAGCGTCTGTTGGAAATGATGATTACCTGGGTATCCGGCAGACAGGAGTGGGATGAGAGATGAAATCAGCAGGCGCAATCGCAGGACTTCGTCTCCATGTGCCTTCTAACTGAACATGAAGGAAGGAGAGATTTGAAGTGAGGTGCGACCGTACACGTGATTGGATCGAGAGCTCTGTGGCTTCTAGAACTAGCGTCGAACTGTGGCTGAGCTTTCTTCCAACGACATCTCATCTTCGCAACACGAATTTTATATGGTCGGCTTCGACTCAATGTCTTTATGTTGCATACCACAATCATGAGGAGAGAAAAGATTTAGATCCAGCGAATACAACTGATAAAAGAGCTTCAATCTTTTCGCACCTTGCCAATGGACCTGTCCCTTGAATCAGCCATGGTACCTTCTTTAGCATCCTGGTGATCCCTTGATACTCAGTGGAGGCCTATCTTGATCATGCCTCTTTGAAGATGCGACTTTCTACCAACAACTTCTTCTGGATAAGTTTTTCTGACCCCAATACAATCCCCCAGAAACAAATACATGTCTGGAATACAGCCGCTCCATTGGATCCAGCAGTGCACTGACCAGCTTGTGTAGCACAAAGTCCTCCTGCTCCTTTCCCCGCGTGCTTCATGCTGTACGACGCAACGGAAGTGACGTCCTCGATATCCATCCTGCTCAGGTTGCAATGCGTAAGCCACAATCGAATGCCTTCCTGTACGAAGGAACAACACCGCTGCCCGATCCGCTTTGACAATCTGTTTCCGTCCTTGTACTCCATCTTATACCAAAGAAAATTCCACAAAAAAAAACAAGCATCAAAGAGGTCTCATCTAGGTGCTATCGACCAGCTCTCGAGATTGGCACGGCTCAGACTTTACGCATTCGCGCTTTCATGCTTCCGCAACGGAACGTTAGAGAGGGTTCCCGCATATCTGGGCCGTCGAGAACAACTCCTTGTAACACAGCAGTAGCACCAGACCTAACGTCACACGAACACAAGCCTTTATAACCTGGGCGTCTCGCCCTCCTCCCCATTCTTGGAAGCACCTCAGATATCACATCACATGCAGGATGCCAACCTACCCGACCCGAAGACGCTCAAGGCATGCATGTCCAAAGGACCGGGAAAGCTCTGAGCCCATGAAATACAAGTTGACTGACGCTGTGAGAGTTACCGACTCTCATTGTGTAACCAAGAAGTCACATGTTGAGTGTGACAGAACGCCTAAGCAATATGGATGGGCACAGAGAAAGTTCCGAGTCCCGGGTCTGCACAAGGAATGGTGCATCAAGTCCGTGTCAAATTTGGATTTCTTGCTGATTGATATGAACACGAGTCTAGCTTCGTGCTTTCAAATGATCTCGGTTAGTGTCGGATGTCGCTTTGCAAATGTTCGCCGCCGCGCCCTCCGTGTGCACTAAGTGTAACGAGTTACATTCTCGGATTCCTCTCAGCCTTATGTGAGCCCGAACTCAAACTTAACTCTATGCCAAATAATCTCTTCAATGCGGCAGATTCTTCAGCTATTCACGAGCTGACAACATATCAATGACAGAATCTTATTACTCAAAGTCGATAAGTAGTCATATCTCATCTCAGCTTTGAACGAGAAGGCCCGATGAAGGTCATTCTTGCTAAATTCGGCTTCATTTGTTAACAGCTCATCATGCACAAGCATTCACGCGCAAGTACAACAAGATTGCCCTCTTACTTTATCCTTACATCCTGCTTCTGAAAAGGCTATCTTGCTTTATCGTATCACCCTGGATTTACAGCTCCCTTGATGATGGCAGCCAACTGATGCCGTCATAGCAAAGTGACAATCTATGTATCTTTACCTTTGAAGCTTCTGCTTTTAGCGTTAAGTGCAGCATAGCGGTAAAATGCCGACGTGGGGTTCTGTATTCTGATTGCTTCTATATTGACTCTAGAATGGAGTTTACACAGTTGTGTACTCTTCGGGTCCATTGTCCAAACACTGCTTGCTGTACGTGCCACGAATATTTGCGCTCTAGGTCAAAAACTGTATATTTGTGACAGATAGAACGGAAAACTGCAGCATCGTCCAGCAAAGTATGCTCATTTAGGTCTAGACTGCTTAATGCATATTCAAGTAAAAGGTGCGTTGTATCAAATGAGTGAGGCTCATGCTAATGGTGGTCACGGCCCCAGTTGTTGAAATGAGGCTAAAGTGCGGGTTGGCCCTGAACCAATTAAATCTCGATCCCGATCGTTCACATGACTATCATTGGTTTTGGATCCTCAGGGGTAATTGATGTATTTTGAATGTCTTTTTGAGGACGACAAATCAATAATGGCTTTTCCCGCCTCGCACATCATCTGCGATCATAGGCTATGAGCGCTGAAGTCACGCTGCATTCTCAAGATGGATCCAGCAGCCATACGATAAGAGTTGAAGCTCTACTGTTGATCGTTCTTGCCTTGTATTTTGGTACCGATAACAGGTTCGAATCGCGCATCTCATGATGCACTTGCAAGGTGGGACGTTTCGCTCCATCACACGAGGTTTATGTCTTCGTTGGCACCGTCACTTCGCGCATTCAGTCCCAATCGCGAAGTTTCAGCCTCTCAATTTGTGACGAACCCACAGACAGCAGGATGGGTGCAACGTCGCGCGCAGCATGTATGCTACAGGCTCCAGCACAGCAGTGCCCTCTTTGTTGTTCAAGATGAATCGACGAAAACAGCTCACACAGTGCTGTGACACACCTTCTTGATATTCACAGTGCTTGGGTGAGCATCTTCGTCCGTATAGCACATCTGCGACGAAGCAATCGCTTGTGTCGACGCCCTTCCCGTTTTCACCCGCTTGTCATGTTTGAGGCCGGCGGTAATCACTATCTTTCGGAGACAACGCTCCCATGCCAAACACACGGGAGCTTCGTATTCGCTCCACTTACATAAGTAAGGCAACAATCTATTATCGTGTTGCCCAAGGAAGAACATCAACTGGTGTCCTGTGCTCTCGTGTTCAGCGCGTGAATCCCTATCATCAGACGAAGGACCTGCCACACGTTAGGGACCTGCTCTCACACCGACACAGTGGCTTCCAGTGAGCTCTTGAGCTTGGAAAGGCAACTCAGAGCCTTGGCAGGTCGTCAGGAACAAGGAGCTCACTGATCTTCACCGCTAGTGTCTCGGATCACTTTGGTGCCCGTGATGATACTCGGTGAAGATCCCAATGCATACCCGTCCCGGCTTCCTAAACCCAACCGCTGGCGGTTGGCATCGCTGGACCAAGCAAGTCATTGCCACTGAAAGGCACCGACATTGAGGACATCGTTCTCGGACCGATATGCAGTAGAAACAATGCATAAAAGCAACCTTTGCGAAAGGCAGACAGGCTATCGCTGCTTCAGGGTGGAGCAGAGGTTCCGTCCACGGCATATTCCCATGCATCAAGGACGTGTAGACGATGAGACGAAGCGTAGAAGCCTTGAGATTCAAGCTGGGATGAACCACTTTGAAGCGTGGGGAATTTGCCTCTAAGGACGTGGAGCTCCGGTGAACATGACAAAGGGCGAGGAACTTGAGACTTGCTTCATCTGGCTAATGAAAGAGCCATCCAGATACTGATCCACAATATCTCAGTGGCTGTGTGAAAAATGATCAACGGGTTTAGGAAATAAGAGGAATAGTTGCAGGACCCATGAGAGATAATGAGTAACAGAGTCATTGAACAAGGGCTAGACCTATGGAAACCGAGAAAAGGCTCGTCGGCAACGACATTGGTCAAAGCCAAGCGGTTTTCGCTATAGCCTGTGACTAACTCGAACCAGTCATCGTCCTGCCCATGATGAAATGCAACACGCAAGACAAGGAAGCACGGATCGAGGTAGCGTGTGAGCGTCGTCGAGAGGCGACAGTACACAAGGGGACGACGTCGTTCAAGAGACCAATGGGAAATGAATACAATGTGTCCATATCCAAGAACTCAGCCATCATTGGCAACAGGAAGAATTTTATACGGTAGAGGCAAAAAAAGATGTGTGCAGAAATTCAAAGATCAACAACGAAAATTTCCCGGTCGAGTCGGACATGATTCAGGGAGGCGAGAAAGCACGTGCGTCCGCCACAGCCAACGCCACACATGTAGCTCGCTTAGATTCCTTCCCGAAAAGGCTTGCCGACAGTAAAATGTCTCTGCCAACTTATCGAAGTTGCTTTCATATCTCAACACTTTGCGCACGGAATGGATCTTTGGCAGAATCTGGAAGAGTCTTCTTGCGACACTTGCTGAAAATTTCAGCTTAGTCTGAAAAACCTGACTAAAAAGGCGCATCCATGCTGAATTCAGGCACAGTTGAGCCCAGGGTGGCTGAGACAGGGTGAATTTTGATTGGCTGAAAAGGCAATCAGGGTGCTCGCTTAAGCACACAGCCTCCATGACAGTTTGTGAGAAGCACCAAGCATTGATGAAGACATGAAGAATGGTGTGAAGGACTTCGCCACTTATAAGTACCTTGGTAGCAATTAATAAAGCTAAAAGATGGTATCATTGCAAGTTGGAGGCGAGATTGTTGAAAAAGGGGTTGAGTAATTGTCTGCAGATCCGGCCGATTCCGATGCTCTGTTGGGAACGTCAACGCCCGATGCATTGGGGGATTTATCGTACGCTTCCTTCAGATCCAAACGCAACAACTTACCGACAATCCAATTGGAATTGTAAGGCAAACAGATTCATGGGCCAACGGGAGGTAAAAAAGACCGCAGTACAAATTACGCACACATCCCATATATCCGGTTCGGAGGATGGAATCGTCTTCGGATCGACGATTACCGACCTCACTTGCGAGGCTCAGCCACTTGAATGCCGTCAGCCCTTTGCGTATGAACGAGCTCCGATGTTTCGAATTGGAATGGAATACGCATGTATCCAGCTCTATTTGGACGAAAGGAATCTGGGGTAGGGCAGATTGATTCCATACTTATGCGTTGGCTATCTGAAGGACGCGGCACTCCTGACTTGAGCATTGTAGCTACGAGCTTCGTAAAGGCTGATGTGAGATCACCTACAAGCCCTCGCAACTCCAATGAATATCTAGACAGTTTTAAAAGCGGTAAATGAAGAGACCAATCGCTACTTTGGACACCACCCAGGTACATATCACGCGACAGAGTCGTGTGAGTTTTTCTCTGACATTGAATTTGGAACAATCGCTGGATGGTGACCCATTGGAAAGATGAGAATGCTTGACTAAACATCTGCGATTGCTTGAGAAGTGTAAGCAGAACGTGGATGCCGAGGTCTGGTCTATGCCACGGTGTGATCGTGGGAGGGCCCTTTCAGGGGTAAAAGAAATGAAGACACCCATTTTGTGCATACTGCCGTGAAGTTCTGAGGGCAAATACAAATGCAGTAGCTGTGAAGTCCCTGGTATCCCCACATGTTCGTTTGCAACCAATTCTAACCGACTTTATTCTGCTGCCTGATTAAACACGGCGTAGTGCACTAGCACTATGAAAACCAGATGCTCTTCCAAATGCTTCACTACGTGGCCAACTAAGCCACCTGTGAATTTTACTTACTCATGAACATATCGCAAAGCTTGCAAATGGAATATTTTTTGAAGCAGAGAGAAGGAGAGGGTGAGGTGGTGAAAGCCACGTACTCGTGGGGCAACTTTTGCGTCAAGTCCTGGCATTTAGGGTTCGGCGCGACGCGTTCGCCCATGCACTCTGTGTGGTTACTTCGATCCAATGCCTTTTGACACAAAAATGGATAACTGACGTCGAAGAACGTGATTTGGTGCAGATCATGACTCATTTCCAGTTCTATCGCTTCATCGCGAGCGCCCAACACCGCCAGGTCATCCTTGGTGTGCGGGGAAGCTATTTGCGTTTCGGCAAGTATTGAGATTGTGTGCGCAGCTTGTGTTTGTTGATACGGAATGGCCATTATGGTGGGGGTCAGCAGCTTGCCTGCAGAACTGCATGTTCCATGTTGCTACTCGGGAAAGTGAGGCTGTCGAAAGGATTTTGAGCGATGGATCTTGAAACAACTTGACAAGGTGCCTGTGCCATGCTGGTTCCCTACCGCCTGGTAGTTTTCAGATCTGGATGGCGGCGAGGCGCTTGAATGCATGCTCCTTGCGGCCTCACCTGGAGCCAATTCGGTGTGGTGAAGAATCGGATATGATGGAATTCGTGCGCCCAAGCATGGCCTGCGAGAAGTGATAGACACAGTCTTGCCAATCGAAGGCTTGCAAAAAGGGAGTCGACGCCCAAGATTTTGATGGGGCAATGAAACTGTCTGGATAGCCAGCGATCGTCAAGAAGAAGAAGAAATGGTGATCCGTAAGACTCATCAAAGGCTTCATGACAGCCTCTGAAGAAGACAGAGGAGAGGTAGCCTGGCATCCGCAAATCAGGGCGATTCCGAACAGGCTGTAAGGACTCCTCAGGGAAGATGGTTGAGTTGAATTGGCTTGACGAGATTCATGACGGGAACTTGCATCCAACGGATATTGAACTCTATTTCGGTAGATGGCCGTACAGGGAATGAGGAAGCCTGGAATTGTGCCAATCGTGACTTCCTGCTATGATCTGGAGCGACCGCAACGGTTTAATAAAGAAATAAATTATTTTTTTGGTACTTTCTTAACTCCTAGTTTCGATTTCCCGCCATGCTCAGGTTGCTTCAGCCAGTTGTCTCTACTTGACAGGCAAAGCACACACCGAGTTTGGCGTCGCTTTCAACGATCGGGTATTACCAGACGAGTGTTGAGCCAGGGAGCTTTGAGAGAAGGGATTGTGCAAATAGGTGACGCACTATGCTGGTTTTTCGAAGACTGTGACTTTGAGCTACAACTCTTCGATTATAAGCTTCCTCAAAGGTGAGATCTCCAATGTTGGCGTCAGCACACTCCTCGAGGACTGTCACATCCCAGAAGTAGCCTTCCCGCGAGAATCTTCGACTTCTTCCTGCCAGACTGTTGTACCGGTCAACGGTATCAGTTGAACTTCTCATGCCTTTCCTTCAGAGCTGTGATGTCTAACATATTGACTTACGCCCGACTTTGGTGGAGGTCGCTTAAAATAGGGGGCAGGTAACCACCTCTCGGCAACACCGCAAAGCTGCAATGACGAGAAATTGATGCAATCAATGCCATAATGATTGCTCTAGCAACTGAGATCCAATAAATCATCAGTCTTATGTTTACAGCTGTAGACTTCGTCCACAAGGACTTTGAGACTCGTGATGCCTGGAGAGCTGTTTTCGGTTAAGATGAGACGGTCTGTAGGGCTGAGCTGGATCTCACACCGACTGCAATCTTGGGACCAATAGAACACAGAAGTGTCTCAATGCTCTCTTGCTGATATCAATGTGACCAAGTTCTTTTGCTTGGCTTGTGATAGGAATTTAGTTCAGCCCGAAAGGGCGGCAATGGCTGGAAGGAAATGAAGCCTCTGTAACATCGGACCAACTACAACATCAAGAATGCGGGCTGAGATGTGGCCGTATTATAGTTCGCATATTGGAGGCGCTCCCCCTTACCGAAGACGGAGAGGCTCTTTAAGTGCTCACTTTGGCGGCGTCTATTCTATATTGTTCTAACTGCTTATTGATAGACTATTGAGGGTTCAAATGTGGGGTCCAAAATACCGTCTGCTTGTCTGCCGCCCGGATGACTGTGCCTCCGTGTTGCATGAAGATATGCAGGTTTTACTTTACATGACTGATAAGCAGGCTGATGCACCGAGCCGCTTGTGACTTATTAAGAAGAGTTGCTCCCGGGCGTGTTATGCCGCCTTGTCTGTGGTTGCTCGCGCACTGCTGTATAAATTCTCTGGGATATGCCCTTCTCCAGACCAGCAAACAATGACGATCTACCAGAGCGAAATTAAAATTTGGGGCGAATCTTCTATTACGTGTGCACATTACTGACGAGTAATGCCCGCCATTACAAGAAAGCACCGATCGTGAGGATTCTGGAAGCCTTCGAGGTGTCTTTTCCCAGGGCTTCGGTGAACGTAAAGGAATTAAGTGTCGCATCGGTCGCGCAAGGACGGCCATGGGGCTGCATGCTCGGTGAGAGAATGTGGGCGATGCGCACCTCCCCAACAATTAGCTGAGCCGCAGTGCGCAGAATTGCGAACCACCAAAAGGACTGTTCCGAGGCAACTTTTCTTAGCAGAAAGTGCAAAAATGTCAAGTGCAGGGGTACACAGAGCAGGCTCCGGAGTCGTAGAATGTATTTAGAATCAAGTATGCCCTTTTCTATGCGGACATCGCTCTCTAGAGTCTACAATCATCTTTGCAAAGCCAATTACTCAATCAAAACTGTCTGAACTTATCGAATTATCCATCCTCTTGCTATTTTATCGTTATCCCAGAGCGACGCCTTATTTTTATGGCCAACGTTTCGCTTTCGCCCCCACATTTTTAGTTTAGACGTAAGTTCGAACTCCATGACTTTCCATCTCGTCATGATGCTCAATTCCATCATGTACAGAGAACAATGAGCAACAGCCCTTCCAAGCAAAAAGCGGATGTGGACACCCGCTGGATTCAGCAATTGCGAAGAAACAACAAGACAACGCCCTCGTGGGCGTGTACGTTGTGCCCCGAGCGCAGGATATTCACGTCCAATCAAGCACTATGGGAACATTGCCAATCAGATCACCTCCAACGCCTCCCTCCAGGAGAAGATGCACTGCACAAATTTCGACAAGAATATGAGGCTGAATGTGCTCAGAAGACTTCCAGGTCAGTGCTCCTTTCCCTTTCTTCAGGCAACGGTCATTGGTGGCGGCGCATTGCGTGCCTATCTGCAAGACAGAGCTTTGGCCACACTTCTTGATCACCAGGTTCCTTCCTACACGAGGCTGACAAACAGTGCTTGCCTAGGCCTACGAGAGATGACTCCAAACGGCAGCCAAACCTGAACGAAGCAAACAGAGCTGGCCCCGAGCCACCGCCGTCAAAACGTCCGCATTCTACACCGACACGACTGGCCGCCGCGCGATCAATTTCAGGACTTGGAGCTCTGAATTTAGGCACACCTGAAGATGTTGATATGAGAGACTTGTCCGATGAAGCGGCAGATGGCCAGCCTCGAAAACGAGCGGCACTAGGTGACGGTATAAGTGCTGGCTCTGCCAGTCCATTTCGCGATTCTTCTGCCTCTCCTCCACCTCGGCGATCGAAAGCAAGACCCACGTCCGCACCTTACACAAGTGGAGAAACCGAGCCAGACATGTACGATATACAGAGGCCGGCAAATCCGAGGAAACAACTTTGGACGGAACAAGACACTCCGTTGACAAGATCTTCCGTGGCGGATCCTTCAAATATAGCTTCCGTCCAAGTTCAAAGGGCCAGGAAGTTGATATCTCAGCCGAAAATACAGAAGCCTCTTCCAGTTTCATCCAGTACGAGAACACCACTTGCACCGTCAAACAATAATGCTGTTAATAAATCCGCCTCGTCTCAAAATCTGTTCTCGTCTACAAGCGATGATAATTACGATATAATTCTTCAGCCCGAAACTCGACCCATATCTCAGGAACAACTAGTCGCCGAAGTGAAAGGGATCTATGCTGGGCTCGTGATGGTCGAGGCAAAATGCATCGAAGTTGATAACAAACAAGCTATGCTAGCGCAAGGAGATCCTCAGCCGCCACCAAAATTGAACAACGAACAATGGCAGGCGCTCATTGCGCTCCACCGGACTCTTTTACATGAGCATCACGACTTCTTCCTCGCCTCTCAACATCCTAGCGCTTCTCCAGCTCTCCGACGGCTCGCTTCGAAGTACGCAATGCCGGCTCGAATGTGGCGCCATGGTATCCACTCGTTTCTGGAGCTTCTCCGCCATAGATTACCAGCAAGTCTTGACCACATGCTTGCCTTCATCTATCTTGCTTACTCGATGATGGCGTTGTTATACGAGACGGTTCCTGCTTTCGAAGACACTTGGATCGAGTGCTTGGGCGATCTAGGTCGCTACAGAATGGCCATCGAAGACGACGACATCAGAGACCGCGAAGTATGGACAGGAGTTGCACGCCACTGGTACTCGAAAGCCTCGGATAAAGCTCCTACCACCGGCAGACTGTACCATCACTTGGCCATCTTAGCCAGACCAAATGCGCTGCAGCAACTGTTTTACTACTCGAAATCTCTATGTGTGGCTGTCCCATTTGTCTCTGCGCGAGAGTCCATTCTTACTCTCTTCAACCCTGTGCTGGATGCGGACCCAACTCATGGTCAACTGAGGTTACCTCCTCTCGATATGTTTTTCGTCAAGGCTCACGGCTTGATGTTCACAAATAAACACATCGAGAAGTTCAAGGAAACAAAGAAGGAGTTTCTTGGTCTTCTTGATAATCAGATCGGCCGCGTCACAAGAAAGTTTATGGAGCAAGGCTACCATATCGCCATTGCAAACAGTGTTGCAATGACTGGTTTTGCTGCGAAAGATAATGTGCTGATGCAACTCATCTCGCCAAACAAAGATGGTGGTGACGTTGCCATGGCAGGCAATGCTTCTCAACAGTCGATGGATACGTTCAAACTTGCAGTCGGTCTCAGCAACGATACTCTTAGGATTGTCCTACAGAGGATCGGTGATCCCAATGTGCTTCCATTCCTTCATGTAGTCCTTGTTTTCATGTTCAGCATGACTCGTCACGCTGGTGCTATGGATCTGCTTCAAGAGGATTTCCCTTGGGATCTCCTTGCGATTATGCTTAATACGTTATTGGCGCAATACAAGACACTCGCTCGTATTGAAGCCGAGCAGTTCCCACTGCCTGCAATGGACGATTTCCGTCCATTCCCAGAAGACTTTGCTCTACGTGGGCTTCTGTGGACGGAGAATTACTTCCCTCCAGAGTGGTTCACACATGAAAAGATCGATGAGGAGGAAAAGCACCATGAGCGTCCTTCGATGACGGATGAACGCAAGGAACGGATACTTTGGCTTGCTTGCAGACTCGCACAAGCTGGACCCTGGCTTACGTATGATGGAACCTCGTTCAAGGCTCAAAGAGACAAGTCTTCCTTCGGAGGAGTTGTGCCTGTGTCCACTACACATGTTTGAAACTTTCAGTAGTGCATCTTGTGATTATATAGCTTTAGCATTTCAGAGGAGTCTCCTCGAGCATTTAGGAGTTGGGCGTCGGCATACATTTACAGATGGCACGGGCATTTTTGAAGGAGTAACATTCCGAGGTATGGCTACTTCCTGTGCCATAAAAGAAGCAAAATTAATAACAAGTTCAGAACTATCTTCGCATCCCATTGTCCCCAGAAGAGATGGATGGACGAGACTTGTGAAAGACATGCTCTCGACAGTCATGATCTACATGGGTGTTTGGCTCTGTTCTCTAATCGAGATTGTGTACAAAAAATCACGTTGGCGTGGAGGTCTTTGCCTTTCGTCCCCCAAGCCCAGTATGGTGGCTTCATACGTTGCAGAAGCTTATTTCTGTATGTACTCACGAGATACGAATCTCTTTGGCTCCTGTGTGATGTGGCTTAGAAATTCAAGAATCTTTGAGTAACCAACCCCACTTGTGATTCTCAACATCTGACTGCTCAACACACCACTTCTGGAGCCTTGAGCTGATATTCCATCATGATCTCCCAGAACCACGCGCAATCAGAAGCCAAATAACGAACCATTCACAGGTCCAGAAGCTACTCTGTGCAGCCAACTCTTTTCTATGCAGTGTAATCTTTATAGATTCGGTGACCTGAATTGGTTGCAGCCTTCAATACTCAAGCCCTCCCACACGCTTAAGATCTTCCTCCTCCCCGCAGCCTTGTGAAGCTGACTGCCTCGGACCTGAGACTGTACCCACCTGACTGGTTCTCATTGCACGACATCGAGTCCTGTGCGCCATTTTGATAACGAGAGAAAACGATACCGATATACGAGAACCGACAGCCAATGCAAAGTTCTGAAACGTGTCAATGAGCAATTGCCACTCTACGAATTTGCACCTTGAAGCTTATAAAGGATGGCTCTCGCCTCCAAAATCTGACAGTTGACTTCCTTCGGTAACAGGGTGGTGTACGTATAGGACCAGCTCTCTCGCGACACAATCATTCTTCACCAACCCCTCGACATCTTCACATATCACAACATTCTCGAGTCTCACACGTCGAGTCTACGCTTTCGTATTGATCACCGACATGCTATCAGCTGCATATCTCATCATCAACGATCTACCAAGAGATGGTGAGGCAACCAAAACCCGGTACAACCCTTTCACGAATATCCATTCCAAGTCTTGACCCAGATTTCCTTGCTGCACCACAACATATCGGCGCGATGCCAGGAAACAACATATGATGCTCATATCGAGTTCATCTCATTTGTTAATAAACCCTTTCGTGATGATGGCTGTGGCTTATTCATCCTGCGGTATTTTCCTGCTTTTCGATCTCGGTGACCAGATTGGTCAAGCCAGGAACCAAACAATCCTGGCCCACGATCTGCATGACATTTGGCAGCCTTACACAGAGACAATGTCCATGCACCTCACTCAAGTGGGGCACAAGGCTGGAAGAGACCTCAGATAAGACCGCGCCTCGTGCATGAACCCCAACCCCACGTTTTTTTCTTCACATCTCGATCATAAACCGGTTGTCAGCAATTGTCCAGACGCATCTGAATCGCCGGTTTCGGGTTCCCGATTACCGGCAACTTGTACTCCCCGAGATTGAACAAGAAAGTATGTCGCCGAATGTACCTAGGTACCTTTCGGGGACGCCACAGAAAACGCCATCAAGTGAACCGGGCGTCCTTCGCAAATTTGTTTCTCAGCCTCGTGACATTCTTCAGATTCAATGCATATCTCCGTTCATGGACACAGATAGGCGTTTCGTGGGGGCAGAATTGCTTTCACTTGCATTTTCTCCTTTGAGTCGCGGTTGCTTCTGCGGTCGAGACCTTGTTGTGTTGTCTGTTGTCAATTTCTCTTCTTAGATTGTTTTGCATCAAAACAATAAAACATATTGCCAACACAACATAACACAACATAGCCAACGATCTCAGACCCAAGATCTGGCCTAGTCTTCAGTTGCCTCGCGGTTGGTTTCCCCGTGTTGTAAATTTTGTTGTTCGTGCCTGTTTCATTTCATGGGGCGTGTATTCGTGCTCTAGGCCGACTTTCTGCAGCCGTACGGCGCAGTCGCGAGCAATGCAACCAGGTTGGTGTCCTTACGACGAGGCTGAGGGCGTCCGCATTCATCCCAGCGCTTCTTACTTATCAACACTTTTCACGTTATGTTGGTCAAATGCGCCGTACGTTCTATCTACTAGGGCGTAAGACAGATGGGAAAATGAAAGGATACAGCGGCGGCGGCGTCTGCCAAAATTTGAAGCCCTGAAGGATTCCGCAGCCGTTGCCTTGTTCCAATTTTGGGACGCTTTGGTATTCTTCGAGCCCAGAAGAGCGAGTGAGACGTTGGTGCTGTAGGGCTGAGGCGGCTGATGAGGATAGGAATAGGGGGTGGAGACGGTGAAGGCGCCACTCGGTGTTGAGGTTGACTGTCGAAGCTTTGCAGAGGGAGCCTGCTGAAGCCTGGTAGGCTACTTCTGAGAATATACAAGGCTGCGCTTGAGTCACGATATCAGGATTCAGGACTACATGTGAAGAGTGAGGCTTGACGTGGAAGCTTAGTTATGGTGTTGAGTCGATGGATGACTTGATCCTGGCCATCAAAGAAGGCAACTTGACTTGCTGAAAATGCACTGGTCATGGGAACAATGTGAGTCAATTCTGATAACAAGGCAAAGAATTCTCTCTATTTTGGGGCACTTATTGAATCGTCATTAAAGGAATGAATTTGTTGCCTCCATTCCAGAACTCAAGGCAACTGGACGAGCAGTTCTCGGCCAAACTTCTAGGCCGCAGCAGACAGTCTCTTCCCCAAATTTACCTGAGGCATCTGCAAGATACTGGAACTGATTCTGCCATTAATGGCCTTGTTCTCAAAATGGATCATCTCCACCAGTCGTTTCTTGACCTGGAAGTTTGAGGTCTTGTTGCATGCAAATATGCTGAAGTTACGTTGCCTCTATTCCCTTCAATTCTTTGCTTACTATTGAGGATCTCATTATTCCCGAGTTTTAGAGCATCTATGCGGCTGTTGAAAGAATCCAAAGAACATTTTTGCAACACCATTTGATAGAGACGCGCAGAGTGTCTTGGGGATAGACAGATCCAAGCGAATAGTATTGAGTTGCAGGAAAAAAGAGCTTAGTAGGTTGTTCTGAGAGTCGACCCTTGGGCCGCGCTACTGCTCAAGTGCGACTCTCTGTTTTGTCTGAAAAGTGCTTGATTTATGTTTCTTAGGCGCAGCTACACAGATTCTGTGGGCCGTGCTAAATTTATTGTCATTTTGTTGCAGGCAACAGTCACCTTCAGTGTGTTGACTTCTGAGTTACAGTTGAAGTTGACTTGAAGCTCTGTGAAAGATTCTGACGGCGAGAGTGTCAATAAAGCACATCGCTCCTCTTTCACAAGTGAAGTTGAGTCGAAGTCTCATGAACATTTCTGAAGATGAACTTATTACTGTTTACCGGATAGTCTTCATCTCCCCTTAAATACGATCGGCGAAGCACAACTTCTCACATTCATAAGTGATTTCTGGTCAGAAGACATTTGTAGAAGTATTTTTCTTCCTACAACAAACAAAGAGGTTTACGCTCGCTGTGAGAAAACAGAAGTTTTGCTCGTCTCGAAATTGGTATCACCTAGGACTACGCAAAAGGCCCAGAACAATCGATGTCCCCGCCGTCCATCTCTCCTCAGGTATATCCCCCTTATCCATCCTCTCCACATCCTCCTTATCCTCCTCAATCTTGACCTCACCCTCGCCTTCGACCTCCTCACTCTTCACTGCCGCCATTAGCCTCTTCCTCTTCCGCCCCGCAGCACTCAACGCCCCCTTCCTCTCCCTCTCCCTCCTCTTCTTCCTCCTTTTCTCCCTAACCCTGACCTCCTCCGCCAACACCAACCCCTCATTAACCTCCCAATCGTCCCTCCCCCAAAACATCCTCACACCCCCCTTATTCCTCTCCAGAAAACTCGTCCGATAAACCTCCTTGACCGGAATCGCCGGCTCCCCCAACTTCAAATCAAGCTCTTTGTCCCACGCACTGTCGTTCTGCCCCAGGAACCCGGGAGGATAGCCGATACTGCTGCGTGGAACGGGGATCGCGCGGCGTTTGGGCGAGAAGTGGAGCCCGGAAGGGTCAACCCAGGGGACGTAGGGGTTGGGGCAGAGGTCCACGAGGACTTGGGCGTTGGCGCGGGTGCGGCGGCGGTGAAACGCGGAGGTGGTGGAGGGGAGTTGCTTGCCGCTGGTTGTAGGATGGGGAGTCGAGTTCGTGCGTGGTGGAGGGAGGATGGGACGAGGAGTTCCTGGTCGTGGAATAGCAGAGGCAGGTTGAGAGGCGGACATGATGGGGCGTATCATGTTCTTTGAGGGGTAGTATCGTGGTCTTTTGGAAGGTGGCTCCATGGCTTTTAAGGGTGCTGCACTTTGCGGTAGGTTTTTGAGAGGTTGCGCTTGATTGGTGAGAAGGAGATGCGGGAGGTGACGAGTCGGAAGATCAGTGTCGTTGGATTGGCTGGCTTCTGCGACTAGGGTATGACTCTGCTAATTGGGGTGAAAGAGTTCTTCGAGGTGCTTGAGCTTTCGATATTGCCAGGTTTCGTTGTGCAGTACGTTCTTGGAAGGCGCGAAGCTGGATCTTGAATCTTGGAAAGTTGTTTGTTGTAAATCGCCGGAAAAAAGAAAGAAAGTAGAAGCTTGCGCGAGATAATATTATTTTCATTTGCGAGGCGAAAGACGAGAACAATTCTTTGCTCTAGCTATTGTGGTGAATTAGATTTTGGCTAGTGTTTCCAAGGTTGTCATTGTGGATTAAGCGAGGAAAGAGGATAGGGGAACCGAGTTGCGGGCCGTACCGACACGCTCAGAAGTTCGCACAATCCCTGTTCTCAGGAAAGAAAATTGTGAGAATAGATATTCAAAAGAGTTGCGGAAGCTCTCTCTTGGCGAATAAAATTAAGTAGATGGCATATCAATCATTAGTGTATCCTTCACTTTCATCCGACCTTACAGTTTGTTTAGCGAGCGACTTTTGTCAAGTCAAAAAATCAAAACTCAGAGCCATCGACCGAAGTCAATGGCTAATAGAAACCAGCAGCCAGTGCTGATTTTGAAGAGGCTATAAAGTCCATCTGGAAATCTGTCAACTGAGCTAACAGTATATTAGATAACCTTTGGTTTTCCGGACTTAATATGGTAAAGATTTGCTTATTTAAATCTATATAGAGTGGTGCAGGTTCTGGTCTGAGTTGGGATTTTGGCGAGGGACGCTAGAAATACGTCATTAGGATATAATAAATACTTGAGTTCTTCCTTAGCCAAAATATTTTTCTTCGTCCTGATTAGGCATCTCAGAGTTTGAGGAGTTGAGGATTTTTAACGAGAGTTCAGCTTCAGTTGTTACCGATTTCTAAATACCTGAAATGATTTATCTCATTTTTAAGGGATTCTGGGACAATATTCTTTGTGGAGATGTTATGTTTGGGTGCTATTCTATGATAGCGCACAGTGGTGATGACTCGACTCCGCAAGTGTAGTCTTCGAGAGTCTCTAAACTCACCACGAGCCAACCTTTCCTATTCTAACAACAATCCCAAAGAAAGAGATGAACTAAGCTACATGTAGAGCAGTATCTTATCATATCACAGCTATCTGATTTCCAATTTCATAAATCATATTCACCCAAAATCACAGTTTTCATCTTGAAGTAAACTCTCACAGCATTTCGCAGAAAACCATCTCTGCCTGTTAAGGTAAATTCGTACATAACAGTATAATCTGTATCCGACTGACAACCCTCAGTAAACATGGAGGACACAAAGTCCTATCACGATATCATCGAAGCCAACAAAGACTCCCTCAGAATATTCCACTGGATTTACTGGGTGTTTCTCAGTGGCAGCACCGGACTATGGGCAATCGTCATCACATGGTCAATCCTAACATACGAATCGAGACGGAAGCGAGCTCTACGACTCAAAGAGATTGAAGAATATGCATTGGATGAAGTGGGGCAGGACTCAGATTCCGCAGTGGAAGACTTGATTGAGGATCTCGTTCGAGACGACGATGTTGAGCAGGCGCCTCAAGATCCGTGTCGTATATCACTGTTGTCAAAGTCTAGGCGAGATCAAGCAGGAGGGAACAGGAATGGGTATGGTGCCATTTAGGTGTGGACAATGAACGGAAGCTAGAAGGACAGATGTTGGAAACACCAATCTCAAAACTCCAACAGTCGACGCGAAGCTTCATATTTGATACTTTCTCAATCTTTGTGGTTTTATTTTGGGTTTGTGTCAAGGTCAGGTTTCATCTCATGGCCTTTCTCAATTTATTTGGCGCGCGCTTCGCAATGGAATGTCGCCAATATTGGTCGGCGCTTACCACCATTTCGAAGTAATTCTGGCTCCGAAGACCTCCATGGGTCTGACTGAAACATCGGGATTTAGCGCCTTCGACTGTTGTCTTTGTGTTTTGATAGATATAAGGCAATAAATGGGATATCTTCATTCTCGTGGCGGTGAATCGGCCATGTTGGAAGGCCTTCAGACATCTCGCTGATGTTTCAATGAATCAACAGGCAAGCGGTACGCCGTCCAAAGTTGGATTTTTTTTACATCGAACCTCTACTCTTGACGAGAATATGGAAGTATAAAAGTGTTTTCTTCAAGATTTTTCTCTGTAGTTGATCTGGCATTCATTTTCTTACTACTTGCAATCAATTTCATTCTCGCATCGTCAAGCCTGATATTCTTATTCTTTGACCAATCAATCACTTCATTTACAAACGTTCAACTCCAGCCCAAACTTGGGAATCTAGCGATCATGAGCACTTCAACAGTGTCAAGAGAAGAGCTCATTAAGGAGCTTCTGAACTTTGACCAAGCTCATCTACCACGCTCAGCGAATCAAAATTGGCACCTTCCCTGGCAGTGGAAATGGGACCCTAGAGGTCCCAAGGGACAACTCCACAAAAACCCAAAAGATTTCCATGGGGTGGAGTATCCGGATCATACACCAGAGCGAAACACTGTTCTGGGCAGTGGTTGTTTTGGCGAAGTCCGTCGTGTACTGTGCAATGGTAGGGTCCTTGCTCGGAAGAAGGCAATTTTCAACATCAACAGACCTCGCAGAACGGTACCGAACAGCAGGGAGATCCAAGCTCTGAAGAAAGTCGACCACAGACATATATCACAGCTCGTCGGCCTCTATATCCTTAATGACGATCTCTATAGTTTGTCATATCCAGTAGCAGACATGTGCATCCGCGATTACATGAGACTGAATCGGACCGGTGATGCCACGTGGGTCAACACTCTGATAAATGGAATGGGATGCTTGAGCAATGCTCTGGCATACATGCATTCTGTCGGAGTTAAACATCGAGACATTCATAACGAGAATGTGCTTGTGCTAGGAGGGTGCTTAATCTTCTGCGACTTCGGAGGATCAAAGTCAGTATTCCAGAGTCCATCGACAAAGATCATTGCTAACGTATCTTATTAGTGTCTCCAATGTTCGACCGATTCCAATTCCTCCTGGGCCCTTTGACCACATAGGGCCAGAGCCGTTCCATTGGGACGATGCAAGAAAAATAGATGTCTATAGGTTGGGGGAGCTATTTGAACAGATGGTTAAAGCGATTGACGGTGGCCGTGATGTCGAACGATGGGGATTTGATAATCCGCAGCAGACAGAACTCGACAAACACAATCTGCGCACTTTTTCTGGAACTCCCAAGCAGATAGGTCGAAGAGACTTTCGAAGTCTCTCCAAAGCCATGACAGCTCGCGATGAGAGAGATCGGCCGGATGCCGCTTTGGTGGCACGGTATCTTCGATCGGGACACGTCAAGTGGGCAATTCAACAGAGGAGCTGGAGCGCGGACGCTGATGACGGTGATATCTATCCTAATACTTGTGGTGAGTGTTGTAAGTGATGAAGAGGTGACTTCGAATCCTTGGTATGCTGGACAGACAAGGGCTGGTGGCTGGAGATTTCAGGAGCTGAATGCTTGGTCTTTCTGAATCGTTTTGGCGTCATGGTGGAGTATGCTTGAAGTTGTTTTCTTGGGCTTCGAATTCGGAACATAATACATGTGGGATGCAAACGATAATTCATCATAGTTGTCCTGGATCCAGTATTCATGCAGGAATGTGATACGCATCAGACAAAGCCTTGCTCCATTAAACTTGAAGAAAAGTTGGCTTCAACAACGATACATCACAACTTCAGCCCTCCGTTTCCAAACGTAACATGGAGTCCGTCGATACCTTCGATTCCAACCTCGCCATTTCTTTTCAATTCCTCAACTTCTCCCTTCACCTTCTCCTTGATTAATTCCATCAACTTCCTACCCTCACCATCTTCCAGTTTAACCCTCGGCCCCTCACCAAGCGCAATGTTCTTTCTTTCCGCATCTCCAATCTCACTCGCATCTCGTGCTTTTCCATTCCCTGGCGCTGACCTGGGAATGACATGGAAATGCGAATGCGGAATCGTTTGTCCTGCTTCAGATCCTGTAATATTTTCAGTCTCATGTTTTCTCTTTTTGATCTCCTCCATGCTTTCCCACGAGTACCGTTAATTTTCCAGATGAGAAAAATCAGAAAATGCTTACCATTAGCCTGTATAACATTCCAGCTCGCACTTTCAGTCTCTTGTCCTAATGCACCAATGACTGCTCTCCCTAGGACCGGCAACCAGAATCCCAGCGCCGCAGCTTCAGCTCCTGTCATCGAGGAAGCTTTCTCGACATGGCGACGAGGACAAAGCAGAATGTGTCCTGGCGAGATAGGAGCAATGTCTAAGAAAGCGATAACTGTCGGTGTTGCAAGGACAGGATAAGCGGACCCTTTCGGAGAGCTGAAGAGTGCGGGGGAAGTTGAAGGTGGGATGGCGGTGCTGATAGCGCAGAATGGGCAGAACATTGTTTTGGGAATGAGGTTATATCATGAGATATTTGAGATATGATTTGGTACAGGATACTGACAAGTCTGAAGAATCAGGGGGTTCCGGAGTCATCGAATGTCAGCAAGGCACGTGAGATAAGTCCACGAAGGCGGCCGACATGGGAAAGGTTCTAGTGCTTAGGTCGAAAGCTTCATTGAGCTACCGACTAACAGCATTTTGTTGTTTGAAATTGTTCCTTGCATACAAACTCCGCTGGACCTCTCCATTCAAGATGCATTGGGATTGGAAGGAGGCAGACCCTTGCTGCTACCGCTGACAGCCACCCCACCAGTTGAGTAGTAATGCGCAGCCGCCGTCAAGTTGGACGAATGATTACTGCTCAAATCCAATGCCACCGTAATCCATGCTAACAATCCATCCTCCAGATTATCGCTGAGTTGCACGTATTCCACGAAAGGGTCATAATCAGTCGTTGCCTCTTCCAGCATCCATCCATCTACTTCCCAGGTCGTGAATGCAATCGTATTAGTGTTGTAAGGAGTAGTCGCCTCCACAGCCTCCACAAGTGCATCCTCAAAGTAAATCTGCCCAACATGCAGAGTCGTTCCACCGGTGTAAGTATCATTAGGCAAAAGAGTAGCGTTTGTCTGCACCACAAGATGAAAGTGCGTGATGCGGTCATCATAATGCCCTGGAAATAACGTATCGAAAGAAGCAACACCTTCCTCATCGGAAGCTTGTACACCTCGCAGGAAAGTCGAGTTCAGGCCACCTTCACCTTCGCTGGTATCGATACCTGAATAGACCCCAGTGCTATTGCAATGCCAGACATCGGCTAGGACCTCGGACACAGGTTCGCAAGTATTCGTGTCAACGAATTGCAGTTCGATGTGCATTGGAACACCTGCTTGTCCTTCGGTGATGTTCGATCGAATGTACTCTCCTGTTACATAATAAGGACCGATTGTCGTTTCGGGAACAAGGGCGCAGGTGTTGTTTGATCCGAATATAGTAGCTTCGGGTGTATCGAGGGTGTAGCCTAAGGCTGCTGATTCGTTGTGATTCACTGTCGTATAGTATTCAAGAGACGTGAGGTCTCTTTTTTGATGACTTAGACTCTCTGCAGGTATGTGTTTAGTAAATTGACAGCTCTTGGAATCTGAAGCATACCGGTAGTGAGTCCACGCTTTGCCCGAAGTTCTTTGACTTTGGCTGCCCGACGAGCAGCCGCCCGTTGTTTCAGTGCAAGAGCCTCTGCCGAATTTTGACATTGGGACAAAGATCTGGTAGCAGCAGCATGCTGCGTGTTGCGCATTGCCATCTCACGCTTGATTGCTTCGACGCTGTCACCAGGGTGGGCAGCAACAAGAGAGATAGTTGCCATTACGGCAACTAAAGATTTGAAGAAGACCATTGCGAGTAACAGAGAAACGGAACTCGAAGCAAAGAAACGAATGAAATAGAGATACAGAGAAGGACCTCAAAGATTGGTTGAGTCAATACTCTCCAGAACAGCCAGACGTACTTGTATTGACATGATTCCTGTGACACTCGTCACCATGTGGATTGATGTACTTCTGCCAAGAAGATGTTTGTGTATAAAAAGCAGAAAGAAACGTCCGTACAAGATTCGATGGAGATGCCAAGACGAGAACGCTCAATCACAATTTCAGATTTTCTGCTAGCGAGGATCAATCCTGGACTGCAAGGCATCAGATTAAAAGATCTCAAAGTATCCCACCAATAGTTATACACCGCTTTCCAATCGTGGTCTCGGTACGATAGGGGAGAGTGGAAGCGGAGGCTTACGTGGTGAATGCGTGGCTGCCCCGCTGCGCTGCGGCCCTCAGTCTCTCTTAGGAAGCTAATTCTCAACTTTGTGTTTGTTCCAGCGAATAATAATTCAGACGATTCGCCCAAGATATCGTCTTTGAAACTTCCTGGCAATTCGAGACCCAATAGACAAGCGAATCTTTGCGGAGAGCTTGAAGGGGATGGGGAGAAGGGAGGGGCCGATAGAGGGAGAAACTGTACTTAGGTGGCGCGGAAAAGACAGAACATTTCAATAGGATAGGTTATATCAGAGATGTGAGGCTGAAGATTAATGCTTTCGGAATCTCAGAATCGAGTAAATTTTCAACTCTGAGTAACGGAGGCAAAGAGGTCAATAGAACAAAGAAGGGTGCCTCAAAATCATAAGTGTCCAGAATACACGTGACCTTCTCTTAGAAATAGCGGATAAGTGAAGATGGCTCGTCATATACATTGATAGACTATTAGAATGGTAGCTGCTGTTTTGCCGCTATGGTTTTCGCTTTGTAAGTGATTTGAGATTAGTAGAAATATCGGGAAGGGATAAAGAGAGGAGAAAAGCGAGTTGAGCCGAAAGTGGATAGGGGTGTCTTTTTTTTATATATGTATTTGATAGTGATTTTTCTTCATTTCTGTAAACATCAATCCGAAAGCATACTTCTTCCTTTTACTTCTCACTTCCCTCCTTCTCCAACCTCTCCAAGTTTGCCCTCGCCCTCCTGATCAAACTTCTCCCCTGCTCCGCCGCCTTACTATCCAAAAACTCCACCACCCTCTCCATCTTCTCGCCACTCTCATCCATACTGCAAACAAACATATACTCGCCCCTATAAATCCACTGCTGCTCACTCAACCCTTCATCCCTAAACTCCTTCTTGATCACCAGTTCCCCTTCTGCCCAAATGATAACCCTATTCTGTTTCTCATCTTCCATGACTTCCTTTGGCCAAACCGGGAAACGCTCTATCACTGTTTTGAGGCGGTTGATATGAGCGCCAAATTCCGGGTTGGCGAGTGGTGCGGGTTGGGCGGCGGGTCGGAAGATGTTGAGGCAGTTTTGTGTGCGGAGAGAGAGGTGTGCGTCTGCGTCGAGTGTTTCGAAAGCCGCGAGGAAGGCGAGGGCGGTTTCGCGGCGTTTGGAAGACATTTCGAGTTTTACATGTTAATTTGAATGTTAAAAAAAGATTGAGATTTGCTTTGAATTTTGCAATGTGAATAATTCTAGAGAAGTGGTGGTTAAGTGCGATTTTATGTCGGAGATAAGCTACAAACACCGTTGTGGCCGATGAATATGGAATGCTTGCATTTGGGATATTGTAATCTCGAAATATGATCCTACCTCTGAATGGTCGTGAACTTTAGATTCCGCGGTTTCCTGAACTCTTGATCGTTTGTCGAGGTGTCTTCACTTAGCTTTCCATGCTGGATCATCCTTGAAATGCGTCCTGCTCCTCTCCAACTTCAGCTTCAATTCAACAAATCAAGACCTTTGCCGGAACTCCTCTTTACTTGTTTCTCTGATAATATCTTTGGTTGATTTTTGATTTCTGAAATGAGTATACCGACGAGTCTTTTCGTGTGAATTTAGGCCGAGAGAGAAATGAATTCCCTGGAAGCTTACAATAACTGTCTTTAGTCGAAGTAACATACGTGAGATTTAATTGTACTTTGCAAGTGAGCCTAGAGAGAACACAAATATACCCGATCTAAAGCTACTTGATATACATGCCCTGTAGAGAGTTTGAGTTGACGACCCAACAAGGAATATTCACACATGGTAAAGCCATGAGCACAGTTCCTCGATGATTGATTGACTTGATGCGAACGGTCACAAACACCACGGCCGGAGAAGAGTGACCAGAAGTTCTTTGACCTTCTACATACATCCATAGGAACACAGCCTCGAAAAGCAAGAGCAGACCTTTCCTCACTAATTAATCTATGTTTATGACAGATAACCTTGTCCTTTGGCAAGGCAGCGAGAGAGAATGCTAACATTGGGTTAAAGCACGGGGAAGAGCAGGTGCAGAGACTCGTGGAGCCATTCAATCCCACCGATCACTGCTGACTGGCACGCTTCCAATTACACATTCTGAACTGGACATGAAGTGGTCGAACAGCTCAGCACGGCTCAACCACTTTCCGAAACAGTATCGGCATCCATAGGGACTGAGGTTCTGCGTAATCTCCCCTGTAGATATAATACGGTGGTTGTTTAACATATGCTCCGTGAAACAATCCACAGACTCAGTTTGACCTTTGGGACACAAGTGACAGAAGTAAGCCTTCGCTGTACTCAATGATTGAGCTCCTTGACTGCTGGTTCCAACGTCCATAAGGTACTTGGCGGCAGGAAAATCTTCTTGCAAACATGGAACGGGGACTTGATCCAACCAAAGCGCAGTCGAAGGATATTGTGCGGCCTTGAACACATTTGCAACATGCTCGGCGTCGCTAATAAGATCGATAAGGAGGATTGACGAAGATAGACTGCATACGTCTTCTAGTTGTTTAGCCACCGCGTGTTCTTCCATGACGGGAGGTTGTACCAAAGTACTGACCTTGTCGTCAATATGAGCACTGCCAACTTCCGGCTCCAACTGCTGAAATTGCTGATAAACTGGCGGTGGTGCAGGCAGAGTAGGCCGATTGGACTCGTAGTATGCAAGTTGTTGTGGTCCAATTGCGAGCGGCATCGCCAGAATATTATCAACTAGAGCGTGTGATGCAAGCCCGGGTGCCGCAGACTAATCTCAACATCAGAGTGGATACTCTTAAAGATATGTGAAGAGACTCACCTGAAAGACCTGATGGAAGATTTGACTGCTGAGCGCATTGAAGATTGCTCTGACAAAGAATTTCTTTCTGGGCTTCAGCAAAGCAAGCCTGATGTATACTTCGACATCGACTGGTGCTTTCAAATGGCTCTCAAAGATCGAAACAATGTATGGCACAATGACTCGAATCATATCCTCGGATATCGGGTCTGCCTTGTTGAGAATCTTGTGTACCCTATCCAAAAGGACAGTAAACGTAGGAATTTGGCCATCCTCATGCTGGAGAGTCTTTGATCTGATTAAGTCCAAGGCTGCAGAGCGCCTTAAAGTTACAGAGTGCCTTTTGGCTTCCTTCGCAGCCTTTGCTTTGGATTGTCGAGTCTCGCCATCGTTCTCTCGCTTGATCTGCTTGGCCAGCCGGTCGGAACTGAGATGAATTGGTCAGAATACTCAAAGTAATGCAATTGTGACGTTGGTGTAGATAGATTTGGATAGTAAAGGGGATACGATTCAGTCTGGCAGATTGAAGGGTGGTACTCACTCATAACCTTCTTCGCTTCGCAGCCGCTTGTTGAAGATGTTGATGAACACCTCCATCATATTGGTCTACAGCTTTCTGATTGCCGTTGGAGATTGGTTGAAATGGCTTCAATGAAGGTCAAGGAAGAAGAGAGGGGGAGATTTCGAAACAAAAAGGTAGCAAGACTCAAATGGAGAAACTGCGCTTGCTGGTGTGGAAGGGACGCAGCACTCGCTTCTACGAAGGGCAAGAACTCAGAAGCCATTGACAAACATGGAAACTCTGATCTCTCATCCTACAGTACAATTTAAAGATTCAATGCCGCGAAATTCGAGACTGAATTATTTTGCAAGAGCATGAAAGCGCACAGCTACATCATAGGATGAATACTGAAGTGAAATCTTTCAGCACGCGACTTTGACGGCGGTACCAAATAAAGAAAATGAACACCTACTGTTCCCAAGAGGAGATCCTCACGATTCTTCAGCTCTAGGACGAGATATAAAACGAGAGCTGTCATAGAACCTCATCTTTTCCACTGCAAAGTATTTACAATAAGTCGTCAGATGTCCCATAGTATCTTTCTTCGCAATGCACGCCAGAACTTTTTCCACTTCATATTTAGCCCCAATAACCACTCGGACCCATCGATTCAGCATCATTGTACTTCATTGGCCACCAATCCGTGCTTACCCAAAGCCTGCACTAAGAAGCGGCCGAAGCCCGATCCCGTCCAGTCCTCCTTCGCCCAAAATACGAGCTCTGCATAAGGACCCGCAATCCACCAGATCCTTACCAGAAGTGTGTATTCGGTCTGACGAGAGTACAATATCAAGAATGGATGACAGTTTTCACTGTGGGGAAGTTTGGGGTTTGGATGACGGGACTAGTTCTCACAATCGATGGAACTGGGGAGTATGCAAGGTAAGCAGAAGAGATTGAACGATGCATACATCAATCCGTGACTTCCATGTCCACTCCTCCTAATCCATTTTTCTTCCCCCTTCTTCTCAACCATTTCGAACAAGCCAAAAGAATAATGGGCTCTTCAAGTAGGAGTGAAAAATTCGGCGAGAGAAGTCTCCCAAACATCTTAGACGAGAAGGCTCGCTCGGGAGATTCAAGACCCGTTGCCATATTCCCCAAATCTGTCGACGTCGCTGCCGGCTTCCGAGCAGTCAATTATACACAGCTTGCAAGTGCCGTGAATCGTGTCTCTTGGTGGCTCGAAGAAACCATCCCGAAGGACGGTGGGACTTTCGCGTACTTTGGCCCCAATGATCTGAGGTATCTCATTTTCCTGATAGCGACAATGAAAGCTGGTCGGAAGGTATGGTTGAATTCCGCTCTGGATGATGTGGATTGACGATATCCTATAGATCCTGATCGCCTCGCTGAGAAACACTGTTCAAGCTCAATTGGAACTTTTCGAGAAGGCAAATTGCAAGGTCATCGTCTCATGCCAATCTTTAGACCATAGTCTTCAGCCAGTCTTCACTGCCTCGCAACTTCGTCAAGTGCCATCACCAACACTAGATGATGTTTTGGCGGATCCATCTGTACCTCACTATGAATACAGAAAGCCTGCTGAAAGTGCTGATAGCAGCAAAGTCGTTACGTTGCATACGTCCGGGTCTTCAGGTAAGTAACCTGCGAGCGAGACAGTGTAGAACGTTCTGTTGATACTTTCAGGCAACCCAAAACCAATAATCTGGAACCATGAGGTTATGCGATCGTTTGACATCGTGAATGTCCTTCCAACAGGGCAAGGAGAGTCGCTTGCAAGAGTCATGGTTGATCACCAGAATGCGCTCTGTCTCCTTCCTTGCTTCCACGTAAGTCACTAATCCCGAGTATGATGGACATCCTGTGTGTATGTGACAATGCTAACAACGAACATAGGCAGGCGGATTATGGTACAACATGTACGCCATCCTGTTGGATATGACTCTCGTTCTCGGACATCCTGACGTTGCAATGACTGCAGAGTATGTTGCTCAATTGCTGAAGCCAGGATTGGTGACAATGATCCTCTCACCACCGTCGATACTCATTGAGCTTGCAGAAGATCCGTCTGCTCAGCAAGATCTTGCGAAACTCAAGCATGTTGCGTATGCTGGCGGGCCTTTACGCCCAACAACTGGAGATAAGCTTGCAAAAATGGTGCCACATCTGTCAAGTTACATCGGCGCAACTGAATGTGGCTGGTTCCACACTCTTTCAGGGGATAACAAAGTATGGGACTCTTTGAAGTTTTATTCTGATATAGGATATAGATTCGAAGAGATATCAGATGGCATCTTTGAGCTGGTCATCGTGAAAGATGATCGAACCAACAAATATCAGCCAATATTCCAGGTATTTCCAGACATCAGCGAATACCGAACCAAAGACCTATACTCAGCGAATAGCGAGGCTCCTGGCTGGTGGAAATACCGCGGTCGAGCTGATGACCTGATCGTCCTTTCCAACGGCGAGAAAATAAATCCCATCCCGTTAGAGAATGTAATCGGTTCACACCCGTCCATCAAAGCAGCTCTGGTCATCGGAGAGTATCGATTCATTCCATCCTTGCTGGTTGAGATCGATGCGGAAAACTACCCAGAGACTGAAAGCGAACGCCACCAGCTTCTCGACAACATCTGGCCAGTTGTCCAGGAAGCGAATAAGATCGCCCCGGGCTTCTCCAAGATTCCGAAGTCTTTGATCTTGTTTGCGAAGCCAGAAAAGCCTTTCTTGAGAGCGGGAAAGGGGACAGTTCAACGCCAACTCACGGTTCGAGAATATGCCGAGGAGCTGGAGAGATTGTACGAGTCACAGGAGGCAAGTCTGCTCTCAGAAGGTTTGACCCTGACGAAATCGACAACGCTCGCGAGCATCGCGACGTTTGTCAGGCAGATATATCTCCATGCGTTAGAGGCAGATGATCTGAGCGACACGGAGAACGTTTTCCAGCGAGGTCTAGACTCGCTGTTGGTGACGATCATTGTGCAAAGACTTCGAGCTGCTTTGACAGTGTGCGAGATACCACTTAAAATCGAAGACATAAATCCTCGCTTCGTCTATTCGGCGTGGTCCGTGAAAAGGATGACTGAAGCAATTATGGGTCTTGCGAACATTCAGAACGAGGATGTCAAGGCGAACGGATCCGCCGAAAATCTTCGTGGCACCCACATCAGATTCATGATTGATAAATATACCAAGGACATGCCATCAGCATCACCACTCAAGCATTCGAACGGAGTTTCAACATCTTCAGCACCTTGGAGCCTCATCTTGACGGGCACAACAGGGTCTTTGGGATCGTACTTGCTCGCGCAATTGCAAACCTTGCCGCCTTCCCGGTTAAGCAAAATTTATTGCTTGAATCGATCTGCAGATGCTCGAGAGAGGCAAGAGCAAAGCAATCGAGTTCGTGGGCTGAACACAGATTTTGACGAACGAGTCGACTTTCTCCAAGCCGACTTCTCAGAGCCGGACCTCGGTTTGGGAGAGCAGAAATACGCTGAATTATTGAGAAATGGCACAGTCATAATCCATAGTGCTTGGAAAGTCGACTTCAACTTAACACTGGAGTCCTTTGAGCCCCAGATCCAGGGTGTCCGCAACCTGCTTGATTTCAGCACAAAGTCAACAAAGAGAACACCAGTAATATTCATCTCGAGCATATCTACAGCTCTCAACTGGCTTGATATAAATCCTTCTGAAACGGTTCCTGAGGAAATCATCCAAGATTTCGCAGCCCCCGAGAAAATCGGCTATGGAGAATCCAAATTCGTCAGTGAGCACGTTCTGGACAACTATTCCAACACCACAGGCTTGACGACGGCGGTTCTCCGAACGGGTCAGATTGCTGGTCCGTTGACAGAGAAGGGTTTCTGGAATAAGCAAGAATGGTTTCCAAGTCTAGTTGCCAGCTCCAAATATTTGGGAGCTCTACCAGCGACGTTAGGAAGCATGGAAGTGCTTGATTGGATACCTGTAGATCTGCTCTCGTCAATCATGATTGAGTTGACGGAGCAAATTCTCGAGCAGGACGATCGAGGCACAAGTCAGACTTCGGTCTACAATCTGGTCAACCCAAAAGCCATAACGTGGTCAGAAGTAAGGACAGATGTGCAAAATTTTGTTGGGGTAGAGAAAACAGTGACCTTGAAGGAATGGGTTAGTATGCTGGAGCAGAGTAGCCGCGAAAAGAAAGGTGCTGTCGTCGAAACGAACCCTGCCGTGAAGGTTCTTGACTTCTTTCAACTGATGAGCGAGAAGGATACCGAACGCGTTTCCAGATACGAATTTGGGAGGCTTGTTCAGGATAGTCCTACAGCTTCTGAGATGACTGCTGTATCGGCTGCATGGCTGAAACTGTGGGTTCGGCAATGGAAGTTGTAGATCGTTGTTTTGAATGAGGGGCAGAGAGATGCAGTAGGAAACGGCCGAGTCTTCATCATGCTGTTCCGCTAAGTATGTGAGACATTAGATGGCAGAGTAAATGTAGTCGAGAGACCGTCAAACCTGTGCCCCGATATTGCATGACCTTTCGTGCGTTTCGCATGTTGAACACCTCCTTCCAGGTTCCGAGATCTTGCTGTAGTAAAATCCGTTCTTGACAAGCGACATAATATTTCACATTTCCTTGCGTGTTTATATCGCACGCCTTTCTCGGCGCTCAGATTACTTCCATCTTCTCCGTTTGTGCCTCGTAAAGATCTGCCAGCTCCATAGTCGGTCTTATTGAACATCTTCCAAGATTGCCATTTCGATCTTCGTGCAATCAGCTCAGGTTGTCGAGGAGCTTGCAGCAAGTATCATTCAAGGAGAGATTTTGAGGTGGAAATTAGTTCAAAGCTCTCATTGTGGAGAGGAAGGCAGAGTTCCGAAAGGCCTGTAAGTATATCAGTTCCTGACGTCGTTTCGAGAACGCATTCATAGACAATACATACCTGAAGATGTTATATCTGTTGCCATTGCTCACATTCTTCTATTAAATCCCAATTCCAATCATGCGGCTTCATCTCCTAGGCGATTGAGCGAGCCTTCCTGTTTGTCCTTCCATATTGTCTGAATAGCTTCTCGAGCTTGAAAGTCGCTTCAATATCTGCTTTCCTGTCCGACAATGTTATCCAAATATGGAGAACATCACTTCCACACCACTGAGTGAACGACGAGGATTGATAGCGAGCGTGGCTTCAATCCAAGAAGTATGGCAATGCCATGGAAACCCATCCACGACGCGCTCCCGAAAGGATGTATTTTTCTAACCCCACACCTTCCCCGCCACTTGGTGCACACCACGGCGTTTCCTCCCTTCCTAAAATTACCCCGCATACCGACATCCTCGACTTCCTCTACATCCATATCCGAGACAACCTCAACTTCTCAGAGGACGGTACATCCGAGAAACTATATATTGAGCCGCCGTGTGACAATTATTCCATTCTCAGCCTCTAGCCCCATAGTTTGAGTCATAACATTCACTTTTGAGAAGTCCAGAAGGTAAGAGAGAGCCAAAAGCTCCAAGAGTATATATTGACGAATTCCTGATTACTATCTCTTATTTCGACTCATAATCACCGATTCCACATGAACACCACCCCCTCTTAAGTGCTACGATACCATCCACAGCTATCATCTGCGTAATCCTCCTTCATCATCCCCATCCTCCTAATCCTCAACTCAAAATGACAACCCCCCGCCCCCTCAAAGTCCTCTACCACCTTCACCCCAACCTCGACACCCTCGACCTCTGCGGCCCCCTCGAACTCCTCTCACACGCCCACTTCCCCTCCACCTCCTCCCCCCAAAAAGCCTTCCTCCCCACCCTAACCGCCGTCTCGGACCTCATCACCACAGACCAAGGCCTGAAGATCCACCCCGACATCCCCATCTCCACCGCCTACACCACCCTCTCCTCCTACGACATCCTGATCATCCCCGGCGGCGGCTCCCCCGGCGTATTAGAAGGAAAAACCGAGCCGTTAGAACTGATCAAAGCCTTCTTCTCGTTGCCGAAGAAAGAGAGGAAGGACGATGATCCGTTGAAGGGAGAGAGGATCTTGATGAGCGTGTGTACCGGTTCGTTGTTCTTGGCGGCGGCGGGAGTGTTGGATGGATTGGCGGGGACGACGCATCCGTATTATTATGGGAAGTTTAGGGAGATTCTGAATGGGAGGGGGAAGGTGCTGGAGGAGCGGTTTGTGGTTAATGGGACGGGGGAGGAGGGCGGGGTGAGGGTTGTTACGTGTGGAGGCGTGAGTTGTGGGATGGATGGGAGTTTGTGGTTGATTGAGCGGGTGGTGGGGAGGGAGGCGAAGGAGAAGGTTATGGAGATTGTGCAGTATAATGGGAGGGATGGGGAGGGGGTTATTGTTTGAGTTTAGGTCGTGAGTTGGAGGTTAGGTTGGGAGATCAAGGAGGGACGGAAAATGGTTCTATTTTAGGAAAGTTGTAGGGAAACAGAAATCTCAACTCTGAATGATGAGGAGAGGGTCCAATTACTCAACTCTCTTCACAAACCAAGCATGAATATACTTCTCCCCTCCCGCAGTCTTAACGTGCATCTCCTTCTCACCCACCTTCACAAACCCCGCCTTCTCATACGTCCTCGCTCCCTCCGGACTAGCAACCAAATGGCACCCCTCCACCCTCTCTCCATCTCCTTCCGCATTCCGCCTCCTAACATCCTCCTCCACCCTCTCCATCCCCCACCTCACAAGCCTGGTCCCCAATCCCCGCCTCTGCCACTCCTCATCCGTAACCAGCCCCTGCAACTCCCACCACCGCCCCGCATACCCCTTCCCCAGATACACCTCATTCAACCTCCGATCCTCCACCATCAACTTGAACACCACATCCTTCCTCACCTTATCATCCCTCTTCTCGATCTTCTCCTTCAAATCCCTTTCCCACTCCTCATCACTCCTGACATCTTTCTCGGGCGCCACAAACACGACGTACGACACCATTTTCTCGGGCTGAGATGCTAAAACGAGTTTTGCGCCAAAGGAACCCGGTTTCGCGAACCGGGACACGATGTGGGGGGTGCGGTCGGTGATGAATTGGGAGAGGGAGGGCAGCGTGGTGATGGTTGATTGGTGGAGTGGGGAGGTGGTGTAGACTTGGTAGTCGAGACGGAGAATTTCGGCGGCGTCTTGGGGGAAGGTGAGGGGGAGGAGGGTGAATTCTTCTTCTGGGGAGGTGGTGGCCATTTTGAGGCTCTCAATTGGGAGGTGTGAAGAGGAGATGAAGATAATCAGATGTTGTCTTTGGTGTTGGTGGAAGGAAAGGATGGATGAGAAGAGTGATATATATATATATATATAATTGGTATGCGGGGCTTGAAATCAAATTGTAGATGCCTGGTTATCAATTAAGTTGCTGCCTTCTTTGGGTGAGAGATTGATAACGACCATGCGTAAGAAGAAGAGTTGTGGATACCAATTCCTGTCAAGCGACTAGGAGACGACACTTGTGTCAAAATATGGCTGCCTGATTTTGATGCCTTCCTGGATTTATATGAGAAGATAACGAAGTGAGAATTGGATGAAGAAGGTCGATACAATTTAATAGAAATTCGAAGAGAAGATCAGAAAGTGACATCTTGATCATTGATATGACCTCGTAAGTCGTAGCGCCAGGAGTGGTAGGGAATTTTGGAAGCGATCCTCTGGAACAGAGAGAAATAGAATATAGCAAAAGTCAGTGAACAACGAGTACATAGTATAGGGACTTGACATCCAGAAATATACCCAACATATCTTCCCCCGAACAAAAGAGAAGCAGAATCTCCAACAACCTTTCGGGCACGTTCAAGGTCGATCACGTGAACCACCCCCTGCCAATCCGAATTCCCATCTTCTCTCTCTTCCCTTTCCCATAGGCATGAAACACAGACACCTCGTATTCTCCCCTCCCCTCCCGCCAAGCTCTCCAACACCCATCACCAACAACACAGCCTCAACCATCCTCCCCTTCAACCCCACACAATCTCCCTCAAACCTCACTCAATGCATGAACAAACCCTCCGAACAAAGCAACCAAGCAAGCATGACGACGATCCGATTTTCCCAAGGAAGACACGAGTTCCTCACAGCCCCTTCATGCTACAGTATGGCTCTTGTGTTCATCACAACTTTCCGTTTCGTTATGCGTTTCCTTGTGCTGCCAGCATAATCCCAAACGATTTTTTATGTTCATCAGATAAAGTACTGTACTGTACCTAGGTATGTATGTACACGCCAAGAGAATTACTTGCACAGCCCCCCAAAAGCCCTCCCTTCTCCCCTTTCCCGCGCATGCATCACTCACTGGTCGTTTCACAACTCGATCTCCCCGCAGCCACCACATGGGCTTTCTTTCTGATGGTGGTGGTGGTGAGCGGTTCGTTCGTTGGTTCGTTTCATGTGGGTGGTACGGTATTTGAACTTTTTTTTTACGAGGAGATCTAGAGCCAGGAAACGTGCCTTTTTCGGCAGCTTTGTTACAACATGGCACAACATGGGAGACAGACAACAGAACGCAACGCAACGCAACGCAACAGCGGCATTTCTATACGTGGATACGAGACGGTACGGGAAGGAGCAGAACAGATTAGAACTCGCCTCCAACGCACCGCGGGAAGCGCAAGCGAAGCAGCAGCGTTCGATTCTGCCTGTTGTTGTTGGTAACTGCGGTGGAAAGATGGAGAGACCTCGGAGTTTAACTTTTGCTTCCATTTCCATCTAGTTCGCAGCACAGACAGGAACAGTTCCTCGATCCCCGGTCGGTTCCTGCATCCGTATCTGCACGTTGGTGGATTCGACCGACGACTATGACGGATTTAGGTCAGGAAACCCGCTGAACAGTCTTTATGCGTGAGGAGACTCTACTCGACCCATGAAGGCGATCGGTGGATGACGTGGAGAAAGCTCGCCGGTTGTGGGCAGAGGAAATGAGAGTTCATTTGGAGATCTTTCTTCTTTGGTACAGCGATGGATGAGTTGGGTGTGATGCGATGGGTCTCGGGTGAAGTTGCTGGTTGCTTGGACTGGTTTGGTTCTGGTTCTCTGCTCATTCATCCATCCATCCATCCATCGAGGTCGCTTGGAGGTTGAGCCGAGCCATGCCATGCCATGTCCGTGACACTCCAACGAGCGCTCTCCGAGGTTGCGTTCCGGTTTCCGAGAGACAGAATGAGGTTTTGACCTCTTTCTTTGTCTGCGAGCCGAGAGTGGAGAGAGACATAATTTCTATTAACCTTCAGTCGATTCTCCACGTGCTCCGATTCATCTCGAACTCGGGAACAGCAAATATGTCTGTCAGAGAAACGGACATCCTAAACGAATGGATGGTTCTTTTTTCATGACGCCCGTTTCGTTGTGTTTGTCACAGAAATCGAGGGTTGGATCTGATTCGGTGACACTTTGAAACGTCGAAAGTCCACCAATGGACCGCCAAGGAGGCAGGCGCCTGCCATCGCCAGCCAGCCGTTTCCCAGCGTCTGAAAAGGAGGGAGGGATGGGATCTCGGCTCGCTTCCAGCGATTCTGCAGCCGCGGGCCCCTGGGAGGGGGAGACCGACGACTTCTAAAAACAACATCTTTAATTTTCCTTGCCATGCGCCTGCCTGACGCTGAAGGACAGATGCGTTGGCCTAAATGCGGACATCTGGTCATCAGATCATCGACCGTTGTTTCGAGGATAAACGCCGACTGCATCTGGTACGACTTCACATGGCACTGAGAGGGATGTTGGATGGGAATCATGGGATGGCTAACTCATCCTGCTCCAACGGCCTCGAATGGACGGCGGTCTAAGAACCCCAAGAGCCCAGGACGTACTGTATTCGTCTAGCAGGTCCCGGGTGCACATCGTGCTCAGACTGAGGCCATCCAAAGTAGAAGATTCTCCGTCCCCAAGACTCCCGACGATGTCGCATCAAGCAACCGCCGACCCCAAATGGATCTTGGTTTCGAAGCTCTGACCATGAATCGGGAGACAAATCGGACAATTTGCAGGCATGAAGGACTGGGGTCGATGGCGACTCCTGGACCTTAATTCAGGTTCTATAGGGGCGCTCAGCGGGCGTACCTGCATTAGTCGGCGGGAGCTCTTGGCGCAGGTTTCTTCATGTTTCACCTGTGGTGACACTCGAGCCTCCTCAACCACCCGCTAGACTTCCCCTGGTCAAGGAGGGTCTGGACAGCCTAACCCCATCCAACGCACCATCCAACTCCACCCACCGCTTTGCCGACCGTTCGTGCCCCTTCTCGTCTTCTCTTCTTTGTCAACGCGCGCGCAAAGGCAAGGATCCCAGAGGACGAGACCCTCGAACCTTTCTCCCTATTCCCCATCGGGATCTCCACCATCCTGGCTCGCATGGAAGGGGTGTCTCTCACTGGCCCGACATGGGATGACGGGAGAGGAGGCTGTGAAGAAAGGCCGTGACCTCCGAGAACCAACGACTGCCAAAGATATAATGTATCCTGAGAATCCGCCTATTGTGCCTTTTTTCTCCTCTCCTCTCTATCCTGCCCAGGTCTTCCTTTCCTCTATCTACTTAATTGCATTGATCTCTTGAGTTGCAAAGTCATTCGCTTCTTTGCTTCTCTATCTCCTTTTTCCTGTTTTTCATACCATCATCTCAAACAATACTGCATACAGACACACGTTCGCTATCTCATATCGATATCACAAACAACAACCACATTATTTTCTCACAGCAAGACTTTCGTTGATCTACAGTCAGTTACTGTTCTACGTTCAAAATGAGGACCACACTTTCAACCATCGCCGCTTTGGCAACCACTGTTCAATATGCATCTGCTGTAAGTGTCTAGGTCATGAGTGAGATACTCATATGCTGATCATGTCAGGGATTTTCCGATGCCTCTGCTTTCTCTTGCCCATCCAACACAAACAACGAGTGTAACAGCCAGCAATCTTCTGGTTTCGACTGGAGCTCTCTCGGTCTTGGTTCTTTCTCTAGCTATGGAGACTTCAGCTTCGAGGGATGGACTTGTGCCAGCTCCTTCGGCGGCAGCTCCAAGCGTGATGTCTTGACTGGTCGATCCTTCCAGGTATGATGACCGTATGTTAGTATAAGAACATGTCTGACGATCAACAGGACAAATGCATCACTGGATCTGCTTCCACTGATGTCTCTAGCTGCCCCAGCTTCGGCTGTGGTTCATCTTCCGACGTCTCTGCTTTCTCCGTCACTGAATTCCAGGTCTCTGTTGAATTCGACTGTGAACTTGAGTTCCATTACAGCATGCCTGGTGGAACCACTTGCAAGCAGAAGTCTTCCTGCAGCACTGGGGGTACCACAATTTCCAACACACAATGTGGTGGAGCCAAGAACGTTACCGTCGTCTACCCAAGCCAATCTTCTGGAAGCGGAGCGGGCAAATCAAGCTGCAGCATTGGTGTCCACTCCATTGGTTTCGACTGCTCAACTGCTTCGAGCACTGTCTACCACTCCACCACGACTAAGGCTTCAGTGACCAAGGAGACCACCAAGGCAACTACTCCTGCTTCGTCATTTGCTACCACGACATCAGTGTCTTACTCAATGACCGTCCCAGCCTCAAGTACTTCAGAGAGCATTGCTTCAACCAGCTCTACTCTGGCTATTGAGTCTACCACAAGCTCTGTGGTCGAGTCTACCAGCTCGGTCGTCGAATCCACATCAAGCACCCTCGTCGAGTCCAGCTCCGTTGAGACCACCGTAGCCGTTTCCACGCCATCCACTACCGCTTTCACAACATCGACAGTTTTCACAACCTTTGTGTCAACTATCATTTCATGCGCTGAGACTGTCACAAACTGCCCAGCTCGCTCGACTGTGTTGACCACCGTTTCCGTCGCCGTTTCTACAACTATCTGCCCAGTCACTGAGACTGAGACTTCAAGTCTCGCAGTCTCCTCTTCTGTCGAGTCTGTTTCAACTACATCCAGTGCCGTTGGAGTTGCATCAACATCATCATCCGTTGTTGAATCCAGCTCAGTATCATCTAGCGTCGAGACTACTTCCGCTGTTGTTTCTAGCGCAGCTGTTTCGTCCACAGTCATCAGCACTACTCCATCTGAGTCCGAGGTTATCACTACCGTTGTCGTTGAGACAAGCACCACTATCTGCCCTGTCACTCTGACCCACGTTACCAGTGGAAGCACCTCCCTGGAGACCTCAGTATCCACATCCACAATCGAAATCACCACCACCAAGACCGTCTGCACCAAGTGCGAAGCAGGAAGCACCACCTCGGCCCAAGGCGTTGTCTCCACCCCATCCGCATCAGCAACCACCTCCTCCAGCGGCGCCGTAAGCACCGCCCCTTGCCCAGACGTCCTCCCCTCCTGCCTAAACACCTGGCTCTTCTCCGAGGGCTGCACCTCCAACACCGACTCGGACTGCTACTGCCCCTCGTCCACCTTCGTCTCCAACATCTTCGCCTGCCTTTCCGCCTACGGCGCCTCCGACGACGAGATCGCCAGCGCCCAGACCTACTTCCAAGGTATCTGCGCTGCCCACGTCTCCAGCAACCCGGCTATCATCACCGCTGCTTCTACCTCCCTATCCACTACCGCAGCTGGCACCGTGACAGCAGCTATCCCCGTCACCACGGTCCAAGTGTACACCACCCTCGTGGTCCCTTGCACAGAAACTACCGGCATCTCAGCTGGATCCGTCATTCCCTCTTCCAGCTCCACAACAGTGATCAGCACAGCAGTCACCGTCCCTCAAGTCATCTTCACAACCGTCACCGGCTCGAGCACCGCATCCGCGGCCCTCGTCGCCGGGACAGCGCCCGCTACCGTCGCAGCCGGCACGACGCTTGCTGTCCCCGCTAGCTCGACCTTCATCGTCGCTGCGTCAGGGACGTCTGCTAGCAACGGCACCATCCAAGCTTCTGCTACGCCGTCGCAGCAAGTCACCTCTGGTGCTGGGCGAAGCACCGTTGCGTTCGGCAGTGTTGTCGTTGGGATGCTGGTTGCTGTTCTGGCTTTGTAGGAAAGCTAGGGGGAAGAGAGTGTGGGGAGGTATATGTACATGCATTAATAGGGCGTTTTGAAAACATTTACATTCGATACCATGGTAGTGACGAATTGGGGGGAAAAGAAAAATTTTGGTCCTGGTTTGGGACTTTACGGCAGTCTGCCATGTGATATATATGAAGAAGAGAAAAAGTGGCAAGAGGTCATGGTAATGGGTGGTCGGTGTGTAATATAGGTATAGCTAGCTGTCTCTATCGTTGAATAGAAGACTTGTTTGAATAAACTCTCTGGTATCTTGGTGATGTCTAAACTTCCACCCTCGCTCTCGGCTCCAAATCGATAATATGACCGCGAGTTCGTGGAATAACCAATTCCATGGAAACTTTCTTATTCGATAGAATCGGATAGAATCCATAGATTCTAAATCCACGAATTCGGGCCAAGTTTTATTTTTCTTCGATTTTTTTTAATATTTTTAATACTTTCAATATTTTTAATACTTTCAATATTTTTAATACTTTCAATATTTTTAATACTTTCAATATTTTTAAAAATAATTTGTAGATTTAAAATCTATGGATTTCATTTAATTTTATGGAATAGAATGAAAATCTATGGAATTAAGAGAAATTCTATGGATACGACCATTCTATGGATTCGCGGTCACAGATACATCCAGACATCACCTCACAAAACACAACACAAAGCAAAGCAAAGCAAATCGAAGGATTCGGTCGACCACCCTCACTTCAAACTGCATCCAACTCATTAATCCTACGAATTGTTTCTCCAAAATCTACTCGCCTCCCTTAACCACTAAACTCCCAACCTACCTGCTCTCATTATCAACCAGCAACCTTTCTCGCACTTGAGTTTGAATCTAGGAGAGGAAGATGAGCTGATTTGGAGGATGCCATGCTCTCATCGAGCAACTTGAGTTGAGCCCTTCATTATTTTCGAGGTAATAGAAGCGTACAGAGCTGCATAGTTTTTGCTGTCAGGTTGGTCCTCTTCTTTAATAACTTTAATTGGCGGTTTGAGATGTCATGGTCGCTTAGAAGGAGGGTACGTTGATCCTCGAATTTACTTCGAGGGTCTTGTGAGGCCGAGCATGAGGAATTAAGGACGAAGTTTCATTTGTCCCATACTAGGAGATACATGTTCGAAACGCGGAGGGCAATAAATCATAAGCTAAATGATACAATTTTCTTTTAGAAAAAAGGCAAGAATCCACCGAATGAAGATGTTCCCTCACAGCAATATACACACATACCCAAATAATACAAATCCATCTTCCCAATTCACAACCACCTCGTAGCCCCCTCGCCCTTAATCAACCCCTCCAACTCCCCCGTCGTCCACCCCCCATAAAAATCCCCCGGCTGCGGCCTCACCAACTCCCCATCAACAAAACAATCCCACGGCCCCGCATAAAAACTCACATACCCCTTCAACGCCCCATACCTCTCATTCGGGGTTTCATAACTCCATATCCGATCCCTGACTTCCTCTCCATTGTCTGATTTTATCGAGTAATACGTCGCCCAGCCTTTCCACTCGCAGTAGGTGGATTTAGAGGTCTGGGTTAACGGGAGAGAGATGCAGGTTGGTGGGAGGTAATATGCTGTGGGGAGTTTGTTAGTGAAGGGAGGAAAGGGGGAGGAGAGAGGGGGCTTGCTGGGAGGATGATAAGTTTCTAGGATCCAGAAAGCATCTTTTGTGTCTGCGATTGTTTGGCCGTGCCATTTGATCTGGAGGTGCCGCGGGGTGCGTTCGATGAGGGGTGGACGGGGGAAGTTCTGGACGTTGAGTTTGGGTTTTGGTGGCATTTTGGGTGTTTGGGGAGTGAATAAGAGAAGAAGACAAATTGTGAGTAGAAAAGTAGAAACTAGGAAATGGACATTGTACATTATTCAAGTGTCGAAATAGAGGGGTACATTTAGAGCATCAAATACTGCCACCATACACCGCCCGCCCTCCCACTAGCGCACGTCACCAACCCTCGCTGCTTCGCCTCGTGCCAGCCAACTCGACCACAAGGCTACCTCATCCTCGACCTTACGCTCCGCATTCAACTCCACCTCTCAATACAACTCCCCGCAAACACCACACAAGATGTCGGGCCTCGAAAAAGCGCTCTTCAACCTCAAGGTCTTTCCTTCCCCACCCATCCTTATCTCCCGCGGGGTCTACCTACCTACTAACACCTCGTCCACAGTTCACAGCCAAGCAACTCAACCGCCAAGCCGCAAAAGCCAGCAAAGACGAGAAGACGGAGAAAGATAAACTGAAGAAGGTACCTACCTGCCCCTCTTCCCCATTACCCCTCTAACTCAGACGCTCGCTGACGCTCGACCCAGGCAATCCAACAAGGCCACAACGACATCGCGAAAATCTACGCCCAGAACGCGATCCGGAAACAGAATGAACGGCTGAATCTGTTGAGACTAGGCAGTAGGATCGATGCCGTGGCATCAAGAGTGCAGACGGCTGTCACGATGCGCCAGGTGACGGGGAGCATGATGAATGTGGTCAAGGGAATGGATCAAGCGATGAAGGCTATGGATCTTGAGAAGGTATCCTCTCTTCCCCCTCCCCTCTTCCCCTAATAGCATCTCTCCACTATCACAGAGACTAATAAAAGCAAAAGATCTCCGCAGTAATGGACCGCTTCGAAACGCAATTCGAAGACCTGGACGTCGCAACCGGCTACTACGAGAACGCGACCACGTCGGCGACGGCGGTCGGCACGCCGCAGGAGGATGTCGATCGGCTGATGAACCAGGTTGCGGATGAGGCGGGCGTGGAGCTGCATCAGGAGATGGAGGGCGCGAAGGCGGTTAGTGCGGCGCCGGTGAAGAGTGGGCCGACGGAGGTGGAGGAGGATGGGTTGGGGGAGCGGTTGAGGGCTTTGAGGTCGTAGGTGTGGTGTGAGGAGGAATGGGATGGGTTGGGTCGGGGGGATAGAGGAGTTGTGTTTATATTTTTCCACACAAGGCGTTGGGTTTGCTTTGGGGATGGGAGAATAGCGAATGGATTAACATTTTCATATCATCTTACGTTGGTTGCAAGTGCCGATAAACGCCGAGTAGTGCTGGTGAGAACGGGATGATTGTGATTGTGCTTGTTGCCAGCGTCCTGCTTTCTCTCTTCCTCCATCTTTGACTCCTTGTGACCGAGTCCAGAACACCTCACTACAATAACTAACTGCTAGAGAAAGATGTTAGTAGCACATTCATCTCTTCCTCGCAATCAAATCAGCATCTCCCAGCCAAGCAAGTCTACTCTACGTGAGTGGCATGAGAAGAGACTCACCATGCAATACTATAAGGAGAGCTCAACGATGGGGACTATGAGGGTTAAGGTTTACGTACAGTAGTGTGATGGAATGAATGAATTCTTTAGCCGGAAAGGCTAGGTGCTTCGAAGGATGGCGAAAATTGCAATGGGTGTCTCCAATCTGAACACTTCGCGTTGTGCTAACGAACGAAAGACCCGGCGCTACATATAACAGTGGGAAGCGTGAGTCTGGTGGGTTGGAGTGTGGGGAGTTCTATGAAGTGCTTGTTTCTAGGCAACGTGGGTTGAAGGCATTAGGTTCTAGCTAGCGCTTGAGCTTTGCAGAGATGACGAACTATGGGAGGAAGAGGATTTTAATTGGTGGTGAGAGGGGAGAGGTTCGTGTTTGAGTGATACTCTGCGTTTGAGATAGATCACGGGAAGGCATCAAGTCTCCTACCAGCAAGTGAACATCATATTTCACACTGCAGCCAGATAACATCACTCACGTCCCGAGAAGCAAACAAGTATACCGTTGAAGAAGATCAATTACCCTGGATCATATAATCTCAACAGATCTTCAACTCAACGTCCCACTACCCATCACCATATATATTCATACACCCATCACCCTACTCCCCTTTAAACAACAACAACAGGCGTCAACTCCCTCATCTCCACCAACCACTCCGGAGTTGGCGTTAACCTCCCTTCCCCCTCCTCCGAATAAGTACTTAACGACCCCGTCCCCGTCCCCCGACAACCCTGTCCATCAAACATAGAAAGGAGCCCCATAACAGCGACTCCCATTCTAGCCCTCGACACCAAGAACCTTGGTAGCTGAGCCGTAAGCACAGCGCAGAGCGTAAGTTTAACCATAGCGACGACCGGGTCGCTGCCGACCCATTGCGAAGCAGCGTGTCTGGGGAGATCGAGGTTATTGAACGAGAGGGCGGCGAGGAAAATTGATGAGCAGGCGAAGATTGAGGTTGAGAGGAGGGAGGAGAGAGCGAGGGGGATGAGGAGGTATTGCAAGGAGGGCGATAGTGCGTTGTTTGAAGAAGCCTGATGGATATTCGTTAGTATGACGTGAAGGGTAGGGGGGAAAGGGGGGACGGCATACGATATAAGAAGCGAATAGAGTTGCGAGAAGTGGGAGGAGCAGTTGATGCGCAGCCAAGGATTGTGTCTGATGCCCGGTAGTGGTTGTTGCGGGAAGCCCAAGTGGTGCGTCGGGACTGGTTTGCATGGCCAGTCCGGTGGCTTGGGGATTCGCAGTAGACTGTACCAGAGATGTCGGAGCTGCGGTGCCTGGCGAGAGGAGAGTGCTAGAGGGGGGAGCATTTTCCGTGCGGCGAACTTGGAGGTCACGATTTTGGGGGGACGACGAAGCTTGAGCCAGATCGTCGACTCGTGAGAGTGTGGATGCCGCACTGTTGATAGTATCCAGAGCTGGAGCACTATTTGCTTGGGCGTGACTCCTGTGTCGGTGGACTTGTACATCAAAGTCCAAATCTTCATCGAAGAATGGCAACGATGTCGAGACCTGGTCTCCCCCGCGTTGGCTCTGTGACAGTGGTTGCTGTTCAGACACGGTCGAAGCCAGTGGCCCATCAGATGCCAAGTCGTTAGCAATAAGCACAGCGCCACCAGACAGTGAACGATATCCAGCACGGCCTTCATCATTCGAAACAGTGCTAGCAACAGCAGCCTGGACGTTTGCACGACTCGCACTAGCAGTGCTGTCGTCCATTGGACTAGGACTGTCACTCATCATCTGCCATTGACTTGTACTTTCCACCCACATCTGTACACCTGACTCTGGCGAAGGCGATCTGCTAGCCGAAGCAAAGAGGTGGACATTACGGCCAGAAGTGAGCATTAGGTCATCGGTCGACGAAGCTGTTCCAGTGTTGTGAGCCTGGACGCTGTTGATTGTCGCACATAGTGAGCGAACAATACGCCTAGCCTGGATCTGGCATTCCCGAAGGTAGTCGGCACGGATCTCAGGGTCCGGTTTGTTGTATCTGTGTCGCTGGGCGGAATCCGACAGCACTTCGCTTGACGGTGCAGATATGACCTGGAGTCGCGAGGACAAGGACGGTAGTTCTTGGAGTACCGTGCTTGGTAAGTGGGCATCGCTATCTGACTGTACCTGGTGGAGTATGGATTGGAGTCGTTCAAGATCGCGGCGAAGGCTTGTTGCTTCAACTGGTGCTGAGCTGATGCTCATTAGAGCGTCACAGGCGGCTTGACAAGATTCTGCAAAGGCAGCAATCGATATAACGGGCGATGATGGCAATGTCCTGAGGCTGGCTTGCGGTACAGCGTTTCGTTGGGTGAAGAGTCGGCCTTGTCGGCTGCTTGATGAGACCAGCGAATTGCCATCGCCTCCTGGGTGTGGAATATCTGATGGATCTACTTCGATGCCAGATCCGGAGCCTCGTTGGTTCGCAAGTGGTAGCGTAGCTTCTGCACTATCATCGTCAACAGCACGTCTCTTCCTAGTGCGGATTTGACTGTTGCTCTGTGATTCTGACGAGGCAGGTGTGCTGGCGTCTTGAGAAGCTGGGCTTGCATTCATGCTTGCCTCAAGAATGCTCCAATCCGATGCTGATGTTAATGGACTGGCGTCAGTAGTAGCATTCTGGAATGGCTGTGGTTGTCTTAGAGACCCATCTGGGAAGTAGCCTTGTGCTAGCGACTCTGTCGTTGTTGGCGAAACATCTGGTACATCATATAACCAGCTAGTTTGGAAGCTCGAATCCAGTCTTCCAGAGTCTCGGGCTGGGCTTGATTCGTGTGGTCGTGTGTGCACTGGCATTTCTTCGCCGCCAAATGCACTTGCCCATTGATCCAGGCCATACTGATCCGCCATGAGCGGGGTATGGCCAAGGTTGTTGTCGAATTGGAAGTTAGACAATTGTGAATCGACTGAGAAGTCGAATGACGAGTTTTGTGGGAATGGGTTCAGATCATTGATATCAAAGTTGAATTGGCCCAAGTCTTGAGTCTCAAGACCCGCAAGAGACATATCAGTATTCCAGGTGTCTTCAGGGAACAGAACGAAGTCGTCTATTGCATTCGATGGGCTGAATGAAGGCGTACTACCTGATGCATAAGATGTCTGAGGTGTTAAGGACGGCATTGTACTCGGGGGACTCGGCTTCGGGTGAGATGACGAGGAAGAAGAGGATTTGGTAGTAGAGGTAGATGTGCGTGACATATCTTCGGATCTTCGATGTGATGGATCGCACTGCAGACTCGATTAGCGAAGTACCTTTGTAGCGAGAAAAGGGGTAAACATACGCGAATCTTCTTGCGCTTGCAGTCTGGGCACGCCTTCATGATTCTCATCAAATGTGCATGCTCGCGCTGCTCCTTTGTCTTTGTTCCCCGACCAGCGGAGCTAGTAACATCGATGCCGTCCTTGGTCATGATGGAGAAACCAGGCAATCTGGTCTCCTCCTTCTTGGTCTCTTTGCGGGGCTTCTTCGTAACTCGTCCGCGAGTGTTGGTTCTAGGAAAAATAGTTAGTTGAGGAAGATTGTACCAGCTTTGTGGGGAAACGACTTACGGAGGAGTCATGCTGAAGGAGCCATATCCAGAATCACCAAAGTTGGCAGAAGAGCCAGGGCTTGTGGTAAAGACTGGAGAGAATCCAGAGGATTGGGAAGCTGGGCTCTGCTCATTGGTAGACCATTGAGAGAGGACATTGTACGTGCGGGTGAGGGCACCGGTATTGAGGTCGACGGTTGCATCTGTTCATACATTAGTCGGCTCCCCAATGTCCTCGAAACTCGGGGAGATTGTGAAAACGTACTATTGTAGAAGTCAATTGTAATCTCGGACAATTTGTTCGACTTAGATGCTGAACCAGTAACGTAGAGATCAATCAAGTCCTCAAGTTCCTTGGAGCCCAGGGCAGGCTGGAATTGTAGAGGAGCACCCAGGAAAGGCTGGGTGATTGTGAAAGAGGTGAAATGATTAGTGGATGCCATTGCGCTGACTTTCGCGATAGCTTATCGTTGGTGGAGTGTGTTTAGTAATGTGCAGAGGGTAGGTCGCACTTTGAAAATATTGCCGTGTGACTCTTGACCGTTGTTGCGATTCCAAACCAGCAACAATGAACGATGATGAGTTCGGGGAAGGTATAAAGATTGCTTACGAAGTAAGAAAGAACTCGATGGTCTCTGGGGAAAAGTCCAGTATAAGAAAGTGGCCTTGGTGGTGTCCCGTCTCATGCGAGGCAGAAAGTGCCAGGCTTCCCAGAACTCTCGCCGGACCAGAAGAGGAAACGGCGAAGAAGCAAGAGGACCCTCTTTTACGGTGAAGTGTGTCTCATTATTGGATGCTGTGACAAGGCGGTGCCATCTGTGCAGCGGCGAGACTGTAGAGGCTTAGCTCGATCATCAGTGACTCCCCACAAGCCCATCTGCCCTCGAACCCGCTACGGATTGACCAATGCCCGTCCCCAATTCACACATCCTGACGAGCTGTGACTGTTCCCTCAAAGACATGAAGGGCCTCCATTACCAGAGGCAGAGCAAAGGTTATATGCATTTCATAAAAAATGGGGGACTTTCTGGGGAGGAGTGGATAAAACCCTGTGGCTTGATCCGCTTCATTTTAGTGTACCGTACTCCGAATTTCTGACTCATTCAGAATTTGGGCTCGGGTCATCTCTGTGACCATGTGCGATTTCGAGGTAACCTTGCATCTCTCTTCTGCATAGGCATCTGCATGAACGGCAAACGTTCATAGGGTTGCTGCATCTTGACAATCTCTCACTTCATATTTATTGTGCTCGAAGATTGTTCTCTGTGGTCACGACAATTGGCTTAAGTCCGATATTGCGCTAAAACACTAAGTCCCGCCAGGCGTTTTGAAATTCTGCTTTGAAGGCCTACCGTAGCTTTAGAAGCCACGACCTTTAGATAGTAAAGAGCTTCTGGAGGCTGTTTGATATCATCATTTGTTTGTATCAATAGTTGATTAAAGTTTGTTCAAAGGTTGCGTGCTAAACTAGGTAGTATATCACTTACTCTTAGTCACTTAGTAAGCGCGGGCTCTGAGTGAATGCTCACGCTTTTCACTTTGCATCCTGACTACCTACTTATAGAAACTAATATAATCTGAGACAAAGGTCCTTAGTAGTCTAAAGAACCAACTGTATTAAACATAATTTCTCTAGAATTCTTAGAGGACGAAATAAGGTTTGTCGCCTTAAACCTCAGGCACTTAGCACCACCCCTTCAGATTGCAGAGATCTAATTGATACACTACCAACAAATTTGATGCATCTTAAAAAGAAAGAAACAATATAAATAGTATATGTGACAAAGCCCCATACTTTTTAAGTTAATCAAAGCCATGTTGACGGATATTAGAATTGAGCGTTCACTAAGTGAATAACTCCAGCGCACACCCTGATCCTCTATAACTTTCCTACTCATGTAGCCCCGAAAGAAATTATCGATACATACCTCTTTTCCAACTCTCATCGACCCTCATATCCTGGGAGATTTACGTACACAAAGGGTCAGGTATTGTACGAGTAAGAATCATGCACACTGCAGCACCGCTCGCAGAACCCCACCAACGACAGTTTAGCATCGCATTCACAATCGCACATTCATATACCAATTTTCAAAGCTGGGTTTAGAGAGTCAGCAGATTCTTACCTTTTTATAGTCAAAGTATTGATATCACACTATTTACACAGAATTATTCTGCGTTCATCCGCTCCTGCCATTCTCGGGGAGAAAACACTTTAAATCAACATCGATGAATCGTCAAGTGCTCTAAAGCCAGACCAACTCCGGCAAAGATCACGCGTGATAAACCCACATTCAATTCATCTTCAGGTCCTTCAGTGTGGACATAGTTTATCGAGACCAATGGACCCGACGGAAAAGACCAAGTTCGATATTATTGGCAAATCCTCTGTCAAGTACCATTTAAAGGCGAACCATGAGGTGGAAGCGAAGAGGTGGTATAAAGTCCTCACTTCGTTCCGACCATTCACTCCGCCACATCACAGATTTTGAGCACCAACATTTCAAGTATAAATTCACTCGAGACGAAATTTGAATGTCTGTCAAGAATTAATTCATCTACTTCCATCACAATCATCACCGACCCCCAAATATCCCAACCACACACCCGCAAAAAGCACGCACACTTGGTATAAAACGCCCGTGTCCTAACCGCAACGATCCCCAAAGGACTGTTTCTTGGGAGAGTGCAGGTAATGATACACGCGTCTATGCCCTGAACCAAAAATCTATAGCGATGCTCCCACCCACCAAACGCCAGAGATATTACTATGCTAATCATTTTACGACGGGAAGGAAATTCGTGGGCCATCATTCGTTGTAACAAAAGTTGGGTATAGACATGATTCGTAAATCATGAATCGTTCGTTGATGGCATTGAGACGAGAGAAAGACGTATGAATGATGCTCTCATGACCAATCACCGACATGGACATAAGTGAGGGGGTTTGATTGTCTAAAGTAGGTAGGTACTTTGGAATGGGCAATGGCCTCGAACGGAAATTGAGTTCTCTAATATAAAAGTCAGAAACTTTGACCAGACATTTGAGGTAGAAATGAACTTACAGATTGAGAACGCTGACCAGCAAGATGCTTGGCCGAAAAACTTGTCGCGAAAGAAGCTACGATACCAAAAAACCCAACCAGAGGAAGATGGGAGTTCATAGCAATGGTAGCGGGAAGAAAGACTGTTCGTGCCTTTGGAAGGATCCAATCATGTGTCAGCCCAATTGTCGCAAAGACTACGAGGCACAGGCCGAGGGCGAGATACAGTTGACGTTGACACTTTTGTTCCACTTTGGCAGACAAGACGAGAGGAGTAGTGTGGGTATCTAGAGACAGATACCGTGTACCTCCGAACATATTTGCCGGCGATTGACCACCGCCATTGTCGGAATCCTGCGATGCATTGTAATCGTATGGGCTTCCGCCATATGCGTTATTGTTATTGAATGTGAAGTTTCCCGGTGCGTTGAAATCAGTGTAGTTTCCATTCACATCAGAATCCCATTGTGAGTTGGGGCTAGAAAATGAATACGACCAAGGAGGTTGGAAAGCATCATAACCTTGGACTGGCTGGCCGTCAGGAGCATGGCGTTGAAATGATGGGACTTTGATATAATGCCCATAAATCCAAGGTTCAATGCTATTGTGCGTCCCACAATTGTAACATGGTCCAGTGGGATTCTCATTCATAACCAGACAATTACTTGTTGAGCAGATATACCGAACTGCTGGATCAATTCGAGTGAATGCGAAATGAAAAAATTCAAAATGGATTTGAAGCATCTCGGCGTCGTCGAAATACTCTTGGCAAAGTCCACCAAGATGCTGACAGTAGAACAACCCGTTGCGATATACCCCAATTGCAACCATTTGTCCATTCTGATAAGATGAGTAGGGACTAGGGTCAAGGACATGCAAGTTCGGTGCCACAAAATTAATCGTAGCTGGCGCAGGTATTCTTGCGCGTTGCTCCTCATCGGCAGGCGACTGGATATCCAATGTGGTATCAAATTTACCAAGGTCCTCTAGCAGATCTGCACCAATACCGACAAGGGCGTCGGATTGCGAAGCATTGGATGCGTTCTCTTGCTTTGGCGCGGTAAAAGTTGTAGTCCCTTGGGATGTATCCGAGCCAGAGGAGCTAGTCTTACGCGGCGCTCGCTGCCCTTCGGAGGCTTGCCATAATTCTTCGAGGCTCTTGATGTCGTGATGCTCTAATGGACACTGGAGAACATATCAGAAACGTAGTCGAGCAAGAAGGTGTAGCACAAAGCTTACCGGAACTCTGCGACTGCGACAGACCCAACATGAACCAAGCCACCGTACTAACGCAGCTTTTGCTCGCTTTGTGGGATTGAGTTTGCTCCTCCTCCGTTGTTTAATCTTCTTGCCGTCGAAGGACATCAATTCGTCGGGTCTGCCACGCGAAGTAGGGCTTTCATTATCGTCGAACGAGACTACCGAGGACAGGTCTGTGACTGCATCGTAGGCACTGGTCGATATCGAAAGAGCTCGGTGGTGTCTCGATGAGCCGACAGATGTCGTTGAACGTGGAGGTGCAGGCGCTGGGATGTTGAGATGAAAACCGTGGTGGTTGCTGGTCGCAGATTGTGGTTGTTGGCTTAAAGTCTTTTCCAACTTATATTGCTTGTAAAGCTGCAACGCTTTGGCTTGCTTCTCGAATGGGATAGGAAGAGGATAGGTGGGATACTGTTGGGAGGGTGGTGAGGTAGGAGTTGGTTGCTGAGCGGTGGACGGCGATGGCTGGGCCATTGTTCTGATTGTCAACGACTGAGCTTGCCTCAAAAATCTGCTGGATGTCGTGAGTAGTTAAGTAATGGAGGTCGTGGTGGTTATGGTACTCGGTCTCGAGGGGACTCAAGGCTGAGGGGTTGAATGTTTGCTTGCGACGTGGAATGGAGCGAGTGACTTTGGTGTAGCAGCGCAAGCAAATTTGCTGTAGGTGGCGGGCCCTCCTCTCTTATAGTTGCGTTGTCAATCGGGAATAGAGATCTCACTTAGCCCTTTTAAGTGGCGCCTCAAGCCCTGTTATTTATTTGACGTCGGTCAGGCTCCCTGCAAGGCAGTTTTGGGGCAGTGATGCTTGAGGGCGAGTGGGCAAGTGCCAAAATCAAGCGACCCAACACCATCTCGAGCTCTCGGTGACAGAAAAAGGACGACACGTACAGCCAAAGTCGGCCAGTCGTGATGAGCAATCAGTTTACATGATAGACGTGAAAGAACGATGTGAATCGCTGTCGATTCTGGATAGAATTGCTCGCGATGCGTACGCAGGTTGAGGATTGAGATGAAAACTCTGACGAGGCAGTGAAATCAGCTGGGGGAAATGCAGCGCGAATGTGGATGAGAAGCGAAAGCCGATGGAACCGCTGTGGCTGAGCATCGCGATGATAACGGCCAAGACCGAACGAGGCAGAGCGAGCGACAGCAAACCAGCAAACCAGCAAATAGGAAATTGCTGTGAAAGCGGAAAAGATGTCGGCGAAGCTCGCGACCGCAAAACGGAAAGTCGGACGGAGTTTGATTGTCCCTCAATCTTCGGACATTCACAGAATCACAATGTTCGTGCGAGAGAGCTTCTGTAATTTCGCATTTGGTCGTCCTGAATATCAACGCCCGCCGCCCTTCTGCCCAGTTCCGGCAGCGTGCAGTCAGCCTCATGGTTTTCGCACGTCTGATGACTCACTAGAGGCCTCCTGAAACGAAGAAATTCAGTCAAGAGTCTGGCCAAAAGATCCCGTCTCAGCTGGACTTTGGAGATTATGATATTGTTTGGCAGACTCTTAGTGTTTTTGACAGAAGCCAATCTCCAGATAATGCCTGGTGACGTCAAGGAAGGGAGTGGGCACGAGCTGTCTAACAAAAATAAAATTTCCCAAAGTCCGACGAAAAGACCAGCAATGATGGTACCTAGGTCATTAGGTGTAGCCAGTGGCAGCATTGGCGCAGTGGGCTACTCGCGCACTCGCGCCCTCTGCGCCATGATTCTCTCACAAGTCCTAGTGTCAAACAAATCGAAAGCTTCTCGACTCCATGGCCCGCCATCTGATACTTCTTTCGCTGCTACACGGTCTGCTCCAGCAGTCACTACGTCACTCCGGCCATTAATGGTTTCGGTTCGGCTCGATAATCGTGGCGGAGGTGGAGCCATGATATTCGGCGTAGCATTGTTCAGAGTATCGATCGTGTTGGCTGCTAGAATCTGGACAGATTTACCACGAGTTGCAGGATTAACCAATATTCTTCTCGGTGGGGGATTAGTCTGAACTAGTGGAGGTACTGGAGAAATTGTGGCTCTTGGCGCAGCCTCAATTGCATTATCGTGAAGCTCAGGCTCGCTAACCGCTGAATTCCCTGGAGGCTGGAGCAGTTCTGAGAAAGTCTTCAGGGGCAATTCTCGTGATGTTGTTTCCTGGTTCTCAGGTAAAGGGCGTATTATCGCAACCATTTGCTCAACCTCAACCTCAGGCGGACGTGGCGGCACGCCAGTCAACTCGTGCTGTTGGCTAGCTGAGGACTTAATCAATGCACGAAAATGTTCCGTGGCAGCTTGAATATCACCAATGACATGTTGTGCAAGTGGTCTAGGTTTTCGTGAACTTTGTTCTGGCTGTTCAGGTCCAGGCCTATCGATTCCTATCTGAATTGGCTGGGATATTGCAAGGACCGCTTCTAGGGGATTTGAATGGACCAGATGATCGTCAACATTAGATGTAGCTGAGGGTGACTGCGCCATAGCAATTCCAACGACCTCTGGAACAGGATTGGCAGAGATGACCGATCGGGACTGTGGAGCCTGCAGAAGAAGTTCTGCTAGCATGCTCCCTGGACGAGTTGGGGGCGAGAGCGTATCAGAGGTCGAGGTAGATTGCTCTTGACTGTGCTGTTCCTCGTGAGTCAACTGTAGTGATCCTTTGCTTGCCTGCTTTTCAGAGCGTTCATTATAGTCAATGTCAGATTTCGAAGAAGCCTTGGCTTGCTTTGCAGCTAGTTTACTTCTTCGAGAGAGAAGTTGGTCGGTTGTTTGATGACCAATACCACTTTCGACGGGCGAGGCAGATAAATCGTCTTCGTCGTCTAGGTCCATAACCATAGGACGTCGCTCGCCTCTTAGTCTTGCTTGCAATCTCTCTTCCTGCTTCTGGCAAAAGGCGTTCAACTCCATTGTTGCTTGAGAAAGCACAACCTCGTTGGAAGGCTTTGATAGATGTTGTATTGGCGTTGATTTCGTACGCCGTTGTCCAGAAGAATCAGCTGAGGCATTTGCTCGCGAGCTTGGACGATTCATAAGCATCATCATCTTCGGACCTGATCTAGCCTTAATACGTAAAGGCGATGTTGGCTTGTCGGGCCTTGGTTCGACTGCTGAAGAATTTTGTGTGACAGGTCTAGGCCGACGGACTTCTTTGTTGGGCATTGGAGTCTTGTTGTTCCTAACCGGCGTCGAAGAAGAGCTCAACAAGGGAGAAGTGCCGGGCTTATGAGATCTGGAGACTTCCTTGGGTTTCGTGGCTTTCTTTGCCGTTGGTCTTTTGGGAGAGACTATCTCAGCAAAGCTATCGTCGTCGTGGGAGGATGCATCGGGCGATTCTTGGTTGTTCGGTACAATGGGTCGTGATGCAGATAACTTGCTAGGTCGAATTTGCACAAAGCTGTCTGGCCGTGACAATGTCAAGGCAGCTCCAGTAAGGTTGCTAGCATATCCACTCTTGGCTGGAGGAGATCGTCGAGGCTTCTTTTGCTGCTTCGATGGCTTCGTTGCGACAGTTACTTCATTTGTTCGAAGATTTACACCTTGATCAGAATCATCACTTCCATCTAGTGTAAGATCAATGGCCTCTGATCGCGCGGGTGTAGAGGTAGTGAGTCTCACTGGCTCATATCGTATAGGTCCCGTGCTTGGTGGTCTTGACGATGTAAGATTCAGTGTTGCTCCCATCAAGTTTTGAGCATAGCCATTTCTGCTTGATGTGGGCTCATTCGGTTTCCGTCTCTTAGCCGGCCGTTCTTGTTCATCCTTCTCTTGCCCACCAGCAAGTCCTTGTCTTTCTTCGAATGGAGACGTGGCAGGCAATAACGCTCTTCCGTAATGACCATTCGGGGTCACTAGAGTATTCAGTGCTTTTGAGCGCAAAACGTTCGGTGTTGGAGTTCCCTGGCTCCTGAACAACGACACCGCAGGTGAGGTCACTTTTGCAGCGGCTCTCTCTTCCCTTTCCTTGACACGTTTGTCCACTAACTCGGTGAGATCTTGATCTCGTTTCCCAACACATTCGCCGACTTCGACTAGAGTTCCTGAGCGCTCTAATTCGAGTTCCTCTCCCTCAGCAAACTCCGAGTCCTCGCGCCAATGTGTATCTCCCACGAAGTTCGACCTATCATCGTAGACCATGACGCGCTTGTTGAACGTATGGAACTTGAGACGTCCATCCTGCCATCTCTTCTGCTTTCGCCGCAGGTCTTGTGTGTACAGACATCGAAACTCTAGAACTGGAGCTGTATTTTGCGTTTGGGAAACATCCATCGAAGCTGCAGAGCCAGAAATCGAGGCAGTCATCGCCATGGAGGATGATATCGTGTGTCATTGATCATTGTCTCGGAATTAATGCGTGTGCCGTACCCAATCGATTGACAATTGTTGACTATTGTTGACTTTGTGAACCGTGAATTATTTTGCATCTCGAGCGCGACCGGGACGCGACTTCCTTAACGCGCTCACGTGCCGGGCTTCCCTCCTGTCCCTTGCCAGCGAATGGTTTCCGCAGAGCCAAGACAATCTCCGTCATTTCGACAGAGATCAACTACCACTGCGACTTGGACGAAGCAAGAATGTCCAATTGCTCCAACAAACATCCTTACACCTCCGATCTACGTTCCACAGACTGCATCCCTCAATGTCGCTCATCATTCACCGTATACGGCGTATTTGCCTCACAGGTAAGGTAGAGCAGAAGTAAGTAAGTGTTGGGATTTTAGGCGCAGGCAGCCTTCCAGAACCACCCCGCGCATCCAACTTGTTTCAGGCCGCAAAGCGCAGCCAACCTCGCAACTATCGACCTCTGAGCGTGACGTTCTCTGTCCCTAAACTAATAATAAGAGGCGAGGCTGTGCCAATTTGACATCCTGAACTTTCTTCTGTCATTTCTCTCTCCTGTCATCTTCCTAATTCAACCTCACGCAACATCAGGATTCGCATCTTTGCCAAACAAACTTGGCACTCTCAGTCACTACCACCAGTTCAGCTGAACGAAGCTCAGAAACTTCTGCCACGATGAATTCCATGCACCGCCAATTTGGCAAGCTCATGAAGAAGGGAGCTGGCGATACTGCCAATGTCGCTGTGTTACTCAATGATTACGAAGATGCTGATAAAATGCTCGCAAAGGTTCGTCCCATAGTTTGGAACTCCTGGTCATAGCTTATTGACAGGCGATGCTAGATAATAGAAGCTTCTAAAGCATGGAGAGATGCATGGGTATCAATTCTCAGCATCCAGGTTTCGACGACAACCATATTCGAGGAAATATACCAGCCTATTGTGGGAGCAAGCGACGGCCATGGACACGAACCATACATGACCCCAAGACCCCAATTAGACCGAGCGTCGAAACTGAAGGAGGCATATTCAGAGCTGAAGACTGATCTGTTGGAAGAAGTTGGTATGATGGATGCTCGTGTGATCAAACCTGCGACCGATGCAAAGGAGTATCTGGCACCAATAAAGAAAGTGATCAAGAAGAGGGAGAATAAGAGGCTTGATTGGGAGCGTTACCAAGACAAGGTCAATAATTACCAAAGAAAGTTGAAGCGGTCAGACCGTGAGAATGCAGCATTGGCAAAAGCAGAGGAGGAACTTGGAAGAGCAGCAGAGGTTAGAGATCCAAGCCCCCTGTCTACGTAATGAGCTAACAATCCTCAAAGGATTTCAGAGTTGCAGATGATCGTATTCGAGAGACTCTCCCTCCTGTCATTTCAGCCGCATTCTCCATACTTCCTCACCTCCTTGCCGTCCAAATCATGATTCAGAATACGCTCTTGGCGCAGTACTATACAACACTACACAATTACTGCGAAGATACAGGTTTCCAGTCCCCGCCACCAGCCATGGAAGATGTCATATCTACATGGAATAGGGACTTCATGCCCATAAAACAAGAAGTGGAAAGTATAAATTGTATTGCTCGTGGCAAGGTTGTTCACCAACCCATGACTCTTGGGGATGAACGGAAGAATTCTTCTGTTACTGGCTTAAACGTCCGAAACGGCTTCCGTCGACCATCAGGACAAGCAACAATAGACTCCCAGCCCGTGTCTCCTAATCCTAGGGCTCGCGTTATGCGAATCCCATCGACAAATTCGCTCACGGTCGTCTCACCTCCAGCGCCAGAACCTACACCATCCCCAGAACCTACTCCGACTTATGCCTCACCAGACTACTCAACTCACCTTACACCCGCATCTTCATATTCTGCCCATTCCCCAGCTGGACCGACGGGAGACTATTTTCAACGAGCGGCGGTCCAGAAGAAGAAACCGCCCCCACCTCCTCCCAAACGCATTGGGTCCCAGAACTCAGGTGTCTACGCGGTAGCTCTCTATGCGTTTGAAGGCCAGTCTCAAGGCGACCTCAGCTTTCGCGAAGGCGATCAAATCAAAGTTGTCAAGAAAACAGATTCTACCGATGATTGGTGGGAAGGCGAACTTCGGGGCGTACGAGGAAGCTTTCCTGCAAACTATTGCAAGCTCTCCTAGAGGGCTGGACCTAGGATTAGAGAGTGCTTTAGTGGAGAATGACATTATGGCGTAATGATTTATGATTTGGCGAACGGACGGTACTTTGAATGGATGAGCTGGTACAAAAAGCACGGGCAGGACTGGGAGATTGTCAAAATAGACAGTTTGGATTACCTTCATGGAGGTCGAATTGTAATTCGGACAAACCAATTGAACAAAAGAATGACCTTTGGGACGGATATTTTCTGGACTACCTAGTGCTACCGTAAGAAGTGGACTATAAGTTAATATTGTTCCAAAGTTTGTGAGACAATATAAGGAGGTGAAGTCCCAAGTGTGGAGTAACTTCTGAAATGATGAATTACTATAGCTCCCTTCAATCTCGGACCTTGACAATCTACATTTCCTATTTATATTGTCCTCCCAGCTCTGGAAGAATCTTAATTTAGGTATATTCTAGTCTCTACCGCAGATTAAATCAACGTGAGTTGTCCCACAACCACTAGAGCAATCTTATCTTATATATTCCAGTACCGCACATTCGATTAACTTGAGTTGTCCCACAACCACGGGAACAATCTTATCTTGTTATCCAATTTCTACGGCAGATTCAATATCCCTGATCCCATTCACTTCAATCATCCTCTCCCCCTCCGCTCTTTCTGCATCCAACTCTCACGCCTAATACCAAATTTATACTTTTGAACAAGCACTTTTCTGTCGGAAATAAGGAGATGTAGCTTAGTGGTAAAGCTCACAAGAAGTAACGGATGCTCACACGCTCTAAAGCTGTGCCTGCAAGAAATTGTAGGAAACTGAGGAGTTACAAGCGTGTTCTTCGGAATTGTGGATCGTTGGTTCGAATCCAACCATCTCTACTTTCTTTTTTACCGTCCCTTTCCGTCTCTTCGAATTCCTTTCGTCTCTGAAACTTTACGAGCGAGACGTTCATTTGACTTTTGGATTCCATTGCTACAATACTCGTGTTCGATAATAGAATAACAACCCACCACACTCATACAATTTTACCCGCTCCTTCAACCTGCGATTCATTGCCCCATAGCCCGAGCCTGCACATCAAAAATCTCATTCCTCCAACTCCTCGCCGCCCTCGCACTCTCATCCACCCTCTCACTCGCCTCCACCGCCTCCTGATCCCAAAGCTTCACCACGCTCCCCGGAGCATATACCCCCGCAAACACATTGCCCCTCTGCTCCGCCGCTCCCCTTACTCCCACGTTCGTATACAGATCTGGATCGTCCTCGGGCGTTAATCGTGTCATCACCGCTTTAACAAACGTCCTTATATCCCTTGGGTCCGAGATTCGTGTTGCTCGCAGCCTCTCGCGGGCAAACACCAATTCTCTGTTCGCTGCGTGGAAGAAATCGGCGATGGCGGTTGAGAGTTGTTTTTCTAGCACTTTACGCAAGATGGGTCGGAGTAAGGGTTTAAAGAGCCAGGCTAGACAGGCGAATTTACTCTTGCGTAAAGTGTAAGATAGGTGATGGATCTTAACGCGCACGTTTCTTAGCGTCAGCATTTTCTCCAGCTTCTCTTTGCCGATCTCGACGTCGAGCTCGATGTCGATGCCTCTGTCGTCGAGCTCGAAAGAGGCGATTCCTTCGTCAGCGAGGCGGAGGAGGCCTTTGTGGGCGCGGAGCCAGAAACCGACTTCGTCGGCGCGGATGGAGAGGCCTTGGACTTTGATGGTGCAGAGGGAGCGGACCGTGGAGATGGTTCTGAAGCGTGCTTTGCGGATGGAGAGATCGTTGTAGGTTTCTACCTTGAGGCGGAAGGGGAGGAAGGAGGTGTTGTTGATGGTGCGGCCGGGTTCGAGGATGAGGTTTTCGAGGAGGAGGTCGATTTCTGGGGCGGAGATTTCGAGGCGGGGGATGGGGAGGTATTGGATCATTTGGATGAGGAGGGGGATGAAGATTGTGTAGGTATCGGTTAGGAGTTCGGGATTTGTGACTTGGGAGGTTGGGGAGAGGATGGACCAGATTCGGAGGGTGGTTTGAAGGAGTTTGGAAACGTCTTCGTCGTGGACTACTGAGTCGAAGGTTCGGCGTGCTTGTTGGAGAAGGGCATCGATATCTTTCCGAAGAGGTGACTCGGTGCCGACTTCCTTGGACTTTTCTTTAAGCTCTTCCATCTTGTTGGATGCTGAATCGAAGAAGTCGGGGTCGGTAAGCATCTTTTGGACCGAGGCAGCGACGTCTTCCATCATGTTTTCAAACTCAGGATCTTTCTGAGAGTGCTCCATGACCTTGTTGAATCTCTTCTCAAGCTCTTTCCAAGCATCCTTGTCACCGAAAGAGCTAAGCAAGGACCAACCATTCTTGATAGCTCGATCAAGCTCATCATTCGTATCAACATCCTCTTGAACGGTACTGATAGTCTTATCAACAGCTCTCGAGTACACTTTCGCATATCTCTTGATGAGCAGACCGATAGTGGAGACAGAATCAGAGTAGTCGTTACGCTTCCGGAGTTTCATGACAGCAGCTTTGAGACGATTCTTCAACGTTTCCCCTTCGTTGCCAGAGACGTGCTCTTTGAAGCTAGCTCCAGCATCGATACCAGTCTTTTTGACGCCATTTGCAACAACATCAGCAATTTCAGCAGCTTCTGCTCCTAGCTCTTCCCCGGTTGGAGCTGGTCCATCATCATTACCAGGTTCTTTGACTGCCTCACTTTGCTCATCTGAAGGCTCAATCTGCTTTGCAGCATCTTCGGCTACATTTGAGATTGTGTGAGCTGTGTCTGAGAAGACTTGTCGACCAATTGTGTTCAAGTCAGACAAGAAGATTCTGAAGTCAGAATTGGTCAAAAGAAGGCTGCCAACGGTCTTGACACTCTCATATGCTGTGAGGAAATCAGTACCAATGCGCGTAAAGAATCATCGTGTAGTACATACCAGCTGAAGCATCTGCTTTTGCTCTCGTTGATGTCGCCGTTTGAATGAGATCATTGGTATCAACCGACAAACGAGCATGTATCATGAACCAGATAAAATCCTGAATTTGATCGCCATCGTTCTTATTCCGAAGGAGATCAATGAATTGCTGAAGCCATGTCTTAGAATAATACATAAGCTTTCGTCCACTCTGACTGAGACCAGGAGTGTCCGGGTTGAGAACATCTGAAGCAAGAAGCGTTCTGAGGTTGACTATCGTCTGCTCTGTTGATGGCATGAACCCTTTCGAAAGAGCTCTGAGCATTTGATATGTGTGTAACTTCTGATGAGCTACCCGCTGAAGTGAAGTGTCATCCTCATATTGAGGCAGCAGAGGCTCGCGGTCACCCTGCCGTTTGGACTTCTTTCTTGACCCGAAACAGGAAGACATTGCTTCCCAAGTGTTCAACAAGGATCTAGACTCTGGTGATAATTAGGTTGAAGAATTTCGATATGGGAAATGACTGATTTTCACCAGGATGGTGAACGTCGAATCTTATGGGAATTCTCAAATTCGATGACGGATATGGTGTCTGAGCTTCGTAGCTCAAAGTAATACGGGTGGAACTGTAGCCTTGTACCCCACAAACTCTGTTCTAGTGCGATGCAAGTTAGACCAGTCAATGTACGGGGTGAGAGGAAGAATTTGTCTGGGTGCATCGAATTGGCATAGTTATGTGTCATGTACACTAGATTCCCTGCTTCCTTTGGGCTTGTCGACTTGCACATGCTTGGTCAAGGTGTGGCTAAGACAACTACGTCAGGGGCAGATTAGCGAGGACATCCGGAGAAACATTGTTCCATACCGCTTATCGAGCGATAAGAAGTCTCGCCGATGACCATTACTTCAAAGCCTACTTAGTTGGGTATTAATAGGTTTGAACGTTGCGGTAAATTCAGCCTCAGAATTTACACCACGGCTGCAGAGCTATGGAGCAACGAAAGGAAGAGGTGACACGGAGACCGTTGTATGGTAAGCAACTTCATCCGTTGAGTCAAATTTTTTACATATTCTAACAAGCTCCAGTGTACGACCTCCCTCCGGATATTCTATCAACATTAGCACGCAAAGACGGCGCGAGTGAGGGACCACAAGAGGATTCTACTCTGGAAACGGCCAAGACAGAGCCTGTAGAACCGAGAACAGAGGACGCTGTTGGGTCGAAAGCATGTTCGTTGTGCGGGGTATCATTTCATACTGTGGCAGACCAGAGAAGTCATGTCAGATCCGACTTGCATGGCTACAACCTGAAGCAGAGGATACGAGGCGGAAGACCAGTAACAGAAGCAGAGTTTGAGAAAATGATTGGAGGTTCGAAGCTCTATCTGTAAATTTGCATTTGTGCTAACATCTTGCAGATCTCGACGAGAGTCTTTCAGGCTCTGACTCATCAGATTCCGAAGACGAGGAGGATGACGAAGGAAGGAAAGAAACAACATTAAGTGCGTTGCTGAAGAAGCAAGCAGCAATATCCTCGAGCAAAAATGGGGACGCGGACGACTTTTCTCCTGCAAAGCGGAAACGTGGTTCTGGCAAAACTCCACTTTTATGGTTCACAACACCTACTTTGCCAACCAACACATATCTAGGAATATACCGAGCTATCTTTACAAATGCTGAGCAAGAAAAGGAGCCTACGATATTGGACATCATCCAAAAGAAGCAATTATATCCAAAACCACAGAAGAAAGTCCCGACCGATTCGAACAATGGAGTGCCATTACCAGAAGCATACAAAGGACCGCATATATTCTTATGTATGATCGGAGGAGGTCACTTTGCCGCCATGGTTGTATCGTTAGAACCGAGACAGACAAAGTCCTCAGCTACGGGGCCACTTTCCAGAGACGCAACTGTGCTTGCTCATAAAACCTTCCATCGATATACCACTCGTCGAAAGCAAGGTGGTTCGCAGTCAGCAAACGATAATGCTAAAGGAGCGGCCCATTCTGCTGGATCAAGTCTCAGAAGATATAATGAGCAAGCACTTACTGATGAAGTACGGTTATTGCTGTCAGATTGGAAAGGCATGATTGACACCTCGGAGCTATTGTTTATTCGAGCAACCGGAAGTACAAACAGAAGGACTCTTTTTGGTCCATACGATGGACAGGTTCTACGACAGAATGACCCTCGAATACGAGGGTTCCCATTTAGTACTCGTCGAGCTACGCAAAATGAGTTACTGCGGTCTTTTGTTGAGCTTACCCGAGTCAAGGTTCTTGAAGTAGACGAAGCTGCGATTGCCGCTGCTAAGGTTGCTGCAGAAGCAGCTGCGCAGCAAGCTTCAGCCTTGAAAGCAAACAAGCAATCTGCACCAACAAAGCCTAAACTTTCCGAAGAAGAGGAAGAAGCTTTGCTTCATACTGGACAACTTCAGGCTCTAGTCCGACGGTCAAAAGTACCCGCCCTACTTTCGTACTTGAAGAACAACGAGTTATTGCCAGATTTCAGATTCCATCCTCTTGATTCCAAGCAGAATTTCCATGCTCCTACTCCTCTACATCTTGCTGCCAGCCAGAATTCGGCACCTCTGGTATCAGGTCTCCTCAATAAAGCAGGCGCAGACCCGACAGTATTAAATGGCGATGGTAAAACTGCGTTCGATCTCTCTGGGGACCGTGCGACCAGAGACGCGTTTCGCGTTTCGCGCCAAGAACTAGGAGAAAATAAGTGGGACTGGGAAGCTGCACATGTTGCATCTGCGATTTCAAAAGCCGAGGCTGGGCAAAGAGACAAGAGAGAGAAAGCAGAAGAAGCCAAGAAGGAAGAAGATAGGAGGAAGGCTGAAGCTACTCGGTTGAAAGAAGAGGGCCCGAAGATTCCGGATACAGGACCATTGGGAAAGGCGGCTGGAAGAGGCAGAGCGATAGCTTTGCAGAAGACAGCACAAGAGAAGACGGAAGAGGAGATGAGGGGCATGACGCCAGAGATGAAGCTGAGAGTGGAGAGAGAGAAGAGAGCTAAAGCTGCTGAAGAGAGGATGAAGAGGATGGCAGGCAAATAGGATGTCGTGGGAATCTTCGAATGAAAGATCAACCCTGCCAGCTGTTTCTCATCATGGCATATTCTCGTATTGACTGTGTTTGACGAGAGAGAATTGCTCAACAATCACGTTGCCAAGCTAAGCCCGGCTTCGGAAAATTTTCGGGGACGTGCTGTTTCAGGGGCTGTCGCTTGACTAGCAGACCCCTGATCGCAACTTCACTTCTTCACTTCCGCCTCATTTTCCATACAGTGAACATGTCGCCTACACAGACTCTTTGGCTTACCGGATCGCTCAGTATGGTTCCCGGAATATCCACTTCGCCTTATATAACTCCAAGCATGCCAGCTCGCCCGTGAAAGCCACAAGTGGCTGACGTGTCAGGTGAAACAAGACACCAAGCCTCTGGAAATATTCTCCTATCTGAGGATATAATTCAAGCAGATAAGAACTACATCTTCGATCCGTTCCGCAGCCTGCATGGATCACATCTTCTAGAAGTCGATCTTTCATACACGTTCTAGGGTTTCCCGGTTCTCTAGTCTCGGTAACATAGAGACGTGGTCCTGGTAGCGCCTTCCAGAGTCGTCCTTCTTGGTCTCAATTGGATATCTCCCATCCATATCATAGGGCTATACTCGCAAAATATCCACTTTGGTCGATAACCAAGCCCTAGACACTCGACCACATCGGCTTTATTATCACGAGAGACCCATAGAGCTCAAACCTCCACCGAAAACTCCATTCATGTATGATCCTTCGCATCACCTAGTGGCATCATAACGAAAGATAAGATCAACCATCTTCAGTGGCTGCCCTGAGATTTGCCAATACGTTCAAGTAATGCCGTCTCATAGTAGCTGGCTGCATATATGAGATGGCGTCCAATATGGCGTCCAGGCTATCTGCTTTCTGGCGAGCCAGAAATGCACCCTCATATATGAGAATGCCAACTCACGACCAAGAACATCAGTCGAATGCAACTCGATTATCGTTCGAAGCAACTATTCGATTACAAGATGAAGAACGATTCACTACATGGCCAAACTTCAGTATCGAAGATAACTACAAACCCCAAAGCGATGACAGATATTCGATTAAGTCTGCAGGTGCATCTTCGACGCTCGAGATACTTTTCCCTTCGCGGCCACCGATCCAACTCAGCCCAGGCTTCTTTCGTCGTTGCAAGTTGATGTGTACGAGGTTCCCTTTCAGGGATATGAGCTATCTTGTCGGAGTATCATTTACCATTGGCTCAGCTATATTTGTTGCAAATGGATTCTTCCTACTGCTACCATTAATAGCACCAGATACCGACTTTAACACCGAGACTCCCTATGCAACACCTGCCTCAAGCGTCATTGGGACATTAATCTTCTTAGTTGGTTCTTGGGTCGCCGTGCTCGAAGCGTTGAACCTAGAGAGAGGAGAGCCGATCATCACAGAAGGCATCCCCCTCGAATCGAGCACCGAATCCATAGCAAAGAAAGACACAGAACCAGCAGTGCGAATAAAAAGCAGAGACCACTCAACAGATTCCTCGTCAAGCCAAGCATCATCTCAATACTCGAGTCCAGCCACAGCAACGTCAATCCATAGCACCAATCCCCAAGACATCACTCAATCATCCACAGCGACTCAACCAGCTCTCCTCGGATCACCAACATTCATCTACTGGCCAACCACTCCCCAACTAATCTCAATCTACTTTCGTTCCATTCTCTTCCACGCTTCGATAATCCGTCTGTCCACTTTCACCCTTTCCAAATTATCCAAAACTAACAACACACAGAACTAACCGGCGCAATAATCTTCGGAATGGCAACCGTCACCTCCCTACCCAACATCATCCCCTCAACAAACACAACCCTCCTCCACTTCCTGAACCTCCTACCCGCGACTCTCGGCGGTCTTCTGTTCTTAATCGCTGCTCTACTCCAACTTCTCAACTCCCAAAACAGGGCATGGTGGAGACCTGAATTCGGGAAATGGGGTATGTCATCTATCCAACTCTCCTCCATGACACAGCTCATTACTGACTCGCAACAAACAGACTGGTGGGCAGCGCTCTGGAACTCAATAGGAAGTATGGGTTTCCTGCTCGCGGGCCTGTTACCTTGGATAGGTGACGGCGCGGAGTGGGGCGTGATATGGGGGACGACAGCCGATTTTTGGGGGAGTTGGGCGTTTCTTTTTGGGAGTTTGGTGCAGTGGTGGGGGGTTATGGGGGGGTATTCGTGATTTTAGGTGTTTAAGGTGATGAATGAATGATTTTTTCGTGCTGATGTTTGTGGTGGTGTTTGGACGAGTATGTGAATGTTCAAGATGCCACGGTGAATTGGGAAGAGGTGAAGGTCTGTGAAGTTATCAGGTCTTTAGGTGTTGTGCATGTGGAGGGTTTAGTGAGTGCTTGCTCGTGAGCTGGATGTGGGTGTTCGAGTTAGAAATTCTGCTTTGCATATATGGCAAGTGAATATGGGACATTAGATTTCTTTTCCTATTCATTTGCGCGTGAGTGAATGTGAATCTGGAAGTCTATATTCTGCAACCTCGTTTAGTCTAATCTACCTAGGCTATCTCTAAATAAGATTTTTGAATTATTTAGATCTATTGTCTATGCTCTAACCTCTATACCGGGATATCTATACCCAATTACCCGCTCAACTCCATTACAAAGCCCCCTCTCATCTTACACAACCATACACTCCGCCATCAAAATTTAACCTCAGGTGCCCTCCCAACCCCATCCCCCTCCACCTCACCCCTTCTAAAAACCCTCCCCCTTCCCCTCCTAATCCTCCCCGCCCACCTCCTCTTCCACTTCCTCCCCGCCCTCACAATCCTCCTCCTTGGATAATTAACCGGACTCTCACCCCCCACAAAGATCGCCGCATCATACAAAAACGCCCCAAAGCACGCCCCCGTAATGGTGCCCACCCAGGGCCCATAGATCCAATACCCATTTTTGAAAATCTCACTTCCATACCCGACCGCTAGACACGCTAATCGCGGCCCTAGATCTCTGGCTGGATTCATCGCCGCCCCGGTATTATATCCAAACGCCATCGACAGGACCGTGATGATGAGGCCCAAGACAAAGGCATTCATTCCCGCGCCGGGCGGGGCGTTGGTATCGTCTCCCAAGGCCAGGACGGCGACGGATAGGATGGCCGTCCCTGTGAACTCGGTGAAGAAGGCTGTTGAGGCGTCGATCCATTCATATCTCGGGTACGTGATAAAACTACTCAACGTGCCAGAATTCGCGAGATCCGCGCCCCCATACGCGATGATGTCTTTTTGATAGAGGCCAAAAGCTATCAAACCAGCGAGGAAAGCACCCAAGATTTGGGCCGCGATGTAGATGGGTACTTTTTGGAGGGGGAAGCCGCGGAATATGTACAACATGATGGATATAGCGGGGTTTAAGTGAGCGCCGGATATGCCACCTGCGATGTAGATTCCGACCATGGTGGCGAGGCCCCAGGCCCAGTCGGTAGTTTCTTCGTTGCCGGCTTTGGAGGCGGATGTTGTGACCACTAGATCGGCGCAGAATCCGAGAGTGAGCTGGACTGTGACGGCGAGGAGTTCGGCGAGCGGTTCTCGGAAGCGCAAACGTATTACAGACCAGTGCGTGTGGAGGTTGTGGATCTCGTCTGTTTCGGGATCGTAGGCTTTGAGGGGGAATTCTTCACCGATCCAATCCCCGTCTAGGGCACCTTCATTCTCATCTTCCTTCGCGGTTAGGATTGAGGAAGCGTCGTCGGGGATCCAGTGCGAGAGGTCTGGTTGTTGTTGCTGTTGTTGTTCTTCGGGAGAGCCGGGGCGAGTAGGACCTGGGGTGGGTTGCTCGAGGACGGGAGCAAGATCTGTGTGTGGATGTGCTGTACCGAGATCTTGCTCCCCTTCCTCTTCGATGACTTGAGAAGAAGGAGAAAGCACGCTTGAAGGTCTTTGATTAATTGGTGAGATGGGCGATAGACCGGTTCGGCTATATGTTTGCATCAAACGATTCTCTCGCTCCCGCCTTGCTTGTTGCAGTTGTGGTGATATTTTGCTGGGATTCAAGGTTGCTTGCACTCTGCCTTGCTCGAGATCAATATTTGCTGCATCTTGTTTCTGCTGTTCTGCCTCTGGGATCTGAAGTTTGAGCTCACTCCTCGTTGGCACCATGCCAGGTCGAATGACACGGGGGAGAGGTTTTGCTAGACCCCAGACAGGACGAGCATTGACAGGTTGGTCGTACGCAGGATTCAGATCCGCGTATCCTGGATCAACATATGGCTGGTTGGCTGCAATTTGATCCATAGGGGCTGCTCCAGCTAGCGTAAAGTTCGCTGATTGAGCATCCATGTCTCGACCTGTCGTCTGAGCAGGAGGATTTATGAGAATTGTAGGTCTGCGTTGTATCGAGTTGCCCCGCACCGGATCTGGTCCAACAGCCCATGTACTCATTCTTGGACGCATGCCGGGTGAAATGAACGAAGGTCTCTCGGAAGCTGTGCTTCTTCTCGGTCTACTCGTGCTCGATTGTTGTTGTCTGCTCTCCGGTATTGGTTCCATGCTGCCTTCTCTGCCACTACTGTCCCCCCTACCTCGAGATGGCCGTTTGAACAATTGTGATCGAGGAGACATTGGACGGGGGTCGAGAGCTTTATCTCGTGCGGATATGGTTCGTCCTCGGCGGCGATTGAAAGGGGTGGCATTTTCTGCATCCTCGGATCTCGCTCGCGGTGGTGGTAATGTTCCTGCTCTTTGCAAAGTTGGAGCCCCCATTCCTTCTGCTTCCGCAGCTCTGGCTGAAGGTGTGACACTCCTCTCTTGTCGACTAGCACTTGTCGAGCCTGGCCCTGCAGCTGCCTCTCCTCCACTCTCAGCACCAGGCACCTCCAAACTCTGCCTCTTATCCTTCTGCTCGTCTGTCATGATTAATCACTCCGCCAAACAAAAAGAAGTTGCAAAAATAAAAATAACGACCGTGATGTGGCCAATACCACTGAAGGACGACTACCACATAAATGTTTGTATGCCAAGAGCAAAGAGACCCAAGGGAGAACTTAGACGAAATATCAGGGTCCAAAGCAGTGAAATAGAGTTCCAACAAAGGAGGGGATGCCCTTGCAGAAGTATAAAAATACTCGGACCCCTTCCCCTTGCACTCATCTGATTACGATGTCCCATGCCGCACCATCCACAAACACGCAAACGATACTGTAAGAAATCTGAGCTCAGGAGATCATGTCCGCTCATTGGCCCACAGAACATTACTCAGGAACCACTTAGCCCAAAGTCGCAAGCCGATCAAAAAGCTTGTCTGATGGCGGTGCATATGCCGCGACTCCCTTTTCCACTTTTCTTTCTCAGAAGAGGAAAATTCGGGAGGAAGTGGAGAAGTTTGTGGATACCGATACGAGAAATCTTTAGATCAAACGGGAGAGCTAAAAACGCTCCACTCGAGCGTCAGCGTTCCCGGGAACCCGTAAGAATCACGTGTCAGGAGAGAGGAAATTTTGATGAGACGTCATTTGGAGGTTCTCCACTGTGTTCTGGGCTCAGGAGACATTTTTGGTATCCTTGTATTTTTTGGACATTTGAAAATTTGCTGGGGTATCTATTTTTGGCATTAGGAGCAAGTAGAGTGATAGGAAGGTGGAGAGACTCACGATTCAGTATGCTCCTAAGGCCTTGCACGCTTCTACTAAATCCGGAATGTCGTCTGCTGTTTTGCTTGCGCTTCCATATCGGATTGTACCCACTGGAAAGAAATCAGCCTCAAATGTTCTAGACAAGATGATGTACCAAAGGCTGAGCTTCGCAAGCTTCGGTCCTGGCAATTGGCTTCTGAGCTCTCTGCCAACTGCCAACGTAGTCAAGGAGGCTGGATCCATATCCCCGACTGTAATCATCTGAATTGCTTCAGACTGAGCCTTGCCAGTGATGACATTCCAGCTCTCAGTGAAAGTCAACCTGTGTAATCCAAGGCCTCCTTTAAGCAGAAAGCCAGCAAAGCCATACAGCCTCTCTCCAGACCATAAAACTCCCTCCTTCACCAACACAAGAAAAGAAAAACAGCACTCACCCTCATCCACCCCCCAAGCCCCACCAACCAACCACCGATTCGCACTCCCATCCACCTCCCTCGCCCAAATCCCCCCCTCCGTCCCTAGTCTCCGCATCGCCATCTGCGTCCACGGATTCAACAAATGATACGTCGTACTCACGCCCAATCCCCACGCGGCATACACCTCCCTCTCCGGATCAACCACCACAGTCATCGACCACGCGCCGCCCACCTGCGAGACCCAGCGGTCGGTGGCCGCTTTTGAGGCATGCGATACCAGTATAAACGAGAGACGGGGGAATTTGTTAGAGAGGCGGCGGGCTTCGATGAAGGTTTTTTCTGCGACTGTGGGCAGGGTCAGCATTATGCATGTAGGAGATGTGAAAGAAGGGAAAGGGAACAAACAAGGACAGCCCGTATGCCTGAGAAATATCACTATCGACGGACGTCCATCCAAGGGCGGTAACTCCAACTTCCCACTCCTATCCCTCGGGGCCCTCGTCCCTAGCACCGGTGCAGGAGCAACCTCCACCGCAGCCGGAGGCGGCGTCGTCCAACTCTTCAGCGCTTTCGGGACTTGAAGATTCTATCCCACAGTTACCATCTCTTCCCTCTCTCCCCTCTTCTTTCTCCAACAGAAGTGCAGTACTTACCTGCCACGCATCCTTGGCCCCCGCAAACGGCGAACTACCTCCACCACTACCATCTTTCGAATCACCGCCTGTGGTATCAGGGAACGAGAGCGCGTTTGACGGGATGCCCGCTTTCCGGAGGGCGATTTTCGTGGTGAGTTTGGTGAACATGGCTGACATCTTTGCGGATAGACTTCGGGAATAATAGATGAGATGAACAGAGAAGAGAACAGAGAGAAAAAGAGAGAAAGAGAAGAAACCTTACGATCAACGAACAGCTTACCATTCGGATAAACAGCTCAGGGTTCAAACGCCAGGAGCGTGAAACGAAGGAGGTGTCTGAGGCTGGGGTGGTGGCGGTGATAGCACGGACGGTGCAGGTCTTGGCAGGGGCTCGGTTGGCGTCACGTGGATAGGATAGGCGCTGGTTATTTTCAAGGGATTAGGAGTGAAATTGTGAGGAGTGATTGGGGGATGTTGTGAGTAGAGGAGTGAGATGAAATTGCTCTCAAGTGAATGGACTGAATGCTTTAGATAAAAGTCTGGTGTAAAAGTCGTGACCAAAAAGCCTGTGTCAAACTGTCATATCCTGCTGCCAACCAACCATTGTTAATAGCAGTTCAGTATATCTACAGTGTCCGGCTATTGGCAGGTGAATAACCAATCTAGCAATGTGTACAGAGTATTTAGGACCGACATATGTAGAGGAGGAGAATTGAGCTCAGACCAAACGCCGCAAGATGCTGCGGAATCGGTGGTAATTTTTCACTTGCCACTCGAAGAACAAACATATTTTTTATATCTTCATTTTTATCTTCCTCTGTTTTAATTTTCAGGCGGACATCCAAATCATCCGCCTATCATGGTATCGCTCCCCATAGCTTTATTCATCTCATGAAACCCATTTATTTCAGTCCATGCCGCCACTCTATAAACATACAACAGGATGGTGCCACGCCTCCCCATCATCAATTCACGTCATTGCTTTTTCCTGCATTCCCATTCATGTCTGAGGATGTCCGTTCGTGCTAATGTAACCAGCACGCACTTTGTGCCATAGTCGCAAAAAAAAAGGAAAAGTTCCATGTATGCCAGTTCGAAAACCCCATGCGCATGCAATGTATATCAAGACCAGCCCAACCCAAAGAGCCCTGCCCTGTTTAGCACGCAAAGAGAACAACGAGGAAACCAACCATCCCAGACCAGACCAGATCGCTCGTAAATGCATCAATGTAAAAACAAAGCACACAAAAGATTCATCTGTTCGAGGGATGTTTCAACATCTGCTCGACCTTTCCAGGTTGATGAGAAACCATTTCATCAAGTTCTCTGATGACATATGGGAAGTCCATCAACCGTAAACATTTCAATGCCCACTTGAGATTCCTGGAAAGGATTTCTTCTTCGCCATTTTCCCTCTTATAAAACAATGTAGAGATCACCGAAAAGTGTGAGGTCCACATCAAATGAGCACAACTTTTCCAGATGCAATGCCATCTATTTTTGGTGATAGTCGTATTGAAGTTTTTTTTTTCGAGTTTTTTGGTGAGCCAGAGTGTGCATTGGAGTCCAAGAATCGTCAAGCGCAGCAGCTCCTTACCCTTGGTTCTTGACTCGGCACGACTATTGGACGGAATCCGTCAGATAGCGTGGGAACCCGCCTTCAAGCTCCAGGTATCTATCCACCTTTCCGCTCGCTGTCTTGAGTTGGCAATCGTTCGCTCTGAACTGGAATTTCACCGTTCTTCATTTCGGCAGGACCCTTTCTCTTGCCCTTCTGGATCTTCTGCCAAGCCCCAGAAGCACCTTCACTCTTTGATGCTCGTGTATGTCCATTGGCTTTCGAAACAGGCGAACCCTGCATTACCTGCGTGCCATTGGTCGAAATGGGCTTCGGTGTCGTATTCAGAGGCCCTGGCTTTCCTTCTGCACCTCTTGAAGGCAGACCATTTGCTTTCTGCCCTAAAGGATCGAATTTTCGAGTTGTCGTAGGAGATGGTGTCCGAGTCTCGTACACTGGAGACAAATGAGGCAGGTCATCTCGTAAGATCTCGTTGTTTCCTGTCCCAATGTCTAAAGGTGACATACCACCATTTTGACGAGCTAGCCGATTCCGGCTATTCGGTGACAATTTAGGTGGTCCATTGATCTGCTCAGAGGAGGAAAATCCGTTGGGTACGGCAATTGGATGTGGCACGGCACCTTTTGTTTTGGACGTTGTAGGAACTGTGCTCCCACTTTCACTACTTAGAGCGAAAGACCCATTGACAACTAATGGCTGGTCCGGTCGTCCTTCAAGCCGTGGTTCACGCGGCGTCAATTGTCCCGACAGGTCCTGCTCGATAGACACATCGCTCCCTGTTCCAGAATGAGAGGTTGAATCAAGCGAAGCGCTGAACCCATCACTGCCGCGATCTTCGTACATAGATCCTTCACTAACTGAGGCTTGCCAGTTTGGAATGGACACAGGCACAGGGTTTGAGCCATTGGCAACCATTGGGCCATGGTGATTAAATGCTCTCAGATTAGTATGAGAAATACCTTGTTGGGAGGGGACAGCAGTCAAGGGAGCGGAATGAGTGCCCGTGGAATAAGACCGATCATGTCCAAGAGGAGACGGTGATCGTGAGGGTCTCTTCAACCGATCTAAAATAGACTGTGGTAGTTGGTCTGTTGATAGCCGGCGGGGTGGGCGGATCGCATCTCCGAAAGCGGGAACAGCCATTGGCACAGCTGATTGTCTCCTCATCGGACTTTGGGTATGATCACTAACATAGTAGCCGACATATTCCTTGCGCATGCTGTCTTCAGGTGGTGTGACGGCAGAGCTAAGACTAGGCTCATATCCAGTCTCCAAATTCTCGTCTGCGATGAAGTTGGGTATGGAAACCCCGCTTGCTTGTCGCATGTTCTGGTATATGCCAAGTCCAGGATGCATCATTTGCCCTCCCTGCAGAGCAAGAGGAGAAGGGCCCGATCTTGTGGCAGGTTGGGAATGCGAGCGCAATGAACTGTTCGGCTGCCCAGCACCAGGGCCAGATCCATTGGTCACGGTGGATCTGTGCATGCTTCTCCTCAATTCAGGTACAGCAGAGCTCAATGATGGCGAAGAAGGATTTGTACTTGGAGTCTGGTACCCATAAACCGGTGCGGCTTGGTATTGCAGAGGATAAAAGTACATCTCAGGCCGGATAGGTGCTGTCAATGGTGGTTGATCAAAGGAATTTGTTCGATTTCGATCTGTAGCTTGTTGCTGTTTAATAGCGCCACCGTTGCTCTGAGCTTGAGCTTGAGCTTGCGATTGAGCGTAGGCTTGATTTTGCAGACCTTGAGCATACAATTGAAGCCGTAGGCTGTTCTCCTGAGCTTGCAGAACAGAGTAGGTCGCGTAGAGGTCATTGTGTAACTTCGCTTGTGCCTGCTGCTGTAGCCACGCCTCTTGTGTGGACATGTTGAGAGGTAACCCTGGATGGTATTGAGGGGGAGCATCAAAAGCTCCACTTGAGGCTCGCCGATTGTTGTTTCCATTGCGACTGTGCTGATTATTGTGTCTCCCTGAGCCATTCCGGTGTCCTCCACCACCGCGCCCTCTATTTGATGATTGAGAAGTGCTTCGCAAAATAGGCTTGGGCTTTTGCGGAGGCCTTTGCCATACTTTGTTTTGTTCCTCCTCAGGAAACTTGAATTCCTCGCAACACTCCTCAAGCTTTGCTTCGCATAGCAGGTCGAAGGCTCTTCTAATCTCTGTGTGCAACCCTCGAAATGACGTATCATCTGCAGTGTTGCCCAAGTTGCGGTTGGTATTGAATGGTTCCTCGACACAGAGCTGGTTATTGTTGGTGACATGCCATCCCTTTTCGACTTTGCTTATCTGCTTGCCATTCCGCACAGAGATGACAAATTTGTCGTAGTCGAATTCATGACCATAAAAACGGAAGAACTGGAACAGAAGCTCCCCCAATGATTCTTTGTTCTTGTTACCAAAACCCTGCAGTGCATCAAGGTCATCTGCAAATGCACTTGGGACACCATCTGTCGAAGGAAGTTTCAGATGGGGTCGTTGGTGCAGAGCCGGGACGATTGGAGGACTTCGACTTTGGAGGAAATATATGATCATGCATATCCAAGTGTATGAGCTAAGTGTTCCACCAAATGCTATAGGAATGTGAGACCAATGATGTCGAGAAATTCTTGCAGATTGCGCTTACCTGCATCATTCACCATCCTTTGTTTTGTCCAATGCTTGATGATCATAGCAAGAGGTCGTACCCGTGGGTCTATCTGAACATAGGTTTTGATCATCCTTGTATTTTCCAACGCCAAGGTGTTATTGACATTCATGTCACAAGCAAGATCCAGCTCTGGGTCCCAGACCTTGACAATTGGCACCTTGGCAGTGGAAACGCAGATGACCTTCTTCATTCCGCCTGGGGCTTTCGTCAGTACTACTCACATGACAGGAAACTATAACTTACTTCTTGCTAGAAGATCTGCTATGATGCAAACTCCTTCCATCTCCTTCCAGTCAGTTGTAATACAAATGTCCACTGTCGTCCCTATTAGCCTTTTCCTTTCCTCGCAAATAGCTATTGGACTAACCATCGGACTGATCTGTACACAACATATTTCCAGATGATCCGAACATATGCACCTTGATGTTATGTCCTGGCCACTCCGTATTAAAGAGGTTTTCAAGTTTTCGTATGAGCGCATCCCTCTTCTCGTCCTTCTCTGGAGAGGGTAGTAACCGGTCATAAAGCTCTCGCATATCTGTTGATAATATCCTCTCTTCATCCTCAGAAAGCTTGCTCTTGATCTCCTTCAGGTTCTTCCTCTCTAGCTTCTCGGCTCCCAAACTGTAGGGCATCCGCCTCCTTGTATGCGCCATAGCAGTCTCATACCTACATCCACCTCGAGGGGCTGGAATTGGTCTCGCAGAGGGAAGTGTAATATTCGACTCAGAGTAGGCAGAGCGTGGTGAATGGCCATTAGTCGCATTCGGAGAAGGCTCTCGAGACTCGAAGGAGAACTTGCGGGCGTGTTGATGTGGCGTAGAGGGTACAGAACTTGACTGTTGAGAGAGTGTAGAAGTAGTATGTTGCGGGTGCGGTCGATTTGGGAGCGGGTTAGACAGCTCCAATTTCTTGGCTGGCATCTTAGCAGCTTTTTCCTTCTCTGTTATGAGCGCGCGCTCTCCTTTACTAGATTTTCGTGATTCCTTATTCCCATGACCAACCCGCGAAGTAGATTTGTTATTCCTTGCCGTGGTGCCGCTACTTGAGCCGGATCGTTGACCAGGCACAGCCTGAATATGTTGTGCTGAGAGCAGTGGAGGGAGTGGCGATGTCACTAGTCTAGTTGACCTTCCCCCAGAGCTTATGAGTCTGTTGTATTGTGCGAGCTGCAGCTGATGGTAAGACGAGTGTTGCGGAAGCAGAATAGGAATCAAATCGACTTGGGACGGCCGCTGAGCTGGGACAGCAATACTCGACGTCGAGACTGGGACCGCGTCTGCAAGAGTGTTGCGCCGCACGAGTCGTGACCACTGGGCAGACTGATATTGATACTGAGTATTACCAGCTGAGGACTGGCCCTCCATCAACTTCACGAATATAGAGTCGTGACTGTCGGTGTCGAATTCGGTTCGAGTCGTTGTTGCTGACGGTGACCGGGTACAATCAGCACGAAAGCTGAGATAGCTGCGCAGGTGCAAGAGTTGGCAAACCCCTCTGTTGAAAACGAGTGAATTGCTTCTGTCGAGAGATGTTGTCTGCAGACCAAAGACGAGGGTATGATGGGCGTCGAAGATTCACCCCCTTCTGCAACGAACGGGCGTCTGGAAGTGTTGACGAGGGGTCTGCAGCAGTGACCAACGAATGCAAGATTGAGGGTTGGGTGGAGAGGACGGTAGAGTATATCTACGAGGCCGTTGATGAGCACCGGATACTGCACATACGGACACTCGCTGGAGATTGGGCGACGGCAGAGGAGGGAGGAATTGCTTTGTTCGATGTGGTACCCTTCCAATACGGAGACTGTGAATATAGGTGAAGCACTGCTAGCGCGATGCGTTTAGTCGAGGCCCGGCAAGTACTGTTGCACTGAAGCGGGAGAGCATGAACGGGGAAGGAAGGTGAGGTTGCAGAGCAGAGGGAAGCAGAACTTGGGCACTTGGAAACTTGGAAACTTGAAATATTCGGATGACAATAGGTAATAGGTAATTCGGTAAGTAAATGTTCCTGAAGATGGGAGAAACTGGCAGGCGCAACTGTTCTTGTCGTGCCTTCTTGTCGAATAATTACGAACTTTATTCCCTCTCTTTCACCATCTTCTATTTTTCCCTTTCTTCTACTACATGGGAACTGTAGTAATCAAATATTGGCTTGGGATCAAGTCCTTCCTCCTCTCGACAAAGGCTTAGATAGGTGTGGCACGTTTGTTCTCCCAAGAACTATACTGGATCGAGAGCACTTATCCACTCCTTCGACACCAGCTCTTTGTGCTTGCACCAGCCAATACCTGGTGCGTATTAAGCAATCGTCCATGGCCAAGTTCTTTGTGACGAGAATAACCGCCAGCGCATTACTGTCCGCGATGCTCGACTCCACGATTCCATTCTCCAGCTCTCTCCTCGACCCCAAAGACACCTGATCCAGCCGTCTATCTGGCACGGATTGGTTATGCGGCATGCTTATTGTTCAAGTCATATAGCCTTTCGGTGAGTCTGACACGAGCATTCACAGCCCGTACAGCTCCTGCGCGCGAGCGAATCTACGATCACGGCCAGCTTGACAAAGCATCGTATACAAACAGAACCAGGGAAAGCATGCTGCTATATTTATTTCCCTCATCTGGTGCCGTCGTCGGCCCCCTATGCGGTCCTTAAATCAAGGTCAAGGGATGTCTGAGACGAAACGGTTTCGAGCTTAAGCATCTTTCCGTCAAGTGGCGAGAGCCATGTAGGTGTCTGTACAATTATATGAGAGGCTTATACCAACCATATCACAAAAGGACTTGGGCCCTCCAGCATGAAAACCTGAGGTCACACTGTTCTGCACCTTGCTTCAACACTCACTACTGGAGATCTCGGTGCACCTGAGTCCACGATCGATAGATATCCCGCAGGAACCGCGCGCCGGTCGTCCAGGGCCAGCCATTGTCGACCTTGAAGGCTTGACCAGCACAAGAAGGGTCGTCGGGCTGCATTCCAGGTCTCTCTTTTTTGTCGCAAATCTGGGGAAATGCTATGGGCAAATTCAAAGCCGTGTTCGCTAAGGCGACCCTATTCGTGGACGAATGTACGCCACATCCGCTCCCTTTTTAAAGCTTGGCTGGGACTGGATATCGACAGTCTACTGTACTGTACCTAGGGACCGAGGTGACGAGATCCGTGAACCGCCAACGGCAAACAAAACTTGGCCCGACCGTGCAGGTGGGTGTCATCGGCGTTAAGCCTTGAATTGCCAAGAGATGTTTCTTTGTTTCTTGCAGGGACATCCTCAGCAACTGATCAAGTGTCGATCTCGAGATGATCCGGCCGCATGAAACTCCCACCAGCTGATAGTGAGTACTGAGCGTGTGAGTGGTTCGGCGAGCAATGTTGTACAGAAACCGCGGATCAATATGAGACTTGATTGAGGGAGCCCTGGTTTGGGAGGCAAAGTCAATGAGCCAGATCCGTCTCTTCACCGAGACCAGTCACTTGGGATTTGCTTTTTGGCATTCCTCAAGAGCTGACAGGTGAGCCAATTCTCCCTCATTATCAACAGCGGATCGGGTTCCTATGGCCCACGGATCGCGGGTCTCATCGTCATAGTTCATTGTATCACATTGAGGCCTCAGGAACAGACGTTCTCGACCATTCCAAAGACCGTCACGATTCAAGTGAGGCACGCGATCGACGACGCATACAAAATTTGTACAGTAGTAGTCGCATCCGAAGCAAGTTCAGCCTCAACCCGGCACATCCGTCAAGATCCGCAAACTCCATCTCATGCAGCACAAGCTTCCGCTCAAGAATTCTCGATCACCGACTATTCAGACCTCGCCAATCATATCTGATCCTCGAGTCTTCTCCGCACATCGCTCACCAATCAACATGGTCTCCAAGATATCTCCAGAACCTCAAAAGTCGATGGTCCAATAACGACATCAGCCAAGCCCTGACCTCCCGCCAAACTTGCCTCTATTAGTGAAGTAGCCTCGCGCTCGGCATCCTCGGAGTACGCTACCACCAGCTACCCATGAACTTCCTCTCTCTTTTTCCTCTTTCTCGCTGACATGGTGCATTCGGCCGCGAGCTCTAGCCTCGTCTGACTACCGAACGTCATCATGTGCCTCTGTTAGAAATCAACTTCAAGGTAAGGTGCAATGCTCATATAAGCCATTACCTCCCCTCGTAGGTACTTTTGTCACCGTTTCTGCTGCTCCTCCTGGATATATCTTTCTGCCGTGCTGGATTGCCTGAGCGAAAGACGTGAGGAAAGGGAAAACAAGTATCGCTGGGTCGATACATGGTCCGGAAGTGTCGGAGTCACGCACCACTACTTTGAAGATCCTGCATCTATACATATTTGGAGTCCGGCACTTTTGGTCCTTCGTTCTGGGGGCTTAGACGAGCACACGATTGAGCTCCTTTCATCCAATTCCTATCCTATACCACAAAATGGGACTCTCGAGATCAAGGTACATTCCTCTTACTCCTCCAAACATCCTTAACTCCGTAAACTAACAGAAAATGCAACCAGGTCAATAACACTCATAGTAGCCCTCGCTACTCTAACATCCAATACCCTCTCCTCCCTCCTCTTCGCCCAATTACCAGACGACCCTTTCCACCTCGCCAATAATTTCGGCTGGTATCTCCATTTCGCCAACATCCTCAGCGTCTTCGGATTCATCGGAGCTCTTCGCGTACGTTTCTCCTCCCCCTCCTTTCCTTCCAAACCCCACTAACAAAATATAAACAGCAACACCCTCTCTCAATAGCCATCTTCGCAAACTACCTCATCCTCGACACAATCCTCTGCTCCATCCCGCGCTTCCTCCTCCTCGGCCTCCTCAACACCTTTTCCTCCACCCTGTGCTCGTCGTACCCTACCACCTCCACCACCACCACCACCACAACAACGACATTCCAATACCAGAACGCGAGAAGAGATGAGTGGTCGGAAGAAGGATGCATCCGCGTCGTGGAACTAGCGCAGTTAACGCTCGCAGCGGGCGTCATTGCGGCGACGGTCCTGCAGTTCGTGGGTGCGTTGTGTGTGCGTGAGTATGCGAGACGACTGTGGGTGAAGGAGGAGGAGGGCGTGTTGGTTGATATCGAGGGGGATCTAGAGAGGGGGGAGGAGGCCAGGTTGGTGGTGGAGGAGGAGAGGAGAAGAATGGTTGAGGAGTGGGGGTTTGGGGGATTGCCTGTTATTCGGGAGGAGAGGGAGGAGAAGGTTTGATTGATGGAGAGAAAGAAAATATTGGTGGTGATGTTTATATGAGGGTGCAGAGAAAGAAAGAGAGAGAGAGAGAAGGCGTTCGGGGTACAGGCTTATACCATTTGTTTTTCGGGATTGGAAATGGGATCGTAAATATGGGAATTAAAAAATAAAATAAAACAAAAAACCTGATTGTTCTATCATGCATACTTACTTACACGTGCCTGTTCTTTCATAAAGAGAATTCTGCTCAACTCCAAAGGACTACTTCTCTCTCCTGTAAATGAACACAGTTCGGTGTTCTCTCGGCATGCCTTCCATCCGGAAGAAGAAGTTCCTTGGCTACCCCATGAAGCGGACGTCCTGTCACAAGACTCAACCTCAATTCAAGAGAAAAATATATTTATATATAAGTCCTCGCACCGGAGGCATCAACAGAAGGAAAGGTTTGGATCCTAGTCTTTCTTCGAGTGAGCTGGGACGCTCATGTAGAAGAACCTTCCTTCAATGAATTGTAACAGAGCCGAGAATCAGTCCAGGTAACGCAAGGACTTCCGTAGCTTCCGTAGCTGTAAGTGTCCCCGTCTCAAGAGCCGATGGCTTCCCGAATGCATTGCACGAGGACGCTGTCTTGTGTCTGAGGTGTATCATATTTTTGAGATCGTATTGCTACGCTGTAGCAAGAAATGAGTGCGTGACAGTGCTGAGAACGGAGACGGTACAAGGTTCTGCTAGTATGGTGCCAAGTGTGGGAACAGATAATGGATTCAGCAAGTGATAGCTGCCCCAATCGTGACGGTGCTGAGAAAGAGGATGCTGTGAGGTTTTGCTGGTGTGATGCCGAGTGTGGGAACAAACAGTGAACTCGACAACCGGTAGCTGTCTCGATCGTGTCTAGAATCTCTGCCCGTTGTTTTTGACTCTGAGATTGTCATGTTTTCCCAGTGGTACGAGACTGAATCTTGTAGAGCGCTTGATCGTGTTGAATGTCCCTCCACTGGGGAAGAAAGTCAAGATATGTTCATACTTCAAAGCGACGTAATAAAGCTCTTAAATATATCCGGGATAACCGTCTCTCGAGAACGAGAAGCACCAGAGTCCAGGACATTCTCCAAGAAAGACCAGGTTTCGAAGGTGGAGCGAAGTCATCTTCTGAGGATAAGTAGTATCGAAAGTCCAGCAATGTATGAAAAGAGGATCGTCAGTAACGTAACAAAACTTTCACTTCAACCAAAAAGAAAAAGTAAAAGCGCAAAGCCAGTCCTCAATCCTCATCCAGAGAAAACTTCCTCCAAGATTATAATAACTAGACAGAGGGGAAGCAACCATTGATAACTTAAAGATACCCCTACAAAATCTCAAAAAACAAATAACCATCGACGTACTATACTCCACCAACAGCTGCACAACATTCCATACCCCATCTTCCTTCCTTTCTTATAGCAAGGAAGGGAGGGGTGCTCGCAATAACTACCTAGGTACTGTACCCCATCCATATGCATCACGCGGAAGGATAATTTTTCCGCTTCCGGTTCCAGTAGCTCGCAAGAAAAAGCAAACCAACGGAAACCTCCTACACTAATAAGAGAAAAGATTGGATAGTGACTGATGATATGGTAATAGTCAGTCGAGATGGGGAATCTTGGTTTGCGGTGGGCTCCTATCAACGGGGAGGTGGGGTGAGGGTGCGCCATGCATGTAATAGGTAGGGTTGCATGCTGCTGCAATGAGGGGCATTTTCGTGGTTTGGTGAGAATGATGTGATGTGATGTGATGTTCGGGGTTTGTTTCTTTGTTGCCCGTTTTGGTACCATAGATGTAAATGATCTTTTTTCTGTGCATATAACCTACCAGAGGAAAGAGATTCGATGTGAAGATTGAGAAAAATGACCTTCACGCCTTTACCGTGAAGAGTGCATGAGCATACTGGTAGATACACACCCTACACCAAATACCGAAACTCTAAAAGATATCATCCTCTTACGGAACGGACATTCGATGTTTCTGGCAGGTCTGTCTGAGAAAAGGAAGCTATTATTTCGGCCGAGCGAGCGCTGAAGAAAGAATGAAGCAAGCGAGGTGAAGTGTGGGCTGGGCTGGTCCCTGCAGACCCTGTACGATTGATTAGAAGCCGATAAGGAACTGACAGGTGGGAATGAGCAACGAAAATTTTTTTTTTTTTAAACTCTCCATTGATCATAGGAAAACCAAAAGGGGCTTGTAAAGTATTTGGAAGGGGGTTTGAGATGGTTATGATGTGAGGAGTGAAAAGTATCACCGAACATGTGATCTACAACTCTCCGACAGAGACCCGCGGGTTATATTACTCGGTGGAACACTCGCAATATCATGTCGACGTCGTCGTCTCCGTGGAAGAGGCGAGGCGTGCAGACACTTCGACAGGGGTCGGATAGGCACTGCGGACATGTCAAGCCGCATTTCGCGCATCTCTGGAAGAAGCAGCCCCCAAACAAATTCTTGGCAGAGAGGGAGAGAGAGAGAGAGAAATTCCATTGTCCCGTAGTGCCTGCTTGCTGCGAACACCAAGGCAGAAGGTGGGGTGCAGCTGTGCAGAGTAATAGTGCGTGCGTGCTGTACGTACTGAGATAATAGAGGGGCAGCGTGCGGGCAACTACTGCAGTTGATGGTGTGCGTGAAGGTTGCATGTGTCGTGGGTTATTTAAAGGTCTGATATGTACAAGTAGGCCCGAAAGTGAGATGAGGATCGAGAGGGTGCACTGGAGATATCAGCCAGCGGCATCATCAACAGCCATCTGCAGCACAGATGAAGGATCTCCAACGTGCTCGCAGGACTTCGGGACGACGAGACAGGATCTTGCACTACCGGAGGCTGAGAATAAACTTCATAACTGCCTTCTGCTATTGAGAATAGACGCCATAATATGCTCGTTATACTCTCTGGTCCCTTGGGAGATATGTGACTGGACGTGCTGCAGATTCGAAAGGTTATCCGAGAAAAGATTTATCAGCCTTACATATCTCGTTCTGTTTCTGGTTTTGTGCGATGACTTTAGCCATACCTTGCTGTCCATAGGGTTGCAGTTGTTATCTTCGCCGCCGGATCAGGCACAGGCAATTGCTCGTTGAACCTTTGTATATCTGCCCTCATTCTTCCCAGCAGGCAAATGCGATTCTGTGACACCTCAGAGGAAAACTCTGCTGCTCGTGGCCGGCACGTTCCTTGAGATGGATGCGATATATATTCTTCCACAAGGCTCACACTTCACTGGAAGCACGCCCCTTCTCTTCGCCAGACACCTGCATCCAGCTCCCCGTCGCCGGATGTATGATTGTGGTAACCCCCACAAGGCACATCGTATCACATCACTTGGATATATGTATTATTCCTCCCATCATTTCTGCTAAACTCACCAGGCCCGCGGGCCTTGCCTTCCATGGGGCCCTGCTGGGCCAGAAGGGTGCAGTATCGATAGTCGATACAGAACTGACTTTCTGTCATCCCCTTTTCCGTGCTTCACTCGAGCCTGAGTCGTTTCTCCACTGGTGCCCGCAAAAAGGACGTGAATCGTGAGAGATGCCAATTTGTTGGTGACTCCAATCTCTCGTTGACCGGATCAGAGCAATTAGAAAATGGAAAAAGGAAATGAAACAGGGCATCGAGGGCCAGTCTAGGCGTTTGCTGCTGCTGGCGTCGAGGCACTAGTTCCTAACGCACGCCGTACGAAGTACCAGGGCCTTTCGGCACGAAATGGAAGAAAAATCAGCAGCGGTTCCTCGAGCGAAGCCAGACCCGATATGTCGCATCGAGTGGCCCATGGACGTGAACCCCCTGGACACAGACGCTGATGGTGATGCGGTAATCTGCTCGGGACTGACTGCACTGGGCTGGACTAGACTAACTGACTGGGTCGCACTCGCTCTGATCTCTCCCAATAACCCGGTGGAGCAGTAATAGCAGTACAGTAGGCGAGAGTGAGGCATGGCACGGTGGATGGAGCCAAGGGGAGTAAGTAAATAATAAGTGAATTGAGGATTTCGAGGCGAGGTCGATATGGGGGGGTTGAAATGGAAGAGTTCAAGATCTCAAGATCAAAGTGATGTCAGAAAGGGAAGTGAGAAAGAACCCTCACATCGAGAATGGCAGGCTCCAATTCAGCCCAACGCAAAAATACTCTTCCTTCCTTCCATCCATCCTTCTTTCCTTCCTTCTCTCGCCTGAGTGAGTGTGTGGTGCAACAGTACTGTAATGGTGGTCGACCTCGGAATCGAGCTCCTTCTCTTTCTGCATCCCTCGTCAAAATACAATACCATACCATACCATACCCGTACCGCACCATACAATCATTCAACACTTCTCGAATTGATCCTGACCTGATTGAACCGGTCCATTTTCTCCCTTCTTGTCTCTCCATCCGTCTCTCGTCTCTCGTCAAGTTCAATGACCGCGAGATAATTCCCGATACCTTTCTCACCTCCTTCATTTCGACTACGATACCCCCCTTGAAGACCCATTACTCGACATTTTACTCGAGCCACTCCCGTCCCCCATCTCCGGTCCTCCCATCTGCATCCACCACCACCATCAGATCTTCCTCCACTCTCCGACAGAAAAAAAAAGTCTCTGCCCTCACTCGTGTTTCTCCTGCACCTGCACGCGCTGTTCTTTCCGCTAGAATGGTCTTCCGTACCCGGTCCAATCCCAACCTCAAATCCTAATCTACCACCGAACGTGCTACGACGGCTACGGTTGCGCCGACGCACCTCTCCACTTCCACTTTTACACTTTCTCCTCCTCACCCTCACACTTTTTCCCTTCCTCCTCTCTTCTGCTGCCATACCTCTGACCACCGAGATCCATTGATCACACGTTCGTCGTTCACACAACACTTACCCGTCGTTTGTGTTGTTCGAGTTGAGGGCCGTTCCTTTCTCTCTAGCCACTGTGTTCCTATCTGGTTTTTCGTTTGGTAAGTCCTGAGACAAAATCTCCCCCAACTTAGGCCAAGCCGCATTCGCTGTCATGAGATTTTTCTCCTCGGTTACATCCTTCCCTCACTCTCTGCTGCGCGCAACTTCTCCAAAATAATCTACAGCCGGATCTCGTGGCCCGTTCAACGCAAGATGTACTAATAGTTTCTGCTCGTCTAGAGTCCGTCCTCTTTGCGACCTCCCTGTCGTATACGTTCCTTATAATCCTCGAATCAGCACTGCAGGCTCCAGTTTTCGAAGCATCTTTCGATCCGAAAATATGTCTTATTACGATAATCAACAATGGCAAGCCTCGGGCCAACCATCGTGGGAGCAGCAGACGCCGCCAGCACGATCTGGTATGTTGACATCGACCGGTTTTCATGGTTGGGGACAAGTGAATTGACAGGTGATGCAGGTGCCAGCTCAGCCGTTCCGCGCGAGGACTCAGCAGCCTTCCAGACACAATTAGAGGGTACGTGCAGATACAATCGATTCCTAGGATGCAAGCAGTGTTTGTGGCATATGCACAATTTTTCCGGCTGGTCGCATGCTGGTCTCTGGGACTCGAGATTTTGGCATGCGACTCGGGGACAGACTGTGCCTCAGCAGAAAAGGATCAAGACTAACATGTGTCCCAGAGGTCGACCGTGCTATGGATAACCTCATGAAGAGTGGAAAGATGTTCAATGTGCCCGGCCGTCGCGATTCTATGCCCTTGGTTGGTCCTCCAAGAGGAGCGTTTCCGGAACAATTCGGTAGGTCCGTCGTCAACAGAAAATGTTTCATGACTGAATAGATCATAGATCCACGCATGAGCGCCGGTCCTCCACGACACCACTCAGTCAGCGACTTCGGCGGTGGTGATGCGCGTTCCTTTTCAGGGTCGAATCTCCAGAGCTTTTATGCCAGTCAACGACACCAGCCCTCGCGTGGCGCAAATGAGGCAGAACAAGTGATGCAGGCAAAGAGACGGATGGCAGCACAACGAGAGCGAGAGCTGCGCAACTATCACCAAGAGCAGCAGTACAATCGAAGTAGGCCACCTCCTTCTGTATAACACAAATTCCGTACATCAATACCCAATCGTCTATACCCTGTACCCAGCGGTCCACCTATTTCAAAATATTGGTCGATTGCGTTCTCTTTCTCGCCTCCAGTGCTGTGTGTGATGAAGCAACTCCTTTTCGCAGACATTTACTTCCTCATATCATATCTACATTTACTGACTGGGATAAGGTATTGTAGCTGAGATTTCAACATTTGGTGGTAAACCTGATCGTACTATGAGCCCCGGCAGCGGTATGAGCGAAGAAGAGCGTCGTGAGCTCATTGCCCGTCAACGAAGCGCTTTGTATGGTGAAGGATCGGGCTTCTCCGACAATGGAGGTTTTGATGAGAACGGAACGCCTCGTCCAGGAACCCAGGGTTCTGGATCTCAGTCCGCAACAGGGATTCGCGGTCACTCTCCCTTGGCGTTCGATCACTACAACGCTCAGGGCCAGGGTGAGAACTCTAACCAACAAGCTTCGGCCGAGCCTCAATCAGCAACTGGCCAAGCTCCTGGACAACAACGTTCCCGTGCGAACAGCACCTCGTCTCCATCATCGAACCCAACAAGCAGCTTCAGCTTGTTTGAATCTGCTGCTCAGCAGTCGAGTCGTACATCAACTTCTTCTCCAGGCGGATCACCTCCACGCCAGAGTGGCAAAGCTCAGAACAGCTCTGTTGCCCCTATTGGCACCCGTCCTAGTGGTCAAGCTTCCAATCCGGCACTGAACAAACGCTCTACCACACCTTTGCCATCACCGCTGAGCTACGGCTTTGCTGCTAATGAGGAAGGTAAGGACGGACGCACCACCTCTGCAGCTTCAAACCCTAACTCGCAAGCACAGCATGAGGTAGGGCTTGGATGGGGTTCCAAGAGCGGTGTCTGGGGCAAGAGCAACCTCAACCAGCAAGCTTCCGTCTGGGGTTAAACATTGATTTTCATTGGACCGAATTCGAGGGTACAAAATGGGTGGATTCAAATATGGTGATGGTGTTCGGCTTGCAACTTGCATATACTGCTGATAGGATGGGGGTTGGCGTACTGTCGGACCTTTCGCGACGAACACGAGCTTTCCTCGACTGACGACATCCCCTCCTCTCAAATGTATTCGATCGCCTCGAGGACTCGTCTGTTCGTTTGCGTATGGTCGTTGGGTTTTTATTTATGGGTTTTGCAGGTTGTTGTTTTCTTTGCTTGCATTGGTGGAGTGCTGGGTCGTTTTATCTTGCTGGATATCCGATGCTCTGCTCATCAATTTCTCTCTTGGGTGTCTGTTCGGTGGTTGGGGGGAGTCAGTCCTTCCGTCTCATTCCAATTACGTCTGGTCAAGGTGTCATACTCAGTTTGACAGCAAACTTCGCGAGGATTCGAACGCAAGTTCCGAGGGAAAATGGATGGAAAGAATCGGAGGATAAAAAGTCCGTTGAGCGCGCGTGTGTGGGATGGATCAAGCATATCTGGCAGGCGTGGTCTTTCGCTTTTTCTCCCTACTTGTCTTTGATTTTTTTGATTGCTGGCATTGCGATCTGGGGTGGTCGGGATGGTGGTTTTTCGGCTGGGATGGGTTCTCAATGGGTACACGGGATTTTCTTTTGCTTTGAGCTTAAGTTTGCATGATGGAAGATGGGAGAAAAGGGGATGCTGTGAGATGAGAGAGTGTGTAATTAGGGCTATGGCTATGGGGCTACTACAACTACAAATCGGTAATAATGGAATGGAATGAATGGTTGGCGGCGTCCAAATTTGTGTCTTAATATGCTTGTGATACGACGGCAAGATGTGAGGGTAAGTTATGCGGTGAAGATTTTGAGACTTCACTTGACTATTCTTGGTGACAATTTTGTCGTGGACAATCGAATCTATTGTGAAAATAATTGATAGCAAAGCATGGATCAAGCGTGTACGACTCTCTCCTACCGAGTCCTTGAGCACAAAGATACACTTGGTAGGAATCGTAAATCATTTGCTGGATCCGGCACCTTGAGTACCGAAGACAGATGGGTATTGAGGTTAATCCAGATCCAGGGGTGTAGTTGTGGTGTTATTATAGCTAGGCTTCTTACCTAGGTAATCTTCTCAGGAAATTACTCACTCATGAACATCGAACTTTGGGAATTCAAATCCAGCAGAAGACTTCCTTCCAGAATTCTAGCTCCAAAACCCTTCAAACCGGTGAACAAACAAAAAATCCACCTCAGCCTCGCATACCCTAGGCAGAATCCAGCCCCTTCCCAACTCCCTAAGCGAGCTAGGCATCTCGACGACCAAACAAACAGGCTACAGCCTCGTCCTTCTTTTTTCCTTTGAGGCTCGGGCTCGCTCGTGATTCACAGCCTGTGTATTGGCTTGAGTCAGACCTGGTTGTTTGTTAGCACTCACCGAAGCCGAAACCTATAAATTGATTTCTTTCAGTGAGCCGCGATTTTCTTTCTTTCTACGTACATATGTTGAGAGGTCCCCGACGATTTTTGGATTTGTCTTGGAAGGGATATCAACAATTAAACCAAACGAATTTGATAAGGAAGATGGCTACCTTTAAGATCACGGAGAAGGGAATGGATGTCGAGGTTAAACTAGTCGAGGACTTGACGAAGGAGGAATTACTTGAGTTCCCAGCTTTCAAGGTATCTACCATTTCGCCCTCAGCCTCGTGACTTCATTCATGAAGATATACCTCCCAACCAACCAACTAACACCCTCTAGAACTGGCTCACCCGCCTCACCCACTCCCTCTCCCTCCAAGAATCCAACCCCTCTCACCCCTTCCACAAATCCCCCTATGCCCTCAAATCACTCACAATCCAATCCTTCACCCGCTTCCCGCACCCCACCCCGCGCCTCGGCTTCCTCTCCCTAACCGCCTCCCTCCTCAACACCAAAAACGAGTCCCTCCCCGGCTCCATCTTCCTCCGCGGCCCCTCCGTCGGCATGCTCTGCCTGCTCTCTCCGCGCGACAACCCCGCCGAAAAATGGGCCATCATGACCATCCAAGCGCGGCCCGCGGCCGGGTCCCTGGCCTTCTGTGAACTGCCGGCCGGGATGGTGGATGGAGGGGGCACGTTTGCGGGGGCGGCGGCGAAGGAGATTAAGGAGGAGGTGGGGTTTGTGATTGAGGAGAGGGACTTGGTTAATTTGAGTGAGTTGGCGGGGCGGATGGGGGGAGCGGTGGGGAGGGGGGAGGAGGGGCTCGAGTGGGCGATGTGGCCGAGTGCTGGGGGGTGCGATGAGTTTATTCCGTTGTTTTTATGTGAGAAGAGGGTTGAGAGGGCGGATTTGGAGACGTGGACGGGGCGGTTGACGGGGTTGAGGGATGAGGGGGAGAAGGTATGTTTCTTTTTTGCTTTCTGAGTGGTTGAGGGTGGGAGTGCTTTGAGTGAAGTGTGAAATGCTAACAGAGAAGTAGATCACTTTGAAGTTGGTTAAGTTAGAAGATCTATGGTGGGATGGAGCACGGGATGCGAAGGCGTTGGGAGCTTTGGCTTTGTATGATGGTTTGAAGCGGAGTGGAAAGTTATGAGTGGCAGAATAGACTAGATTTGCTTATTGCGTTGGATTTAGCAATTCGATGCTTCTATGATTTCATGCCAATCATAAGCCTTCGTGGAACGTTCGCTAGTATCTATCACAGATCATAACTTCCACCTCTTGGCCAGCTCAAATCCCTCTGCAATCGTAGCAACACGTGCATCCATAGCGTAGCCCTGAGCCTCCAACTTCTTCAATTCGGGGTAGAAGTCCTTCAAGGGAATTGTGAAGACTTCGATGAATTCATTTTCTTCTAGTTCGGGCTTTGGATTTTGGTTCTCGGGTAGAGAGAGGTCGATGGTTACGTGAATCATTCGTAGATTCGTGTTGCAGAAACCGGGATCTAAACAATAGATAATCGTTAGTAGGGTAGTTATGTAAAAATGGAGACGGAAGTTGGTAAATCTATTGTAATATGGGAAGACCAACTGGAGAACGAACCATTGAACATAACCTTTATGAGATGTCAAAGTCAGCTTGTCGCTTGTATATACTTATGGCAGTCGAGCACTCACAGGTGTAGTTTCAGAAACAACTCCGACATAACCAGTCTCCTCCTTCAACTCCCTAACAGCAGCTTGTTCAGGTGTCTCCCCAGCATCCACAAGACCAGCCGGGACCTCAATCGTAACAGCGTTAATGGGAGGCCTAAACTGTTTCTGCAGAATGATTTCGGGACCTATACACAGCCACTTCTCAGTTTCCTCCTCTTCTAACTTATAAAAGAGGTATATTTACCAGTCGGCTTATCGAGAATAGCAACTATACCCACGCCATCGACTTCAGAGTTCTTGGGACGTGTAGGTCGTTCGGCATGCTCCCATGTTCGCTCCTTGCCTTGGGGATCGGTGTAGGTTGTTCTGTGGAAGGAGAGGTCAGCGGGGTGTTTGCTGACATTTCGAGATAGCGGGTACGGACAGGATGAGGCGGGTCCATCGTGCGTCTTTGGTGTCCTGTTGTTGCGGCTGTTAGCAGGAGTATATGGATGGAGGGGTAATTGAGGGGTAGCTGTGGAAAGAGAAGAATGTACGAACAAGAGGCTCCTTCTTTAGGATCTTTGCATCTGCGGGAGATATTGTGTTGGACATTTTGAAGTCTATGATTTTGCGAGTTGTGGTTCTCGTGGAATTCGTTGGTGGTAACAAGTCAAGAATGATGGAATTGACTCTGGATTGTCGCGACGCGTTGTTCCCGATTCGGCAGCCCCACCCGAAACGTCAAATTGCTTGCTCTTCTTCAACTCTTCGAAAATTTATATTGAAGCACAAATCTGCGTTGGACGAGACTGTAGTGCAGACTCTGTTGATACTGCTCAAGCATCGCTCACAATTGTCTAATTTAACCAAGATTAACCGTATTGTTTGTTTTCTAAAACATCATCTTATAGGCAAACGGAGGTAGAAAACCCGTTGGGGGACTATCTCTTGTTTTAAAATTAATACCTAATACCCAATTTAGCTCTCACCATAAAAGCCAAGAAGACCAAGCAAAGCACCATGGCAGGGTACATATAATACTGTGGAGGGGCAAATCAGAGAATGGGATAGCGTGTCAAAAAAGCAGAGTACACAGTATTTTACTCTAAGTCACCCCAGTTTGCATACCTTACTCAATGTTTTCACTTAGGAGGGGCTTAGGGAGTTATGGAGATGGGTCTCTTATTCAGGAATCATGTCTTGGAAAATAATTGATACGGTATGATGATATCCATCTGCCATCAAAGATTCAATTGTCCTCAAGATATCAGTCATCCTCAGATACCACTCTCTCCTCCAGTCCCCCTTTCACATCATTAAGAGCCTCCAATAGCTCTCCAACATCCCAATTCTCGTCAAACTGCTCTACATTCTCCTCCTTGTCGTTCTGCTCTCCTCCGTGCAGTAGAGTTCCTTTATTGTAATCATCCTCGCTGAACTTGTCTCCTTTCTTGCTCTGTATTTTGATGAGTCGATACGCAAATACGCAATCCGTACTCTTTTTAAATGTCATCTTTTCCTTCTTTGTGTATACAACCTTTACTTCCGGTCCTACTTGGACCTACGGAAACAGAAGAGTTAGTTATGTTCTACTCTGAGTGTACTCCGAAAGAGACAACTGCAGATGCAAGTGCATCATTCAAGACACATTGTCTCGTGAGGGAATGAAACAATGAGCCTGTGGTTCCTACCGGTATCCCGATACTTGTAGTGTCCACCCCAGCCTTGCCCTCTCCTCCGTTGCTCTTCTTCTTCTCTGTCGTTACGCTGAATCCTCTTGCAATCTTGACCCCGGTTATCATATACACTGGCTTTTTCCAAAGACCTTCCTCAATATATGCTTTAACCTCGCTGTCTCCCAGGCTGTCGAAAATGTATTTTTTATTCGGTTGGAAGTGTTCCTGGGTGGCCGAACATTTAGTATTCTCTCTGACAACCATCCTAGGAGCAAAACAAGGGATCAAGATTTATAGCGCTGGACACATTGTATCACTAAAGTGCATCATCGCAGAAGAAATTCGAGCAAGGAAAACCGAGCCAGTGGATCATACCGTCTCGAGTCTTTTGCATTTATACACCTCCTCATCCTTCCTATCCCTGTTGTACCCCACATCGCCGCCTATTCCGCTAAATTGCAGGAAACTGAGCCATACTCCAACTTTCGCCTCAATCAACTTAGAGCGTTCAAGATGCCAGTCCTGTACAGTCGCTGTAGTAGGGGCTGGTGAAGGAGGTAGTTGCGAACCTCCGTTGAGAGGGCGAGTTGGCTTGGTCGAGTGTGCGATGATACTGCCGAGGCGCACAGAGGTGTCAGGAAGAATGTCCCAGTTGGGGGAAAGAAAATAGGTCTTTTTGTGAGCTGCCATCTGCAATTATTTCTTACTTGAGTGAAATTTGTAAAGATTGAGTTATTCGGGGCGAAGAGGTTCTCTCTCGACGGACGAGGCTGTACGGCTGAGATGCATCATGCAGGCTGCAGCCACTTTCAATCACCTGCACGATCTAACAGATGAGGACGGCTCAGTAGCCAGTCATCATGGTGGAACGATGGAATGTTTTCAGCTGCAAAAAAAGCAAAGTTCTGGATGTCCAAACCCTTGTATGACATTGCACGGAGTATGCTGTATGTAGTGGTTGTAACTACAAATGGAAATGGAAATGGAAGTTCTATATATCATATCTTAGTCCATGCAGTATGTTCCCCATTACCGTCTCGATCCCAGGGCCTCGAGAACCAAAGTATATCGAAGGTTGCAAGTCTGCGTACCCATCACGACCTCCTGCCATCAGACGAAAAGCTACCCGCATACCATCTGAAGATTGCAATTTTGGCCAACGGGTTTCAAATTCATGTTCGATGCTCTCTTTTCTAGAGAGATGTAGTCCAACCAGGTCGAGTACAGCTCCAGCGAGTCCAGCAGCTATTGCTGTTGCGCAGGACGTTCCAGATCTCCTTACTCGTATATCAGGACCCAAATGCTTGGGCCAGAAGGAGAGCACATCCACACCTGGGAGGCTGAAGTTGGCTGAACCATCAGTAGGATTGGCTGTGAAGGGTCCTTTGTTCCCAAACCCATCCGAAGCGTGAATACCGATTGCTTTTTTGGACCTAGCTGGCCACGCCGGGTGGGAAAGCCCTCCTCTATTGCCTGCTGCTGCAAGAATAATAGTATTCTTGGTGTTGGCATGGTCAACTGCGGATTCAATGATGTCGATATCATTTTCAAACCCAAATGACATGCTGATTATGTCCACTTGCCATTCATCGACAGCATGGCGGATCGCCTACGAGTGTCAGAGTAAATATGTTGACAGTGACTTGGAACTTACTTTGGCAATTCTTCTATTCAATAAGTCTGAAGGCGTGATAGTCTCCCTGTCGTCCTCCTTCTCGAATACTCGTGCAACATAGAGGTCCATTGTAGGAGCGACCTTCAATATCAATCCTGCGCAATGTGTGCCGTGCCCATCCTGATCAATATAGGCAGTCTCTTCAGCCCCTCCATTGACCCAATCTTTCCAACCCATTAGCCGATCTTCATTGGTTTCAAGAGCCGAAATTGGTAGGTCGATGCCGGTATCAAGTATCGCTATTTTGATGTTCCCGCGTCTGTTGATGATTTTGTTGAAAGGAGGAGACATTTTCTCTAGAGACGTCCTGTTCAGAAGAGGATGAATAGATTTGGCAAGCTCCAGGAGCCATTGGTCTGCATTTCTTGATTCCACTCATGTCAATCTTAGAATCTAATAATGTAGGGAAAGGCTTTCGTACATTTTATTATTGTTCCCATTATTCGAAGATGAAGATTCCGGCTGTGGAGAAGAGCCGTTGACATGTTTCTCTGTCACGGAGCTTAGCTTTGTATTACCAACTGCTGGGACCTGCAGATGTGGATCATCGGAGAAGACTCGAGACACCCAGTCGTCGTTCTCAACGTTATTTCCATACCCATCACGAAGAGTAAGTGCCAGTGGAGATACAATATCAGTGTAAACTTTCTGTCGAAACTCTTCTTCGTTCAGCGAGCTATCAATCGGGAGCTGTGGGGCCAGGCATGCTTTGATGGCGTTGTTATACTCTTTCATACTATTACCCTCACACTTCTCCAACATTACTAGGGCGGTTCCAAGGTCCCTGTCGATATTGTAAACCGCGTTTTTGTCGTTGTTCGGGTGGCCAGGTATTCTGAAGTTCTCTATGGGAGATGCAAGATAGATCTGGAGAAGCATCAACCCCAGCGCAAGAATGTGTGGGTAAGGATGCAGTCGATATCTAAATTCGCTAGATTCTTGTGGAACAATGGATGGACTTCCAGACTCTTCAAATCTGGTTGAGAGATACGGCCGGCTGATGTCCAAGGTGGAATCGCCAGAATAGAAGAAGGATATCATGTCGCAAGTCCAGGCGCAGGGTGACCATCGGCCGTCACAAAGTTGGAGGAAGGAGCTTGCCAATGAGTAAGCCAAAGTGCATCGTTTCAAAAGTCTCTTCTCCATTTCTTGTTTGAGCAGACCGTCTTTGAGAATCTGTTGTAGCGATATGAAGTGCTGAAGCCCTGAATTATTCCGCGGCAAGTCTGACGTCCAGTATAACTTCTCTTCTTGCACAATAATATCCAAGTGTCTTGGGGCATGTTTCGCTCCTTCCCAGATCAAATTGCCCAATCCTTGCTCTTTAATTTCCCAAAGTCCGGTGCGGGAGAGACTGTCCACAAGCCCATTTCGGTGTATGATATCGAATCTGATTGACTTAGTGTTTATTGAGTGTGCCAAAGCACCATTGGAGGTTCCAGCCGACAAAGTTGTAAGTTCCATTTCAGTTACTGTGCTTGACTGAACTGATGCCCTCAATGGAACATACTCATCCTTGTGAATCACCCAAATGCCACTCTCTTGCCACCTCGTTTCAGCTTCGGGGTCCGAAGATACCATGAACCAAACATCGAAATGTTCTTCAAGACCAGCAATTGGCTTGTTATACGATTTCAGTAGCAGGCGAGCATCCCTTTCTGCCATACTTTCGCCATCTAGCCAATGAGTGGTGAGAAGATTATGGACACTGTCCGCAATGGTTCTTCGTCTCTGTGAATAGGATCTTTGGATTTTACTTGACGGCGTGTTCGATACTTCGCTTGAGCTGTATTCAAAGGGTGCGGCAGCACGGCTGAGACCTCCAAGAGCTTCGTTGCAATTGCTTAAACGTCTTAAAATCTGCTCTCTCTTGCGACTACTTCGCTCTGTCAAGCTAATGCTCCTCATAAAATGCTCCAAAGACAGTTGTTTCTCTGAAAGATTGCGACTTTGGCGCGCGAGCATTTTCAATCGGGCATATTTTGTGTTTTGCGAGGGTGAAAACCAATGCTGAAGAGTGCCTGCAATCTAGCATTTATATCAGCCCAAACTCAAAGCTAATAGGGATCGATCAATTACTCCACCTCCCCGCAACACGTTGCAGCGACTTTCTAGAAGATCTAGCACTCGTACAATTGGCCGATTAGGAAGCTCAATACCTGCTTCCCATGTCTTCGTGAGACGAACTAACTCATTCAATTCGACCCAAAGGGCAGCAAAGAATGGCTCTTTTCGCCCTTCTTGACGGTCTAGTTCAGCTCGTGCCTTTATGGCCTCCTTGCTGGTACCGATATAAAAACTAGCGAGCCTCAAAAAGAGCGGCGCTACAGATGAGAGTAGCTCCCAATTGCGATCCATTTCGAGCTTGGTCTTGCATTGAACCTCGGTGTACAGGTGTTGTTAACAACTCAAGACTGATGACTTGGAGCACTAGAATTCAGTCAATCAGCATATGAAACGACAAGGCTGTTCAATGTCACGATTCAGAGGGAGTTTTACCTAGAATCCTCGAGCTGTTCTAGACAACAGATATCTGAGTCAGTTGCTACCCCATTCCTCAGCATCTTTTTTCCTTTGAACCATTCATGCTGGAGTTCAAAAGAATGTCAACGCTTTCAGCCGCAAATCGAGAATTGATGATTCAAAATCTCCGGTCCAGCCACAATCTTTCAGCTCATCACCTGACACGAACTGTTGCTCGTGGGGCCTGAAGAACCATTACTCCATCGTTATTACCGTCTCATTTCTCAACGAGATTATCGGAAACTCATGGCTGTATGGCTGGGACGGAGGGTACCATCGTCGCTCATGCAAATGCTTGCATCGAGCGATTCAACGAGCTGAGTATGCTGGAAGCTCGCGACGATCATTTCTGGGCGGAGGACCAAAATGCTCGATTCCATCTATGGACAATGAATATTGGCGTATTTGCATCAGGACATGCATCTTCGGATCATCGTCTTGAACAGCATTCCGAGGTCTTCCAGGTAGTGGGTCAACTACTGCAGGGAATAGAGGCAAATCTCAAACAACGTAAGATGATATGCCCCAATCAGTCCGTCCGAGACAATTCTCATCAGCCATCGTCTAGTAATCCTACAACACCAAGAGAATCCAGATAAAGCACCGAACACTGGAAATCCTGATATCGAGGAGGAAGAGGAGGTTTCATCCTCCAAATCTTCTTCACTCCACTCCACGACTAGTTCAAGCGATTGCCCTTCCAAGCCCGCAATAGATTCACGTGCGCAAATCGAAGTTACAATTCGTAGACTGAATACAGTTGCGAGGTCAATTCGTCATGCTGGCATGCAGAATAGGGATACCAAAGCTGAGGCATGGATTGAAAAGGATAATAAAGGGCATGACCTTACTTCTTTCTTTACCCACCTCGCAAGGGTGGTTATGGAGTATAAATTCCCGGATGCAAGTCCGAGCATGCGTCTACGACTTGCACAGTCTGAGGCTCAACGACGAAACCGAATTGCCTATACCCGAAGACATCAACAGAAATTGGATAAGAAGCCGCCGTTGGCAAGGAAGCAAGAAGTTACACCCGCCTCCTTCATATCAGGGAAGAAGATGTCACTGCCAGCACCATCGCTCATTTCGGTCTCCAAACGATCGAATTCAGGGGCAGTCACTGTAACATCCGCTACTTCCGCAACACAAGCTGATAATGGATTCATTCCAATGCCAACGTTCTCCGCTAAGGGTTCTTCGCGAGCGTCTACAGTAATCTCGGGGACGTCTTTCAAGGGAGGAGACCTTATCATACCGGATCCTCCAGATGTCACCAATAAAGAGCATTTTCAATGTCCATATTGTGCGGAAATTTGCCCCGCAAACGAGGCTGCAGGGACTCGTTGGAGGTATATCCTGAGAGTCTCTGGTACATTCTTTTTGGCACTAATATCAAGAGTAGGCACCATCTCATGAGAGATCTGAGACCCTATATTTGTACCTTCGAACCCTGCTCGTCGCCAACAACAGCTTTCCGTACAATAAATGACTGGGTTCTTCACATACAACAGGACCATCCACTCACAAACTGGCTCTGCGCCGCACCAATCCATGGACCTCAAACATTTGACACTCAAGCCTTGTATGAAGAACATATGCTTGAGGAACATGCTGGAACTTTCTTGAGAGAAGAACTGCCGGGTCTTGCACGCCTAAGTCTTCGATCCACAGTCCAAGTTTTCAAAGCGTGTCCCTTCTGTACTTTTATTCCTGAAGGGGACGGCGATAATCAATCTGCAATCTTGCCAGATTCAGCGCAAATAAACATCCAGAAGCACGTCGCATCGCATTTAGAATCATTGTCCTTGCTCTCACTCCACTGGCTGAACGAGGACAAAGACAGCAGTAGTGTAGAGGATTCTTCCATCAAAGTGAGAGCCGACTTGCTTCGCAAGTCTGAACCTCCGCCTATATTTCACGATCCTCCTGTTCCTGATGTAGCATTCCTCTATTCCTTTGATCTTGACTGGAAGGAACCTCCACCTGTTTTCGAGAGATTGCCGCATGATCCTGCATGGGTCTCTAGGTATGGAGCTGATGAGAATCAAAATCCTCCTCGACTTACATACGAATGGGGATTCCGTTGGAAAGACAATATACCCCCATATGAAGGCCATGAGAATGACAAGAACTTGGTCTCCTTTCCAGATCACACCCTCGATAGTATCGAGCCAACAAATTCTCCCCCGCATTCATCGATGCCATCACAAGCATCCTCAGAGGACAGACATCCAACTACATGGGCTACTCGAATACGAAGCATACGCCGCATGTTTTCTAGGACGCCAGAGAGAAATGCTAATCCTCTTGACCAGCCCACTCCCCGACCTTTGTACAAGGACGCAACCTCAGACTTGGTGTCTCGACCTAATCGGGAAGATGATTTTATCACATCAACTGAATACTCTCGCAGACCACTGGACTACTCACTATCTCCACCTAGTCCGGAAAATGATGTTCCAGAGCTCAGATTCTCCCGTACCTCAAGCAATGATGGAAATGACAGCAGTGACATCCCAAGGATCCGAGTAATTACAAGTTCTCCAAGCCCCTCTTTTCATAGTTATGACGCCTCTGAACGCGGACAGATAACCTCGGGTTCATTTGATACCGCAGCTCACGTGGACTTCAGCAATTTCTCGTCGGCAGGAGGTCTGCTTGAATCAACGACATCGCATGACTCCGAAACTAGCGACCAATCACCCCCTACTCTGGAGGATCAATTATGGGATTGCCGTATAGAATGGCCTCCGCAACAGAATACATATTTCGTCCCTATTGATGAGATGAAACGACTTGTTACCTTGTCTTCAATCACGATGGAGCTCCAAAGAAGAGGCACAATCCCTGATAGGCTTAATCAATCAGACGCAGTTGAATTTACACAACGGATCCTAGCGACTGCCCTTCGACTCTTCGCTATCTTAACAGTCATTGGCAAATCCGACGCTATACTCGACTTTCTTGAAGAAGGTTTGGGAGATGATGACTTACCATTTGTTCGAGTGGACCTGCAATTCGGAGGAAGTAATATGAGTTTAGGTAGCCGCCTTCGGCCAGAAATTCGTATGAAGTGCATATTGAGATGGACTCGAATGGAGATATCAAATTTTCTCCGAGATCAGTGGTGGATGCTTGCGCCGGTGTTTAAGTCTCCAGGTGGGAGAGTGAGACACTACATGTTGGATGACTTTTTCATTTTACCTTATATCCAAGATGAACAGCATTCAGGCCGAGCTCTCTCGGGTGGCTATAGCTCAGTATGGCTCGTTAAGATTCACCCTGCTCATCAAAAGTTCTATCCTGAGAACCACAATGTAAGTTATCATTCTTTGAGATTAGTCGATTGTTCTGACATTTGTGGCTTTTCAAAAGCATGTTAATCCACCCTTTGCGATCAAACGCCTGCACTCTACAAAGCAAGAAGATTTCAAACTCGAGGTAGAGATGTTGAAAGTATTTAGCAACGGCGATCACCCTCATCTCATCAGACTCTTAGCGACGTACGAGTACAAGGGATCATATTTTTTGATTTTCCCATGGGCCCAGGCAAATCTACGAGGGTACTGGGAAGCAAACCCTAACATGAAACGAACACCTTCCTCTTTGCTATGGGTTCTCCGCCAGTGTAGAGGCTTAAGTTCGGGTTTGCTACACATTCACGAATACCAGTCAACTTCTGGGCCGTTCCAAGACATTAACAAGCAGGAACATCTCTATGGACGTCATGGTGACATCAAACCGGAAAATATCCTCTTTTTAGCACTGGATGGAACCTCAGTTGTACCAGAAGAAAACTATGGAAACCTGGCACTAGCAGACTTTGGCTTGACAGAGTTTCATAACATCAAAACCCGGACTCGTAGTCTGACTCGAGGCACGACAACGCGTGGTACACCAACGTACGCACCACCGGAAGTTGCGTTGCGTCAAAAAATCTCCCGTGCATATGACATATGGAGCTTGGGATGCGTTTTTCTGGAATTGATATCCTGGGTCGTCTGCGGAACAGAAGGCCTTTGGCAATTCCAGGAAGGCCGTGGCGAAACTAACAGTGACGGTTTCATCAACGATGATGTCTTCTACACCATTGTGAGAAACCAGGAATGGCAGTCGGAGATCGAACACGCTACTACTGAAGAGCCCCGCCCCAGCACAGAAACTCCTGTTCTCCAGATACCCAAGCCCGACAGACACGCTATTGTGCGTACTAGTGTTCAGGAATGGATGAGAGACCTACATGAGAAGCCCGTAGCATCTCAATTTGTGCACGATTTTGTGGACTTGATTTCTCAATCAATGCTTGTCGTTGAACCCGCGGAGCGAAGTCGCATAGGACCGCTGGTGGGCAAACTTCAAGCTATGATCGATAAAGCAGAGGCAGATCCTTCATATCTCATCGAATCAGTACCCTATCCCCCAAGAGAAGTAGCGGCTTCGAACTTCATCGGGACGAGACCAAGTTCTCCAAGCCAGAAGGTCATATTCTCCGAGGGATGAATATGCAGGAGACCCTACCGGGGACATACCGAATCCTCTATAGTATAGGTTTCGATAACCATATTCATGGAGAAAGGAATAGAATCAGAATAGCGCATGGTATTGGTACTTGTGGCTGGACGTGGTGAAATGTCTGGAGTTGCCCAAAAGTCTGTGCATCGGAAGACGTAAAGGAAACCGATTTACACAAGAGACGTTTTCGAAGACTGTGCCAAAGCATACCTACTGTCAGAATTGAAATTCAAGATAGTATTGTTCCAGATCTTGTGGGACAATATAAGTGGGAGAAGTAAATTCTTCGAGATGGAAACGGAATCATGTCGTTCTGACACCGTTTCATGTGTCAATTCTTGAGTCACATTGAGGATTCAGCCCAATCATATTGTCCCACAAAGTTTGGAACAATACTATCTTTACATTCTAGTTTCTGCGCTATTTTGATGGAGAGTACTCGTCAGTGCCTTCGAATACAAGTGATGCTCACAGACCAACCCGCAACAGCAATCACTCACTTTCCGCAACCCCCCCACGCAATCGGTCTCGGATCCCCTTCCTTCGGCTGCGTGAATCCAACCATCAACTTCGATCCTGACTCTCTCAAATGGTCAACAAAAGGGACTCGAACTTGGGCTTGAGTGAGAGATTAGAATAATTGCTTTTGAACGTGTGGATAGTAGCACATTGGCAAGATAGGAATTCGAAAATGGACTGCGGCCAGAACGAGACGAGCTTATATCGTGTGGACTCTAGCGCGATGCGATAGCATCACTTCTATTCACCATAATACGGTCAAGCTTCGATTGCCATTTGAGCATGGGAATGATGCTTGTACAATACCTGTACTTTACTTCTAAGTGTGACAGCTCAAAAATGGTGTTTGTAGAAAGCTAGCCCCTCTACCCTCGATTCCCCTAAACAGTGCTTCAATTTCACATAATTGAATATCTGTTGTATTTTAGAAACAAGCATGCATTAAATCCGATATCATCGAAGGAGCGTTAAGATTTCAAACCAAAAAAGACCAATTGGAAACATCTTACCCTCCGGGCATGCCAAGCAATGTTGAATAATTTCGCTTGCCTCTCACCCAAGTGTCCAAACCTCGATACTGATTTAGCAACTATCATCAGTAACAATCGCTCTCCAGTTATCCGATTGTCCATCCGTACCAGAGAGCTCGGTACAAGCAGCATAGCACGTAACATACACCACCTACGCACATTGGACAATATTGTAAAAGCCCGGAAGCGTCTTTGTGACAGTATTCTTCTCGCTAAGCCCTACGTCAATTACTCGGCGGTCCAGCAAGCTGCGAACGCCCAATCTCTATAGCCTTTTGGTGTAACATCACTATATACTGAAGATGGTTGATAGCAATGTACAGCCTAGACTCGGTACGGAGGTACACAAGCCGCTTCTCCTGAAAAACATTTTGTGCTAATCGTCGGCTGTCAAAATGGTATCATCAGCCTTGGACCATACGCCGTAGAAAGCGTTGATCCCGATTGCTTTACCCAGAAATGGAAGTGGTAGTGATGTGGATGACTCCTAAGCTATGTACTTCTCTTGCGAAGACGAGTCCGAAATTCAAGTCCCGTTGACTTTGATACGCGCTTATTGCGCAATACGCGCAAATAGCGCGGATAGCGCAAATATCGCAAGACGTCCAAGCCTGCTGTACTGGGTTTCAGACTCCTTCTAAATACACTGTTTCCTCTCGTCTCAATTTTGAGATTCCTCGATTGTCGAAAAGGCGGGCCGGTTGACTAACCAATGTGGCACACAGGTACTGTTGATTCGAAAAGTAAAAGCAGAGTTGGTCCAGCTGAACGAAAAGCGAATCTCCTTCAATGCGGCAGCACAGAGCTAGCTGACTAAGTTTGGGGACAAGCACATGTCTAACATGTGTACAGAGCTACATTATGTCGATGATGGGCTCGTAGAGCCAAGTTATGGCAATCTAACTCCTCTGGGGATAGAAACCCCAAGGATAAGTCGTTGCAAAATGGAATGCAAGGCTCGTTTCAATCACAGCAGCATCTTGAGGGCAAAACTGTTTGATTTCAAACCATGCATATCAAGAGCTCTCATGTCTGCTTTGATGGGAATTACTTGTCAATCCTTACGCATACAAGTAGTACCAACTGTTTTCTCCCCCCAGTGCACACCCCCACTGATCGCAGCCCCTCCAATCTCTGACCAAAATCACCATGAAGTGTCATCACGCCCTTCCTTTTCCCTTCCAAATCTTGCCCGGAGTTTCGTCTTGAGAAGAGTTGTCCCCTGTATTAGCGACGCGAGTGCTCTCGTCTTCTTCATCAAGCGCTCTCTCACCATCGCTGCTGGGAGCCGTGACAGTATTGTTCTCGGCTTGGTTCCGAGCTGGTGTCAATGTATTGCTCCGACTTGCCCGAGGAGTGACTTCCGAGTGATTTCGTCTTTCAATGTCTCTCGGCTGAGCAACGGGTTGAGGTGGAAGTCTTTTGTTCCGTGGCAGCTCCTGCGCTTCACCTTGTGGGTGCGTTATTCTCCATTGAAGACTTGGCTGGGTCGATTGCTTCTTCCCTCGCTTCAGAGCCGAGTCAGCCGTGAGAGCTCCCCGAGTTTCCGGGTCGACAGGAGGCGCAGAGGAACTGGCTTCCCCCAAACGATGTCCAGGGCCTCGATCTACATCCTGGATGAGAGGAGGTGGCGACTCAACGAGTCCTCTAGGTATCGCCAACCAATCTTGCACCGCGGCCATTGACCCGCCATCCGATAATCTCCTTCCGGACGAGACCTCCCAGTACCTCAATACCATTCCCATGGTATCTAATTCATGAGTTTCGACGTACTCTTTCCTCTGAATTATTTCCAATTTCGGGATGGCCCTCCGGATCAGGTCGTGGGTTTGCATCAATGCCAGACTTTCTTGTAATGCTTTTCTCATTTCCTCGTCGGACTCTTGGTCAAGGTTCTCGTCACGCTCTCTCCAATCCGTGCTATCGTCTTGCTGCATTGTCTCCCAGCTGGGTCTCCCCACAGGAGAATTGGCTCGAATAGGCTCGTCTGCCTCTTCGAAATCTTGGGTTGTGAGCTCTGGCTCTGGTAGTGGATCATTGCAATTGCATCGTTGGCACTTCAACCGCAACTTTTCGAAATTATGTTGATTGATACACATGTGGGCATACATGTTTCTCATATAGTCATCGATGCAAGCTGGGATATTGTCCATGTTGGAGGGCAGTGGCGGGGGTAGTTCGAAGGGCTCAACGACCTCCAATGGCGATTGGTTGACGGCCACATTGACGTGCTTGTTCTTCTCCGAGCGACAAGCGCAGTCGGTTGAGGCATAACGGCCTTCGACATAATTGCTTGGACCATCTTCTGTAGGAGGAGCTTTGTGGATGTCCGAGCCCCTCGTGGCATTCGAGATCGCGGTTTTGCCTTTGTCGATTGACGAACGAGAGCCTGATGCAAAGTTGCTGTTGCCATCCTGTCCGGATCCCTTGCCGAGACCAGGAAGTTCTCGCACCGGAGTCAAAGGGAGCATCGAAGAATTTCGCGGTTTGGTGATTTCATTGCTCGAACTTTCGCCTCCTGTTCTCTGCACAGTGTTGTTAGTAAAGTTTCCTCTAGATCTTGTGGTAGATCTTACCATCATTTCATCATTGCTTTGAGACTCCTCGAGGCCAGTGTTCATCTCTCCGGACTCATCATCCTCCGCCAGGTTACTTGAAATCTTCCGACCCCTGAACTTTCGTACTGTCTTCCCGGAGCTCAATGCTTTTTCTTCTCTCTTTTTCTGGGTTGGTCCTCCGCCAAGTCCGTCAACGCTCTCCAAATCTCCCAGCTTGCGAGCATCCTCAATACCCATCTCCTCTTCATTCTCCTTTATCTCTTCCTCATCGTTCTCGCGATCTTGCTGGCTTTGAGGGGTAGGTTCGAGAACATCATCCGTGCGTTGGTGTTCTGTGCTTGCGGAAGCATTGCCCTGTGTCTTTTGGGGAACGCCAACCTCTGGCACAGGATGCTTACTATTTTCTTCGTACATCTCGAGTATGTTGAGGACTTTTCGTAAAGGAGAAGCCTCGTCGGCTGCCGGGTCGATCAGATCTGGAATTGAATCCATAATCTTTGATCATGAGAGATGTGCAATATGAAGGTACTTTCTCAGCTTAAGTACTTCCTAGATTGCAGCTAGTAAGCTATCTACAAAGACCTTTTGCGTCTAAGAGATTGAGATCTGCCTATCTGTGTATCTTTGTCTGCTGAAAGTGAGTAGTGATATTCTAGTGGATAATTGTCATTTTTGCTCAAACGGATTCTTGAAAGACTTTTCGCAGTGTATCCAAAGAGCTTTCTTATTTTCTGTTCTGCTTTTGTGTGAGCATACCTCCTAAAGATCTTCTTGAATGATCTTTTATGTCTTCTTAGACATGTCTTTGAAGATCGTTCTCAACAGCTGAAAGCCAGTAACATTAGCTACAAGAACCTCCCTGGGATACTTTATTCGGCAATTCGCCGTTCGATTTTTCTGTTCATAATACCCAAAAATACGCAGAGCATTCAACTCCTGCATGAAAATGCAAAAGAGATCTCCTTGACTTGACCAATGTCAATCCTGGCCCTTTCGATGTCCATGTGCAGCAGCATAGCGGAAACATTCTTTTTTGTCTACACGTATGAAAGAGGCTCGGACGCAAAGGACAAGGAAAGGGGTTTGTCCAGATGTAAAATCTGCGCAGGAATCTGAAGAAGCTGTGATTGGCAAATGCTGGTCAGTCTGGTGATGGTGAAAGAGAAAAGCAGATTTTGCTGTCATCTTCCAACAGCCCCTGAATCCTCGCTTCAATAGGGGCTTCTTCGCCTAAAATCAACCATGCATAGTGACGTAGCCACTATTCACATTTGAGCTCCAACCTTCAGCTCTCTTCCAAACAACAAACACCACAGTTTTCACCTCACCATGTCTCCCTCAAGAGGATCCTCTTCACCTGCCGCAGCGACTGCGGATCTAGAATCATCTTCCGAAGCCTCAACCCAAGCACGCGCCCAAGTCCGCTCCTCCTCCGCCCTCGCATCAGCGAAAACAAACCTCGGATACCTTTTCGCGCCCGACAATCCCAATTCTCCACGTCCCGCACATCGACGGACTCGCGCTCTGCTTCGCTCGTTGCGCTACATTGGTATATTTGTCTTCTGGCGGGTGGTGAGATATGCGAAGTATGCGTTGGTAGGAAGTCTTGTGGCTGCGGTTGGAGCGACGGCTTTTGGAGGGTTCGTGAGTGGCGTGGGATGGATTCTGGCTCCTCCTACGTTGGTGGGGAGTTTGGGATTGGGTGCTGTGTGGGCCATGGGGAAATGGGGATTTAGGAAGATGAGGGTTGGTGAGAAGGTTGGTGGGGCGGCGGAGTATGAGATCAAAGAAGCGCGAGAAGGAGTGAGACAAGATGGGCAGTGGAGAGATATACAAGGGCCCAGAGCAGTACCATGGTGATGGTCTGATAGATTATAGATTTCTAGAAGCTTTCAATACCAAAATCTGGAACTCCATGTCTTGTTCAATGGACAGGATCGCCAAGTCGATGCGACTATTAGAATGATCATCCCTAGTGGGGCACTGTTCTTTTACACATGACAAAATCTGGTTTACGTGCAAGCTCTTCTTTCTCGCGGCACCTCGTTTCTTTTCTGGCAATTCACATCCTTCAGTATACCCCCATATTCTGTAGCTATCTCCTCCAGTCAAGGAGATTTGAAAGGCGTTCCCCTTTCCAAACATGAGTAACAATATCCAAATTACAAACCAGTCATAGTCCTGTCAAATATTTGCCCTTATACTCAATTCAATCCTAGCGCCGGTTATGCTTTGCCTCCTTCTCAAGTTGCCACCACATGAATTCACCTCATACGAGCCCGACGAACCTCTTTCTCCACCAACTCTCCTTGCATAAGTGCGTCCGCCATCCCCCAACCCTGTCTGCCGTTTCTTTTCTTGCAACACACCCTCCACCTCCTCCAAAATATCATCGGTATGCCTCCACCAACCACCACTCGTTTTGATACCCTCCGCTTTCCCATAGTCCATCTGCCAGCATACCAATTTCTGCCTAGCTCGATCTGCCAGATCAAATCTGCAGGTACGGCACTTCCAACCCGTTTGGCTCAATTGGTCGATCGTGAAGACATGTCTCGGTCTGGCATCTGGACAGCAAATTTTGAGCAAGTATGGATTTGGGACTGTGATCCTCAAATCTACGGATTCCGTAGGGTGGTGGGATTGAGTATCTGACATGTCGGAATTTGTGCGAGGATTCAGTTGGCTTTTGGTAAAGTAATTGGAGCTTGCACTTTGAAGTCCTTTTGATGTTGATGAAGGAAAGAAAGAAGGTCTTTGTGGAATCGAAGGGTTTATAGAGGTCGGGAACGGAGTTTTTGAATCAGTAGGTTTTATGTTTGTGAATGTATTCCTAACACGACAATATTCGAAAATCCTACCGCGAAATAGTCCCTAGTAGAATTTCTTCTCCAACTAAGTTCAATAGCAGGTTTCATGAAAAGCCTCATCGCACACTTAGTACTCACGCCTGGCAACTTCGAGCTACCAAAGTGAGAGAGCAAAAATCTGCATTTGGCTATTGTACAAAAGGTTTGCTGTATTCAGCAGCTAGAATGTACCCTACAAACACAAAGGAGACTCTAGCGCGCTCGAACCTTCCTCCTACTCACAGACGCAGCACTCACCACATTTCCTCAACACCCACAACCACTCAATGACTCCTCCAATCACTCGCACCCGGATTCGCCACAGCATTTCGACTCATCTTCGAAGCCCGTCTCTTCGAAGCTGGTCTCACCTCGGCCATCTTTCCAACGACAACCTCTTCCTCTTGAACTGGCGACGAGGTCGGTTCGGCTTCCTTGCCTGTGACTGACTTGACTTCAGCCGTAGTGACCGACGTGTTGGAATCCATCGTAACGCTTGAGCCAGCACTGTCTCCTGAGTTTCGACGGACAGGAGCCATCGAGAGGTCGATGTTCCAATGCAGTTCGATGAGGTGTGTGGTTAGATCGTCGTGATTCTTGAATTCTTGACCACAGTCTGTGATGGTACAACGGTAGTGAAGGTATTGAATCTTCTTGGGAGGCGTCATGAGTGATATAACGAATTCACTTTCTTTAAGCTCCGTATTCTTGAATTCTAGTGATGTGCTCGAAAGCTCTTTGCGTGGGTGTGCATGGTTTTCTTGGGTGACCTTATAGGGAATGATGTGGAGCAGTCCGGATCCCTTTTTCTGGTAGTCCATATTTGAATACTGGTTTCGTCGACTTTCTGGTAGAATCTGGTACCGGTACGGGAGAGCTAGAGAATATTTCGAGTCTCTGGAGCTTTCTTTTGAGTGTTGAGACAATGAATGTATGTGGAAGAATAACGGTGACTGGTCAAGTGATGGAGTTTGAAGAACGGTGGAGCTTGACTCGATTTCAGAACAAGAAAGCGCGAGCGACAAACTCAATGACACAATTCCCAAACTCAATCAGTCACCCAGCTTTCATTACTTCACTACCTTCTCAAAGAAGTCCATTCCAATTCTCACTATGTTTTGGCGGGTGACCTCTTCGCATTCTCTCGGCACCAGGATCATCGGAACGGCCTCAACTTCTTCCTCACCCTCCATCCTCTCAAGCCAGTCGCCATAGTCTCCCGTCAGCGGATGTCGGGAGTGCGCAAACTTCTCATGCTGAGCAACTCGGCCCAAGCTAGAAAAAATGTAATCGCATCTGCGCTTGAAGCACCAATATTTGCGATTTGGGTCCGAGAAGGGGAAACCGCGCTGGAAAGCATGCTTGCGCTCCCAGACGCTGTAAAGTTCTGATCGCGGGAGAAACAGGTGAGGAAACATCTGGACTGAAAGTGGTCGAGAAAGTGTTTCCGAGAGTAGTCGTCGACCTGAAGATATTGCGGAAGGGGTGAAGAAGTTGGCTTTGTACAAAAAGCCCACAAAGAAAAGGAAGCAAAGACGGTTTGGACTTGAGCTGTAAAAGACAATGCTTTGACGCATAAGTGAATCATTGTTCGACCATAATTCCCCGATCATGAAAACTCGTTTGTGAATCAAACCCTCAACTCCGTCCATGACCGCCAACCCAATCGCCCGGAATGCATACCCAAACCATCACCCATAGTCCTCCCGACAAAGATTTAATTCTTTATCGAGCAGCATCGTCCTTCAATGCCTCTCCACCAGCCTGCCTCCTAATGTCCATTAACGTGCGCTCTCATAAAACGACACCACATACCCAAAAGCCGCTTCTCTTGCCAATTCAATCTCCTCAAAAGATAGTAACACGTACCCAAAAGCTTCCTCCTTCGCCTTATCAACCTCCGAGTTGACCTTGTCCAGCTCACCACTCATACCCCAAAGAACTGCTTGCTTCTTGCTCGGACCCAGTTTCCCTGCCGCAATCAATCCAACGCCAATAACGCCAGCTCCTAGCCACAGTGCTCGCTTTCTCAAGACGCCGCTCATGTTAACGAGATTCTTTCTGCGTTTCTCAGGTCGAGGTAGTTGATGTCTCGGTAAACTCGTGATGGAGGGAATGTACATCAACACTCTCACTCTAGGAGGAGGATGAATAGATGATTGTTTGTGGAAGAGGAAACGAAAATGAATTGGGGAAGAGTAGTAGTGGCGTTGCGGGGTGAATGGACATCATTTATGGTGGGGAATGTCACACAAGAAGAGTGGTGTGAGCGAAAGTAAGACCACTTCAGTAAATGCCGCGTTTGACCAGGCGAATACCGCATTACGCAGAATCCACTGGGACCACTTCAAATCTCATCTCTTGAAATCAATTCGCGAATAAAAGATACGAGCATGCACCAAGCAAGATAGAGAAGACTCTCAAAAGCAGAGAGAAGACAATCACGTGATAGGTTCTGTTCAACAGCCCGAGGGTTTACATACCTCATACAGCATACAGAACCTCCAAGAGTCCTTTTCCGTCCCCTAAGATGCATCTGATTTACAGGAATGAACACCAACCGATATACATCCCAGCCAAAAAGACCTTGTTAGTCGCCTGCTTAATCAATTCATCGACCTGACCTTCCACACCAAGTGGAACACTTTCTCCTGCTAGCAAACCCCGAATCTTCCTTTGAATACTGTCAAGTACACCTTGAGCAGTCTGCGGTACATTCGCCGATCCTTCCCTCTTCTTTTTGTCTGGCTTCTTGTTCAACAAGTCGAGCGTGGGGTCGTACACGAATGCCTCAAGAATAGTCATCAAGGTCTCCTCGTGCTGTCTTAAAAGCTTCAGTGTGAGCTCCGAGGACTTGCGGAACGGCCCCTCGTAGCCATATATTCCCATCGCATCGATCATGTTGTGTGTTAAGCGGAATGGCACACGTTCAGGTCTGACGAAGGTAAGACCCTTGTCGAAAAGGCAATTGAAATCGACATGGAAAGTTCCACCATTGCCTTCTTCGAAGAGAATATTCTCGCCATGACGATCACCCAGGCCAAGAATGGTTCCCACCATTGACATAACGGCACAAGAACGTGTATAGCGGAGTCGAGCTGCGAACCACGCTGAAGGTTCCGGGAACTGTTGGACAAACCAGCGATGGAACATAGGAGGAAATGTCCCAAGAACTTTTTCTGTAAAGAATGGCATCTTGTCGTCACTCTTGATAGCTTCATCGCAGTACATCTCTATCTCACGGTAATTTGGGACTATTCCCATAGTCTTGTACAATCCGAGGAGAATGTCTCGAAGGGTCTTCAAGCCATCTACCCACTCAATGAGTCCACACTCTTCGTTGAGAGGCGTAACAGCGTAAGTCTTGATGTACAGTTGTCGTCTACTAGACTCCGCATCGCGCTTCAACGATCGATTGATCATGCTGTTAAATTCCATCAAACGTTGGTCCTTTCGCAAATCATCCTTAGGCTTACACATAAGCCTGTACAGCTTACCATCAGATCCGCGAGCCGTGAGTTTCCGAGGCTTCTGAAGAGAACTCAGAACCATGACTTCATCTTCGAAGCTGTCTATCGTGACAACGTCGCGTGTAAATGCTTGGTGCCGCGTCGTACTCTCCGTAAGAGTAGGCAGGGTAGCGGTCAAGACCCTCTCAACCGGAACGGCCAGTTCGCTTGGAAGACATGCTCTTTGATTGAAGCCCAGATCTTTTGTCAGACTTGCCCAAATCGTTCTGTTACCCTGAAACTCCCCAGCATTACAAGCCATCAAAAGTTGTTCACAAAGCCTCTCGCCATTTTTTATGAGGAGTTTCATGTCATGAGAACCTTTCGCTCTTTTGGAGTTGCGCAATCGAGTAAGAATGTTCCCGCCGCGTGCTTTTCGATCCGACTGGGTAGATGAGCAGACGGCAAGGAGACTCCAAAGGGCCTGTCGAGGATATGCTTCAATGACCTTCGCAATCATAAGTTGAAGGAATTTGAACACTTCTGTGTTATGATGAGCAATACGAGCCACTATCTGCGGCAAGGCTGTATAAAACATATACGCAGGCAATTTGTTGATATACTTGTCCCATCTTTGATGCACGTTATCCAAAGTCTTTCTTCGGGCTATTTCGATATTGGATATATACTCTTTCAGAGGCCCAGTCCTGATATCGCCTGACAATTTCAAGGGATTCCCAAGGTCGAGCCACAGTGTAAGAACTCGGGGCAGGGTCTGGTGGAGATATTTGGTACCATAGAGCATACTTCGCAGATAACTTTCGACAATTAATTTCGACAGTTCACCTGTCTGATATGTTTGTTTCTGCTGTTCGAAGGGGATGTCTTTTTCAGCCTCGAGAAGTTTGTTGTAGTGGCGTCCAAGATAGTAATGGCCTTTCTCCCAATGAAGAAAGGTCCTCGAAGCAAGCTGATATTGAGTGCGTAAGGCCGTGGCGTTTGTCTGACCAGCACTGTCTAACCACTTTGCAAGAAGCAGATGTGCTCTTGCAGTCAAAAGGTTTTGCTGCTGTTCAGAATCCATATTGGTGAAACTCGTCGCATGGATGCTCTTGTTGTGAGACATGAATGCATTACCAGCGATGGCGCCTTGTAGACTCTGGATCGCTTTCCGGTGTTGACCTTCCTTCCATAGAAGTCGGGCATGTTCAATAGTTGCTGACTCGTCTCCCAATCGCGCAGCGTGGAGCACAGCATTGAATGACTGATGAACAGCGTTCCCTTTTCTTGCGAGTCGCGCGGTAGTAAGCCACGTGGAAGCAATCTCTCCATTGTTGAAACTTGGGCTGGATATCATTAGCATGATTATAGTAGATATTTTGCATGACAAACCTAGACAACTGCATGGCGGCTCGACGGATTCCGAGGAGATATTGCTTGTCACTTAAATACGACCCGATAACCTCAAGTCGACGATCCAGCGACTCGTGAAGCTTGGTGCGGTCTGGCTCCGTATCGTCTGTACTAGGTTTAGCATTCGTGCCAGTCTGAACGTTTGTGCCAGGTGTGCTGTCCATTCCCGCAATCATTTCAAGTTCAGTAAGCACATGCAACTTGAGCATATCATCATGACAAGCACTGAATGACGATGTAGATGACCGTGACATTGAGCTCGTGATGCGATTTCGCAGGAGGCCAAGCTTTTTGTTGAAACCTGCGGTGTCCTCTTTCTGCAAATCCAACAGCACATTTCCGATACTGACACTGAAATTTTCTGCGGTTAGGTCTTTGTGCATCACGACATACTTTTCCAATGCAGCCCACTTTCCAGTTGCCCACGATGCCTCGGTGGCAAAGCCAAGAAGTTTAGACATAGCTTGTTTTTTTGACAGAACTTTCTTTTTCAAGTCAATTACTACCTCCGTGTCTGTCTCGTTCGTGTTGCCTGAGTCGGTTGAAACGAATGGAGAGATAGGGTCGACTTTACACATCGCGTCGACATAGTTGAGCAAAACATCTAAAGAAAACCGATTAGTGGTGTGCCGACACTAGGCTGCCTCACTTACCTAGTTGTCCAGACTCTCTCAAACAAGTCAGCAGATTCAATTGTACTTCGACATCGTCAGGCTTTTCGGCTAGCTGGATCTCATACCAACTTTGAGCAGCCGACCACCGCCCAGCCTTTCGGTGACCTAGGATTTGCTGGTTGATATCTACAACTTGCAGATGTGCAGATATTCCTTCGATCCCGTCTGGTTCGTCGATTTGAGTGTATATCTCCTGCAAACGCTCGAGCAATGCGGTATCTTCGTTTGGACGTATGCCAGCCTTCTTGACATTCCGTATGTGTTGTTCCCAATAGAATAGCGCACGTGAGTAGGACTTGCATTCTAGAGCACGAGCAGAGATGATTTCTGGGGGGATCATTTCCACAACAGAATTAATCTTTGCAATGTCAAGTTCTGCAGAGTCTTGTCCCCTGGATTGACTGGCTTTGATCTGCCGCTCCTGAGTCCATTTTGCTAGATAGTCTAGGATACGAAATACTGCCTAGTACTGGTTAGAACAAGATCATATAAGTACTTAATAGACATACCTCAACACACAGCTTCACATTATCCTGAAGCTTGGCTGGTGGTTCATACTTTAGGATGTTAAGCAAATCTTGCCCTATTTCTTGCCTGTTTTCGTCCGTTCCTTCAATGATAACGTAGAGTACAAGGTATGGGAGAAGAAAGTTAGCAATAGAGACTTCCCGGGGTCGAATAGCCCGTCTCAACGGCGGAAAAAGAATCTTCGTATTGTGACAACTCTGCTTCTGTAGAAGGTCAAGGACAAAAGCTCTGAGCCATGTACTGAACAAGCTAGAGGTCGGCTGCTCTGGTCGAAAAATGGGATATTCGTATACAGTTGGGGCAATGTCTTTGAGTATGAACTTTGATGTGAGGAATGGTGTAAGTGTATTTTGCACACTTTGCGGTAATGCGAGCCATTTTTGATAGACATCGTTGGCCGCTGCTTCAGGTCGGACGTTTCTCATAACGTCTACGCAGACTTCTGCGAAGTCAGTCCCTCTGAGAAGCTCTTGCATGACCCATGAGAGAAATCCTTGATATTGTGTGTCTGTGGTAGACAGAAAGGCGGGGACGATTGCCTCCGCGAGGGTGAACAAGACAAAATTTGTTGTCTCAGAAGGATCCTCAAAGTTACTGATTACGACCATACTGCGTGGCGCTCGCACCGATTCGACCCTGTTCGGGTCGAGGCATCCAATCAGGCCAAGACACTCTGCAGCCAGGATTGAGATTTTCTCCTGCAAGCCATTAAATCTAACACACGAGTCCAAGACGGCTCGGACTAGCTGTCCAACAACGGCATCCGGCTGTTCGCTTGACGCGGAGGTTTGAAGAAATTCTTGATTTTGGCAAAGATATTTCTTCAGCTCATCTAAAGCCTGGGTAACCACTCCTGAGTTCTCATGGCCAAGTCTGCGACTGAAAATTGCAAATGCATTGGCTTTATCAGTTTTCGTTCTGAGAGCCTGGACCTGCTCCTCCAGAATTTTCAATTGTGGTATGTGAGAGAGGGAAGGCAGATTGACGATCGTGTTCCGCACAAGCCGAGATCTTTCCTTCAGTATATAGTCCAAGATTGCTGCGGCTTTGACTCGAGTGGGTGCGTCAAATTTGTCCCATCGTTGAATCACTGTTGTAAAAGTGCTTTCAAGCATGGTCTCCACATCTTCGTCTTCCATGTTTCGGAGCATTGCATTCCACGCCGAAAACGCAGCTGATTGCAGGCCTTCTTGAGAGAAAGCGGACTGGAGGATGGCACAGAGCTGGCATTCATGAATTAGTGAATCGACCAACAGAGTACAAGGCCAAGTTACCTGTGGACGTGCAATCCTCGTTTGTGCTTTTGCCATTTTCACCAATTCTTCAACTGCCTTAACCGAACGCCGCTTTTCAGTGACAGTTTGCTTCAAATCGGCATCGTTAACAACTTGGGAAAGATGTGCAACTAAGCCGAGGATGTGATAATCAAAGAAGCTACTAAGAGCATTAAATGCCTTGCCCTTGGTATGCTCAATAGTGTGCTCCGCCAAAAACTGCATGCCGAGACGAATCTGTATCTGTTAAATATTGTTGTTCTATGACAGGGGAAAGCAGGTGGATTATAGCATACCCTCGATCTCTTACTATCATCAGCCTCAGCAGCGGCCTTCAGAAGATGAAGGGCTTGCTCGCATGGTCCAATCCTTAGAAGTTGGTGGAAGTCGGCTCGCTTGAATTCTGAAGAGGCAAAACCAAGCAGAGACATGATGTATACCTCCATGTCCGTTACACTCTGTTGGAGTAGAAGTGCAAACACGGCCACTAAATTCTCGGGGCGCATGATAAGGTAAAAAATTTCCTCATTGGTGGCTTCCGAGATTCTTTTGATAACACCTACCTTCTTGCTCATGACAAGGTATGGAAGAGTATGTGATTGTGTGAGTCTCAAGAATTCAGTGACAGATATACCGAGAAGATCTGCCATCAGCTGCGATGTTTGCGGACGAACGAGAAGATTCGTTACAGCTTCAATGGCTACTACATTCCAAAATGGACTAAAAAGGCGTTCGACAGTCATGCCAGCGGATTTAGCCAAGCGGAGGATCTTGTAAAATGTGAGCTTAAATCGATCATATGAGCTGGAGACTGACCTCGTTGAATGCTGTTCCGGACACAATGCTGTTACTATGGCCCAAATACTTGACAAGTGCAAGTAGAACAAGACAAAACTCATCATCTTGTGTGATCCTATCCAGATTAGTTCAGATTCAAAAGACTCACGAATACTGCCTACCTTCCTAGTTGTCCCCAGGCAAGGACACAGGTCTCCTGCAGGTACGTTGGTTCTGTGTCAGGAAATGGTCGCAGAACATTCATAGTATTAAGCCTGTTCTTTCTGGTCAATGAATCGGGTGTCGATTCGCCTCGCAGAAAAGCTGGCAGCGTGCGCCTGTAGTAGAAGTAAGCAAGGTATCAATAATTTGACTGGAGACGGCCTTACCCAGCAGCCACACGTAATTCGCGAGTCGAGCTCTTCAAAGATGATAAACACCATTGCCCGAGCTGTGAGATTTCGAGATCTATAAAGTCTGCGTCGCTGCAATGCATGGCAAAGCGCCTTAGAGCGAACATGGCCAAAACTCGTACCTTCTTACCATCAGAGAACGCAGCCGACTTGACGAGCGTACTGAAGGTCGAGATCGCTTCTTTCATAGTCTCGTTGTGTACAATTTCATCTAAAAGAGTATTCTTGGGAACTGGCAATCCTTCGCAGACAAGGCATTTAGCTTCTTGGATTTTGCCACTTATTCGAGTTACTGTGAGACAACCGGAAGCTGCACAAGGGACTTGGCCAAGATATTCGAAAGCCTTGCACCTATTTGCTTCATCTAACGCGGTGAAACAAGTTCTAGAAAGATCTTAGCATAAGGGAACCACCATGTGTGATTTAACTTACTCAGCAAGTTGAGATAGGCCGTGTATGCTGGTGACCCTCTGAGAGCCAAGCAGTTCGTATAAATTCCCTGTGATCTCATCAAGCACTGGCACCAATTCGCTGATCTTGCGACGTTTCTTGAGTGGCTCGATGGCCTGGTTGTTTCCGTCCTCAGGGATTGCTGCGGCTTTGTCAGGGAAGTCGAGACGTTCGAATTGTGCCGACAGCTCGTCGCTCTCGAAAGTTTTGAGGCTCTCCAAGTCAAGAGTCTCCGAATCTTTGTCGCCACAAACATGACATAAAAGCATAGCACTGCTCTGTAAGTTCGTGAGTAGCCCCTCTATACTTTGATGATGAAGATGCTAACCTGGAAATCTTTTCCCAATCTGTTTAATGCTGATTCATCCTCCAGAATTGATTTAATCACGGGCACAAGTTGGAGTGAGATCGATCTGCGCATTGAATAGTGTTTTTCACAAACATTGGCCAGATTCAGGATACATGCGCAAAGAGCAAGTTGGTCTGAGGTTTCATAGATCTGGCTCTGGTCTTGTAAAATGTTCCCACATAGAATAGACACTATGTTGTATCCTTTTCTGAGAAGTGTTGGCGATAACGAGTCTTTGAGTGACGATATGAGAGCATATAGAGAGTAAAAGAACAAACTGTCGGGGTTGGGACATTCCTCATAAAGAGAGCGGTTAGCTTGCCACTGCTGGTAGATGTCGTGAAGGGCACAGAACGAAGTGAACATCCATGCCACATAATCTTGGAACGCGGGTGTTGCGTCAAAAGACGACGCTGCCTCTATGGAAATGTCGACAAGCATGAGGAGCAAATGAGTAGCTTGGCAAAAGCTTGCTAGAGAATCTTCGAGTTTGTATGTGCAGTAAAGCACATGACTCGATTGGCTTTCATCCTTGTCGGAAAAGAACATAGGGTAATCATCCTCAGTAGTTGGTAGAACAATTTCTACTTTCCTGGAATATATGGTCTTGGCCTGTCCGAGATGATGCAATATATCTACCAGGGTCAATCTCAGCCAAGCAAGCGGTGAGGAAACAACGTACTGGCGACACACTCTTTGAGATAGGTGAAGAAGAAAGAGTTCAAGTTCCATAACTTTGGAGATCTAGAGACAACCTGGAACGAAGAAAAGAAGAAATCTTTGATCTTGTCGGTCAGACATTCATATCTCGGGCGCCCAAGAAGTGTAAGGATGCGTGGAAATAACCATATCCAGAGCGGTTCTTGGCCACGGCTCTGGAAATAGACACCTGGAGGTAAGACATAGTCTAGTACAGCAGGATACTCTTTAACGGCAATCTGGAAGATATCTAGGGCGTCTGAGGCTTGCGATAAGAAAGGGCCGACATCGATGAAAGGGTCATGATCGAGTCTCTCCAGAACCGAACGTGTGAGTAGGTAGATCAGTCTGTGCTTGTGCTCCAGCTTGACAGTTGGATCATATGTCTCAACCAAACTGTTCTCCATTTCGGATACTTGTTGCGCAAGTTGTCGCAACTCATCCTCAGCTCCTCCAGAGGGCGGGTTCTTGCTGGACAAGTTGTTAACCAGTTGTGCAGCCAGCGTCGAGGGCGGAGCATCGAAAGACATCGATGCACCGTGTGTATAGCCATTGGTGCGGCCATCGGTGATCGCATGCCGTGGTATAGGAGCCATTATGCGATGCCCATTGTTGGGTTTTGGAGATGTTCAAATTGGCAAATTGAGCAAGATGACCGGGAGGTTCGCGTCGCGTGTTCACGTGCAAACATAAACAGCGCTTGGCCTCAGGCATTACCGGACTATTTCATTGAGCATTCCGAGACCATTTTTGAAAAGCAACAATTGTTCAACATGGCGGTCTTCCAGTCGAAGAAGTTCCGTTCAAGTGCAGATGCAAATACTATTGCCTCGAGATATCGTGCGCTGCTAGCCAAACATCCCTTCGCTCTCTTCGGTTTACCTTTCATTGCAACTATGGTAGCTGGGTCATTCTTCCTCACACCAGCAACAGCCATCAGATACGAAAAGCACGACCGCAGAGTCCGAAGATTGAGCAAGGAGGAAGAATTAGGCATCGGGAAGGCAGGACGAAAAGTCGACATGAAGGAGGAATACTACGTGCGTATATTCCCTGCTAAGCTGAGCTTCATGGTGGATGGAATGGTTTATGGACCTCCACGCTGAGACATTCACAGAGGCTCGCAGCCAAAGATCTGGACGACTGGGAACAAAAGCGTGTCAAGAGACTTCCGGGAGAGCACGATGGGGTGATCTAGGTCGAGTTCGCAGAGGGAATGCCAGAGGATGGCAAGGAAATAACTTTCATTTGGGTTCCAGAAACAGATTACAATTCCGCTCAAACATGCCACAGCAGCGAGCACAGTCCGGACTCAGAACGACCATGAAGACCCCAAGATGTCCTCGACTCGTAATGGAGAATATACAGCAGCTGGAGAGCTGGGCGAGGTGAAAGAGCAGGTTCAAAGAGCTGTAGGTCAGCTTCTCACGAGAATGGAAAATGAAGCCCAGACACAATTCGAGAAATTCCTACAGAGCCGACGAATTATATATACAAGCCGCATGTCCTATTACCCGTCTTCTTCATTTTTTTGTACCCAGAGCACCATCATGGATACCCTTCACCATCTCCATTAGCGCCCAAGCACCTGGGTCCGGCAACTTTTGCTCATCTCCACCCGCTCCAACATAGCTTGCTCTCCCAAACTTTGGCTTCAGCTCTCTTGTCCCTTCTGCAGCTGTCTCGGCACTCCTTACTGCCTTTTCCATACTCCTTTCCTTCTCTAAAGTCTCTGAGAATGGAAGCAGGACATCCATTACCGTTCGGTCCCCCACACGAGCACCAGTGTGTTGCTTCAGACTCTCGACTGCTTGAGCTAGTGCGGGAGCGAAGATATTGATGAGATTGTCTGACTTGGTGTTCGACTTGTGATGTCTTAAAGAGACGGCGAATGCGGCAAGTAGAATGCCAAATATGGCCCCCAAAGTCCCACCCATATCATCTACAGCATTCGTTACCGTATGGAGCAAGCTCAGGACTGATCCAGATTTGGCACCTCCGTTATCAAGAATCTGTAAGATAGCTGACAAGGCAGGTTAGCACGTTCTCACATGAATGAACATCCAGATTACTCACCCTCGCTAACGCCTTTCACTGCTTCACCACAATCTCCGTCACCCATCACCATATCCCACTTAGTCAGATTTGGCTCGGCTGCAATAGCTCTTTCACAAGCTAGTCTTACTGCCGAATCTAGCAACTTTGGATCAACTGCGGAAGGTTAGCCTTTCTTGAACTATCAATTGACTCAGTCCTTGCCTTGAATATCCTCATTGGATTTTATTTCAACCTCTTTCTCCAGATCTATCGCAGGGGTGTCTTTACGAGCAATTTTGGTTGAAGTATTTGAAAGTACGTTTGGCCATGATGGCGCTTTCGTTTCGGCTCCAAGGAGTTGCATTAACTCCTCCACTGAGGTCTTGCTCTCCTTTGCTGCAAGGGTCAGGTTGCACAGTGTTATTGAGAAGCCAGGTCCATTCAAGGACGTTTCGAAGCATCCAGAATATATCTTGGTGGGCTTTATATCCCGCTTAGTTTCTTTCGAACATCAGCACATTTCAACAGATAAACTGGCAGTCTTCATACCTAACTGATCAAGTGTCTGTTGGGTGAGAGCCCCAAGCTCAAGATTCGAGAGTCCGCCATAATTATTGATCAGCAGAACAATATCGTCGTTTTTATTGAACTTGACGAATCCCCTCTCCGGATCATTCGGGTCGCATATTAACGTCAAAAGCTGTGAGATCAGATCCTCAACCGACGGGAATGGAGATATTTTCTGAGCACCCTGGTTCCGAGTTAACGAAATGCTTTCGTTAAAACTTCACATGCAGACTTACAGGCTCATTGTGGATTCCAGCTCCAATAACACAGACATCATCTCCAATCTCATCATGGTTTTGCCTACCCGGCACATGACAATGATCAAGCGCAGATCCAATGGAAACCAATTGCTCATTCACAGCCTTGCCAATCTCAACGCACCTCTCAAAACTATACTCTTTTGCCGCAGCTGCTCCCAATATCTTCATAGCTACAAACACTCATCAGCACACCCATCACCATTCCATCTCATGAATTGCAACTCACTAATAACATTTCCTGCCAACCCTCTTCTCCCGACTTTCTCACACTTACTCCTCCCAATCGACACATCATCCGTCGCCGGCAGCACAACACACTTCCCCGCAAAGCCCTTCTCCAGCGCCCTCTCGGCCGCAAGACCGAAATGCAATTTATCCCCAGTGTAATTCGTGATCAGAAGAATCGTCCCTTTCTCACTCGGTACAGCTGCAATAGCACTGAGAACTTGTTTCATGCTTGGACTGGCGAATATATCGCCACATGCTACTGCCGATAAAAGTCCATCGCCAACATAACCCGACCAAGCGGGTTCGTGACCACTGCCGCCGCCGGAGATTAAAGAGACTTGAGAGGGACGATGAGAAAGGTTTAGGACCACTCGCTGGGAGCGAATCAGTGCCAGAGAGGGGTTTGCGGAGACGAGGGCTGAGAGAGCCTGGGGGACGAGTGTGTTGACTGCTGTTTCGGGGAAGTAGTGTTTGGACGACATTTTGACAACAATCTGATTTAGGAAAATCGCGGTTCCCGAAGCTCGAGAAAGGTGGGATATGACAAGAACTTCGAGGTTTGGAAGAGAAGATTAACAATCTCACGATACCAAATCGCTCCTTCTCAGTGTCGCGTGTCTGGCACTTCCTCCCTCTTCAAAATCGTACAAAATTATCTTCGAAAAGGAGATCGACAAGAATCCAGATCACATTTATCAGAGAGGAAATTTAAATGCAAGGTCTGAACACCATATCACATCACGTCCCCGATACTTCATGTCGGTATTACCCCTCCATCCCCCGCATTTGATTTACCCTGTCCAAGCAGCGACCGGGAATCTCGATTAGGACACGCCGAAGATCAATGTGGGGTTCCCTTGGGCTTGGGATACTTGCCTTGACATGCATGCATATGAGATATCGCATTTTGGGCTGCGTGAGGTCTTCAGGCTGAAAAGTGCAGGACAGCATATGGAATATGGGGAAAAGGGGAAGGGCTGGTTTTGTCATCAGATAAGATCGGGGTGAATTCCGAGAATTGAATTTTGCCTTCTGCCCGTTGTGTGAAGGGAGTTCGGGGTTAGGATAAGTAAGGATTTATGAGATGGTGAGTGTCGAACTTGTATTTGTCAACTAATGTCTATTCTTTACCATACCTCCTTCCCATCCTGCATAACATATTCCATTAAAATCGCATGATAGTCGTCTTGCATGACAGGCTCAATTTCACTTTCGGCCATAGTGTAGTCAACTTTATTCCCCATATTTCGCCACGGCAGTATCACAGACGAAGTAAATACTAGGAAATGCGTCCATCCACCCTACAGCCTACTACACTGTTTATATACCACTTATATAATGGACGATCACATTCTTCTCCTTAAATTCGCATGCTTTTAGCTCGAGTCCGTTGCACATTCATTTCCTTGGCCCGTTTTGCGAGCTATGGCAGCAGTAAAGCCATTCAGCATACCCGGCTTTAACAAGGCTCTCAAGGTCCAGGACTTGGAGGAAAGCTGTAATATGTAAGGAGCAGCATCTAGAATTAGTCGAATCATAAACTAATTTGCACAGTTACAACATGCTCCCGACCGATTCACAACAACCGGAAATTCTCGAGTCACACATACACAATCTTGCTGCACTCTTCGTTCAGAACCGCGCTGAAAAAATCCTCGGCATCCATTTAGCTCATGGCCACTTCGCTGCCCCCAAGCACACCGCCATGCTAGGTGTCAACTACGAAGAGCCTTACTGCCGCTGGGCCCGACCGACGGCGATTCAAACTATAGATCTTAGCAACGTACATGGGCATATATTTGTTCTCACCGATCATGGCTTCCACCCATACGAATATCAATCAGGCCCTGCACCCGATTTATCTGAACTTGACAGCGCGTTTCTCCCGAATCTTGCCGATTATCTGAACAAGAATGACTTGTCGATGCTTGTTGGACTTCAGGTCGTCGACCAAAATCCCGCAAACATGTTGGAGCTCATTCTCCCTCAAGGAACTGTCATGCTGGATAGCTCGGTTCTAAATGGTTGTGTCCCCACTAGGCAGACTGGCTGGAAGTTCGAAAGTGAGGATAGCAAGCCACGCGTATGTCAAGCAAATGAGACACATGGCCAGCACGCTAACGGTCATGACATTTATAACAAAGGTGACCCTCATCCAAAGCTAGAAACTTTTGAAGATGTCAGGATTGCACTTGTGGAAGCTGGACTTCTCGATCAGATAGCTTAGCGTACTTATTGCATTGACAATTGAGAGGAAGTGGACTAGTTGGGTCAATAGTTGAATGAGATTGTATTGATTATATGGATGATTTACGCAGATAAGACCACACTTCAAGTGAGTCAGAGAAATAGCTAAAGAGCAACAGCAAACTGATCATAGCTTTATATGTTCATGTGATGGAGATTTAAAACGTCTAAGCTATAAAGTTTTTTTTTTGGCACTCAGGAAAAGACGTTACCGAAACGACACTTGTTCTAGGGGGAACCTTTTTAACAGGACTACCTATTGTATAGAGGATATTGTACGCATTATTGTTACACAATGCCTTCATTCATCCTATTGGCTCTGCTAAAGACGAGTGTCATGACTTGATGCAAAGCTATCCAGATACACGTTCATCTGTTATAAGTCAGCGATCATGATTGTTGAGCTTTAAAATGTCCAATCTCAGACAACTCACCTCTTTTACGGCATCATATCCAAACAGTCCCGGCATAGTCGCCTCATCATTCCACTTCCCCTCCATACCTCCTGTTATCCCAGCCTCCTTGTCCTTTTCAAGTTTCTTCCGCATTTTGGCTTTGCTAGTTGCATCTCCCTTCTCTTGTTCGGGACCATCAGGGAGATGCCAGACAACTGCATTAACATGTTTACTTCTTGATATATCTTCACACCTCGGTTTTCGGACTGTCTCAAATGCTTTGAGGAGATGGAGAAGATCGTCATTGGAGCGGGCACGAGAGACAGCTTCTGCGAGTGCGGCTGCGTCTTCAATAGAGACTGCAGCTCCTTGTGCCATCTAGATGGGTATCAGTCAAAATGTTTGAGTGAGATGGGAGTCACAACTTACATATGGCAGCATTCCGTGTGCTGCATCCCCTATGATGACTACCTTCCCACTTTCACTCACCCAAGTATTGAGAGGTGGAATGTATGCTAGCTTCCACTTCAAGCAGTGGTCAACATGGGTTAGGACCTTCTGCAATACCTTGTCCCATTTTTCATGGATCTTTCTCATCTCCCCAACATCTCAAGGTTCATTCCACTTCCCAATACTTGCTTTCCCAGGATGCGACATGACGAGATTATACAATGTTGCGTTCTTGATCGGGTACGCCATGACATGCCCTCCAGGTCCAGTCCATAGATTTCCGTTTGGGTCACTCATGAGAGTCGCAAGGGCCGGGTCGCTGTTCATAACATCTGCTGGTATGGTGGCTCGGTATGCACAATTTGGTGAATCTTCTGGCCCTGGGTCATTATTCCCGAGTATCGATTTTCTAATCTTCGACCGAATGCCGTCTGCCCCCACTATCAAGTCGGCTTCCAATTGTCGGCCATCTCTGAGAAAGATTGCAGGTCCATGCTCATCTACACTCTCGACATGGCATCCTAAAGAGAAATGGACCCCAGCTTCCTTCGCTGCATCATAGAGGATTTTCTGGTAATCAGCTCGATGGATGAGCCAATATCTGGAAGATATTAGCAATTATCTCAGACGTGGTGAGTTCGTGAATCTCGCGGATAACCATAAGTATCGCTCATGAAAGGATTGACTTCTTGAAGTCTTAGAATCTCGCCAGTAGCATATCTCCTCATCTGCATCCTTCCAGGCCATACGACCTTCTCGGCGAACTTGTCTTCTAGCCCCCATGATATCAAGATTCTCGAGCTGTTAGGCGGGATTTGGATACCAGCCCCAACTTCGGTCAACTCGGATGTAGACTCAAGAACATTCACATCATGACCTTTTCTCCGCAGAGCAATGGCGGCCCCAAGTCCTGCAAGTCCAGCCCCGCACACCACGATGTTAAGCTTCTTGCCCATGACTGACTACTTCAAAAAAGACGAAGATTGGATGTACCAGCTTCATTATGTACCAAAAAACTTCGGACAAGTGCAATGACATTTAAATATAGTTCTTAAGTAATGACTAGCGGAGATGGTGGATGCATTGACGATGAACTTACGAAGTTAGGGTGGGTGATCTTCCACGCCGTTTCTCCCCTCGCTCTCCCTTCGAGATCACACTCGTTGCTCGACACAGAAATCACTCAGCCATTCGGGAACGATTTCTGACTAGCCATTCCTTGGTGTCTTACGATTTAAAGTTCAAAGCGCATACAGTACGTAGACAAACGTCTCTTCGGAAAGACGCTTTCGGCACCTATCAGAGAGCTAGATCAAGGCTACCGGAACTTTCCTTGAAAGTTACATAGAGTAGGCTAATAACGCTCGCCTCGGATACTACGATGATTCGTATTTTTTGACTTCCGTTAAGAAGCGGATCCGACAGTGTCTCGAGGTGTTGTCGAAAACATGGGAGCTCGCGATACTGTGCCACTCGGCAGCAATTAATTGCACGAGAGAAACAATCTTCCCAGCGGCTTCAAGAAGTATTATGTCATACAATTATACAAATATCAGAGACATCTGAGAGGCGTAGCAATGAATTTGGAATGCGAGAGGAGATATCGGTCAAGAACCGAAACGAGTCTAGCTCCAAATCTTGGCCCAAGCTTATGCTTGTGGACTTGGTTTCACACTCTAACATATGCCTACTTGCTCGAAAACAATCAACAACATCACAGTCAGCAAGATAGCGTGTCTGACTTCTTTACCCCCGGAGATACTCCAAATGATCTTTCAAGCCCTACAAGCTATAGCCTTGGGGCCTAATTATACCCTCACCGAGCCACACGTCGACGAAGTTGACGGTAATCGAGAGACATGGATATACAAAAATCGTGACAACAGTTCAAGGACCAAAAATCTTCAGGGACTAACGCGGGCTCCTTGGAAACTGTCAAATCCAGGGCCATTATACCTTGCATCGACCTGCCATTTACTCAACAGCATCTATCGATCTCGAGCTATTGCTGGAAACCTAGCGCTCGAAATTCCTGCGGGTTCCGAATAACAAACAAACTTGCAGGTGGCATTCTGCGTATCACACATTCTGGTGGAAAGAGGAGAGGAGAGGAAACTTGTTGAGACACCCCAAAAGATCTAGAAGCGGCTACAATGGAAAACCAATCACACGTTTCTGGCTCGATACAAAGTTCAACTCTGCATACAAACACACGATAACATATACACAAGAAGAAGGATCTTTTAGTATATGGACGGAGATATTGAGTGATGTCCATAAGGTTTTTGAGAACGAATTACAGGTCGTCATTTGTACTTCGGGCAAAAGTATGGATCACTTCAGAGACCATGCGCCAAAGGAGGTTCGTGCTTTGGAGGTATGGGACAAAAGCTTGAACCTTGCAGAAGAAAGCCGGCGCCGTCTATGGGTAAACACAGCTCAGGGTGCTGAGGTATGCTCGGTCCGTGAAATGGCTTCCCGTACTCGACCTTCAACTCCCCGCACCGAAGGAGACGCACCTTATGGTGTCCTTCCTGCAGCAAAAGAGTCTTCTGTCGCTACACCACTTGCCGTCCATTTGTACTGTGGATTTGAGGGAAGGTTTGCTGATACAATTCTGGGGGAAGTTCTATCGGTTTTCGCACGTCCGCGATTAGAATCACTGCACTTTTCATCAGAGCCAAACAACTTGAAGCGGAGACCTCTTACAAGGCTTGAATTATACAAGGCCCAGTTCAGTAGCAATCCTTGGCGACATCTTCTTCCTTCGGTTAGCCCTGCAAATGAGACACTCAAACGAGTCTCTCTAGATTGCTCATTGTTCTGGTCCGAATTCGCCTATGTTCTGCCTCACTTACATGCACTGGAGAGACTGAATTGTGGATTGACATGCCTCCGTTTCGAACCTGAACCATGTCCAGTTCCCATCGAGTGGGAAACAAGAGAGCAAGCACATAAGCATATATTAGACGCTTGTCTGAACAACCGGGTTGAAAAGACCCAGGACAAGAAATGGATCCAAATTACCAAGGATGGTATCGTCTTGCCGAACATCGAGCCGCACGAACAGCGAGTGCTAAACGAAGCCGACTCGATGTTCTACCAGTTCCCGTGGGAGGAGAAAGTGAGCATCCAATTTCATGAAGGGCTTCTACAGAGATCCCGGGAGCGATCGCTGATAAATACACTCTCCTGCAACGACAAGTAGATTTTTGACAGAGGCTCATGTTCAGGAAATAGATGATGGTCACTATTGCCTCTTGCTCCAGTTGTTTTCCGAGGGTTTTGCGAGACCGAACCGACTTCGATAATCGTCGCGCCAAATGATTTCTAAGCAATCTCAAAAACGATATCCTTGCGGGTCTGTCCCTCAATCTCTTAGCATTTGAACGCCAATCAGACCTTCTATATAGAGTGCAATTCGTGTGTTTCATTGGCTGTAGGTACCGGAGTAGCTCCTGTAAGCAGTAAGCAGTAAGCAGCGGAAAGTGGGATGTTAGATCTTGACTTGGAAGAACGAGTAAACCAATGAGAACATAACCAAGAGCTTGGAGATTAGATTCTTCTTTGGAACATATAGGTAGGCCTTTCTCTTTTGGCATCTTTCAAGCTATCTATCATTCTCTCTCTTTGTTTGACCTGATCCTCAAGCGACTTTGATTCATATTCTCGTACTCGCTCTTTCAATAATGTCTACTAAACCTACGATCGTTCTGGTTCCTGGAGCGTGGCATAGCCCGGAATGTTTTCAATATATCGTACCAAAGCTTGAGGCATTATCTTATCCTGTTGCTTGCATCAACCTCGCCACTGTTGGTGAACAGAACCCTGCAGCAACTCACCTGGACGATGTCGCAGCCATACATGAAGTCATCATCCCACTAATGAATGAAGGCAAGGAAGTCATGCTCATCCCGCATTCCTACGGAGGTATTCCGGGCTGAGCCGCTGTCCAAGGTCAGACTGTGGCTGAGCGAAGTGCTCGAGGCGAAAAAGGAGGCATCACATCAATTTTCTTCTTGGCATCATTTGCGTTAAAACAACGATATGACTTGCTCCGAGACCTTCGGCAAGGAATCGGTGAACTGGATGGATGTTGCAGTCAGTCTCCCCACAATCATTCCCGATTTCGTTCTAACCCATGTTCAGATCCCGTACGGACTTTTGAACGACAACGCCAAAGCTGTACTTTACAACGATCTTTCACCAGAGCAAGCGACTTACTGGTTATCTAAATGTAGACCTCATACATTGGCGTCGTTTGGCAAACCAGTCGAGTTCGTGCCTCCGGATCTCAAAATTCCCAGCATGTACTTGATTTGCGAAAAGGATGGAGCGATGGATTTGGATCTTCAGGAAAGTCTAATCGCTGCGACGCCGGGGATGAAGACTATGAGATTCAGTGGAGGGCATTCTCCGTTCCTGAGCCATCCTGACTTCACCGTGGAGGCTATTGTCAAGGCTGCTAAAGAACTTGGGTCTGACAGGACGGATTGATGCAATTTTTCTGAGGGTAGAAAAGTAGAAAATCATCAATACCCACAATTTTTAGTTCGCACCAAACTCATGTGTAACCATCGTTGATAGGTTCCCCTATTCTCAATACTGCGGTAAAGACCCAGAGTTATGGTCATCCCACTAGTTCCCGCTTCAAAGTACGGCAAGATCGTGAGTAGCGTGGGTAGCTTCAAAATTGTTACACAACCACACAAATCAGTCTAGATTTGAATCGTGCTAGTCGAAACTGAAATGAGCTTAACGGATGCATTCAGTCCAAATTGCAAAGTTGCTTATATCAAGCACTTTAGGCCTACGATTTCTCCCACATACACTTCTACAATCTCAAAAATCTCAATCTCACAGCTCAGCTTTCAAACACCGCTACAGATTCGATTTCCCTGAACGTCAAGAACAAGAAAACAACAGAAACCAAAGTCCTTCTCGGAGGCACCCAATTCAAAATGCATCTCCTTAACAAAGTAGTTGCCAGCCTGGCCGTCCGTAAGTGATTCATTCCTCTGAACAAATCCTATAACTCGAAACTCCCAATTCTTCCACAACAACATCCAGAAAGGCATGCTAACGAATCTCACAGAAGCGACGGCCTCGCCAATGGTTGAGCCACTCATCAAGCCCTCGGCTCTTCCATATTCAACCCCAAAGTCCACCGTAAAATCTGGCACAAAACCCGCCCAAGCCTCAGAAGGCCTAGCTCAAGGTGAAAGTCGCGGCGATGCTCATTTCAAGAGTGGTAAGGCCCAGCTCCAAGAAGCTAGCATGAAAGCCGTCGAAGACATCGCCCAGCCTGTCAATATCCAAGCTCGTGATCTTCACGGGGCTATTGACAAGACAGATAACTCTGTCCATAACTCCCCTAACCTCCAAAAAAGATGGAGAATCCAGGAGTACCCACCTGTTGATCCTTCTAACCCTGCACCACCAACTGGACGAATTCCCAGGCCAGTTCCACTGGACACCACCTATTGGGACTACCACGTCTTGGACTCCGGCAGAGGTAAAGTATTTGACTCTCACGTCGACAAGTTCGACGCCGCGCACAATCAATGGTATAGTCCCGGCATAGATGTCTTCGATGCCGAGCATGGATCTTGGTACGATCCCATGTACGAGAAGTGGAGTCCACAGGCAGGTAGATATCTTGACTACATGACTTGGGTTAAGACAGAGAATCCGCCTCCGGGACAAATATCCGGCAACGTCAGCCCGCATGGTGGAACCACCGACGCATGGGACCCTCCTGATCTTGGGGAGATGTACTACGGTGAAGGCGGTTCTGGTTCATCTCTTTCTGGTGGGGAGACCATTGGAGAGGGCTCTACGGAATCGGAATCTCCTGTCTACCATCCAGAATCTGGACCTTCACAGCCCCCTCACTCATGTCCTGATTGTGTCGATCATGATCCTAATAACAAGGGAAAAGGGCCAGAGCGGCCGACTCACCAAGAAGAGCCATCATCGGACTCCTTCCATACTTGTGAAGACTGTGACGAGGTTCCAAGTATAAGTGATGCGTTGAGCAAGTTCAACGATGTGATCGCCGAAATGGCGAAGAAGTCACAACAAGTTCCCCTTGAACTAGAAGACGTACAGCAACTCTTCGCTCTTGAAGAAAACGTCATTTACGCTTCCCTCAAAGATGTCGCAAAGTACAAAATGATCACTACTGAAGCAGCTTTCGCAATGTCAAGTCTAGCTACCTTGGATGTCAGCAAAGATGGCCTCGACGATCCAATCATGGACCGCATGATGTGGAGAGCCCAAGGCACCGACCAGCTTGGAGATTGGCAAGGCCTAGGAACAGGCGACGAGGGAAACTTCTTGAACAACGATGGACAGAGAATCCAGGTTCAAGACTTCAAGAGAAATCTTCCAGATATGCAGCAGCTAGCATCGGCTGAGCTTGCAACATATGCGGTGGCGAGTAAGTTGATTGACCCGGAAATGGTCACAGGGCAAACTGTTGCGTCGCAGCAGCTCATGAACCTTGCCGCGCAACCAGAGGTGTTTAGCAATCTGGGAGTATTCTCTACTGAGGCCGGCGTCAACAATAATATCCCTGGAATTGCAGAGGATAAACTACAAGCATTGGCGAACCTCGTCAGTGAGGGTGTATCCAAAACTGATTGGTACAAGGTAAGCTTTCCCATTCTTTGCCTTCCTCGAGACCATGATATTGTGGGCGACCTATGCTGACTTCGAATAGGATACCGGAGATGTACTCTCAGAAGTCATGGCCCACACTCGTGTAGCTGTCCTCCAAGGTCCCCACAACTACCACAAGATGATCTCCATGCCCAAAATTCCCACCACAGAAGACCTAATCCAACAGACCAAAACAATCAACGACTTAAACAACTCAAACCGAGCATCCATTGAACATACCGTTGACGAGATCTCAACCTTGTCGACCACAAACCTCAGAGATCCTGCCAGCAAAGTCAGAATTGCAGGTGGGGCCGTAGTTGGTTTGACTGCATTTTCAGCAGCCTTAGGAGGTGCAATTTTTGGTGGCATTTTTGCTCGCCGACACAAGCGATTCAGCCCGAAGACACAGAAGCTTGAGGATTGTAATGGGCCTTGCAAGCCGATTTCAAATCATCAATTTAAGGCAGTGGAGCAGCACCAACAGAACCCCGTGCCTGCAGTCACTACTACTGCGAGCACAACGGCCACCTCGACGTCTGTCATGACTTCGGTCGTTACTTCGCAAGTGTCTACGGAGACCACACAGAGTCATACCAAGCCACCAAGTCATATCTTGAGCTGGTCAATGCGGGTGTCGCCGGTGCCTACCTCGAAAAGCAGTACTTCTCACACTCAAAGTCCAGCTACAAGCAAGACATCAGTTCCGACTTCTTCTGAAACAGGAAGTAAAACAAAGACACCAAGTTCAGCAGTAAGTAGTACATTGACATCTCATCATGCATCATCGACAATTGGTGCTTCCACTCAGAAGCCAGAATCAAGCCCAACATCGGAGGCTACTCATAGACAACAAAGTCCAACAGCAATCCCTACATTTTCAACTGCTCCTGCTTCTACTAAGAAGCCTCAAAGTCCGACGGCAGCTGGTAAAATGCCTGTTGCTGTTCCTACTGTCCCTGTGGGCTCAATTGGATCTGGTCATCATGGCGGTCAAAGTCCGCCCAAGAACCAGACATTTGCAAATGGAACGGACAGTGCAAGCAAGCCGCTCCACCCAGCTACTCAGGTAAGCAGCGGCAATGTCCCAGTCTCCCAACCAACAGCGGTGATTCCTGGGTGGCAGCCTTCGCACCCAGACAGGAAGCCAGTGTATGTCCCAGATGCAACTGGGACATTGTCTGCCAACAGGACCAGCTCTGCTGTCCAGGCCTCGACTTTCCCAACTTGGTTCCCGGTCATTGTCCCATCACAAAATAGGACATCTGCTGGCAATAAGACTGCTCCTTCTTCTGCTGTTCCAACACATGGACAGCCCATTGTCCCACAAGGCAATGGAACATTTCGGGGCTGGAATAGTACTACCACGTACAATCTTTCCGCCCATCTTCCTCCTTCCGCATTTGCCAGTGGAATCCCAGCATCACTGTTTCGGCGACGCCAATCGCCCTTCCCACGCCAGACAATGCAGGAAGGATATGGAATGCGACAAACTTGAACAGCACAACCGCTGCAAATGTCCCAAGCGCTACAAGGACATTGAATTTCTCCCTTCTTCCAACTGGATTTTCGACTGTGACAAAGTCATCGCCTACGTCGATGCCAATGTCAACGAATGTTGCCGCTCCTGCTGTTCCAACTCACATCCCGAGCTGGAACTCAACTCATAATAGTTGGAACATGACTGGAACCAAGTCGGCAACCAGGGGAAAGAAGGTGCGAATGGCATAAGTGATGATGGGGGATGGGGAAAGGCGGAGGGAAGAAGTTTTGATAATTGGATAGATTGAAATCGTTGCTCGTCTTTGTTGTAGTATAGTTTTTGTTTTGTGCCGCAGAATATGAATTTGATTCAAAGTATAATATCGACGAAGTGACGTGAATATAGCTTTCTCGCCTTACCAGCTTCTAGCATGTTGAATTGATATCGTGATCTGTTTGAGCTTGTTGTATTTTGATACTTGCCGCTCGCAGGGCATGCATGACAAGGGCAGCGTAGGTTTGAAAGTCATTGCGTAAATGCAAGAAAATCAGAAACATAGATACTGCAACTTGCACGCATATAAAGCTGCGCTCAATGTCCTAGACACCGTGATATAAGATCAATGAATGGTGGTGGTCGATGCTTGATGCGAGGTGAAGTTGAAGGGAAGGCAAACCTTAGCGCGTTTCGCTTGAGCTCGATGATCTTCCAGCCATCACCTTTTCTTTCAACAACGCAACTAACTTCACCTCACAATCTGTCCCATCGAGTTCATTCTGTCTCGGTGGATTCAAATTTTTAGTCTCATAATCGCGCTTTGTTCCTCTTTACTGAGATAAGAGCGCGTACTTTCGATTCGGATTTTCGGAGCTCGTTACGCAGTGGTGCATCATCTGTTCACACCACCTAATTTCAGACGACGCTCATAAAGTGTTTGCATACAGATCGTTCAGTTATTCCAAGACAGCGATCTTCAGCGATTCAAAATGTCTTACAGAGTTGGTAAGCTTCAGCCTCTTCTTCATGCGTCTGCTGCGGCAACAATTTCCAACACGTGATCCATGATACTGATTCAGATATCTCATAGAAATGTCGGTTTCTGGCCGCGCCGGTTGTCAAGCCACCGAATGCAAGAAAGCTGGCACCAAGATTCCCAAGAATGAGTTACGCCACGGTGTCTGGGTTGACTACGGTGACAATGCTAGTTGGAGATGGCGACATTGGTAAGCTCTTCCTCGACGGCCATGGTAATGGAACTAAGAAAGTATAGGGGCTGCGTCACTGGGAAGATGCTCGAGAACATGCGTGACAAGCTCGAGGTTCCGGGTAAGCCTGGTACATATGATTGGGATGCCTTAGACGGCTACGATGGAGATGAGAAGGGCAGTCTCCAAAATTATCCTCACATGCAGGAGAAGGTTCGTCGTGTCATCACTCAGGGCTTCATCGACCCTGAAGATTGGAACGGCGTAAGTCCCATTCAAGACGCATCATATAATCCACTAACAGTTCTTGATAGGACCCAGAGATGAACAAGCTTGGCGAAACTGGTCTACACACCAAAGATACCAAGAAAAAGGTTCGACAGGAAGAGAAAGCCCACAAGCAGTTAAATGAGTCGCTTGCGACTATCAGAGCTGAGATTGAGACTACAAAGCAAGCTGGTGGATCGACTACGGAGCTTGAAAACCAACTTGCTGCCATCCAGGAGCAGTTAGATGAACAATCCGAAGCCCCTACCCCAGCAAAGAAGAAGCCAGCTCCCAAGAAGCGAGGTCGTGTCGCAGCCGACGATGAAGATGAGGAAGCCGAGGCCGCTACCCCAGCCAAGAAGAAGCGGGCTAGCAAAGCTAAGAAGGAAGTTGACGAGGATGGCGAAGAAGTCAAGCCCGCCACAAAGAAACGTGCATCCAAGGCAAAGAAGGAGGCCGAGGAAGACGATGAGGATGTGAAGCCTGCTTCCAAGAAGTCACGCGCCAAGAAGGCTGTCAAGAAAGAGGAAGATGAGGAGATGGACGAAGACGACGAGGAAGTGAAGCCTCCTCCCAAGAAGTCACGCGCCAAGAAAGCTGTCAAGAAAGAGGAAGATGATGAGATGGAAGACGCCGAAGAATCTAAGCCCGCCCCTGCAAAGAAATCTCGTGCTAAGAAAGTAGTAGCCAAGAAGGGAGAGGACGAGGAAATGGACGACGCCGAAGAATCCAAGCCTGTACCAGCCAAGAAACCCCGCGGCAAGAAGGCAGCAGCGGCCAAGAAGGAAGAGGAGGACGAGGACATCAAGCAAGAAGAAGACACCTCCGCCCCAGCTGCCCCCGCACCCAAGAAGCGCGCCGCCCGTGGCAAGAAAGCCGTAAAAGACGAGCCAGCCGACGAAGAAGCCACCATCAAACCAGCTCCAAAGAAAGGCGGTCGCAAGAAGGCCGTCAAGGATGAACCAGTCGAAGACACGACCATGACTGGCGCCGAATCTTCCACTGCCGGTATCACCGCCGACTCGACTGCCAACACTACACTCCCGAAGTCTGAAGTCAAGGGCGAAATATCTGACGAGGAGCGAGAGGAGGAGAAACTCGTTGTCGAATCTCAACCTACCGAAGAACAAGCCGTTGAAGAAGAAGAGGAGGTAATGATGAAGAAACCCGCTAAAAGCAAGAAAGCGTAAGTCAATTCCTACCTCTCAACCACGCGGAGTTTTGACTAATGAATGAATAGCGCCGGTGCTAAGGGTTCTCGCGGTTCTCGCAGCCGTACGAGTTCTAAGGCTTAAGCTGCACTCTTGAGAGTTGGATGTACCAATAGCGGGCGATTTGTACCGAGGAGACTACTGGTAGCGCTGGAGTTTTGGGTTATGGTATTGCTTTACGTTTGTTTTCCTGCTCTGGGATATGTGGAGCGTCATTTGCGAAGGATTTCTTTCTCAATGTTGGGGAGAAAGGGGCTATGGGAGGAAACAGTTGTTCTGGCTTGCCTTTCTTGATTGATGTTGCTGGCTATGAGGAAAAGAGGTTTAGCCAGAAAGTATACTTGCTATGTCTATTCGCTCATAATGAACACAAGCATTCCTCAAAGTGATTTCAATACCCTATTCATGCCTACTACCTCTCAACATCCCGAACCACCTCCCCAAAACTCTTAACCACCATCCCCTCCCCATCATCCCACCCCTCACCCTCCCAAGCCACCCAACTATAAGCCGAACTCCCCCTCTTCCCCGACTTCTCCATCTTCTTCCCACCAAGCTTCACCAACCCCTCTCCAGACAAATCAAACTCGCTCCGCACTCCCTGCCCATCATCATCTTCTCTCTCGTTCCCATCACGGATGATGTCCCATGCTACATCGAGCGAGATACCCGACTTGCCAAAATATATAGATCCTCGGTTTGCTTCTCTGGCGCGGACGGAGATCGAGAGTTGTTTTTGGGTGTTTGGATTCGTTAGGAGGGAGGGTTGGGCAGTTTGGACCCAGTCTTTTTCTTCTTTTTGTTTCGTGGTTCCGTTTGCGGGAGGTGAGTGGACGTTTGAGACGGGTATTAGTGAAGGGATGAGGGTCGAGGCTAGAGCGCAGGCTGTTGCTTGGAAGATGTAGTCGCGTAGGGCTTCGAAGGATGAGTAGGGTGTATATGGTGGACATGTGAGATGTAGCGGATCATCTGGGTTGGCGAGCGAGACGTGGAAAAGGCTGTTTGTTGGGTTGAGGTACGTGTTGAGTGTAATATTTATTGTTGTGTTTGCGGTGATACTGAGTGTGACTTTGGCCTCAAGCTGGCTAATCAACGACATGATTGTCTTTTCTGCATTGGTGAGGATACTTGGTGGTTTCCCAACATTTGGTATCAAAGTATAGCTCGAAGGTGGAGTTATTGAAGCATCTTTCAGAACCGAGCAAAGAGGCCCCAATAAGGAGTGCAGGGCAGTGATGCTTTCTTGGTAAGCAAGACGAGTCAACACGCCTCGAAGAAGAAGAATGGGAGGCGGGGGTTCTTTTTGTGGGGAGATAGGCTTGCGAGGTTGAGTTCTGCGGCGATAATTTTGCCGGTGAGAGTAGCTAAGCAGGAGATTGAGGGCCAGGTAGAGGCCTTCCGCAATGGACTTGTCAGTGTCATTCGTAGAAGTAATTCGAGATTCGTTCAGAGATACGAGGTCTAGAACGATAGTCTTTGTTTTGGAGAGTTGGTAGATCAATGTATCATCCTTGGCTTGGATAGGGGCGAGACTACGAGCTTCACGATTGAGCTCTTGCCAGAGTTCTTCAGCGAATACTGTATTGCGGGCTTGCAGGATGAGGCTCTCGATCGGGGCGTCTTCTGGGACAGCCTTGGGAATAGTGGATATGCCAGTGTATTCTCCGTCGACCTGTATCCGAACCCTCAAAGTTTTGGGCTCGGTTTCTGCTATTCCTTGGTCTAATGAAATTGAGCCGTCTGCGTTTCGCCGAAGAACAGCTAGACTTCGATTCTTGAAGGCTGGCGAGGCTATATAGTATTAGTATAATTCCAAAAGCCAAAATATAGCGTTGTCTACCTTCTGAAAATCCATATCTAACTCCCAAAGTGTGCTTCTCATTCGGCAGCCTGCAAACAGCCCAGCCATTGTCACTAACTGCTAGAACCTGCTCCCAGTACTTCGTCTCATGTTCAATCTCCTTCTCAAGTCGGGTAGCAGATGCTAGAATCGAATCGACAGCATTATCAAGACTCTGTGCCTTCCAACCTTTCGCAATCTGCTTATTGTCTGCCTTTTGTGCTTCCGTAAGCTTTGTAGCTGCCAACTTATCTGCACCTAATGTTTTCGGTGGGATCATCTCTTGGAGGTAAGGTGACATTGTGTACATAGCTTGGATCGGGGCATCTTTCGTGAGGAGGAGGGATATGAAGTCCAGAGCGAAGAGAGAGGATTGATGTGCTTGTCTGCGAAACTTGTTAGCAACTAGATAGCCCTTTAATTTACAAAGACTTACTCAATCTCTTTCAGAAGCTCTTCTCGAGCTGCCATGAGCGCCTTCAACTTATCTGGCTCATCCTCTTCGTCGGAGCTTGAGCTATCTTCCTCATCTTGTCCATTAAGTTCTTCATCTGCGATCTCCTGGCGTAGACTCTCCTCTGTGATATTCAAGAATCCCCCACGCTCGATGTTAATACGCTGGATGAGGGTGGGAAGCGCATTTGAATCGTTGGCGATTGAGGGCCATGATCTCAAGGACACAGGAATGTCGTTCAGAGTGGAGTCCATCATATGGTTTTTCTAATTGACCGGAGGACTGTGTAGTCCTGGTGTTTGCGGCGAGGTTGTCGCAAGATCTCGGTGAAATATGTCAAGTCGGGCCTCTTGTTCACAGAATGTCGCGCGATATCCATTCACCGTTTGATGTTGCGTGAGGAGCGTAGTGATAGAAGTCGAACCTCCACCGAGCTTCAAATGCTCCTTGCCTTCGACGACTTCCAACTCCTTCTTCCTCCTCAGTTCTATTCCCAGCTACCGTATCTCTCAATTGCTCGGTCGTCGCAACTTTCCGCAGCCTTCGATTCCCCGTCGTAGATATTTCGTCATGGGCCGCAGATAGTGTCCGAGATGCCACCGCAAGTGTTGGGAGACGGTCAGGTACAGCTCCACTTCCGTTGTCCCCACATTATTGTAAGAGCTGAGGCCACCGGGAATGGCCCACTTAAGCGAGACGCGGTAACGCGTAAAAATTCTACACCCCATTTTAAAACCCTTACTACACAACAACCCTCTTAGGAATCAGTCCATAATTCAAGATGGAGACACCTCTTATCCTAAGTGATCCTATCGAGAAAGAGAATAATGAATGGCCTACCCCTGCACGTGCAGTCATTCGATCTTTACAGCGCTAGGGAAAGTCGCAACGCGAGATTGTCTCAGAGACCTATATCCCTCGAAGAACAGTACGCTGCATTCTTAAGTAGGAATCTAGTCGGAGAGAGCGCAAAAGAAAGCTCTCTAGACACCATCTCATGTCTATACGCGACATACGTTATTGCATTCGAACCATTTCCAAAAACTGGAGCTCTAGGCGCATGACTTTTGAGGCTCTCAAAAAGCAACTACCCTACCTACCCTCGGTGCGCACTATTCGTCGAGAATTAGCCCGGGCTGGCTACCGCCGCTGCATTGCATGCCCTCGACTATATATTACCCTTAAACAAGCTAGGAAGAGATATGTATTTGCTAAGGAGCATAGATGGTGGGGGACATTAGACTATGCAGCTCATAGAGATGATGGCAAGCAAGGAGGGGACTGGAGGAAGGTTGTATGGTCTGATGAGGCTATATTTGAGACTAGGAAGAATGGCAGGATATATGTGACTAGGAGGGTAGATGAGAGGAGGTGCCCTGACTGCATTAAGTCAGTCTACAGGTCAGGGAGGACAACGGTCATGATATGGGGGGCATTAGGTTGGGATTACAAGTCGCCATTAGTCTTCCTAGAGAAGCTTCCAGAACGCAAGGGCATATGTTCTAAAGCCTATCTACAGCAAGTTCTTCAGCCTATAATCTTCCCTCTCTTTGATGATCTAGGGCCGGAGTATATCTTCATGGAAGACGGGTCTAAGGTGCATAAAGGGCATGCCAGATTACCTAGACTACAGCACAATATCCGAGGGTTTAATTGGCCTCCTTCTTCACCAGATTTGAACCCTATTGAGAAGGTCTGGAGGTGGATGAAGGAGGAATTGAAAAACTTGGACTATGTGCCCAAAAATAAGGTGGATTTGAAGAGGGAGTTGCAAAAGCTATGGGACCGAGTTGACCCACGTGACTTTCGCCACTACACTGAGCAATTGACTTGTAAGATTGAGGATGTAATTAAGTACAAGGGTATGGCTACTATTAATTAATAATAAGTTCTCTTTTCACAGAGATTCATAAGAAGACTAAAAAATTATGATTTTTTGGTAAATGAGGTCTCATTTGTTGAGTTTCGCTTAAGTGGGCCATTCCCGGTGGCCTCAGCTCTTAGTATTTTTTGCCGCTTTTGCTTGCCTTGAGGAGTAAAGTAAAACATCAGCCTCATCTTATCGACGAAATGCTGACTAATAACCAACCTGAAGCTCCTCCGAAAATGTACTTTCGACATCGAAAACCTCTCGACTGAAATAATGCAATTTTAAATCGTTTACTGCAGTTGGAGCGAGGAAAGTGTTCTGTATTCTCTATATATTCAATTGGCTGCTGCTGGGTCCGCATCGGAGCATTTCGAAGCATTGGTGAAGTATTTCGAACCAAGCAGTTTGTTTTGGCCAAACCCTTCCCCTCGAAGACTATTTGCGAGTTGAGAATGATACTAAGTTTAGGGAAAGTAGACACTAACTGCGATCGGCAATAATATTCTACTGAATGGAGCTCATCGATTATATCCATACATGTCTTAAGGTACAAGGATTTACATTTGTTTCGCTGACTTTTGCTAGTCTTTCTTCTGATAAACTTCCTCCCAAGTCGCCTGGTAAGAATGAAAGAACCACATTCCGATTGTGTTCGAACATCTAGGTGCTATCCAGCCTTTCTTCTCTTCTCGGAGGAGTAACAGTCTTTCTTTGTTCATAGACCCTCTTCAACTCACCGTCAATTGCATGAGTGTCTTGACTTCAAAGGCCTCGAGACATTCTGGAATTTTCCAATCAAAAAGCAAAGTACAAGGATATCGAATGGCCATACATAACAATTTGAATAATGTAAAGTACGATTTGGTATTGGGGAACTGCGTAACCATATTTCAGAGAACAAGATGTGGATTGACTAGAACTACCTAGATAGGCCCTTCAGCTTGAACGTCTTTCTGTTGTAAAGTACCTACCAGATCTACAGCGGGGTCAGCCTTCAACAACCCAAAATATGCCCCCACATTTTAATGACAGAAATGATGCGCTCAAGTTTTTGCATAATTTTCACATGCATAAGGCTGGCCAATCGCCGTTCCCTCATACCAAGGCTGCTCATCAAGCTGTGCCGCCTTAGTGGTCTCAAATCCCTTATCGAGAGCACCCCTGGTCCGCGATAAAAGCTTCCTCAACCCATGTGGGAACTCGGTGTTTCTTTTGGCACCCACCTCGTCATTGCACCTGAAAACACCTCAATCTTTGACCCCACCACAAATCGCAGAGGAGAGAAATCTCTGCAGGTGCTGCTGTCTCTTCTTGTGAATACTTTTTATACCTTTATTACCTACCTCTCTTTTTCTCATCTTACCTCTATTCACAAACAAACTCACCGAATCGTTCCACCAGATCCTCAACATGGCTCCCGCACAACCCCCACCTCCCCTGGCGGGCAAGAAACGTCGCATTGCTATGATGACCAGCGGTGGAGACTCTCCGGGCATGAACGGTGCCACCAGAGCTGTCGTACGATATGGCATTGAACGAGGCTGCGAGGTTTTCTGCATTCACGAAGGCTATGAGGGGTTGGTCCAGGGTGGGAAATTCATAAAGAAGATGAACTGGTCGGATGTGCGGGGATGGTTGTCGGAGGGCGGGACATTGATTGGAACGGCAAGATGTATGGCATTCTACGAGCGACCAGGACGATTGAAAGCTGCGAAAAATATGGTGTTGAATGGTATTGATGCGTTGATTATCTGTGGTGGTGACGGTTCGTTGACGGGAGCTGATAAGTTCAGAGCTGAATGGCCTGGCTTATTGCAGGAACTGGTCGAAACAAACGAATTGACTCCAGAACAGACTGAACCTTTCAAACATCTCAATATTGTCGGTCTTGTGGGCTCAATTGACAATGATATGTCTGGGACTGATGCCACAATCGGGTGCTACTCGGCCCTGAGCAGAATCTGCGAAATGGTAGACTACATTGAAGCTACGGCCTCCTCACATTCAAGAGCCTTCGTTATCGAGGTCATGGGCAGACACTGCGGTTGGTTGGCACTTATGGCTGGTGTTGCAACCGGGGCAGATTTTGTCTTCATCCCAGAGAAGCCTCGAGCTGAAAATTGGAGAGAGGAAATGTGCAGAATCGTGGCCAAGGTAAGGATTTCAAAGCTAATGGTTCTGATGTGCCGCTGACCGCCAAAAAGCACAGAGAGATTGGAAAGAGAAAGACCATTGTTATTGTTGCTGAGGGTGCCCATGACAAAGATGGCAACAAGATTTCTCCAGACATGATCAAGGACCTGCTTGCAGACAAGAACGGTCTTGCCTTGGACACCCGTATCACAACTCTGGGTCATGTACAACGAGGAGGCACTGCATGTGCTTACGATCGATACCTTGCTACCCTGCAAGGCGTTGAAGCTGTCAACGCCGTCCTCGAAGCTACTCCCGAAACACCAACACCATTCATCGCTATCACCGAGAACAAGATCTGCAGAAAGCCTTTGGTACAAGCTGTTTTGGACACAAAAGAGGTTGCAAAAGCTATTGAGGCTCAAGACTTTGACAAGGCCATGGGGTTGAGAGATACCGAGTTTACTGATGTCTATAATTCTTTCATGACTACTACAGCAACTGGTCTAGATGATAAGATGATGCTGCCAGAGAAAAAGGTAAATCTGTTGCTATACATTTAGTCTTTCTGCTAACATTTCCTCAGCATATGCGAATTGCTATTATTCATGTTGGTGCTCCTGCCGGTGGTATGAATGCTGCAACTAGAGCAGCTGTCGCATATTGCTTGACCAGAGGTCACACTCCACTTGCTATCCACAACGGTTTTGCGGGCTTCGCTCGCCACCATGGTGATGAGCCAATTGGAGCTGTACGTGAATTCGATTGGCTTGAGGTTGATGGTTGGGCAAGCAAGGGAGGGTCAGAAATCGGCACAAACAGAGAACTTCCGTCGGAATCTGGCATGGAACTCATTGCTTCATTGTTCAAGCAGTACAATATCGATGGTCTATTCATCGTCGGCGGTTTCGAGGGGTTCCACGCACTCTCACAGCTCCGCCAAGCTAGAGAGAAGTACTCTTCTCTGTGCATCCCTATGACTATGCTACCTGCCACTATCTCTAACAACGTCCCTGGAACCGAATACTCACTCGGCTCAGATACCTGTCTCAACGAGCTTGTCCGATACTGCGACACCATCAAGCAATCTGCTTCGGCTTCCCGCCGCCGTGTTTTCGTCATCGAATCACAAGGTGGTCGTTCCGGTTACGTCGCTACACTTGCTGGTCTCGCAGTCGGTGCAGTTGCTGTCTACACTCCAGAAGAAGGCATCAACATCGAAATGCTCGCAGCAGACATTGCTCACCTTAAGCAAGTCTTCCGCGAAGACTCAGGCCAATCCCGTGCCGGACGACTCATCATCGTTAACGAAAAGGCAAGCAAAGTCTACAGCGCCAAATTAATCGCAGACATGATCCGCGAAGAAGCAGGTGGACGCTTCGAATCCCGAGACAGTATCCCAGGCCACGTCCAACAAGGCGGTGTCCCATCTCCTATGGACCGCACCCGCGCTGTCCGTCTTGCCATCAAATGTATCGAGCACCTCGAGACCTACGAAGATAGACAAGACGCCACGATTCTGAATGATCCACAATCATGTAGCGTGATTGGAATCAAGCAAAGTAAGGTCGTCTTCACATCAATGAAGGACGTCGAGGAACTCGAGACCGATTGGCCGAACAGGAGGCCCAAGAACGAGTTTTGGCTCGACTTGCGCAGCACGGTCGATAGCTTGAGCGGACGACCTGTGGTTCCCCGGCCCGAGAGTCCGCTCGTGGGATGGAAGGCTAAGGACACGAAGCGGGGTTTGGCGTGAGTAGGTAGTTTTTTAGTAGCAAGGCAAAAATAACTTTGGGATGATGGTCGGCGCTTGGAACGAATCAATCAATGAAACTTCTTTACTCTCCCCTCTTTCCCTTCTATCAACTGAACGAAACTAAAGACCCGAACCTAATCAACCAACCTCCCACATCCCAACCCGTCAAACATAGGCATGAGAAAGGTCTCCAAGCGCGCACTCTCAACCATCATATCGTTAAACTTGTGCAAAGCATCCATATCGTCCGCTCGCCACGTCCTCTCTCTCTCCTTCGCCGCTTGTGGATTCGCGTCACTGGGATCAGCGACTAATCCGCGGCGTAGGATGTTATCTGCTACTATTATCCCGCCTTGACGTAGAAGACGGACGGAGGTTGAATTAGGGGGAGAGTATTCGAGAATTTGGGAGAGGTAGGTTGGATAGGATGTTTTGTCGGCGTCGATGAAGATTAGGTCGTAGGGTTGGGGGATTGTGGTGCTGAGTTTCTTGATCCTGGGTACCGGTGTTAGTGGGAGGGAGGAAATGGGAGGAGGAGGGCAAAGGGGAGGGGATGGGGAGGTACGATTCTCTGGCATCGCCGACGATTACTTCGATGTTGGTGATGGAGTTTTTGGCGAAGGCTTCTTCGGCTATTTGGGCGTATTCAGGGGAGAATTCGAGGGCCGTCACGTGGCCGTTGGTGCTAACTGCTTCGGACCCTGGGGTGGACGTTAGTGGTTGGCTGTTGGTAGTTGCATTTGGAAGGTTGTATTTGGACTATGAGATTTGGTTTGTGAGGAGGGTATGGTAGGAGGTGGGAAATTGGGAGGAAAGAGGCAAGACTTGGAGGGGGACTTACAGCCCATGGTTGAAAAGCCGATGAAGGTTCCGATTTCGAGGACTGGAGGGTGGTGTATTAGCCATTGTGTGTTCCTTAACTTTCAAGAATGAACTGGAGATTGAGATGAGATTATGAGTGGAAGAGGTTGTGCTGAAGCATGTGGCATAATATCGAGGCTTGAGAAGCAAGCTTATCAATTGCCATGCAAATGTACATACAAAATACAGTGCAAGACATAAAAAGCACTTGCTCAAGAAAGTTGGCCGTGCAGCTAGCACAAAAGCAAACATAGTATGAGAAGCAAGTAGAACGTAGCGAACAGAGACTCACCCCTCTTTGCGCCAACTGCCTTGGCTAGCCAAACTTGGAATTGTGCTTGCAGAGGACTAATCATGTAGTTTGACCTCTCTTGGGTTTCTACTCCCCACTTTCCAGCAAGTCAATCAGTATATTTCTTTTTTTTCTGGAAAATTCCCGCGTGTATCTCCGCGTGTGTGTAAATTAGAAGGAGAGCAGTCAAATGGTCAGGATTACTTGAGTGTAGGAATGTGGAAATATAGAGACATACGGCATGATGATCAGTGATATGCTTTGGCAGCTTGGTTGAATGAGAGAAGCTGTAATCCCCGACATTTGTGGCGACTTGCTCGTTCTAGATTGTGGAAAGGTTAGTAACAGAATATCTCGTCGGGTTTCATAGACCTCATGCATGCGGACTTTGAGGCATGCAGTTGCTTCTTGGTGGCAGCTGAAGTATGTACCATGTGATAAGATTGGTTGTGACGACATACCGGGTATAACGCTGTGTAAATTTCTTTCATTTTGTGATTCTTAAATTTCCTTTCTTTATCTAATAAAAGTCTGTCAAGTTCAATCAAGACGCAACATAAAAAACAATGCCTAGTAATGTACAAACTGTGTTGATGCTTTTTCAAAAACCAGCGCCACGAGGCAGGAGGCACATTTAAGACCCCTCCTCCCCGAAAAGCTAGGCTTCGTAGGGTAAGCTCGACCACCCGCAAGCGAGAAACCGGGAACATCTTGGCGGTGAGACCTGCCGCTTCTCCATCTCCCTTTCAACCTTCCTATACATTTATTTTCCGAGCACCGAGCCCGTCGACTATCTTTCTCTCGGGACCGAGCCGGACTTTGTAATCTATTTCCAATACGGGATCGAAGGGGGAAAGGGAGAAGATGACGACGAGGTATCGCGTTGAGTGTAGGTCCTTTGGGAAGGCGGGGATTAGAGCTTGGATGGAGGGCTGATGATTGATAGATGCGTTGAAGACGCATAGGAGGGATCAATTTATAGGTATGTTTGATTTGGTTTTGATTATGCTTGAGGATTTTTCGATTAATTCAAATATACATTCTTGGAAGGCTTGGAATAACCTGAAGTTGGGTCATCCGCGAGTATCTCTGGGGCATTGCGTATCCCAGTGGATTCAGCCACGATTCTATTTTGCATATCTGCTTACCGTTGCATCAATTTTTGTTACTGTAATCAGAAGTGGCCCTAGTTCATTCATGTGGATGGTTGTTTTTAGTGTCTAGCCAGAAGGATTTTTCGAGCATCTAGTAAGACAATTTGAAACAGCTTGTCCCTATCAGCGTCGTAAAGCCTATTTGCACATTAAGAGAAAGAGAAAGATTAGTTGACTCGATTTTCCCCTCCTTAGTCCTATGGAGTTACAAAAATGTTGACGCAAACGTATCAGTCTTCTGCGCATGACATCGGTCATGTTCTGTCCTTATGTGATACCACAAAGAACGACATGGCGGCACCAGATGACTACATTCCTCATCCCCAAAGACTGATGTGTTTATGCTTTTGAGCAATGAGTTTGTTGGGTTTTCATATACTCTGGTATTTGGCCAGTTGTCATATGCCACATCAAAGCAAGTGTTTGTGTCTTCCAGTTTGCGCTTCTTCTCTCTACCCATAAGCAAAAAGTGAGACCCAACAATGTCTCCACATGCAATTCTTCGCTCACATCTTGTGCTCTAAATTCAATCTAAGAAGCGCTCACAGGTCATTCTATGGCCACTCCTAGTTGCTACAATGCTACGATTGCATGTTCGTCTTCAAGTACTAGAAAAATTCCCTTGTTCAATCTCTTCATGTCCAGGAGCAGAACGCAGCCGATGAATTCTCGATCCATCTCTGCGCTGCGCTCCTGTTTTCCCTCCCGCTTCGTAACAGGCTCGACGCGTGGGTGAAAGTGCAAGGAGACTAATGGAAGGGGTGTACCAACGATGTTCGAACTAACAAAGTTTGCAGAATGGATTAAGGCGCTACTCGCTGTGCCTTTTGTGCTACACTCCCAACCGACTGGTGTCTTCGAGACAGCAAGCCACTCTGTGGAGCAAATGGCAGCTGTGGCTAGTCGAAGATACGAGGAAATTATGCTTGATGTAGAGCAGATGATCGATGACCATAGTAAGTCACCTGTTTTAATCAAGAACGGACACAATCTCAGGACTTAGCTTTGCCCACCACAACTGCTACTATGATTGACATTGGCTAACGACTACCAGTTGAACACCAAAAGCTGGGCACACAAGGCAACTCAAAGCTAAAGCTTCTCGTCCCAAGTATTGGCACTTTCTTCACAAGATTGCCTTTAGCCGCAGCGTTCAGATATCAAGACAAAAAGCGTTTCATCTCATCAAGACGTTTCGTCCCACCTTCTTTCAATGATGTTCGTCTGATACTGAATACGGCACAATTAATGGGCGTGACAACAGCTGGAAACTTGGAGCTGGCTACCTTTGATGGTGATGTTACATTGTGAGTCCTTGTTTTGAGGTATCTGATTGTTCGAATGTCCGACTTAAAATTTCCTAGATATGATGATGGAAAGAGCCTGGAAGCAGATAACCCTGTTATCCAAGAAATTATACGTGAGTTAAAACGCACATATGAACAGAATGATCCCCAAATACCAATCACAATTCTACAGAGCTCATGAGCCATGACACCAAAATCGGCATCGTCACAGCGGCAGGATACACGGAGGCAGAGAGGTACTATGGCCGTCTCCACGGTCTCCTCGAGGCTATCAAAAGCTCTGATCTGCTCACGAATACTCAAAAGCACAATCTCGTCGTGATGGGTAAGGCAATGACCCCAGACTTTTCGTAAAGAAGATTGTCTAGCCCATCGAGCAAATGCTAACATCCCGATCTTGTCAGGTGGCGAGTCAAACTTCCTCTTTAAATTCTCCATGACAAGTCCCTATCTCCTCACTCACCTCTCCCGTCGCTCCTGGATCTTACCCAGTATGTCAACTTGGACCCAAGCCCGTATAACCTCTCTCCTCGACCTCGCCGAGTTCTCCCTGAAAGAATGCGTCACCAACCTCTCACTCCCCGCCACCATCCTGCGAAAAGAGCGTGCCGTAGGCATTATCCCGAAAGTAGCCGGATATAAATTTCCTCGAGAGAGTTTGGAAGAAACGGTCATGGTGGTACAGAAGAAATTGGACATGAGCGAAGTTGGCAAGCAATTGCCATTCTGTGCATTCAATGGCGGAAATGACGTTTTCGTCGATATTGGAGATAAGAGTTGGGGTGTATTAGTTTGTCAGAACTACTTCGGGACATTGCATCACGGGTCTGGTCCTGCTTCGAGGACCCCTTCTCCTTCCGTTACCTCTAATGAACATGAGCAGGGCAAAGAGGAACGGGTCAAGATTGAAGGTGAAAGAACTCTGCATGTGGGAGATCAGTTCCTTAGTGCGGGAAGCAATGACTTCAAAGCTAGAGTGGTTGGAACTACGGCTTGGATTGCCAGTCCGGCCGAGACCGTCGAGCTGTTGGCTGAGTTGAAGGAGATGATCCAGACGCAAGATGAGAGGAGGAGAGGTGAAGGCGAGGCGAAGATGACGAGAGATACGATTAACTTTATAGATGAGCTTTTTAAGAATCATCCGATGAAGGATGTTTGAGATTGTTGAGATAGAAAGCGCTCGAATGAGGGACGAATTGCTACGGGTTATAGATAGATTGGCATCGCAAGGAATGGCATTGGCGAGCGGAGTTACTTTCATGATGGCGCTATCAAAATTGCAGAGTGTACTTTCAAATGACCAAATCGAAAGACTATATATATAACTGAAGCTTTGATTGTAATCTCTGATTATCTTTCATGGAACCCGATCTGATAGCCTCGTTCTTCTCCCGAGAAAACTCACCAGCGATTCGAAATGTTCTTGAAATTAGAGAAACTCATTTCTTGTAATGTTGTTCTCAAAGAGTTCCAGGGCCGGAGATTCAGGAGTGCTTAGTCATCTATAGCCTGGATATCACCAGTGGTTGTCAGAATTATTTACGCACCCCCCAAATTTTAACGAAAACATACCCAAAATCTACCACTTCCCCTTTTTATGAAATAACTTCACGTTTATGGATTTTCTTGAAATTAAAGAATTGAGTAGAAATAACTTATTTGCTTGAGATTAATCAATTAGAATTGTAGTGATATTTTTGGTTTGAATTAATATTAAGTCTGTGAAAACTTCCGTACAAAATCTACTAGTAAAAACATAGGATTCTAATAAGTTGGGAACTAAGAGCTTTGAGAAGAAACTTTCTATACGAAAGTTAATGCGCTTATTGCAATGAAGCTATATTCCATTTATTATGCTATGTCATAGTATAAATTCAAATAGTTAGGATGCTGCAAAGTGGTGGGTTTTTGGTGTGTTTTCGCTAAAATATAAGGGGTGCGTAAATAATTCTGACAACCACTGGTGATATTAGCCCTAGCTCAACTCAACTTTCATGCCTCCCCCATCATCAATCATCATTATCATGCATTTGTGGACCATCGATAAGGAAAGCGACGCCTCTGAAATTTGCCATGTTGATTCTCGACCACTTCTCAATCTTGACACCTCACACGTTCAGCCAACCGACGCGCTCACATCAAGAACGCGATTCTTTGAGTGCCGCAGGCTCTTCTTAACAAGCCATGCGCTCTGCTTCATCTACCTATTTTAGCATGGATTGTAGTCGTTCTTACCGCCATTAGCGCAAGAGAATCGGGTCCATTTGAGAGTTTTCGTGCCTTTAGCTGCAGTTCTTGTTTTTTTGTTGAAATGCTTCCATCATGTCAGTCACATGCGTTTATCAAAAATGTAGAATTTTCTTCGTCTTAAACCTTTACCAGAAGGCTTTACGTCTTAGAGATTTCATATGATATGATATTGCGAGACATGTGTACACTACGAGAGCGCTGCACATGGAAAATACTCTTCCTTTCGTCTTCTTGCAAATGAGGGAAAGTATTTTCTCATGCGCCAATGAACGATCGTTTGGTGTTTCTGGCCCCCCTCAAAGCAGATCCTATTATCCAAGCAATTTCTTTGACAAAGTTTGACATAGCCTGATATGCTTTCAGCCAACATGCCAATGGACCATTTCTTCCGTTTGCGTCCAATCTGTACTCCAACCTTATGCTACTCATTTCAGCAACGAAGTCTTTGTCGTGAAAATGGCTATAGCGTGATGGAGTCTTGCATGAATCTTTGGTCGTTTCTACAACTTGCTGTCAAGGGAACACATGAATCAAAATCTTTCCGCAATGGCTATTGAAAGGAGACAATTGCCTCAGGTCCTCAATCAAGCTATCGCCAATATACCGGTGCCACTCACGCATAATGCAGCTGCTCGAGATGCGTTGCTTCCGTGGCTTGCATTGGGATACACCCCGGTTCCAACTCCATCAGGAGATGGCTATCAGGAGAACATGTGTGGTTATTACGCACTGGCCGGGAGTTTACGTGCTGCATGGCAATTATGGGGCTTGAACGGGCGTAGTCCAACAGTAGCAGAACTTCAAGCAACACAAGCTTCACAGCTATATCGAGATCTCGTCCGGGCTAATATGGACGATTTAGGCTTAGTGGAAGCCGCGGCTGATGAGTATTGGAATGCCCTCACAAGGGCAAACATGCTGGACGCACAAGGGATGCGGCTGGTTCTTGAGGCTATCGTAGAAGAACGTGGCCTTGAACTTGATCTTGGTTTGGGAATCGTCACAGAGGGATTCAGAGTGCGCTGGGTTGAGGAAAGCGAATTTGACACGGCAGGTTTCGACGAATCATCGGTGAATCGGACTTCAGTGCAATATGATGAACCTGTTAATTCCAGAAGAGGCGTGATATGTAAGTTTGAAGTTCTTGGAGCACAAGTCCCTACACCTTGCTGTCTAAGGAATCATACTCCAGAGGTGGTGCTCTGAACGCACTCCTAAAATAGACTTATCCCCCAAAATACACAGAAGAGGTTTACTGACACTGAGATTCTCACTACAGGGGTCTACAATAATGGCGGGAAGCCAGACGTCAAGCGCGTACGTTGTACTCCGCAGTTTTTTCTTCTCCATCGTGAAGGCCGATTCTTCCAGCTGTAACTCAGCTAAAGAGTTTGTTTTGTCGAAGATCTCGAGACCTTAAATGAATCTTCTCCTTCTCGGCTTCCAAGAGCACTATTGAAGTTGTCCTAACTTGCCAATAGATACAGTAGGTGGAAGACCAGCCGAAGGAGGTAACCCAGTGAGTCAAATTCTGCTCTTGACCTATTTTTGATCTAGGAGTTGGGATCATCTGGATCATTTTCGGTAGCTGCTCGTCAAAGAACATGCGTCTCAGCTCCTTGAATAAGCTCTTCGGCTCCCAGACTTTTGTCAAAGGCGTATATACTGAATAGTTCATAGCATTGGGATAGTTTCGGGCCCCCACGGGCTCGGCCTGATCGATATAACGAACTGGTCCAAGGCTGGAACGTAGGCCAAGCCATACGTGACGACTTAGACGAAGGAAACGTTTATCTAGTTCTGCGTAGACTTGCAATCGGGCCTGCTGCTGCTCCCAATGTATTACAAGTGGGACATATCGTTCGTGAAATCGTACTGCCTAGGCGATTAGAGCAGGCTATGAGAGACAACCCTAACTAGGTTTTTGTGTAAGTCATTAACGAGAGCGGTCGTCAATCCTCATCCCATGTTCGACGTAATATAGGAAGTGAGCGGTGCAAGCTGATAATCTACCAGGAGAGCGTGCAGAAATGAGCCTGACGAGCCTAACGCCCTACCCCAACCACACTTTGAAGGATTCGTGCCTTGTAAGTAGCAAGCTCCTGCTGCCCCCCCTTTCTTCATCCTCGCCAGTTTTGCTCCGAAGAACATGGTACAGGAATCTTTCCTCTCCGCCAGATCCTATATTCAAAAAGAAAGTCATACTAACTGGCTGTAGTGGATGCTCTTCAGCAAGTTAGGCTCCATGAAAATGCACCAGCAGTCCTGCGGAACCGCCGACGACAAGGGGCTGGACAACCAGAGAGAAAACAGACTCCACCACCAGCGCGATCTGCGCCTTTAGGGGATAATATTGACGACGTTTCATTCAGGTTCTTCCGAAGGGGCGGCTTTAATAGTAAGGTCGGGCTAGATATCGAGGACGAGAGGCCAAGAAGCTTCGAACCAATCGATGGTTTCAATCCTCCACGCGGCGCTTTCCTCCGTGACACGACCGAGAGGAGAGAGGATGACATAGCCACTGTCATCGCTGCAAATGGCCAAACAGGAGATGTGCAGCTCAGAAAACTACAATATTTGGAGAGACCTTGGGGTAAGTTACTACCCTAGACTAATGTTCATTTCTATTCCACTTTGTCAATCTTGAGAATTCTCAAATTGGATTTGACTCTGTGACTGATGTCTTCCTCCTCAACCCTGTCGGAAGAAAAACACTGATCTTGTTCTTGGTTACTAGGCTGGTCGTCAATAACGGTGCCGCTATTCAATCCTGCAGCAGGACCAGGTGCAATGGCAGACCAACAAGTGGCGGAACCGGCGATTGTGAGAGTAACCATCAACGGAGAAGGTGTCGATGTTCCTATACCACGTGTGTTTTATACTGGAATTCACGAGGGAAGAGATAATCCTATGGATCTAGGCCAGGTGGGAACAAAACAAGGCCTGCGGCCGCTCTGGGCAGCTCTTGGAGGACCAGTAGGAGTCGTGGCGCAAAATGCTACAAGGCCCGTGGTCCCAAGGGGCCCAGGATATGTGAGAAGGCAGAAGGCAAAAGTCAGAGCGGCTATTCTCGCTATCATTGCCAGAAATGCTCCCGCACCCGCTGCCAGGCCGTCTAATCCTGTCGTGTTGCCAATATACAGGTTGAGAGAAATGATTACAGCAACAAGGACACAACCCGTATTCCTATTGGGCGAGCCAGTGAGATTGTGGAACAGTACTCCTGATGCAGATGGTAATGTAGCGATCGTGGACTATGAAGGGCACATCGGATTCGTCCCAATGGACGTGTTGATACCTCCTAGAAGACCATGGGGTCTTATTCTTGACAGTGCCCGAGTTCCAGCCGAATTCCTCACCACAGGTACTCCTTTGCTGACAGCTTGGCGCGATGGAGTGCAGGTCGTGCTAGGCCCTCTACCCAGAGGACAGGAACCCAGAAGGCCTCCACCCGGATCACCTCCGGCCGAATCACCTGCGCCAGGCCGACGCAAGCGGGCCAGAAGAGGAGCGGCATCTAGATCGCCACGAAGAGGCCGACGACGAAGGCGGCCCGACAACATCAATACTGCGGGGGCAGCGGGTAGACCTAGAAATGGTTTCACCGATGATGAAATACTTGATCGAATAGCTGACTTGGACAGTCCTAGAGCTAGAGAAGTGATAGACCATGCAGGTAGAGAGGCGGGCTATGTTACTGGCAACTTTAACTTAGCGTTCAACGTAGATTACGAAATAGGGAGACAAGAGCCTTGAGGGAACCAAAGGGCTTCTTTCTTTATTCCTTGATGTAGGCACTTGTTGGATTTTTTGAGCTATCTTGCTGCATTTGTTCTTTGCTCTATACTTTACATAGATTCTAATAGTCTCAGAACTCCTTTCGCTATGCTTCAATTGAACTCTCCTGAACTTCATAATTCCACGAATGGTATCTTCGAGTACAAAGCATCGTAGCCCCTCCCAACCCAGCCATCAACTTTACCACCCCTCCCAATTACCCCTAGCCCACCAGCCGCCCACAGCAACGAAACAGCAATAGCAGCCCCATTGATTGTCCACCACCTCCTCTTTGCCTTCTTGTCATGTCCAACAAGAATCCAGCCTTGCCATCTAGCCACGCCCCACACAAAATGACCAACACCAACACCGATCAACGCCAGATATCCCGTCCACGCTACAACAGGATGTTTCGCAAACCCATGGCTAACAAACGACAGCCCTACACTCGAAGAACCACCTTCGTAGATATAAGGCAACAAGCGATTCATAAACGCATGCCCCAACACCAAAGGCGTAAGGACATAGCCTGATAAGCTAGCCCATGACACCGCTGGCCATATTCGAAGACGTCTCTTGAAGCGGTCTGAAACGGAGATGTTTGCTGCTCCGTACCGGGCTAGATTCGCATTGCGCCGATGAATTCGCAGAGCGAGTCCGGAGAGAACATGTGTCGCTATTGGGAGGGTAATAAGAAGTGGTTCCAGGGGAAACGATTGGTAGTATGGACGTGTGAGAAGTAGGTACCGTTCGGACGCGGGGACGGAGCGAGTGAGGAGGGGTATGATCGATGTATTCGTTATGTGGAAGGAGGCGAAGATCGTAAAGGCATATGTTGAGTACTTTTGTAACCTTGTCACTATAACTATTAGCTATCCACATTAAATTCCTGATCCTGTAGACTATTTACGATAGTAGACAGAGCTATGTCCACCTCCACTTAGGCCAAGAGTTGAGGAACTTGAAGGGGCAGGAGGAAGTTCAGGAAGCTCTTTCCCAAGATCCGGAGGTGTATCGATAGGTGAAGGGTCTACTTGTTGAAGTGACAAAAGGGTGTCTTGCGACGCCGTCGACTCTCGCCGATCCATCTTGATTTTGCTTAAAGAGTGAAGCTTGGTAATGTCTCTCTTGATCGTGGTCGTTTCGATTTAAGCTTATTTTGACGAGAGAGCTTTGACCACCTCCATCAGCCCCAGTTCCATTCTCCAAGCTCAAGCCAGTCATACACCAACACTTTTAAGTATTACAAAATGCCTCCTGTAAGTCCAGTTGTCGATACCTTTGCGACATGTACTAATGTTCCCAGCGCGGATTTACCAACCCAGCTCCCAAGACCGAAAGTGCTCGGGAAGCAGTGAAATCCTTTTACTGTCCGTCATGCCCTCCCTTTCTACCCCGCGCATGCTGACAACTCTAGGTGAACTTTGCAGCAAAGGCTATGCACGGATGAACGAATACGAAGCCCATCTCTCATCCTACGATCACTCCCACAAGCAACGCCTTAAAGACATGCGCCAACTGACCCGCGACCCTCTTGCCTCAACAAAAGCCAGGAAAGCTGAAGCAAAGGCGAACTCGCAGTCGGGACTTATATCTATCAAGCTAGGTGGAGATTCTGGTAGTAGTGGAAGCGCAGGTGGGATTAAGAAGGCAGGATTCAAGAAGTCGGGGTTCAAGAGTGCTTTTGCACCTGCGGATGGAGAACCAGTGAAGGAAGAAATCAAGAGTGAGGGAGGTTTCAAGACTGTGGCACCTGGAGCGAAGGTCCTTACCGAGCCAGCGGAAGGCGAGAGTGATACTGAGGACGAAGGCTATGAGATGTATGATCCTCGACATCCTACGGATTGAGCGTTCGAGAAGCTTTGATATGAAAACCGCCCAGAAAATTCTTCGACACTATGCCCACATATTAGGCTCCTAAGAAATCAAGTCACATCTCCAGCATGTCACTATAGTTCGGGAAACAAACGGAGCGGTCTGGCGCATACCATCAGGTCATTCTACATTCCACAAATGACGTGGAATGCTCACTGGCGGAGAGCTCATGAAGCAAAAAGATTTCTAGGGATGATGATAGGTCATTCTTGATGCTGAATTTCATTTCGTTTGACAATATTGCAAAAACCTAGAAGTACAAATGCGCTCACAACTCCCACTTCCAACGATGATCAGGGAGCATCCAAAGGAAAACCAAAGCATACCAGGGACACCAACGTATTCGCGAATTCGACAGTCGAAAGGTCTGAGGCTGCACTGGTTCCTTCATTCAACGCATAATTCTGCCCGGTACATCCCGAATCGGCATAGAGCTCGCAGCTCAATGCGTAACCCAAGGTCACGGAAACGGTGTTGTATTGCTGGTTCGTAGGCAAGGTGTAGCAGACTTCTACCTGACCACAGACTTCGTACGCGGCTCCAGCTGAATCAGCTTCGGTAAACAGTGTCACTACGTTGTAGCAGGAGGGTGGTGCTGGAGGAGCTGATGAAGTCGGAATTGCTACTGGCGCTGTGGAAGAAAATTGTAGCAAAGGAGCTGCAGAACTTGGTATTGGAGGGTTTTGGAGAGGTAGAGGTGATGCTGATGGTGTAGCACCTGGTGGTGGAGGAGTCGGAATTGGCTCACCAGGTGACGTCGGAATGATGTTCGGTGGCAAGGTGGGAACGGGCTCTCCTGGCGATGTCGAAATGGGCAATGGAAGGATATTCGGCAATGTAGGAGCTGTTGATGTGGGATCTCTTAGCGTGCTTTGGCTTATATTGAAGGAGCCAGAGATCACACTGCCTACAGCGGTGGCAGCTGCTACGTTGCCGCCATTAGGTTGACCAGTTGTAACCAGGGTATAAATGTCCCTGATTATTGTTATTAGCCATGTCAACATAATACGCTGTAAACAGTGTCATACCCAGAGTATACATATGTATCCGGTTGAGCTCCACCATTTCCCAATGTTTCAACGAGTATGCCTTGACATACTCCAGGATCGGCATGAATCCGTCCCGCAAAGGACGCAAACAGTAATATTGCATAAAGCATAAACATTGTAAGAACGTGGGGTGGCACAGATTCTAGACTTTCACTGTTGAGATTATGCTAAGACTATATAAGGTTTCCAACATTATTTGGTGGTTGCTATTGACAGTGAGTGATGAATGTATGGGGTGCATAGGAATGTGGGAGATTGCGGGAACGGGAGCGTGATACACGAATTCGAACGGAGAGACTTGGCCAGAGGACCTAGAATCGTGCCTGGGACTTTCGTGACTTGCCTGACCTCAATCCGCGTGCCAATACTTTTGCAATTTTGAAAATATTGCGTATCTTATGCCTTTCCAAATTAGAGTGAAAAGTGGATGTTTACCTTGAGGTGGCGATTCCAATGAATACTCTGATATTCAAGTCTCTGGATAGGCTTTCTTATTCTTGTTCTATGTTAAAGCTGTGAAGGCGGCATGCAACAACTAAGCAGTCTAGCTCGACAGCTTTCCAGGTAGTAACATTTTGAAGACTAAAATATATACAGGAAAGCTCCACCACATCAGCACACAACCACAGTTGAACCACCCACCCCTTCACTTCAGATTTATTCTAAGAAGTCGGCCAAACAGGACTATCCCAACTCTCACCAGCGGCAATCAACGCACTATCCAAACCCTCTCCTCCTTGTCCAACATGCATGAACTTTGTATACGCAACCTCGCTATAATAAATATAGCTCGTGTTCCTGGGGATGAATACCACATCGCCCTGTAACAGACTCAATTTCTCTCCCAACATCTCAACCTGCAATTGTCCTTCCAGAACCTCGAACGCGGCATGGCCAACAAACGTCCTTGTAGGAACCGTAGTATTGGATGAAACTCGATCAGTGGTTATGGTCGAGAGTGTGAAGTTGCTTGCAGATTGGGTGGCCGTGACGAATGGTTGAATGACTTGGTAGCCGTTTTGGCTGTTGAGGTACTTTGGTCCGTAGTCTTTGGCGACAAAATATGGGGTGTAGGCGTCTGTTGCAAGGGCATTGGAGCCTGTATGCCAAGTGGTGTTTGAGGGTGCCGTGCCATTGATAGCGTCGTACCGTGGAGAAAAGTCTGGTTGAGCGTAGACATCAAAACCTTCAAGGGTGGCTATTAAGCTTGCGCTAGGACCAGCGGCCGAGTCGGAGCTTGCATTGGCGGACGGGTCGTATGGAGAAAGAGTGGTAGACGAGTAGTTGCCTGACGATAGGGCGTAGAAGAGATTCCTGTAGAGTTTAGCTTTGTTCTGAGAAATAGACGGGAAGCATACTCAAAGCCACCAGGCTGGATCACACCAAGCATTTCAGTGTCAGGATCCAAGATCTGGAAGGTGTGAGTTGTATTGTGGGGTACAGCGCCATAGTCTCCTGGTAACAGAACTCGAGTATTCTGATCATCATACTTGTCTGTCCAAAGTTGAAAGCGGCCTCGAAAGTTGAAGAAGTTCTCATAGTGAACCTCGTGAAGATGTGGCAGAACGCCAAGAGCAGTCGAACCAGGTGCATTCGTTTGTATCAGAGAAAAGGCATAATCTGAAGAAGGACCTGTGACTGGGAAACGATAAATCTGCTGGCCAACTACACAGCCGCCAGCCAAGTAATGTTGGATGGCATATGGACGAACAGAAGTAGGTACTTCTGTGACCCAAATCGAAGAATTTGAGGGGCTTGTGACAGGAGCTGCTGTTGCAAAAGCAAAAGCCGCAGCACCAAGAGTAAATGAATAACGCATAGTGAAAGTGGAGAATTAACGAAAGTATTCACAGATTCTTGTGATAGAAAGGCTTTGAATGTTCTCGGGGGGAAGGAACACTTAACTATCTTGCCTATTACCCTGAATAACCTGGGAAAGTAAAACACTCGGTTTTCGGACTTTTCTCTACTGATGTGGACATGAACAACCAGCAAATTCTTGAGCTCCATTCATCATGGGCGAATCTAGTGTAAGATCACGATGCCCCTCCGCAGCTTCCGAGGTTCAAGGAACTCCTTGGAATCGCATTGCACTCCATCTCAAGTAAATACAATGCTAAGGCGAAGTGGGGATATCTTCGGGACTTCTATTGGTCCACATCGAAGATAAACGAACAAAGTGGACGTGAAGATGGTGGACGTTCAACGACGTTAAAAATGGAGAGCTTCGATATGCAGATCCCATCACTAAAAGGGGTCAAATGCCGGCAGTCCCTGGATGCCGTTGCTAAATGCCATTCGGCTCCGAAGCTAGTAATCGATCAAGTTTGAAATGTGGATGACTTCTGACCCAGAGTGAGAAATTGAGCTTGCGTTGCATCTCGTAAAAGGCAGGTGGACGTAGAGGCAGAGGTCAGAACTTCTCGTTACTCAGAGCGTATACTTCTGAGCTTTAGGTGCAGATATTTATAAGCTAAAATTAATGTTTAGTTTCGTAGAAGATCGAGAAAGATAGACTTTCCCAAGCAGGGACAGGGAAACCCAAGGAGGAAACCGAAGACTTTTTCTTCCCTACTGTTCCTGGGTGACTCTGCTCGACTCGTCATAGAGTCCTGATTTTCGAACTCAATGTTCTGAAATTAAACTCGGCCGTGAGTATGCAGCATCTCTAGGACGTACTTCCAACACGGCTCTCCAAATGATTAATATAGAGGCCAGCATGCCTTACTGTCTCTTGTTCCGCTGTCTTACTAAACCAACAGAGACGCCAGGAGCCAAAAATTCCATCCGTTGAGTCTCTTGTCTCTTGAAACCCGATATCTTGAAAGTTGAATAAGTTTGTTCACCTCGCCAATTATGAATGATCGGGACAAGGCACTCAGAGACAGCTATTCCTTAGAAACGCTAAGCCACTGCTTCATCATAGAACACTTATTCGAATACCAAACTGTTTCGAAGACAGCACAAGCAAGTTATCAATTGCGGAGATTTCTTGACGAATGATGAGACATTCTTTGAGTGACTCGAACGGGTCATGAGGAAATCGCTCGTGATTAGCCAGTCACGTGCTGATACTCGAGGCAAGCGGGGCGATCGCGAGGCTGAATCACTTCCCGTTCTCTTTGTCTTCTCTTGCATCATAAGAATCTCGACAATCACAACATCAAATCGCAACCTATTTCCTGACACATCATCTGCATACTTCCTTACCTACAACAACAAAACTACCTTGACCGAGATTTCCAGACTCGACACATATCAAAGACGGTTGAAACTAGCTAAAGCTGACCCCGCTATCACTATGAGCTTCGGCTTCATCCACAGCGCACTCGATCGAGTCCGTGAGTGGGCACCCGTGTCGCATACCTCGACTTTCCGTCAAAATGGACAGATCACACCAGAAGAGTTTGTCGCAGCTGGCGATTACTTGGTCTACAAGTTCCCAACCTGGTCTTGGGCTGATGCATCACCGCCTAGCAAGCGGTTGAGTTATCTGCCTGAAGGCAAGCAGTTCTTGGTTACTCGAGGTGTGCCATGCCATCGCAGACTCGACGATAACTTCGCTGGTGATGCTGGGCATGATGAGACGATGGTCGGAGACGGAGAGGACTTTAAGGGCGAAGGAACGCATTCACCTGGGGATGACGAGGATGGGTGGTTGAGAACTGGAGGTCTGGCAGCCAGTCAAGAGGCGAGAGTTCGCGATGTGCGGACGGTCGATGAACATGGCAACATGGGTGAGAGAGAGGATGATGAAGACGAGATCCCGGACATGGAAGATGAGGAAGATGATGAAGCTATCATACCAGAATCCAGAGCAGATGGGTCTGATTCGTAAGTTTTTTATACGTGGTATATAGGTAGATATTTATACTAACTACAACTAGACAACGACGAACGTATACACTTTACATCGCCTATGCGCCCTACTATCGTACTCCTCGCATCTACCTCTCAGGCTATCTTGCCAACTCGCAACCACTACCACCGCAGCTCATGATGGAGGATATCATCGGTGACTACAAGGACAAGACCGTGACCATCGAGGACTTTCCATATTTCGGTAACAACATCAAGATGGCATCAGTGCATCCTTGCAAACATGCTAGTGTCATGAAAGTCCTACTCGATAGAGCAGATGCAGCACTTAAGATCCGCCGCGAGAAGCTGAAGCAAGGAAAGATTGTAGCTGGAGCCAAGGACGCTGGGATGGAAGGACTACTCGATGACTTCAGCAAGACAAGCTTAGGAAGTGGAGATAAGAAGGCCATTCTGGAGGGTGCTAAAGCTGGAGGCAATGGAAACGATGAATGGGAGGTTCTACAACACGATGCTGAGGCTCAAGACGAGGAGGTGGCCATTCGAGTAGACCAGTATCTGGTTGTCTTCCTCAAGGTATGCCCCATTTCTTTGCACAACTCGGTGGTCCAGGCTAACAGAAACAGTTTATAGCAAGTGTGACACCCGGCATCGAGCATGACTTCACAATGGGCATCTAATTCTTCATTTGGGTGGTCCTCTGCAGATTGGTATAGGCGTGGGCGAGTTATATCAGCCGTGTATGTGGTGTTCGGAGTTTGGGCTAAGGGATCATAGGCAAGATCATAGAATGGATGACGAATTTGGACATAAATCATGATCTTCAGACTTTTTCCGACTTCACAATTTCATTTCATGTCTTTTGAGCAACTATCCCGTTGCAAGTTGAAAGTGCTTGGTGCCACTGTATCAAAGTTCGAGCTCCCCTTTTCCAGCCTGCCAGCTAGACCTTGCCTGTCAGAATATGGGAACCGGAAAAAAAGGCCCTGGGACTCTTGAAGTATTGTTCCATCAGATGCACTTTAGCATGACTGACCAAAGAATCATTTGTACTCTTGTGCATGTCCAATTCCCAGGGCAGTACCTCAAAGGGTCAGAATGCTACAACGTTTTGGTTGTGATTCTAAATGATCATTGCTGATGGCTTCATATTATTGATAACATCAACAAAGTACCTAGGTATGAATCATGGAGCTAAGCTCGCAGGTTTTCAAGACGAATGAGAAGGAGAATCATAACTTGTTACTTCTTCGACATGGCGATAAAGAATATTTGATGAATCGATACCTGCACTGTAACATTTTCACGTCCGATGTCACACTCTAGGACATGTACAAAAGGGGCGAAGTGTAGAGGCCGTCCTCGGCGGGTTTTCATGCTGACTTTCGAGATATTACGGAGCTGCTCCTGGGCCGAAATAATGGAGGAGGAAGAGTATACTTCATCTTCAGCACAAGAAGAGAAGCTTATCAATTTTTGAAACTTTTGCAAAGTGCAACAAAAGCTCTCCTATTTCTGCAAGAAAGTTGAGGAAGTGAGGTTGAGGTTGAAAATTGATTGAGCCTTGTCAGTATCGATTGCTTCCGAAGTTCAGCCTAAAAATAGCTTAACGGGCCGCAACTTTTCGTCGGCGTCCCAACATTTGAAGCTTTCTGACAGCTTGATAAACCATCCTCTACAACCTCAATTCCTCCTTCTCTTCCTCTCTTTCTTCGCAAGCTGCGGTAACATCTCAAGATGTCACGACTCTTGCGCCCAGCTTCTCGATTTGTGTCGTCGTCTGCCGCGCGACCAGTAACAGTCCGAAGTTCATTCCAATCTTTTCCCCGACTACCGGCGACTGTTCAGAGCAGAGGGTATGCGAAGGAGAGCGGTGTTAAGGAATACACGGTCAGAGATGCATTGAATGAAGCTCTGGCTGAGGAATTGGAGTTGAACCCAAAGGTGTTCGTGCTGGGTGAGGAAGTCGCTCAGTATAACGGTGCCTACAAAGTTACCAAGGGATTACTGGATCGATTCGGCGACAAGAGAGTTATCGACAGTCCTATTACCGAATCTGGATTCGCAGGTTTGACAGTTGGTGCTGCCTTGGCTGGTTTACATCCTGTTGTAAGTTCTCAATCGCAATTCCGGTGGAGCAAGAGCTGATTTTTGCGTTACAGTGCGAGTTCATGACCTTCAACTTCGCCATGCAAGCAATTGATCAAATTATCAACTCCGCTGCAAAGACCCATTACATGTCCGGCGGTATCCAACCCTGTAACATCACTTTCCGCGGTCCCAACGGCTTCGCGTCTGGTGTCGCAGCACAACATTCACAAGATTACTCAGCTTGGTACGGAAGCATACCAGGTCTGAAGGTTGTATCTCCATGGAGTGCAGAGGACGCCAAGGGATTACTGAAGGCTGCCATCCGAGATCCCAACCCAGTCTGTGTCCTCGAGAACGAATTGCTGTACGGTCAAACTTTCCCTATGAGCGAGGCTGCTCAAAAAGACGACTTCGTCATCCCATTCGGCAAGGCCAAGGTTGAGCGCGCTGGAAAGGATCTCACAATCGTCACCTTGTCACGCTGTGTCGGTCAATCTCTCGTTGCAGCAGAGAACATCAAGAAGAAGTACGGTGTTGAGTGCGAAGTCATCAACCTCCGCTCAATCAAGCCCCTCGACGTCGAATCCATTGTCAAGTCAGTCAAGAAGACTCATCGCCTGCTCTGCGTCGAGTCCGGTTTCCCTGCTTTCGGTGTTGGATCCGAGATCTTGGCTCTTACCATGGAATACGCTTTCGATTATCTAGATGGACCAGCTCAGAGAATCACTGGTGCTGAGGTGCCAACCCCATATGCGCAGAAGTTGGAGGAGATGTCGTTCCCAAACGAGCCTTTGATTGAGGCATATATTGCAAAGATGTTACGATTGTAAAGGAGGATGGATGGTGGAGGAGGATAGACGATGGCAACGAGATTCGAGCGTGTATTTCTATGGCGGCGGTCTAAATGTGACATAGTCAATGATACCAATTGACACCTGCAATGCATTGCTGCTCTTCAGATACACAAGAATATGTCTTTGTCCATCCCTTTTTTCCCCCTTTTTTTTCTTTTCCTTGAAAACTGAATATGAAGTGCGCAATCTGCGCCAATCGCGCGGAATGCGCTGGTTGCGCGGATTGTTCAATATCTTTTCCTACTATCGAACTCCGGCTTCTGCAGAGGTGTGTTGGTAATACCCCCCAAAGTCCTACTCACTTCTTCTGCACCAGAACAGCAGCATTAGCAAGAGCAAGAAAGCACCCACTGTTCTTATATTGTATCATTAATTTCAGTATATTTGGTTTTGGTCTCCTTAAATCATCATAAAACAAGACTTCAAAACGAGCTTCGCCATTGACAGCATCATACTGAAAAATGAATGTCCCGCTATTACTTGACACATTCTTCAAACCAGATTATCTGTCCTCGAATCCGCACTCTTTGGCAAGGAAATTTTCGCGTGTTCATGGCTATCAGAAAATATTAGTGGTCATTGTCTGGATAGCTGTAAAGGTTCTCACTTTCCTACCTGTGACAATCTCTATATCTTCGAATCTCTGTCCCTTCTCTGCCTTCCTTCTTTTTTTGACCCTCAGCTCTACGTCTCACATCTTCACGCTCCCCTCACACTTTCCATCTTCAAACCTTTAAACTCGTATACATCACATCACAACAAACTCAAAACTCATCATAAGCATCATAAATTCATACCCCTAGCCCTATTCATTATTTTACACAATTCCCAACCAACTCCTGCCTCAGAGCCCGGTAGTGCTAATACATATATACAAAGAAGGTAATACAATACAATAGAATACAAAAACATTTTTGCCTGCCGAATCGTGGATTTTTTGTTGTGAATGGAAGGAAGGATAGATGAATAGATTTGATGCCGCCTGCTTTTTGGGGTGTTGTACATATTTTTGGGGAGGTTGATGAGAATTTTGTGGTAGGTAGGTAGAAGGTCGTGTAGAAGGTCGTGATGAAGGTCGTGCCATCTTGACAAGCCCAAGTCGTTGAGCTAAGAAAGGGCAGGTCGTCCCGAATGTGCGCGTCTTCGGATCCGATAGTTTGCAAGTGGCAAACCATTGCCACAGGGAGGTCCGGAACCGTTTTGTTAGGGAGAAAGGTCCAAACTCTCTCAGCGATTTCGGAAGGCCTCTTTGCGCATCGCTGAGCGTCTCGTCTTGGTCCTATCGTTGAGGTGATAATCGACCACACTCTGTCTTCTCATCCCGAGATCCCAAACTTCCTCGCTTCCCTGGGACTCATTCCCAGTACTACCCTCCTCTTCCTATCCTTGAAAACTCTGAAGGTCGTCCTCTGCATCTTACTCCCACTTCCGTGTCCGTTCCCCTTGAACGTCGACAACCAACTAACCGTCCAACTCCCCACGACCTTGATCCTCTCCTCATTCCCCTCCTCAGCACCAGGAATCCAAGCCTCTCTCGCCTTCCCCATCCTCCTCGACTCCCAGATCCCCAGATCCTTCAACACCGAATGCGAAACATAGCAAACCTGACTCTGGTGGTCGACACTCGGCACCAGATTAACCTCCTTACTATGCTTGCCGAATAACGTGATCCAAGACTCGCTCGGTTCGGAAAAGCCCTCGTCGGAATGGAGGGAGGTCTGTAGGATCTATGAGTATTCTGTATCTAGAGTGTATGAAAGGGCTTTTATCTCACGCGAGATATATCCAATCCTGTTTGGGACTTTGAGTGTTGTTTGCGTTGTTGGTGCTTTTTGGAGTGGTCCTTGGCGGGAGGGAACCCGAATGCGAGGAAAGGGTTTACGGTCCAGGAATCGGGGTGGTCGAGGAGGTCTTCAAATCCTCCGGAGGAAGACTGACTGCCGGAATGGTAGCCGGAGTCACGGTCTGACTGTTGGGAGGAAGCGTCGTGATGAAAGTCCGAGGTCGATTCGCAGGTATATCCTGAATTATTTTCAGGATACCGCTCTGAATATTGCTCTTGGTCATATTCCTCGGTGGTTTCTGCTTCTGGGGCCGGGTTGTAGGAATCCCACTCATAATCATCTGAGACATGGTTAATCCCGGTGTGGCGGTGAAGGAACTTGAATGCTCTTACTTTTGTTCACGAGCCGGTATCGAACATAACACGAATGTTGGAGGTTCCACTCCCATTCGCTCCATTGTGAAGGATATGTTCCATGGTATTTCGACATGTAACCCATCTTTGAAGTATGAAGCCGGAATCGGTTTGATGAAGCAATGAAGCATCGCCTTGCTTCCAGGGCACCAAGATCGTGCCCGGAATTGTTTGCATATATTCAGACGGGGCAAGAGAAAAGACGGAAAGGAAGAGAAAAAGGGAGGTCGACGATGCCCGGTTCCACCAAAATAATTGAAGGTTTTGTTGTTGGCGGCAAGCTACATTATCAGGGTTCCACTCGGGAGGGGAAACGCTTCCCCACCCATGGTTTATACCTCTTCTCGCAACGATCAACCACGATTTTCCAGTCGACGGTCCGGAGTGCCATCGGAAAACGAAAATACCTCGAATTGGTTCACTTGGCTCCCAATAACCGATGTCCACGCCTAGGTCGGGCGAGACGTTCCTTCGATACGGTACAAGAGGATCTGTGTTATTTTGTTATTGGAGGTCTGACCAACCAATGGCCCTGGATCACACGTGAGTTGAAGTGAGTTGAGGGAGCCACGAGCGCGGGAGAAAACGAGGCTGCAACGCTGTTCCTCACGGCCAATTGATGCGAGACAAATTCTAGAAAAGATCCGCCTCAGGATCTCAGGTGATGCTGATCGCAGAACCATGAACGCCGCTCGACGGTTCTCGGGCGCGATTGTGCTGGAAGCAAGAACGTGCATGCATGTAGTGTCCAATGGCGAATTTTCTGGCCCCTCCGTTTGCTTTTTCGGGCTCAGAGGCTGCAGGTCAAGGCCAAGGAGGCCGAATTACCCGGTACCTTTCAGTTCGGGGGTCTGAAGCCGTTGGTGCCCTTCAAATAGTGAGGCGGTCCGTCAATCTGACACGAGCTGCATTCATATCGAGACGTCGCCTCGCCTCAGAACGATTCGTATATAGGGGTCTGGTAGAGAAGAAGAGCCGCAAGAGCTGAGCGCCAATGTGACCCCGCTCTTGTCTTTGCAGCAATATCTTGGTAGTACAGACGCAGAGACATCTTCCTGCAGATGATCGGCAAGCAGGATGGCTTCGTTCAGGTTACACCGTTACACTACCGTATGTTGGAGTACCGAACGATAGTGATTATGCTATTTTCCGTCATCGTTCTGGCTTTCGAATGTGCGATCAGCTACGTGAGCTTGATTCTCTTATCATTCGTGGCTTGGCTGCATGACTGCATGGCTGCTTTCAGCACATGCAGAGATGCATGTGGAAGGACATTACATTGGTTCCAGTCTCCTCCTGATACATGCCGTTTGGATGTGATAGATGTGCTGCTTTGTGAAATCAAGACGAGGGGAGTATCCGAGCACATGCAGGCGTGGGAATCCTCAGTTCGATTTCCAATGGTGCTTGTCTCGTTGAAAATAGGTACTTGATGACTGCATATGCAGACATCAAACCAATATGAACATGGGCAGATTGCAGATACCATTGCTGCAGTTGACGTTCCCTAAGTCGATGACAAAGCGTCTTCCTCAATACAGCTCTTAGAATAGAGTGACTTGCATCCTCGAAAGCCACTGCCTCTCTCTATAGACCTTTTGGGGATTAATCTATGTGGGCTAGCTCTCCCGCTGTCATTATTAGGATATCGGTGGAGTTCAGAAAATTAGAATAAATCAACATCAAGAGGTTATCCCACGGTCGGTTCTTGGAATGCCAGATCGCCTGATCTTGATGTATGTGCAACTTTCCAACGACGCACTTCGAAGTGGCATAGTAGGTAGGTTGTGATGATACGATGTCCGTCGTGTCGAAGTTCGTCTTGAACATCCTGGACAGGAGAGTCATCTAGACAAAAGCCGGCCTCAAAAATCTTGAATACCAGTCTCTCCGCCGTGTAAAGGACCTTCGCTCTCATCGGCAACCCATTCAGGCTCCTCATCGTCAAACCATCTCTCCTCACTCTCTCTTCTTTCCACTGCATCCCACTCATCATTCTCATCCACAGTCGTATAATCGAAATCCTGATCCTCTCCACTCAAAAACTTGAGAGTCATCACAAACTTCCACCTTTCAAGCCCCTCTTCTTTATTCTTCGGAACCTCATCTTCCTCTTCTGGCAGGACTTCGCCATTCTCGCCACGTGCATAGCTGACAAAAGGTACTGCAGCCACTGCCGGACCTGGTGATTTGGAAGAGGATGCTTCTGCGATTGGAGGATTTTGGGCTTTGATAGCAGCAAGCTTAGCCTCTGAGCGATAGAGATCTGCTTCCAGTACCCCGGAATAGCCTTTCGCTTTGCCGTCCGCTTCACGTTCGGACGCGCTTTGGAAGCGTCGGATACAGCGGTCGTATAGTAAGGGATCTAAGAGATGTCAGTTTTCGGCCAGATAACATGTACGTCATAGTCATTTAGAGATGGTACCTGTGAGTTCAAGATCTGGTGATGTGAAATATGAGGGATGTCGATCAAGGTATAATTTTCTCCTATTCTTAATCCGAATCTTGTTTCTCCGCTCAACGGCAACTTGAGGATCTTCTTCAGGCATCGTATTTGGGTCTTGGATGTGCGGCATGGTGCTTTGTTGCTGAGATGGGCGATGTGGCAATGATAAAGTCTTTGATGAGAAATGTGAGGTCATCTCACTGAGGCACGTGAATTTGGCTCTTTACCCTTTACTAAAAGTTTCACTTTAATGAAGTCGGTGACGCTTCGATGACCGCGGTCAGAAGAGGTGGATACAACTTTATAGGAAATGTTTGACGAAGGTTGTTGATGCCTTGAGAAATCAGGTCCAAGAAGCGACCTCGGCAACGCCCCTCATTATTCATCCAAATCTTCAGAAGAAAGACGACTTTATCAACAAATTTCATAATGAGTGCATCGATGCCTCTAAAAGAGGTAGCTGACCTTCCTTCGCCACCCTTCATTACCGTAGCAGGAATTCCAAATTTCCGAGACCTTGGTGGCTATCCCGTAGCAGCGCCCGCAAACCACTCCATCCGTAGAGAAGTCATCTATCGATGCGGAGAGCCATCTGCAGTCACTAAGGATGGCATCACTACGATGAGTAATTTGGGCATCACTCGAATCTACGATTTACGTTCAGTGCCTGAAATAGAGAGAAATAAGAATGCTGGACGTGGGGGCATTGTTGAGTGGGAGGGCTGTGAGCGAGTGTTTGTGCCGGTGTTCAGAAATGAGGATTATAGTCCCGAGAGCATAGCAGTCAGATTCAAAGATTATGCGGATGGAGGCCCTGAAGTATGTAATCTTCTCTTGAGAGGAATGAAGACTGATTTCTTGTGAAGGGATTTACGAGGGCTTACACTGATATCCTGAACAATGCTCCCTCCTCGTACAAGACTATCCTGCTTCATCTTGCAAATGAACCAGAGCAACCTCTGATAGTTCATTGCACAGCAGGTAAAGATAGAACTGGCGTCATCTGTGCCTTGGTCTTGTCGCTCTGTGGGGTGGATGATGAAGTTGTGGCTCACGAGTATTCGCTCACTGAGATCGGTTTGCCTGATGACTGGAAGAATGCGGTTATTGAGCACCTTTCCCATAATCCTACTCTGGCTGGAAATCCCGAAGGAGCAAAGAATCTCATCTCTGCTAAGTAAGACTCTTATTGTTCACCCAGACTTTCCTGCTGATGATCGTGCCAGGGCAGATAATATGCTGGCTACTTTGAAGATGGTCAAGGAGAGGTTTGGTGGTGCTGAAGGATATGTCATCGACAAGTGTGGGCTGACCAAAACCGATGTCGATAACGTTCGCAAGAATCTTATTGTAGAGAAACCTGCTGTTCATGTAAATATTTAGATTTCTGGACATTATCGTATATAGCAAGTTGGAAAGCCTACTTTCGAGCTTGGACCTCACCCGGTTTATGATACACTCAACATATAGAGTAGACTTCATAGACCACGTGTGACGGAGACTTGTCTTTATACTGGCAACGGGTCTAGCATGCGGAGGATTGTGGAGAAGAAGGCTTGACGGACGAGAAGGGGTAAAGCGCACGTGACAGCTTCAAGCTTATTACGCTAGTGTAGTCGAGTAGGAACTTTATTTTTTCCTCCAAGCATATTCTGAACGCTTCCGGTGTGCCATCCTGACACACTGAGTGCGGTCAAGATGCCACCGCCATTACGATGTCCGTCTCTATTTTCCTCCACAGCTTGCGCGAGTCAATTGTGTAGAGCGTCTCAAACTCCTCGATCCTTCTCGACGACGACACGAAATGATCAAAGGATAACGCGAGCACGGCGGCAACTCTTCCGATGGCTGGATACTCAAGGAGCAGCATTCAAGAAGCCACTACCTGGATCTACAAATTATATGGGTGCTTATAACAGAGAAGGCCAGTTGACAAGAGTGGTCAAGGCTTCCAGGGAGCAAGAGAGGGAGAGGAACTCAGGAGGGGGGTCAAATGAAAGCACACAACAGAGGCAGCCCAGCGACCCGAATAATCCTGATGGTGCCGACAACCCAGATGGAACAAAGGCTGCAACTTTACCACCGGAGTCCCGACGTGATCTTACACCATTTCCTTTGGATCCTCAATTCATCAGTCAACCTGTCCTGTCAGGTTGGTTCAAGGATCAGATATGGAAGCAAGTTATTCTGCAGGGCTTGTCAGTGCGGGAAGTGAGTGCTAGTCTAGGCGTCGAGATGAGCCGTGTGGCAGCTGTCGTACGTCTAGTTGAGATTGAGAAGGAATGGAAGCGAATAGTACGTATCTCATTTTCTTCTTCCAAGCATTACCTCCACGACTTTATGATGATATTATAAAAAATCGATTAGTCTTTAAGACAACTACATGGTTACAAAATTTACGCATGCGAGCCTCTCTGAAAGTCCTGTTGAACTTTTATGTTGTACTTAATTTTCAGATATGTTGACTAATTGCTATCTAGAATAAACCACTGATGAGACAGTATCATCAGGCTGTGATGAATATGCTTCCAAAGACATTATGGAATCCCGAAGAGACGACAGAGGAGAATAGAAAGAAGACGAAGACCCACGAATCGATCAACGATCTTCCAGTTCATGTTGCGACGGGACAGCAGATATTCCTCCCTACATCTGAATCAAGGCATTTCACTCGAAAAGATGCTGCGAGGGTTTTCGATGCGAAGCTGCTGCCGGCAGACGATAGAGTACCACACCCAGAATTAGCGGTCATGCACAAGGAAGTGCTTGAAGAGCTGTCAGACGAGGAGCGCAAAGCACGCGCTGAAGCGAGAGACGCAAGTGAAGAGCAGAAGAGAAAGGTTGCCCTTGCACGGCAAGCAAAAAAGGAAGCTTCCATCAAGAAAGTGGACATTGGAAGATTTGAATATCGATTTTCCGAGATCAAGGTGGATGATGCAGGCAAGGATGGAAGAGGTCTCAAGGGGGTTGGCTGGAGATATGGTGTTCCATTGATGGATAGAAGTAGAGGACAACACAAGATTCCTCGAGCCGTTGAATGATGAATTCTGGGCTCAATGGTGTATTTATATGCATGACGGAGTTCATAGGCTTGACCCGAGGATGGGTAGATCTTGTGTGTATTATGTGAAGATTATACTATACCACTGTACAATGAAGAACAAATGCCATCAAATGCCCGAGCATTTCACCTCCTTCAAATCTCTGTTGATTCCCTTGAAGGTGGTCCCAGCCTTGGTCCAAGACACCAGTGTAGAGAGTAAATACTCTCTATTTTACTCTTCTAGATATAATCAACTTAATCCTAGATAGTACAGCGAGGTAAACAGTGCTGTTTATTGAATACCGTATTAATTTTTTTCTCTAAAGTAATAGTCTGGAATAAGGGAGCTTTATAAGACATGGTCCAACTAAGCTCCTCCTAAGTGAAAACTTCATATAGTATATGCTAGCATGCCCCAACTCTAAGCTTTTCCTACCTAAAGTCCTCCTCTTGCTCTGCTTTTCCGCGACAAATTGTCGAAATTTAAACAATTTTATTAGGTATAGCGTATTGATTCTTGGATAAGATATGGTCCCCGTTTCCTACCTCTATTTGCCTATAAAGATATATTTTAGAAACCAATTAATACGGTAATGTTCCCTCGTTCACCTGGCTTGAATTTTGTACACTCTCCCAATCAGGTCTAGCGTGAACGTTAGCTCCGCCCTCCGAAAATGCCAGCCTCGCATAAATACCCACGCCTTGCCCGCCCCAAGACGGCTTCTTGACGCAAGGCTTGATCTCGCAAAAGAATCACCACATCTCCCGCACACAATTTAGAACAAGCTACCGTCATCGAGAACTGCAAAAACAACGGACGACCTCAAGTGTTCGATATTACAACAAAAGCTCATCGGAAGAACTTTGAAGCCGTCACCATGTCTGACAAGGAGTTTGGTGGTGAGTACCTTCTTGATGTTCGATCGAGTTTGCTCTGCTTGTTATTTATGATGACTGCATCATGGTGTTAAGAGAAGTTCTCTCTCTCACTACGTTGGTGAATGCAAAGTAGTCCGGCACTTTCACACTTCACTGCGTGTGTTGATGGTGTCGTTGTTCATGGTCAATCCAGCAGTATTGAGAGAAATTTCACCTTTCACTCTATTGGGAAACACAAAGTTTTTCTATACTTTTACACACCTGCTCGCTACTCGCTACTCTCTTTTCGCGACTCCCCTTTCGCTACTTTCCCCTTTCGCGAGTTCCCCCGCGCTACTTCTACTTCTTCTACTGCTCGCTACTCCACAGGCTGTATCTCTCAACATGGCCAGAATTAGTTCAGTGTGGAGCAAGATTTATGCTGGTACTACCTTCGGACATCGTTTACTTGCTTTGCTAGACGTTTGTGTCAGTACATGCTAACTTTCTCATCAGGAAATGATGACCTGAGTTTGCCAAAAGGTAAGAATTCACTCCCCTTAGCGAAAGATGTCTAACCTTCTTCTAGCAACTGTCCAAAAGATCGTCTCTGAAATCCTCCCACCAGCATCAGGCATGGGTTTCACCAAGGATGCCCGAGATCTCCTCATCGAATGCTGCGTCGAGTTCATCACCCTCATCTCCTCAGAAGCCAACGAGATCAGCGAGAAGGAAAGCAAGAAGACCATCGCCGTTGAGCACATCACCAAGGCTTTGGAACAATTGGGATTCGGCGACTATGTTGCGGATATCAACGAGGTTGCTAATGAGCACAAGGAGCAACTGAAGGCAAGTTTCCCCTGTTCTCCTCTGGGATATTACTAATGGTATGTGCAGGGACGAGAGAAGAAGGCCAACAAGCTGGAGCAAAGTGGCATGACGACTGATGAGCTTCTGGCAATTCAAGAGGCTGCTTTCAAGGAGGCTGCTCAACGACATGGATGAACCTTTCTTTCTTTGACTGCATGGTTTTCTAATTATCGCATGGTATTCAAAATTTCGTCGCATAGCTCACTGGGTGGATATGAATGGGTAACAGGCGTTGGTGGATAGCAAATGCGACTCGGTTTCTTCATGGCCCTCTCCAAATCGAACAAAACCTATACCAAAGTGGGTGCATACCAAACAACAGTTTCCCGTCTCCAATTTTCCATTTCTGGGAACAATTTTTCTTTGTCTGCTTCTTTGGACATATTCTTCAATTAACATTGAGCTCCGCACTCCTCGGGAATGGTTCAAGCAAGTGTGAGGCTCCAAAGTTTAAGTTAAAAGTAGCATCAGTGGTTTGACCTTGAGTACACGTTGACACTCGCTGATTGACTTGATTCTATTTTCAATGTAGTCTTGCTTGGACATATTTATACCACGTCAAGAAACACAGAACATTCTTCATTCAGTACAAGAATGTTCTTTATGTCCAAATATGCTCTCAAATTCCTCAAAAGTCACTACATATCGCCAAATCCCCTCTCTCCCAACCCTCTAATCACTCATCCCCACCAACTCCAGCAGCAGGAGTAGTAACCGTCTTCGAACTTGTCGTCCCCCCTTTCCTCGTAGTCGTCGTCTTACTAGGTTTCGAAGTTGTAATCGGCATCATCGACGACGTAGGTTTTCTCGAACTCACCGACGTAGCAGAAGTAGCCTTCGGAACCGCAGCCACCGGCTCAGGACAATCGCCTGTAAGAGCCGGGACGGCGTCTAGGCCTTTGCCGATGGGGACTAGGTTTGAGCCGCAAGAGGCCGCGTTGGCCAGGTGGATGTTCATGTTGTCTTGGTCGTAGACAACTATTTTGGTTACATTAGTTGGCTTAAATGGGAATAGGAGAAAGGGGTCGAACCGTAAGCAGCTCGTAGAAAGCTGTCACCAAGCACGTAGGTTGGATCGCCGGCAGCGTTCGCCATGACGCCCAGAGCACAGAGGTCGACGTCCGCTTGCCACACAAACTCATGGTACGGGACTCTGATGGTGGTGTTTGCGAACCCAAAATCGAGGAATCCTTGTTGTTGGAGGGCGGAGCAGGGGACGGTATATTGTCCGCTTCCAACGTTCTTAGCACCTGGGAATAGGGCAACGATGGCTGTGACGATTGTGGCGGGGAGTTGGGAGAGGGTTCCGCCGGAGTCGAGGAAGACGGGTTGGGCGGTGCCGGAGAAGATAGTTGTAGTAGTCTTTGAGGGTGTGGTTACTGAGAGGGAGGTCATTGTGATCCAGTATCTGGATAGTTAGTTGAATTCATAGACGGAGGATGGGAGGTGGACGAACCTGGGAAATCCATCTGGAGACTGCTTGTATGGGACGATAGCTTGCTTCCCCAATTTACCATAGAACTTCTTGGTGTCAATTCCACCAAAGACAACAGCGCCTGTTATTGTCAAGAACCTGCTTCGTTTTTAAGAGAGTTCAACTTACCGCTTGAGCTATCGACACCAGCAAGATTCAAGCTGAAGGCTCTACTATTCGTAATATTCTGAGCAGCCATCTGATCAATGATATTCGGATACGCAGTCGTGAAATTAACCCCGAATCCAATACCAAGCAAGCCAGTATCCAGGCTCTGCGTATCACTCGCAACGCCAAACTGCTGGGCCTTGATGTCTGCACCTTCGGGAAAATATCAGCAAGTGTCACCACAACATGTACAGTCTCCTCACCTCCAAGATGCACATCATCAGTATAGAACGTCCCCTGAGCTCTCCCAATACCATATGCTAAACTCATGCTATTCCCCAAATTCTTCGAGCTTGAAGAAGATGCTGGCACGTACTGAGCTATGCCTGCACAGAGATCGCTTCGTTGGCCTGTGATGCAGGTAGGATTCACCCAAGTATCGGAGGATCCGGTGTCAAGAGCTAGGGTGATGTTCTGTGGGGGCGTCCCGATGCCGACTATAGTGGTTAGCAATGTGGTAATTGAGGAATTTGATGGCAATCACATGAAATCAGATATTCCAAGCCTTGGAACATGTTGATCAAGGGGTTGGCGACCTGCCTCTTTGATAGAGAAACATTCTTGGGCTGGATCGAGTGAGTTAGTATTGAAGACAGGAAAATGAAGCCAAGGTTATGGGATTTCGATGCTCCAAGTGGAGTCGTACATTGTACAATGGGATTAGGGGAGCCATGAATTGTGCATAGATTGGCATCTTGTAGACTTACAATTCCCGTGATGGGCACTTCAAGAATACCTTGAGAAGCATAATAAGCCCGCTCATGCAAAACCGCCACAGACGGAGCCACCAAAAGAGCAACCTCAATCAACGAGAACAGCATCTTCGCCATATCTCTCATCAAACTCTTGCCCAGAAAAGAAGAATATACAAAGAATCGTAGGACAAGCGTCAAGACCCTTCCCAAAAGGCGTACTCACGCCGTGGTATATATGCCAACCACCCCGCATAACTCAAGGAACCAAGCTTGTGACCATAGATGGTAACTACTTTAAACGCAAATGCTGAAATTAACTATTACGGCAGTTAAAGCACCGGTAGGACAGGGGGGAAATATATGCTTATTCTTGAGGTTCGCGTTAAACATATTATCCTGTTTGATTAATATTAGCGAGCCTAATTGGTGGTACCAAGCACCGCAACGGGAGATGCGAGAAAGGGTTGCGGTAGAATGCATCCTGGCTAGTTTCATGTAGGAGGTTGAGGAAAGTCTCGGCAGCCATATGCTGAGTTTCAATTGAGGTATTCCGTCTTGTGATAGTTGGAGAGAAAGGAGGTTCTAGGTTCCCCGCAATGAGTGTAAAGATGTCTTCGCCACTTTGACGAGAATATTTGACGTGGTCAGAGAGCGCAAGATTTGTTTCATAGAAACTGTTTGCAGTTTATGTGAGGACAGGTAAGCAGAAATAAGATGCATGATCCATGATGAAGACTGAAGCCCTTTCGTGACGAGCTAGTTTGAGCACTTGCTAATGACCCTCGCTGCCGGTACTATACGACGAATTGAAATCTTCCTCGAAGAACCTCATGACTTCTTGACCGCTTTGAACGCACATGCTTGAACAGTTAGATTGAGTCCTACCTATGTATCACCATAGACAAAGACTCCCTTCCCAGCTCTGAAGCCTCCAAGCGTCCCTTGAATGGCTTCTTTCAACGTGCCTTCTTCAGTACCCCAATCCCATTTCAGCTCTTGCACAGGAATATCCTTAAACTTCCCTTCCTTAGTCATTTCTAGAACCTCATCAACAGTCCTTTGCTTCTCTTCAGGATTCGCATCGCTCCACCTACTAACCCAGAATCCACTAAACTTGATGTCCTTGAAGATCAGAGCTGCAGTCGGTAGTTGCAGAGGTTGTTTTGACATTCCACCATATGTGACCAAGTGTCCGCTCTGACTTAAGCATTTCACCAATGCGCTGGTAGGCTTTCCGCCAACACAATTCAGTCCGACCTTGATATGTTCTCTTCCGCCATTCGTCCACTCTTTGACTTGTTCAGAGAAACCTTTCTCCATCAATTCGCTCTCAGTAACCACTTTCGTAGCTCCCAATCCCAGTAACTCATCCTTCATAGCTTGCGTCACAGCAGCATCTGGACGATCCCGAATGACGTTTATAGACTTAAGACCCCACGCAGCGCCCAGCTGTATAGCCGCTCTCCCAACTCCAGAATTGGCTCCGTTCTGAATAAACCAATCTCCCTCTGACAAACTCTCAAAGTCCTTCAGCATCCGATAAGCTGTACATGGATTGACCGACACAGTGCCGACTTGTACTACGTTCAAGCCCTTTTTCTCAACTCTCAGTACGTTCTTCTCTTCTGCTAGAGCGTGAGTCCGCCATGTGCCGAAGCCAGTGTGCTTCATTATCACCCAGTCGCCTTTCGTTACTGATTTGATGGACGAGCCAACGGACATGACCTCGAAACATCCTTCGTTGCCTCCTACGGCGGATGGAGAGGATGTCCCAAGTAGGGATGTAAAGGGGGGTTTGGAGGGGTAGACGCCTTGGATTTGGTTTATGTCTGCGGGGTTGATGGGCGTTGCTAGTGTTCGGAGAAGGAGAGAGTTTGAAGGTAATGAGGGGGAGATCGAGTGAGTGTGTAAGCTATTTGAGATCAGTGATTGTCCTGGGGATAAACACTGGAATATGCACAGCAATTGACTTACGAAAGGACATCAGATGGCTCTCCATATTTGGAGTAAACCAGAGCTTTGGCTTGCGTATAGCCGTACGGACCAGATTTATGCCTCCTGCATACTACTGGCCCCAATGGCTTTCGTAGAGTCTTGGCAGAGCTTCTGCTCGCTCTGATACTCCTTTCCAAGTTCATGGTGGTGTTATGACTTAATTGCTTCAAATATCACCAATTTGTTTTCATGCCAAAAGCTATCAGGAAATCTTGGCCTTAAAATAAATGACGTTTACCGAGGCGATTCGATTTGGCTGTAAAACCACAACAGGGGTCAAAGCACGTGGCTGACAGATGCATGTTTGACTGCATGTTCTTAGGCTCTAGCTTTAGTCTCCGCCTCTCTGGGGCTTGCTTGTAGTCGTCGATCAATGCGTGTGATTATTGGATAGAGTTTGGAATTCCTAGTATTAACAGTTGTTTTCGGGTTTTACAAGGGCTGCTGCAAGGAGCAAGCATTGGATAAACATTCAGGGGTAAGGGACATATAATCAATGCAAAAAGTGACTGTGAAGTCTTTGTAAAGCGGATTCTGCATATTCCATTATGTGCAGAAGCTCTCTGGTTTGATATCTACATTTGAAAGTTTGAGATAGGTGATAGAAGTCCGCAGACAAGGACAATAGGACAGCGACATGTCCTGAGCCTCCTGCTCGTAAGTTTTTGAAAACCATTACTGACAAAGGAATTTTTGAGTCCCAAGTATGAAGGACATGATGATCCAAAATGCTGCCAGTATTACAAATGCTGCCCAGTTTGGCATTACAATGCCTCGAAGTAAAGGAGATAGCCACCCGAAAAAAAGATATTGATATGGACATTAGCAATACAAGTTGCCCAACCAAAGAGAAATGAATGAAAAAGAGCAGTCTGCTCACTCCGAGCTGGGTATCTCAATCTTCCCCACCCTCATCCTATCTCTAGCAATGCATCAAACGTCGTGAGCCAATGCCAGCATCCGGTGACCATATCAACATCCAGCCATGATCGCATATCCGTGGTCCAGCTTCATCTTGGACATTGAGCCTACTTGATATTCTTGAACATATCCTCCGCACCGAGACTTCCATCATCATTGTCGGGAATCTTCGCCCTCAATTTGCTCAATTCCGGCAGCTTCGGTGGCGGTGGACCCATTGGTTTCGGTGTACTCTGCTTGTCCTCATATATGATGCTCGCCCTGCTTGGAGACCTATCGTCGGGATTGGGAGCACCACTGCTACTGAATCGCCTGAACCAACCTCCACTCTTCTTCTTCGCGATACTGGGTCTTGTACTCGCAAAGCTCATCGCGCTCTCCGGCCTATCAATCATCGTCACATCCTCGTTCGACAGATTGCTATTCGTGCCATTTGTATAATTCGTGTTGAGCGACTTCCTCGACAGGAATCGGCGAATGCTGCTCGGCCTCTTCGTCGAGACGGGGCTCGTGGGCTGTTGCTCTATCGATACGTTCGTGCGCCCTCTTCCTTCATACGCTCCATTCGCATTCGTGGCTGTCGCGGATTGGCCATTCGTCGCTGGAGGAGCAGCAGCAGCGCCGTTGGAGGCTGATTCGGGCGCGACAGCAGGAGCTTTCTCTTCTATGGGCGACGCGGGCGGAGGCGGGATATTCGTGCCATCAGTCAAGGAGAAGTTAACGGGGGTAAGTTGAGGCAATTCGAATCGCCCAGTGCTGGGCTTGCCGTTTGCTGGCATTGCGTTGTCCTGGTTGATCCCGGCAATGTATTGCTCAGCTGCAGAATTCTAGAAGCAGCAGTGGAAAAGAAGCAAATAAACAGAGGCAGGTAAATCTTTCAATTTGGGGGAGAGGGAAGTGTGGCTCGTGCCCTTGTGAAGCTCCTTTGGGACGAGATGATCAGGTATTCGTAATTGCGGGTGAGTAGTGCCGAGTGGAGGGATTGCCGGGAATTTATATCGTGAGTATCTGTCTCCATGAAGAGTCACAGTAGAATTCAAAAGAGAGTGAATCTACAAAGAAAGAGGGAGAGAGAAAGTGAATTGGGAGGGTTCGAGATTCGAGGTCTGTCTGTGATGTGATGTGACAACTATCGGATCTTCGTTTGACACTCTGATCTCATTTAGAGTGCGCCAATCAGCGATGGTGCCAGCGACGGCTTGAGACTGACAGCAAACGGAGCGGGGAGACAATGAGGCGTGGTCAGACGTTCCCAAGAACTTACTGTCCTAGCTATCACGGAAGTTCTATAGCTATGAACTTTCGACAATAGTTCGTGCAAGCCATGGTAAGATTAATTCTCCGAATCTCATAATCAAAGTACATAGTCACGTGCATCATGCACAAGATAGGGGCTAGAATCTAAGGTCTTCTTGATCATCAAGCTTGAGATAGGGTAGATGCTTTTGCATAAAAGAAACTTAGATGTTCTAAAGTCTGTTGTATTAGAGATATAAGAAGTCTCTGCTATGATCTCAGCCTATCGTGCCAAGCGCTTGCAAGTGCAGATAGATCATGAGTCATTTTGCTGTCCAATATATACAACCTTAAAGCCCTCACCATCACTGCATCTTATCGTCTATCTCCTATTCACACTCTGCACGAGTATAATTTATTCATTAATACCTCTGGCCTCTGTTCCACTTCACCATGACTTCAACACCTCGTCCTGTCCAATCAGTGAGCAACTCCGAGCTCTACAATCGGTGGGCAAAAGTAAGTCTCCATGATTTCTATCTCCACATATTTCAGCATCCGGCATCTTTCAGCTCATATCCCAGCATGCTCATTGCTTTTTCACTCTTCGCGGCCCATTCCGCAAAAATGTCCGTTCACAAACCCGAAATTTTCGAGTCTTGAATCTCGAGTATATCAGATTTTTGTAAACTCGTTTGGAGTTTGGACTTGAGAACAGACATTCCCTGTATCTGAAAGACTTTCGCTGACAACCACTCAGGTATATGACACAGATGGAAACATCCTCCAAGCAATCGACGACGTCCTTCTCCCACCTCTCTTGGACCAAGCTTTAAATCACTTCTCATCATCAGCACCGATCACAATCACGGAACTAGGCTGCGGCACTGGCCGGAATACAGCAAAACTCCTTCTCCCATCCATCACCTCAAATATCAACATCACAGAGATCAATGCCTTGGATCTCTCTCCTTCTATGCTCGAAGTAGCCAAGCAGAGATGTGAAGCTTTGTTAGATTCCACCGCTGCGAATGCAACCTCTGCTCCACCAACACTTAATTTTCAAGTCTTCGATGCTCTGGATAGTTCGAGTTTAACAGAATCCGGTCTTGAGGGAAAAGCAGATCTTGTGCTCTCGACACTTGTCCTTGAGCACTTGCCCTTGGACACCTTCTTCAAGACTGTAACCAAATTCTTGAAACCAGGTTGCGTATTGGTATTGACGAATATGCACGCTGATATGGGACGAATGTCTCAAGCTGGATTCGTGGATCCGGAAACCGGAGAGAAAGTGAGGGGAACGAGTTATGTGTATAAAGTGGATGAAGTGGTACAGGAAGGGAATAAGTACGGGTTTTATGTTGTAGGGAAAGTTGCAGAGAGGCAAGTCACAGAGGAAGATATTGGTGAGGCGCGATTGTTGGGGCCGAGAGGGAAGAAATGGATAGGCGTCAATGTTTGGTTTGGCATGGTCATGCGCTTGCGTGTAGATACCGTCTGAGGGTTGATGACATAATAAGAATAACGAGTTGATAAAGCTCCGGAGTGAATGAAAGTGCTGTGAGGCATTCGATGCACAGATTTGTTACAGATATGTACAAAGTCGAGTGTTCGTGCTTCGTGACCTTGAATAATACAGCGGAAATCTAGTACATCGAGGGGTATATTCAATTCAAGAGTATGATCGTGAGGCTAGGTTATTGTGTTAGAGGTGTTAGATGAAGACACCAATCCATCCCTCAAGGGTCGTTGTTTTCTGATGTCTTGATTTGCTCCCATATTTCGAGAGCAGCTTTGAGATCGCGACTAATCTCTTTGTCCGTACGTGGTTTGCGGGATTCCCTAGGTCCATAGGTCTGTACATGTCGAATCTCTGGGGTGAGCTCAGAGGCATATTCACTCCATGGCTGTCGGTTTTGATCCGAGACGGGATGATACTTGCGATCGAGAAGTATCTTTTCGATTCGAGGACCAATTCCTGGGGCAAGATTCTCCTTTTCGCCTAGGTACAATTTACGGAGTTCGTCTAATACACCATTTTTGACAGCAAACTGCTGCAGAGCTGGAGTCCTGAACAAATTGCGAGCGTCTCTGAAAGCTTCGAGCTTCTCAGCTATGGTGATGACACGTTGATCATCACCAAATTGACCAATGATCTGTATGCCTGTGTAATTGGGATGGTCTCGACGTTTATGCTGTCGAGATATCGAGAATGGTACACTTATAGCAGGTAGACCTGCTAGACTTGCTGGGACGGTGAAGACATCGTTCATATAAGTATCAACCGAATTTTGCGTGGCAACGTACTGCAGGCTCGGTGCAGCAGTCGGAGCTGTAGGGCATACAATAAAGTCCACCTGAGGCGGACCCAATTTGTCCATCATTGGTGTAGATTCATCAAGATCGCTGAGGTCGAAATGCTGAGTTGGCAAAAGAGGATTTGGGACTGCAAAGACGCGGTCAAAATCTCGCTGAACGAGTCGCCGGACCTTCTGAGCCTTCAAGAAGTAATTATCTCTTGCTTCAGAGCTCAGGGTGTAAGACCCTAAGAGGATTCTTCGCTTGACTTCTTCGCCAAAGCCGTAACCTCTCGTATTCGAATACAAGACATGACCAGTTCCTTCACGCCATCCTTCAGCGCGAGATCCATATCTGACGCCATCATATTTGGAAAGATTGGAGGCGGCTTCGGCGGGTGCCAGAACATAATATGCGGAGAGAGCATGCTTCGTATTAGGAAGGGAGATGGGTACCAACGTAGCTCCATTAACTTGAAAGATTTCCAAAGCATCTTTCCAAATACTTCTCACACCATGATCAAGTTCCTCGATGTTGTACTCTACTGGAATGCCAATCCTGACATTCATGAACTTGGTGTCGTCGTCCTCAGATTCCCATTGTCCCAATCTCTTCCTGCGTGCCCTCTCTCTTTTTCTGCTCTTGGTAATTGACTGTCGTATACGGGACCTGGTCTCTCCTGTGAGCGATGTTGGGTCTCGAGGGTCAGGCTCTATGGCACATCTGAATACACTCATGACAGATGTAGCGGACGGGGCCAGAATACCAACGGTATCCATAGAATTTGCGTAGGGCACAACTCCCCACCGTGAGATTCTACCATACGAAGGTTTAAAACCTGTCACACCAGTATAGGCAGCTGGCAGCCGTACAGATCCACCTGTATCTGTCCCTAAAGCCATGTCGCATTGGAGAGTAGCTACAGCGATAGCACTTCCTCCAGAACTGCCTCCCACAGAAATTCTCTCAAACGGAGTAGTGTTCGTGACAGGACCAAAGGCGGAATTGGTTGAGTGAGATCCCATTCCAAATTCATCGAGATTGGTTTTCCCAACCACCGTTCCCATACAACTCCGGAGCTGCTCGAGTACCCCTGCTTCGAAAGGGCTCCGGTATGTTTCTAATGTTTTTGATGCACATGTTGTCGGCGTAGACAAGGTAGTGATGTTGTCTTTGACGGCCATACCTCGCAGCGCGTAGGGGAGCACATTTTTACCTATTATATGTGTTAGCACTTTGAGCTGACGATGCAGAATAGAGATTGCAATGGACCTTCTGGTGCCGGGGCTCGAGCATCGGGATCTGGCTGAAGAATGAAAGCATTTCCAGGAGCGAGCGCTCTGTGAAGAGTCCCTGTGGCGCTTTGAGCTGCTAGGCGTAACATCTGTCTTTGATTACATTGGCAATAACATTGAGTTGATAGAGCACGACGTATAGAACCAAGGAATATTGACGTGTTGAGTGTGCTGTCTTTCTGGGAATCGAAGGTATCTCGAAATAGTTTGCGAAATCCTTATCTTATCGCTCCCAGCCTCTCACAAGGCTGTAGCTGCATATCAGTCGTCACATTGCACAACCTTGTGAGCTTCATCCTTCACTCTCAACTCTTCACTCCAAATATTGTGTTTTCCACCAAAAACTGTGAAGATATTCCATTTCGAGAGCTACAGCTTCCAACGCTGTCTTCTTTTCATTTTGTTTTCGTATCTGGACTTCTCAACAATGACGAAGTGGTTGTTGACATGGACCGCTACCTTCCTGGTACTAGCTGCTGCAGAGCAACCTGAAGCTCCCAAACCTGTCGCAGCTCCTATGAGGCCTCTGCCATGGGGTCAACTTAATTTCATGCAGACAACAGATACCCATGGCTGGCTAGCGGGACATCTACAAGAGTAAGCCTCAGCTATACCTCAATACTTCCGTGGACAGAACTCTGACAAACTTCAGAGCACAATACTCTGCGGACTGGGGCGACTATATCTCATTTGCAGAGCGTATGCGGGAGAAAGCAGATGGTTTGGGGGTGGATGTTCTTCTCATTGATACAGGCGATCGGATAGAGGGCAACGGACTCTACGACTCAACAACACCGAAAGGGAAATACCTATACGATATCATCAAGGAACAAGATATTGATGTCCTATGTACTGGAAACCACGAATTATACCAACTCGATGCTGCAGACCGAGAATACGAACAGTCCGTTCCGAACTTCAAGGGTAACTACCTTGCTTCAAACCTCGATTATATCAAGCCAAAGACGGGGGAGCAAGTTCCTATGGCACCACGATTTAGAAAATTTACGACCAAGAATCAAGGCATCCGAGTATTAGCATTTGGGTTTCTCTTTGACTTTACTGGGAATGCCAATAACACCGTTGTTCAACCAGTAGAGAACACTATCAAAGAAAAGTGGTTTCAGGACGCAATCAGAGAAGATGTCGACCTTTTCGTTGTGATCGGACATGTCATGTTAGATGGACCTGAATACAAGGCAATTTTCAAGGCTATTCGGAGCCAGAAGTGGGACACGCCTATTCAGTTCTTTGGCGGCCACAGTCATATTCGCAACTATGTCAAGTACGATTCGAAATCTTATGGCGTGCAAGCCGGCAGATATATGGAGACCATTGGATGGATGTCCATCGATGGCATTAAGGGGAAAGGAAAGAAAGACTATCCGAAAGAGCTTGCTAGCATGTCATTCAAGAGAAGATACATTGACAACAATCTTTTCGGATATTATTACCACACGGGATTGAACGAGACAACCTTTACAACAGGGCACGGGAAAAACGTCTCGAAGCAAATCCACGAAGCAAGAAAGGCAGAAGATCTTGATGAACTCTACGGATGTGCACCCAAAGATCTCTGGCTTAATCGAGCCCCTTATCCAAGCAACGACAGCTTGGTCACATGGCTGGAAACTGAGGTTATTCCAGTTATTACTGTTAATGAGGACCGAAAGGATGTCCCTCGGCTTGCACTCACCAATACGGGTGCCATGAGATTCGACGTCTTCAAAGGACCCTTCACCCGCGACACAACTTACATCCTCTCTCCGTTCGTCAGCAAATTCCTTTACATCAAAGACGTGCCATACAAGTCCGCAAAACAAGTTCTCAAAATCATCAACAGCGGAGGAGACTTTTTCACATTTAGCGACCACGAAGCTACTCGTTTAGCACCACCAGAACAAATGTACATCAAATCCGCAATCATCGCTCCTAGCGTTCCAAACCACGACTACATCCCAGGAGCACAATCACCACTCCTTTCATCAGCACCAGATTTAATTCCAGGCTATACAACCAAAGATGCAGCAGGAGATGACGGAGACGATACGCTGCACGCCCCCATCACCTTCTACCCCGTACCCAACGTGATCCAAAGCGCCATTGCCATGCCCGCAGAAGGTGACCCGGAAACGGTAGACCTTGTCTTTATCGATTTTATCAAACCGTGGGTTTTAGTGGCTTTACGATTCACGGGGCAGATTTATAGCGAGGCGGATGTAGAGGTTTACATTGAGGAGACGCTGACTGATAAGATGGTGGGCTGGATTCGGGAGAATTGGAAGCAGGATTGCTAGATTGTACACTATGGTATTTGGAAGGGGATGAACAGATTGGGGATATCTGCAGGCGTTGGGTGTGATTTAGCTACTGTTAAAGATATATTTCTGTATCAAATTCCAGAATTTGCAACATGAACCTCGGCTGTCTCCCAATATCTCTCGTCTGCTACCCCCAAAAATCAGAACATGGCGCTTTCCATTTAGGCCAGTCCAAAAGGAGGCGCTCCCGACGGTACCTGCATGCATGCCCCACATGTTAGGTTAGGGGCGCGCCTACCTTATTATTACTCGAGTACCTTCATACTTCACATCAACGTCCTCAAACATGAACACAGAACCTTTCCCACTTCCATCACAAGGCTTGTTGATGTTCTGAGCTACGATTGTCTGACGCGAATTTCCTTTCTGATACAACTTTTCATCAACCTCTCATCAGCCATTGAACCTTTTGGTAGGCTGAAAGTACTGCTTCTCGATCGACTAGAATCTATTCACAACATCTAGCCTATCGCCCTCTTTATCCTCTTATCTGCCTCAATTTACGACCAATCCAAATTCATGGCACGACCCGTCCATACGGAGATGCAATCTGCAATCACTCTCCACCCAGAGGAAAGCAATCATGTCTCTGCAACCCCAACGAAATCGATGCAAGAAGAATCACAGTTTACTCTCTTTCCTAAACTTCCCAGAGATATACGTCTGCTGATTTGGAAGCTGCTATGCCTGGTCCTAGACTTGTGTATATCGAGCAAGTTCCGTTGTATATGACTATTGGGGCTTGGGAGAAGGAGCAAGATTGTCGTTGGCCACCTTTGGATGGTGACAATGACAAGACAAGAAAGAAACAAGACGATGCTCGTTCCTGGGCAGCGTTTATAGCGAATATGAGGGCGAAGCACTTTGATGGTGCCGACTATCGAGACGCATCCATGATGGGTATTTCGAGCAAAATGCCCATCCCAGACATCTTCCTAGCCTGTCGAGAGGCTTACAATGCATCCGCAATCCACTATAAACGCATCTTCGTCACTTCAAGGCCTAACGCATACTTCAACTTCGAAACAGATACCCTGTGTCTGGATTGGTACAATATCTCTAACACGCAATGGGATGGTAACGTACCTAATCACTTTGATCTTTGGAAAGGATTCAGGCAAGAAGACGTCAAGGATATCCGAAAGGTTAGAAATCTTGCACTTCGACTATTTCTAGATTACGATGAGCCATTTCAAGCGCCGGATGTCGCCAATGTGCTTGAGATCTTCCACGGAGTCAATAATATGGCCATTGTTCTACAGCGAGATGGAGATCCGTCCGACGTAGAAACGTCCGGTCCTGTCGTCATTGATGACGTGGATGTCGACGAGACTATCGACAACTATCCACATTGGCTGCGCGAAGTCGAAGCCGAAGATTTCCACGTGGGTGGCGACTGTGGTATGGTTGAGCCGCCCGAAGTTCAAATGATTGAGCTTCAGGAAAATCAAACTATCGACTCCGCCGAACTTGAAGCATTGCAGGTACGCTCTGGGCGTTGGGCAGTACCTCAAATCAGATACAAAATGACTATAGCACAGGATCTCAACCATAAATACGAAAGAGTCAAGAAAGCTGGCGAAGTTGCGTACAACGCCATCAAGGACAGAGTTGAGTCTGAAGGCTGCCGTGCTTGTAAAAAGCTGGCCGAGCACGGAGAGGAGCAAGTTCAAGAAGTATAGAGCTTTGAACGAATTGATAAGGCTATAGCTAATCATACGGAACAAGCAAATTGGAGCCTGCTATTGTGTTGTCTGGCGGACTTGAAAGCTATAGATGAAATATCTGCAAACTATTCGAGATCTTATATGCTGTACAGTCGAGACTAACTTCCAATTAAGTTAGCCCAGTCCAACGTCGATTTAGACCGTTACTCACTATACGTGGTTGATTTGATTTTGCTATTGTTATGTACCTATGTCATACATACATGTATCTACAAAGTCCCGGCTATATGGTTCCCGAGATCGAACTATTTAAATGCATTACAGTAGAGCATTCCATCCCATCCCATAGGAATTCAAATGTGGTTCCGCTTTCGAAAGAAGAGTCTAGACCCAGCAGTCCAGGAAAAGCACTTCCCGACGGACGGTACCTGCATGCCCCACAACTGTGGCGCTTATCCCCGCACTTCACTCCACGATATCAACAGTACAACGTCAGGAAGGAATCGACTTGTTAGGAATTGTGAATTTTCTCATCATCTCATTTCGTGAATATACAACCCAGCCGTAAATGCAATCCAGTAAAAATTAAACAAATGCCTGCCTTTCCTACCCGCCAGTCCCAAGAGAATGCCTCCCACCTGTTGATTCCACGCACACACCCTTTTCCCCCTCCCTACCCCAGCCTGAATCCTCTACGCAACAGTAGCAAACCCAAAACTCGGCCCACTCGCATCAAAAACCCCATAAAACGCATTAAAAAACACATCCCCATAAATATTCTGCGTCCCACTCCCCACACTCTGCAGGCTCCCAAAACAAGAACTCCCGCTCGCCGTCCCGAAATTCAGCAAGCTGGCCGGGATCGTGGCATAGTTGCCTCCGATCGAGATACTCAATGTGGGCAAGTCGGCTGAGCAGTCGAACACGTAGCCGCCTTGCGAGGAATCGTAGGATGAGCCGGAGACTTGGTCGTAGTAGGCTGTGACGGCTGAGTCGCCCATCAGGATGAGCGTGGTGCCGGTGTCGGAGATGCCGGTGTAGCCTGATTGGGAGTGGGTTGTTGAGCCGACTTTGTAGGACGTGGAGGGGTACTCCCAGAAGCCGTTGGAGGAGTCGACGTCTGTGTATGTGATGTCGCCTGAGTATTTTGAATCGTCCGTGTATCCGAAATCGTAGGCGCCGTCGGCGTTATTGGGGAGGTAGGCGGCGAAGAGCGGGGAGTCGAGGGACGATTGTGCGTTTTCGAAGAAGGTGGATTGCGGGGTGGGGGACACGGTGTTGATGGAGGAGAAGGCGAGGCCGACGAGGCCGTCGGCGGCGTCCGAGACGAAGGTCGAGGAGACTTTCTCGGCGAGCTCGACGGCTTGGCCTTCTACGGTGGTGCCGCCGATGACGACGGTGTCGGTGCCGACGTTGCCAGAGGCGCCGGAGCCGTCTGCATAGGAAATATCCCAGGTGTAGCCCGAGAGGGACTGGAAGGTTGAGGAGTCGGAGGAAGTGTAGTAGGAGTGGCCGGAGAGGTCGCTGGAGGGGAGTTCGGAGGAGAATACCCAGCTAGGAGAGAGGCCATATTAGATTCTGAGGTCTGTAGAAGGATTGGGGAGGACTTACAGATCAGCAGAACCGGTATCAAAGTCCAAGTTCAGAGATTGACCGCCAACGGAAGTTGAGACGAGATACTCGACACCATCTGAAGGAACAGCGGTAGCAGAACCATCTTGACGCTTGGCAAGGGCTTCCAGGAAGGCGGTTGGCAGCTCCTTGGTTGGGGTCAAGTGATGCTTTGCGTATGCCTTCAACAAAGCAGCTGTGCCATTGCGAACATAATTTGGGTTGTGGACCGCGGGAGCAGAGAACGTCTTGCTGCCAACAGCGATTGAAGTTGGAGCAGCATGTGCAGCAGCAGCAGCGAGAGCGAGGACAGTGAGGGTGGTGGAAAGCATCTTGACAGGCGGGCTGAAGAAGAAAGACAAAGAATGAGAGGCTGTGAGCGGGATGGGGAGCAAGACATCAAGAAGGCGGAATGTACAACAGCTTTATATCTTGTGTCTCCTCCCGCCTTGAGAGAGGAGGATACAAATCCATCTCGGTACACTTGCTAGCGGTGACCAATAACGGTAGCTCAATGGAACTGAGGAGAGGAAGGGAAGGTTGTTGTTGGCTCGAGGTCCAACTCTGCATACAAACATGACGATCACAAAAATACACCCCCCTGGACCGACCGACGTAGCAGAAGTGGCCCCCCCTGTATGATGAGCAGGGTCTGATCTGATATTGACCAGCTCGGCTCAGAGCTCCCTGGAACGGGAGGCTAGACAGACAGAAGGAGACGGGGCGATGAGAGCTTCCTTTCCAGACAAGGCGTGCATGCATTTTGACTGGAAGGATCCATCAGATCAGAATCTACATCCAGCCGGCAGACATGCACTTGGGATGCCCATCCGGATGATCGCTCTCTGCATGAAACGGGACTGGTCGGTCGTAGTCGACTCAACTACTAGATTAAAATTAAGGTCGAGTACCTCCAGTACCGGACGACCAGTCTAGCGGCTTGCGGTCGGCAGGAGACCTGTAGCTCAATTACTAGCCAGCTTCTCATCGTGGAGTCGTTTAAGCTTGAATTATGTCCTGCAGCGCTGAGCGAGTACCGGCGCTGTACCTGGGTTAGGAAGGTGAGCAGTGGGGGTTGGGATGGGATGTGTTGTTTGCTTTCTGTCTGTGTTGTCGATGGCCGTGGTCCTCGATCAAAGTTTGGGAACGTCGTTGGCGCGGGTGGGGCTGTGGCTGCTCTGCTCTGCTCCTCTAGCGAAGGGGATTGCCGATGCCCCTGCCCATCGTACCGTACAGTACAGCGTACCTTGCACTCCGTGCGTGCTGTTCGTTCTCTGCGGGGCTTGGCCATCAGCCATGATCAAACGGTCAACCAATGATTCCATCAGCATATCACAACGGTTTGCTCCGACGTGAAGGCATGAATCGACAGTGAGCGAATCAAAGCAGGAGAAAGTGTTGTGAGCCGGAAATATATTCTTACTGCGCATGAAAGTGCTGACGAGGCTACGTAGGGAACCTGGAATAAGGATCAGAGGTATGGGTGTGAAACAAGCCTTCTCCAACGAACGCCACCAGTCAACTGCCATCCCAAGTTTGCCAACATCAAGCTTTCTTCCTTACCTACTTTTCTGTCTGCCTCGGGAGAGGTTGATTCTTGTGGACGCGTGCGTTTGCACCGGTCTCGTTCATCGTTGCTTTCGCGCGTTCTACATTTGCCCCAGTCGAGAAGGTGGGCTGCATCTTTAGCTCGTCTCAGATTATTGTCCTTGTGGGGTTGCGATAACCTCTTGGCTCCGTTCGGCACAGATGCTGACAGGCACGGCATGGGCCCGGTAGCCTCGCTCTAATTTATCTGATTCAAGATGAAAGGAGGAGCGGAGGAGCCAATGAGGCTGTTGCTTCACTGAGAGGGGGAATCGTGGTTTTGGTCATCGTTCAATTAGAGAATAACCAATGATGGATTCTAGAAAGGCAACTCATTTCCGCAGCAAAGAGCACGACATGACTCTACGTTATTTCTCCTATTGTCTAGTTTTGTCAACGTTAAATTTCCTCATAATTCGAGACCAATGAGAGGCCTGGTAGATAGCGGATTCAGGATCCAACGATGATTCCAATAGCTGTGGCAAACGGGGTCGGGTACACCGCAGTTCACGTCAATGCCAAAGGAGCACAAAACAACTCGCCTGACCACCATCTGTCAAACGTTAAAAAAAAAACCGCCCGTTGAGCTTGGTAATTGATATGACAGATAAGATGGGAGTACAAAAAAACGTGCACTTCAAGCGTTCGCCACTGGAGAAAGATATCGCCCAAGCACGCAATTGGGTTCGACGTTTCGCATAAACTACATGCGCGGAAACAAACACCCCAAGGGGACAAGCACAGCCTTGCGTCGGGCTTCTCTCCAGGTATTGCTGCACGGTGCATCATCCGCACACCCTCCGCAGGTATTTCGAGCTGAGATTCTCGCGTGCGGCTCTAACGCCCAGATAAGGAAGGAGATTATGGCATTAGTATTGCGCCTTCGATGATCAGACTGCGGGACTGCAGTCGGCAGTCAACATACTATTTTGTTAAGCTTACTTTGTGATACTCTTGCAGTAGCTCAGTGAGCAGATCGTGCAGATGGGAAGGTGGTTCTTTGTGGAACTTCTAGAAGGAAAAGCTTATGTGATTGTACTTGAGATGAATGAGGAAGGCGTTGGCTCTGCCGGCACGCCACCATCGGATGAACTGATTGTAGGAATGACTGCATGCAGGAATAGCCTCATTTTGTTCCTTTGCCGAGGAAGCTTGTCAGCTGTGGGTGGTGATGATGCTGCGAGTAAGATGGCGATCGTAGTAGGATCGTCGAAGCCACCTTTAAGAATGCGAAACAGGAAGGAAATTGAATTTCTGCGGAATCCTCGGACAATAGGAAGAAGATGATTCAGAAGCGAGATACTCATTGAACAAGAGGAGAAGGACGTAAACGAAATGACTATCGAAATACGTTCTTGAAGGAGATGCCGCACCGAATTTTGACTTTACACTTGAGACACTCGTCGGCGTGAGCGAAACGACCTTGTCGAAATCCTCTATACGCAATGTCGATCCAAGTGGCAAGAGAAATAACAGAATCCAAAAGAAAGAAATCGCAACGAGATTATCAGTCCTCTTGTGTAGAATGCATTGTACAAGATATTCGAAGTTAGAGCTCTCCTATGGACCTGCTCTCCCTTTATACACAACCAAACTCCCAGCAATGCTCCTTCCCCGCCTCTTTAATCAAACAATGGTATTCGTACGTTTCGATTTCGACGGCTATTTTGTTCCTTGGTCTCTGGACACCATTGGGTAAATGTTGCTCTAGCCTCTGCTCTTTGTGTTGAGAATCAAGGCGACAATGAGTCTGCAAATATAAGTATGGACAAATCTAAGATATCTGAGAAATCACTCACCCATAGAGACCCAATACTTCTCCAAAAATCAGAATCAGAACCATGCCGACGAATATCCTCGATTGTAGCATGTATGATCGGACACCCATATCTCCTACAATACCGATTGCGTATCCAGCCGCCATACCAGTCAAGCCAACAGAGAGACCACAGGCAAGATGCATGAAACCGCTATTCCAATGATTAGCCATCTCCTCTACCATGTCCACTGGGTAACCGTACTTAAACAAACTATAATTCTGTGCTGGCGGCGGGCCCATATCTCCGGCAATGAGGACTGCAATGACGAGGGAGTAGACTGCGATGATACCGGACATGACAACGGGGATAAGTGACTAGTGATACATTGTCAGTGAAGTGCTCGCGGATACACAACGCTTGGGTTTTGACGAACCTTCATTATCAAATCTGGTCTGAAGGTACCGACACCCGCAATTCCAATACCCGACTTCGCTGTACCATAAGCTGCTCCGAAACCTGCAAGATTATGATGAGTGTGATGTAGCTGTATTCGAATAATTCTGACTTACAGCCAAAGGTCATTGCAGCTGCAATGCCCGCCTGCCGCAGCTGTCAGTACAACCGAATGTCAACATCATCTAAGCTTTAGCACTCACCATCCCGAAGAACGGGGCAAACTTTGGAGTCAGGTCTGAGTCTGCCATTGTGAAATACAGCTCCTAATGGACGTAACTGGACTGGGTGGAGTTGGCTGGATGGTGCAGTGACGTTGAGGAAGTCCGTGATAAGAGACCTCAAGTCTCCAAGCTCGAAAGACCCTAGTATGGATGGACACTAGTCTACTGATCACGTGAAATGACTCTCCTGGGATAAAGTGTCCTAATACACAAGCATTTCTTACCCAAAAGCAATCTATGACTATTCACTCCTCTCTAATTGTGATCTGTTCGTACTCGGCAAACAGGCTTCCACATAATTTTCTGGCACGGCGTTGCTAAATGAATGTTTATCTCCCGGACTTTACCAGATGCGACCCGAAGAGGCGCTACTTTTGGCGTAGCGAGATCGACGCAGTTGAATCGCAAGCATATCAAGAATTCCAACCTCCAAACTCTTCACGACCATCCATCATTCGTTGGGTTGTACTTCTCAACAGTACCTCAATGCGTCGCTCCCTACTCACCCCTCACTACCGACACTAGCAACGAAAGACCTGCGAACGGAGGCGGTGCTAGAAGCAATCAATTCCGTACAACATCCTCAACCTCATATCGGCTTTAGCGGCCACAGCAGTAGTTTGGTCGACATACGACGGGCACCCGTCGGCGTCGACAGGAGAGATATTGAGTTGATCTGACTTCAAGTCTGAGGCCAGGGTGGTTGCCCTCGGTGTCGTTGTGTGGGTGTCTTATCTTTCTACAGCGACTGCGATCACGCAGTCAGGAGGGACTGACTCCAACACGGTTGGTGGACAGCATGGCAGAATATCCACAAGGTCGAGGCGGTGCCCCGCGTCCAAATCAATATGGACATGCTTCAAATTTCGAACGGGAGGCAGCTTTCTCGAATATCTTCGGTGCTGCCCCTCCGCCAGGTCGTTCGCAGACCATGAATTCATCGGTAGCCCCGCCGACTATGAACCAGCCTCGTACGCAGACGATGACTTCGCAGACTTCAAGCATACAGGGTGGAATGCAACGATCTCCTCCCCCGCGGCCGCAAGATGGCGGATATCCTTCACCTCCACCTGGTAGCATGACGAACGGAGGGGGCATGCCAAATGGGTATCATCAAGGACCAAGACAGCCAGGTCCAGGCCAAGTGCAGTCGCAACCGCAGCCTCAAAATCTGCCACAGCAAGTTCGCCCAGATAGACGGCCATACCCTGGCCCAAATCGTCTCGACCCTCGAGCACCTCCTCAACCGGGTCAATATGCACAAAGGCCCCCTGCACCAAGATATTATGGAGCGAATGGTCCCGCGTTAAATTCAGATCCCTATCGCTCTCAGTCTCTTGCAAGTGTACCTCGCCCACAGATGTACTCGCCTCCACCAAATACCTACCAGCAAGCACCAGCGCAAGCGTTTAGACAACAACAATATCAAAGCCATGCTTCGAGGACAACTGCTCAAGGACGCACAATCCCAGAGAGACATGATGAACGGGCCATGTCTATGACAAGTTACTCGCATCAAGATCGGGATCAACATCAGACGATGAGTGGGAGAATTATTCCAAACAGAAGAATCTCTGCATCTGGTCCACAGGAGCTCCAGGCCAATGGCTTTGCAATTCCTGGACCACGAAGTCCTGCTACACAGACTCGGACTACCAGCATAACTTCGTCTACGACTGCGGGAGATATGAGCCGCTCTATGTCCATGGCCTCTACAATAGTACCATCAGAAAGAACAGAAAGTCTGGTGCATAGACCTTCTGTCGCCAAATCTGTGAGCAGTGCCAATGGTGGGGAGAGGAGGCAGAAATCACCCTTGGTATATCCTGCATTGCTCTCACGAGTGGGCGAATGCTTCAGAGAAAAGATTGCCGTGGGAGACAGAGAAAAGAACGAGTTGACGTACAAAAATGCCTTCAGTGGTGCGGAAGCCGTCGATGTCATATCGTACATCATCAAAACCACGGATAGAAATTTGGCGTTACTTCTGGGGAGAGCTTTGGATGCTCAGAAGTTCTTCCACGATGTTACTTATGATCATCGACTTCGTGACTCGCCAATCGAGATGTACCAATTTCAGGAGACTATGATAGACGACCCCCATGAGTCGTCGGAGGTTAACGGTGTCTTTGTGCTGTTGACAGAATGCTACTCGCCTACTTGTACAAGGGACCAGCTATGCTACTCGATTGCTTGCCCTCGAAGACTAGAACAACAATCTAGACTAAACCTTAAGCCGCAGCCTGGACTTAGACGTGAGAAATCAGACGCAAGCTTGCACGACGATAACGACGATAATGAACAGAAACTTTGGATCAATACAGTTTCGAAGGAGGTGGCTGATAGCGTTACTGAGCGAGAAAAGAAGCGACAAGAGGTCATTTCGGAGATCATGTACACCGAAAGAGATTTTGTCAAGGATCTCGAGTATTTGCGAGATTTCTGGATCATACCTCTGCGTTCAAGCAATCCTGCAATGCCATCGCCCATACCAGAGTCACGGAAGGATCGAATCGTGCGAACGATATTCACGAATATCATCGATACTCCCAGCATCCATGGAATCAGCTCCAAATTCGCTGAAGCTTTAACCGAGCGCCAGAAGAAGCAAGACGTTGTGCAATGTGTAGGAGACATCTTCCTTCAATATGTACCTGCGTTCGAGCCCTTCATCATTTATGGTTCCAACCAGTTGGCTGCGAAATACGAGTTTGAGAACGAGCGGTCGCTGAACCCCTATTTCTCAAAATTCGTCGATGAGACAGAGCGAAGGAAAGAGTCTAGAAAGCTTGAGTTGAATGGTTATTTGACAAAGCCGACTACTCGACTTGCTCGATATCCACTTCTGCTGGAGAATGTTCTTAAGTACACCGAGGATGGAAATCAAGACAAAGTCGATATTCCCAAAGCCATGAAGATGATTCGAGATCTCTTAAGCAGAGTGAATGCAGAGTCTGGAAAAGCAGAGAACAGGTTCAATTTGAAGCGCCTTCATGAGCAACTGCGATTTCGTCCATCCGAGCGAGTTGATCTCAAACTTACCGACCCTGGTCGAGAGTTGATCTACAAGGGCACCCTAAAAAAGAGTCCTACCGATCCAACTGACATTCATGCCTATCTTTTCGACCATGCTGTGCTATTGGTACGCATCAAGATGGTTGGCAAGAAGGAAGAAGTCAAGGTTTATCGAAGACCTATTCCTCTCGAGCTGCTATCAATTCGTGAGATGGAAGAAGTCATGCCCAAGCTTGGTGTTGTGAAAAGGCCTTCGTCGAGTTTGATCCCTGGTGCCAAGACAGCGACACCCGACCCAAAGAAAGATGGCTATCCTATTACCTTCCGACATCTTGGCAAGGGAGGTTACGAATTGACCCTTTACTCGGTGACTGCAGCCGGCAGAAACAAGTGGATGGAACACATTGGGGAACAACAGGCAATTCTCAGAAAGCGTGGCGACTTTTACAACAGGACCATTTTGTCAAATGATTTCTTCTCGAGCATGAACAGAGTCAACTGCGTGGCACCATTCGGTTTGTTCTTGGTGATGTATTATGTTTTGACTTCGCTAACCTACTATAGATGGAGGACGCAAGTTGATCTACGGCACCGATTCGGGTATCTATGTTTCGACAAAGAAAGATGCTGGAGCCAAGCCTATTCGTGTACTAGATGCGACTAACGTCACCCAGATCGATGTTCTGGAAGAGTATCAATTACTTCTGGTCCTTTCAGCCAAGTCACTCTTGTCGTATCCCTTGTCCGCGCTCAATCCAGCCGAGCCTGCATTGGCCAAACGCCCAAAGAAGATCCAGAGTCATTGCAATTTCTTCCGGACTGGTATATGCTTGGGTCGACATTTGGTGTGCTGTGTCAAGTCTTCAGCCTTGTCTACTACCATCAAGGTGTTCGAGCCCAACGATGCAATGTCGAAAGGCAAGAAACAGAAAGGCTTCAAGATGTTCAACAGCGGTCAAGACGAACTCAAAGCCTTCAAGGAATTCTACATTCCAACAGAATCTTCGTCTATCCATTTCCTCAAGTCGAAACTTTGTGTTGCCTGCGCCAGAGGATTCGAAGTTGTATCGCTTGAGACGTTGGAAACACAGTCTCTACTTGATCAAGCAGATACCTCGTTGGACTTCGTGGCTCGGAAGGAGAATGTTCGACCCATTCACATCGAACGTCTCAATGGCGAATTTATGCTCAATTATTCCGAATTCTCTTTCTTTGTCAACCGCAATGGTTGGCGAGCAAGACCTGATTGGAGAATTGATTGGGAAGGCATGCCGCAGAGCTTTGCTCTATCTTATCCTTGGATTCTGGCTTTTGAGCCGAATTTCATCGAGATCAGGAACATTGACACAAACGCCGTTCACATCGTGCCGCATCGGAATATCCGTATGCTACATACAAGCACGCGGGAGGTCAGCGACAATCCCATCAATAGCCTGACTTTGGCTAATACTGACGATTCACAGATCATATATGCATATGAGGATGAAAAGGGTGACGATGTTGTGGCTGCCATCGACTTCTGGCCTGCTGGGCGCAAACCTGAAATAGCTCCACCTCCAACAGGACCTGATCCGCATCGGGATCACCCCCAGACCTCATCACGGCACTAACCGACACCACCCTCTCATCACATCTCATGATGAGGAAAACGATCTCAGGATGGCATCTCTCATATGACAACTTTTCGTGTAGAATTGCATAGCATGTAACCCTTTTCTCGAAATTTTAGCAGCAGCAGCAATGCTTTACTTGGTCTCCGTGTTGTGTCGTGTGCTGGCCACGGTCTCTCTTCTTGTTGGGACTTCGTGCCTGACTTTTTGATCGTTTGATGGTGGAAGCTCGTCCGTCTGTCTCGTTTCTCTTTGCTCCTAAGCGACCGGCGTACGTATCATTGAAGGGAATTCAACCAATGCAATGCTTTTATTTTCTGGTTGAGAGGAAGATGAAGTAGTGAAGGAAGGAGGGAGAGGGAGGGCATAATATTACGCTTTCTGTGTACAGTGCCAGTGTAGTCTTATGAATAGATCGTGTATTGTCTTGTTGATGATTGTGTTTTGGTGTTGTGTGGTAGAGTCGTAATTCGTGGTTCGGCTTGGGAAGACCTCTTTTGTTCCATCTCGTTGCTGCTCCTCGTATCTGACGCTGGCATCGTATCTACCTTACCCCTCTCATCCCCACCCTCAATAACCTCCGTTCCGTCGCCAATGCACTGGTCACGATTGCTCTTTTGAGACCGCTCGTTTTACCGTAGCATGACCTCGAGACCTCCCGGAATAACCAGTCTATAACTACCGCTATCCAACCCTGTTGTCGCAGCGTTGTTGCCTAGTACAGGCCGTACCTCCATATATCCTAAGAGACCTTGATAAGTGCTAAAAGCCTTCGGATGCCACGTGAAATGAAGAGTCTGTCGGATAGGTAGCTTGGGTGACTTCTTGTCTAAATGTCAGTCTTGTCTTTCTTTTGTTCTGTGCTGTTTTCTGTTTGGAGTTTAAGGATGAGCATCTATGCTCTTCTCGCTCTGCTTTGCAATAGCCATGTCATTGGTGAGGACTTGAAGCTACCTCGTGATCTTTGACTTCTGTCAGTTTTCTGTTGGCGCTCTCGCGAGCATTCCTTTTGATCAAGCAGTTCTTTCACACTTTGTGGCGTTCGCGGTAAGCCGGTTCAGCCTTATGTCCCATCAAGTATATCATACTTTAAAAGTCAATTCGCAAGAGAAGTTTAAAGTATCCAACACCCCAATTCAGTACTTGCCAACTTAGTGAAAGGTATTGCCTAAATGAATAGAAACAATTCAGATGAATATCTCTATCGACAGTTTGGATGACTTTGCAGCCTCGTCTGGAGCTCCAACACCAACTCGAAGTCGAGCTCCATCGCCACTCCGAACATGGGGCGAGCTCAATTCTTCTCCAAGATGCCGAGCCCTAGACATGCCAACGAGTCAAAGAGACGCACCGAAAGAAACTGGCAACACCATTGAAGTCTTGACTCGAATTGATAGCAGGCGATCGACGAATCGGCTCGCAGCAAGGGGTCAGGAGGAGCTTCCAATACACAGCACAAGCCAAACCTCAGAGCGATTCTCCAAAGCGGGTGTGGGTGTGATGTCGAGCACTGGAACACAGACAGGAGATACTTCAAAGTCGGGAGATAATCATGTGGATGCCATCGAGGGAGATGAAGCAAGGCCGAAGAGGGGAAGGGGAGTGGAAAGGGGGTTAGTAAAAGACAGTGCGACTCGAAAATCAGCTCATGGAACTGTTCATGCGGGAAATGGGAGAACTTTAGGGAGATGATAAGACTTAAGCTTGTCTGGTTCTTTGAGAGCAGAAACAGGACTCGATGATTGATGGACGACTTGATGCTATGAAGTTTGTCTTATGGAGATTCAATTTGAACTGGTATTGGAGCCTCGTTTTGATAAGCTTTGACATACGCCGGTACTTTCATAGGCATCTGAAACTGAATGTAATGAATGACTCTTTGAATATTTTGCTAGTATGACTAGTGTTGATTCTTATTCAGAGGGGGCTTTGGAGTCAAAATCGAGCTTCTTCAGGAGTGCTATCTTTCTACTTCATGGATTCGATCACTCCTGGCTGAGTCATATTATGTGTAGAACGCTAATTGGCACCCAAGACCGGAGCCACATGTTGACCTTCACAAGCTTTGGGAGTTGCGTGAGGTCGAAGATTGGTCCCGTGTGGTTAGCGATGACTCCATCCAAATAAGGCAATAGGACAATTCCCCGTAGGTTAGTTTCCTTCCTCGAGAATAAGGTATTAAACTCCATAAAGCGCGTCTTTAGCGAAAGTGACAAAGCTAGGTAACAGAGAAGAATCCGAGTCTTTGAAGCGAATCGGAGCCGAAAGCGCAGAGCTGGCTCAAAGACATGTTGCGGCACTCTTGGCTTTGGGTTCTTTTCTGTCTTTTGAACTTCGAAATAAGATCGAAAATATCAAGTCCAATCGATCTTCAGAAATAAAGACAGCGCTGAACCCAGTCAACATTAATATTAACAAGAGCGTATATCAAGAAGATCATCAATCAACACTTCTCAAATTGGTTGTGATAACGCAGCTCAATTGCTCGAATATTTACACAAAAATACTCCCTAAGGTAACCCCATCCCCCCCAAAGGTTCCCAGCAGAGACATCCTCTCAATGTCTGGAAAAATCATGGACATTCAGCCCCCTCGGAGCGGAACATCTGCCCTAAGCGACCAATAAAAACCCCAAGCTACTAGCATCGCACAACGTCCCTTATAGAGTTAAATAAGCAAAAGTTTGCCAATTGTTAGTGACTCTAACTTTCACGCGTGACGCGGTACCACACTGCATGAGCTGATTGTATGAGATTGGCAGGATGAAACTACTAGTTAGTTTACGGAAAGAGGCCATGTGGTGGCATTGCTTGAGCTTCGGTTCGCTTCGTCTGGTGGCTCCTCAGTCTCACTACGGTGGGTCTTTCTCTTTTGTCTTGTTTTACTTTTGGGCTATGTGCTGTGAAAATGTTGTTTTTTTTTGGCCTTTTTTGGCGTCGCTAGGCGAAGGTTTTGAGGCAATTCGCGAAAGGTCGCGATGTAAACAAAGGTAAAAGTAGAATTAAGCGAGGACCAGCACACACTGCTTTATCAATTGAGGCTTTAGAATTACTTGAAATAATATTTCCAATTCCTATGCATTTCAATCCTCTTTTGCTTCATAAAAAGCAGTCACTTGCCTGCCACCAAAATCCGCGGCGAGAAGTTCAAGAACATGAGCCTCTGATCCCCCCATCGTTCGATAGCAACCTCAGTCTCGATTCTAAATATCTATGTTTGTTCTCTGCTCATATTCTCTCGCGACTTCGATCCGCGCAACCCGCGACGATCGCTTCGCTTTTTTCGAACGCGTCCGATAAGGACCTTCAAAATCTTTTTTAGTTTACTTTTCAGATATGAGTGTGGCATTGTCCATTCTGTTCGTGATCGAAAATGAGCTGATAACCTTTCTAGTGTTGATTTGGAATGCCACTTTTGAAGGCCTTAAAAGCGACCAAGCCTGATTCATCTCATGAAACTCTCATTCACGATTCATGTTGTCATAGCTTACCCAAAGAGAAAATACCACTAATTTGTATACTGAGAGGAAGTGATGTCGTCTTCTTGCGCCTCGCTAAGCGAACGCTTGCCGAGTTTGCCCAGCAACAACCCCTTTTGCAGGAGCTTTCTCCGTCGAAGAACAAGCGAATCATGGCGTAATCTAACAACATCTAGGTTCCTTTGTATCACAATAGATAAGACTACATGACTCAACTTGTTCATAATATCCTGGAAAGAGGTTCGAAGACAAGCCAATTCTGCTTTCGAATCAGCTGACCGCGATGCGATGAGAGCCGTCTTAAATTTCTCAGCGAAGTCGCACCCCGTCTCGAGTTTCTGCCATTTGTGTACACTGAAATCAAATCCAGCCATCTCAATTATGATGTGTGTCACGCATTGGATCGGTATTGTTCCTGCGACCGCTGAAGACTTGAATGCTTCTTCGAATTCTTCAGCCGAGACCTTAACCACAAAGTGGAATGTCAAAAGTGGAAGCTGTCCCAACCTCAGTTGATATCCTTACAGAGCTGCAGTTGCGACAGTCTGGACCACGATTGACTCAACAAGGATGCTTTGCTGCCCAACGTTGGTCCACATATTGATGTGGAACTCTCACGTCATTAATGCGGCAACCATCACCGACTTGCTTGAGTTGAAAAGAGCATGTTGTAGAATGAACGCTCGGCATGTAAGGCGAGAAACAAAAGGGTCGCGGTGAGTGGATTTGGAAATCGAAAAGTTTCGGGGAATAAATCTAGGGTCAACCTGTCAAATCCATATCGAGCAATGCCGTTTGAGGATCACGACCTAGGGTTAAGGACTCTAACCTTCTTCTCAGGAACATAGTACGTGTGATTGGACTCTCGGCAGGATCCGAATGTTCATTGATCCTGATCTTGCTGCACAAGAAACATCAGAACCCAAACATCCGATGTTCTTGGGCCGAGAGTTGTTTCAAGTCCATGCATCGTCGTTCTGGACCCTCGCGATACAACAGCTCCGCAAAAAAGCTGCATGCGAAACCTAAATGCTCGCCGGTTGAGCCCCACTGACCACCAGATCTCCCTCATCCCGCATGAGCTGGATGCCTTATTATTAGATATAAGACTTTGGTCCACAATAATGATTCGGGATCGGACGTCGAGTTGCTGAAAGCTGTGACAGTTCGCGCTCGGTCCGTCGTTTGAATCCTTCCCATGCAGACAAACGACGTCGCGGCTTGAGAAGCTCGACGGAATGCTTCTCGGGTTCTTCGAATCAGCGTCTGAAATGGAAGGTGGCCCGAATGCATTGATGAGGTTAGCTGTGGTGCACATCATTTATATGCTGAGGCTGTTTGATGAGCAGGTCTTGCAGATGCATTGATTGTGAGGAGTTGTCTTAAGCTGGTAGGTACCAGTGTCAAAGATTCAGCTCCGGCGGGTACCTTGGACCGAAAGATACTTATTCCAGTGGGAGGTCCTCTGAACCCTTCAAAGACCAATTTATCAAAGATCGACATTCCATTCATCTCAAGTCCAACCTTATTCGAACTACCCTGTCCATCATGACTTGCTATTGTGCCAACTATTATGTATGCACATCAACGTATCACCTTAAGCTCTAGTCTGACTCTACTTAGGGCTCGATCAACTGCCACAACACTGTCACCAAGTTCGGTGATCGTTGTGCTCTCTGCAATGTAAGACTTCGTGTTGTCGTTACAGAGATTGAGCTGATAGTAGACTGCAGTCAACACAAGTAACAAACTCTGGTGCAACAACAAACGGCTTTACCCAAGGCAGTGACCAGTGGGCCGAGAACGTTAGACGAGAACAGATGAGGAGAGAGGAAGAGAAAACAAGGCGAGAACGTGTTAGCCGGACAACTTCAGGAAGAATAAGATAAAGGTCTCGAGGATTGGATAGATTGTGATTTAGCGGGTTAGGGCGGCATTTTGATTCAGGCGTTTAGAATTGGAGAGGGACAAGAAATTAGGACGATAACGGCGAAGTACAGGACACAAGTCTTCTATACCTCATGGCTGGGCCATGCTAGACATACAATATCATCATAATATACATCAAGACATTTCTTCGTAATCCAAACAGCCCAAAGCATTGAACGCCACGCATATCCCTTTAGCGTCCTTTTCGGTAACCCGAGCAGAGCAGCCAGCCATAAAATATATCCATGATCACCACATACGCCTTCTATATCCCTTGAATGATTCTCCTTCTCCATCTGCCAATATCTGCTCTTTGATCCGCCTCCTCCTTTCCGCCCGGCTCAACTTCTCCTCCTGCTTCTGTGCTTCTGACTTTTGGCCATCATTGTTAGTATTCGACGCCGATTTCTCGTCCCCCATAGGTTCTTGTGCTCCATCCGCTTGTTGTGCTTCCAAGGCTTCCAACTGCTTCTTCCTCGCAGCTTTCTGCCACCTTGTTGCCCCAATCATATCCTCGTCGACATTCTCCTCTACCTCAGACGCTTCGTCCGCATTCTCTTTCGATTCTTCCTGCGACGTTTCTTTGACCTCAACTTCTGTCGCAGATGTTCGTTCTTCATTTTTGGGAGGCAACACTGGATCTACGATCACATCGACCAGATATCCATCATCCCTGAATTGCGGCGGCAGAAACAATTCCGGTCCATTTGGTGGCGCTCGAACGAGTTGTGGTTTTATGACAGCTCGAATATCGCGCACGGTCTGTTGTTGAAGGACATAGCCTGCGAGGAACAGAGCTGTTGTGAAGAAGAATACTGTTTATTCTGTTAGTCTGTTTGGGCGATGTGGGAGAGGGAAAGCCAACCGATAAATGAGGATATTGCGATTGAAACTTGCGAGGAAGTGAGAAGCATTTTGTGATTTTCCGTGAGCGCAATTATTGAATCATAGACTTTCAATATAGATCAGAGTATTGGAGCAGCATTGAACAGCCTAATTGCTTGATATATGATCAATACTCTTGATTGCGTTGCGCATGGAAATCGGTGGGGAAGTAAACATAGCAACCATTCTAGCCGAGCAACAATCTTATCGCGATTTGAGCTTCATCGAAATCTTTTGACGACGAGATTCCCATCTCAGACTACGAACCACAAACACAACACTATTCTTCTCGACTTCTCCTCAACTTACATCCAACTACCTACATACGTACAGCAAATCTCAAGAACTTTTCTCCAACGTCTGCAGCCATGGCGACTCATCGCGCAGATGAAAAACGCTTCCTCGACGAGCGCGGCTCCTCTGGTCCCCTCGCCCCAAATGGACTCAACCCCGCCACAATAATGGAAAAGCCTGTCCGCGAACGAATCGTCGACTGTTACTTCTGGAAAGACCAATGTTTCGCCGTCAACGAAGCCGATATCGTAAACCGAGTTGTGGATCATGTCCATTTTATCGGGGGAACATACGGAGATGCGCAACGACCGTCGCCGTTCTTGTGCTTGGCGTTCAAGTTACTACAGTTGGGGCCTGGTGATGATGTTTTGAGGGAATACTTGGAGTTTGGGGGTGAGAAGTTTAAGTACTTGAGGGCGTTGGCACTGTTCTATGTGCGGTTGACGAGGCAGGCGAAGGATGTTTATTTGTTTCTTGAGCCGTTTCTCAAGGACTACAGGAAGCTGAAGAGAAGAGGCAGGACGGGGACAAGTTTGACATTTATGGATGAGTTCGTGGACGATCTACTGGTGAAGGAGAGGGTTTGTGGTACGACGCTTTGGAAGATGCCGAAGAGAGAAATACTGGAAGACTTGGATGTCTTGGAACCTCGAATCAGTCCGCTGGGTGATATCGAGGATCTGCTGGAGAGTGATGTGGAAGAGGCTGATGGGAGAAATGGGAGAGAGGATAGTGAGGATGATGACAGACGAAGGGCAAGTCCTGGTTCTGAATTTGGTGAAGTCACGCCTGAGAGAGATGCTATGGACGTTGACGAAGGTGAGAAAGAAGTTGCCAATGGTAACGATCATGATTCATCATGATCTCAATTGTTATATCTTTCAGGCGAACGGCGTTCGGGAAATGGTCGGATGGTATGTGGGATATACCCTTGTCTCAAAGCTGTATCTCTGGAATCAAAAGCTATCATTTCCATGGTATTCGAAGTTCTCTTTGATTTCTGCTCCTGATGATATTGTGCCGTATCTTCATCTTCACCCAAAAGAGCCAAGCCAAATAGTGGAATGAAGCTGCTATGTACAGAAGTCCAAGTTGGTTGGGCTACTAGGTTCCTATCACCGTCAGACGAAAGCCACAATGCTCTTGGATTCAGCTTCAATCCCAGACTACCATATAAGGTTAAATAAGCAACTCCTTCCAACTTTAGTCAAGTTGGCCGAGCCGTCAAGTCAATTTACGCTATCAACTTTCAAGTAACTAACAGCGTTACAGGATTCGACCTACGACAACACACGACAACTACTCTTCACACCTATACAATGGCACACTATTGTAAGAACATCGACAGAATGGATGACTTCAACATCCCTAGTCCAGAACGAACTGCTCTGCTCGAGCGGCTACACGAGTCAATTGGCAAAGTACCCCCTCACTTCTGAGCTGCATGCCAGATCTGCGATCTCGGTGCCCTCGAAAAGTTGGTCAATTGCGGGCGCGAATATCCCAATATCCTTAGAGAATTTACTCTTTACACCGCTATAATAGCAAAGTATTGTAAGTAAAATACCTTTATTCGTCAATTCTAGCTAACAACAACATATAGGGGGTCCGTCTCCTCCTAAAGCACAAAAATCGACGCTGTCCAAAACAAACTCATCACCTACTACTCCACCTACAAAGAGATAGCACTAAAAACACAACGTCGAAATCGGATAATTAAGGACCTAGCTACAGAAAGAGACAGACTCCGCTGTGTCTTAACAAATGGTGGTGCGGTAAACGTTGCTCATATATATCTGTTTCACTCAATTTCACGCCAAAACGAGTTTAGGCAACGGGCTATTTTTCGGAATTATTTGCAGAACTTTTAGTCTAAGGAAAAAGTTGCTATTTAGAAATCAGAACTCTTTTCGGCAAATATATATAAACTTGGTATTAAAATAGTTTATAACTTTATTATATTGTCGAAAAATACACATAATATATAGGGCCGAAAAGTATTTGCACTCAAATTAATTTTTAAATTAGACAATGAAACTACTTTAAAAGTGTAGTTCTTTTAATAAAAAAAAACAACAAAAAGCTCAAATAGTAATAAATCTCTTAACTACGCTATTTTTAACTAAAAGACTTATGCAAAATACAAACGTCTATAGGGTTAGTAGTTCTGCAACTATATAAGGAAAATGCGGGAAAGAAGCTCGGTCTTACAATTTAATCTAGTAATATTTTCACCCTTCGAACTAGCAACCTAAACACACAACCATTACCTAGCTTCACACTTCTCGAACTACAATAGTTTCTCTAGCGCGTTATAAGCATAGCGAGTAGTGCCGATATTGATTGGCCATCTCTGTCAGACTCAGGCTCGGGTATCGCAGACGAGGAGGTTCCAGATCTTAAACCTGATAATGGGGAGGATTTGTTTTCCTCTCAGCCGGTGTTGGGTTCCCCAAAATTGTAGGTAGATCAGGGATATCAAACACGAAGTCGAGAGGATTTAGTCTGCCCGAGTGCGAAGCTTTCATTGTAGGGCGCTATGCTGGACTATGCTCCTCCCACAGAAACCAAGATCTCAATTCTATTGAATGGCATGGCAAGATCATTCAAATATCCAACGCCATGCACAACTTGCTATCCCCGTATGTCTAGGTATAGAATCTAGATCGACAAAGAAGTAGGGCTATCCACATGTTCACTTTTCTCTCGTTATTCTCCATTATTCTTCGTACTTTCCACCCACAATAGGCACGGTGCTATTTTCCAACTTCTCTTTCAGGTACTCGTACACGATGAATGTTACAGCCTGGCCTGGAGCTACACGCATAATGCGTGGTGCAATATATGTATCGTCAGCCACAACGTACCGTTAAACGCCTCGACAAGTATCGTGCCTGATAGTCAGGATGGGACCGAGATCTAAAACATCAGTATGGCAAAGGCCAGAGAATGCTGCCTTTGGGGAACTAGAATGAGCTAGCAAGTGAAAACAAGTTCTGGATGTTCTATTTCCTGCCGAACCTTGTCACATGTTAGTTGTAAGTTCTGACATTATGTTCCTAGGTTGGGAAGATTGTCAGAGACTAGTCTGTCACATTCATGGATGGGAGAAGGAGATTTGTTAGAAGTCCAATGCAATTTTTGCCGCAAAGTCACGCATCTCAATACCACAGTCCACCCCAGAAGCTAGCTAGCCAAGAAACATATCTCCGTGTATCAAGATCTCTAGGAGACTGGATACAGCGTGGATCGCATCTAGCAGCTGTCCCATCTCACAATGATGTTGTAGTGATCCGAATCGAACAACTGCCCACCAACTATGATACTATCTCCTCCATTCCATGAAGAGCAATCATTGATCATATCGCTTGCATAGGTCGCAAGGTAACCGCAATTGGGACAAATAGTGTAGCCGTTCTGCACCAGATCATTAGTATTTCAAGGAACGCCTAATGTCTTTGTGCGATATGGGACAAACTTACATCGTTGCACAAGAAGATGGCAGAGTTCCAGGAGCAGGAGATGCGCACGCAAGAGGTGGGTCCGACACAGCAACCGCCTTGGAGGCCCGAGAGGTAGTTGATTCCATCCTGGATCAAGCCAGCATCAGCGTTACCCCAGTCTTGACCAGGGACTGGGATGCACAGTGGAGGTGGCATCTTAAGAAGTTAGTATTTGTTGAAGTCTTCATTCAAGAGGGTTGTGAACATACCTTATTGCGAGCCTCGATGCTACGGACAGGAAGACCAAGATCCTCAACACTGCGGGCGAGGAGGCTACCATTCTGGGCATTGTAGTTGGCGACGACATCAGGGTGGAGTGCGGTGAGTTGAGAATAGATGGACTTAGATGTGTCAGATTAAGTCAGGTTCAAAGAAGGTGAAGAATACATACCTCGGCGGTACCGTTCAGTTCAACTTGAACGCCATGGATAGTACCCTTGAAAGCCAAATCATCCTGGGTGTAGGCAGTATCACCGGCACGAATAGCCTTCACGCTGAGGCCAGGGATGCTGGCAGCGAAGATCTGGATCAGAAAGTTAACAAGTTTCTGCTGCTTTGTTTGGGAAGAGGAAAGTCACCATTGGGACGAAGGTGACCATCAAGGCCAGAAGATTCAAGAGAGTGACAGCCATTGCGTGACAGGAGGAAGGTTGACTTGGTAGTCGAAGAAGATAAGTTTGGGGGTTTGTGATAGTCAAGAAGATTATTGCCGAGTAGATGTTCTAGTGCTGCGGACTTGAAAGGTTGATGGAGAGAGGGTTGTAGAAAGCTTTGTTGAATTGGAAGTTGTTTCGAGTTTAAGTCAAACTAAAGGCGACTAGGCTAGCGCTTTTTCATCGACTGATTTGTGTCTGTGACTGTGAGGCGCCAGCATAGTGAGTCAAGCAAGCTTCGAATTCGCTATTGTCCGACCAACCTTGCCCAGATTCACCACTTCCATGCTCAGATGCAAGCAGTGAGGGAAGAAAGCACAAAGTTTCACAAGACGCGGATATCTTCGGAGTCATCCTTGCTCAAGCCACCATTTCGAGGAGTCATCCTAAGAAGTCGTTCGCTCTATCGAATTCGAACCACGTTAAGAGATGTAGTTCTTTAAGGTCATCCACCGAAAGGTATGATGAGATAGAATAGTAGACTTCTATTGAATGTAATAGGTTGCGAAATTTGGGATGTAAAGAGCCCTCTCCTCTAATCAATCGAAAGAATTAAGTGAGACCTATGATCGTCGTCGATCCGAAGCCAGATGCACAACGTGAAGATTGACTTGCAGCACAGAAATGAAAAGGCTGTAAGAGTTCAGAAGAAATAGCATGTCCAAGTGAGATATGAACACAATATGCAATAAAATATTGATAGATAGCATCAATATCTACTCTGTTAAGATGTCTTTACACCTCAACTAAGAGGGACCTACCCTCCTGGGATCATGGTCCTCCGAACCCAAACCTATTCGACAACTTCCTCCTATTTCCGGTTATAACCTCTTTCCTAAACCTCTTCCAATTCTTATCCCTCTCTTCCCAATCACTCATCTGCGCAAGAAGCCAATCCCACCTCTTATCCTCTCTCTCGAGAACACCCCAACCGTTCTCTTTCCTCAATCTCTCTTGCCGATTCTGTTCTGCAGCCTCCTCGCCCACCAGGTATGGATCTTCATTCGTTCTGATATTCTTCGCTCGTTGCTCAGCATCCATCTTCTTCTTTATTTGCGCTATCCCATCCTCTCCATTCAAGGCTGCTATCAGCAGACAGGATTGTTGTTGTCGAGTAAGGTTCGAGGCTCGGCGTTGCGCGATGCGCTGGTAATGTTTCGTTGTAGGATTCGAGGTCTGTGTTTTTGACCAAGAGGAGATTCGATACGCGTCTAGTGAGGGATTGGGGTTTGCGGGAGGTGCAGGTAATGGAGGGATTGGAGGAAGGCCTGTTCGAGGTGGGGAAGGGGGAATTGTAGAAACATAGGTCGGAGTGTCGCTAACGTAGGAGGGTGCTGCTGATCTAATTGAAGCAGTCTCCAGATCTTCCGTTGTTATAGGTTCATGAGGGACATACGGTGGTGGGTGTTCCATGCCGTTCAGTTATGTTGATGTTCGAGGTGGCTTCGCGATAGCGTCTGTACGAATTGATGTGAATTTGGAATTCTCCTTGTCGATAATATCAATGTCCGCTACAATTAATCCACCGATATCAGCTTGATCAGCGGTGCATCTAAAGTTCTGACATCAGATACTCTGAGGTGATTGATATTCAAATAGAGGTGAGGTGAGGTTGACAGCGTTCAATGCGGTCTAGTGCGGCTTTGGCGGGGTAATTCGGGTATTTCAGCCGGGGTTAGTGGAGCAAAAGAGCGCTTCGGCGTCGTTCAACCGGTTATGGTTAATATTCATGCCTTAGCGACACAAAAAGGGGGGGCCTTACAGCCGAAATGGCTTGGACCTACGATAGTGTACCTCGTACGATGCATGCAGGAACATGGGGAGACTGTGCTTGACATTTGACGTTCATCACTTCCTAGTCTTAGCCATATTCTGAAAGGATGAATGATAGCTAGACTTCTTCGAAGACAATTAGCTTGAACCATACTTTGAAGTTGTTATTCTAGTAAGTGAAAAATGTTCTAGATCACTTGGTGGAGATGCTTGTGATGTCAAATAGGAGACAGAGGAGAACAGATGTGGAGAAATAGGACAAGGAAAGGATCAAACTCCCCGGTCTAGAATTATACAATGGTCTTGACAGACTAAGTCGAGGAGACTTCTATTGTCGGAAAGATAATCATAGCAACAAATTCCGCGCTCGCAGAAGAGTAGCTATAATTGATATCCGAACCAGCTTTACCCTGTAGCTTCCGAGGAATAATTGACCCAGAATCATGCCTGACATCGGTTTCAGGGAGGAGATGTGCCTAGGATGTGATGTGAATTGTACTCAAGTTGGACATGAAAGTGGTGTAATGATTGGTTTCCCTCGCTCATTTTCAACCTCGTAAGTTCTCGGACATTGTACTTGTTTACTCGTCACATGTTATTGTCTGACCTCGAGGACTAACATCACACGAGGCTTAAGTACGAACTTCAAGTCGAATTTTTTTCAAACTCCGTTGATCCGCCAGAGTATTCGTATGCTGGGGTCCATTATGTTGGACGGGAGGACGGGTATCGGACGGTTTCAAAGCAGGTGAGCATGACTTGAGTGCCTAGCAATATACTGGTACGCCTGAGGAGCAAACATGTGTTGTCATGATACTTGTCCCATAATTCCCGTGGATCGAAAAATAAGCATGACATCTCGGTCTTGTACAGGGCGTGCTGTTTTGACGGGGGCGGTTTTGCCATCCTCGAAGATGTATATTTGTTCCACCGAAATCCATCGCTAAGGCTCAAAGAGCCCCTTCATGACCACCACTCACGTACTTCTCATCGTTGTTTGGCCACTGAATATCGCAAATAGCGAGATTGGAAATCCACATTGCCCGACGTGGGTGTTTGTTCATGATGGCTGCAGATATTCGAATGTCCACATGAGGGATGCTGTCCGAAAATAGCTCCCTTGAGGTGTGCTGGGGAGAGCTACGACTGGCCAACCACGACATATTCATCCGGCAGGAGGCGATAATCCTGCTGGTTCATGTGGAAGACGTGCCTCTGACGCGTATGACACCCGCAACGATAATATGTGTATAGGCCCCCAATTCCGAATATAAGTATGCGTGGTTCCCATGTTATTCCATTTGAAGCTCATTTCGGGACCAGATTCAAGACCGCATGTACCCAATCTTACGCCGCTCCTACGAGGTCGACATTGGTACTCGGTGAGGCCACAAGAGCCGCAAGGCTGCAGTCACGGCTGTCTGCGGCTTACGTCCAGATATGCAGACGGCTCAGAGACAAAGGAGGCCGTTCGGATAAGATGTCCTTTGGTATCAGAATGTGATAGGTTGGCATGTTCATGCGCGTCAGGATGCGAGGTCGAAGGAGCCACGCAATCTTGCTCCCATGGTCGTTACCCGGCTTCGCAGTATGCAGATTCGAAGGAGACGAATGGTGCCGATCGAACGTTGATGCATGAGTGCATGTGGAAATTTGAAAAGCGTTGAGGATGTTGTTGCTGTGAATGAACAAGAGAGGTCCCAAGATCTTGGACGATCGAAGGCTGTGAAGCAGAGCCGCAATCACGTGCTCAGCCTTACAGTAGGTACTTCAACCTCGGACCAAGATCGAAGCAACGTCACACATTCACGAGCAGGAATAGCGACGAGAAAGGACAGCAACTCGGTGAAGATATGGGGGCATAATATCCACCGCTTCCCGCTACTCTGTCAGACTTACAGAATGCCCATGTTGTCTTGGAAAGAGGCTCTCTCTCTCGAGGCATCCATAAGGCAAGTGCACTAGGGCGAGGCCGAAACTGGTGTTCCTCAGGAGAAGAGATGCTCTCAGAGACAGGCAAAGCTCTTCAGCTGATCCCACATTGCATCTCATGTACTCCGCCATGCCATGAGGTTGACGGATTTTGAGACGAACCTGGCAATGAGGTGGGGGCGAGCTCTCTGGAGGATCTGAGAGGGGAGGGCACCTGCATGATGAGGCTCTTGTGCTGAGATCATTGGCCACGCCCGGAGAAGGCTTGACTAGTCGAGACGGCTGGCCTCCTGAATACAATGGTGCAGTCTTCAAACTGCCGTGCAGAATGCCGTGCCGCAGTTGGAATTAAGCAAGCATTTGCTCCCAAAATGGTATGCAAATGCCGTGTTCAAGGTTCCTCTGAGGCGTATATTGGGCTGGAGATCTAGGATGCGAGTGTGTCTCACCCGCAGGAGCATCGAGAGATACCTCGTCTACGCCTTGTCCATTTGTGCTTGGAGAAGATCATGGAGGCAGTGTCTGGCTGCTGGATATGGAAAAATATTGCAAGGAGGCCAATGGGCTTCTTGTACTGCGTTATTCCGAACTGGCTGTGAGTCTGGACTGCCATATTCTGCAAGGAGTAGCAATTTGAAGGGGTTCGGACGGAGGTTTTGGGACGGATGACTTCCAAAGAAGAATTCACAACTTATGGTTTTGGGGGCGGGAAAAGGGCGGAGAACGCTAGCTATAGATCTCATTCCTTCACAATTGCATATATAACCCGTCACTTAAGGCTTAGATGGAATAAATAATAAATCAGACTCCATTCGTTACAAGTCGTGTGCTTAAAGAAAGTCTACCCCGCGCTACGCCTTAACGAAACGCTCGATGCCATACTAGTCTAAAGGTGTCCAAGAATGATAGCTGGGGTATCACTGAAGTGCGGTCGGTGGGACGTGGGAATCTAGATCTGACGCCGTTCTCCTGTAACATGCCCGGCCCTCCAAAATAACGACTGTCCCACCGGCTCCATAGAAATGCCCGTCCATGCTTACGCCACCAGGTCCAAAGAGATAAAGCAAAATTGTGTCGAAGGAGAAAACCAAGATAGTATCCAGAAAGCCGCCGCGGGATTGAAAGTGATGTCGGCTTTTGTATCTCAATGACCGGAGAACCAAAAGCGCAAGGCGATGCTTTGGAGGACTGTATTGGCAGTACGAATCAGTAACATCCTTTAGGACATTTTTTTCAGCTGGACTCACAGTCAAGATGGCTCAGTTGCCGTCTCGTATCTTGGTCTCAATCACCGAACAATGGGAGCAACGTTCGTGGTTGCAGTTGTGTCCTGCGCACCATTTATTCCACCACGACTGAGGTCCAGAACCGTCCAGGTCTATGCCACATTGGCAGCATGTCCACGACTTCTCTATTCTGTACTTTCGTTTCCCTCCATCCTTGCTGCTTCCGCCCCCGCTTGAGCTACCTTTGTGGCCCTTGTGACCATGGCTGCTGCCCTTATGCGAGCCAGAGCTGTGTTCGTGGGCCATATTGTGAAGATCTCCGGTATTGGCAAGTGAGGAGAAGAGATAGGAGTTCAAGGACGATGATCAAGAAGAGCACGCTTGTATTGAAGAGGTAGATAAGAAGTCTTTGAGTTTTTGCAAAGATGATGTTGGGCCTGGCATAGAGCTGTTATATAAGGACGAACTGTAAGAACATGCAAATAATCCATAACGAAACGCCTCGGCGGTGTAAACGTTGCAATGCCCCGTTAAGATGGATCCACGAGGCAAAGTACAGTGCAAACTGAAAGGCATACCTCGAGCAACCGAATCATCTTGATCATTGCTCGATTTAGTTCATGATTCGTGCCCAAAGGGAATCCGCAGCAGCCTGTCTGCAGTCATATATTCATCCTGATGACGAGTTTCGTGGCTATGAAATAGGTTTGCAGGCGCTTAATGGAGCTCCGTCTGGATGTTGTGTTGCGCAAAAGCGCGCTTCGAGTATCCATCCAACCTTGCCAGGCCGAAACTGACACTGGCTACCCCCGTCCAAGCGGGCAATTTGGAAGGGCAGTACCGAGACGTAACGGGGCACGAGAGGGCATGTACCTAGGTGGTACACTCCTGAACCTATTTTGGTGAGCACATAGCCGTGAACGAGTTCAAGCGATGGTCAGAAGACAAAGAGTGGAGTTCTTTCAAGTTGAATAAACATGAACCAGAGCTAAATGTCGGTGAGCACAGTAAAATATAACTCAAAAATTTGAGGCGAGCAGAAAACGCTAAAACAGAAAAGTGCAAGTCCGAGAGAAGAGTGCCCGAAATTTCATTGGTCGGGCGAGACCATCAAGCAGAGCCGCATCTTTAGACGCGGCTCTGCTGCCCCCCTAACACATGACCTGGTGACACAACAAGAAAGTCAAAACAAAGATCCAACATTGCTCAGTTCAGCTGTATGATTGGTTGGCAGATAGAGTGCCGATACGAGGCGAAAAGGGGATACCGATGTAGCAGCCTTGCTCCCCCCTGTACCCTAGTATACCACATTCTCTCACCGAGCTGAGCCTCCACACAAATAACAAGAGGGGAATAGTTTGGCCGCAGTCGTGAAGCCCATCATAGGGCGTTTCGTGTTCTTCTGTTTCGACAGGCGTTTTGAGAGATTTCCGAAATGACGCGTGCTAGCCTGATTTTGATTGGCGAGAGTAAATGATTGAAATGATGGTGATCATCCAATGACCATGGTGAAATTCTGATCAGTTTCAAGCAGATCGACGTAAAGATACCGGGATTGCGAAAGTTGTCGAAAATGCTCTCGTCCGCTTCCCGCGACAACCACAAGCGGCACGTGAGCATGTTGAGGAGACGTAGAACTTTGTAATGATTCGATGAGTTGGACCTTGGAGAGAGTTGGATGCAAGCTATGCACTATTTAGCTAAGAAGCTATGAGAGTTGGGGATTGGAGGATAGTCACCTGATTAACGATTCGAATATCTCTTGAGCTTGCAACAGCAACTCTCTTTGGCGTATCTGGTCCGTATCTTATCTCGTCGAAGCCCTCGGGATGAAGATCTCAACCCGTTTGCTGACGGTGGCAATCGTAGGAAGACGCGGGAGCTTTAAGCACCTTTGTACTGGGCGAGTATAGTGATAACCTAGGTGCGTCTCTTCTTCTTCTTCTTTTTGTCTTTTGAGGCAGACGATCGACTGGAGGACGGTGAGTCTGGTGGAGGGCGAGCTCGGCCTCCGGACTCAATATTTGCGCTTTCGTCTTTCTGGTGTCGACAGTTTGGGCATGCAACGTCGTATGTGATAGAGTTGGGACTACCAAACTTTAGGACTTCTGCTAATATGAAGTGCACATAGACTTACCCAAACTCACACCAACTACAATACCACGTCAAAGTCGTCGATGGTTGAGACATCCAAATCTTAGCTACGCCTTGCAGAAAGAGAAGAGATGCTGGGAAGTGTCCTTAGAAGCCCGCGAGTTGAGGTTATCGATCCTATGTCGTATTTTCAATCTGACAGCTCTTTAAAGATGTACGCAAGGGAATATGGCGTCCTTTATAGAGCTTCGACGGCCGCGAGAACGCTTGGGGAGAGCCCTGGGCGAAGGACTGAGAAGGCCGCCTCATATTCTGCAGCGGAAGCCCAGCAGTTCTTCTCATCTTCATGAATGCCACATCAAGGGCGATTGAGAAGGCCTTCTGAAAGAGAAAGTCATTTGGCGAGGGCGAAGCAAACTCGGTCGCCCTTCATAATCTCGGAACCGCAGAATATGTTAGAGAAAGAATGGAAGGGCGGCAGCGAGCTTACCGATATTGCCATGAAAGCAGTCCGAGGTATGATGCCTCTTCTTAAGCATAGCGGCGACCGAACCCTAAGATGGTCGCCCTTCCAGAGATGAAAGACGACGCCCAGCGCCAGGCAGACTGGGGATCGGATTTCTATTTACAGAGCGCCACGAAACGCTGGCTGGCTAGCCAAAAGTCCTGTTTTGATCGAAGATTGGCCCAACATCTCCGATATCTTACTCTGGTGACGGCTGGTAGTCAATGGAGTCAGGCAATTTTCGTAACCTCAGAGACACATCCTAGGAGAGGATATATCACAGGGCTGAGATACTGGTGCTTCCTTTGCATCAAGGACAGCCCAGGTTTGCTTAGGAAATGCTCATGTGCAGTGAGAGAGGGACTGCCTCACGAATGCAGGCGGTTTTTCCAGTAATAGCAAGCTGACATAAAGCCACTGGACCTGGCAGAGCCGCCTGTGCCCTCGTTCTTCACTCTGCTCTAAGATTCACAACCAATGTCTACCGATTGCACACAAATTTTCCAGCAAGGCAGATATTCGGTGAAGATGGAAAAAGCAATATATCCAGTATGGAGATTGAGCCGCATTATACCGGCGAGGCTTGGGGCGATTGAAAACAAAGGGCGACATGAGACTACTCGGATACCATGGCAGGACATACTTCAAGACCACTTGCTCACGCACAGCAGCTTAAAGACCTCTGCCACTGTGCCATAGCCTTGTTCATCTCGAAGTCTGCCATGGCTTACGTATAGTTCCGAAGTGGAAGGATTCGAAGCAATCTGCTTAAAGACCTTAATTCTATCTGCAAAGAAGACGCAGCTGGCAAACAAGTGAACGTGATCTAATCGAGAAGTGTAACAACAATGAACGTGTCTCTCTCGTGGCTTTATTGAAGTTATCGCGATGCGATGCTTAAAGAGCTTGAAGTTGTTCAAGTTGGGTATGTGGTACCACAACTGGCTTAGTGTTAAGCTAAGCCTATTCCGTAATGTCCGAGGATCAACATCAGCCTTGCAGGATCCTGCCCAAGTAAATCTTGGTTGAGGGCGTCAACCACAATATCTCTTGTACATTCTTCAATAACTATAATTTCTCTTCGTTCGTCTCGCATATTCTGGAGCAATGCCAATGCCAATCGCAATTACTCCGCGCTAATCCCCCTTCTCAGTCTATCCGTGTACCAGTAAATCGCCGAGCACTCTTCATGGACAGTATTTGCGCGTATCGATAATCCACGAGCAATATCCATGGACGCGACGAGATGTTATCAAAGGCGGAAAGGCAGAAAATTATAATCAACATCTGGACTGCCCGATGCATTCCGGTAATTCTCGCAGGGGTTGTTGGCTATGTGACTTATGTTCTCGTTGTTCCTCTCTGTGGTATGTTTCGATACGAAAGCAGTCAACACTGTACTAATACAACGGCTTCTTGCAGCACATTATCTTCTTAGCCAGCATAACGATGTCGCTGCGGCGGCTGTTATACTCATTGTATACTTCATACTATTCCTTCTCATGGCGTCAGCCCTCTTCCGATTACTTTACATAACAGTTCTCGATCCGCCATACTTGCCATTGGGACCAGCAGCTCTTCGCAGCAGACGTGGATTTAGTACATCCGAAAAAGAGAAATCAACATCCGACGCGGACGGCATTGGTGGAGCTGAATACAATGTTGGATTCCGTGAGGGAACCGGTGGACCACTGGATCCAGATTCTCCGGGCTTGGAATACTTCTATACAAAAGAAGTGTTTTCCTCCGAGGTTGACGGGAAACCCAAGTGGTGCTCGCATTGTGCGAATTGGAAGCCAGACCGCACTCACCATTGCAGTGATGCTGGGCGTTGCATATTGAAGATGGATCATTTTTGCCCTTGGTGAGAAACCTAACATGGCGAAAGAAAAGCTCGAAGTAGTCAAAATACTGACTTGCTCCTCATCAGGGTGGGTGGGCCTGTTGGAGAGACAAATTTCAAATTCTTCATTCAGTACACAGGATATACGGCGCTTTATTGCCTTCACTTACTGGTGGTCATGGCTGTATATATTGGTAGACAAGTGAACACAGAGGTACGTCAACCAGTAGTTAATTTCTGCCTGCTTTCTACGCTGGGAGGCGGGAGGCCTTGTTATTCATACACATGCTTGTGGTCCATCTGCTAATATATAATCCAGGGTGAGACGTACAACCCCCAATTCACTGCCATACTTGGACTGTATGTTTTCCTGAGGTGACCATAACAAAACACTAACAATCGTAGTGCAACATTCTTCTTCCTATTCACAGCAGGAATGACAGGCACCTCAATGGATCTCGCCATGAATAATTTAACGCAAGTTGAACGACTAGGAGCAAAGACTCGCGTTCATACTCTTGCTATCTTGAAACCCTCAATCGAGCAACTGCATCACATTAGTCCGACAGTGGCTGGCCAACATAACTATCGCGAGATAACGTTCCCATTGCCATTAACCAAGCCCCCTACGTCGGCGGACTTTTCGACTAGCACTTCAAACGCCTCCAATTCTCCACTCGCACGAGTAGAAGTAGAAGGAAATGTCCCTGAAGAAGAAGTCCGTTCCTTGGGGTCACAGCCAGCTTTGGGAACATCATCAGAGCCATCACAAGGCTCATCGACTGTCCCAGTGAAAGCATCCACGAATAATGACCACAATGAAAGAGTTCTAGACACGCCAGGTAGACTGAATCCAACCGCGGAACCTCGTACTGAAATTGAGGTCATAACACCAGCATCAGCAAATGCCTTTGCGCAATCTCGACCCTCTAATCGAGATCTCATGGCTACGCGGACCTTTGCAGTTCTAGATCTGAAACAAGGACATAATCCTTGGGACCTTGGAACTCGTCTACTAAACTGGGAAACGGTGATGGGTTCTAGCGTCATCGATTGGGTGTTGCCCATCAAAAGAAGTCCTTGCTGCAACCACGAGGATACCGAAAGCCAATTTCAGCTCGGTCCTTGGGTTGATATTCTAAAGTCAAGTTATGGATTCCTTAGTCCGGAAGACATGCGTGCTTATGGAGGGCGTAGAAAGTCGGAGCGGAGGGATGTGGAAGATTTCAAACCTCGTTCTGGACATCGAAAACGTCGAAGAAGACAGAAACGTGATACTGGGCGAGAATTGCCGGTTCAACTTGATGACTTGGAGAGCCAAGCTCCGCAGCCAACTTGAGAATCGATTCTTAAATAATGTTTATAATATTTATACGCAGGTAACATTGTATTGAATAAGCAAATGGCACGGGACATTGTTGTTCCGGACATCGGAGTTTTCGAGTCGTACATACAGCGTTTATGAGTTGGCAGCATGGCTATGCGAGGATGGACCAAGGCCCAAGTCATGTATTAAGACATTGTTTCGATGGCATAGGGCTTCGCGAGTACCTAATTTGTCTTTGATTGCAAAATACAACACTACACATGTTGCAATGCATTTGCTAAATCGTGATAAAGTGTGAGCATTATTCTAATCTCTAGTGTGTTATCATCAATATTTTTCACAATTCTTCCTCATGACAAGTTGCTGCCTCAAGGCCAGCTATTTTTGAAACTCGGCATGTGAATAGCGCTTGGACTTTTGGAGAGCTAGCCAGCTTTTCGCTCTTGCCGAAACTATCATCATCAACAGCATGAGGGTAAAACTGCCGCTCGAGTTGATTAGGACATCTTCGCCTTACCTCCATGGACTTATTCCATCAGAGTCTCCAACTGCTATTTCCAGGGCATGATCCTCACATGCAATCGTCGACGTTGGTGAGTGAAAAAGTGCTAGGATGTCAGATCTGCGCAGGGGTCTTGTCCGCCCTGGAGACTCTGCGGGAAAACCTCGAGGGTTAACGATGTTGTATCATCAATGGCAGACCCTCCAGCGCCCTTCCGCATACCACAACACTTTGTGGTGCCGACTCTATCCGAACATGGACGATAAACTTGGTTTTTAAAGACATAGACTCGGCCCCGAAGAAGATCTTCCTGCTTGGTGCTGGAGATATTGGAATACTCCACGGACGAAGCTAGAGTGGGAGATAATAAATATGGCTTCATGCCACATGGAGAGCCTGCTTCAGCCTGACCAACAGAGCAAGACGAAAAGATCACCACCATACAAATATCCTATACGCAAGCTCGAAACCTGAGAAACCTCGTCCCTCGAAGCATCCAGCAACAATGTCTGCACACAGAGACCTCAAAGCTCCTACCCTCGAATTCCTCGACCTCTTCTGCAACAAGAAAGACATTGAGAAAAGCGTCACCTATCTCCACCCAGAGTTTACCGCGACCCACGACGACTGGGCCCCTAAAGATCTTGATGGTTTCATTGAGCAATGGAAACACCTCATAACTTCGCTCTGGCCGGAGTTCAAGTACGAAGCCATCGATACCGTTCAAGAAGGAAACAAAGTCTGGGTGTATGCGAGAATCACTGGTCTCCAAAATGGGGAGGCAAAGGACTCTATCGATATGCTTGAGTGGGACAAAGAAGGAGAAAAGATCATCAAGACGAAGGATGTGCAGAGGACTGTCGAACAGTAAGCTGGATGAGGCATCTGCCATGCCAAACAAGCGGCTTTCGAAAAGCCCCTCCGGATTTTCATTCCGAAGAGCTATAATCAGAATGTGAAGTGGATACTCCTAAGACACAATTCAGCGAATACTTCAACCGCATCCAGTCACGTTCACAAGAATGAAATTGTTTGGGTAAGGAGAATGATTTCTACGTGCCAATGCTGTCCACAAGAATCGACTTGTGGACCAAAAGAGTGTCTAACTACGCCATCTAACCTGTTTCACCAGAAAATGAGACCCTACCCCGCAAACATGAAAGAAGCCTTGTCTATGAAAGAATATCAACTCGAATCGAACAGAGTCTTTATGCTTTTGGAAACATGGTATGCCAGCCTGTACCTTGTGACACCTTAACTTGCAAGCATCCGACATCAAATCTGGATTTGGCAGGGTGATGTACACAAGACAAGCAGAGACCAGCAACCACCACCACCGACGCAGAAGATACTGGAGCAAAAGACAATCTAACTCAGGAGACGACAAGAGAGATCTATAGGAGTCATCATTGAAAGCAAAGAACAGCAACAGAAAAAGCAAGAGCATAACCCCTCTATAAGCGACAACAAGAATCATAGTATCCTCCAACCAAAGCATCAAAAGACCTCCACAGACCCCAACACCGAGATGACAGGACACTAAGGAGAAAAAAGAAACAAGCATGTAAGACATAACAAGAAACGAAGGTTGAAAAACCGACATCAACACATTTCCATCCCTCAATCCCCATCCATTGTGCCGAAACTGACAGTATCTAGGGCCACGGAATCATTGCTGCAGTTTCCCAAGCCGTCTGCAAGCTGACAAGGTTATCCACCATCAGGTCCAAATTTCTCGCAACCACCAGTGTCCACGCTGTCAAGTAGGAAGAGTTTGTTCTTAGTCTGTTCGTCGTTGACCTAGACAAATCTTATCCTCTCTAGAAATCTTAATTGGTGACGCAGTACCAGTCACACCTGACGTGTGCACAGACAGGGCAAGTGTCTCCGTTGACGTTAGGGTTGACTAGTGCTTGGCACTGACAACATGTCCACCAACCCCTTATATCTGGTCGTCTTGTACGGTCCCTAGACCCACTTGCAGAGTTGTTGAAGGTGTTGTACTGCATGTTGTACCTCGAGTTGTCTTTGATTGGACTTGGCGGGGGTGTAAGCGGTTTGCATTCATCACACTTCGTATGTCCACAATTGCAACCGGTTGGGTATTGATCGGGATTGATAGTCTCCTTGCATGCGCAGCACTTGTACCATCCTTCCGTGCTTGGCGGTTGAGTATGAGTAGGGTACATGTTGAGTTTGACGAGTACTGACAAGAAGGGACCTTGCGTTTCGATGACTCGTCTTGTCTGATGTCTTTGACTTGTTGTCGTTCGTGATCGGCCGGAAGGTAAACGAGTATGTGGTTCTTCCCAAAGAGAAGGCTCTTCTATGGAAGCTCTCGATTCTTCGAAGGTAGTCTGAAGATGAGAAGAACGAGTATTGTCTTTGCGGAGAAAGTTTTGCTTCGAGGGTGTTGAGAATGTGTTGTTGTGTTATAATCTCTCCTTTCCGAGTCCACGATGCTGTCTTTATATTCCCTTCCCTTCTCCATCTTGCTACCTCACCTCCCTCTCCTGGGCGTCAAGCTCCTCGGCGGAAGTTTGTCAAGATCCTCAGAGCTGGGCGTGCTTTGCTGTATTCTTTAGGTAGTTTGCCCTAGGGTTAGCCATCGAAACCGCGGGGACAAGTCTCACGATCGGCGACGCTTCGCAGACTTGATCTTGGCCACACAATGTCCCATCCTTCCAGGAGCATACGACATGATTCCCTAAGGAAATGCACAGCCTCTGGACAAGCTCCTTGTCTCTGTCCAACAAAGTTGTGGTAGTCAGAGACGCCTCGCAATCGAGGTCCAGGGCGAAACACACCGTGTACTCAGAGAGTATCTTCTCCACAGTATTGGGTACCGCGGTGATGGCAGCAGCCTCAGATTTAGAGTTAACGGCGAAAGAACAACACCCGAGCATCTTTCCTTCGATCCTGCGCCCCTCTAACGGTCGTTTCGGAGCCTCTGCAACATAGTGGTGACGTTTCACCCATCGCGGGGTTGTTTATCCTCCTCGTTGCTCTGCCCGGATTCCCTCTTTGGACATAACGAGTGGATACATGTCTGCCCCGCGGTGATCAAGAAGCTTCGGTGCTGATCATGCTTCCAAACCGCGTCATACTGGCGCTCACCCAGATTGAAGGCATCGTGAGCAGGGGAGGTCTTGCTCTTGGGATTTTGCACTGCCTGGCTCGTCATATAGATCCAATGGCTGGAAATATTGGTGTGTACTGGGCACAGATTCGTGGATTTGACTCTTCGTATGAAATGAGGCTGCACTAGTCATTCAGCATATGCTCGCAACAGGAAAAGAAGCGAGGGTTGTACTGACCGCGTGCCACCAGATCTCCCACCCCTAGCCGACGTCGGAAGTGTCCGATCATTCAGTCCTCACTATTTGTGCCCAGGAGCTTTTTCTTCGAGCTCAGGGCGAGCTAATAGAAGGGTCTGGATCGAGTCCAAGCTCCGTGAACCGGAAGACGCCACCAAGTATCGTGGACTCTGAGCTTGCTCAAAGTACCCAGGTAACATATCCAGCCTCAATGTCTTGCAATTGAATGCACAGCCAGCTTTATCAAAAGCTACATTCCACGGGGCCGACCCCACCAAGGCTATCACTTGCATACTGCATACGCGCGCTTACTGCTTCTCGTCACCGTCTTCTAGAAGAATACCATCAGCATCCGCACTGCATGACCCGTCTGACGGACCCCACTCCCATGGATCTGCTATTATGGGACAGCTTACTTACTGTTCATTGTAGCCTTATTTTTGCCCACGCCCCTACTTTACGGACTGACCGACATATTCCACGACAATAGCGGATGAGACGAATTGGAACGTTTTGATAAATTCCAGGATCAAATACAACAAATGTTTCTTGTTCGGCTCTGACTCTTCGTCCACTTGGCAGTACTTGCCAGGGCGTTACTCCCAGAGGCGTTTGTCTTGGGAACAATGCCATTGCGACCCACAAGATCACTCCTGATGAAGATATTGTAGGCGAGACATCGTCGGTAGTTGTCAAAGCCACGTCTCGGCACCTTCAGCAGCGCCCCGGCGTCGAAATGTACGTGGGCGGCGACATAATAGTCCCTGGATAGTAAGTGCACATATATCAGAACTTTGACAGCGCAGGGAGCAGTTGCACATAAGAAGTGCGCAGACACAGATTTGCGACTGAGACACACCCATTCATTTCCCAGTTCCCTATTTTGAGCCTCAACACGGGTGATATTATGTACAGAAGCATCATCAAGCACGTTCCTAATGTGATGACTTGCATGGCAACCCGTCTCTGTGCGACCCCCATCCCACCAGATTTGGCAATTTCAGGACGCCACTTACACCGTTTATCCGTATCTTCTCTTTGGTGTGACATCCACATGCGTTCGTGCACATCTGTTGCTGTCGCAATCGAATCGGAACTCAAGCATATTACTTTGCTTTTTCGTTCCGTCCCCTCTTTCCATAGTAGTCGTCCCTTGCAGACATATCAACAGTTGGATCTTGGGACCGAGGAATACTGGTTCGTACATCTTCTTACCGCGATCTTCATCTGTGGCTTTGCCTTCCAATCTGTCTAGTGCTTCTTCAATCAAGCCAATATGGCCACGAAGGGTCCCTTCAAGTTCGTCCTACCACGGCGTCAAAATGTTTCAGCAGTCAGACATCACCCCACAGAAATAGCAGCCACTTGAAGAAAACCAACACCACTAAGCGCTGCACTATTCAGCCCAAAGGGTAAAGTTCCCCTCCTTAAGCATCAAGGATTGCTGAAGATGGTGTGCAGATGTCTTGCATGACAAATTCTCCTTGTAAGATTGGGACTTCGACCCCGAAAGCTGGTTTTTAACAATAGATAAGGAGTGTACACACCATTCTTGCCTCGTGATCCTCAGAGAGCTCAATCATATGTGATCTCAGGAGATATGTTCCACCGCCTACGCCGAAGAGGGTTGTGATATTGAGAGCTCCCAGCACTGCTGGATTGCGGAAGAGCGACAAGAAGGACATTATTATGCGATAATTAAGAAAATGAGGACAGTAATGATAACAGGAAAGAGAAATGCATTTTGTAGCTATAAATTGTGAACCTTTAATGTGTAGTGACTTTTGGTCGACTTCATTGGTTTAATGGTGACATCAGTATTGATGCGCTCGCCAAGACATTCTGAAGATGCGCGGCACGTCTTCCCAAACTGCTACGCGTCTCTCAAGATACCGCAACCACCAAAGCCGTCAACATGTTATGAACCTTATGAAGGCTATCACAGCTTTTTGACGTTATCTGCCGCAACTACGATGTCGTCCTCACAGCCTTTTCAGGCGTCTTCGCCCGTTTCCCCGAATACGACTCGGCGGAAGAAATCGAGGTTTACCTACAAACAATTTGCGCAGCTGGCATTATCGTCTACGAGCTCGCCATTGAGGGTCATTGCGCATGTGGATTTGGATGCTTTTTATGCGCAATGCGAGGTTCGTCTTGTTCTTATACTGAGTTGTTGCACCTGTCTATGAAGGTCGAGAGCTTGTAGCTTAGAAATAAGCCACCATAGCAGTGTCCGAGATCCACCTAGACTTTCTGCAGATTCACAATGCTAACTCGTCGAGCAGATGGTCAGGTTAGGCGTTGCAGAAGATCAGCCTTTGGCAGTTCAACAATGGTATTCATACTCCCCCTCTGCTTTATTACTATGCTAAGAATCACAGGCAGGGCTTGATAGCGATAAACTACCCCGCCAGAAAGTTCGGTCTTAATCGACATGTAAACATCTCGGAAGCAAAGAAGCTTTGCCCAACTCTGATAATGCAACATGTGGCAACCTGGAAATTCGGGGAAGAGAAATGGGGTTATCACGATGATGCCTTCGCCCACATTGCAACGCACAAAGTCTCCCTCGATCCCTATAGGCTGGAGTCGAGGAGGATTCTGGCGTGTATAAAGGAGGCTCTGCCGGCCAATCTGCAGAAGGTGGAGAAAGCTAGCATTGATGAGATTTTTGCCGACCTGTCGGCACAAGTCCATTCTATCATGTTGGAGCGCTATCCTGAATTGAAGGGACCAGCTCCTTACGATGATCCGAGTGAGAAGCTCCCGTTGCCTCCTACGACTGCATTGGATTGGCAAGCGGATGCACTAGTTGATTTGGACGTGGACGAGACGGAAGACGATGACCCGGATTGGGACGATGTGGCAATCCTCATAAGTTCTGAGATTGTGCGAGATGTCCGGGCAGCTGTTCGAAGCAAGCTAAAGTACACTTGTTCTGGTACGTCCGTCTTGTCCAGATATCCTACCTTAGGCCAACTCTAATATTCTATGGTGCAGCTGGTGTTGCAAGCAACAAGATGTTGGCAAAGCTTGGTTCGGCGCACAAGAAGCCGAACCAACAGACTATTATTCGAAATCGAGCTGTGCAACAATTCCTCTCGGACTTCAAATTCACAAAGATTCGTGGTTTAGGGGGTAAGCTCGGAGAACAAATCACTTCCGCTTTCAATACAGATACTGTCAAGGACCTTCTACCGGTTTCCCTGGAGCAATTGAAACAGAAGCTAGGCGACGACACTGGGACATGGGTTCATGAGATTATCCGCGGACAAGATTCGAGTGAGGTTAATTCTCGCACTCAAATCAAGTCTATGCTCTCTGCCAAATCTTTCAGACCCAGTATCAATACACCAGAGCAAGCTCATCGATGGCTTCGGATCTTTGCTGCTGACATCTATTCGCGACTAGTCGAGGAGGGAGTCCTCGAGAACAAGAGGAGACCAAAGACGATGAACCTCCACCATCGTTCCGGCGGTCAGACGAAATCAAAGTCAGCTCCTATTCCTCTTGGGAAGAAGATCGACGAGGCTGCACTATTCGAGCTTGCTAAGACACTACTCGGCCAGATTATTCTAGAGGGCAGGGTCTGGCCCTGCGCGAACCTCAGCCTCGCAGTTGCAGGATTCGAAGATGGTGTATCTGGAAATATGGGAATTGGAGCGTTTTTAGTGAAAGGCGAACAAGCTAAAAGCCTTAGTGGGGGTTCTCGAGAGTCAAGTCTGCCGGAAAGCGGTCAGGAGAGGGCAGAGAAACGACGTCGTGTTGAGGGACAATCCGGGATCCAGAAATTCTTTGTCAAGACTGACAGCACCGAAGAGCACGACGACGACTTTGGCTTCCAGAGCTTACCCGGCATGGATGGTGTTTTGGCTGAAGAAGCAAACGCATTATCGAACGATGGCGAAAAGGTGGCGGCGACGATGCCTCGCCAGAATGAAGCAGTTCGACCGTTTGAGGAGTCTTTCCCGGTCGCGACTGGGACATCTGCTCTCCATCAACAGCACATCACTGATTTTATTTGTCCTCGTTGTAGTCAGGCTCTCGAATCGTCAGATGCTTTGCAAAGCCATGAGGATTGGCATTTCGCCAAAGACCTACAGGATGAGGATCATGCACATGGAGCTCAATCCAGGATGGCTTCAATGACCAGTAGCAAGAAGCCAACAGGAGCCACCGGAAAGAAGAAAACCTCGCGAGGAAAGCCAGAAAAGGGCCAGAGCAAGCTCGCCTTTGGTTGATAAGGTCGATCTTTCTTAAGTCCAAATCATCGATGCCCAATCCAATATGTCTTGAACTCAAGCGCTGAACATGGGATACAGTACATGTTTAGACCTTCAAGTTCCTCCTCAAGTTGGACGACTTTTGACTTCAAGGCGATTTCAAGGTCCTGCACTTCTAGAGCTTTTTGGTTTGTCGATTTTTCTACAATGCGGAGAGACTTTGACATCCTCAATTCTCCTATCGTTGCATGCCACAAGATTGTACCTCGCTTGCTCTCGGGAATTTGTACCCGGATCAGCAGCTAAGGGGAATTTTCAACGTGCCAGCCGATGTTTGGTCCCGAACCCGCCAGCCTTGTCGAACCTTGTTTGATTCCAGAACAGCCCGACGATACTGGTTGAGCAAGTGTACCTCTGCAGCACGATCCCTGGGTTCGAATGTGGGAGTTATTGGTGTTTGAGTACAGCAGACCCCGAACCATCAAAATGAACATGCAAAATGGTCTCCTGCATCTGCAAGTCATGGGTCCATACACCGGGGAAGCTCCATAATTCATTTGCGAGGACGAAAAGGTATCTTTGCCTCAGGGGAGAGGAGTCAAGGGCAGATGGCAATTCGGATGTCAATCACCGCTGATCTTCGAGCCACCCGTTAAAGGCTTCCACTAGAAACAGCTAAGCATGTAATTCCTCGGCACGAAAAGCGGAACGGCGCTGCTCGAGAGCATTTTCGTGGAAGCTTGTGATTCTTCTGCGCGCTTTCCAGCAGCCACTTGAAGCTATTGTGAGATAAAAGCCCCGAGATCACAGGTTCAGCAATCAGAGAGACAGGCGAATAAAGGTGACGCAAAAGGAGATTTTTGAGAGCATCCCAAGCAAAGTCTAGTCTGCCTTGTTGGGCTGGAATTCATGCCCAACCATGCATCCCAGCCTGATGCTTCCGCGCGCTGCTGCTTTACGAAACCCGGACAACATTCAGACGAAGTCAGGATTTTTATATAGGAATGAAACGAAAGTATGCTGTCGGTTTGCTATTGCAGCAGGGCCCAAAGCTAATCTAAAGTATATATGTATGTATATATGAAGTCTATCGTCCACTTGTGCCTGGAGAAAATAGACTTTCCCTCGAGAACGTCACAACTGTTGTCCGTGATGGCGAGAGCACCGCAGTGGCGGTCAGGGGATTCCATGCGATGCGGGCTCCACCACGTCTGCAGAGGACAGGTCTAAAGTTCTCTCATTAAGATGAGAGTTTATGTGTGGTTGGCAAAGGGCAAAGCAAGGCAGGATTGTTTGAGCATAGCTCGAATTCTTCAGACCTGTCCTTAAGTACCCGTGAAGTGCCTGTGTCGTGTTGTTGTTTGTTTCTGAATTGAATGAAATTTTCTCGGTGCAGGTGCTTCCTTCCCACGTTCGATTCATATCCTTCCCCCACGTTCCCGGACCAGAGTATATCTGCTTCCGCTGCTCCTCCACTTCTGCAGAAGCAATCCAGTGTATAGAGTACAGTACATACGCTATATCACAGGTACACACGATCACAGCTGCACCAGACCAACCAAGTCTTTGGCAGGTCTTTGGAGCAATCCGTTGTGAGCACGCAGACACACGCCTCGCATCTCAAAAGCGGCGGGCCAGCCAGACCATCTTGAGCCAGGCTCACAGGCACCCACGCTCACCCACACGACTAACAAATCTCGCCCCTCTCCATTCTCTCTCCTCAGCCTGCCCTCTCTTGCGCTCTCTCGCCTCCCAGCATTCAATCCTCACCACTCACCTCCCCATCACCGAACTCGCCAGCTCACAGCGCATCCTCGCGCATCCTCGCGCATCATCGTCCCTCAGCTTTGCCCTTTTGGATTACCGTTATTGGACCGTATTGGACAGGACTGCCCACCCAAGAGTATTTGTTCTCAGGACTCCGCCTCCCTCTTGGATCTTCCAGGCTTTTCTCACCCCCCGTCTTGTGCAACATTCCATTCCAGGCTACCACGGTCATAGTGCGTGACTTGCGCCCATACACCCGTTTCCTCGTCGTCGGCCATCCTCCTTTCTTCTCTCTTCTCTCACCTTGTTTTCCATCGGACTCGTGCCATCATGTCGAGAAGAGACACAGACCGGGACAGACGCGCTGCGGCTTCGGCTCGTACGAATGAGTATTTCGTTCCCAAGGATGGTATTGACCGAGAAGTCATCACGGCAGATATCTGTCGTTATCTTGGGAACGATGCTCTCGTACGGCCAGGTAACTACGAGGTAGGCCATCGAAGTGACGAGGATGAGGAGCACCAAACAGAGTCCTGACTTTGCTGCAGAACCCACAGACTCGACAAGTGCAAGCAGGCTACTTCATCAACGCATACCGAAATCTCACGACTGTAATATCGCATCCTCACACCATCGTCTCGTCAGTCGCTAATGATAACCTTAACAGGCCATGATCGCAGATCTGAAAGCGGATTCAGCAAGATGGGAAGCCGAGCGGCGACAGACCGCCTCGAGAGGACAGCCTGCTAATGGTATCTCTCTGCGAGACTCGAACGGTATTGTTCGAAAATCTAACACACCTACAGTGGGTTATCGTGATTCTGCCACACATCAAACCCGTCAGTACTATGGTCCCTCGGAAGCACAACCCACCACAGGATATCCATCCAGCGGCGGCTCAAGCACCCCGTTGGGAGATGCATATGACAATGGATCCCAATTCCAACAACAAAACTATGCCCAACCGGCTTCAGGATATACTCAACCTACAGGATATGCCGTTCAGGACACTTACTATGCCGGAGCAGATTACGTAGCTGACCAGCCACGTTCTTCCCGTGTTCCTGTTACTTCTTCCATCACTGTTCCCAGGAGTAATGCATATGCTCCAGCTCCTACTTACCAACAGCCTGACTCACGGGCTGCTTACTATTCTGGCCCTCCACCAGTAAACCCAACTCAGCAAGTCTATGCCACGCCGCAAGATCCATACTATGGTCGTGGTGCGTACAAATACACCAGCCATTTCCCCTCATCTAGTGTTCGAAAAGAGAAGTCTCTAACTTTTTAGCCGTTCCTGTAACAGGCGCTTCATCATACGACACCCAGGATGCTTATGACAGCCGATCATACCAGGACACAGGATACAGCCAAGCTCCTTTAGCTTCTTCTTCAAATATCCCTGCCACCTCGAATACTTCATCCAGGCGTGAGCGTGAAAGAGAACCAGATCGTGACAGCAGAAGTCATCACGGCCGTCGCCGCTAGACTTTTCCACCACTGGACTTTCCACGGAACATTCTTGGGACCTATCGGCCCGCATTGCTTGGCGTTTTTTCATTATATTGTTTTCTCGGAGTCCCTAATCTGGATCAATCCACTGGACAGGTGCCTATTCATGGAACCAGACCATTGTTCTGAAATGCTCCAGTCTATGAAAAGACTAATTCTGAGTTGCAAATTCGCACTCTATCCAGGAGTTGAAGACTAAAGATGGTTTTCACAACAGGCTGGAGCCTTATATCCTGTACTAGATAACTGGACCGGCTTCGGATTGTACGTTTGAGATTCCTATGAGGAGATGACATGGCCATGCACGTGCAGTTTGCCTGCTTTATGTCTTGACGACCCGGGTCCGTGGATCAAAGAAGGATGATATACACGGATTCACTGTCTTTGCATTAGTGATTGCATCTGTACAGGCCGTTGGGGCGTTCCATGGTTTTGTTTCTTGCTCGTGTTTTTGGATACCCTCAGCCTGCTGCCTGGATTTCTCGCTACAGCCGTGGGATGTGACCTTTCCGAATTGCATATTCCTTCTGCTTTCTGATTGGGTGGGTATGAGAGCGTTCTTGAACCAGGACCGGGCAGCAGGAGAGAGGTTTGTGTATATACTTCTCTCAGCCAGAGGCATCAACGGAAATTGTTCTACGCATCAGTTCACTCTCTCCACAGGATATTCCATGGAAGTCATTCAATACCTGGGTTACTGATTTCTAAATTGCAGATCTGGTTACATCTGATCAGAGGTAGAGTGTTTCTCTGGAATCCAGCCTGGAAGGGATATCCTGCAAGACATTTTCCACAGCAGGCTTCTGCAACCAGGAGGAGTTCCTCAAGCACAAGGAGCATCATCTACCATCCATTGTTTTGATCCGGATCATTTAGCAGCAGTTGCACCTTCACCAATTCTTTCCGGAGGTCCGATGCAGTCACAAGCGGATTATTCAGGATTTTGACTACCCACAATCTGAGCATGCATATGCCAACACTCTGACCACAATTTCTCCCACGCAACGCCCTACCTTCAGGATTATCAAAATTCTGCACCATGTCATGAGGCCAACGGACATGGGACTGGTTTTTTTCTCTTTCATCTTTGCATCTACATTGTAGAAGGCAGCATTCCACGTTATCGGTCAGCACCCAACGTCACATCTTCAGGCCATCACTCTCCAGGGAACAATACCACGTTGACGAATGCATGTATAGGATTTCCCTTTTGATGTTCCTTGCCCTTTCTACTATTTGGTCTGATCTAGTTCGCGAGTAGGGAACTGACTGAGTTATAGGTTACGACTGTTTTGCGGGAACTGGCGTTGCCTAACGCTTCAGGTTTGAAGTGAAGGGAGTGTATGCATGGTGTGTGGGTTTAAATAGGATTCCAGGGAATTTGGAAGACTGGTAGTGACATAATCTGGGTTTTGAGACTGATGGGTTCGAATTGGCATTTAATATCCTGGGTGGAAGATTTGTTCTTAACGCGTGTACCTTGCTTGTCTTTTGGTTCTCTGCACAGCGAGGCGTTTATGGGAGAATAAAATACAAGAATCTCTTCCTGACACGAACGATTGCATCTATCCAAACATGAGATCGACAATCTATATTTCTAATTTTGTGTGTGTTGGGGGGGGGGGGGTTTCAATGGGTTTAAAGTGGGAATTATTTCGTTTCATGGAGGCAGCTTGGGAGGAAGTGTGAATGTGTTCAATCGCATTTTTGGGTTGGGGGTTTTTTTGTGGATAGGATGAAGAGCGTGGGGGGGAAAGGTGGCTGGATGAGCTTGGAAGTGTGTGTTGCCACGTTTTTGAGGCTGCTGGCAGGGAGGTGGTTGGGGATCGGATCAGATAGTGAACACGGGTTTTCTTTTGATGGTGGTGGTGGCAGAGATGGCGGTCTAGATGGATGGATGGATGGCTGGTGGATGGTGGATGGTGGGATGCGGTAAGCTTATAATGATTATTGCTGCATTTAGAGGAGGCTCGGATGGAAGAGCGTTTTCTCGTTCAGGTTGGATGTGAGATGGACTAGTGTGGGAATTTGATGGTAAGTAAGTATGAAGAAATCTGGTCAATCGAGGTAATATAGAAGTGGATCTCAAACATGGTCTTGCAATCAATGAATGGAACCTTTGAGCTACAGTACGGGTACGAGTACAGAGGTAGGAGAAAACCACCGGAGTTTCTTGATGAGATAGATGAGTGAGAGCTAGAGGGAAGGAAAGGAAAGGAAAGCTTCTTTCATTTTTTTATCAGCCGGTCGGAGGGATGGTTCATAGAGTTTCGGGGAATTTTTGGTGAGGTGAGGATCAGGTAGGGTGAGATGAGGTCATTGTTCTGGGTGGTATCCTTGAGGGTTGGGGATCGTTCGAAGGAAATTTCGGGTGGATGAACACGAGATGTGGGGATGGATGGAGAGTGAGGTTTGAATTCTTAGGGGTGAAGAAAAAGATATGAGGATCTACAGTGACATTTCATTTTCTAGGGAGAAAGAATGTGCAGAAAGTAATGGGAAAGCGTAATATATCTGCAACTCAGAGTGCAAAGAGAAACAAAGGTTGTGGAACATGTACAGTACGGTCCACAGCTGGGTTGGGTTACGCGGCTTTGCATATTCTCGTCTCTAGTCTCCACAAGGACAGTACGCCGTCGGAACCACAGAAAACATGTGCTGAAGGTGCCTGCGAATATGATTATACGTTGGTTGTGAGAGATGTTATTTTTGCTAAATGGATAGATTGGTGTATCTGTTACCGGGACTGTGACAGGACAGGTGGCCCTTCTCTGGCATTGTTCTGGTAGCGAGGGAGGCTCATTTTTTTTTCAGTCCGTGGAGCGAAGTGAAGTGAGGTGAAGATCGCTGTGTGTTGGTGGGTTGTGTATGTATTTTTGGTTGGGAGACGGACGGAGGCTTTGGGGCTGATGTTCAGTACAGTAGTGTGCTGCGGACGACTGATATTCGTGGCCTCTGAGGAAGACAGGTCGCTACAATTGCCACAGAAGAACTGGTGCTGCTGCTGCTGCTGCTGCTATCAGATAGAGAATGCGAAGCTGAGGAATCAATTGGATCAGAACTATACGCGCATTAAAAAGCCCCAGCATCGTTCAGCGTATCTCGATTCTTCGTCTGTTGCAGAATCGGTTCTGTTCTGGTTCCCTTTCGTCATTCTCACAGTCCGGCATTAATAAAGTCTTAGATCCCGTTGCGGTCGGTTGCCGCGATCTTCTGCTCACGCTAGAAAGATCGACTCAACTTCTCGTTTCAGAAAGTGCACGGACAGGAGCACTGCTTGGCATTGAATTTCCATCATTCGTTCAGCATTTTGGTCCTTCCAACATTCAACCTGCACACAACCACGACACAAGAGAGCTTAGCGATCTTTCTCTCTCTTCTTTCTTTTCTTTTCATATCATCACCCATTTGACGATACCGACAGGAATTGGGCGAGCTTGATTGGTTTCTGCAGCGAGAGAGAGAGAGAGAGAGAGAGAGAAAACCGGGCAGAGAGGCTCAGGATCACGATTGCCTGCCCATCATGCTAACCTTCAGACGAGCTCTGATTGTAGCAGCATGCTTTATCTGCATGCTCTACCTCGTCACACGTTCACACACCTCCCTCCCCACCGATCGAATACCACCGCAAGATTCGCTCCACAACCAAAAGAACAATAATAATGTCGACGCCCAAACCACACGAACGGGCCACGTCCCAACGACCTCGAGCTACGACAACCGACTCCCCCTCAAGAAACCAAATGCGGGAAGCCAGCAGCTGTTGCAGGACATGAGTAAAGCGAGTCTGAGGGATAAATTGGCGTATCAGTTCCCGTATGATGTCGAGAAGAAGTTCCCGGCCTACATCTGGCAGACGTGGAAATACACTCCGGCGTCAGGGGAATTTGGGGAGAATTTTAGACCGGCGGAAGCGAGTTGGAGTGAGAAGCATCCGGGCTTCATACACGAGGTGATCACGGATCAGGTTGCGGTGCATCTGCTGCGACATCTGTATGCCAGCGTCCCGGAAGTGCTGGATGCCTACCAATCTCTGCCATTGCCAGTTCTGAAGGCGGATTTCTTCAGATACCTGATTCTGCTGGCGAGAGGAGGGATTTATTCGGATATCGATACGTATGCTTTGAAGAGTGCGGCGGAGTGGTTACCGGATAATGTTCCGAGGGAAGCGATAGGCTTGGTGGTTGGTATTGAAGCAGATCCCGATCGAGAAGATTGGGCCATGTGGTATTCTCGCAGGATCCAGTTCTGTCAATGGACTATCCAAGCCAAAGCTGGTCATCCAGTCCTCCGCGAGATCGTGGCCAACATCACGGAGGAAACTTTGCATAAGAAGAAAACTGGCCTGTTGAAGAATTTCAAGGATAACAAGGTCATTGAGTTTACGGGACCGGCTGTGTGGACTGATACCATCTTTGATTTCATGAATGATGAGAGGTATTTCGATATGAGTACCAGCAAGGGGAATATCACCTGGAGAGACTTTACGGGTATGACTGCTGCCAAGAAGGTTGGTGATTTGGTTGTTCTGCCAATTACGAGTTTCAGTCCTGGAGTTCAGCAGATGGGTGCGGAGGATTATGATCATCCGATGGCATTTGTTAAGCATGAGTTTGAAGGTATGTTGTGTCTAGGTCTAGTAGAAGAGGATTGGAATTAACAAGATCACAGGGACTTGGAAACCAGAGAATCTTCGTCATATCGGCGCAACTGATGAAGGGAAGAGATAATCTCTTCTTCCGTCACTGCACATCACAACCAAGAACGGTGTTCATTGTATATTCCACGCCTTGCCTCTCCCCGAACCGAATACAACCTGCATTCTTCCGGCGTTAACTCGTTTCTCTCCTTTATTTTCGGCATCAGCGGCATACATCTCATAACTCGTACACCTTTTCACGTTACGGCGGAGTCTGCACAAGCAACAAAAGCAGATACGAAACAAATACATGGCGGGACCTTGGGTATTTCTGTTTTGAGATCGGAAGGACAGGCAGGGCAAAGGGTAAAATATAGACGGTGGATTGGTTTTCTGCTTGTTTTTGAGTCCTCTTCACTAGATCCTATAGTATTAGGATTGAGGTGGGGGAGGGAGGCAAAGAATTGTATGCTGAGGGGAGAAAAGTAAGCACGAGTTTTTCAAGAGCTGAATGCTTGTGTGTTTGAATATGATCAGTTGGATCAGAGGAAACAGAAAGAAATTCCTCGAACAAAACTAGGAATTGAGGAATTGTATGCATGCAGGTGGGGAATTTTGGGTCGTGCATAGGTACTCTATCTATGTGTGGAGGGATGTAGAATATAATATCTTACCTCAACCTGACTTCTTTGACTGTTCTCTGCGTTGGTCTCTTGAATCGAAACTATAGAGCACTGGGACTATTAAGTCCCTCGTGGCAGGCAAAAACTACATCTTCTCAAAACAGACAATCAAACAACACCCTCTCAAATCCAATTCCTCTAAATGACACATGACATCAAAATACAGTACAGTAACACAACCCCATCTCGTCTCGTGTACCACACGCAAATGGTAAAGCAAAATAGGGGTTCGGCAACTAGGAACTGACTGACGCGGGATCCTTCCGCGGCTCGGGTCGGTTAACCCCGCATTTTTCTTTTCTTGGGGAAGGGAAACTGTGAGACATTGTACTTCCTTCGACAACTTCTCTCTTTCTTTCTTTTGTTTCTTTCTTCGCAGATTGAGAGGATTGAGAAGATTGAGAAGATCGGAAGGAAGGACAGAGCCATAATGAAGAAGCGCAATGGGAGGGTTTATTATCTGTGCTGTTGCTGCTAGACGTGGTGGGGTTCACGGCATAGGGAGAGGGGCTCCAGTGTTGAGATGTGCGGTTCAGCGAGCTGTTGGAATTGGAAATCGCAAATCCAACACCAGAAGAAGGACGCTCATTACGCTATCCCATGCCAAGGGTCCTATTACCGTACTTTCCCCCTCTCCTCTCCCTTCCTCCCCTTCCCCCTTCCTCCTCTTCAAGAACAAAAGCTAACAAGAAACAAAACAGCCACCACTCCTCACGCACACGATCCCCGAACATTTCTCCTCCATCGTCGCCCAGCACGGGGATAAAACGGCGCTTATCTCGCGCGCCCAGAAAGAGAGACTGAGTTTTCGAGAGCTGGATGAGCGGAGTAATGTTTTGGCGGGGGCGCTGAGAGAGGGGGGAATTGGAGGGAGGGGAAGAGGGGTCGGGAAGGGGGATCGGGTTGCGGTTATGTTGGGCAATTCGTGGGAGTTTGGGGTGGTTACTTATGCGGTTTGGAAGGTTGGGGGGATTTTGGTGAGTGCTGTTTTTTTTCTTTGGTTGGGGGAAGAGAGGAAGGGAAGGGAAGGGAAGGAGAAGGGGACGAGAGGGGTTGGGAGATGGATGCTGATGAATTGTTGTGCAGGTGCCGCTCAACCCAGCGTTCAACTCTCCGCAAGTCATAGCCGCGCTTTCACACCTCGAAGCTGCGCATTTGATCATTGGGACGGAGACGAATTTACCTTACAAACCGCCTAGGGAGAATATCTCTCTACTTAAACAGATCGTCCCAGATCTGGAGAGTGGAAAAGTAGAGAGCATCTCGGTGCCTAGTCTGAAGAATATCATTCTTGTCGATAACTCTGAAGGACGGATCCAGACCGAGAGACTAAAGTCAACGACACCATTCGGGGAGTTGATAAATGGGTTTTCATCAAGTAGAGAGAGGGCGATAGTGCCAGATGAACCTCTACACAGAGATGAGATTATCAATATCCAGTTCACGTCAGGGACGACTTCTACGCCGAAAGCAGCGTGTTTGACGCACCATTCGATACTTAATAATGGGTATTTTATTGGTTTACGGATGGGTCTTACACCGGAGGATGTTATTTGTTGTCCGCCGCCTCTGTTTCATTGTTTTGGCTCTATTCTTGGGTACAGTACGTTAGATTCTGCCCTTGTTTTTTATTCACGTTAGGAGCCGAGATCTCCAAGATCATTTTAGAGAGCTGCTCATCGAAGAGGATTTGTTTCAACTCTTCGGATAAGCTCCTCGGCTCCTAGATCTATGTGTAAAATGTATGCTAATTTGTGTATAGTGGCTACCGCTACTCACGGCTCAGCAATCTTGTTCCCGTCAGAAAGCTTCAACGCTGAAGCCACGCTCCGGAGTATCCAAGAAGAAGCCGCCACGGGCCTTTATGGCGTGGCAACCATGTTCGTCGCCGAACTGGAGCTCCTCGCGCGAGGCGAAATTGAAATGAAAGGCTTTGAGCATTTACGTACTGGTATCGCGGCAGGAAGCTCAGTCCCTTCCCATCTCATGGAGAAATTACACGATAAACTGAACCTGACGGGTCTAACGATCTGCTACGGCATGACGGAAACGAGCCCGGTCTCTTGTATGACGACCCCCGATGACCCGATCGAGAAGAGAGTCGATTCCGTGGGGCGGTTACTCCCGCATGTTGAAGCTAAAATCGTATCAGTCCACGACCGCAAGGAAATTCTACCCCTGGGAGAAAAAGGCGAGTTAGTAGTATCGGGCTATAACGTCATGAAACATTACTACAACGACCCTCTCCGCACCGCGGAAGTCAGAGAAGTTGAAATCCACACGAACCCGCATACGAGGGTCACGGATCGAAAGGTCTGGATGTATACGGGTGATGAGGCGACGATGGATGAGCAGGGCTATGTCCGGATTACGGGCAGGATTAAGGATCTCATTATCAGAGGAGGGGAGAATATCCATCCGCTGGAGGTGGAGAATTGTCTTTTTGGCATGAGAGAGGTGAGTGAAGTGTCCGTGGTGGGCGTCCCGGATGACAGGTATGGGGAGGTTGTTGCGGCGTTTGTGGTGGTGCATAGGGGGGTTAGGGTTGGGAGGGATGATGCGGGGAGGGGGGAGGAAGGGGTTGATCGATTAGAGTCTGACCATGAGAAAGGGAAGGGAAAGGGAGAGGTGCTAACGAGGGATATGGTTAGGGAGTGGGTCAGGAAGGAGTTGAGTAACCATCTCGTCCCCAGGTATGTCTTTTGGATCGATGAGTATCCGAAGACGGCGAGTGGGAAGATCCAGAAGTTCAAGTTGAGGGAGTTGGGTGTTAGGTTGTTGGAGGAGGCTGGGAAGGGGGGGAATGTCGTCAAGTAGTCCAGTCCACAGAGACGATGAGGAATTTTACTCGAGAAGAGCCGGTCTTGCACTTGATTATTTGGGACATTCTCGTTCTGTGCTGAATAATTTGGTGGGTTTGAACTTTCGTTATCGTTGTTCATTTTTCGATATCAGAACATCCCAAAGCCAAGTGGTTCCTCTTCTACCCTCCCCAAACTTGGATTATGTTGTACTTGCTCTTATCTACCTATCAAGAGGCTGGGCTTTAAGTTTGGAGGCCGGAGCCCTTGTTTTTGAGTTAGGAAGGGCATGCTCTTACTGGCTACTCGTAAGCGAGTGTCGTGATTTTCCAGTTGGTGTGTGCATCGAGTGAGGGTTTGGGTGGTTGTGATTGGTTTAATTCTTGCTTGGGGATGTGAGAAGCCGAGAAGGGGGGAAGTGTGGGTAAGGCTGTGTCTTGTTGGAGCCTCAAGTTTGGAGGCCGAGAGATATTGCATGTTATTGGCAGAGTCTATAATCTTCATAAGCGAGAGCTGTTATTTTCCACCTGGTGTGTGCACCAAGAAAGGGTTTGGGCGGTTGTGATTGGTTTCTGCTCCGGGTGTGAGGTGTGCATCTTGGTGTAGAGCCACTAGTTTGGAGGCCAAAATAACCGAGAGTCTCAACTCTTTCAATGGTTCATAGCCGAAGAGGAGAGTGAGAAATTCTCAACTGGGTGTTTGTGGGTGAGGTGGTTGGGAGGTTGTGATTGGTTTTCTGTTTTGAGTTTGAAGGATGAGGCTTGGTGTAAAGCCACCAGTTTGGAGGCCAAAGGAACCCCGGTCAAGCCATGTTACCCCTCGTTAGAGTGCGAAATCTCATAGCTGGGGGTTTATGGGTGAAGTGAATAAGCGGTTGTGATTGGGTTCTCTGGTTGTGGTGTCGTTCCAAGGTATCGGAGCCTGATTGAGGAGGAGGCCAAGACTTCTCAATTACAAGGGTGGTTGAACGCCCTTGGCTTAGCGAGAGTGGTGCCAAATTCGACAATTGGGTGTAACGAGTGAAGAAGTGATTAAGGCGTTGTAGTGCGTGGGTGGTCGTGGGAGCTATGCGATCTGATCTCGGAAGGTGGAGGCCGATCTTATGCCACACAAAAGTTAAATCTGAGGGCTTTACTGGTCTATAACCGAACAGAGAGTGAAAATTCCTTAGTTGGGTGTTAATGGATGCAGTGATTGAGGCGTCGTGATTCGTTGGTAGTTGTGGGCTGTGCCCGAGTTGGAGGTCAAGTGGGGTTGCACAGAGGATTCATAAAGCTAGGAGATTCTCGTTTATTGGGCTGTAGTCGATCTTGAGCATGGAAATTTCCCAGGTTGATTGTGGGGAAAGAGGAATTCAAGGCGTTGTGTCTGTCGACTCCTGAGCCTCAGTCTCAACGCGGTTGTAGTTCGGAGACCGGCAACAGATCGACTGAAGTGCTTTAATTTGGTTAGTGAGATTTTGCTAGGGGAGGTGAGATGATGCTAGGTTGTTATGAAATAGCTTTAAGGAAGGAAGTTTCCCTGAGATGAAGTCTTCATGCAAAGGATTCATCTACTTTTTTCTTGACATCTTCATAATTTTCGTGGGCCTCGAGGTGGAGGCGAACGAATGAGCATTTGCGCGCAGGATTCTGTGCTATTATAGGTTCGCCTAAAAAAATGTGTCCGAAATTTCTCAACTGGTAGTTCATCAAGTGAGGAGGATTTCAGAGATTGTGGTTGGCTGTCTTGCTGGGCGGTGAGATGGAGGCGTTGGAACCACTTGAGGCTGAGACGATACTTTAGCGATCCACAGCTGTATTATGCCAACAGGGTATCCGAAGTTGCAACCAGGTCACATAGGTTCTCGACTTCCAAAGAGCTAGATCTGGCTTGGAGGCGTTAGCAACAGCACTAGAATTCGTTGGTATCAAAATTCATATCTAACATTCCGTACACGACGTGCAGCGAGGTGAGCAAGCTCCTCTATTTACAAATGGGCTCCTTCAAAGAACAACAACGCTTTCTGCCATCATAAACCAAATCTTCGCTCTATGCCACTCGTCCCGCCGAGTCTAACATGAAATGCACTGAAATGCAATAAGATTCGCTAGATCAAATATCTGCCTCAATCTTCAAACAAAGCTCAATCCCAACTCTTGACCACAAACAAGCTAACCTGGCTTGCACAGGGTCCGTCAAGAAGAATACCCCAAAAACGCCACGCCCGGGCTATCCCTCGCTCAAAATTGTCGTCCTTGGTTTCCCATCTCTCTCGTCGTTGGGAAGCTGATGTTCGATTTATCCATGCTTTGCAATCTGATTGGAATTCTATCCTCATCAATCTGGTCGAAAGAATCTTCGAAGCCCTTCACGTTGTACTTTCGCATCAAAGGGCGCAGCTCGAGGATACCGGCAACGGCAATTCCGATGCTGACTTCTACTGCGGACCAGAGGAATACTGGTGCTGCGTCGACTAAGAAACTCAGCGTTAGTGATTGAGGTTCTAATACGGGAAGAGGATTACTTACAGAGTGGATCTGTTGAAGCCTTGAGCTTGGCAAGTGTTGCTAGACGAATGAAGTTCGCAATGCTTGCTCTGAAGCTTGTTAGTCTCAAGTGATGATTGCAGAGAAATGGAGATACATACGCTACGCCTAAGCCGAAGAGACCATAAATGTACAACTTGAGTCTCGAGTTCACGCCACGGCCTTTGAGCATGATCCAGGGAGCGATCAGGAACAGCATATCGATACTGACAGTTGTGCCCGAGAGCGCAAATCCTACTGCAATCTGTTGAGCGGCTGGCAAGCACACACCCTTGGCGGTCGGATCGACCAATCTCCACGTGTAGCTGATTGGAGCACATTGGACGAGAAAGTACTCGACGACGATAATGCAGATGAGAGCGTCAATGAGGATTGCTGCTCTGAGAAGATAGATGTGGGTTTTCACTTTAGCCCATTGGAGGAGGGTGATGGCGAGACTGGCTTTCATGATGCTCGTGAGGACGACATAGATGATTTCGAGGAAGAATATAAACTTGGCCGCGTCAATACTCTGTAGAATAGTGGGTTCCGGCTTACATACCTTCAAAGCATTTCCAATTCCGACTATAGTTGCAGATGATGTGTGACCACCAACTCCATTTCTAACAGCGAAGATGAGCAAAGCGAAAAGCCCCGCATAAATGAACTAAGAAGAGTCAGTTCATGATGCACTCTCACCAAATCAACCAGCTCTTACCGTAGCCACGATCATGAACACATCATTGAAGTTGAAAGTCTTCGAGATCCTTGCCCGAACATAACATCGCAACCCGATGAAGAAAGCATTAATACCCAGAAATACAGCTCCCACCGCAATCGTTATCGGTCCCAGACTTGAAGCCGGTAGAGCTGTTGTAGTAGTGGTAGTAGTAGTGGTAGCCATTGCGACTTGCGCAAAGTGATCTCCTCGTAGAATACAGAAAAAGAAAATCCCCAACCAACACACAATAGTAATAAGAATACGATTGACCAGAAATTGAAAGAACAGGGCACTACCCACTATCTGTTTCCTCTCGATTTGCACAGGGAGGGTTTCCCTTTCTATATTATCGCGCAAGCTCTTGGCCTACCAGAAATTGATTCATCAATGTTTGAATTCCGTTTCGCGTGCCACCAATGAGCGGCGCCCAAATTGGATTTTGGAGAAAACAAGAGGTGTCTGGACTATTGGGATGGGTAGTTGTTGCCCCGAAGTAATAAGGTGCGGTGGCGCAGGGTTGAAACTTCTCGCAACCTAAAACGTGGTGAGCTTGGACGTTGAGGCCACGACTAGAGTTTCAACCGAGGATATGGAACCCAGGTTTAACCCAAACGGGACTACAAAGTTAAAAAGTAAATCAAAATTAGCTGTGAGGTTTGCTTGTTGGTGTGTTGCGGTATCTTTCTTTGGGCGATTCAAGGAGTTGCATTGATTGACGTCCGTACCCCGGCTCGAGTTCATCCCGGCGTGGTGAATTTTGCTCAGGCTTCGATTGAGCATCATGCAGACCCGCCCCCGCAGTCTGTCAGGGAAGAAGTAAATCTAATCTTGACTCCTGCGCGTGTATTCGCTGTCTGCATATTGAAGACGATACATGTTTGTTCCTGCAAAATACTTTAGTACTCGGGGTATCAGTTGTGCCAAGCCTTCGAGAGACTTCTTCGATGGCAGGTGAAAATTCTCCAATAAGATCTGATAAATCGGTGAATCGTTACTTCCTTAGGTAAAGTCTACTCAAAAGAACTGACCCCTGTTTTTACAACTGATACCCCGGTGACGAAGTATGCAGGAGGCCAGAAGCATCCCTGATCACATGTGAACAGGGCTGTAGGTATCACTTGTAATTCGATTCTTTTGAGCGATAGAATGGAAGATCTAGCAATGAGCAGTGCGGAGATTTATTCCTGCCACTTGGTTCATTGGTTCAAGCAGATCGAGACGTTGAGGCTGTGCGTCTTGTCCCCCAGAAGCCGAAACTAACCCGAGTCTTCATATCGGCGAACATAGCCAGGTTGTTGACATGCCTGTACGACGATCAGTTGACACATGTATAGTTCGTGGAGCTCGGGCGTTGTCATGCTAGGGTGTTGGCCGGTTTGACCTTTTTCGGAATCCCGTTCTGTGGGCCACTGTTTCGTCATTGCGAGGAAAAACTTGTGAGGCATAGATAAAAGAGAGGTAGCGCTAGGTACGGAAGCGTCGATAGTGTTGATCGTTACTAAGGTCGAACTGTAAAAGCGTCGATTGAAGAAGTGGTTGCTGCCGCTGCATCAACATTGAGACAAAGAACTTCCCAGCGTTACAGATTGAAAGTAACACTCAAGCAAAAGAAAGGACATTATGATAGACCAATATACCTTGACCTGCTGCCGCTATGTATCTAGCATGTATATAGCATGGAACTTAACCGAAAATTCGACAGGACGTCGAAAAAGGCTTCTCGCTTAACTCAGGGGAGTGGATATCTGCTTTGCCGAGCCCCTGACTGAGTCAACGTACTTGCTTATGCGCAATCTCTGAGGCAATTTGGTCGAGATATATGATGTTTTGACCAAAAACGGAACATGCTGTCGTGAAGTGTACAAAGCAAAAAATGAGGAAAGCGATCTTTTCCCCACCAGAATCTAAACTTCCAATGAGTTGGAGGCCAAAATGAGGTCTTTAAGTCGAACGCTCAAGGGTGGTTGGCGAATTTGGGAGTGCAAAATCCAATACCAGCTCATGCAAAAAGAATACAATTTGTGGCCCATGATTGGTTGACATCCATTGCTTTTTCTGGAAGTGAGACTTCGTCATCATGCGAGGCACGATGACGGTTGTGGACGCACAAGCTTCAAGCTTCGGAATTCCAGAACGTCAGAACATCAATGGGGATTTGAGGATGAGTAAAATTGAATATAACAAGAAACAGAAGTTCAAGAAGAACGGAGGTAGGAACATGGGAGTAAGTGTCCGCATCCGATTTAGCCTTACAAGCGCTTCAGACTGCGAACAGTGTCGAACTTTCCCAAAATAAGATCGAGAGCGAACTTGACATAATAACATACTCGAGTAGGCAGATAACGACAGCTTGCCTCGCGCCTAAGCAGATCTTATTCCTACCTTTTAGATACACTTGCGCTCAGCCAATCAGGAGCGAGCACGCAACATTTCGCTTTGCATCGGAATCCTTCTGCGTTCTCTCAATCCTCCGGAACTCCCGAAAGAGCTATCGACCATCGCTGCATTCCCCTCCTGCAGATTCGCTGGAAGACCGTCGCGAGGGATGCATCGAGATGTGAATTATGATGCAAGTAAGGTGTGGTGTCCCAAGACCCGCCAAGTGTGGCGAACGCACTTGGCACGACCCACGTGGGCCATGACCACAACTCGAAATGGAGGGCTGCCTTAAAGTGGATGTACGAGCTGTATATGCCTCAAAAATCGCTCAAAGTGAAGAGTGGCTATCAATCGAACAACCTTCACCGAAGTAAGCGACAACCAATGCGACGACAAACTCACCTGGAGAAATAATTGTCACGGATGAGAATAGGAGAAGGGATGGTTATGAATAATATTCCATTCTTGATTCGTACAATTCCTCGCGATATCTCTAATAGATATTTTTCATACATCAGTCCATGGTATCGACGCTGAAAAAGTCATAACATCCCATCCATCATACACTCCCCAAGAAAAGAAGATTTTCAGACTTTCCACTCCTCATCGTCATGAAGCATGACGGACCGACCATTTTCGTCCTTGCCTTGACTCCACAGGCTTAGGATGCTGCCTCTTCGGTCACTACCAGCATTACTTCCTCTCTTATCTCTATTCAACATTTTCAGGATATCTGGGTCGCCGACCTCGCTCTCAGCCTTCTCGCTCTCTTCTTTGGCGATGGCGCTCTCGTCCTCGAGGTCGGAGCCATCGTGATCATCGTGGACTAATGTGTGTCTCCCATGCTTGTCCTTTCCAGTCGACCAAACTGAGAGGATGGAGCCGCGACGGGGAGCGCCGCTGGCAGACATCCGTTTGGGGTTGTTGGCGGTGACATCGACGTCGTCGACTTGGGCCCAGACGGTGGAGCGTCGGCGTTCTTTGTTGGCCCAGCTGTCTTTGGGGGAGGTGGTGACGTTCCAGTCTTGAGCGTGGTTCTTCTCGTCGTCGAGAGCGTCAAGGTCGGGTTCGCCTGTTGGGATACGAACTTTGAAATGTTAGCCAATTGTTGTGGATTTATCTTTACGACTCAAAGGAGTGAGGATAGAACTTACCCAGATTCGGCTCTGAGAACTTGATACTGGGGGATGTTGGTGATCGTGCAGACATTTTGTGTGATGTTGTAAGATTGTTTTGGTGTAAGTTGACTTTGTAGTTCTTAAGACCTTTCAAGATGTTGGCCTCTGGCCGAGGCAAAGGAGGGAAGTATATATATACCTCTCTCCTATCTTCTAGTCAGCTCAAATGTGATGGACTATCGACTCGTCTCGCCAAGAGACTCGATCGTCAGGACCCTGCCCAACCCTGCTTTACCCCGCAGATCCGCTCCACCAAAAACGTCATGAGTAAACCACACAAGCTCGCATACCACCGCAACCCCAGCCAACCCCATCACTTCCCCGGCCGTGCCATTCAATCTGAGCCACCACCGTGCACCACTTAATTACCTCCGGGTGCACACCTAAGACAACACCCAAGACGAAGCTAGTAACATCTCTTATGCTGTCAAAACCACTCGCAACAAATCACACGCGCAGTTCGTACGCGGTACTTGGATTGGCACCGCGCCTCCTCAGCGGCCCAAGCTGGGCTCCAAGGCGCTATTGTTTCGGTATCGAATCAGCACACCATTGAACCTTCGAGCTAGTGCGAACCTTGATTGAGTGGTTGTGCTGCAGCGAGTGTGACTGGACGATAAGGGGGACGGGTTGATTAATTGCAGGAAGAAGGTAAACCATGCATGTGATGGAAGCACCTTCCTTGGCATTGCTCATGATCTGATGGGATCGCCGTTGATACGTAGATTGAGAACGTTTGATGACATAGATGGATTTCTTCCATGTGTTATCGGCCGTGCATGCTGTATGTGCGTTTGTGGAGTCCAATTCCTTTTTCTTTTATCTGGGCATATCGCTGATGCACAGATAGGACCATGATGCATTTGTCATGGAATATGAGTGAGGTTCGTGAGCTGTCGTTTGTGATTACCTTACTGTAGCTTGTGAAGCCGCTGTTCGGCTTATTTTGACCAAAAAAGCCAAGCTCGTGCCCCGCTGCCTGTGCATACACTAAGCGTAGTGCTTGGTGGAGATCGGCTCAGCCTTAAATCGGTGAATTGAAACGAATTCAGCTTGAGGGTCTGGGTCTTCCCCGCGATTGAATTGAGGGGTTGGTTCTCGGCCAGGCCGTAATCACTTCTGATGGAGATTGTGACCACGCGGCGAAGGATATAGCGAAGAATGCATTTCCTGCATATGTTGTGTCAGTCTGGAAAACATATTTATAGTGCTGCAAAGTGAACTCTTCTGGCGTACCTTGGCTACTCAATCGATGCCTCTCTGTACTGAGACGGAGTGATCAACTGAGTGTACGTCTAAAAGTTTATGTCAGCTTATTCTGACCATAGAGAAACAAACCGAATAGCTTGAAGTCCGTTCAGATCTTTCGCCGCAATCACAACTTTGCTCGAAGGAAGCAATGTTAGCGAGAACAACTTTGCAAGGACAAGGCCCTGTGTATAGTTTGCCGGGACACGACATTCCAATCACTTGTATCTTGAGTCTTGGTACTCCAGCAAGACCATGGGATCATTGCCAACCACTTACGGCTGAGATAGAGACGTGGTGATTGAAAATCCTCTTCAGCTACTCGCGAAATTTGCAAGCTTGCTTCCAATCGGGAGACCCTCTTACAGAATTTGGTTGTCTGGATCCAGCCCCCGAATGGGATTATGCCTTTGGAGAGGAAGCATCGTAAAAGGGAGCCAACGACTCAGCCAAAACTTTCTTTCTATGGTTCGAGGAATTTGCCGCAAATGGTGTCCCAGGTGCTGGTGGTGTTTGAAATGGAATCTGACCATTCCGCATCCACCTTGGCATATGCGTTGAAGCTTTCAGCCTTACCTTGACCCACACAAAGGTGAATTGGATCCAATAGCTGAGGACTAGAGTGAGCATCCTTCGTGTCGCGGACTCAAAGCGTCTCTTTGTACATTCAGTTGTTGTGCAAGGGTGGTTGTGGATGTGGCGATGATTCTAGCCACGAACGCTTGCTGGTCCTCTCATGGGCTTGAGAACTGCGGAGCCTGCTGCAAGCCACATACAAAAAATAGATCCTGGTACATGCGGGGAAAGACTCGTGCTGGATGTCTCGAGAGCTTAGAGTATTGACGACTAGATGCTGAGCTGATGGAGTATGTTGTCGTGAGCCAAGACATGGTGTTGCCGGGTAAGTCTTAGATCCGATGACAGCAGGTCGATGTTATAATAGTACTGTAGAGTGAAAAAGACATTCCAACAAACAGCTGATAACAGTTAGAAGTCAAGAAAGTTGAAGAGGAGAAAGTCTCGAGCCCGTGTTGATCCACATCAAGCCTGGCTTGAGCTTGGCGCCCAATTCTCCTCAAAATCCGGGACCGCTACAAAGCCTCTAGAAAACATTCAGGGAATGCGATCTCGATCGTCTCATTTGAAGCATGACCTACTCTTCCAAAGCAGGTGATTAAGCACATAGCAGCTGAGCTGCAGCAGGGTCTTCTTCGATGCCTTGCATTGAGAAAGAAACCGGGGACGAATGAGTACTTGGAAGTTATACGCATTGCATGCAAAAAGCAAGAAGAGAATGGACAAATCGAAGATTCAGATTAGCAGGTACGCGGCAGATAAACCCTAGGACAAGATGAAGTTTGGCACCATAGCTTCGTGGTAGGTTCCAGGTTGGGAGGGCTGACGGTCTCCTCTGTAATTTCTTCAATTCGCTATTGCAACATGGGCTTCTTTATAAAGCATTGAGAGGCTCCAAGTGGTCGTCAAAGTAATGATTAAAGAGGGATCTGTAGATACAAGCGTCGTCTGATATGTCTGGAGAGAAAAATGCCATGCTCCACTTTTCCGTCACGTGCATTAGCTCCGGCTTTTCCCGACTTTGTTGACCTCCTCTTTCCCGACATGATCTTCTCTTCATTCTTTCATTCTTTTCTCATCAATCACTTCTTCGCAACAACAGGAAGTCTCCTGCAAGACCACCATCTTTGGTGCATACACTTCCTGCGAATCACTTCTCAAAGCGCTTGGTGCTTGGATCCAACTTGATTTTCTTTTATCCGAGTATCTAGCTGCGTGCATCGCATGAGCATTCACTTCTGTTCATACTCAGATTTTCTAGAGCATGCTTTGACGTAATTTGTGCTTGTATTCGTCTGTTTGTTTCGGTCGGGTGCTCCCAGTCGATATTCTCAAGGGAAGGGAGAAAGACAACACCAGGTGATGCCATCCAGATTGTTGTGTACCAGGCTGGCATCGGTTCCACGCTCATGGTACTGAAGAATGCTCTACTCATTCGAGAATTGCGCATTCCATTATTTCTGCCAAGAAATTAGATATCCGACGGGACTTCACAGGTACACCTTGATCCTCACCCATCAAACACTCTATCAGCAATGCGCTCCCTGATCTTAATCTCTCTTGCTTTGTATTCAAAGCCCTCAAGGTCGAGTTTGTTTGTCCATCCCTGGTCTACGTTTGAAGTCCGAGAAATGCGACCTAGTGGAATGGAGGTACTATTCCACACTTCAAGGTCGAGGCCATGCATCAGATCATTGATTGATTCAAGACCAGTGTTTGTTCTTAAGTAAGCATCATTTGCAGAGGCTTTGGATCCGCTACAGAGTTGACTTAACAGAGCAGATGGCGATTTCCAGTCAAATGGGCTTGGGTCGTGAGACGGGTGATGCGGTAAGTATCCAACACCACAAGGGCCTAAGCCATAACAAGGCCGGGTGGTACCAAGGAACTCTTCTGTACGAATTCGGGAGACAATGCCCTCTACGCATTCAGGCTTGATTGAAATTTCGATTGCATATGCTCTATTGTTAGCGCAAGCAACATATATGTTTCCATCATCTCCAGCTAACAAAATTCCGAGCTTACTACTTAATCCTACTGGATAGCCATGTGGAGTGATCTAACGTGACCAAGGTAATTCTTGTTCCATCTGGCACGGCTTTACAAGTTTGTCTGAGTGTCGATGTCAAAAATCTTCTTGTGTAAAACTGGGCAGCCAGAAAAATGCTTTACTAAGCACATAATCCACATTCAGCATCGTATTAATTCTGATTTATGAGTGTTAGGAACTTTGGAAGCAGGTCCTGCTGCCTGGACACATTGAATTGTTGGTGGCGTAGTTGTGCCCTCCTGAATGGCAGGTTCTCTTCCTGGCCGGCGGCAATGCGGCGGCTAGTCGTTCATCCCCCACTCTCCCAAACTCCATTGAAGTTCAATCCTTCTGATTTTGATATCTTGCACATCAAACTTGCTTTGTAGCAAAGAATATTGATCTTCGGATAGGCGATACTCAGGGCAGTTCTGTTATTCCGTAACCCAGGCTTCAGCGTAGGAAATGGCTCTGCAAGAAAAGACAACATTCTCTGCTCCGAAGGATAATATCCCAGGAGCGAGTCGTCTGGCCTTGCATAATCCACTCTGACAATCGAGCATTCTCATCAGTGGTATAGGTAATTCCGTATTCACATATGCTTAGACTTGCCACCACTCACGGATAACCTACTCCTGGCAACAACATGTAATAGCTACTCATTATCAGACTTACCTGTCTCTTATATAGACTTGAAAGATGGCTGATGTATCGAGTACAGGGCAAAAATTTCCAAAAGGACATTCTTCAACTATCGACACGCACGTGCTACCCAGTACCCACCCCACGCATCGCGCGATACGGTACGAGAAGCAACATCTTTACTGGGACAACACTACACTCCAATCTGCTTCATATGCATCAATTTATTTCCTCTGTCTACTCATGGTGTTTTATCTCATCTAATCATCTAGATGCAAGCATTTCCCTTAGACGCTATGCTAAGCTCCACACCTCAGCTGAGAACTGGCCCTGAAACCCCGCGAATCACCTCATACCATCACACCAGAAATGCAAAGAACACCCAATTCGAATCCCAAACCCATGCTTAGCTAAACTCCCAGAGAAATAGAGCGACCAGCATATTCATTGCTAGGAGCGAAGGAAACAGAATCCGTAGCCAACGCCATCCTCGCAACTCCGAGCCCAGAGAATGTCGCTTTCAATTGCGCTTCCCTCCTTCAATGCAGTCCCATCCTGTACTACCCATCCCTCTCCCTAGCCTTTCTAAACCCCAAAAAGTATTCAAATTGCTCCTCTGCTTCCATTCACAAACCAGCAGCATGCCCACCCCTCGGAAACGGCCCATTAACGCTCGTCATCTCCCTAAACATCCCTAACTTCGACACCACACGTCGTCTCTGCGCAGCTATAGCCGGGACCGCAACAGCAGCTGCTGGTGCGCCCAATTTGCCGTACATGAAAGTGAGGACAGCGATGTTGCCGGCTGAGAGAGCGAGGTAGAATGCTGGGATCATTCCTGGCATTTTGGAGTGGAGATGTTTTGATTTGTTTGAAGTTGGAAGGTTGAAGTTGCGATTTCCACGCAATGTTTTGCTGTACTTTGGAAAGTGTGTTCTCAATGCTAAGTTTGGAAGTTTGGAAAAGAGCAAAGTGTTGAAGGAAGAGAACAAAGAAGAGCACACGAGGAAGAGGGGGAAATGGTGCGAGCGCCGGGTGGAGTCATGCGGAGGCGGGGTACGATAGCGTGAATCCCGCGAGCGGGACCCCACGTTTCAGTGCATTTAGTGGCGCGATAGTGACTGGGAAGCCTAATCTCATCGTGGTTAGTGGGCTGAGTTGCGGCACAGCGGTGAGTTGCTTGCTGAGGATTGGGCTTGTTGTACGGGTTGTTTTGCCATCCTTCGTCTCTCGAGTGCCTTTTCTGTTTCCACATCTGCAATATGTCCCCTTATCTGTCATTTTCTCGAGGCTTCAGCAATGAATAGTTGCGTTGATATATTGCTTCTTCAAGCGTCAAAGAGGGGTAACGCATGAGGGTCATCCCGAGCGCCAAGCGAGAAGTGGCGCAACTTCATGAATTGACAACAACGCTGTTTGACATTCTATTGACTATCAACCTGAGAAAACGCGGAATTTAAACATCTGTAGCATCACTGATCTCTGAGTCTCGACTGCATCATGACCTATCTTCTGGAGCTTCCTAGGCCGCCCGTGCAAAAGTTTGCCATCTCTGTCTGATCTCTGCTGGCTACTGAGTGAAACGATCTCTCCATTTGAATTTGAAACTGCTGCCTTGTTCAATTGACGACTATACTGGGCACAACTCAATGCCTGGATATTGATCGTGAATGTGGGACTCCATTTCCATGGTGCTAAATGAGCCTTCGTTGAAAGTTGCGAGTGCTTCGTTAATGGACACGATCACTTCATCGATAGTCGGTCGCAATTTATGGTCTGTCTCCCTGCATTTCCGAACGAGTTCTTGGGGATACATTGAGCCAAGGCCTGATAATCCCAGTGTAGATTGGTTCTGCGTTTGAGTGAGTTCATTTTCTATGAAAAGTTCAAAGAAGACGCCACCAAGGTGGTAAATTTCAGACTCCAGTGACAAGCGCGCGTTCAAAGTGCACTGAGGTGGCTCTCCGTTAGGATCCCTTGCATGCGGAGAAGTTTGGTCGCTAGATGTTATAAAAGTGGATTTGTGGAAACCACCAAGGACGGTCGATTTGATGTCTTGCTGAAGGTACTGAATCAGACTGTGGTATTGGTATCTATGTCGTGTTCCCAGCCTCTGTTTGTTTGCTACTCTCCAGCAAAATAAATTCAAACTCGAATCCCAGTGAGATCCCATGAAAATGTTATTTGAGTTGATGTCTTGGTGTAATATACCACTGCGATGGCATGACTGCACACCTCTGGCAATTGCGAGCGCGAGGCGAAGTGCGATGGGGGGAAATAATACGAACCCCTCTGTCCTGGCTCGATCGAGCAGATCCTGAAGTTTGCCGCCAGGATAATATGTCATGTAGATTTGGCATTCCATCAGTCGTGAATTGTAGAAACAACTCGTGCGTTTTGCAATGTTTTCGGCATCTTCTGGGAAAGCTTTCCACAATTCCATCTCCTTTCTCACAGCAGAAAGATGTCCTGTATTTGCAATTTTGACGACTCTGCATACCATGACCTTGGGCCTGTTACTTGACATTCAAGAACGATACTAGGAATTAAAAGTACATACTTCCTTATCCTCTCGCCTGGACACTAGAAAGACCTCCCTCTCAAGTCCTTGGACAAAGTCGTATTCATCTGTTTTGTCCTTAAAGATACGGTTCATTTTGACGATTGAGTTGGTGTGCAGCGAATGTGAACTTGGAATTCGATAAATGTAAGTAGCAATGAGCGAACGAGGATGTCTGCAATGGTGCTGCAAATGTGAATACTAGAATTGATGTTGGTGAAGAAGAACTATAAAAGCTAAATCTTGGGAAAGAAAGAAGTAAGCAGACGAAGTGCTGCGAAAGGAAAGAACGGAACGGATATAGATCTGAATGAGGCAAGTGCCTCCAGCAACGGCGAACAGTCGTGCGGGACTTGCTGAGGATTATAATCATTGAGAGTTTCTCCATTGCTAATAGATCCTCTTATGCATAATGTTAAACGACTCTCGTAATTCATTTTTCAATTTGAGATCTGTTGCTCTGAGACTCAGTTGTCTTTAGTTCAGTCACGTGAATCGATTTCCTCCCACGATTCCCTTCGATCAAGCACGGCACTGCTTGTCGCGCATTTTACTGGCTAATTGATACATAAACATAGGGCAACTCAATTTACGGTGTTCTCCTTAGACACCCAGAGGCCGCTGAGAATGAAAACAGCGATGTCTGTATCACACATGCAATCTCTCCGCATCACAAGTCACAGCGTCAGGAGAAGATCTCATTAAAATAAAAATGTCTGCATAATGATCCAACCTTTAAGCAAGTCCAGCTTAGAGAAACGGAGTCAATCAGGACCATAAAGTCCTCCTCGTCATTTGTCAACACCCTAAATTTCCTTCATCGGTCCTTAGGAGAAGTTGAATTCTCCTCGCAGGTCTCAGCTTATGCCTATCCTCTCATTAGCTAGCCCTCGTTCCCGCAGATTTCCATCAACTTACATCAAGACAGTAATAAATACTCTTGCACGCATATCCGTTCCCATCATAATACATCACATGCTGATCATCTTTATAGATATCGAAGTTATGATAAGTGTTGGTTCCAGTCCTGTTTCAATCCTCGTCAGCATCACTCCTTAAACAAGATAGGAAGAACAAAACTCACCCAACCTCGGTATAATCAGGCTCAGACTGAGCATAGGCCTCAATGTTCCAAGTGAAGGTCGTGCCAGTAGAGAAAGTGCAGCTTTGCTCGAAGCCTTCCCATGTATCGATGCCGGAGATGAAACATCCGTCTCCGGATGGTGGGCTGTGGTTGCAGTCACTGTCGTTGGGGCAATACTTTTTAATTTTGTTAGTGGCGAAAGCTCGAAAGAGAAAGAGAGAGGGGACTTTACAACGACGACGGAGTACTCGCTTCCACAGTTCACGAGGTGAACACCTTCGCTACGTTTGGCGAGCTTGGTGGCTTCTCCTGCAATGGGAGTTGCGATGACACCTGCCAAGAGAGAAGTAATGGCTGCGAGTTTGCTGAACTGCATTTTGGTTGGTAAGTGGTTGCTAAGAGGCTTGTGGGAGCACTGGTTGCTTGAATCAATCGGCCAGAAGAGGCTGTTCTACTGTGGTTGAGATCTTGTCTGAGAGGAAGATGATTCTGAAAAGTGAAGGGATGCCAGGTATTTATCTACATCCTCATAAACTCCTCTTTCTGCTCATGAAGGACAGTTCACACGGCCCGATACCCAGACAGAAAACTGTCTATAGCCTTTGCGCAAATTTCGGCGAAGACGAGCTCGTCAGAAAGAATACAACTTCTGATCATTTCTGACACAAAGATCTTCTTGCTTGACGACTGACACTCAGCAGCATCGCGGAGATTATTCACAACACCACAACGGGAAATTGTGCAACTATCGTGAGGAAGCCTATTGCTGATTCCCCTCAATTCGAACTGATGACTACAGCCTCCGTTGTACAAATACCCGCATCACATGACACCAAGCTTTTCAGTGGCTGACACGACTTCTTGTTTAGGTAGAGCGCAAGAGTACAGCATCTGCAATTCTGCAAATAATCACATTCCACGGTTCTGATGCTGTTGACTAAGGTCTCGTTCTGTCCCCTAGTTTGGCCTCAATTTCCATATACGGTAAATGGACTCCAAGTGTAGAGCTTTGACGAGAGGCTGTACTACCTCGTATCTATCAGCCTTTCGGGACTGAAGTTACAGCGTCATAGCTTCACAGTCAATTCTTTACTGTTACATCCTCAGAGACTCACGTATTTCAGAGCAATTCGCTTGTCACGTGCTCGAGATCACTGGCTCATGCCTTATTTGCAGGCGGTGTGTAGTGTCTTGAACGGGCGGCGATTTGTGTAGAGTAGCGCTCAATCGTTCCGCTGTGTGATACTCGTCTTATCAATTGATAATAATCTCCAATCGATCCCATTACGTCAACACCACGCTGAGGCAGAAAACCAACTGTTGGGTAGAATAAGCGTGAGGCTTCAGGGGTAAAGAAGCTAAGAGCAGGAACCAACTGAGAACGAGTCCTCAATTCATCTAATATTCTTGAACACCAAATCTTTCTTTCTCTGGATCTCCTGTCTAGTCCCGAGACCAATCTTCTTTAATCAAATCAGCACCCCTCTCAGCAACAGCGTAAACAGCCGTAATCGGATTTCCCTTCGCGGCCACAGGAAAGATACTCGCATCACAAACCCTCAAGCCCTTGACACCATGGACTCTCAGTCTCTCATCAATCACTCCTCCCTTCTCCTTGGGCAACATAGCACAAGTTCCCATAGGATGAAGATGGGTGATCAAACTATCCCTCACAATATCCTTCACCTCTTCCAAGGTCGGCTCTTTCCCATCAGCAAATCCATACGGTAATCTCTTGCCATTTGGCTTAAAATGCTGACTCAGTGGAGGTGTAGAGATTATCTTCTGCAAGAATTGAACATGTCGAGCCGCAATCTCCATGTCAAGTGGGTGGCTCAAATATTTCGGATCGACAAGAGGCTTGTCGTATGGAGAACTGGAAGCAATGTGAATGTTGCCTTTCGAGAAAGGATGGTTCTGAGATGACATGAAGGTGATGTAATTTCCTTCTCTGGGTGGTCCTTTGTCTCGACCCATGATCGCGGAGATCGAGTCGTAGCCAACGACCCTGCACTGGATCTTGACGAGCATGTATTGGCAAGTGACTCCATCCTCGCTCTTGAAAAGATCAATGAGTGCATCCTCAAACTCTTTGTTCTTCGCATCACTCGATGCCTTCTTGAGAATCGCTTGCAGTTCTTCAGCTGAGGCTGGGTCGAAGAGTGACGAAGGTGCATATGCACAAGTTCTGAAGAAACCACTAAGTGGACCAGACTTGCTCTCTTCATACATCTTGATGAGTCCTAGCATAATAGAGGGATCTCGCACCAAAGCATCGGCGGTCTGAACTCCGTCTGCAGCTTCGAAAGAAACACCGGTCATCGCGTGATCTTGAAGATTCTCGCCCACGTTCGGATTGTCGACGAATACATTGATACCATGCTTCTTAAGCAACGCGGAGTCTCCAATGCCAGAGAGCTCTAGAATCGACGGTGAATGAAACGCTCCTGCGCAAAGAATCACTTCTTTCTTGGCTTTCACCTCGAACGTCTGTCCTGCTGATGCGAATCTAACACCAGTCACAGATACTCCTGTGTCCGACTTCTCGAGCAAAATCTTCTCGACCAATGCTTCAGTAGCGATATGAATATTTTTTCTCTTTTGGACCTCCGGTCCCAGGTAAGCGGACACAGCCCAACTCCTCGTCTTCGTCGCCGGGTCAATGGAATTAGGACTCGCCGATCCTCCCATCGTCTTCTCATTCCAACCCATCTCCTTCGTGATCGTCTGCATGGTTTTGTAAAAGTCTACATCGACATCATTGTAAGAACCTTCACCACCAAAGCTAACTTGAATTGGTCCATCATCTCCCTCTATCACTTCATTGAGATGTGAATATTGCTGATGCAACTTCTCTACATTAGGCGATGGAGCATGGGAGGTGTGGAATTTCCTCTGATATGGCTCCATGGCTCTAGAGTTCCAGGAAGGATTTCCTAGAACAGCCCAGGTATCCCATGCTTTGGGAGAATTGTACACGACCTTCATTTGGAAGAGTGCGCTTGTACCTCCAAGGACCTTTCCTCTTGGGTGAAAGACACGTCTTCCTCTCAATTCTTTCTAGATCTCGTCAAAAAATCAAGTCAACTCTCTTTCCGATGGTTCACTCACCTGAGGGACGGTCTTGAACTCCCAATCATATTTCGGGTCATCGTAAAGTGTTCCTGCCAGACCAGGAGTCAAGATTTTGGGATCCGAAGAGTGATCTGCTCCAGCTTCGAGAACGAGAACATTGAAATCAGCTACTTCTGAAAGTCGTGAAGCAACAGTCAATCCAGCTGTTCCGCCTCCGATAATTATAAAGTCGTATGCTTTAGACAATGCTGAGGGCGACGCGATGAGGGGTGATGCCGGAGTCATACTTCCTCACGAAGGATCCAAAACAACGGTTACCGACAGAAGTCAATATTCGTTTAGCAAAGCGAGATGATTATTTAAGTGTGTGATGATTGATTTATGTCTTGGCATAGATGCTGAGTCGCATATGAATAAGTATGATGTCGGATACCCATCCTATTGAATAGCCTTACAGTGCGAGATTGTCTGACGTGAGAAAATAGTTTAAGGGCTGCAGCCCAGAACAAAATTGCCTTTTAAGCCCGTTAGGTCCATCATCGTTCCGAGCTACAGTACACGCATTGACATGAATCTCGCTCGCGCTGGACAGAAAAACCCGGACTAATTAAGCGATGGTTCGAGCAACATACTCTTTTCAATTCTCAATTCCATTTCTTAGAAATATTAGAAAATAGAAGAATTAATTCATTAGAGAGCTGAGATCTGGGTCTCTTGAAGAGTATAATCTCATGAGCACGCGCTCAGTATTGACAATTCAGTATTGTTGTGAATCGAGGGTAGTTTTTCTTGAGGTATTTATTTCGTCTGGAGGTTTCTCTCCACCGCCAGTCTCGGTGCTAGTGAACGCCAATTGCCGCCGCTAAGGTCTCCCTTTGGACTTCCGCTCATGCAGGCAAAATGGTTGAAATCAGAGGTCAGACCCCTTTATTACTGAGAACAATCCAACTCAGCTGCGGGCCCTCGATCACGTGGCGCCACTTCCCCTCCCGGTTCTTCAGAGCCCAGAGCTCGTGGAGGTCCATTCCCGGCTATTGCATAAGATTGTACTGAGAAGGTGGTGATCGATTGCCCATTCTCTTTCGGTTCTGTAGATCCTTAGTGATTTATTGTGCAAGACTTCCAGAAGAAGTATTAAGTGCGAGGTGCGAGTTCGCTCTCAGCTTCTGGCAAATGGGAGCCCAATCAAGTCCTCGTATTTGACGGGCCAATGGGTGTTGTTCTGTCATATCCAATAACTGCAGCAGTTGATCTGTCACGCTATGACACGCATGAGATACCAATTGCTTGGCGTTGTGATTGAATTGGCCTTCACGATAGAGTGGGACTTTCTCGACATCTTCAGAATCTTCCAGCACTGGTTGTAACAAGCTCTCTCCTCGAATTTTGAAGGCACCATGTTTTCAAAGCACCACACAAAATTGACTGTTTGATTTGTGTTTCGATGACTGCCAGCCCATCTTCAGTTCATATAATTTAGTATTTGACTCGCCGACATGCTCGTTGCCCCTCGCTGCCCCGCCCCCTTTTCCATCTCGCTTAATTCGCTCCTGCTATCATTCGTCAATGAACATTTCAAGTTGTTCTCTTTCTTGTACCTTGTGAATACATTCGAATCCCAAATTTTAATTCTCAAATGGAGCAGTATTTCGTAGCAAAGATGAAGGCCAACATAGTAGAACTTTGACTCCATGTTCAATCATACTTTTTGATCAGCGGATCGAGTTATCAATCAAATTCCTATAATCACTCTGTATTTCATCAGCTAGACTATCGATCAACAGTTCGCAGATCGATGCAAACATTTCTATTCCTATCTACCCACTTCATCCCCCTTTCTACTCGCGGACTAAAGATCACTGGGTACTCCTTACAACAGAGACTGAGAAAAGCTCCCGACAACCGCAACTCCGAATCACAAACCCTTACACCGCAACACACCTCGGCATCGAGCCTCACTGAATCTCCAAATCCTCCCGAACACAGCCACGATTCCCATCCCCCTCGCACGGAAAATACCCACCTGCCAACAAACGAGCTCCTCCCTCCCATTGGCCACCATATCGTACACAGAAAATCCAAACCTTCCGTAACACATTCCACCGTACAAACACCTTCCTCTTCCCTTCCTTACCGTCGCTGCTATTCCATCCTGGTCTGCTTCCGGAAACAGGTACAAACCCGACATCACAGATACCTGGCCTCCACCAATCTCGTTCCACACCAACGCAGTGTCACACAACACAATCTGCTGCACGAAATACACATCAATCTATCGAAAACAGATGCACCCCACGGCTCAAAAATCCAGTTTAGGGGCCACCGGTAGATATTCCTCCGTGAAGATATTTTTAGCTTCCCATTCACTTGTCGAAGTCAGGTTATTTGAATTTGGAATTATCCCACATGTGAGAGGTAGAGGCGCAGTTTTCTTTTTCCCGACGACTAGGCTAGACTGCTGTAGTAAGGAGGGTGGATGGCGGGCCGCTTGACGGGACGCGATGGTGGAGGGAGGGGTTGTGATAATTTTAGGGGCTGAGACTTTTAGCGTGGGGACGGGATGGTAGGAGGGGCAAGCAGCTACTGGGTTCTAGGGAGGAAAGAAAGGATTATGCATTTCGTCTCCTTCTTAGTTGGGCTAGATTCATTACTTCATTATGGTATAAACAAGCGACAAGATTAACTACTTCATCCATACCCAGATCCAGTCTCCAAACGTCCGTATGTTCTCCCGCGTAAATCCGTTGTCAAGGAATTCCAATCTGCCCTTCCGTTTCTCGCTACTTGCTTGTATTGTGTTGCGTAGATCGTTGCTTCGTTCTGGACCCCATTGATTGATCTTGAACCCATGCTTTCTGATCTTGTATCCCAGAACGAGGAGGATGAAGACCGGGATCTGCGTATTTGAGTCAGTAATCGGCGTACTCCGATGCTTCATTTCCACCCTCGAAGAACGGAGAAGGAATTTATCAGATCGAGAGGAACTTACACCAATATATGAAGCGATGAAGCGACGAGTATCAAATGGCGATTCCAGGAAAGGTCCCACGCCATTGAAAATCAAAAGAATCATACAAGAGACCATGCCGTAGCATGCTTTGAGCCATTGGCCGTGTGACTTGTATGGATAGCGGGGATGATTTCGATCGTACATTGCTGCTTGAGCTTCGGAGGCGTTGCCGTAGAGCTTGACTTCTTCGAGGGTTTGGAAGAAGCTGAGATAGGTTGCGCAGATAGCGACATAAACGATTAGGCATGAGACAGTACAGTTTGAAGCAAGCTCGCTCAACCTCTTCGATCCGTGTTAGCAGTTGCACTAGCATTATTTAAAATAAGGAAGCTCATACTTCACCAGGTGATCCCGTACGCCCCATATAGGCTATCAACATTATGGCACCAGTTGCCAGTACAGCTCTGATCGGCACTCCAGACCGGCAGGCACGGAGCCGTTTCGTAATAAATTCTGGGCCTGTCTGATCTTGTAGAGCCAATGTATAGAGCACTCTCGACGCCACATACATCGAATTGATGGCACATGTAAAGGAAGAAAAGACGAAAATCGCGTTGAAGAAATGTGCTGCTTGAGGAATGCCCGCCTCGACTACAGCGATGATGAAGACTGAGCTTGAACCGACTGATTGGCCCTGTCCATTGATGAATGGATGATCTCTCGGGACAACGAAGGAGGCTGTCAGCATAGCCAGAGTGTACAGTGTGACAATTCGGAGATTGATCTTGCGGGCTCCCATCTTCATGCTCTCAGCGTCGCCTAAAGCTTTACTCTCTGCTGCAGTTGCGGCAATTATATCCATCCCAACGTACGAGAATATTACGTGAATGATTGTTGTCCTACGCCAATAAGCTTGCAGCTTGGATATGTTGTCTTCAGAATCGCACTCACCACATGCCAAAGAAAGTTCCCAAAGTCCCCATGATATTTCGTTGAAAGTTTCCATCCTCGTCCGACACCACGTAATCGTTGTTGAAGAATTGGTAAGGCTGGTTCCAATCTGCAAGACGAAAGATAAGTATTTGTCTAAGAGCTCGAATAGAAAGGGGACTCACATTTCGTCCCAAGTGTTTCGGTATAGTAGGCATCCGCGCGTGCTAAATCCCGTTAGCATTTTGGATAGCAGCTAGGAGGAATACCGACGTTTCATGGCATCCAAAATTAGCATCATGACAATCAGCATGGAGATGAATGTGAGTTTGATGGTCCCAAAGATGTACTCGAGTTGGCCAAAGACCTGAATTGTTTTTGTCAGTGTTGGTACCACCATATTATTTAGAACTTTTCCAACCTACCTTTACAGGCAGCATGTTGATTGTAACCACAATCACCAAGAACAGCGAAATCCAGACAGCGTTGTCAACATTGTTGCCAACTTCCCAATTAAGGTACGTTTTCCCGTTCGGAATTCCCGGAATATTTCGATCATCGTAGCGGAATTTGACTGTGTTCGAGACTGCGACTAATTCGTCTGCAGCAAGAATAGCGTACGCAAACCTGCTGCTGTGAGACGTTGCAAAACAAGCTGACCATGGGAATTTACCAATAGACCCAACCAACTGCAAAACCAACACCACGATCCAAGAATCGCCGAGGAAACTCCATAACTGGAGCATTGACCGGCATCAAAGCTGTCATTTCGCCCAAGCATGATATAACTGCAGATATCACGGTTCCCATGAGGACGTAGGAGAGAACTGCGCCGCCGGGACCCGCGACCGCCAAAGAATGGCCGCAGCCCAAAAATAATCCTGGAGAAAATCATCAGATCGTTACTAAACTGTGACTTTTCGGTCATCGCATACCATTTCCAATTGTTCTGTGATAGAAATTAGCAACATATAGATATCGATGTGGTTTCCGGGACGTACCCAGAAAATGCTATCATCTAAGACATCAGAACAATCAGTATGGATGAAAATAGTTGAAATATGGAAGCATAGCACAAACATTAATCTGCCTCTCATTCAGGACCCTCCTGAAAAGGTGTCAGCACTCTAAAGTTGGTTGTCGTTCCATGCCAGAATAAAGTGCTTACCACACGCTCTCCCCGCGGCGCTCTCTCCTCTCTTCCACATTGGCGGGTTCATCGATCGACGGCGCATATTCGACATCAGGGGTAAGAGGAGATCGAGTTGGCTCGACATATTCGAATACTTGGGGAAAGACGGCCTCTGGCTTCTCATGATCCAAGGTGCTGCTTGTGGGAGACATAATTGTTCTCACATCAGAAAGGCTGGTGTTGTGGGGATGGTACTCATGTGTGTGGGAAACGTCAGAGCCTCCAAATCGTGGAAAATGCGCAGCCCCGAGCTCTTATCTTTTCAGCACTAAAAGGAGAACTACTCTATCCTTGCTGCAGCATATATCAGGTGAAGGAAGGAAATGCTTGCTTCCGAGTGAGTTGCACGAGCGTTCCCCGCCCAGCCAGAATCCATCAAATCGATTTCTCCCATAAATAGTCAGGTTGTACAGGAGCGCCCACCACGATTCATCCCCTGGTACAGCCTAGCGTGGTACATCCCATTCAGTAGACAGACAGGAGAACGGCCGGGTACAGGTATGAGACTGGGGTCTCCAGCTGGAGACTGTTTCGACACTTTGGCCCAATGGGTAGAGTGATTGCCCGGACCCTTGAGCGGACATATCATCGAGACTGCAATGTTTCGACGCATCTTCTGCAGAGCCTGGTCTAGCTTGCGGGATCGCGAGCGCCTGAGTGGCACGATGAAGTTGGTGGCAAGCCACCAAGTACAGCGCCCAGGGCACTGAGAACAAGGGTTTTCGGGTGGATGTGCGAGTCGTCGGGCGTGTGCTCCTACAGGTAACGGGGAATATTTTCAGCCCTCAAAGTCAAAGTCGCCCAAAGCGTGTCTGACAATCTCAAAAGAACACAAATATGGAGAAGGAGATGCAGACACACGAGGCTGAGCAACCATTCCAAGTCTTTATCTAAGAAAAAAAGTACCTAGGCATCGCCTTGGTGAGGTTGCACAAGGTGTAACAGCTGTTACCTCGTCGATGTGTCTGCCTTGCGATGACCCAAACGCAGCTACAGTCGGTGGGTTGCTGCTTGAGTATACCCTGCTTCTTGCTGGTGACCCTGGCCTTGCGATACTTCAACCCTCAATCCGGTCGCCGACGCTTTCTCGCTTTCTTTGCTGGTGCTTGCTTGCATTGCTGCTGGTTGTCGTCGCAATCAAGTGTCGGAGCCCGTCTCCATCCCAACACCCCACGAGGCATCGTTGCATCGTTATGATCCTCACGATCTTAATATCGAACATCAGATTGCTTGCTTATAAGCTTAATCTGACCCCCAAACCTTTCTCGTAAGACCCAGCAAACGCATCTTATGCGGCACAGTACATCTTCACGCAACCGGATCGCTGGATCGCGGGATCGCGATGGCAGGGCCTTCATCGTCGAAATTCACACGTTTGGCAAACGCATTCAGATTGCTGTCCCTCCGGAGCGACATCGACGACCTCATTCTGGAGTTGCTGGGCCAGTTCTCACTTGAGAAGATATATGCCGATGGCGACAAGGAAACATATCAGAGCCTGGTGATAAATCTGCTTGCGCAGTTGAATGCCATTTTCAACATCCAGAGATTGACGCTTCCTGCGGATAGTCTGCAGTTTGGATGGTATTTGGGATTTCTTGCCAGCTGGGAAGTGACTTTGCGAACAATCGAATTCGTACTTCAAGCTGTGGTTGATGGAAGGGAACAGTTGTGGGAGTCGCGTTTGCTGAGGGAGAAATATTTGGCGGTTTGGGATGCCCGAAACAGCTTTTGGAAGGCCGCTCGACTAACTCCAAATGCAGGAACTACTTGTCAATGCACTTCGCTTTCTCATTCTTCATCCCAAAATCCCTTCATCTCAGCGTGCAAAAGATCGAAGAGACCGTTTTGCTCGACTACACAGGTCTCTTGAAAGGATCTTCGACAGCTATCCCGGTCCAGAATCGTTTCTTCTGCTGGTCTGCAAAGAAATCACCGATTCTCTGCGATCGGAGCCGAATGGACTGGGCCTGCCCCAAAAGCTGAAGACCGAATTGCCAAATCTTGCAACAGAGCTGGTCGGTATTTCTTTCCTGCACATATATGAATACATGGTCGCACAGAAAATGCTGACAGCCGCTTGCAGTACCCAATTCGCGATTGTCTTTCATCTGAGTATGTCACCTCCATTGCTCCAGCGGATGGCTTTCCAGGAGATTGGCTATCCCAGTTTCTTGCACTCCGAGATGTTTCTCAATTTGTCGTGGGAGCTTCACTTCAATACTCCGTAAATCAGGAAACACGCGATGTCCGCCTTCAATCCTGCTCAGCTAGGACGAGAAATGCTGTCTTGAGAACCCTTGAGAATATTCGGTTGCCTCATCACCTCTCTCAGTTGGACATGATTGCAACATTCAGCGAGACCTTTAGAGTGGTCCTCCCAGAGACGTTGAATCTGAGACGGAACTCCCTTGATGGACAAGAAGACGAGAGCGATATCGATGCTATAGATGCACTGTGTGCCCGATTAAACGATCGCCAGGTATTGCACAGAGTGAGCGACAGGGAGTTAATGCACAACGTATCTCAAATCACCAGAAATATCGAGCTGTTAGACGACCCAAGCGGCCATTTCAAAGGCCCTCGACCGAGATTGTTTGCTTTGAACTGTGGCAGTTGCCATATTGTTGGCGAGACGCAGCTGAGAAACGCTGAGGATTGCGGATTTCCGGTATGTCTTTCTTCTTGTTGAAAACCGAACTTAGTGCATTCATTCAGCCATCCGCCCTTTTCCATCGAGTATATTATGCTAGTTAGTCATAATCACCTCACATTGGAGCAAGTGGCAATGTCCGACGACGTACTGAAGAATCTGACTAGCAAACGTCTGGCACTTCTTACGTATATTGACTTCGAGTGGTTGGTCAATGATTCACGTCCAAGTAGAAGAGACCCGAGAATGGCACTAATCATACCCTTCAGACCTTGAAATTTATAGCTGATGTTCTTCACAGCTCGATTTCCGAGAATCTGCTGAGATTACCCTTCCATCAAAAGCAAAATGCATTATGTGCAGAGAAGCTATCACCATGATGCGAGAGGTCGCGGTAGCTAAAAATGTTTGGGAATTGTTGAAGCCCCTCGAACCCAACGTCGATACCATCAATGTGGAACGTCATCTCTCAGCTCAATTTCAGCTGGGACCACCAAAAGTCGAAACTGGAATGCCATTCCACGCTGGCTACGGAAATATCCTCAGCACGGGACGACACCGCTCGCAAGACACCGATATCTCGCCCAGCCGGGTCATGTTTCAAGGGTCGATATCTCCAGATCGTTCGCGTACAATCCCTCAAGCACTGCTTATGTCCCCTAGATCTCCAGGATTCAGTCACATGGATACCCCACGTTCTGACGTTCCGCCCTCTGAGGAGATGACCTCTAGTGACAAGGGTTATTTCGACAACACTGGAACCTTTGGTAGTACTGGAACGAGCGATTCTCTCGTAAAACCGACTACCTCCTCAGGCGAGACATCATTGCCGTCAGGCGATTCTGCATTTGTTCGTGGCTCTGGTCAATCTCGTCTGCAGTCCATGTCGACTGTATCATTTGTTCCGGAACCATTGTCCAGGAGCCAAACCGCACCAACAGTGGCTGCACCTGAGAAGGGGAAATCGAGATGGCGATCCAAACTTACAGGTTCAAGACGCGAGACACCTTCGAGGGCAGATTCGAGTTCAGTATCATCCGGCACACTAGAGTCGCCCAAAACGGAGGAAATTCAACTCAAGAGCTTGATGAGCTCTGCAAAATCGTCAAGCAAAGGGAAAGGCAGTAAGAATGTCAATGCAGGACTGTCTCAAAACTCAACGTATGCGTTATTTTGGACACAAACATGCATCAACGTATGGGACATCAGCACAAGTTCTCCTATTCTAGGCCGTGCTGTCATGACTGAAAGCAATTGTGTTCTGGCTGCGGTCACGAAGATGCATCTAGCATATATCATTGGGACCCGAGATCAAAAACTGACAGTAAGATATATGTTCTAATTCAACATAGGAACAGGTGCTGACAATACTTAGTTACGCATTGTAAATCTTATTTCAGCATCAGCAACCCCGATAGAGTACCGAATGCCATCATCACCTTGGTGCCACAGCTTAGCAATTTGTCCCAGGGAAAATTACGTTGTAGTCGGTTTTGATAATGCAATTGTCCGGTTCTATAACACTTCAAGGTCTGAAGAGCCCCGAGAGGACCGGCTTCACATCCGATCATCGCACAGAGACTGCAGAGCGTGTCCACCAGTCAACACACTATCCTTCTCCAACGATGGACTAAATCTACTCGCAAGCACGAGAAGTGCCAAAAACGGCATCATCCAAGTTTATTCTTGGCGGTTCCCATTCGAAGAGTTTGGGGAATTGGCCAATTGCAGATACCACGTCCCATTACATGAATCTGAAGATGGTGGAGTGTCAACCGTCACCTTTCGATCTGGGAATGGAGGCGAAGAGAACTTGATGTGCGTGACTACTTGGACACAATCAGGAATTCCAGTGTTGTTCCAGCCTTCGGATGGTCATCGTAGCGATATTCGAACAGATTCAACAACCCATCAGGGCAAACTTGGAAGTCGGATCCAATGTGCAGCATTTTCTCCAACTGGTAGAGAGCTGGCTATGGTTAATGACAAGGGACATCTCTACCACATCACGAATCTCAACTCAAGCCCAATCGAAGTCAAAAGAATTGCAATATCCAAGGAACTCACAACAAAGTCAGACTGGTATGCGATGACTTACATGTCACTACCGGACGAGGAGGCTATTGTGCTCGTATGGGCCGATGCATCGAAAGCTGTTGCATACGTGAGGAAGGTACCCGTAAAGTACAATGTAGGCACCAAATTTCTCTAAATTGTAAATGGGAGCTGACATGGTTCCATAGACACTTGATACGCCAGTACCAATGACACCATTGACAGGCGGCTTTCCAGGACCTCGTTATGAACTGCCAAGTGAGGGACGAGAGATTCCGAAACCTCCAGTTGAGCTAAGTGTCGACGAGATTCTGCCCTTGAAAATATCAAAGGAGAAAGAGAAAGCATGAGCAACACGAGCAAAAAATATTGACGAACGTTTTTACCCAACAGTGTATGAGCGAAGCATGAATGTGAGCAGCGTGCATGATTTTAGCATGGAAGGGGGTCGAAAAGGAGTCTGGGTCTTTGCATTCTCGATGGACGGTTGGACATGAAAGCGATGACTTAGGATACCCACGTATTACGACCAATAGATTCGTTTTCCTTTCCGAGCATGTGAAAATCAGCCATATTCCCGAAGTATTGGTTGTTGCCAAGTCTATTGAACTCGAGATCTCGGATGACCTATCTTTATGTACCCCATTCTGTGTGATGGCGGAAGAGCGTGTGAATGTTTGACACAGATTTGGTTGTAGGTTACATGAATTTGTCATTTCTTTGCCACGCGTGTTCGAGATTTATGCCGAGGATGTGGTCAAGTGTTATGAATCATTACACAGCATTAAGGCAATAAATCCGGGATTTGAACTCTCATTTGGATTGAGTCACGTACTTCTAAGTACGACATACCACAACAACCCCCACAAAAAAGCGCCTCACCCACCAGCCACACCCAAACCCCGCACTAAAAGCGCCACAATAGCCACACCCCACTTCAGACTCTCCTGCCTCACTCCCTCCTTCACATCTCAACAACACATCAACACCCTCAAAATGACTATCAAACCGCCCTTCGGCCATCCCATCCGCAATACCCACTTCTCCTTCTCCCCCACCTACGTACCTCTAAACCACGGCTCCTTCGGCACTTTCCCCCTCTCCGTCACCCAGCACCAAAACCAACTCCAAACCCAAGCCCTTGAACGTCCTGATACATTCATCGTCTTTGATCTCCCGGTCCTGATCGATGAGTCGAGAGCTGCAATTGCCCCGCTCCTGGGGGTGGATGTGGATGAGGTGGTTTTCGTGCCGAATGCTACCACGGGGGTTAATGTCGTGTTGAGGAATTTGAGGTGGGAGGAGGGAGATGTGGTGGTTTGCTTTAGTACGATTTATGGGGCGTGTGAGAAGAGTTTGGTTAGTGTGGGGGAAGTGTTGCCGGTTCAGATGGAGGGTGAGTGGATTTCTTTTCCTTTGGTTCAAGGATTGAGTTATGGACTGAGCGGAACTTGTGCTGATTGTGCAATAAAATAGTGGTGGAGTTGCAGTATCCGGTTGAGGATGAGGAGATCTTGGGGAGGCTTGAGGAGAGAGTGGGCAAGGTTAGGCAAGAGGGAAAGAGAATTAGGTTGGCAATGTTTGATACTGGTGAGTAGTGAACTTCCTGTTTCTCATTTTCGTTGGTTATCAATTCAACTGCGTTTGTGTTCCGGAAGTCTTTTCGTCTTCTTTCAGTCTCGTCATGAAACCAGATCTAGTGCTAAGCTACAATAGTGCTTACGTTTCCGGGAGCGAGAATGCCATGGGAAAGATTGGTAGCCAAATGTAAGGAACTAGAGGTGTTGAGTTTGATTGATGGCGCACATGGAATTGGACATATTGATTTAAGAGAACTGGGGAAGGTGGCCCCAGATTTTTTTGTTAGCAATTGTCACAAGTACTTCCTCCTTTCTCTTCTAGACTTTCTCAGACTTAATTTAATAGATGGCTCTACACTCCTCGCGGCTGCGCAGTGTTCCACGTCCCATTCAAAAACCAACATCTAATCCGCACCTCTCTACCAACATCTCACGGATATCAACACCCCAACAAACCACCCGAAAAGATAGACGGCAAAACACCTTTCGTTCACCTCTTCGAGTTCGTCGCTACCATTGATTACAGTCCTTACGCGTGCGTACCCGCCGCTCTCTCCTTCCGCCAAAAGATCTGCGGCGGCGAAGAAGAGATCCGGAAATACTGCTTCAACCTAGCTCGCACGGGCGGTGCAGCCGTTGCCAAGATTCTAGGCACTCATGTAATGGATACCAAGAGTGGAACGATGAGCCAATGCTGTTTTGCGAATGTTGCATTGCCGTTGGCGTTTGGAGAGGGCAAGAAGTTTGGGACAGATGAGGCGCCGAGGATTCAGAAGTGGTTGAATGGGACGGCGGTTAGGGAGTTTGATACTTATTTGCAGATTGCTTTGCATGGGGGCATCATGTGGGTGAGGTTGAGTGCGCAGATTTATTTGGAGGGGAAGGATTTTGAGTGGGTGGGGTATCGTTTGAAGGAGTTATGTGTGAGGATCGAGGGAGGGGAGGTTGATCGTTGAGAGAGTGACGAGAGGACGGTGGGTTTCATTCACCTATGAATAGACCTTAGACAACATTGCAATGGACTTATCCATTCAAAGACATTTCTCCTGCGCCCTGACTTGATACATACGGGTTAACACTTACAGTCAGAATCAAGCCAGAAATACAAGCGGGGAACACGCCAGAGACCTTTTCCGTGAACTGAAAATCCTCAGCTCCCGAGAACACCCTCGATCATCTTTATTAAACTTATCATCTGTGCGAGAAGGTCTCACCCACACTCTCAGAGATATCTAGGCGTTCGAATGCCGATATCCACCCCACTTCACGTGTTTCACTCCCCCTTTTCAGCCGAGTCAATCCTCTATTACGTTCTCCTTCTCGCAGTGGATGTCTCTCAAACATCAAAGAGTAAGCAACAATGCTCCGTTCTTTCTGAATCTAGATTGCAATTTCTCAATCATGTTCGTACTCATGTAAAATCACACTCGAAGAGTTCCAAACAAAGATACAACACAAACTAAGGCAAGGATCAAGTCTCACATAAACCACCTCGTATTGTATCGCGAAGCTGAAAACGTCAAACAAGAGGAGCCAGTAGCTTGATCACCAACCCTAAGGGGAGGAACTATCATCTATATGGCACGACTAGGAGTTGAACAAGAACAGGATTCACAATATTTGAGGTGGTTTCGAGGTTCAATATTCACAACATATTGATGACAGAAGGCCTATGCAATGTACACAATGCGAGTAGAAGCAGAAGCAGAAGTTAGGAGCTTGATCACCATCCTTTTCAGGAAGGAACTATCATCTTTGCAACTCGAGCTTTGGGCACGGCTCAGTGTACAGCATTTAGCAGCGTGATTTCGTCGTCGATTCAATGACATAGAAGTGACTTTTTAAAGCGGAGAGAAAGCGAGAGAATGGCTACGAAACGAGTGCAAAAGTGAGAGTTGGGATCTTGATCACCATGTTTTTGAGGAAGTTACTATCATCTTTGCAACTGGACTTCGAACAAAACTCACATATTCGCCGCAACCTTTCTCTTATCAAAGGTATGATATGATATAAAGAGGAATTCAGAAAGAAGAAAAACAACAGAAATCACGATAGAGCTTGAAGTCATTAGCTTGATCACCATTCAACGGAGGAAGGAACTATCATCTTTGGACTGGGGCTACTTTTTGGTTTTCTAGGTTAGTCATCTCATTTATCTTTAAGGATACGAAGTTTAGTCAAGGACTAGTCTGAAACGACTCGGATTTTCTCGAGAGATTCTGGGTAGGTTGCAAGTAGGGAGGTTATGAGTAGTCTTGATTATATGGGACATAATATTGGTTGTTTACGCTTCATTTGACTGTTCTGAACGGTCAACCTGATGCTGTTCATCAAGCAACTTGAGATGGATTATCACAGGCTTGAAAAGTAAGTGTGATCATGAAGTTTTGGTAAATTATCTGAAGACTCACTGGAAGACAAGGCATTGTTTATGAATATCTGCAGACAAAGGAACAGACAGCCACAGCCAAGAACAATGAGAGAACAATGAGTTTTTAACAAAGGACAATATAGTCATTGTCTCCTTCTAAGAAGAACAAAGAAGTCTGGATATCAAGGCAAACCCTGACATTGTCCCATTAAGTTTTCAACGCTAGAACTTCCTCATTGGCCACTTGCCTAATCTTCTTATCTTGATCAACATTTACCATCGTATCGACGTAAGAAACAAGCTTTATTAAACGCCTGGCGTGGATTTGGTGAGGATCAACACGTCTCTTGGTGTCCGCTACATTGTGTCCTGCTGCTGGTCCTGCAGGCTCGGCAACCTTCTGAAGAAACATTCGATTGTCCTAGCTAGAGCCATGCTTCAAGCTTGCACTGAGGAGGTCTTGAATATTGAGATGAATTCGAGGTTAGAATTGAAAGTGGTAATTATAGCAAATAAAACCCTCAGACTACCAAATATCTTGGGGAACAGTAGGGAGACACGACGCGTTTTAGCGTGCTTCAGCACGCGGCCGCATCACGAGCTGAGGATTGAACGGTCAATTCCTCCAAAGAACCCTTTCTCTTCTTTCAAACCTTCAATACGATATACGACAACTAAATCTACATGCACCGGACATCCGTGAACAGCTAGGATTGAGATCTTGAATCTATTCCTCATGGAGAATGTTCTGTTGCAGTGGCAGAGTGCTCGTTGCTGCACCCCGCATTTTCTATTGGCAGTGAGTGCATCATGATGAAGACGGCATCGAAGAAATGTTCTGGAAAGATAATTTACCTGCCGAACTTATCATATTTTCAAGTAGAGGAAGTCCTTGTGACCGGGAATGGCGAGTAATCGTGCGGGAGTTAGAGCACAAAATTGATTGCGGATAAAATGGTAGAGTTGCCATGATTCCGGTAATTATATCTCGAATCCTCTCAACGAAACGGCTGCTCTACCATACTCATGCATCTATCTGCCGAGATAAACGGCACTCGGTATCGTATGTCAGGATACTGTATATGATGGTCTCACTTTCCTTTCGTGAAGAATAGCTTGTCTGGATTTCTGAGTGCATTCGGAAGTCTCAAGATGAAGCTCCCTTCTTTTCTCGTCGGAACCGGATTGTTCTGTATTGCCAAGTCAGCTGTAACACCCCATGCCATCCATGAAAGACGAGATACCTCTTCATCTGAATGGCTCAAGATAGACGACAAGGCTGATGGCAATGCTCCATTCCGTCTCTCGATTGCATTGGCGCAGCGAAATCTCGAATCTGCCTCAGAGTATTTGATGAGCATTTCTGACCCCAAAAGTGCTGACTATGGAAAGCATTGGACAGCTCAACAAGTAAGCCCCAACGATTCAAACATTTATTTCGTTCTCACAAATTTAGGTGGCCGATACTTTTGCTCCATCCGACGTCGATGTCAATGCTGTGAAATCTTGGCTTACGGCAAATGGCATTGGCTCGGAGAAAATCAATGTGTCCAAGGCGCGAAACTGGATGCGCCTAAATGTTACCGTCTCGGAAGCTGCAGCTCTGTTGAAGACGGACTATGCAGTATTCGAACACCAAAACACGAAGAAACGAGCTCTTGCCTGCGACCAGTATAGTCTTCCACGTGAGATCAAGAGCCTTGTAGACTTTATCACTCCGACTGTGCACTTTCCTGAAGTGGGGTCGCTCTACGAAAGAGATCTAGTTGATGGAAACTTGATTTCTTCAATGGCCAAGTTTGACGGCCCTGTCAATATGACTACCAGTCCAGCCTTCTCACACTGGGACACCTCGTATTGCAGCAACTACTCTACTCCTGCGTGCATTCAAGCACTTTACAATATGCCTAATGGTACAAAGAAAGCGTACGTCCATTTCCCTTGGTTCTAGCAACTCATTGCTGACCTGTGCAGTTCAACCTTCGGCGTTGTAGAGCTTGCTTATTATGTTTGTTGTCCTATTCTCTTCCGCAAATTAGCTAAACTTCGTGCCAGAGTTCGTACCTTGCGAACGACCTGGCGCAATACTTTCAGCGGCTCGGGCCACAGATTCCTCCCGCTACAACTCCCTCTGTTCAATTAATCAACGAGGATAGTTATTTGAACTCGTCCGATTATTTGGTTGTACCAGAGGCACTTATGGATCTATCCCTATCTATGTCACTCGGTAAGTCACTTAGAGTGGCAATCGACTCTTCCTGGCTAACCTCGCGAAAGTGTACCCTCAGCAGGTGACTATGATCAATTCAGCTGCGTCCGAGTATCAGTATGGGACAGTGAAAGATGAATACGATTACGTCCTGGAGGCATACGATGCCAGTTACTGCGATATCATGGGAGACAAGTGAGTTCAATTTCTCCACATTACGTACTGCCTCAAGATATCAAGAATTGACGAGAACCAGCACGATCGATTCCATGGGTGCGTGTGGCGTTAGCAAAGCACCTTCAGTCATCAGCGTGTCTTATAATGGCAATGAGAAGCCCTACCAACAGGTTCAACAGAGTCGTCAATGCACAGAGTAAATCTCCTGACCCGGTTGGGGACAGCGTCTAATGCCATATAGATCCCTTAAGCTCGGATTGCAGGGAGTTACAGTTCTCTATGCAGCTGGAGACTACGGAGTTGCAGGAACTCGAGGGAACTGTTGCGTGACTGCTGGCTGTGCAGACAAGAACAGCTCAAAAACAGCTCCTTCATTTCAGCCCAGCTATCCTGCGTCATGCCCCTGGATTACATCTGTTGGAGCAACCCAAATCCAAAGCAGCAGCAGCTCTTCGAGTAAAATCGGGGAAGTCGTGGCGTACGAACCAAAATCTGCTACTGTTGAGGAATGGTCTAGTGGTGGAGGGTTCAGCAACATGTTTGCTCGTCCTGACTATCAGAAAACTGCTTTGGGCTATTACTTTGACCACTTCAGCCCAAACTACACCGCAGTACAGTACAACAACACTAAGAGCACGAGAGGATATCCGGACATCTCGGCCAACGGCGTCAATACTCTTATTGTGCTGAAAAACAAATACTACAGGACCGGAGGCACCTCAGCTGCTACTCCAATCGTAGGAAGCATTATCAGTCTCATCAACGAGGAGCGTCTCAAAGTTAACAAGACAGTTGTTGGGTTCATCAATCCCGTCATCTATGCCAATCCTGGTGCGTTCAATGATATTGTTCAGGGCAACAATCCAGGCTGTGGGACGAAGGGATTTCAAGCTGTTCCTGGATGGGACCCTGTCACGGGTCTGGGGACTCCTGATTATCAGAAGCTACTTAAGGTCTTCATGGCTCTACCGTAAAAGATGCTTGCCGATTTGCAATGGGTAGAAGAGCTGGTGGAAATGTCTAATCGCACAGACTTGAACCCAGACCTCTAGAGTGGCCATTATAGAGAACTTCCAAACTTCTCGCCCAATGATCAGCGTCACTTTGCCTCAGCTTGAGAGCAAAATAACGATTCTCTTGAACCTTCCAATTTGAGGTGGTTTTTTGTATCACGTGATATGCATCAACTCTTGTCAAGTCCTAGTGGTTTTCAATACAAGTACCATAATCAGCTCAAATCATATCATTTCTTGGAATTTTTTCATCGGCTTTCTCTTTTGAATAGATTATCAGAAGCAACCACCCAGATCTCGTGATATCATATTGGTGCGGGCTTAGTGCATACAAACAAGACGAGTGCATATTTAGTTATGCAAGTTTCCTGGCTGGCGTTGATGGTCCTCGACAAGTTTCTCGCTCGAAGTGAAAAACTCTTTCTCGCATCCACAACTCTCGGAACGTGGACAATAGAACAACGTTGAGGCTGGCGGCAAGGCTACGACTTAGAACAATGCTGGCCTTCTCTTACATGTGTAGTGCATCTTATTCTCGTGTTCCTGAGGTAGCGCGAGATGCTCCAGCGAATGGCCTCATTCAGCGTCTCCATTTGTCCATATTTTGTTTCCCTTCCGTCATGATCTGCAGTTTTTACTAATATCCGTCTCCTCGGACTTCCTGTCCCTGTCCGATGATCCGCTGTTTCCATCTTAAACGTTTAAGCATGTCTATTTACGAACAGCTATCCCGTGTTCCGGCGTCCCAGTAGACTGGCATGGTGGAGAAGGCGCGCAGAGTATTCAGTTTTTTACTTGGCGATGCACCTGGCGCTGGAGAATGAGCTTGGCATTGGCATCTCTGTGCTTTTCTGTGCGGTGCAAGAATGGTGATTCCTGCTCTCTTTCGCCGGTTCGCGAATTTAGAGTCTGCGAATATCCCGCCATCTCCTCCCCATTTACATATATTGTGGGGTATCTCGATCGATACGGACTTTCAGTTGCTGCTTGACGAAATGATCTGCAATGCGGGTACGCTGTCTGGCACAGCTTGAAGTGTGGAGTGATATATCTCGATCCTGACTACACATTTTCCATGAGCATTTTCCTCAGGTTTGTAGACCTCTAGAAACTATGTGTAATAAGCTTCAACTCCTTAACGAATTTGCGTCATTGACAGGCTTCGCCGGCAAAGATCCGAAAGATAATAGGAAGTATATAGCAGAACTCTTCTTCCACCATTAGAGCTCAGTATCTGCGAACAGTTCTTCCATACGCCTCACAAACACTCGCTGCCATCTTCAATAATTCACTATGAAGTACACCCTCGCAACTTTGGCTCTTGGTGGCCTCGCATCCGCCGCAGGAATCCCAAGAGATACCTGCTCATGCAAGTTCACTATCACAGCATCTGGAGGACAATCTGGTGTTGTTGGTCAACTGAGTGACGGACAAAACCGTATCGGAGGAGGCAATCCCACTGGCGAGTACTGCATCAACAACGGACAGATCACCGATTCCCAAGGCCGAGGATGTATCCTCACCCCTCCCACTACACAATTCCAGTGCGATACTGGAGCGACTCCAACTAGTGGCTTCTCCCTTGGCAGCAATGGACAAGTGGAGTACAATGGATCCCAGACATTCTACGCTTGCCCAGCCTCCGATACCATGTACAATATCTATACAACGCCTGTCTCTGGCCAGACCAAGTGTGTTGAGGTACAACTCACTGCTAGCGGATGCTATGCTCAATCTTCGTCCGCCCAAAGCATGCCAGCTACGACAATGAAGACCTCCATGCAAATGACACAGCCTCACACTACCACTGTTGTGAAGACTGTTCAATCATCTTGCCCCGCTCCCCAGACTGCTACCGTTACCCAAGTCAAGACAGCTGAAGCTTCTTGCCCTGCTCCACAAACATCAACCGTCACACAGACAGTTGTGAAGACTGCTCAGGCCACTTGCCCAGCACCTTCAACAGTCACTGTCACTCAACCCGCTGCAACTCAACCAGCTTCATCGAAGCCAGCCTCTTCCAAGCCGGCTTCTTCTCAACCAGCTAGCCAACCCGCATCATCAATGGCATCCAGCACTGCTCCAGCTACGACTCCCTCAAGCACCGGCAAGACCTGCCCCACCAACCTCAGTGGTGCATACCAATACCCCCACCTGATTATCCCAGTCAGCAAGAGCCAGCCCAACAAAGCCTGCGGCACCTCCTACGACGGAACAATCACCTCAGACATCTCCTCTATCTTCAACTTCGACATCCCAGCTTCCTACACGGGCACCTGCTCCCTCGTTTTCCTCTTCCCCACACAAGCCGAACTCCAGACCTCGTCCTACACCTTCTCCGGCAATGGCGAGTTTGACTTCGCTCAATTAAACACCGTTGCCACTCAAAGCACCGACTACGCCAACATGGGCTCTGTCAAGACCGACTTCGGCACCAAGACTGCTACTCCTGGCTCTTCTGTTGTTGTCAGCACGTTCGCTTGCCCTGCCGGTCAAGCTGTCTCGTATGAGATTAGCTCGGTTTCTGGAAGCAGCTTGACTTATTTCCAGGACTACAACCCTTCTCCTATTGGCTTGTACATCACTTCCTGCTAAGTGCAGTCTTGAATCAAGAAAGATTCTGAGTATAGAATGTTAAGATGTTTTAATCGTGTATCATAATTCTCTGTTCAGCTTCCTTAGGAGGGAAATGGACATACTTTACCCACTTTCATTAACGAGACACACGATTTTGAGCATCATCAAAAGTTGTAGATAGTATAGAGAGATAGTCATTCCTTATACCCATATAGTAATTAATCTCTTCCACACACTCGAATGTTCCTTGATTTTGATGTGTTGATCGATTCACTAATTGGATTCCGCCTTACATTAATTTCGTCTACTCACAGCGCCTCTGTGACATTCCAAGACCCCAAACCAGGAATCGATGTTGTACCAAAAAAGTCCATTCGTCCTTTCCTGTGTTAACAAAGTTCTCAGCGCAATGGGCGCAACATGCGCTGCATGCGGGATTTGCACATTTTGCGCGAATGGCGCGGACTGCGCGGATTGTGCTGGGATTCTGAGGCATCACCAGGAACCAACGACATCTCACTACTGGGAGGAAGGCTCAGATTGCAAGATTGATCCTAGCATAAGGCTGAACACGCGATTAAGCGAGGTCTATTCCTAGCCAGAAACGTCTGTATAGATTTAAATAAGCATTTCTTTACCATAACAACAAAACCGCATAGCATCCATGTGAGAGAACCTAGATGGACTTGGCTTTGACAGAAAAAGAGTTTAAGTTATTCATATGAGAGAACCTAAATGAATATTCATAATCAATTCATTCTTAAGCCCAGGTTAAAATAGTTTTTTTTTCATATTTTTTTTCATATTTTTTTATCTATTTTTTTCATTCTTTTTTTTCGTGTGCGCAATTGCCGCAAAATAAGCGAGAACCATAAAGACTCGAAGCCACAGTTCCTTCAGCTGCTCTTCTCTACAAATGCAAGTTTGGCCGAAAGGAAGGCTACAAAGAATTTGAATCTCCCTAACATCTTGTCCAGATTCTTAAGAATAAGCAGAAGAAGCCCGCCGGGCAAAAGATAGTTTCCGTACACGTGACTCACAAATCGTGAAGCTACATGGGAGTTGGTAATAGGGAGCTTGGGAATGAGATAACTAGAGGGAGACTGCGTCTCGATTGCCCTCAACCGTATCAAAAATTGCTTTGAGAGCTTCACACAATAGCTTTGGCTGCTATCACGTGCCGTTGGTTTGCAGGGGGAAAGATTTGGTGGGGAGAAAAGTACTGTATAATAGCAGACCCTTCGTCGTATCCCCTCCCACTATCCCAGTTTCGGGTATCATCGATTAAAATCAACACATATTACCACTTATTATTGCACATAACTTTGCCAACTCCTGAAGTGTGCTGAGAGGTGAGAGTGAAAACTTCACGAGGAACATACTGTAATCATTATGAGATCGGCGATGCATTCTGTCAGCCACTCGTTGCTTACCATGCGAAGTGACTATTCCTGTTTCTGGGCCCGGTCAAATCATTTCTGATAATTACTCCACCGAACATCCTTGTTATACAGTACCTCATTGCTCCCTTCTCCACTCGGGGATGTAAAGCTTATGGCGTGGCGAAATGTCTGATCGAAGGTCTTGTAGATTAGATAGGAATTTCGGTCCAATACGCTACGTTGCTATATTTCGGCTCTCGAGGAGTTCGGTAGATACCATGTGTGGGGCCGACTGAAGGACAATGCCCTACAGTATAAGTTGTGCCATCATTGCCACTTTCACCTCCAACTTCTGCCGGTCACTGCACCTGTGCCAACTAGGTAGGGATGACCGTAAGCTTTCGACTGCCTCCAATGGTATTACTGTATGATCCTCTCGCAGCTCGGTACTGCTGTGAGAGCCGGGCCGGGCCTCTCGGATCCTTCTCGTTTCTACTCTCCCTTTTTCATTCATGCGACAGTGGGCCAATCACAATATGTGGTGGAAGATGTGACCCCAGTACGCAGCACAGACCCCCCGTTCGCTCGCGTTCCCAAGATCAACAAACGCCACCGAGTCAGATACGCTGAATGACAGTGAAAGGCTGACAGTTCTGTCGCCATCCGGGAGCTACCACTAATTGCCCAAATCCTGTTAAGTTAAGTTATGGCTTACACGCAATGAGTCCTCCGAGTCGAAAATGCTCACAGGCATCAGCAATAAGTCGACCAAAACAGCTCTGATTAACATGAAAATCGCGGGTGTCCCCTGAGGATTTGGGTGCGGCAGTTGGGGTTAGCTCCTGAGCTCCTCTACCGAAGTTCCGAAGATCCGAAAGTCCGAAGCGCCGTTATAACATAATCCGTCCAGACAATCCACATACCTTAGAGCTCAATCGTAATTATGGACTCCTCCCACACTCTTTTGACAGAGCCCGCACGACTTGAGCAGCGACAGACTGCTTTCGACAATGGCGATCAAATGACATCCTCCTCAGCCAAGCAAAGCACACATATCGACGACAAAGAATCAGATATGGAGAAAGGCATCTTCAATGGAGAAGACCTGGACATCTCAGCTGCAGCCGAGAGCATTGAGAGCAAGAAGGAGGAGGCTCAGAATACCGCAGTGATGCCGAATGAGAAGGAGAAAGATCCCAATCTCGTCGGATGGGAAGGTCTGGTTGCTTCGAGTCCAGATGTGCAGATGAACCCCGACTGAACATTCATTACAGGTCCTGACGACCCTCAAAATCCTCAGAATTGGCCCAAGAGCAAGAAATACCGAGTCACTATCCTCTACGCCATCCTGACTTTCACCCTCACCTTTTCAAGTAGCATCTTCAGCACCGCAACAGACGTCACGTCAAAGGAATTCGGTGTATCCACAGAAGTCATGACGTTAGGCACAAGCCTGATAGTGCTCGTCCGTCCACCTTCTCACCCCCCGAAGCTCCACTGTCTAATCAAGAACATTCTCGCTAACTTTCATTTCCAGGGATTTGCCGTAGGTCCTATGATCTGGGGTCCCCTCAGTACGTATCTTTTCCCTTTCCTCCCCGCCCTTTCTCAGCCCTCCAAATGCTTACCTACCTGCTCCTTACCACAGGCGAACTGTATGGCCGTCGAACCCCGCTCTTCATCGGCTACTTCATCTTTGCAATTTTCCAGATTCCCGTCGCCGTCGCCCGTAACGTCGAAACAATCATGCTCTTCCGATTCCTCCAAGGCGTCTTCGGCGCGTCAACGATGGCTATCATCGGGGGTGCACTCGCTGACTTCTGGGGCCCCGTGGAGCGAGGACTTGCGCTCGGACTATTCACTGGGGCAGTATTTATCGGGCCAGTAGCAGGCCCAATTGCAGGTGGCTTCATCGTCATGAACAACAACCTAGGGTGGCGATGGACGGCATGGATGACATTTATCCTAGCAATGTCCTTCTGGCTTATCGCACTCTTCATATGCAGCGAAAGCTACGCCCCGGTCATTCTCCAACAAAAAGCGAGCCGGCTCCGCTTCGAGACGAAAAATTGGGCTCTACATGCTCCGGCTGATGAGCAGCGGGTGGATCTCCGAAATATCGCCCAGCGGTACCTTCTCCGCCCTGCTGCGATGTTAGCTCAAGAACCTATCCTCCTACTTATAACCCTCTACATGTCCTTCATCTATGGTGTCGTCTACCTCTTCTTCGAAGCCTACCCCATCGCTTTTCAAGAGCAACGGCATTGGAATCTTGGTGTTGGGGCACTCCCCTTCTTAGGTATCACCGTCGGCGTTTTGAGTGGGGTGGCGATTGTAGTCTATGCATCACAAACCCGCTTCAAACGCAAAATGATCGCTAATGGCGGCAAACCTATTCCCGAGGAGCGTCTTCTGCCAATGATCCTCGGCTCCATTCTCCTCCCCATCGGGCTCTTCTGGTTCGCATGGACAAGCAGTCCATCTGTGCATTGGGCGGCCCAAGTCTTCGCCGGCATCCCGATTGGCTTGGCCGTCGAGCTCGTCCTCCTACAAGGCATGTCCTACCTCATCGACGTCTACCTCATGTACGCCAATTCAGCTCTTGCCGGCAATACTTTTGTCCGCAGTTTGTTCGGAGCTGGATTTCCAATGTTCGCAGCAGGAATGTATCATAACTTGGGTGTCAATTGGGCAACAAGTTTGCTGGGGTTTATAAGTATTGCATTCTTGCCTTGTCCGCTGCTCTTCTACATCTATGGGAAGAAAATCAGGGGTTGGAGTAAGTATAGTCCGAAGATGTGAGTGAGGTGGGGACAAAAAGAATGTAGCTGCGTAATGGATGGTTGACACGAGGGAGTATAATGGAAAATTGAATCAGGGGGGGCCTTGAGCGAGGCAAGAGCTGTCCCGGTCTGTTGCGGAAGAGGAGCTTTCCGTTTGTCAACCTATTCTTTGAAGTTGGGGAAATTACAAAGACCACAAGACCAACTTCGGACCTAGTATTCACCAATCAAAAGGAAGGTTTCGGGGGACGGTAAGAATGAGTCTGGGTCAGATGAAAGAATTGTACGATAGTTCCAAAAGGCTCTTCCCTCCACCGTATATCGTATACGTATACTTGTAGCTTGCATCACAGCGACCAGATACGTTCAGATTCTTGACACAGCGAACAACGTGACGTGAAGCTAGCAGCCCTAGCGCTCTTGAAGTTCTTGACTAGCATGGGTCGCGTTATCTACGGGTAGATGGGAGGACCGGGCCGTTCCAGCTCACGTTACAGCAAGTGTGACATCATCACCACCGTAAAAGTCGCCAATGACCGCTCGGTGGCTTCTCACCGACCGACCGAAATGGCAGGTCCTCGTTCCAGCAAAAGCGCGACGTTGAGAGCCTATCGAAATTAAATCATCTATGCAGTGCTGAGAGCGGAGTACCTGGCGCTTTCACTCTTTACGTTTTTTTTGATTCCATTACTCTGTGCAGTGTTGCTAAGCCCTATGTAGAGACGTCTAATTTACAGTTCAGGCATCCTGGCAACTCCTCTCCGAGGTGGTTTCTACCACAATAACAAAGAGGCACAAATAGTAGTACAAAAGAAATAAAAGAAATCGCCTCGATCGTCCCATAAATCCAAACCCGAAAAGACAATTCTCCCTTACTCCGATCGAGGTGCCTATCCGCCATCCCTATTTTGTAATCTTACAGTTTGAAGTTTTATCTTTCGGCCCCTTGGAGCCCTGAAGTTAGCCCGCAATGATATAAAAACACTCTACTCCTCCGTATCCATTAATTGTCGTGCCAAGTATGATCTGTAGTAGCGAAACTGATCCAGGAGACCGGTTGCTAGCATGAAGTTTGCCGCCCTCACAGCTAACTGTGGATCTGAAAGTATCAACTTGGTGTCCCTAAAGAGGAACCGTTGTCCAAGGAATTGCTTCCTCAGGGTTTTGAATCGAGGATATTCCTCAATAATGTGTGCGACCGTTTGGTTCGCCATTTCACAAACACACCCTGGCTGCTCTGCCTTCCCAATCCTGTGAAGGTAGCTGTTCAGGCCGATCTTCCCAGAGCGAAGTTGCCCTAGGATAGAGCTGACCGCTTTGGGCTGGTTGTCATAGAGCTTGTTGATGTGCCTGTGAAGAAGATTGCCATTGTGCTTCCGATAGATTTTGCCCTCATCTATCTTCGGCCAGGAGATTTGCCATTGAGTCTGGCACGCCTTCCTGAGGACGCGTTTGCTTGTAGATCGCAACTTGAAGATGTCGGGTCGCACCGCCCGTTCACATTTGTAGCCGCTAGCATTCTTAGCTAGCCTATCCACCTTCTCGTTGCCGTCGACACCAATATGTGCTGGGATCCACCTGATCTCGATGTGCACTCCTTTTCCATTAAGGATCTTGAGTGTTGAGATAATTCGTTTGAGGATATATTGCCCAGATTGAAAGCGTAGCCGTGCTGTAGACTGGATCGAGGCTTGGTTGTCGGTAAAAATGAACACCCGCCGGACTCCTCTCCCAGCTCTGAGAGCCAAGATCAGAGCCTAGTGGATGCCCATCAGTTCTGCTGAGTACACGGTAGACTCCGAGGAGGTCCCCATGTACGCCTTCAAGTGCCAGTCCTTCTGCTCGCACCAAGCAGCAGCACCCACATGCCCAGCGATGTCACTGCCATCAGTGTACATCCAAAGATCTCCGGGCCTGTAGTCCTTGCGTATCTTGTCGTGTTCCTCCACCGCTAGCTCTTTAGTGGCAGCGAGGAAAGTGTCGGGTGGCTTCCACCATGGGGCCACAGGGGCTGGTTCAAACCGCTCTAGCACATCTAGTCGTGGGATACCTAGCATGCTAGAGACGACCTTCTCCAACCTCTGCAGTGGGGACAGCCGATCTGTGTCGGGGTGTTCATCCATCGACATCCGAATCTTCCCGCTGTGCATCATTGCACGGTAGATCGGGGAGCCGATGATGCGTGTGGCAGCTGTGGTCGCTGCTTGTAGAAGTCGAAATTCTACTGGCGGGATATTGGTCTCCGCCTCCAAGACTGCTCTCGCCGTTGACTTGAAGGTGCCCGTGGCCACCGTTAGTCCTAGCTTCTGGGCTGCACCGAGCTTGGCCAGCATCTGTTTCCGCCGGGTCTTTTCTCCTGAGTAGTCTTGTGGTATGTACCACACCGAAGCAGCATATGTGATCTGTGGGACGATAATTGCCTTGTAGAGTTTAAGCATGCTGTTTCTGCTTATCCCCCATGTCGAGCCCGAGATAGCCCTCAAAGCCTGGGTAGACTGTGTGACTTTCTCCACAATGTGCTTCACATGTGGTCCCCATGTGAGGTTGGAGTCCAGAATGACTCCGAGATACCGCGCACTCCCCCGCGGGTGGATTGTGTGGGTACCTCCCTTGGGCAGAGGAAGCTCGATGTGCATATCGAGATCCCCTATGTCTGACTTTTTGGCGTCACGCTTGTGAACGAAATGGACAAGCTTCCACTTATCCACGGCGAACACTGAAGCATGCCGCTGCGCCCACTCTTCACAGTGAGCGGCTTCCTCCTTCAGAACCTTGATATTTTCCTCGATGGTGTCATTGATAGCCAGGATGGCCACGTCGTCAATGTAGCCTCCCTTCGTCACCACCTCAAATCGCTGACACCGTTCTTCCACCAAGTCTGCGTTGTAGAAGAGGTAAAGGATCGGGGAGAGTGGCGACCCTTGGGGAATACCCGTGTCGACCGTAAACTCCTCTGTGATCCCCTCTCGAAGCTTGATTCTCGCCGTCCTTCCAGTGAGGTAGCTCTGAAGCCAGCCCACTAGTTGGGATACCCCGCTTCCGCAGATTATGCAGCAGCCTCTGGTGTGACACATTGTCAAAGGCACCAGAGATGTCGAGGAGTAGCATGCTAGCTACCTGCCTCTTTCTCCACCCGGAGTGGATTCGTTCGAGGATAGTGTGGATGCCGTGCTCGCACCCCGCTAACCTCCGTCCGCCAGCATGTTGAATTGGCAGCATGTGATGTTTCTCAGCGAGGAATGACATCCTCTTTGCCAAGACTGTGTCCATCATTTTCCCCAGTGTGTTCATCAGAGCGATCGGTCGGTACGATTTGGGGTCAGCATAGTCTGTCTTTCCATATTTTCGAAGGACCGCCGTAATCGACTTCTTGAAGTGCCGAGGAACATACTCGAGTTGCAATGATGCGTTGAAGAGTTTGGTGAGGTACGGCACCAGCACTGTGGACGCCGCCTTGATCACCCTGTTGGGGATGCCATCCTCCCCGGGAGCCTTGTCTGGTGGTGAAGCCCTGATAACTTCTGACACCTCCCACTCAGTGATTGGCGTCCACTTCCCCTTTGGCTCTGGGTAGTTATACCCTTCGATATCACTCAAGTCGGCCTCTGGGGGTTGTGGGTGGAGCACTTCACGGAGTGCATCGGCTTTGGATTGCAGGTCCTCTGCTATCGTCTTATCCTTCCTTCTGATGTCGGGAGTGAACGCGGCCTGCGGTAGCGTAAAAGTTTTGGACCATTTTGCTAGTGCCCAAAGGCCCCGAGCATCGGTGACCTCTGAGACCTTGTCCCTGTGTGTTTGCCTCTTGGAGCTGCGAACCAGGCGGTCCATTTCAGCGTGGGCCTTGACCGCTGCAGCATGTCGTTTAGCGGTTGGTTTGTCGTCTCGCCTTGCGCATGCTTTCTTGTGTTTTCGGATTGCCTCTATGCATTCTGGGGTGAAGTTCAATCTTGACCTGGTACAGATTCGAGCCATCGGTGCTGCAGCCTCTGCAGACTGTACCAACGCTGACTTGATCTGCTCAGTGACTCTTTCGAGTTGGTCGGTCGAGTTGATCTCATCCAATTCCACTAATGGCGGTAAGAGGTTCTCCAGGCAGATAAGGAGGACCCCTAAGTCGAGCTTCTTCCAGTTCCTCCGCTCCACCGCTGAGGGTGGGTCTGCCGGTAGGAGGAGGACGGTGCGGATAGGCTTGTGATCAGAGCCGTGATCTAGTATGACATCCCTATTGCATGTCTCAACATGCTCCTGGATCAGTGGGATTCCCCATACCAGATCGATCACAGTATACCGCTTGTGGTTTGTTTGTTGTGGAGGCCGAGTCCAGGTCCCGGGCTCCAGTATGAGTGTGAGGTGATATCTCTGCATAAGCTCGCGCAGGAACTTCAACTCCTTGTGTTTGGTTTTAACCGGGAGCTCACCGAACCAATCAGGGTGTTCGAGGTTGAAGTCTCCTACTACCATTTGCTCGTTGTTCTTGAACTTTTCCAGCGTTAAGTCCAGGTATGGTAGCATGCTATTCTCTCGAATACCTTCCCATGGTCCCTCGGTGTACTTGTTGATTCGGTGCCGGCTATCGGTTTTCTGGTAGGGGTTGTAGACATTGTGGATCGATATAGTCCTCCTCACACCGTTCACTCGAACCTTGATGTGAAGAGAGCACAAGTCCACTCCCCGGCCTATCAAAGTGATGTCCCTTTGCTTGATCCTCTGTGAGTTGATCATAAAGCAGACCCTCTGTCTGTTTGATTGTCTGTCGAAGTCAGGGGGTGGGGCCATCATATAAGTTGTGAAGAGTCCTCTCGATGCGTTGGTGGTCTGGCCTTCGGGCCCAAGCCATGGCTCTTGGATGGCAATAATGTCAACCTCGTCGACATTAGCATCCGCAAGCAGTCTGGTCTGTATCGAGAATTCCTTCCTGACGTTGTACTGTATGATGTTAAGGGTCGCGTTGGAGCGCTCCTTCATTAACAGTCTTGTGGGTTGGTATCCGTCAGCGCAGAGTGCTCACGCCTGGTGCGGGGTCGGTCAGGTCTGGGAACCACGACTTTATTCCGCTGTCTCTTCGATGGCTCTCCGCCAGTACTGGCAGAGGCACCAGAGATCTCCTCAGCAGACTTCGAGGTAGCATAGCTACTCCTGGTGTGCTCAGTTTCACCCGAGGACCCGTCAACCGAGGGCTCGTGTTCGGTGGTGGTTTCCACTGCCATCATTGATTGGAGGGCAGGGCCTGGGGTTTTGGGACCGAAGAGTGGCGCCCTATCGTCCCTATTGATGAAGAGTTTCCTCTTCGTGGTGTTGGCCATGGTCGTGTCCACAGTGCCGTCACTGCGCTTGGTGAAGTTTAGAACCTTCGGCGGTATAGCTGCCGAGACTCGAGGGGTAATCGCAGGCGCTGGGGTCTTGGTTGCCCTCTGCTCGAACACCGCAGTGGTCTTCTTCACTTTCCCATTCCGATTGACTTCCACAAAGGCATCCGCATTAGCTACAGGTTTCATGGGCGAGCTGTGGAAGGGGATGATATTCTTCTTGGACTTGACCGCTGGAGTTGCCATGGCTAGAGCGTTGACGCGGTTGTGGGCTGGGAGTACTGGTGACGAGACTATCTCGTCAAGAGGGGAGAGGGAGAGTCGGTGGTGAGGAGTTTACGGATGGTGGGGTCAACTCCGCACCGCCTTGGTGATCGCTCCCCACCGTGCTGGGAGCTCTCGTGGTTGTGGCAGAGATGCCTGGGGTGATGGTGACGTCTGGGAGGAAGTAAGGGTCATCCTTCAGGGCCTTCTTCGCCGCCATGATGCGGGCGATTTCGGTCTTCTTCCTCTCACACTCAGGGTCCCAAGCTCTGTGCCTATGTCTCTTGCATGCCCCGCATTGCCACTTCGCCCGGTTGTCGATATCCGGGCACTGCTTGTTGGTGTGCTCCTTCGAGCTGCAGCAACCGCAGATAGCAGGCCTGTTGCATGCCTGCTGGGTGTGTCCAAATTCCTGGCAGTTGAAGCACTGTACTGACTTGCAGTCTTTGTCGAACCTTTGGACCTTTTGGGGGCGCCCTCGAATGCAATGTTCTGGGCCTTGACAACTGTATCTGCAACGTAGATACTGTGGAACTCTATCACCAGGGCGTTCCACGACTTTCCAGGCTGTGCCTTGCCCAACCAGTGGACCTGGTGGATGTCGGCATTGCCCAGCAGTTTCTCGTTGGATTGTTTGATGGCCTCAATCGCCCCCAACTGGTTTTTGGTGTTCATTCTGTGGATGGGGATGTCGGACACCACCACTCCATGAACTGGGATCTTGACTTTGCCTTGTCCCCAAAGACGTGTTCCCAAGCACTATGATTGTGAATGAGCCTTTCTGCTGTGGCCGGGTCCTTGGCATACAGGTAGACGTCTCCGCTGGGGAGGATCTTGGCCATGTCGACGGTCCTGACGCGGTGGGCCGTGCGCCATTGTTGTGGTTTCCCAATCCGGTAACCCCTGATTTGGAGATCTCGAGGTTCACCATGTTCACGATGAACTCGGAGGGTTTGGGCTTGCGGCGGTATGATTCGGACAGCTCGCAGTCGTTGACTCGAATCTTGATCTCCCTGAACCCTGGGGCTGAAGCCTGCTTGCGCTGCTTGCGGGTGAGAGCGATGTTGAAGACTGGGCCGGGGCACTTCTGGGACGCGCTCCCAGGGACTGCTGAGATGCCAGACCACGTAGCTTCACTACCGTGGCCAGCACCACTCTGTTGATCGCCTTGAGGCGTCGTAATGATGATTGTCTCTATGTTGGTGAGACGTTGATTGACACGCTCCAGTACGTCCTTCACTGGGTCGTCGTCGCTGTGTTGTTTCAGCAGCTCATCGCGCCTTGAAATCTCTGCACGTAGATATTCTTAGACTGCAAGACCTGAGGAGCATAGCTTCTCGGTGGTCGTCGATGGGAGGGCCCTTCGAGGCAATTTCTTGCCATCTCTGATGTCCTCCTGCTGCGTGAACTTGATCACCGTTTTCAACTCCGCCGTGAAAAGGTTGACGTGTTCGGCCCCTGAATTGCCTCGCGCGCCCGTGATGGGTGGTTTATCGGCCGCAGGCCCCAACTTTTTCTCTATGACTGGAAGAAGGGGCTGCGAATCGATTCCCGTGGTCGGTTTGTCGCTGGGACTTGTGGTTGTCGAGTTATTTCCAAAAATTCGATTTGGTCGCTCGGAGATGTTTTTGATTCACTCTTTACGTAGGTAGTACCCTGGCCACCCAAACTAGCCCTGATTAGGTAGTGATATCAATAGAATCAAAACACCAGCCAGACGCGTCCATATACTCTAATATGAATTATTGAGACTATTCAGGTCATTTGCAATGGCAGCCATTCAAGATTTACTAAATCCTCTTACACCTGGCCCTTCACCTGCCCCTCTACCACGCTTGATCACCCCAGAACTCCCTGATCTTCACATCATTATTCGCGCACCTAAACACCTTGATCTTACTCGAGACCAGCGACGCGATTGCCAGATATTAAAGTCTATTGGATGGAACTACTCTCAGATTCGTACGTTCACAGGCTTTACTTTGCGCTAAATTCAGTCTGCCTGCCGTACAAATGCGCGACCTACTCCCAAGAAGAAATCAAGGCGTCCCCCTCTTCTTACTCAGGCTCAAGTGAAAGAGCTAGTTGAATTCGTGTGCGCGTCCTCTGCTAATAGGCGCATGTCTTTTCAACAGCTAGTGGACGTCATGGACTTTGGAGTTAAAAAGGATGCTATTAGAACAGCCCTCTTGCGCGAAGGATTTCATCGGCGTCTAGCAATGCGCAAGCCTCCCATATTAGACAAGAATCAAAAGGCTCGAAAGGACTGGGCAGAGGAGTACAAAGAATGGACTATGGAACAATGGTATAGCATTTTATGGACGGACGAGACCTGGATTACTGGTGGACGGCATACTAGAACCTGGGTAACTCGACGCCCAGGTGAAGAATGGGACCCAACCTGCATAGTGGAGAGGCATCAAAGAAAGATGGGATGGATGTTCTGGGGTTGTTTTCACGGGCATACTCAAGGGCCAGGAATATTCTGGGAGATGGATTGGGGTTCAATTAATCAGGAGTCCTACCAGGCACACACTGTGCCAGTGATTCATGAGTATATTGGGCTGATGAGGAGAGAGGGTATACACTTGAAACTCATGCAGGATGGCGCTCCTGGCCATGCTGCTGGAAATACTAGGCAGGATTTAAGAGACCGAGGTATCACAGTGATCTACTAGCCTCCTTTCTCTCCTGATTTAAACCTTATTGAGAGAGTATGGCATATCATGAAGAACTACCTTTAGGATAATTACCCAGAAATCATGGGGTATGATCAATTGAGAAACGCAGTTAAGGATGCATGGGATAAAGTGGGAAGCTTTGAGTTTGAGGAGCTAATTAAGAGTATGCCAGCGCGCTGTTAGGCAGTCTATGATGCTGATGGACTGTTTACTAAGTATTAGAGTGATTAGAGTAGTCATAGTGAGCATATTAAAGTATATGGACGCGTCTAGCTGGTGTTTTGATTTTATTAATATTATTACCTAATCAGGGCTAGTTTGGGTAGCCAGGGTATACCCCCTACTAGTGGAAGTACAAGACTTCCCCGCTATACCTCTTTAGGCAGGCGAGTATGCAACTAAGCTTACACGGCGCAGTATGCAGATAAGCTTAGAACGTTCTTTAGGCAGGCGAGTATGCCACGTAGCCTACAAATAGTTGCTCATTTCCACTATGTTTTAAGTATGTCCACCCCACGCTCCTCTTTGCTTTTGGCGCTCCAGGGTTAAGGTTCGGTTGCCGATAGCAAAGGTACATGCCGACCGAAAAGTCGTGCACCCAACCTTTGTTTCCGAGGTTTATTGACTGGCCAAACGCTGGTGGACTTTGAAGCAGACCGTGCTGCCTGCAGCCTTCTCTAGAGGATGGTAATGGAGCAGCCTTGGTATCAACCAGGTCAGACAGCTTCGCCTCCTCACGCAACCCCCGACACTCCACCTTCCACGACCGAGAAGCAATGGAGGCCACGCAGGCAAGGGGCCTGTGGAATGTGCAAGCTGAAGAAAATTCGATGTTAGTGTCCTCAGCACCTGCCAGCGAGCATCCAACCAGCTTACCAATAGGTGTTCGAAGGCAATGGTGATAACCCATGTTTGAATTGCAAGGTGCGAGACGCGGTTTGCCAGCGTGCTCAAGACTGATGAAGCTGAGTAGAGACACGACGAAGAGTGCCATTACCAGCAGCCCAGAAAACGTCAACCCGCCAAGAAGTCTATGGGATCGGCGTCGTCCAAGAAATTCCCAGAATCTCAATCGCAGCCTGACGACACTAGACATTCCACAGCCGATGTCCTGGCTGAGCCGCCAAATGACACCCATTGCTGGCCAGTATCAGCCTCCTCGTCAACGGGAACCTTCAGCTCTCCTCTAGAGAATCGGTCAGGTAATAATCTGCAAGGGCTAGATTCTCTCTCGGAAACTCAAAACTTTATACGAACCTGGTCTGAAAATTCTCCCTGGGGCCTCCCGAGAGAGGTGGGAAATGCCACCAGCCTAACCTCAGCACCACCGCCTACGGAGATGAGCAGCGTACCTGATTCAAATGTATCACTTTGGCCGCTTTTCACTACAGACGCTGAGTGGCAATTGGATTTTGACGACCAATTAACCACTCTGCCCACTAGCGCGGTCAAAGGTGCAACACCAATTGCAGTGAATGACCTAGATTTGTCTCAGTCGTATAATCAACCGATACAGGACTCTGAGTCGTCGGGCCTTTCAAGAGGATTGATCGAGTATCTCAATCTCATCGAGAAGGTAAGCGCTAATGCGACAATCTTGGTCAAACGTATTATCATTTAATCATATTCCTATGAGTTAGGCTAGCCCCACGAAAAACTTTCCAGGTAGGAGACCGTCTTTGAACTCAGATAACGACAAATATTAATCAGCCCTGCTTGCAGATCCCATACCCAGCGTCGACTATTCTCTCAGCGCAGTATTCTCAGTACAGGATCGAGAGCTAGGTCATATAAGCAGCTCCAAACGGGACGAAATAGTTCGGATTTTCAAGAGGCTATCTACGATAAAGATTCCACCGTCGTTCATGGACCTTGCCAATGAGCCGTGCCACGATGGTTTTGCCAGCTGGTACAGGAATAATGAAGCCCTCATGGGAAGCTGCAAAGCCGGTACGTGTTGTGGTCATGATGCCATAATCCAACCATTTGTTAATTACAAACAGCATGCTTCCAACGACCAGTAGGGTAAATCGAATCCTCCCCTATTTTCTTTGAATGACCGCGAACGTTGATAGTATTCCGAACTTCTTGACAATGCCATATCTCGACAGTATTGTCAGAGAAAACGTAGGCCGGACTCAAGAGGGGTCAATTTCGATATCGCTGATTGATTCTGTCATGGCCTTTGGATATCAAGCCTACCTCACCTTCTCCCAGCGCCCTGTTAATTCAGAGGAAAGAAACAGCGCCCTCCAATATGCGAAGATACCATTAAGATCTCGTGCTAGTATTTTACGCTCGCCCAACACTCTACTAAAATTCCAGGTAATCCGAACCCTCCACCACAAGTATTGCTCAGTACTGACTGCCTAGACAATTTTAGCAATGGTCGGTCTAACCCGTCCGCGAACTCACAGTTTGACTGATTGGCCATTCAGACAACTATCTCGGAGCAAATTGATGAGATCATTCACTGTGAGCTTATAGCAGGTGCTGTCAGCTGTGCTAGGGCGTTGAAACTCGATTACTGTAATTCAATGTATGGACCGAATATGAGCAACAAGGATAGGGATCTTGCGAGGAGGAGTCTATGGTATCTATACTCAATCGAGGCCCCTCAGTGTCTGCGGCATGGAGTTTCTCCAGTAGGAGCCGCTTTGCAATATTTGGTAAGAAAGAAACTTTTTGACAATACGAATAGGTACTCAGCCACAACTGGATTGACCATGCCCCACCTAAATCCGGCACGGAGATAGACTGGTTTTCTGTCCAATGTCTTTACGCCATTGTTATCAGCTCTGCAGCCGAGATGCTGTATACCCAGCGAGCGCTCAGACAGTCCCTCACAGAGCGGGAGCAGAAGTTGAAGACAGCTTTCGAAATCTTGGAGGGTTGGAGAAAACACCTCCCGACTCCTCTGCAGGAGATTCATAAGCAGAACACGCACCTGACCCTCGACGACCTTTACGTGCGCGATGTCACTCTGTCCATCTTCCGCCAGTACCATGAAGCTGTCTACATGATATGCTTCCCCTGGGTGGGCAACCGGTCAGATGGTCGGGTCTCGGAAGACTGTCGAAGAAAATGCGGGGAGTTATGCGTCAACTCTGCACAAGTGGTGTTGGCGATCGCGAATCAAATTCTGAACATGGAAATCATCGATAGGTATGCCAGATATTGCCGATTCGATCCACGATACCTTGATTCCAAAGACTGACAACATGGACAACTCATAGCAAATTTCTCGACCTCATTGCGTCGTCCATCTGCATTATATTCCTGGACGTAGCCACATGGAGCACCGCCGAGAAGAGCTTTTCATACCTAAGTATGGGTTGTGGTGTTTTCGGTAGGTTAACAGTATTAGATAAAGAGGTGCCGTTTGCAGATGTCTTGGAGCTCGCGCGTACGGCGCAACAAATCAAGGGCAAATGAGCGTGTGACTGTACTAATATAGAAAACTTAACCACACGAGCTCTTAGAAATCAATTGGCGTTTAGACATGTCATGGGTCTTGTCTCATATGTAAGGTAGCCAAGGCATATTCTAGAGTATATGGTCAGAGAGCCTTGAATAAGAAGGCGAAGAAGGGTAAGGTACTTCTCTGTTATGACTCACATGACCTAGTGGGAGGCACGGGACACGGAAGTCACGTGACGGATCCGAGGGAGCCCAAACGGTAGGTCTGGGGTCCATCGGACTCCACGGGGTCCACTGGGATCCATGAGCAGGAAGGTTCTATATAAGCAGATAGGTTTCCCTTAGATAGGAGCTTCGTGCTCAACTCAAATATAGTTTCTTAACCCAAGCTATAGTAACACCTGAGTTGTTACTCTTCTATTCTCTTGGTTAATCATGTGGTCACGTTTTGTGCTCCACACTAGCTACTTTAGTTCTACCGAGATCTTTTCCCCCCTCCACTCCGGCTGTTCGGTAGTTCCGTCGTTTTCTACCATGCGGCTCTTTCAGATCGAGGCGAGATGATCTGCTTTCGGCTATTCGAAGAGAATTGCGCACGTGACGAAAATTCAAAAAATCACAACTTTTGTATAACACTTTCGCACGCGACGCCTTAATAAAAACTCCGGCTCTATTTTAGTTCGCAGCACTACCCGCGCTTTCTAAATATCTCACTTTCGTACGAATTAAGCGTGTTTTATGGGAGGAGATAGCTTTTGAAGATGCGCAGCTTAGCCGCCCCGTGCGCGCGCGGTTTGCGACCGTGAGACGTGAGGCGCTGCCGGGTAAAACCACGTGACTCTGTTAAAGGCACGTGACGTTCTTTAATCGATCAAACCATAGACAATTATCGAGCAATGTGTGGACTTAAACTCGTTTGGCCTAAGTAGGGCCAACGGGCTCCCATTGTTTCTAATACTAGCAATCTTCTACACTTCTAGAACATATCTGGTATCTATCTATCTATCTAGATAACGAACTGTAGAACAATCTATATCCCCGCGTTAGGACTATCCCATAATACTTCTTATCATACTGAAAGACCCCGTCGTAATAAAGACGCTACGTGTTCCACCTATGTCCATTATGTTAGAACGTGCTACGTCCGAGACTCGTGTGGATGAAAACTTACGTCTGGTTCTCGAATGACTGAAAAGTGGTTTCCTGGAACATTCATCACTATGATATTCTCATCCCCTATGAGCTTCTCCCAGCCATAGGTTCCAATACCACCTCTACTATCAAGTAACCACTTCACGCTCTTTGCCTCTCCCCTTGATCTCGGGAACGTTTGATCTCTGGCATCTTTTAACAGTCCATCGCGGGCTAGTATGAGTAAAGTTTTGGGTGCGTCTACCGACGTCATTGAGCGAGGAGTGAAATTCTCGAGGTTCTTGATCGTAGCCTGAAAATGTGGGATCAACCAGTCCGGTGATGTACCTCGGGTGCCAAGTAATCCCAAGGAGTCGATAAAGTGAAGTAATGATGATGGTAGTGGTTCCAAGTCCATAGGACATGGCGAATCGATCAAGAAAAGACGTTCAGTCCTTTCACCCAACTCCAGCAGCTTATATGCAACCTGATAGGCGAGGACGCCGCCCGCAGACCAACCGCCAAGGTAGTACGGACCTTGGGGTTGTCGTCTCTTGATCTCAGCAAGGTATTGTTCTGAGACACTGTCAATGCCGTTTGTAAAGTCTGCGGGAGTTTTCATGAAAGGGCAGTTCAAAGCGTATACGCAAACATCCGGTGAGATGTTAGGAAGCAATGAAAATGATGTTGCTGACCCTGAGCCATCAGGGAGGAGAAACAAGCTCTTTGAGGAGGTCTTAGGGCTGCCAGATAGAAGTATGGATGTCGCCCGGCGAAGCGTCGAGTCCTGGCCTTGGTCTTCTAGAACCCAATCCGCCAACTCCTGGTCATTTGTACCATGTATGGTTGGTAGTGTGTCCATATCATCTGGAGAGGAATCAATGCTATCCTTAGATGGAGTAGCACCTTCGCTTGAGGTCGTTCCCGTCAGAGCGCTGATTGCAATCCTCGCTTTATCAACGCTAGGATAATCGACGAAAAAAGTGGAGGGGAGATCCAAATTAAGTTCCTCACGAATCCTTCCAATAATACTGAGTGACATAAGTGAGTCAACACCCATATCAGCAAAATCACTCATTTCAAGGAGATGTGTCTGCTCAATGCCTAGCTCCTCAGAGACGGTGCTAAGGAGCTTCTTTGTTATATCTTCCGCAGGGTGATTGCACAGATCAGTCCCAATCGAGGTGTTTCGAGTCATCTGAGCACCGCTCATCGAATCCGTTGTTGCCGCACTGCCAGTTGAGGCACATTCAATCGATGCACTTTCAGTCAGCGCATTTGCCTCCGGATTGCCACCATCATGTGCAAGAATTGCAAATTTTGCCTCACCAATGGTAGGCTTGTCCGCGAAAAAGGAGGTGGGCACATCTATTTCACACTCCTCACGCAGTCGTCCGCTCACTGCAAGTGACATCAGAGAGTCCAGTCCAATATCAGCAAAGGCGACTCCGTCATGGAGCTCCGATGGTTCCAATCCTAACTCTTCAGAAATGATGCTCATGAACCCAGTGATAATTTTGTTGCCGTTCTGTGGAGGAGATATTGATGTGGAGGCCTTATGCGTTGTCTTTTTCGAAGTTGGAGCCAGCTGCTTCTCAGGCTTGGAGTTTTTGACGTCTGGATGGTCGGCCATACCTTTCATTGAAGCGGTAGCCTTCAATTCGGAATGGTGGGCAGCTCCATTGAGGGGAGGAAGAAGTTTGTTAAGTAGAGATCGCGGAATGGCCTGGAACTTGACACCTGCAACCAAAGCAACCATATCATCTCCGTCGAATACATGGACATCACCAACCATTGTTTTGCCCGGTCCTGGATGCATCCTGACATGGTTGCGATAAGACCGGCGGCCCGCCAGCGGGCGCACCATCTGTAAAGACTCCCAGCCATGGGAGATATAGACTTGTTTCTGGGAATCGACGGCGTCGGAGCCATTCAGCACGAATCCAGAAAGGTGAGCAATATTGTCAATCCAGTAAGGGTTTACATCGAAATCGCCGTCGTTATCGTTGGCCTGAAACTCGATCAAGGAAGTGGCCTCGAAGTTCTTGCTGTCAAGAATAACCTCTTTCATTCCCTGGTATTTTCTGCCATATTGTACGAAAGACGAGAAGGATTTATATGCCTGCTCTCGGCTAATCTTTTGGTATTTGCCAGCATTGGCGCCTTGAGCTAGATGATCTATTCGTGAATGGAACAAATAATCAAATCGAGACCAGTCTGCAAGCAGAGACTTTGCATCCCCGTATTGAACTTCGCACGAGGCATGGAATTCTCCATCACTGCCGTCCTCAGATATGCTATGATAGGTGAATTTGACAAGACTGAGGGGCCGTTCAGCTGTAGCGGTTATTCTTAAGATTTGCTCTCCTTTCGCATCGCGGCCCTTTGCAATAGCAGGCTTTGTGATTTCCAGATGACGCACGTCCATGGGAATAAAATCTTCGCTCTTGTTGACCTTTCTGTGCAAGTGACCTGCCAGTGTCATTGCCATATCGGCATAGACGCCCTGCATACTCTGTTAGTCTCAATGAACGAACAGTTGAGAATATACGTACTGCCGGGCAGAGAGCTGCCCCATTGACCACATGTCCAAAAATGGCGTCGTTGAGATCGGGTTCAGAAAGATCGGATTCAGCTACAACTGTGATCCTCTCTCCGTAGTCTTGCTTGGTTACCTTATGGACCGATGATGTAGATAGACGGCCGCTTTTGCGCTTCTCGGTAGGCGCCTCCATGGCCTCTCCTTTCGTGAGACACCAATTGTTGTGATAGTCAAGCCAGTAGTTTTTGTTCTCGAATGTGTAACTGGGTAGGCCTAAGACCATATGGGACGATTCGTATTCACTGTGGACTTCGTCCCAGTCAATCTGTAAGCCTTTGCGGTGCAGGAGGCTGAGTCCATTTGAGAGAGTCCGCCAAGGGTCTTCCTTTTTGTGAAGTGAAGGGATAGTCACTATCTCACTACCAAGGCTCGATTTGATGAAGGCAGAGCAGATGGGCGTTGGACCAACCTCAACCCAGATGGTGGTCTCGTCTATGAGGCCTTTTCTTTTCCCAGCAGTAATACCGCCCAAGAAATTGACAGTCTCTCGGGAATGGCGAGCCAAGTATTCTGGGCCAATGATATTTCCATCAGGCACTACCTCTTGAAGCAGAGGAGAAATGACAGGAACTGTTGGCTTGGCAAATGAAACAGAACTGGCTGACTTGATGAGCGGTTCAAGAATGGGAGCCACCTGCGCCGAATGGAAAGCGTAAGCGCAGGGCAACAAAACAGATTTGATGCCGGCGGCCTTGAGGGTTTTCGAGGAAGCCACCAGGTGTTCTGTTGGACCACTGATCACAGTCTCTCGAGGTCCATTGATACAGGCAATATCAGGCCTATCGCCGCCTAACGCTTCGCAGGTGGCAGCGATAGAGGCGGCAGCAGCAAGTAGCGAATGAGTCCCTGCCGTGCAATGCTCCTGAAGGAGTTGTGCTCTTCGCCCGACAAGATAGATGGTATCACTCACGGATAGGACTCCCGCCACAAATAAGGCAGCATACTCGCCCAGGCTGTGGCCCATGACAGCACTTGGCGAGATGCCCCATGAGATCCATAACCGTGCCAGTGCAATTTGAATACAACTTTGTCCAAGCTGTAGCACGATGGGCGCGAACTGCGTAGCGTCCACGATGGTACCGTCCACAAGAGGTAGAAAAGATGGGAAGCCCTGGCTGCGACCTATTCTGTCGAAGTCCAAGATGTCAGACCTGAATTGTCTCGAGTTCTCGAAAAGCTGTTTCCCTAGCGATGGGTAATGTGCACCTTGGCCAGTGAAAACAAATACGACTTTAGGAGGGCTCTTAATAGGAGCAAGCTTGAGAACTTCAGCTTGAGCCGATCTCAGGGCTTCCGTTGCCTCAGGGATATTTGTTACGGCAAAAGAGACGCGGTAAGGATGCTGAGCCCTTCGAGCAGTGGTCGTATAAGAAAGTTTGGGTAACGATGTGTCCGGCTTCATCTCCAAGTATGAGATGAGTTTCTGAATATTCATCTTCAAAGACCAAGCTGACTTTGCGGTTATCGAAACCACGAAAGTCGTTCTAGGATCATTGTCGCTCATCCGTGCGGACTTTGGAGCATCTTCTAGCAGGAGTCCAGTATTTCCGCCTGCTGCGCTAAAGTTATTCAGGTATGCCCGCCTCTTACCGCCATTGGGAGCAATCCATGGGGCTCCTTTGAGCGCGATACGAACACCTCTCTCCTCGAGGTCGGTTGGGAAGCCTTTGTTCATAACGCCTTTTATACCGACATGAGGAGGAATGACATTTCGTTCTAGCATGAGTAAGACCTTTACCAGAGACGAGGCGCCTGCAGAAGCTTCCCCATGGCCAATGTTCGCCTTGAGAGCTCCGACATGGACTGTTTGTTCCGATGAACGTATTTGACTTCGCGGGCCTTCATTTCGTGGAGCAAACACGTTTGAGATCGACCTCATCTCAGCTCCATCGCCAGCTTGCGTTCCTGTCCCGTGCATCTCGACGTAGCTGATATCACGGGCGTCGACACGCGAATCCCTTAATATTTTTCTGTACAAGGATTCTTGAGTTGGAGCATGGGGCTGCGTGATCGACACTGCTTCTGATGAGTGATTCGTTGATATGCCCAAGATGACGCCTAGGATTAAATCGTCATCGGCCTCTGCATCCTCCAGCCTTTTGAGAACGACTGTTGCAACGCCGTCACCCCGACAAAATCCGTCGGCACCATCGTCGAATGTCTTGCAGGACCCAGTCTTTGACAAGAACTGGGCTCGACTGAGCCCGCAAAAAAGATCTGGAGCTGACATAATATTGAGGCCACCAGCGATTGCCGTATCACATTCTTTTGCCTGGAGAGATGTGCAGGCTAACTGGATTGCGGAAAAGCTTGACGAACAAGCAGTATCAACGTTGTAGCTTGGCCCCTTAAACTTGAAATGATAATTGATACGTCCAGGACCAAAAGCGCGTATATTCCCGGGGATATAGTAGGTGTCAACGTTCTCTGCTGCATTGACCTGGCGCCAATCATCACTCGATTGGCCATAGAAAGTACCGACACGGTCTGACATTGACGAGGGTGTCCTGTTAAGTATAAAACCTGACATCTCAAGCGCCTCATATGCTGTCACCAAGGCCAGTCTGCCCATGGGATCGGTTTGGTAGGCTTCACGCGGTGACATGTTGAAGAAACGTGCATCGAACAAGCCTGGCTCATCTATGAAACACCCATACGGAGTATGACTTGTGTTCTTCTTTTTACCAGTTGGATCGTAATGCGCATCGATGTCGAATCGATCTCGAGGAACTCTTCGATGTACGTCCAATCCTTGTTCCAACAAACTCCATAGACTATCAATGTTGTCGGCATTAGGGAATCGACCAGACATTCCCACAACGGCAATCTTCTGAGATTTGCTCCTTCGGTCATATGTAGATTTCGTCGACCTAAACTGTTCTCCAACGCTCACCTCGAGCTCTGTCTCTGCTCTTAAGCTGGATACGAAACTAGATAGGGCACTCGAAGGCCCTATCGAAGAGATGTTGCATTTTTCTCTACCTGAATCCCTTGCCTTCGAGACTACCGTAGCGATTACGTTGTCAAATGATAGAGGTCGAATTAGGATATCGTCCACGAACTGTCTGAGTAACTGACCCAGGCCAACGTCTGGAGGAGACGACTCTGCACTGCACCCAAGGACACTAAATGATTGAGAAGGTCGGTCCACTTTGGTCTCTGCGATCGGCTGAAGAATTTCCTCGATGTCAACATCGCTATACAGATGTGGCGCATGGAATGGCCCAAATATATCGAGCGCTACTGTTTTGCGCTGACGGAGGTAATCTGATTCCGAGAAGAGAGCTTTGATAGTGGCCGGCGGTCCACTGACGGTGACTGTATCTGCACTGCTCGAGCTGATGTAGGCATGGCTAGCCCGTGGGAAAGCCTAAAATATTGCTTAGCTTTATATCGAGTTAGGGAGAGAATAACGCTGTTGCTCCGAGCGCCCCAGGCTTTAACACTCGTCTTTACATGATGTATGCTCTTTACAAGTACCATCGTGGTTAAAGGGAGACGATCCGAGAAGCAAGGGAAGGAAAGATAGGATATCCAACCTCCAACCGGATAAATTGGCCGGGACAGCACCATCATCCCTGGTCCAAGCCCTAGCCCTACCTCTAGTCTGCTCATCTAGGGCCAGGGGTCAGCTCCAGAAATGGCTAGTCGTCCGGCCGGCCGATTCATCCGGTCAGGGGTCGATCTCTCTCTTTGCGTCTCACCTTTCTTTCGTTGAACTGCATGATCTCGGCATTACATGCCTCACTCTGTACACCCACCACAAGTCGTGACCAACTTTGATTGAATCCGGTGGACAAGCGCTGTGCGGCATTGTTCACCATGATACCGATCCTGAATGCGACTCGAACAGCACTTAGCGCGTTCTCTATCAAATTGAGCGCGCTTTGGCTTGCTGACATAGCTGCAGCAGCCAGCAGCCCCGTACAAAGGCCAACCAGGATAGTGTTAGCGGGCGCGAAAGGCTGAGATGGATGATTGTCAAAAAAGCTATGCGAATCATTAATTTCCATGCTTTACAGAAGCCGACGGGAACACATGAGGCACACCTGATGACACTGCCTAACTGAAAGATACATAAGAGGGGCGTCTTCAAAACTTGACTTTGGCAATCCGAGTCCTGGTATTTTCTCACGAGATCGAGAACGTCCCTGAATGGTGGAATTTGTTCTTTCACATGGCGACGTTGTCGGCATACCTCGTCGTGTAAAAGCACGTTGAGATCGTCGATGAAGCGAGAAAAGAGGACTCCGTGTTGACTCTCGCAAAGCTCCTGTAGAGGCCCTCGGAAATTGCCTGTCTCATCGCCAAAGAGAAGAAGTTGAAATTCTTCAGCCATATTGCCGCACAAGGCACAGTGCTCCGTATCGATGGTGAATGAATACGTCAGACTAAATTATATCAAGTAGGTGCAGTGTCTCATCACTAGTTGGAGGGTTAAGTACCCTATTTATATTCCCCCAGTGGACTGGGTACCTAATCGGCTGCTACAAGTTCTTGCGCAGAGCCGAGAAGGTAAAAGTAATCAGAGCCTCTGTTGGATTACTTTACTGAGGACGTCGGCTACTGAGTGATCATTTTTAAGACTAGGGCTTCATGTGAATGACAATGAAAGGCTGACAGTTCTGTCGCCATCCGGGAGCTACCACTAATTGCCCAAACCCTGTTAGGTTATGGCTTACACGCAATGAGTTATCCGAATCGAAAATGCTCACAGGCATCAGGGACCGACCGGTTGCTAAGTCCGACACAGAAGCATAACAGAAAGCCGTTCCCGAATGTTCGTTCCGAGCTTCCGAGAAGCTAAGAATGATTAGTCAGGAGTTTTCATGTTATGCTATCACATTACCAATCACTGAAAACCTCTGGTGCGAAGCCGCATAGTTTATGTCCAAGAGAGTGCGATCCCAAAGCCAAAGCTCATCTGGCAAGAAAATGATCAGAGCAGCTGAAATGCATAAGGATACCAGATCAATTACTTCACCAGCAAAGAAGGAACCTCCACTGAAATGGAGGGCATATAGTGGAATCAATGAGGATGCCGGATCAACTACCCCTATAGGTCAGTCTCTTCATGAAGCTTTGAAGACCTCACGCAAGTTACTATTCTTGGACTTACTGGAAACGGGGATGCAGTCAAAGGCCAAGAATACCCCAGACATGAACTTCTAGGCTCGCGAGTCTTGGACGGCAGCGAAGCGGACTTTTGCTGGAAGAATGTCATTGACATTGGAGAGATACCTTGGCTGGCGGAGCACGTACTCCTGGACCAGATCGTATTTCCGGCCGCTGCATACATAGCAGTGGCTGGAGAATCGGTTCGACAATTATCGAAGGGAAACCTGAACTCGTATACCGTGACGGATTTTTCAATTACCTCGGCTCTAATTCTGAAGCGAGACCAAAAATCAAAGCTTCGTACCACGCTCCGGCCAATGAAGGTGACCAGCGAAACCGGTCAGTGGTATGCGATTCAAATTACGTCCTTCGCTGGAAGTCATTGGACAGAACACTGTGTTGGCAAGATATCTCTTCGCGATGCGTCTAGCTCGGACGATTTGGATGTCCCCCTTCCGAGGCTAAGCCTCCCAAGGCATGTGCCGCAAGCTTATTGGTACGATGTGTTAGAGAATGTTGGTCTCAAATATGGCCCCGCATTTCAAGGCCTTAATGAAATATCAACGGCTCTGAAAGACCACGACGCGGTTGCCACCGTTTCACCCTTTGGAGATATGAAAAAGTACATTCTCCACCCGGTCACGATAGAGCAATGTTTGCAGATCTTACAGGTCGCTGCATACAAAGGACAAGGCAAGTCAGTTACAGGACTGCCTGTTGTCACAGCCATTGAGCACCTCGTTGTCTCCAGTAGAGTACAAGCCAAGTCAAACATTAGGGGAACAGCAGTAGAGAGCAGCTCGGGTTATGTGGAAGGGAATGCGTCCGTCATTTCTGAAAATGGTCGTACAATACTCTCGATCAAGGGTTGCAAAATCTCTCCGGTGCCTAGCCATAGACCAGGGCAGGACGACAAACTCCTCTCGTTCGTTAAATGGGATGCCGACGCTACCTTCTCTGACCTCAATCAAGCTTTTGCTGTAGCTCATTCGAAGCCGGACCCTCTCAAAATCTCCGACGTATTGAAGCTGCTTGCCCACAAAAATCCAAACCTAAAGATCCTCGAGCTTGGGAATGGCGCAGATGAAATGACACGTTTGGTTTTGGATATTCTGAAATCGAGTTTTGGCGAACGCCTATATCTCAACTATACCTACGCAGCTGCATCTCTCGATGCCGCATTCAGGCTCAGGGCGGCATTTAGAGGCGTCAGTGGCGTCAACGTCGAATTTTATGACATCCAAGATTTACAGAGCTCAAATCTTCAAACTGGAGCTTATGATCTAATCATTACGACCGATGTAAGGTTACCTTGTCGACTCTTGACTTTCACTAACGCTATCGGCAGTCTATCTCCGTAGCGAGACAGATCTCGAAAGCATATACGGACTCCTTAAAACAACTCATTCATCCTCTTGGATATCTCTTTCTGCTGGACGCCCTTCCAGGGTCGAATGCATCCAAAGATAAAACTATCCTAAGCCAGATGCATAATAACCTCCTCGAAAGTGGCTTCGTATTCAATCCTAGGAATGAGCATTCTTCAGACGGCCCTAAAGTCGTTGCACAGCTAAAGAAGTCTCTTCAACACCCAAAGAAAGTTACGCTCGTCGTACCAGAAGACCACCATGCTCTTGCCGAGGTGGTTCAAAGCACCCTTCAGGACAGTGGCATCAGTTGTGACAGATGTACATTCGAAGGCAACATATCCCAGGATCAAGATATGATCGTACTCGTAGACTTTGGCGAGCCATACCTGTACAACATCACAGAAAATAAGTTTCGCGGTTTCGCGAACCGCCTTTCTACTTTCAAACGCTCAATCATTTGGGTTACTCCCAACGCTTCGTTGTCGTGTATCAACCCCAATCCATCGATGATCCTTGGTATGGCAAGAACGTTGAGAGCTGAGATGAGGAAAGATATCACTGTTGTGGAAATCGAGGATCAGGCTGTCACTTTTCCCAGCTCGAGTCGATCGCTCGTAAATATCTATCAGAATCTTGGTCACCGAGCAAAATCAGGGAATGTTGATCCAGATTATGAGTTTGCGATAGTTGACGGGGATATCAAGATATCAAGGCTTCACTGGACAACGATACGCCAGGAGCTTACCGAATGCGTTAGCTATGTAACAAGAGAAGATTATGGCTCGGAAGTTCGTCAATACCCCAATGGAGGCTTACCGAAGCTTATCCAATTTCGATCTGATGCCTGCTATGTCTTGGTCGGAGGGCTTGGAGGCCTCGGTCGAGTAATAGCAACGTGGATGGTAGAGAATGGTGCACGTAGCATCATGTTCCTATCTCGCTCTGCAAAGGAAGGCCCGGAGACTACGCCGTTCTTTGACGAACTACGAGCTCTTGGATGTGAGGTACTGCCATTTGCGGGGGATGTGACTCGCTTAATGGATGTTGAAGCTGCAATAAAGCAAACGACGAGGCCGGTGAAGGGTATTATGCAGATGTCAGCGGTCATGAGGGTTTGTGTATCTCTAAACCCTTTCAGACTTGACTCTGACTTTTATAGGATAAACCGTTGTCCAAAATGACATTTTCAGATTGGGAGCAGTGCGTGCGGCCTAAAGTTCAGGGTACCTGGAATCTTCACCAGGTTACGTCTTCGGCTGGTTTAGACTTTTTCCTACTCCTTTCCTCTATATGTGGAATCACAGGCCAGCCAGCTCAGTCTAACTACAATTCGGCAAACGCATTTCTGGACGCATTTGTTAATTACCGCCACGGTCAAAATCTGCCCGCGTCTGTCGTTGATATTGGCTTGATGGGCTGCACCGGCATCATGGTAAGAGAGAATAGAGAGCTGAACCAGAAGTTGATGGCCGGTGGTTACTGCTTTCTGAACGAGCAAGACTTGCTTGATGCATTGGCTATAGCTATTGCTTACTCGCGCCCTGCGAAAGATGTGCTCATAAATAAAAGCCAACTTGGTCTTGGGCTCAGATCGACGAAGCCTATGACTGATCCTTCCACGCGTGTAGCATGGAAAAAAGATGCGCGAATGGCAGTTTCACATCAATTCGAATCTCTGGGTATAAAAACAGATGATGAGGCAAGGCAATGCCTTCGATCGGCATTTCAAGGTCAGAAACCCTCACCATAAGCGTTCCAACATACTACGCGTATCAGAGACTGACCCTCTAGCTAGCAGTAGGTGATCTTTCTGCAGTCTAGTGACTAGCTGACCATTGCAAGAATCTATGTCAACGCCATCGCGCTGAGGTCTCCAAGAACCATGTCAATCGGTGACAAATTAACCTGATTAAGCTCATAGCTCTTTAGCGTTTCAGAGACATGACGCTAGCTTCCTTTACAGCGGTGGTCTGTTGAATGTATAGAGTCTACTAAGACAATAGCTAGATTGTTTGAATGAAAGCTATCATCGACTGGCACTACTTCCTCGGTAGTTATGTCAGCAAATCTTAGAAGAGCACCAGTGGTCGTCAGAATTCCTTTTGCCTGAACGCGTAAATCAAAACATCCCCAAATGCAACACCACTTTTATATCCACCCATTATGGCACCCTCAACGCGCGCAAATACTCGAATAACCCCTCCCAGGGATGAAACAAAAACAGTAGTTCCTAATACTGAGAAAAGAACTCGATTCTTCAATTATTAGGACCAGAATCATGGCCAGAAGTCGACTCGCGCCATTGCACGCGATATTCACATTGATGAGTCTACAGCTAGAAAATGGCTACATGAACGCAATACTATGGGTTCTAGAGCTTATAGGACTACACGCAGGTATTCTACCAAGCTAAGAAGACCTTCTAGAGTCACCAAATCCACCTGCAAAATGCTGGTTGACCCTGCGCGTAACACCGTCCGAAAACAGACCTTGAAAGCCTAGATTAAATACTACAACCTGAAGATTAGCGTGCGCCAATTATAGCGAAAATTAAAAAAACAT